TGTTGCTGTTGTTGTTGTTGTTGTTGTTGTTGTTGTTGTTCTAGTTATTTGCTTCTATTGTTATTTCTCTGCATCTCTTCTTTTCCTAGTGTGCTGTTGAGTTTCTGGAAAGCGCAGTTGGGAATTTTCACTAACTCCAGCCACGTCTTGTGGTGTTCTCTTTTTAGCTCGAAGAACTCGACAAGATCTTTGAAGCCAAGAACCCCGTCAAATACTCCGTGCAGTCACGTACCTTGGCCATCACCGAGGACCGGACCGTTGTGGCCGTCGACAAGGAAAGCAAGGTCTAGGTGAAAAGGGACGCAATGAGATCCTCTCGGGGGAAGGGTAAGTATATTTATTCACAAGCCTGGGATGGGGGACAGCGGACATTCGGATGTCGAGGGAAAAAGAGAGACCGTAACCGGGGTAGAATGATACGGGGAAAGCCAGAGCCCCCGGCGCGGTAAGAAAGGGGAGTTGTAAGTACTGTGTAGCTGCTTGAGATTCAAGAACTTGACTTGGCTTCGAGCCGCTACCCTGAGTACTGACTGATTACATCGTTCATTCCTGTAGGAAGCGTATCGTAGGTACCTTGGCTATAGTGGTAGGTAGGTATACAGTCCATGAAGCCTTCAGCCTCGTTCGTTTATATCTAAGTTGAGCATCGTCGGCATGATTTTCCTATGTAGGTATGTATACCTAAGGTAGGTAGGTGTCTTGAGGAGTACCTTACTGTGGTACTAAGCGGTGAGCGGTGAATGGCATGACACCTACCTGTATCATCAACCCCTTGTACAGAGTACGAGGTACGTTACATGTACTGCGTACTAGGTACTTTAGGTAGGTAGGTACGAAGGTAGGTACACAGTTACTAGTAGTGTATTAGGGGTTTAATTGCCGAGCCGTGTTCATCCCGCCCTTGTAGCTCAGCTGTTCCTACTAGCACAGCACAGATGTCAGACCAGGACGTACAGAGTACTCCGGAAGATAGTCGGATGTATGATCCGCCCACCTCCGGCTGGAGGTTTTTACAGACTCGGAGTACAGAGTACAGAGTACCTCCTACTAGTACCTACAAACGCTACCTACGTAATAGGTAGGTAGCCAGCAATAAACGGCTGGGGTTGGACGGATATGATTTCCTACTAATAACACCCCATCTTTATAGGACCGGACAAGGAAGGTAGGTAGTAGCTAAGGTAGTAGGTACCTTAGGTAATTACTAGTACGTACTACCGATGGTACCCACCTCCACCACCACCACTACCTATCCATCCATCCATCCATCTATCCATCCATGCTCCTCGCTCCTCGCTCCTCCTCCTCACACTTCCTCTATACACTACCTTAGATAGGCAGTGGTAATATCCATCCTCATACTCCCCCTTAGCTGTGGACACGCGCCAGACTTGAACAATCCGGGTCGGGTGTCCGGTGATGCATCGTTCGTTCCCCTTGTTCAACTCCTAGTTCCCATCCCAAGTCCCAATTGCTACAGAAATCAAGGTTCGAAAGTAGGAAACAAGTAAAGCATGCGAACACTCCGATAAACCCGGCAGAAGGAAATCTGATACCGGTACTATTTGCGAGGTCACATAGATCATGGACTTGGACATGGAATGTACTCTGTATATCTGTTGCCTATCTGAGATCCCGGGGGATCGAAGAACTGTGGAAATGAGAACAACCATCTCTGGCATGGCATACAAACTTATTTCCGTTCGTTGTTCGTTGCCAGCTTGATTAAAAAGCAGTCCTGACGATTGAACACGGCTGGAAGAAGGGTCCTTTCTCGCCAAATCAAAACCCCATTCGTTTACACAGGGGTATCAGGATTCACTCCAAGTCATATCATGTTGCGCCCTCCATGTCCGAACGCGAGCCAAAGGTCCCCCAAAAACATTACAAGACATGACCGTGTTCTCGTGCCTTGTCGTCTTTTCCCCAAACAATAGATCCAGAAACCCCTCGATAACCAGACCTATGCTCGCTCAGAAAAATCACTAGCCGTAGCTCGTGGATTACCGGCCCCCAGGGAAACGCCAACGCTTTCTGCAACAGGACAAAATTCCGAACAAATCCGAAGGACAAAGTGTGCCACCCTAAGAACGTTTCGTCTTCGTGGGCATCATCGTGATGGGGGTCGTCAAAAGTCGATGAGATGTGGGTGGGCTGATTCGGGTGGTGTGGTTGAATATTACATGCCCTGTTGGTAATAAGGATCAAAGCTTTCGGCGGCCTGCGCCAGTGTATCTAGGTCGGAAAACCCGCGGACCAGTGTCGGCGGCATCAGACCATCGTTGCCAAGGCCATTACCATTCATCTTGGTGGGGGAGGGTTGTTGAAGGTTGGCGTTATTGGCAAGAAGCATTTCATCGCTCAGTGAAGGATAAAGCGAGTTTGGCGACACGCCATCCTGCATCGGTTGCATCGGCATGAGCATCTGAGAATGTTCCGAGTAATAGTTGTTCTCTTCCACGTTGAGAGGGGTCTCAATGGCTGTGGGCGCAAGGGAAGTGCCTTCGGACAAAGGCGAGTGAATCATGCTGGATCGGCGACTCGCGTTGGAAACCATGGTTTCCGCCCTGTTTGTCTGCTTGACCTTCTGTGCGTCTTTGGTGATGGCAGCCTTGCTCCGTCGCGCCGAGTCCTCGCCGTTGCTTCCCGCAATCGAATTCTTGTGGGTGCGTTCGTGCTGCTTCATGTTGTCCTTGCGGGTGAAGGCCTTGTTGCAGATGGGGCAATGTACGCCCTTTTCGCCTGTGTGTTTCTTCCCATGACGTGCTGCGTGACCCGAAGTGGTAAAAGTAGCTTGGCAATTGTGTGATTGGGCATAGGGACACGGGTATTTGTTCTTTTTCGGCGTGGTTCCCGTGCTGGTGGTGGTGGCGGGAGAAGCGATTTTGGTCTGCAGGTTGGGTTGGGGAGCCGAGGCGACTGGAGCAATGCCAGAGGCACTATTGGCCGATGTGGCCGGCGGCAGATGGGCGAGGCTGGGATGAAGAGGCGCCGGAATCAAAGGATAGTGATTGGACATGATGGAAGGCATCTGCTTGGATGAAAACTGATCCGGCATGTTCGGGGAAATCAACAGCTGCTGTTCCAGAAATGGAGTGATGGTGGAGGGTGAAGGGAGAGGACCGACCATGTCCTGGCGGAGTAAGGCTTCGTAGGGCAGGACATTGTTGTCCAAATAGTTGTACGCCGGAGTGATCGGGGAGGGAGAAGAGTCCATGCTCGAGCTAGAGGACTTGGAAGACGAAGACGACTGTCGCAGGAGAGGAGGAGAACCAGCCGAAGAGAAGGACGAGGTTCGGCTGTACTGAGCCTGGCGCAGGAGACTCGGCCGCCTCCCCCTCTGCTGTCGTGGAGAACTGGAGGGAGAAGAGCTCGAGGCAGCCGATGATGATGGAGCCGGAGATGACTGTCTGGGAGGGATGACGAAGGATGGACAGTCGTTGTCGTTCAAGATTGAGAAGATACGTGCTCCTCTAGGTTGTGTCTGAACATCCATTGTTGGACGCACCCACCTCACGCCCAGCGGATAGGGCTGCTGGGACCAAATGAGAAGATGAAAGCGATGGTGGTAGTAGAGGATAGCTACGATGTCATCAAGCGGGCTCTTGAGACGATCGGTGGTGGTGGTTGTCGGCGGCCTGTAGAGTACCAGAGGTTTGCGTCTTAAAACTCAGGACCTTATTTCTAGGAAACCTCGTCGTCTATTAAGACACGGAGAGCTTGCGAAGGGGTATAGGCCGACGAGAGATTGGGACGAGTGGTGGATAGAGGAGATGTTGTGTTGTATGTTGGCGACCGATGGGCAGGGATCGTAAGTGATCTGCAGACGGAGGTGCTGTATCGGCGTGAGACCGTTGAAAGAAGAGACGCGGTGTCCTGAGGTACGGAAACAGAGAGGTTCAAAATAGAGGAACGGTCCAGCGGGCAGAGACGAAGGGGTCTTTTTGAGACACGAGCGAGTGTCAAGTCGTCTTTTTTTCCTGCGTGGGCGGATCAGGGCCGGAAGTTGCGCGATGATCGAGAGCGTGCGTAGGTGGAGGCAGAAGCAGAGCGATCGGGGGATCGATGGTATGGAAATGTTCAGAATGGCATTTAACGCGGGATCCAAGGCGCGTGCGTTTTGGAGCACGACCACGACCACGACACTTGACAGTGGCACTCTGGCTCTCCCTGCAGTGGCGGTCGGTGTCGATGAAGGTTCTCCACGCCGCTTGACGAGTGCTGGGTTTGGCCGGGGGACGACGGGAGATGAGAGCGATGAAGGCTGCGAGGGTGCGAGGGTGCGAGGGTGATGAAGCTAGAGGACGGAAGACGTGATTCTGAATGGTCCAAGGCAGCAGAAATGGAGAGACGAACAAGACGGTGTGTCATGGAAGATTAGGCAGGTCCGCAGTTCCAGCTGCTTGGACGCCAGACTTTACAGAGGATGCAGACTTCAAACGCAATCGACGATGGGATGGGGATGGAAACTTGGAAATAATGGATCCAAGTCATCCACCGCCGGCGACAACAGCCACAGGGATTTGCAAGGGCATGCATGCACTGGCAGTTGGGGGTCATCAGTGGTGGCTTGACCACGAGTTGACCCTTGATTTTACCTATAGCTAAGGCACCTGGTACCCTGTATAATACGAGGAAAGGGGTCTCCAGGCACCTAGTAGTAAAGGTAGCAAGTGTCAAGTAACAGCGTCGGTATAGAATACGGTAATACTCATCCCAGAGGTGCCTGGACCTCCAGGTAAACGAAGCCCGGGGAATGGCTATTCTTTGGGCTAGGTGTATCTTTTCTCCCTTTCTTCACCATTCTCCCAAAGGTGCATGCTCGTTAGTAGGTGGTTGAGTGCACCAGCTAGCTCTACGGTGGTATCTGAGCAACAGAATCTCTGGATCTCGATTCTGCATCTTCCAACCCAATTTAGCAGTTGTACCTGAGGGAATGACCAGACTACTATTGAAGAGGATCGAGATCCGCAGGAACTGGCGGCATCAACAGGAAGCATAAAGATGAAGATGGTACCTATAAGCCCACGCTGTATCGGAGACGATCGACCGATACACTGGAAATCGCGATCCAAGCCACTCCAATGTGGCCCCCGGGTCAGCTTAGGTACCATGGGTGACCCTCTTTTCGCCCTCTGGTGCAGTGTAAATAACGACAGGGCAGGTAAGTTTGGGGAGCGGGGATGCCTAGGGACTAGGTGGATTCCTTGTAATCGAAGGTTGCACATTTTGAATGACTGCACAGCCTGAGAATGCATTGCACTGACTTAGAAGCCCATATCGGCGAGATAGATAATGCAAGGGAATGATTTCTGTCGTGCTGTATATTGCAATGTACCTACCTTAGGTAGGAAGACAAAAGTAATGATACTACCGGTAGTATACTGCGGCTGGTGCTATGGCATGCTTGAACTCTGCACACTGCACTGCCCAACTGTACCTGACCTGCCGCCCACGTCACAGGGCCTGTGACATCAGTGCACGGCAGATCACCCCCCAAAAACCGATCCAGGCCCAACGCTCGATCGAGACCCAGAATCAATTTTTGGGGCAAAGCGTGACCCCTGACCGACGGGGCGTTTGGTTACAATTTATTCATGGGAGCTCCATTCCAGCAGTGATGACAGCTAAGGGTACCTAGGATTTACCTGGGATCTAGGTGGCTTTGCTACCCACTTGCTGGTGCTAGGGGCTTGATGCCCCCCATATAGGGACCAACAGGGACCAACAGGATCCGTTCCTAATAGCGCCTACCTACCAAGGGATACCTATCACAGCTCCCACCGCTTACGAGTACAGAAAGACATCTCGATTCCCTGACTTTACAATCGCCGCACCAACTGTTAGCTTCTTGTAAATAATGGAAAAAGAATACTACTAGTAGTAGTCAAGCGCATCCATCCGCATCTGCTTTTCCGTCCTGCTCCGGGGCATCATGCAACCAGTAGCCGACCAGTGCTACAACTGCCCAGACAAGTTTGGTGCCGCACGTGGCACAATCCATGGACTTTGTCTGCAGTGACTCGGAGTGCTTATCATACTTATCCCTTCCAAGTTGCGCGTCGCGACGAATATGTGGCCTGACGGGTTGACGCGAACAACACTGCATGTAGTTCTCGGTTCTCGCACGAGCTGGTTTCAACTCCTTTTCCTCTGTTTTGTATAGGAGCCTTTTTGACAGTTGGCTTGGGCTCAGTCATCAAATGTAAAAGGTCGGGACTGGTTCTGGGTTTGGCCCTGACGTGGAATGGCCCAGTCTCGAGTACCCAAACACCCACACAAAAGATACATGTTTCCATTATTTGCTCAGTGTCGAATTTGATCCATCTTTGACAAAGGAACTCTATGCGAGCATTGACCGACGCACAGTGCAATGTTCCAGACACCGCCATTGACATGAACCTTCCGAGATTATTTACCCCTGGCACATTCCAGATCATCTTCATTTGCGATACCTGGACATTGGCTCATGCAGGGTGAACCTCATCCTTGGGCCATCAGGGTCTTCTCTCCTGTTAGATATCCTACTAGGACGAAAATAAACATCCAGTTTGCCAATAGCAATTCAAGGTGTGGCGAAATGCAGGGCTGCCAGTGTAGCCTCGTCTCGCCAATACTTCCATGTTTGTCGTTCTCGGTATGTGTTTGCGTGTACGTACTTGGTAGTGCGTTGGACCCTTCCCCAGGTCAGACTCCCAATACCCTTTTGGTGGAATCAAAGGCATGTCAACGTACCCGCACTACTAGTAGAGCTCGAATGCAGGAAGAGTAGATTTGCTTGACACCCCAGTGATTGTGCTTTCGACCGCCATCCAGAGAGCTGACTGGTGTTCCTCGAGTCTGTTTGCCTCGTTCAAGTTTGGAGGATTCCAGGTAACAAGGCTGTGGTCAGTAGTGGCCCAGGGATGCGACCTTTTACCTGGGTAAGGCGTACTCGCATCACACTCACGCCCATGTCGCACACCATGTGAACCTATCGAGAAGCTGCGGCAGACATTGGCAAGCAAGCATATCACCCTCGCGTATGAAAGTGCAGGCGATGCCGCAGAAGATAATTTCCAGAGAACACCGCAGCCCAGCTGAGCCACTGCTGCATTCACTGCACTTCAGCCACATATTCTCCCTCCTCAGCCACCGCCGCATCTGTCTTCTCCGTCCAAGTCTGCGTTGTCTCCCTGCGCTGGCGCCCTGCGTTGTCTTTTACCTTCACCGCTCCTGCTCCTAAATTCGCAGTCACCCCATCGATAAACTGGTCAAGCTTGCCTCAGCTTTGCCTTTCAGCTGTCAAGGCACTGAAGTTCACTCTGCAAGTGTCTCAAGTTTGCCTTGTTGCCCTTCGGCCCATCCCAGAGGTCTAAACCGGACGCCATCACCAATTGCTGCCTGAAGAGTCTCCAAATCATCCTTGTCCAAAGCCCAACAATTACGTAGCCGCCCCCTCCAATCACCTCTCCTTTGCCCGTCGTCCCTCCCCAGCCAAATCACGCACTCGGCTTGACACTGCCCGGTCTTTTCCTCTACGGTCTTACCAGCCACCACCAATTCAAGTTCACCAAACCAAATCTCGTCCAGAAAACAACTTGAAGCCTGAGAATCTGCCAAGCTGCCTACTGCTCTCTCACTCCATCGTCATTAAAAAGATACACGTCAACTTGCCGTCTTTGACAAACATCTCATCATCACCTCCCTGCATCTTCGAAACGAGTCAATCCTTTTTCCGCGATTAAGATCGCTACGACCCGACCCTTGCCGTGGCTCCAGTTTCCGCTGGGCTACATACCACCTTTTACCTTTACTGGACTCAGCCTCATCGCCTCTACCTTGGACGACCATGTCCTATTACGACGACGACCGGTCCCGCCGTAGGGGCACTCGAGAGCGACGGCGAGACGATTATCACGATGGTACTGTTTATGACCAAGATGTCAGAGATACACGTCTAGTCAAGCGTCGTGATGATAGCACTTCTTCCGTCGAGGAGGTCAGCCGAGACTTCGCGCCGGGAGATCGCGGCGCCGCTGTCTATCGGGAAACAACCGTGCGCCGCAGTGGCCATCGCCCCATCCGTGCACGATCAACCGATGATGCTTGGTACGATGATCGCTACGACGACCGCTCCTATGCTTCTCGAAGACGACGCGACGACGCCGACACTTATGTGAGCAAACGCAGAAGCCACAAGTATGATGACAGACGTAAGTTGACCGAGCTTTTGCCATTTCATCCAAATCTAACCCAATTTAGACCGCTCCAAACGCCGCGACTCGGATTCGGATTATTCCTCACGCAGCCGTACTCCTCCGAAAAGAGAACGGAGAAAGTCCACAACCGAAGAAGTCTTGGGCTCGCTCGGCTTAGGAGGTGTCGCCGCAGCCGTGCTGGGCAAGAACCGCGATAGATCCCGATCCGTGTCCAGCGACCGTATCTCTCGTCGCAGAAGCCGCAGCCGAGCCGGTGGTCGACGGTCATCCTCTGATCGGTCTCGCCGCCCCAAGAGCAAGGTCAGGAATGAACAAGTCTCGCAGGTCATCAAGGCCGCCGTCCTCGCCGGTGCCAGCGAAGCCTTTCGCGCCCGGAAAGAACCCGGTGGCTGGGGTGGTGAAAAGGGCAAACGAGTCTTGACTGCTGCCCTGGCTGCGGGAGGTGTCGACGGTTTGATCTCTGACAAGAAAGACCCTCACCACCACGCGAAACGTGACATTGTCGGGTCTGCCTTGGCCGGGTTGGCTGCCAATCGTGTTATCAACGGCCCTCGGTCCAAGTCTCGTGGTCGGACTGGCAGCCCCGATAGTCGCCGCGGTCGAAGTCAATCCCGCGGAGGCTTTGGAGATCTGGCTGCCGGGGGTGTCGTTGCCGCTACCGCAAAGAAGGTCTATGATCATGTCCGCTCTCGTTCTCGCGGTCGTGCGCGCTCCCGAAGCTCTTCATACGATAGTCTAGACAGTCGAAGCCCCCCACGTCGCGCCCGAAGTCAGAGCGTGTCAGGTATGGCAGCCAAGGGACTAGCAGCGTTGGGCTTCAAAGATGCGGCGGACAAGGTGGACCCAGAACGTCGGCGATCAAGACACTATGATGATTACGACGATGGCCGGCATGGAGGATATGGATACAGTGATTCCAGAGATGTAAGCACCTTTCAACCCCAGCATGGTCAATTGACTCGCGGTTCCCGTGCTATGAGCGTTCCCCGAGGGTCGGTTCCAGGCTACGAACTTGACTACGGACCGCGTCATACCGGTGACCCAGAGACAGACTCGGATTCTGACCTCGGCTCCAGTTCCGAAGATGAGAAATTGAAGAAAAAAGGTCGCAAGAAAGCTTTGCTGGCCGGGGGTCTTGCGACCGTGGCGACCATCCACGCAGCGCATAACGTCTACGAGAGCATGGAGAAGAGAGAGGCTCGAAGAAAACTGCTGCGCGAAGGTGAAATCAGTCCGGAAAAGGCGCGGAACGAGAAGAACAAGGCGAGACTGCAGGATGCCGCTAGTATCGGCATCGCCGCGCTGGGTCTCAAGGGCGCCTACAGCGAATGGAAGGAGTTCCAGGAACATCGCGAGAAACTGAAGGAGCAGGAAGAGAAAGTCGCCCGGCACAGAGCCAAGCGAGAAGCCAGGAGAAGGAAGATGAGCATGCTAGCCGCCCAGAACTATACGAACTCCGGCTTCTACGGAAGCATGCCCAACCTGTCGTCGACGACATATTCTCCCCATGACCCGTATCATCATCAACCCTCCTACCCTTACGACCCTTATCATTCGACCGGCCCTCCCTACAGTGGTGGCCCATACAGTTCCGATTCGCCCGTTCACTATACCGACGACAACCCCTACGGCGCCGTCTCGCATCAACCACAATATGTCCCGGCGCCTCCCATGCCACCCCCGCCCATGGGCGGCCCATCACCATCTCCTCAACCGGGCGTCCAAAGATCAGAGACACGATAAAAATGACAACAATCACGATGCAATAAAATGCAATGCAATGGAAACCATACGATTAAACCTAAGAGCTGCTGCTCGACAACGACTCCGAGACTGCACTGCTCTTACGACACATGACGATACCTGACAGCTCTCTTTGCAGACATTGGCAAGCATCGCATTTAACTATTTCTAGACCTGCTATTGGCTTTCTGCATGGGAAGGTCTCGGGCTTAAGAAAGCGCTCACGCATACAATTCCCACATGCCAGCCTACACGTCAAGTGAATGGACTGAGCTACGACATGATGATATGACTGCTTACGATGATGAGTTTGGGAATACTAGGCATTCGTTTGATCAATCAGACGAGAAGAATGGATCACTGAATCACTGAATCAAACTTTATTCTCGTAGAACATGCTCGATCTGATTTTCTACTGCAGAGATGCTACCTCTATTCTAGTTGTTGAGAAGTCTGGCTCCTTTGATCATGGTAGCAGGGCATCCCACGCCTTCTCCAGCTATCGAGTTGAACACAAGGCATTTCCGTCGTTAACTCTCCCGCTTTGCCCGGTCACCGCTCTGCTCTGACTAGCAAGTATTTATCTTACAGCTTTGGACCCCTTCAGCCCATTTGAGTAGGACGTTCAATCATCAGCAGCTCCGTTCTCAAGCAGTAGCTCCCTCCGCCAACCGAGGCGTCTTTGATAGCGATCCGCCGTTGGCCATTGCGATTGCTAATCGGGCGGTACGGCCGGTGGAGGCGATGGTGCTCGAGGTGGAGTATCCCAGTAGTCGTCGCCGGAATGATAGCTGTCATTGTATCTGTCTCCACGTCCGCGTCGATACAAGAACTCCGGTCCAGTCGGACGTCTGGGCATGGAAGCGGGAACGAAGCGGGTATAGGTGAAACCATCTTCGCTCCCGGGCCGCCGGTACTCATATCGTGCCGCCGGAGTGCGAACCTCATATCTCGGAGTTGGAGTCGGTCGCGCGTCCTTGAAGTGGTACTGCCAACGTGCAGGCTTCTTTGGAGGTGGTGTGGGAGGCGGAGTCGGATACGGATCGCGAAGATAAGGCTGAGGACGGCCAGACATCATGCCAGCAGCACCGCCTGGTCCCTAGGCAGGAGGCCACTGCGGATCCCATGGGTATGGACCGCGAGGGAAGAAGACATTGTCTGGTCGAGGAGGCGCGAAAGGAGGTTCTCCGGGACCGGGACTGGGCCCTGAGCCAAATGTCGGTGTATATCCATCACCGTCTTCGCTGCTGTTGTTGTTGTTGTTGCCCGCCATTGGGGGCTCCCACATCCAAAAGTCACGATAGCCTCCGCGTGTCCTGGGCTGTCCTTGTGGCTCTCGTTGCTCGTACATTCCTCGGCCCGGGGCACTTGGGTCGAGATCTCGCGTTGGATTGTGAACCCGCATTGGTCGGTACCCTGTGGAGTCCGGACGATCGAAGTATGTGTCTCCTGAACGGAGACCACGGGTGGATGGACTTACTCCTCGCATGGTGATGCTTGTATCGATATATTCTCGTGTCTCGTCGGCGTCGTCGGAGGGTCTATTTGAACGTCTGCCAAAGAGGAGGCGGTGCCGGTGGCTGGTCCGTCCTCGGTTGCGTTTTCGGTTTTGGTCCAGTACTCCGTTAACGTGTTCAGTATATATGATCTCGGGAAGCCGCCCGTCGCGTCGAGGCCCTTGAGGATAGTTCTCGGTAGCGGCGAGAAAGCGTCGCAACTGTGGGCTCGGGCCGTCGTCGAGGACTTGCTCGAGGAAAGTGGCGGGATTAGGTGAGCGCCGCTGGCGAAGGTGACGGGAGCGTCGAGTGTTTCTTCTCTGTGGACGGGGTAGGGACCGTGATCTAGTGATGTGAACCCTTTCCTCGGAGCCGGAAGGCGAGATATAGTAGCTTGTTCGAATGTCTCCGGGGTCAGATTGTCGTGATGAACGGTTTCCCATTCGATTCCCAGGGTGCCCTGAGCGGTTGGAAAGGGACTATAGGTTCTCCGTAGTCTCTTGTTCTGATCAGTGGCTGGTTTCTTGATGCGATGCTCTCATGAACAGGCTGCGAATATGGAATGGTACCCTGAAGATGAAGCGAATGCAGGAATTTTATAGAGTTGCTACACATCCTTGGTTGTCTCGGGCATTTTGTCTGCGTTGGCTTGAGTGCCTTCTCGTGTCAATCATAAGGTGATAAAGGTGCTTAGTCGTCAAGGCAAACGGGAGGAGCGAACTGACTGCAATCACTGTTCAAGAGGCTTCGTAGTAATGAATTTCAGGTGCGGTCATGAATCATTACGACTATCATATCTCTTGTTGTTCATATGCTTGACTCCAGGACTCTTTCGTTGAATACCATTTGTGTTGAGTAGGATGGGACTCATGATATCGTTGCCGACTTCGGTCTGATACCAGCCCAGAATCGATCCACCACATGGCAGCCTGGAGGCTCATACAACGGAGGAGAGTACACTCTTGGTGCCGATACTTTTGGACGGACTCCAACACATCTATAAGGCATTTGACCATGGGTTAAGCAGTCACCCCGTGTAGCCCTCGGTAAGAGGAAGTACCATTGGTATAACAATGAAGTGTCTTCTACCGACCAATTGGTGAATTTGGCTGCAAACCGTGGGCGAGGATATGGTGAAGCGCAGCTTGCAGGGCCTTCTCCCGCAACGGAGCTTTAGGATAGTGTTGCACGTTTGTAACTCTGTTGCCTCGAAGTGAGAAGAGTGCGTTTACCAAGCAGCCTTAGACATACCTAGGTTTGCTGCTGTTCAAACTCCATCCTGTGTCTGAAATCTTGGTAGGATGCAAGAGTGAAAGCCAAATGAAGGACAGCCGTCTGCTTTCAGGCACTGCGAGTAGAGAGTGTCGGCATGTAGGGAGCAAACATCCTGCGCAGTATGCTATCACATGGAAAACGGCGAGATTGTGACTTCAATCAGAGCCGAGTGATGCGGCAGACGTAGGCGAACGGGCAGGTTGACAGTCTAGCGTGAGCGCCAACAGAACAACAGGGTCCTTTGTGTCATGAATCGAAGGAATCCTCGTGCCCTCACTGTCATTTCGCAGGCTTCACCTTGAAGTCTGTCCGATTCCTGTTGCAACAGACTTCAGGCTGCCCATTGTTCTGGTGACTGGCCAGCCCATCATTTCTGAGACATAGATGGAGCGGAGTACGACTGAGCGTCGAACTTGGGTTAGGATTAACTTAGTCGCCAGGAAGGCAACGATAAGCCAAAACAAGGGCAAGGGGTCGCCAACAGACGCTCCCCGCCTCTTGCATAGCTGAAGCAAAGGAGTGAACCTCGTGCAGGTTCCCAGTGCAGTACATGACTACTCACAGTGCTCAGGAGAAGGAAAAGGAAGAGGAGGAGGGAAGGATGGGAAATCTCGAAGTATTTATACCTCTGGGTGCTCCTGCCGCCAAGCCGTGCCTGTTTGGATTCCGGATCTGGATCACGTCTGCCTGAAGCTTGTATGAACTCTAGTTCAGCAACTCGAACAGAGCAGCCCTTCATTTCCAGATGCCCCAAATAATGACGGCGCTTGTCCGATTGAGACAAGAAGATATGCCATTCGATCGGAGACGAGGATTCAGTGTCTATGCTCTCGCGAGGAGGCAAGGAAATCGCTTACTAGGCTAACTGATCCGGAAGGATGTGAGTATTAGCCAACTCAAATAGCCTTTGGTTCATCATGGATGCTAAGGGGTTGCCCATATTATCCTAGATCATGACAATATTGCTGGAAAAACCTGACAAGGAGAAGGCAAGCCAAAGTCTACTGGCGACTCGAAAAGGAGGGAGACATGTACGTGGGTTCTCCGCATACATCGCTTGTCCCGCCTTATTACTCTCCCTCCGCTGCCAAAAGTGCATGCCTAGAGAGAGGCACAGGCGATGTATCGGAACATGACAATGTTGCAGTCCACAACTGTATGAACATATGTTCGTGCTTCCGTCACCGAAGTATCCAATCAGTGCAGGAACAAGCATAACAAGCACGCCAACGTTCAAACCTGACGTGTTGAACCACACTCCTTCGTCGTTGCTGCCCGAAATGCAATGCCAGATAAGTTGGTGAGCACTTTGTGGTTCTTCCACAGTGAGGCGCGACATTCGCACTCTCTCTCCCTCGTTACAGCCAATGGAAGATGGACACGGAGTGGCCATCTCTTCTGCCAGCCGAGCAGAGCTGCGTGGACATTGTGCGCAATTACTCTATCGACCCCTCGGTAGGTTGGATGATACACGAACACTGCCATTTATTCTGCGCTCGCATGATGTCTTGTACAATGACCATCTCATGAAGACAAACTTGTGGGGAACGAACCCCCGGCTCTTCACATGTTCAAGAACCGCATGAGATTCGTGGCATGGCTGATAGCTTCAACAGCTTCGAAGGATGATAGGTGTCATTATGTGCTGTTTTTGACGCATCATCTAGGATACGCCATGTCCAACGCAACACCGTTTGCATCCAAAGTCTCTCGTTTATTTAGCACTACGCCGCGCCTTTGACCATCCCGGACATCTGACAATGAGAGGCAAAGTACTCTGCGGCCTGACCGTGGTGCACACTTATCGATGGGAGAGAAAATATCTGGCTCCCCTCCGGTGAGTAAAGGTAAAAGAACGTCCTGTCTCCTTCGTCACCCACAGCTTGAGCTTCTGCCCGGGCCGTAACTGAGCCAAGAGTCAATGCAACAATTGTGGTGATTCTTCACGGTATGCGTAGCCGTTGCTCTTCTCGTCGCACGCCTTTCCAACCTCTCTTACTCAGGGTGCCATCTCCTCCTTCGAACCTCACCCTGGCAGCGTATCCCCAACGCAGCCGTTTCAATCTCTGATCAGCTAATAATAGTGCACTATAAGCCGCTGGCACTGCTCAAGACGAAAGCGGAAGCCATGGAGGATCTGGTTCTTACCCACCAATCAGTGGCCGTGGACGGACTACAGCCTCCTTTCCACGATATTGACGACACGGATGGAGCAGGCTCGTCTTCTGGAGCAGAACCTACCAGCATCGACAACTTCCGGAAATCGGCCCAGATCTTTCTCGGCATCTACCGTCAGGAGGTCGAACAACGAGACACCGAGATCTCTAAACTCAAAGCCGAGCTGACACGCGTCCGAGAGGTCCTCAAAGCATTGAAGGAGAAACAAAGTGCTGCTGAGATTGCAGATAATCATGCAGTCATTCTTGCACAACCTCAAGGGGCAGTGAACGTTCAGACAGGTACGCGAGAGCAACTTGATGATGACGAACGAACTGTTCACACGCTACATGATACAGAAGTGCACTCCCCGCCGTCTCCGCCTCCTTCTAGATTTCTGGCCGACCTGACTCGAGATGAAGCGAACGATGTGTCAGTGCTGCTCTCATGTGAATTCATCGCAGTCCCTATCGCTGACTTTAGATAGCGACAAGAAGGTCCAAGACATTTGGGATTCATGCTTCCAGATCGTGAAGCGTACAATGGAGCAAGACCTCGGCGATGATGTAAGAGGTTCATCTCATCTAATGTCTCGTGGCTGATCAGTAGGTAGATTCTTACAGAGTGGAACGTCATGTACTGGTTGGACTTGGAGGAGAGAATCCCCAATATCACCGCAATACCAATTGAACCGTCGAACAACCCTTCTGCGAAACGAACACGGACAATGCTCGTCATGGCTCTGTTGGCAAAATCCATGAAAGAGCACATCCTCAGCCCTACATATCTCTTCGAGGACGAGGACGAGTTACGACGGATGCTTGCTACCATGAATGACACGGAGAGAAAAACACACTTGAGAAGAACTCTCCTTGCCCTCTGCGAAGAAGGTGGTCACAAGAACATAATCAAAGCAGCACGAGTGAAAGAGGCCGTTGAAGAAGCGGCAGAACCACTTCAGAACTTACTGTCTTCGGACATTCTTCTTCAACTCAAAGCAGATCTTGAGCAGGTGCTTACCGAAGCAGCAAATGCCTGGGAGTCCTTGCAACGATGCGAGAGCCATTACGAAGTCACCACCACCGTCGCCCGTACGGGATGGGATTGGAGGTCAGTACATTTCCTCCCCGGCGGGGATGACATGGAACTCGCCACGGTCGCTTCTGAAGCCTTTGAGACCGACGAGGCGGTAATGGTTTTGTTTCCTCGGGTTTGCGCCATTGACAGATCCAAAAAGCCTTGGTTCACCCCGGCCTTCCCTGGTATTGTGATACAGAAGTCACAGTTGCAAGTACCCACTGCGGAAAGCTTGTCGGTTGTATTGAACACCAATGGCAGCCCTGAGAAGGAGCTTGAAGCAGTCGAGTCGCCGCCAGCCGTGACCATTACTACTGTAGACAGCACTGAGAAGGGAGTGGTGGCAGATCAGGCTGTTGACGACAGTTCGGAGAATGAAGTGCTCAAAGACCAGTCCGCCGGCGAGAAAGTCACCGCGACTCGAGCTCTCGGCATTCCAGAGATAGAGGTCGCCGCAAATAAAGCCGGCACCCAGAGACTGATCACAGAGCAGGCTGCAGACATGGATTTGACCACGGGTGAAGTCCCGGACTACCTTGGAGAGGACGTCCCTGCAAACGAATCCACAGTCGCAACGGACGAGCCGTCCAGAGCGGATCAAGCAGCAAGTATCACTGGAGAAATAATGGAGGAGCAGAAGGATGTATCTGTATCTGGAGAGGGCGCGGCCGCCAGAGAGAGCGACGCTGGAACAGATGACGATGAAGAAGAAGATGGTGATGATGATGCTGACGATGACGACGACGTGGATGATGACATGGAAGAGAGTGAAAGCATGAGCGGAAGCGGGACGGAAGATGGAGACGATGCAGATACCGGCAGTGAAACAGGGAACGAGGACCAAGAGTTGTCTCCCCTGACTGCAAAGGAAGGACACAAAGGACATGCTCAATCCGCCGAAAAGGGAGACGACCAACCTGAAGGACCGCACCCGTCAGAGGCAAAAGTTGAAATTGAAAGCGAACAGAGCAAGTGATGGACTCTAGGCATATTCGGTTCTTCTACTTACGCAATAATTCACGCAACAACCACGAAATAGTTATTTCCTTCTCCGTGATGAAGGTGTTTACACATGATATCTGAATCTCGAATTTGACGTTCTAGTAGGTGGCAGTGAAAGGAACTTGTTCGGGTCAGCCCAATGCCAATACCACATCTTACATACAGGTACCTACCCAGATAGTCCATCCATTTTATCACCTGTTTCATGGAGGTCTCACAGACGGATCTCGTCTCTTACGAGTGCAAGACCCCCATACACGGTACAATATGTAGTAGAGAGCATTCGGAACATCAAGAGAGCAAGACGAGGAAGAAGAGATACCAGTCTAGTCCATTTCGGGAGATCGGTTTATATTCGGTAGACGACCAACCGATCACATTCCCTAGTCATTGAACACTGCGACAATCACCATATATCATCTATCCATTTCTTTTGCAAGCCCGATTCCCTCCGCGTATTGGACCGTATCACACCTTCCGTTTGAGCCTCCCAACATCCACTGCACAAGAAAAGTACCTCAAACATGGGACTGGAAGAACAAAACGAAGAACGAGAAGTTCTCGACTCCATTTTCCCAGACGAAATCACAGGTTCGCACATACGCCATTGCAATTGCAATCGCTGGCAGGCCAGTACACAGACTAACGTCTCCGTAACGCAGATGTCTCAGACAACTCGTTCCGGATATCAATAACGCTCGATGTTCCCGACGACGGGAGCGCCGAGGCCAGCGACCCTCCTACCATCGTGCTCAACGTCACCTATCCCGAAGCCTATCCAGATGTCGCGCCCCATCTGGACATCACGGCTCCTCCGAACGCACCCAAACATCCGCAATTCGATATATCGGTGGACAAGCCTCAGTTACTGGACGCGCTACAGCCTACGATCGAGGATTCTCTCGGCATGGCCATGGTCTACACATTGGTGACGACGTTGAAAGAGGCAGCTGAGGTGTTGATCTCAGACCGACTTCGACAAGCGGAGGAGGTCAAGGAGGTTGAGGTGCGCAAGAAAGAGGAGGAAGAGAACCGAAAATTCCACGGAACCTTGGTCACGAGGGAGCGGTTTCTGGAGTGGAGAGAGAAATTCCGGAAGGAAATGGAGGAGAAGGAACGGAAGCAGAGAGAGGAAGAAGAGGCGGAAGAGAAGAAAAAGAGAGGGGTGAAGGTCGAAGAGAAGAAATTGACGGGCAGACAACTCTGGGAGAGAGGTCTGGTTGGGAAGATCGATGAGGACGATCTGGACGGCGACGATGCAGTGGCCGGGATCGAAAAACTCAAGGTCGAGGCTTGAGCAGTGTGTCGAACTTTAAACAGACATCAAAAAGCCTACGACAACGAGACAGGTCCCCGGTGGACAGCGCGCAATATACTGGTTGGCACGAGAGCTGATGACGGGAAGAGATCACGAAAAGAGCCAACTATTTGTTAGCTTCCATTCTTGTTGTCCACGACCGGCTGGAAATATCTCTTCCGGAAAGGGTTCAGCTCATCCGCCGTCTGAGCCGTACGGTCCCCGACTGCTTGACCGCCGTCGAGCTCGTCAATCTCGACCTTGGAATCCAAGTGTCCCGGAAGCCTCTCATAAACCAACAACCTCCGACTCCACTTATTGAAGCGCTGTACGCATTCGTGCTTCAGCAGCAGATGCGGGTGCGTCGGGATGACAGTCACCTCTTCCTCGCCGAGGTCGTTTTCATTGGCACTCGGCATCCAGAACGCAAGCCGGCCACCGTCGACCAACGTAGCCGCGGCGAAGTCGAGGATGTCATCCAGCATGCGAGAGAAGGAATATGGTTTCTTGGGCGCAATGTATCCGGGCAACTTGTGCGCCGGGATGCCGTCAACCAGGATTTCCCGCGGCGTGTCTGCAGCAGCAGCAGCCAAATCATCCCCGTCGGCGTTGGATGCGAGCAGAACCGCTCTTCTCGTCCTCGTCCCCAAGACCTTCAAGCCCTCCCTCACGCCGTAGGGAGGATCGCAAACAATGCCATCCAACCACCTGACGTTCTGCGAACTTGGTTTCTGCCCTCTCGCAGACCTGCGGAAGGGGGTATTGGTCAGATCGGAACACATGCAGTCAACGAAAAGATGTTCAAGCCCATATTTCTTGAAATTTGCGCCCACGCCTTTCTCCAGCCCGGCCCCCTTGCCGCGATAACTGCGGCCATCGATGTCCGACCCCATCACCACGGCGCCCAATTCCGCCGCCGCCACCATGAACCCTCCCGTGCCGACGAACGGGTCCAGAAACATCTTTCCGGGACTAGCCAGGGCCATGTTCGCCGTCACCAGCGCGAGTTCGGCATCCATGGACGTGGTCGAGATGTACGGCCGTTTTTTCAGATCGTGTTTCTCTCTCAGCCAACGCTGCGAATCACCGATCTTGCGAGCCAGAAAGACTCTCCTGAGACTTGTGCCCGCCACTCGATCTACGGGCACAGTGCCATCTTTTGACGCATGGGCCGCCGTCATATCTGCTGCACGACCAGCCGCAGTCATCGGCAGCCACTCTTCCAGCACGGCAAACTCGACCTGGGGGTCCTTCATCCTGATCTTGCCGAGCAGACCGAGATATTTGAACCGGTCGATCGTGCGGCGCTGCTGTTCCGCGTCCTGCGAGCTCCCGTAGCAGTCAATGGAGAACTTGAACGAATGGTGCTTGTACAGGTCCCAGAGATGGCGACTCCGCTGCGTGACGTCGCGGTCTAATTCCTCGTAGTCCGCCCCTTGGCCCCAGATCTCGTAGATGCATTTGGAGAGGATGGCGCGGCTCTCGAAATCGCGGACGGCCTGCTCGACAGTCTCCCTCCTATCTAGACCTGACATATCGTCGGTGTCGTTGGCATTGCCTGGATTTTGTAGAGTTGGAAACCAGACAATACAAAACGGCGTGTTCTCGGCATAAGACACAATCTCGCACGGCAGCCGGGCCAGGTCGGCCAGCGCTTCGAGTTCCGGCCGGCGGAACCTTTCGTGCGCCTGCGCGAAGCGGACGAGGTAGTCCATCTCAGCCGTGGAAAGACCTGGAGTGATACAGCCCTACAATGAGGCCATTGATGGATTAGGGTTAGGTGTCAAGACAGATGGCCAGTCGAGACGAGAGTCGGCTCTATCTGTGGACACAGACTATGGAAAGTCTTTCGTGCTGTTATGATCCAAATTCTAGGTCGGGAACCCTTTAAGTTGAGGTGAAGCCGTGACTTCTAGTCTATTCACGCCGGTGGCATATCTCGATACGTTTTATCAGTCCGCTACAGAGAAATCGGCGGGTAAAAAGAGGTAAATTTCACGGGATGGTCACGTGGACATCCATATTGACGCCGCCGCTTTAAGCCAATACTTATCCTCACTCGTCTTGAACACCCTCGTCATTCGCGACGCTGACAGGGGTGATTGTGATTGTCAAATGGTGTAAAGAAACCATATGGAGGGCTGAGACAGACGGGTCTGGAGTATGTCAAAGATGATGTGATGGTCTACGATGACGATCTTGGCGTACAAAATTCATCCGAGGAGGCATCGAAAGTCATTCTCTTCATTGCTCGTTCTCGAAACGCTCTAATCCAAAGCAAGACATATCGCAGATGGTCATGATCGTTTCCCTTTTGCAATAAGGCAGTACTCTCTGCTCTTCTCGTGTCATAAATGCGTGGCCGCCCAGTCGTCTGGCAGCCGAAAGTGAGGCGGCACCATGTACTGGCCTTGGCAACTGCCAGGAGAGGTGCAGCCTTGCAGATTACAACGGCCGTACAAGCGACAGTAACACTCGGCGGCGGATGGACAGGCCAGAGTGTTGAGTCGGTCGAGGTCAAGGAGGCCATCATCACCAGCGCATGATGAACCTTCAGCCGAGTCATTGCATGGGCGTATGAACAGGATGTGCCACAGATACGACAGGATGCGGCCTGCGATGCGGTCGTCGGCAGGCGCTGCGGCTCCAATGTTGTTGGAGGCTGGGTGGCTTCCTCCTTCACCACCACCTTCCGTGTCGGCATCACTGCCGTCCAACAGCCACTGGCGCAGGGCGACATACTCGTCGCGAGAATGCTGCCAGATACGTTCGCGGGAAACAACAAACTGCGCGCAACACTGAGAGCGGACGGCGTCATTGCGGGCGAGCAGGACCCTTGCAGCGTTGGAAGCGGAAGAAGAGTAGTCGTTGCCGCCGAACAGGGTCGCGAGGGCATGCGGGAGGGCTGCGTCAGAGACCACGCGCTGGTTCCACGGCTCGAGCATGGCGCGGATCGAATTGCTCAGGCTGCCCTGGGCGACAACCTGTTCGGACGTCGAAGAAGTCGGGCATGTGCTGGCGCTCCAGTCGCAGCGGAGGTTGTGGTAGCCTGTGGGCGCGAGCGCCGCTGAGACGTTGAGTGCCGCCAGCGCGGCGGCGTTGTCGTAGTCGGGCATGTCGTTGTGCCATGCCCAGCGCGAGCCGTGGATAAAGACCGCCCCGGCCGCCGGCAGGTGCGCGTAGTTATCGATGAGGAACGTGAGGTAGGCCATGGCCTCATGGCCCCGGTTGGCCGGCACCTGCAGGTATGTCGACTTCTTGTCGAGCGGCTTGTCGGCAGTGTATACGCATAAATGATATTTGTCTTTCAGTGCATCTAGCCACTTGGTATCGCCATCGGCGGTGACGCGGGCCACGACCAGTGCTGGTTTCGAGGCGCGGTGGCCATGTTGATCCGCTGCAAGGCTCGGACAGATGCCACGAGCCTCGGGGAGGGTAGTGGAGGTGGACCGGTAGCGGATGGTGGACCATGCAAAGGAGTTTTCAGCTGGTCGACTACTACCACTCCCACCACCACCGCTGCCCGTGCCGTTCAGGTAGAAGATGAAGGACAAAGCGCCAATGAAGAGGAGAAGATTCAAGAACGCCCCACGCGTCCTTCGCCGCATCTTTGCTTCAAAATTTCAGCTCATCATCCTGCCTGCAAATATGGCGCAAGGAGGATTGCTTCGGTTGACAAACATGGTTAGAATGTTAGCATTGTCATTTTCCCTTCTGGCATCGGGGTCAAGATCTCGGATCTAGCGGATGGCGCGGAGAAAAACACAAGCGCGTGAAAGGCACCATGATGATTGCTGGAGACGGGTATCACATAAGCGACATGTCAAAAGAAAAAGGACAAGCGATTCGGGAGGCCCCAGCACAGAGGCAGGCCACTGCGCCGGAAAACGCGGAAGAGATACTTGCATAAGAGGAGCCGCCATCGTTAGGCTGGACTGATCATTCGAGAGTCGTGACATAGCACCCAGCGACCTATCTTTCTTTTGGGCTGATTGAGCATTTCGGTTCGTTCGTCAACACGGCAAGATGATGAACGGGATGAGTTCACATCCATGTTGAGTTTGAGTTGTTGATATACAGAGTAACTCAACCTGCAGTGAGGAACTTGAACTCGGAAAACCATTGTGGGGCTTAAGCTTTGGGGGAAAGCTTGGTGTTGCTTGTTAGGTACTAGTAGTACTAGTACTATACTAGGTAATACTAGTAGTAAGACTCCCGCTCCCGCGCATCTCGGAGTTAGTCCCTGCTGATCATTGCTAGTACTAGTACCTAGGCTAACTACTACCTTAGTATAGGGGGCTAGGGAGACCTTGAGAAGACATACCTGGAAGCCTAAGGTACCACAGATTTAGGCACGTCTCTTGGGTCTGGTCGGATGACATAGATGTTCGATATGTTGCCATATCAAACTTGAAGGGCAGATTTCAGCCGAACGTTCCAACAAGGTTGAGTCGATACGGGTGACAGTTAATCACAGAACCCCTATCTTCTTCAATCACCTCTGGTTGTCTCGACTATTTGTTCACCATGAGGCCAACACAGAGCTATTCAGCATCCCAATATGTACGTGACAGTGAGTTTCCTTTGTCCTGGATGTGCCGCTGCTAGTGCACAGATTCTGCAGAACCAGGCATGCAGGGATAAGTGGACGAGTATTAACAACGCAGCAGAAGCAACCAGGGAAGGTCATTGGCCGTCCTCTGGAGTCTGGACCCTGAAACGTACACGGGTCAGTCAGCCATGCGTTACCAACAGCAGCAGCAGCAACCACACTCTACTGGTAAATTGACGCAGGAAGGGGGAGGGAGAGGGGGCCTACGAGCTCGCTAGATATAGGACATAAGGGCTTGATCCCAAGTTTCCGTGTGCACCATTGTGTTAGACGGCCATATTCTGAGCCATATCTGGTCACGAAAAGGGCTCGAAGGCTTGTCCAGGCCCGCGCAACGCTTAATGCACAATTATTGCTTAGACGGAACAATACTCCTGGCTTTGCACCAGTGTCTTGTCTTGATGTTCGTAACCCAAAAAGAAAAGCAGACAATTGCGCCCCCAGGAACAGGCTAAGTCTGGGGCGGCTTCGGCACGTCACCCACCGGGAGGGAGGGAGTAGCTTCCTCCAATCCGATTCCAGCGAACTGAAATGGTATAACAACGCCAAGTTATGAGCGATCGCATCTTGGACAAAGTGAATGCACTCGTGTTTATACGCGACAGGATGGACAGCATGACGAGAATCCCTGATGCAAGCCCTTAGTTGCTACAAAATGCCCTATCATCGTGAGACACGAAAGGCATGAGGTGGAGCTCGTTTCCCAAGGTGCCACGTTTCATACAATCGGCCAAGGGTAGCGGTAGGCGCGTGCCATGAGAGTTGCGGCGGTGTTGACCACTGTGCGACTGAACATTTCTGGTGGCTGTACCGGACTAACACTGGCCAGTATCAAGATCAAGGATCCTACTTGCTGTTTCCAAAGCCAGAGTCTCCGGCCCTCCCATTTCGCGCTGGCTCTGCATGCTTTCTCGTAATAGGAATGTCGGTTGATACAAACCCCCTTTTTACACCCCGAAAAGTGATTTACAATCCAGCTTTGATAGCACAGCTGTATATTCCAGGCAATCACCCATACACACCTATCTCAACTCTTCTTTCTGGTTCACCCTTTTCAAATATGTCCTTCAATCGAATCCTTCAGAAAGTCCCTGTCGGGACGGTGACAAAGGGAACCGATAACATTCCCATTTCGGTGGCCACGCAAACCTCAAACTGGACTAGACCACAATCTGTTGCCCTTACCAATGGACCCGACTTTATGGAAAGCCGTCCAAGGTTCATTGCATTTGATACCAGCTGGAACAAAAGAAGTTTGTCAAAGGTATAGTGACAGAAAGAACAGAAAGCGATGTGACCCAGGGTCCTGATACCGAATGACATAGAGAAGGCGAACATAAGAGCGACGATCCTCGTGATCATTACACTGGGGTTTGTTTCAACGACAGGGGAGAAGGCAAAAGTGTACACTTCCCAAGCAAGTGAGAATCGAGTACCAAACTACGCACCTGGGACAAGGAGACCATAATAGCTTTGGACAATAGTTTGTGGTGAATCCCTGGGGCTTAACAGATTCAGAGGGATGATGGCTGAGAGTGTTTTATCTTTGGAGAACAATGCCGTCTTGTAAAGCTCTTAGGCCCTCTGATGACTCAAGATGGCTACATACCTGGGCATGTATGAAAACGTTCCCTCTCTCCATGCTGCCTTAGCCTCGATTATCATGCCGGACCAGCGACAACTGGACACGATGAATTCCAGTTTCGGAGATGAGAGAAGCAAGCCATAGCAAGACTTTTCTAGCAGATCATTCATCTCGAAACCATTGATCCTCCAGGAGTTCACTCGCCGTTGGTCGATCTCTGGGATCGAGTTTCATGATCTTGAGCACGAATTCTTTATCTTCCTCGCAGATCTCTCGTGCAGTCGTGAGATTAAAGGGTTTCAGAGTCTCCGGCGGACTGTTTTGTGTAAGGAATACAAGGACTGCCAGTCGATCTTGATCTGCGATCTCCTCATATGATACTGGAAACGGCCCAAATATCCGGTTGTATTTCAAAAGGATTTCGTAGTCGTAGTCATCATGTTCAGGGGGGACATTCGGTTTGAAGATATGGAATCCCTCGCCGTAGAGAAGACTGATGAGCTGTATGCGTCGCACGTGTCAACTCTGAGTATCCGACAACGCAGCATAAGACAGGACTTACCAATGCACCAAAAGACCAAATATCGGTCGCGGTATCCCATCTCATCTGCAAATGTGCTTCAGGACTCCTGAACATTGGGGTCCCGATCGGTTCGCCATTCTGGGCGTGAGATGTATCTTTGTGAACCGCGCTTTCGAAATCGGCAAGCTGGACATCTCCGAATCGATTCGACCCGTCTTTATAGTTGAATAAGACGTTGCTGGGTTTGATATCTGGCAAACACTTAGGAATTTGGCGAGTTTGAAGTCGTAGAGCAAAAGAAAATACTGACCGGTGTGGACGAATCCGTCGTTATGCAATACCTTCAGTCCCCCCAAGATCCTCTTGGCAACGTATTTGACCTCGAAAGATGTCAGCCGCTTGGTGTTTGACGCGTTCAACAGGTCGTCATCGAGATATCTCAGGACATTCGCCTGAAAAGCTGATGCATCTCGAACCTCATCGAGTAATGGTCGTAGGAATGGCGTCCGCTGTTGGAATCGTAGCAAGACATCTCGTTCGTTCTGTAGGCGCCAGTGATTGACGCTCTTGATTATCACGCTCTCTCTGCTTTGCGTTCTGAAATATCGCGTGTTACTTGCAGCCGTGCTCGAGGTTAACTGACTTACGTTGCCATCCATACATGCTCGTGTAACTGTTTAGTAATGGTGTATAGCCCTCTTCAGCCTTGAAGCGTCGGACCCGGCCCTAAGCAGCCAGCCATGGGGAATTTTACTTGAATGGTGAAGCCCTAGAGATGGAAGAGCGCTGTCGTTGGATATTCAATCTGACGGAATATGGTTCCAAGGAACAGTCTCCCACCTAAAGACGCTCTAAGCGTACATAGCTGTAGAACCACAGGAATCAAGGAATCACAGGGACCAAGAGCAACAAACAAAGGCCAGTGTTCGAGGTAGGATACCTACCTACCTAGGTACCTAGGTAGTATCTATCGAAAGCAGAACGAGACATCAAGGAGACATCAAGGGCCGCGCCTGGCTGATTGGCTGGTTGCATGTCTGGACTATCTGCTCCGCGGTAGCAGACTCACTTATAGTACCTAGGACGTACTTAAGTTGACTACCTTATGTATCTTAGACTCTCTTTTCCTCCTAGTTACCTACTTTATACTTCGCATACTCATACTACGAGTATAACATAAGTCTCATCCAATATAAACGCATAGTGGTCCTAGGGACTTCGCGTCACCAAATAGATCCAGATATCAGGCATACAATATTGAGTCTGACCCCCTCCATCGACCCTCCAAAGAGTTCTGTCCACATTCCCCCGCAAGGCCGTCTCCCGTCTCCCGTCTCACCTACCACCCAAACATCAACACCCTCTCTTCTGCCCACTGCTACTGCAGTCCATTCATTCATTCTCTATCAAGCACGATGGCGGACAATCCACATCCCTCCCTGGTCCCCGAAACATCCCATTCTTCAGCCACGACACCGGGTCCCCAAAGCCACGACTACTCGCCACAATGCCCCTTTTGCATGATATCCAGGACATACCATCCCATCTCGCCGCTCGTGGCCTCTCCGCGTACAGCCGTGGCAACGGACAACGGGCTCGAGCAAGATCCTCCCATGGCACTGGCCCCCGACAAACTCGATCCGCCATCGTTCGTGCTCTTCTCGTCCGAGCATGTCATTGCATTTCTCGACATCATGCCCCTGACCCGGGGCCACGTGCTCGTGGCCCCACGAAAGCACCGTGTCAAAGTGGGCGACCTGACTCCCGACGAGTCTGGCGAGATTGGCCGCGTGCTACCGCTGCTTGCTCGCGCCGTGGTCAGGGCCGTCATGCCTGACATTCCGCACCACCAGGCCGACTATAATATCGTCCAGAACAACGGGCCCGGCGCAGCCCAGGTCGTCCCGCACGTGCATTTCCACATCGTCCCACGCCCGCCGTTGAATTATGTTCCTCCTCTCCCTCAACAATCGTCGTCGAGCCAGACCCAGACCCCGCGGAATAGGAAGTATCCTCCAAATCCGCCGCCTGAGGGGTGGCAACGGACTGCCATCCTTTTCGGCCGTGGCAGGCGTGATGACTTGGATTACCATGACTCTGCTTTTCTGGTGGAAGATATGCGACAATGTGTGAGGGAGGAGTGGGAGGCGACGTTTGGTGAGACGCCCGATGTGCTGGGGAATGGCCACCGGGGTGACAGGAAGGGGGCATGGAAGGTCTGATGTCCCACAAAACTCTCCGGGGACATCAAATCTCCTTCTTTTCCGCTCATTCCCCTCTGCTCTTCTCCTTTCAGCCTACGATGATAGGATGACACAACTACATGCAATGCGGCACACCAAGAGCAGGATAGATCAGCTACGGCATGATACGGTACGGCAAGGCATTTCATCAGAAAGGAACTGGACGAACGGGAAGGGACGATGTAGATGCAGACATCGATTTCAAAATAGATCAAAGCTCGCCTGTGTCATATTCTAACGTGAAAGACGCTATCCCGCGGGGATACAGGGTAATACGCTGATCGACGCATTGGGTAGACAGGATATCCACTCAATGCATCTTCAATCCTGGAATTGTTGCTCGGCCTTGATCTGTCTACCCGCATCTTGGTCGACTCACACAGGCAGGCCCAATGTTCACTGGCAGGCGGAAAGCTAATGCAGTGGATAGTCACGTAACCGAATAGACACATTCTCTCTCGTTATGCGCTGGCAGCGGGCACCCATTATCATAGCAAATTGTGTATTTCCAGGACTAGCTTCAATGGCGGATAGACTAAACTGACATTGATGAGTAATAGGTGCCGTCGAGACGGCTAAACCAGGTACAACAGTCGAAGGATGATTCCATCAATGCAATGGCCCTCACCCTGACCAGCACCCTCAGGGCAGCGTATCGCACCGGCACCGACACCCATCGCTCGCAATCCAAAGAGCTCATTCGTCTGGCCCCGTCCCAAGCATGTGGTGTGAACTGCTTTTCTGCTCCCGGCATAATCACAACACAACCCAGCGTGCAGCAGTTCAAGTCAAACAGTTTTCATCGCATAGACCAAACCAGAAAAGAAAGAAAAGAAAAAGAGAAATGTCAACTCTCCCAGTACCCCGAATCCCACATGACGCCCATTTTCGCCGTGTCTGTCTGTCGGTGTTCCGCTTGCCGTCCCGGGGTAGACAATGCATTCACCCACTTCCCTTAACGCCGTTGCAATGGTGGGCAATAAAAACAGAGATCCGTGGCTTCCCAAGAGAATGACAAGGAGAATTGATGACTTTGCTGTCGGTAGTCCCGTGGCCCGAGTAGATCACTTGAAGAGCAAGAAGGCCAGTGACCCAGCTGAGCCCAGTCGTGATTGTTTGGCTGTACTCGAATAGAGGATAGAGGCCTGGCCAGTGTATCAATGTGTTTTAATGATGTTGATGCTAATTTGTTTGGATATCATTTTCAGTCGTGAAGTTGATTGGTGGATGGGGGTGATGGTCGAGAATATGTGTCATGTTGTTTCTGGAAGGCAGCTCGGCCGGGTCCCACCAAGGACAAACTTTCCAGAAGTAATGTCGAAGCCTGAAATCTTCTGCTCGTCGGTGGCCCTGCAGGGTTGGATGCGAGGTACCATCACAGAACACCAACTATTGTACAACCTTGACGCCGGAGAGTGATACCCCATCGGTTTGATGGCTGGCACCATAATCCTTGGCCCATTTCCTCGCCATGATTGACGCTGCGATTGTATTAGCTTTGTTCAAATGAGAAGACACCAACCAAAGCTCACCCTTGAGAAACTTCTTGCTAGCGTATTTCTTAAACAGAGCCTCGTGGGCGACAGGAGCGACGAGATAATCGACCATCAGGTCGAAGACAGGCAAGATCTCTTCTTCACTGTAGCCGGCAAACTTGGTAAGAGTTGCATCCTGTTGAGGTCAGTATCTGTCACTACGGCAAGGTGGGTCAACACATACCCATCCACCACGTTCAAGTATCATGCGAGCGAGATACATGGCAGCGGCAGCAATGTGGCTCTGCTTATATTCCAGGAAGCGATGGTCGACGAGGCTGATCTCCATCAGATACTTTCCCAGAGTTCGGGTCTGAATGTCGTAGTTGTCGGCCTTTGAGATGCGTCTCAAAAAGTTCATTGGGTTGGGATAACTCAAATCATACTTCAGGGTGGACAAGGTGTATCGTTCGGCACTGAGGACTTCTTCGACGGTGAAGCCATCGTCGGCGACATGGACAAAATTGCCAACGTGTGGGGAGAGGACCTCTTCGTACTTGGAGGCAATGAACATGGCGGTGATGCCGACCAGTTGGAGTTTGTCCAGGGGAACAACCTTCTGGGACAAGAACCTATCGACGATGTTGACGGCAAGGAACAGCGTCTCGGGCAGCAACCGAAATCGAGTGTGCACCTCAATGAGCCAGTCGACAAGGATACCTCGCATCTTCCATTCGAGGTCGTCCTGGTGGTCCATGTAGTTGGGATTGGGCTGTGTCACCTCCTCCAAAGCATAGTAGTAGTCGAAGATCTCGCGGACATATTCGGCGCACATGGACGGATCATCAATGTCTTCTGCGTCGAGGTCGGCAACGATGTCGTATGTCTCTTCAGCCTGAGTTTCCTCGACGCCTTCCTCAGGACACGGCTTTTTGCGCGGTGGCTCCTCAAGGTCTGGGGTCGCGTCTTTCGACGAGGGGACGGTGGAGGTCGCGGCTTGAGTTCGTCTCTTGTGAGCATTTCCCAAAACCCCCGAACCACTGCCAGGCTTCTTCACGTCCGAGCCAGCTTTCGGCTTCACGTTGTTATCCTTGACTCCCAATGCAGCTCTTGATGAGTTTGTCCTCGACAGCTTCTGCACACCGCCTGTGGTAGGTTGTGCGACCTTGGATTGGAGCCCAGCTTTGGCGCCCACTGCCTTCTTCCCTTCTTGGACTACCTCGATGCCCTTGGCGGCGTTGGTGACATCTCCCAAAGCACGTCTTCGCTGAGTCCCATTCAGTGTACTCGTAGTGGACTTCTTCGTCTGGAGCGGTTTCTTTGCCAACGAGGCATCTTGAGCATTGGAGAGGACAGCGGCTTTGGCACGAGTCAAGCGTGTAGATTGAAGAGCGTTGTTCTCGTCATTTTCATTGTTAACTACTCGCTGCCGAGTGCGTGACTGAGACACGGTTAGTATGTGTTGACAAAGACGCGTGGGAAATACACGGGGATGGGACATGAAGGACCACTTACGACAGGCATCTTTGGAAGTTGACGCCGTTGTGGCGGTCTGTCCGAAGAAGAGAGAGGCCACAGAGCAGTGGAAGGTGTTTGGTGGTGCAGGAGAACAAGTCAAGAGAGCTATACACCAGGCACGGTTAGTATGATTTCTCTGAGGAATTCGAACATGATTGGGAATGACGCACGAGCTCTCTGGACGTGTCTGGACGTGGATGTACCTTGAGAATGCGAGGATGCTAACAAGGTAGAAAGTGTTTCCCGCAAAGCTCCCAGATGGTGAGGTGCCAGTTTGGTTGGGGAAGACAGTGGTGGTTGTGAAGGAATAAACAGGAGGTTGCTGGGGCGCGTTGTTGGTGCCCGTGATTCTGCGTGAGCGGCACGTAAAAACGCGGGAGGACGTGATGGCGGGCGCCCAACTTGCGGTTGACTCTGGCGCGGCTTCAAAGGTCGGAGTCACGAGAAGGTCGTCGTGCAAAGGACGTAGAAGCTGAGGTATGAACTAGAAGCTCAGCTACAAGCCCCGGAACGGCAGCAGTGGAAATGAGTAAAGGTGTAAGATGAGGTTGTGGTGGTAGTATTCAAGTTGGTAGCACTGCAGTTTGGTTGTTGCTGGAGAAGAGGAAGAGGGCGTGTTGTAGTGCCGCGCAGAAGGGCGTCAAGTGCAGTCTGTCACACACGGGCACCGCACTGGTCAATCCATTCAGCCACCAACCAACAACCAACAACGAAACGGGCCGGTGGAGCTTCCTGTTGTTTTTCCTTGGCAACCAGACTTCGACGCCCGGATTAATTGGTAAACTTGGAATACTAAACGGATCGAGACGAGTCGCGCACCCGCCCCGCAGTACAGAGTTAGGTATGATTACGGTATCTGTATTGGGTATTGATCGTAGCGAGTCCACTACTGACGGTCAGCTGGTCGCGGGTACTGCAGCAACCTGGGCCAGACTCCAACGGTCAGGATGTGGCAGTCGGAGGACTACTAGTATACTACTGGTAGGGAGTAGCCCACGATCAGTTAAGAATGAGTCTGGCTACACGCATGCTCGAATGAATAATAAGCAATCTTACCCACGGAAAACTACTGTGGAAGAAATGAGGTTGCCTTTTTGTAAGGCATGCACTGGCGCTGTAGGACGGAAATAATGGAAGGAGGACCTCTACAAATACAAGGTACATATGGTAGTTGTGGAGAGTGCTATGTCTCAAGGTCCTCGGGTTGCTGGTGTTACAGCTCAAATAGTCCTGTAACTATCATGTATCGGTGTTTCTTTTTTTGCAGTGACTTCAGTCATCCATGGATGTTACTAGCTACCTAAGTACCTAGATATTACGTAGTACCTGGTGGTTCCTAAGGCTGCTGCTACCTCCTTCAGATCGCTGGACTCGACAACATTCATGGTACCTAAAGATTCGTACGACAGCCCTGATACCTAGTACAGCACCAGATTACCACGCCGGGTTCGATGTTTGGGCCATTTTTCGCGCCTTCCTCCGCTTCCTGCTGCCACGGCAACCGTTCATGGCAACCCACCAATCACAAATGCTTCATCCTCATCTTGATGGCACTCAGCCGCCTCCGTCAGCACAGTACGGTCTGCATACAGCTTTGATGATGCCTTGTCTATCGTTCTCCAGCGAGAAAAATTCTACAGCCTGCAGGAAGCTGTTCTGGTCTTCCGTCGCCATGTCTCCTCTTCCTTATTAGTACTACTTCCCTCCTGCAAAGTTGCGTTGAAACACCGGCTGGACATTGCCATCAAGAATCACTCCCCCTGGCACTTCTTTGTCTTGGATCACACCTGCACTCCGGTCTCCAGCTTCCCATCGAGCCAGAAGATTGTTGCTTTCTACTGGCTTGATGTCTTGCCGTGCTGTGCCGACCGTGATATGTGGAATCGGGTTGGCACTGGGCCACAAAGGTCCGCCCGCGGCAGGGTAGATGCGTACCACAAACGCCATAATGCGGTCATCCCAGACCAGCCTCTCCAGCTTGACGCGTGCTGGCCCCAGGCTAGGTGCCAGCTTGCTCCGGTCCTGAAGGTCAGCTGTGGCAATGGACTTTCGATACTCCTCTGTATACAGCTGCCATAGGTCAGGATGTTGTTGCGTCGACGCTCGATGAATCAAGGTCACATGGAATTCGCTCTGGATGCGCCGCGACTGCTTCAGCATCCGATACATACGAGCTTCATCTGCATCGGCTTGGTCGAACATCGAAGAGAGGATGGAATTGATGGTGGTCGGAGAGACGGGTAGGCTGAAGTATTCCAGTTTGGCGATCAGCTGTTCCAATGTCAATGGCTTCTCTGCAGCCTTGTTTGGTGTGTTGTTCGTCTGTTTCTTCTCTGTCCGTGAGGGTTTTCCAAAAGACAAGTCGTGTTTGGTTTGCACTTCACGTCCTAGCGCATAGTCGATCGCCGATTGCATGTCCTGTTCACCTGGCATCTCCTCCGGCAGCAATCCAGGGTATGCATTGTACAAATGCGTAACGACTGTCTCTAGGTTCTCCAACGAAGAAGCACAAACATCAAGGTTGATCACCTCTTCGAAGTCAGAGTCCGGTGGACCATTAGGATCACAACCCTGGAATCGATGCAGGAATCCTTCCATGATATCAATGATTTCGCTTGAGCTCTTGCTCCCCGCCCGAATAGTTTGGTGGTTGTCTCCGCGTTCAAGCACTCGTTGACGGGTGACTCGACGGATCTCGTTCAACAGCTGACCTTTGGGTTCGTGCACATAATGTAAGGCCACAAACCGAGCCTCTGGAACCACCTGACTCACGTCGTCAATGAGCTGTTGGCGTTCTCGTTTTTGATGATTGTTCCGGTCAGCAATCACCACCTTGTGTGATGCCATAGCCTTAGTGATGGCATCGACGAAACGCTGAGGCCGACCCTTTTGTCCCTCAATGTTGTCGTTCTGAACATGTCCAAAGCCAAAGAGCTTTACCAAGGCAGTAGCAACAGTAGTTTTGCCACAGCCAATCGTCGCAATAGGCACGAGAACCACATTGGAAACCGGACCATCCTCTGCCATTCCATGCCCTTGAGCTCGCTCTTGCGCAATGAGGTCCGAGCCTTTCTGGCCCTTCTCCGCAAGAAAGCCGTCTCGCATCTTGATAATTCCGTGGTTTTGATTGTAGGCTTTGCCCAAGTTGGGGTCCTTGGCCAATTGGCGGCGGGCGTAGAGAAGGTACTCTTCCGTGATGTTCTTGTGCTTTTTAATCTTCGGTGTCTTACCGGCGATGATGGCTTTGGTGGCCTCACGCCATTGTCGGTACATGAGATATGGCTCTTCAAACTTGTACTTGAAGAACCAGTCAGCCGCGTGTGCTGGATCCCTACCTCGCTTCTTGCATCGGACGACGAATCCTTCTGTGTCTCGACCTTCCCAAGAACCTGTCTCGGCACATCTCTCCAAAAAGCTTTTGACCTCTTCAATAGTCTGGATGATGACATATTGGGCCTTCTTGAAGCCCCAATTGTCAGCAAATTCATGTACTTCTGGCCCAGACAGGGTGACGAATTCCGGAAGGTTGAAGTTCATGCCGTGGAGATATAGACCTGCCCGTTCCGGTGGGTACTCGAGCACATGTTCTTCAAACTCATCATCGCACAGTTCGCCAACGGCGGTGACGTTCATCGCTCTTAAGGCCTTTGCCAGATCCCTAGTGGTCTTTCCCACGCTCTCCACGTGTCTCTTGATCCATTTCTCGCCCACTAGGGCATGACTCTGAGCAACGTCTGAACGAGCACCAGTGGAATGCTTGCTGCACACCAGTAGCGTTCCATCTTCCAGTCCAGACATGAAGATGATGCATCCGTTTTCTTTGACACTGAGCTCATAAGGCCCCATCGTGTCCCGCTCGATGTTTTCCCATTTTGTGCTGGGGACTTCTTCGACATTGAAGAACTTGTCGTAGCCTCGAACGGCAATTTCGGGGGTTCCATCAGACCTCGTCGTCGTGAAGAGGCCGCGAGCGTAGGTGGGAAGGTCGTCCCTTTTGTAGTCCCAGTCGTTGAAACGCCATGAATCAACAGTGATGCCTAAAGACCCCTCAACTGCAAAGGTTGTCTTCTTACAAGAGAAGCCACCCTTCTTGCCGCCTTTGCCTTTTCCCTTTGCAGCTTCCAGCGCTTTGCAAAGCTCAGCCACCTGGTGTGGATCCTGCGCCATGATGGCGGCAGACCGCTGGAGCGTAGGAAGATTTCGGCAGTCAAGTAGAGAGACGAGAAGGAGTATGGAGAGAATGTCAGACTTCCCGTAGAGTGTGAATGACAGATAGGGTGGACTGGAATTGTCGTTGTGAGACGAACGTGAACCAGATCTGACTTTAGCATGAATTTATTTTATTCATGGCCTGGCAAAATCCCTTTGCTGGGAAGGCACGTTCGTGACTGGCTCGAAGAGTTGAAATGTGGCTGCAGTGACTCACTCAGCGCAGGACGTATGCGGTAGAGAAGGTGCGTCAATCACAAACACTGCAGGTATTACTCGATCATGGCTTATTGTGGTGCTCACTGCAGCCTGGTTATGTATGTTGTATTCTTCTAGCAGCGATAATACTAGTAGCCTTGCTGCTCATGAAATTTAAAAATATGACGTCCAGGGCTTTCTTGACTTCCCGGTGGTTAACGTGGTCGCCACATGCCCAATCATAATACACAACCCAGCCTCAAACAGACCCCATCATTTTTCTCCAGGTCGTCCTTTTCTGGTGCCTTTCGTCTACGCCGGAGGTTTTTGTAGGTCTGATGTGAAGTGGAATCTTATGTTTCAAAAATTTGACTGAACGAGGGCGAAGGTCAACTACCACTACTACTGGTCTTGCCATCAATGCGCCACCCTCTCGTTCGAAATGTCCGATCTCAATCCATTCCTCCTGGCTGCAGTCACACCAGACCCGGATCCGCGCTTGCTGCCTCTCCTTCGTTCTAAGCCAGAACTAGCCTCTGCGCAAGATGCCCATGGGTATTCCCTCCTGCATGCTGCTGCTTCCTACGACCATGCGGATCTCCTGCGATCGCTGGTCAACGAGTTCCAGGTCGACGTGAATTTGAAAGATGAGGACGGCGAAACTTGCCTGTTTGTCACGGAAACGGTAGACGTAGCTAAATGTCTGGTGGAGGAATTACACATCGACCTCGAAGTACGAAATGACGACGGTCTGACTGCAATCGAGAAGTTCCTGTCCGAACAAGAATTTCCGGAAGTTGCAGCATACCTCCAAGAACATGCCTCAGGCGGCGCTTCTATTTCGAATGGCGTCCAACACCCCCCACCTCTCCCACCGAATATGACCTTAAACATTGACACAGCGTCGGATGCAACAGCTAGCAACCTCGACCAGGAACCGGACCCGGACTTCAGGAGGAGGATTGAAGAGTTGGCGGCCAGAGACAACTTTCACACGGAAGAAGGCCAGAGAGAACTGCGAGATCTTATCACGGATGCAGTCAGAGGAGTTGGAAATGGCGAAAGGGAGGTGCGGAGGCGCATCGAGTGATACCGACAATATGCGCTCTCTGTCAATGCTTTACGACGGCATGCATCCATAACGCCTCGGCGTTGAGACATGTTCACATCGACCCGAAATTAACCACTCGTGGAGCGACGCGGCCAAATGCAACATGCCTGACCGGTGAGGAAACTTCGCCAATGTATCTTCCACGTCGACCAGGACGATGGAATACTGCAGATTACCGCAGAGCTAGTCGTTCATCCAAGCGGCTACCCGACCTCCACCAACCCTTGCCGCAAAACGCAACCCGGTGCTGCCCATGGGGAAATAGCTGACCAGATACCATACCAAAGCCACGAGCTGTACAATGCAAGACAAGAGCGTGAGGATAGTGGAATGAAGCTAGCACCGAAATTGTGAGCCGGGGTCTCTTGTGGTGAGGTTGTTTTGTTACATACCCCGACGGCAAAGTAAATGGTCATGATGATGGACCCAAAGTAGGCTGCTGTGAAAGGTAGCCTAGCACCTGAGGTCAAGTGCTGAGCATATTGGAATGGGCCCATCATGAAAGCCCAGGAGGCCAGAAACAGCATGGACCCAACCGACCACCTATTGAGAAGGCGTCAGCGTCACACACACCTTCTTCCAGAAAAGCCACATGCACGATTTCAAGTTCTAGTTGTCAAAGAAACGGCAAACAAGGGTGGTTCGCCAAGGGCCATCCCCCAGGATGAGCCATCAACCCTTAAGATAGAATAGCTGACATCATCATGGGGTTACGCGTGGTCACATGGCTAGGGATCCAAAAAGATAGTGGTGTGTAGCCCGACTGAAGGAAGGGCGAGAAGTAGAAAACACTCACAGAATCGCAAACTTGCGCGGCTTGAGCGACAGAACCGGAAACAGCGCAAAACAGATAACGAAACAGGCCAGTGCGGCCACATTGCATGCTCCAAAAACGAGCAGCCGATCCCATCGGCTTACTGTGCAGACCTTGGTGTCAGTATTCCCTGGTCGGGCGTTGCATTGTAGACACGTTGGCCATGCAGAAGATGCACATATCCCACTTACACGCAAACCATCCTTCTTCCTCTTCTCTTCTCGTCGGCGCGGGCAAAGGCGCTCCTGGAGCCTCATGTGTAGGTAACTGAACGTAGCCTCCTTGTCCGAATGGGTTGAGAGACGAGAGCGTGGACAGAAAGGGTGTCGACGAGGAGGTGTTGACCGGCACGTCCGGATCTCTTCGAGACCACCCTAGGGAGTTCAATGAATCTCGAAATGCGGACGAAGTCATTCTGCCTGATCACTCCACTCCTTTCTAGTTGTTTGTTTGTTCTCTCAAGTGACTGCGTGCGAGAGGCTTCTGCCCACTTCCTGGTCTGTAGTCTTTCGGACACCCTCTAGCTTCCTCCTAACTTTGGAAGAACCCTGTATCTTGATAATGATGGGAGACAGAGGGGTGGCGAATGAACGAAGTCCGGGCAAGCCTTCTGTACTCGAGGGTCTCGCTTGTGACCTGATTTGTTTATCGAGGCTGATCTTGTGGAAAGCGGAGTGCTAAAGGCAGCGCATAGGCGGTCCCGTTGATTCGAAGAGACAAGCACATCAATTGAACGTAGGTGTGGGCGGAGAGGACAGCATGAGCAAGGTCGGCGAGACTGTAGGTAACCGCTGCCTGCAGGTTTGTGGGTTATGTCTCTCGCGGGGTCCACCGAGGTAGCCGGAAAAGGCGTAGAGAAGAGACAAGGTTGAGTAAAGGATGTCAATGCAGTGATAGTAGTAAATCACAAACAATGGGAAAAGAGACTGAACAAAGGTGTTCCGCGTTGATCGAGGTGTGCGAAGGAGCAGGCTGCATAGAAGACTAGACTCCTCCCGCTGCCAGCCAGCCGCAGATCCAAAAGCTGTCACCGTTGCGCTAAAGGACTGGCTTCAGACAGAAGTTGCATCATCCAATCAACCATGGTTGTCTTCCCCCTTCATGTATCTATCACTCGCATACTGCGTCGACACCCTGGCCACAGTTGACACGGCGCCCGCCCAGCATCACCCATGAGTGCTGCGTTCGAGTCGGGGAACTTTGAATCATCGTTACGAGGATGATACTCGTCCGCGCCTGGTTTGTGACTACCTAACTAACTAGCACCGCTGAAAGCCAGCAGCCAGCAGCCATCAGCCATCGGTACGAACCATCCGACCCTGTCGAGTTCCGGCCGCATGCAGTGTCTAACTTGAATACCAAGACCCTTCCAGTGGCGGTCGATCTCATCCCAAGTCCTGCCACGGCCCGCACAGTGCTCCCGTCGTACTGCACAAGGTAAGTTTAGGTGCAAAGCAGATCAGGGTTCTGAACAGCTCTCCTTCTCTGAGCAAATGGACGAACTCCTTCTCAGCACCAAGTTCGTCTGCTGAAGTCTACGGTCAAGTTGCACAGTATCACGATGCTCAAGCTAACAACTTTCTTGGTCGTTACTGGCGTTGCAACAGCATGGAAACTATTTCCCTGGAGGTCATGAAGGGACAATGCATGACACCTATTCCATCTGATGGTCATCGAACCATTCGACGGCCTCTTTGCTGGAAACGGATCGGTACTAGTACGCAATACGAGGTCTGCAACCTCAATAGGCCAGAAAAGTGACCGTGGCTGAGGGAGAGACCATCCTCACAAATGATCGGGCAGGGGGCACTTGACCCTTGAAATTCAGCTCCGATGATCTAACTCTGGGATAATGACTACATCGATACACAAGTCATGCTGGACAACAACGGAGGTGGGGGTTGTAAATACTAGTAATGGTGTGCATTCAGCCTTCGCAAGCCAGGCGGGACTTGATAGTAGAGCAGCATGACCATCCCACACTCTCCAGCACCCGAGACATCAGTGCATATTTGGCAAACCTGAAGAAAGACTCATGGTGAATCAGTCCAAGTCGCCTTCCCGCCTTGAATTCCTTCCACTTCTCACACACTCTTGTGGCCTCCACCCGCACAGGCACCCATGTCCATGTCGACCTTCCCAGGATCGAAGCCTTGTCCACATACCACATTGGTTTTGATTGGGGTGTAGGCCACGCCGCCTCATGTGGCTGCGCCTGTAGTGAAGAGGGAAGTGGCATTTGCGATCCAGCCGTAGAGCCGTAGAGCCGAAGGTGGGAGCTTGGAGCTGTGGTGGGTAGCCTTGCATGATATATAAAGGACTGCCGAGGGAATGCAAATGTAGCGAGCACCATCATCATCCGTTTCGTCCTCCAGGTACCTACCTGGCCAGCCTGGTAGTTTGTGTCCAGGTCATTGGCGCATCGCCTTTTGTCTGTGACCCCTCGATTAGTAGCTGCGGCCACGCCCCACGACAAGCAGTCCCCAAAGGTCTCTCTACCTGAGAGTGCTCCGAGTCTGTAAGCCTGTGTCAACGTACGCATCATCGTTTAATACTGCAATATCGACCCGCAGTACCTACACTGGCAGCCGACCCCTGGTGGCCCAGGGTTCGTTGACACCCGTCGACCTCAGCTGCATTGCAGTTCACTTGATCGAGTTGAGGAGCGCAGGCCAAGCCCTCCCGGTGCCAAGGCCGAGGCCAGACCTTCAAGTTCGATTCGACACCTTAACCTTTGAAGTTATTGGCCACTCTGGCAGCAAGGGGGCCACTGACACTTGCTGCACTGCACTGGCACTGTCCCAAACTTGAAGTTGGGACTCGGCGGCGGTCTCTTCTGCGTATGCGTCACGGCAACATCGGACCGCAGGCTTGTTGACTCGATTCGGCCACTGCACTGCACTTCGCCCTCGACAGCCTTCACTGCCACATTTTGCCGTTATTCCCATCTACATCGCATCACCTGCACAGGCTCACTGTACTACGGAACACTGTGTCTGGACTGAATGCTACCTGCGACGACAATACTACCTTTGACTTCAACAGACAGTCTTCCCTCTGCGCTTCCCGGCAATACCTCGACAACTCCATTACTCACGATCTGCCCCTCCTAGTCGGTGTGCGTCGATACCGTCGATTCAAAGCCCCATCACAAACCTACCGGTGCAACACAGCATCCCTCTCCGGCCTCGGTCCATCTCTGTGTGCGCTTTTTATAAGCTGTAAGGCGCGATTACGATATTCCACAAGACAGAAGAGGCGGTCAACGACACATTCAAGTCGGATTCGACCTCACATACACCTACAATCCTGGTGGAGACTTTCTGGCTTCGTCTTCGGTCGTCTGTGTCGGCAATCGCCCGCATCGCCTTTCTGAAGTCGCTTGACGTCTGTAACCCAGTGCGCACTCCAAGTGAGACCATAGGACGGAATAACGCCGAAGCGACTGTGAATCACCGCTGACGGCGCATGCTGCAGTCAGCCTTGTCACTCTTCAGAGCAGAGGTCACTGCACACATGGTCACTCCCTGACGCTTTACATCACTCTACGACACTTGAGCAGGTCCCTTTCCACACGCTCGGGACGGGACTTACCTTGAGATCCGCACTTGAGCTTTTCTCCACGTCACATCCTTACTTGATACCAATCATCCGATGGCTACCGCTGTCTGACTTCTAGCTTGTCTATCGAGATACTACATTGCAAGCACATTAGCTTGCGACATTCAAGGCGACACAGGCTCCCTCCAATTTCTCCAATTTCTCTTCTTAGAACCATGACCAACACTTCGAACACGATGCCATACATCAAGAGCGAACCGGATGAATATGGCAACAATCCCCGGCGGTTCGTGTCTGCCTCAACGTTTGGGAACTCTCAGAACTACGGGAGTCAATTCGGGAATGCCCAAGATGGCACAAGCATAGACCCAACCGAGCTGTCCATGCAGAACGCCGGTCTCGGTGGGATGCAATACAACAACTTTGCCGGCGGAAACATGTCGGCTAGTTTCAGTATGGGTAACTCAGGTTACGACGACAACGAATTGTTGGAGAGTCTCGACTTTGGGAACAATGGCGCAGGATTGCTCGACGACTTCTCCACGATGCCGCAACAGCAGACCAACAGTATCAGAGGCTCAGGTGCCATTCCCATGGCCCAAGGTAGCCAGTTGTCCAATATGTACTCCAGTACTCCAGACGGGCCTCCTATTCAAAGTCCTTTCTTGGGCACGTTCGACTACACCCAGTTCCGGCCAATGGGCTCGATACCACAACATATGTCACCTCTACAAGGATCGCAGTTCGGGAAGCGTCCCAGTGTCCAGTCCGCGAATCGAAAGTCATCAGAACAGAGAACTCCTGTGACTCCGCACTCTTCAGCTATGGCGGGCCTTCACATTGGAACTCCAGAATCCGGTAGCCTCGCAAATGGTCGACCGATCAGAGCACCAAATCTGCAGAGCAGACACTCCAAAACGCTTTCTGGCCAGTATGACAGCACCCCCGGAAGTCTGCACTCATATCTAGACTCGCCTTTGTCATCGCCTGGCGCTGGTCTCCATCATGCAGGTATCTCGGAAACCCTCGGTACCAGTCAGCATGCCTCCTTGCCGGCCAAGGTCGAGAACGGACTCAGCAATTCAGAGACGGTAGAAGCAAAAAAGCGAAGACGACGAGCTTCGCACAATGCTGTTGAACGACGGCGCCGGGACAATATCAACGAGCGTATCCAAGATCTGTCACATCTTGTGCCACTGCATCGTCTCGAAGATGACAAGGTCAAGAAGCAACTTCAGACCAATGGGCCACTGTCGCCGTCTGTGGGTCCCACAAGTATGAGTCCTCCGAATGCAGCGACCTCATTGCTCGCAGGGGCTGCAGGTCGGCGTGCCGCGAGCACGGCAGGCAACATCACGATTGGGCTCCCCATAGAGGAAAAAGAAAAAGGACCCAACAAGGGTGATATTCTCAACGGCGCAGTCAGCTGGACACGTGATCTGATGTGGGCGCTGTTTCAGAAATACCAACAAGAAGATGAATTGGCTCAATACATTGCGTCGATCGGCGGTCAGTGGCCGTTTCAGATTACGGACGATGAGAAGCGCATGCGGTCCGAGCTGATGGATGCAATGGAAAAGAACGATTCCAGCACATTTGCGTATTCGAGACCCGATGGTAGTGGACTTCGGGTTCCTCGACATACCAACGTCGCCGGCGAAAGACTGCAGAGCAATTCAAGTCTCAGTCCACAGAGCAATTTCGAGCTCAGTCCGGGCTTCCACAGTGGAGGTAGTGGCACTAACAGTGGCAGCAACGGACCTGGACAACCTCAGTTCTGGCACAGTGCCGGTCACTCGGGGATCAGCTTTAAGGAAGAAGACGAGTTTATGGAGATGAATTGATGAGCATGACGACTAGTTGGGGTTCGGCCGTGCTTGATGCTCTCACATCGGCCTGCATCAGTATGCCATTATGGGAGAGCCACAGTCTTTGAGTGGTACGAGCACAGATCGATGGAATGGTTATAGGTCGACTGTGGCGGAGAGCGTACATGAGGGCGGGAGTCTTTTCTCTCTCTGCATATCGGTTGCTTCATGGGTTCTGCTTTTTTTCCTTTCCCATCATTAATCTGGGAGTGATTGTGCTTTGAGGATGGATGATTGACTTTGGTTGAGCTTTGATACCCCTTCGTTTTGCCATCTCCTCTTTTCCATTCCTTGCCAGTCAGACTCTCGCAGGGCGAAGGATTGTATTGTACGTAGACAGACACGGACCTCGATAGCATGGACTAGGAGTGGACGGTCTTCTGGGATTGCGTTCTCGAATATGATTTGTGAAGTATGAACCTGTCCAACAGTTCAGGAGTAATCGAAGGTGTCTAAGAAAAGTTGTCCAAGAGGGCGCAGTCTGTTTTGCATGACTATGCGCACCTGCAGTGTAGGTATGTACTGTAGCGCAGGCGAGGTTGACCTACAGAGTAGAACTCACACGTTGCACTTCCAGGGTCTGGGTTTCTCCAGTGGAGATGAAGACTCTCCATCTAGGTCCAAGGAGTCTCCATCTGGGTCTCCGACTGCGGTAGTGGCCCCATGTGTGTCGGGCTACTCTCAGGTCATACACTGTCCAGTACCAGTCCCGGCTGCTATACAAGCTGTCTAGCCTGTAATTAGTGGAGGGCCAACTCCAACCCGACCACCTCAGACACAGGCACGATCCGAATAAACCCCCCCCAAACCAACCATCCGAGTACCTTTCCTGGTATCCTCTTCTGCGCCCCGTCGCCCGCATACGAGCTCGCCATTTTTACGCCCTGCGGAACTGAATTTCTTTGCTTCCATTTCGAGTTCCAGTATCCTGGCTGTCTCTTGACCTTCTAGCCCACCGTCAGTGAAAGTTGTGTTCCGACGGCCTCAAAGCTCCGGTGTCCTGTTCAACCTCTCCTCTCTTCTGCGCTCGACGTCGCTCGTCTATTTTTCTCTCCCCCACGATCTCGGTGCCTGCTGGTTCTGCATAGAGTGGATAATACAACAATAATTCAAGATGACGGAAAAACCCTTGGGCTTTGGCTACCAGTTCGGGGCCGGGGCCATCGCCGGTGTGTCTGAGGTACGTGCAAGAGCAGAACAATTCACTTTGTCTTTGACTGCTTCGAGCCCTGGCTGACAGGAGACTAGATTCTCATTATGTGAGTTGCGCCGAACCGGACAGTATCTGGCGCAGCCGGCTTGCTGATACAGACCCAATCCAATAGGTACCCTTTGGATGTCATCAAGACGCGAGTGTGAGTACAAAAGATGTTTCCTGCTTGTTGGCCGAGGTTGCTCTTCACTAACCAATCTATGCCTCTTACTCAGACAACTCCAGGGAAAGGCACCCGTTCCAGGCCAGGACTATTACAACGGCATGCTAGACTGTTTTCGAAAGATCGTGAAGAATGAAGGGCCGTCGCGACTGTACCGCGGGATTGCGGCGCCGATTATGATGGAGGCGCCGAAGCGAGCGACTAAGTTCGCCGCCAACGACTCCTGGGGTCTCTTCTACCGCAACCTGTTCGGCGTGCAGAAACAAACACAACCGCTGGCCATCCTGACAGGTGCGACCGCTGGAGCCACCGAAGCGTTCGTCGTTGTCCCCTTCGAACTCGTCAAGATCCGAATGCAAGACCGCGCCTCGGCCGGCAAATACAAGGGCATCGCCGATTGCGTGGTCAAGACGGTCAAGGCGGAGGGTCCTCTCGCGCTGTACAACGGTCTCGAATCCACCTTGTGGCGCCACATCCTGTGGAATGCGGGTTACTTTGGCTGTATCTTCCAGGTCAAGGCGCTGATGCCCAAGGTCGACAAGAAGGATAAAACCATGGCCATGTTCAATGATTTCTTGTCCGGCGCCATCGGTGGCACCGTCGGTACCATCTTGAACACTCCCATGGACGTGGTCAAGTCGAGAATCCAGAACTCTCCCAAGGTCGCCGGCTCTGTGCCAAAGTACAACTGGGCATGGCCTGGCCTGGGTACAATTATGAAGGAGGAAGGCGCTGCTGCCCTCTACAAGGGATTCCTGCCTAAGGTCCTCAGACTGGGCCCTGGCGGTGGTGTCTTGCTCGTTGTCTACACCGGTGTCATGGACTGGTTCCGTAAGCTGAGCACTCAATCTATTTAGTTGGGAGCCAGGGGGTGAACTAGAAAATGATAGTTGGGAAGGTGGTTGGTTCGGAAAGGTCGGGTCTCTGACAAGAGTATGGCCGAAGATGTGGTGATCGAGGATCTGCTCTGGGTTAGCTATGTCTTTCTCTTAAAGGGCATTGCGGGATTGGTGTTCTGAACATGAATGCGGCTTTGGAAGACAAGAGTGACAGACATCTCCTAGACTTGCTGCAAGAACCTTTCAACAGGAACTGTTGGTTGGGAGAATTCATATGATTTGAACCACAAAATGAGATTCGAATGGTCAAAGTTGGGTGGTAGGTTGGTCACAAACTGCTTGTCGGTATGTGCTGAGTTGTGATGGCGAATGTCCATGGCCATTTTCTGCTAGAGGAAACATGGAAATCTGGTCTACCTGCTTTACTTGCTCCTTTTCCAAACGGACAGCAGAGCCACCAGAGTAGACACAGTAAGGCCAAAATAGACGCACGAGGATAGAGCATAGAAACACCAACTTGAGTAACACCACACCTCGTCCTTGATCTTGAATGTTCATTATCATGTATTTTCTATTAATTGCTGGCTATGGACAATAATCCATAGCAGAGGGATGGAGCTGATCACGTTTCTCGTACTGTGTACATGTTCGCAGGCCGTACTACGGGTACCATGTCATCAAACTGCTTTTTCCCTTACTCAGAGACTGATCCTTTGTCAAAACTCCAGGTCAATCAGGTTCACATTGGGTGTGTTCCCGCCCATCTCCACATGCATCCGTACGACGCCCGAAATATTTCGTGCAAACAATGTCCAACCCTATCAAGAACCCTGCATCGTACCATTCCAGACCCAGTGCCAGCAAAGGTGTGCAAAACAGTAAAAATGTCCCCGACACTCCATGAGAGTCGAACCATGACTGACAGTGCGCAACATGTTGGGACCTCGGTGTGCTGAATGTCGAAGAGTCGAGACAACGGGGATTAAAAGGGCAAGAGAAGAAAAAGAGGCAAGTTGTGGGTCAAGGCGGTCAAGGCGCGGCGACGCTTGGAAGAACGTCAGGAAGAGACCTAGTGCATGGCGACTCATTTTGCACGGCGGATGTACCATCTCGAACGGGTTCCTTCTTCGAGCTCGACTGTGACTTTGGACGGAGGGAGAGGGGTTGGTTTGCCGTTCGCGTCGTTGGTGTTCGGCTTGGGCTTCGAGAGCTTGGAGCCTGCGCCGTTGCTGGTAGCGTTTGCAGTCTGCATCTTTGCGCCAGTACCGTTGATGTCATGCTTCAAAGGTCCTGTGCCTTCGCCGTTGGGAGCAAGCTTCGAATCTTTTCCTTTGTCGTCGACTGGCTTCTCGTTCAACCCTGCAGGGAGTTGGCTCTTCTCACCACCGTCAGGTGCGGATTTGATCTTGTCGCTATCGAGAGCTTTGTCGCCAACAGCCTCAGTCTTGCAACGAATCTGGAGACCTTCTTCTGGTTTGACGGGAGAGATCTTGTCCTGCTCCGGACGAGGTGCCACTTTCTTCACTTTCTGCGGCGGCTCCTTGACACATGAACTCTTCTGGTTATCCCACAGCTTCCGCTCCAAGGCCGCAGTCCACCCTGCCCGACGAGCAATCTCTTCAAGCACGAGATCACACTCGCCCAACAATTCAATGTCGACCTTGACACCCTGTCGTTGACAGCGGTCCTTGCTGATCCAGATCTGCGGCACAGTGGGCGGAATGGCGAGAAGCAAGTCGTTGACCGGGGCGACTTTGAGCGACGTGCCGATAATAACGAGCAAGTCGACCTTTCCTTTGTCCATCTCCAGTCGTGGGCCGTACGAGTAGGAAATGTGCTCGCCGAAGAAGGTCATGTCCGGCTTCAGCAGGCCCTTGGGGAAGATCTCGGTGCCCACTTCGCCTTCGGAGTCAGAAGAATCCTCAAACTCGTGTCTCTTGCGCTTCTTCTTCGTGGTCTTGTCGCTCTCGTCGCGTTTGGTGTCTCCAGGTTCGTCGACCAAGGAGCACTTGCAAAAAGGGATACCACCTGCTCGAACCACAGGCATGTATTTCCTGGCCGTCGTTCTCTTGCCGCAGGTCATGCAGCTCGCAGTGGCCAGCGTGCCATGCACTTGGATCAGCTTGTCGGGGGTCACGCCAGCCGCAGCCTCCAGTCCATCGATGTTTTGTGTGTAGTTAGTCAACAATTTACCTTTGGACTGGAGCATGGCGATGAAAGCGTGAGTTGGACTGTACTTGGGAACCAAGGGAACCAATGGCGCGTCCGCAGACTTGGTGGAGCCGACATGTCCTTTGGCGGGGACGAGGCCTTGCATTCTAGGAAAGACCTTTGCCGCTTGTTTGTAGAACTCGTCGGGATCGGCTTTGAAGTTGTCAATGTGGAAGAGCTCTTGGGGGTCGTTGTAAATGGAGTCTTTCAGCAGATCGTAGACGCCATTCTTGGATCGGAAGTCGGGAACTCCAAGCGAAGTCGAGATGCCTGCGCCAGTCAGCGTGACAATGTTCTTTGCCGATTTGAACAGCGCCACGGCGTGATCCAGAGTGTAGTACTGGTTCAAACGAGGTCGGATTTGCAAGCCTTCCTTCAAGGGCGATGACAGTCGACGTGCTGGTGCGGAAGATGCTCTGTCTGCGCCATGCTGGTTGATCATCCGTGGTAGCTTTGAAGGCGAGGGCCGGGACAGCGACGGGTGGGAATCCATCTCTGCATCGCAACCGCGACGGGCACTGGGTGTATGGGGCGCCGAAGTTGACATCGCGCTTGCGATAGCAGAAAGTAAAGTGTGCGCTGAGCCAGTAGTCAACAACAGTGACAGTTGTTGAAGATGTTAAGATCAGTGGGATGAAGTAACAAGGAGAAGGTCGCGCAAGGAAGTCTGTGGTCTCTCATGGTGCGCTAGTCCCCTCACAGCGCAGGCAAAACATTCAATGTTTTTTTTTCCCACAACAGCAGTAGTGAATCTGTGTTGAATGATGAAGTTGAGGCGGACGCCAGATCCAACAGAGTCATTCCTGATATTGAGTCGGGCAGCGTGTTGGGACAGACCACAACGATGTCCAGGTGGAGAAGAAGAAGTCTATAGCGTAAGTATAAAGAATCCAAGCCTACTGTCCAGACAGTGGAGGACTCGTGAAGCTGTGGAAAGAAGTATATCAAACGCTTGTATACTGACTGGATTGAGTATCTGTGGTCTCGAAGTTCAAATTCCCCCTGAGATCTGAGATGAAACGTGACTTCTGAGGCTGAGCTTTTCAGGTGCATTCCGATGACATCATTGTTCCTATCAGAATGCAAACTGTGCAAACTCCGAGATTCACACATCACGTGGCTGCACGTGGCTGCTCGCGACGCGTTGTTCGTTCTTGCGACACGCGTGGCGGATCAAATGAACGGCTCATTGGTCGCAGTTTCACTACCATAAACATTCGATGGTTGCGGTGCACTTTTCCACGTCTCGCAATTCTCTGGGTGCAGTCTATGTCCATCAACCTGGGGCAAATGCTCTCTCTCATCATATCCCGACTACCTTAGCATCATGCCGGCCGTCCCCTTCGCTGTCTCGTCGCAGTCACGGAAAAAGCTGAAGGCATTTGCATTTGACGAAAGATTACTTGAAGTGGATGAGGACAAAGAGAATCAGGGTATCGGCCGGACTACGAGAGTAGGAGAAGCGTCATTCGAAAAGGCGGATGATGGTGGTAGTGTAGGCCAACGTTGTCTCTCACAGCGCGACATGCCTCGGACGCCCGCTGTCAAAATACCCTTCGAAGACCTCATTGCGAATACCGAAGATGCCTTCAATTGCCTGCCGCCGATTGCCACGCCTAAAGACCACGTCTTATGGGAAACAAACCCTGATAGCACAGACGCCTCTGGAGCTGCTACTGGAACACAAAAAAGCAGAAAACGGGCCCGTAGCTCGTCTCCTGCCTCCTCACAGCTTGGGAGATCTGATCACATCTCTGTGCACAAAGATGCCTTGAACCTAGATGCCCTAAACAGGTCTCTTCGAACACCAAACAATGATCCTACGCAAGATCTATGGAATCGATACACGACTGCAAATGCGAAGAAAATCGAAGCCGAACCTACCTTGCCTGCTTACGCCCATCTTCTCCCTTCATCACCTCAGACGCCGAGCTCAGCAAGCAAAGAGAGTGGCTTACGGAGAACACACAGTTGTGGCATAGAATGGCCAGCGTCGAAATCCAAGCGGCGAAGAGTAGAGGCCAATGAAATGCATGGTCGTACGAAGGAATTGTTCGCTGCATCTCGAAAGGAGATCTTGCGCCGAGATCTATCGAATAATACTCGTGTGGGACTCCTCTTGGAAAAGATCCAGGAGAGTCTGACGAAGAAGGTCGCAGCCGATGAAAGCCCATCGAGCTCCTCCCCGTTGCCAGACCGACGGTCCCAAGCTCTTGTTTCGCCGACAAAACCTCAGACCGCGGTCCGGTCGGGAAACACAAGCACTACACACGCGCCAGTACATACACCTGCAGTGACGGGACAAAACTCCGAAGCGCAGCATGATCAGCAATCTTCCTCGGAATTCAGTGATGACGGCCTAGATATCGAGGCCTTTGAAAGTGTAGAGCAGGCACTTGCAGAGACTGCGGCACAGAATGACCCAGTACCTGCCGAGCAGCGTTTCGAAACGGAGCTGGATAGACATACGGCAGCTTCCGCTTCACAACCGGCCGTTTCAGTGTATCAGAGTGAACCGTCTGGACACGGACTCAGAAATGCTGAATCACCGAAACCTCCCCCACCAGAACCTCAGACTATACCCGCCATGCAAGAGTTTGATGATGAGTTTGATGACGACGACGACGAAGAACTGATGAATGAAATGCTTGACCTGGCTGCAAAATACGACTCCCAGCCTAATCCACCGGCTAGAGAACAGCCGGCAGTGAACCAGAATGCTCAGATGAATACGGTCCCCAAGCGGTTGGAAACGCTCGACGAGTTCGAGGATGCCTTTGATGATGATGAGGAGCTATGGGAGGGCATTGCAGATGCCACCTCCGCAAAACCAACGACGGTGGTTGAATCCACGAATCATGTGCGTCCTGGATAGCTTTGTTCTGATGAGACCAATGCTGATAGATTAAATAGACCTCAATTGATAACAGAGCTATCAAGCGCTACCTTATTGTCGATGTCCTCGAGAGTCAATACGAGTACAAGGCCGGGCGTCGACGACCCGAGAAAGTAAGATCCCTTTCCACCGTTCATGTGTCGCGTCAACTCTAATGCATCTCAGATGCTTTCCGTCAAGGACGAAAAGTCCGGTATGCTGTACATTGTACTCCTGCGAGAGTCTTGGTACGATACCAGGTGCACCAAAGGATCCTACATTCATATTATTGGCAAGTTCGATCGCACCGGTCAGTGCATCGTTAATGATACCGATAACATGATCATTCTCCATCCCGACCACTTGATATCTTCGACTGTGGTGGGCGATTCTTTTACGTGTATGCGACGGGCTGTACTTCAGGACAGAGTGAAAGCTACGAGTGCCGCCACTCAGCCTCAGGTTTATGGCCATATTCTACACGAAGTCTTCGGACAAGCATTACAACTCAACAAATGGGACATGCAGACGTTCAGAGACATCATCGACAAGATTCTTCCATCTTACATTGAATCACTTTATGAGATTGGAGTTCAACTACCCGATGCTAAAGAGTATCTATTGGGAAAAGCACCTGAAATGATGGCATGGGCGAGCGTCTTCGTCGGCGACAATCTGTCCAGTGACGCTCTCATTCGCGATCGCAATGGCATCCTCGTCCCTACAACTATCAACAAGCTTCTTGAGCTGGAGGAGCATATATGGTCACCGATGTACGGCCTCAAAGGCAATATTGATGCCACCGTTCAAGCCCAGATGAAGCTACCTCAGGACCGGTCGCCCAGAACACTGCTAGTGCCTTTCGAGTTGAAGACTGGCAAAAAGGACAACGTTGAGCAGCACCGTGTACAAACAGCGCTCTACACCTTGCTACTGTCTGATCGGTATGATATCAATGTCACTTGTGGTGTCCTGTACTACATGGAAACATCCAAAACCTTCCGCGTGGAGGGCGTGAGAAACGAGATACGACACATGGTCATTGAGCGGAACGAATTGGCTTGCTATGTCCACGACAAACTGGCGCTGCCGCCGATGATTAAGAAAGAACATCTCTGCAAGTCCTGCTACTCAAAGGCTGCCTGCTTCATTCACCACAAACTATCGGAGGATGGCAATGCAGAAACCAGTGGTCTAGGCGAAAAGTTCAACGAGGTGGTCGGCCATCTTTCTCCTGCGCATCAGGCATTCTTCAAGAAGTGGGACGACCTTTTGACTCGAGAGGAACGCGATACGATGAAGTTTCGACGCGAACTCTGGACAATGCTGAGTGTAGAGCGCGAGGCGGTCGGTCGTTGCTTCTCAGAAGTCATAATTCAACCAGGATCTACCTTCGAAAACACTGAAAGCTCCAAAATCAACAGGTTCGAGTATACATTCATCAAGCACAGACCACGTCCAGGTTTCTCGTTTGCAGAGTCACATATCAATATTGGTGATCCAATTGTTATCTCAGACGAGAAAGGACATTTCAATTTCGCTGCAGGCTTTGTCACGAATGTCCGACCATCTCGGGTTGTGGTAGCGGTTGATCGAAGATTGCAACCTGCCCGACGAAAGCTGGCCGACTTCGACTCCTCCAATCGACAGGTCTTCTCGGGTGTCATGGGAGAAGCGGCTGAGGATGTATCTGGCACAGTTGAGGAACCGATGTTGTATCGCATAGACAAGGACGAGTTTGCGAATGGAATGGCAACTGCTCGAAACAACGTCATCCGGATGATGGAGAAGGATCTGTGGCACGCGCGAGAGCTTCGACAGCTGATCATTGAGAACAAACCTCCAGAGTTCAAGATCACGTCTACAGCATACACCTTATCCGGACCAGCTTCACAGCGAAGTCTCAATCTTGACCAGCGGAAGGCCATCGAGAAGGTGATGAGTGCAAAGGACTACGCTCTAGTTCTAGGCATGCCTGGCACTGGCAAAACGACAACAATAGCTCACATCATACGAGCTCTTGTCTCACAAGGCAAATCTGTCTTGTTGGCATCCTACACTCACACAGCGGTGGACAATATTTTGCTCAAGATCAAAGACGACCACATCCCAATTCTGCGAATTGGAGCTATCAATAAAGTCCATCCGGAGATTCACTCGTTCGCCGATGTTTCAGGGCAGCCCAAACGGACCATCGAAGAATTACACGCATCGTGGCACGGGAGTAAAGTCGTTGCGACTACCTGTCTAGGCGTCAATCACGGCATCTTCAACGCGCGGACATTTGACTACTGCATTGTGGATGAGGCTTCCCAGATCACATTGCCGGTATGTCTGGGTCCGATTCGCATGGCAAGAACGTTTGTTCTGGTCGGCGACCACTACCAACTGCCGCCGCTGGTTCAAAACAAGGAGGCTTTGGAAGGAGGCCTCGACGTCAGTCTTTTCAAACTCCTTTCTGACGCACAGCCGGATTCGGTGGTAAATCTTGAACACCAATATCGAATGGCGGAGGACATCATGCTTTTGTCCAAGGAGCTGGTTTATTCTGGACGCATCAAATGTGGTAACGAGGCTGTCGCCAAACGAATGCTCCATATCCCGGGCCTGGAAGGCGGACTAGCAGTACATCATTTCACTGCATCTTCACTGCCGAAATCGAGTCACAGTACTCAGACAATTTGTGTGACTGAGGCTTCATGTTGGTTGCGACGAGCCCTGTCTCCCGTATCTCGATGTCTGTTTCTCAATACAGACACCATCGCTACAAAAGGTCCAGCGCGTGAGACCGCATCAGGGGCGCGGATAACCAATGCAGTGGAATCTCGTCTCACAGCACAGCTCGTGACAACGTTGATCCACTCAGGTATCGCCCCTCGTTCAATCGGCGTGATCACATTCTATCGCTCCCAACTCGCATTACTCAAATCTGATGTCAAATCCACTGCCGGTTCTGCCGCCGCGGCGGAGGTCGAGATGCATACGGCAGACAAATATCAAGGCCGAGACAAGGAGGTAGTCATCCTCAGCTGCGTCAGGAGCAACGAGAACAAGCACGTGGGCGACCTTCTGAAAGACTGGCGGCGCGTGAATGTCGCTGTGACGCGGGCAAGAAGTAAGCTGTTGATCATCGGTAGCAAGAGTACTCTTGCGGGAAGCGGCGTACCCATCCTCAAAGGCCTGACGCGCATCATGGATGAGAAGGCATGGGTGCTGGATCTTCCCAGCGGCGCTTGTGATGAGCATCTGTTTGAGACTGGAAGTCAAGTCACGGGCGTCACGCAGAAGAGTGTTGCCGGGTTTGTTGAAGTCCATGTGGACAGTCCGCCTGCGTCGGGCCCGGGAAAGAATAACAAGAAGAGGAGAGACGTCCTTTACCCAGGCAATCTACGGGGCCGCAAGAGCCCAAAGAAGCAAGCGACCTTTCGGAAACCGGAGAAGATCGTCCGCGGAACTGCCCTGGTCGGCGACGTTCAGAGTTTCTTGGATAAACGTCCCGTGTTGAGAGACGTGGTCAACGACCTGGATGGTCTGGCACAAGGATATGATACTCCAATCGGCGCCGGGAAGGAGAACGTGCAAATGCACCGCGTTAATGACGGGAATGATGATCTGGATGGTGATTTCATGGATGTAGATGCCGACTTCGACCCGGCTGACTTTGGAGTATTCTGACGAGGTCGCGGGTGCATTGTTGGATTACGAATCCCTGAGAAAGGAAAGGCAAAGCTCTGGATATTAGTGTGCTCGACGGACATGTTGACGTTGTCACTTGGTACGCTTGGATATCGGACTCTTTGGGATAAGGCACAGGCAGGATAACAGCAGACTGACAGAATCCAATGATGTTGGCAAACTCGTCCATTTTGGTGATACCAGAACCTGCCAAACGATCCAGGACGCAGACCTGATCGCAATGCAGAGCAGGATTGGAGAACGTCTGATCTCTAAAGACCCGAGTCTCTACTGACAGTCTAGCATCACCTGTCTCTAGTCTATCGTTGTTCTATTGGCTAACTTGCACCTCAGAGATTTGCAGTTGACTCAGCAGCTTCGAATTTGCAGCACCAGTTTGAGAAGGAGCAGGCCATCACATCATGCCTTCACCGAAATAAAGCGAATCGAGATGAGGGTGCTTCGTACATTCCTGTACCGGCTTGCTGACATTCTGGCGCTGGTGGATAGAGTGGAGCCGGATAGCGCATCGAGGAGCGAGATCGAGGATGGCGGCTCGCAAACCGCAGCAAGCTTCTTCATTTGAGCTCCTTGTGTTCGGGAATAGGGGACATCAGCTCGCCTTTCTCCAAGGCGGAGCGGATGTTGTTGATTGTCCATTCTTCTATTTTTGTCTGTTTCCAGATGAATGTCAGCATTGGAATCATTATGCAGAAGGAGACAAGCGGTAGCATGAACATGAACCAAACATCGCGGAAAAAAGGGCGGCAGCAGAAGTCGGAACTCCATGTGTACGAAGTACGCTGGAGCTAGGTAGGTTCACAAGGGAAGGCGATCGAGCATACCTGTGTCTCTTTGGTCCAGGTACCCATATGCGGTAGGAGAATGACCTTGTCGTTGGCCACCAGGCCAGGATGGATCTTGGGCTCCTCCTCGAAGACATCAAGACCTGCACCAGCAATCAGACCTTTATCCAGCGCATCGACGAGCGCGGCTTCATCAATGACGGCTCCACGGGCCGTGTTCACGATAATGGCGGTGGGTTTCATAAGCTTGAACTGGTCCGTGGAGATGATATGGCGCGTCTTCGGATTCAGCGGCAGATTCAGGCTGAGCACGTCGCTGCGTTTCAGTAGTTCGTCGAAAGACACGTATTCAGCGCCACCGGCCAGTTCGGGGTCGAGTTGTCGGCGGTTGTGGTAGATGGTGGTCATCCCGAACGCATCGCACTTCTTCTTCATGTTCCGTCCGATCCCGCCCATCCCTAGGACGCCTAAGACCTTGCCTTGCGGGTCGTGGCCGAGCGCCGGAGGCGGATTGCCGCGCCATTGTCCACGGCGCAGAGCGGCCATGCTGGTGTTGAAGTTGCGCAGGGCGCCGAGCAGCAAGAAGACGGCCGTGTCTGCTGTCGCGTCATCCGGCGCCGTAGGCACATTGGACACCAGAAGCGGCGGATCGCGCTTGGCACAGGCTTCGGCGTCGATCTGGTCGTAGCCGGCGCCGCACGACGCAACATACCGCCACGACTTGGGGAGCACTTTGCACAGTTCTTCGTCGAACAAGCCGGTGATGCTGACGGACGGGAAGGTGCGGTAGGCGGCTACCACGCCGTCCAGCTTGCCTGATTCACATTCCTTGATGAAGTCTGCCCGGTTAGTCGATTGCGGTGTGATCAGCTCGCCCAGCGAGCTTAGAGACTGCCATTGTTCGGTGGCACTGGGGGTTGATACTGTTAGCAGCGGTTGTTGGCTGAAGGAGGATGATGACAAGTGAGGCAGCTTACTGGTCGATCTGGCCTAGCAGGAGGATCTTGGGTTTGCCCGACATGTTGGTGGGCTTCTGTTTGTGATGATGAGGGTTCTTTGATGCCGGAGATATCACTGACGGCTTGGTGGTGGTCGTCTCTTGCTGTATGGCTTTCCTTATCGAGCTTCTCAATACGTATCGATAGTCTCTTATCAGCCGTGCTAGATATCCTCGGTTGGATCGTCACTTTCGGTTATGCAAGGGCGAAAAGATGTAGGTTGATGGACGAGGTACCACTAAGGAAGATATCTTCTAACTTATAAGTGAAGATTCATAAAAAGTGGTGACTGTTAGTGAAGCAGACCACGACAAATCGAGGCATTCAATCCATCCCAGGGATCGGAGGCGCCATATACGGACCGTGAGAGGAGCGCACTTCATTCCGAGAAGTGGGTAAGTGTTCGATCCCCGTTTCCTCATTGGTGGCTGTCAGTCCCTTTGGCTTGGAGACAAGCGAGAGGCTGTTGCGCGGAGGAACCCCGAGCGAAGATGTCTCCGAGCTGAACGGAGACCTCAGCCTCGCGTGTCTATACTGTACCAGGTCAAAATGTAGGTTTGATAGCAGGTGAAAAAGTTTGTCATATTCATCTCTATCCAAAACAAAGGTCGTGGATTCGGAGAGGATCCTTGGGTTTGAGGCGAGAGACCAACGTATCTAGACGGATCCCGCACATCGTCTGAGTCTGTACTGGCTCGTGAAGTGAGCATCGAGCTCATACAGAGTAGGTCATCGTCTGCATTAACGATGGGTACGAAGGTATTGCAGGGATCATCCCCGACAAGGCTGGAAATTGGGCATGAACAGTAAAAACCATCGTCGTCTCGAGTAAACAGCTACATAGGAAGTTTACATACTGCACCGTAACTTTTGCACTTTTGGTCTCTAATATTCGCAGCGCCAAGATTGATGCGGTGCCGTACCCGTTCACTGCGTTCCATCCGAGCTCGACCTCAACCCGTATGTGAGTTTATGAAGTGATTAGACACAAAACCACATCATACAAGTCGCGGCGCCCTAGTTGCCTTGTCTTCCGGACAGTCATCCCCTGGACGTGAAATCCAGGGCTTAGAGGAGTGAACAGGCGTTCATTGACCTAGGCCGAAATGGCCGGCAAGCCCATTAAAGACGTCGTTGGCGTCGCAAAGGTAAATGCCCTTGCCGACAGCTTCAGCCTGATACTCATCATTATAGAAATACACGCAACAAAGCTATGGCATCTGGGAAACCATCCGCAAAATATTTGCAATGGACCCGACCCGAAGCAACGGGGTTCCTGTTAAACACTTCCGAAACCCGACCCCAGGAGGTCTCGATCCTCTTTCATATGATCCCTCGGACGCGGTGACCACGCCGGCCGCCGACATTGCGGACAATCCATACTGGAAGAGAGATGTGCGAAGGGCGTATCCGAAGCTGAGCACCGTGACACAGGGTGATGTCGTGGGCTTGTTGACCGTGGGAAGTGCCGCGAATCCTAGTCCGAAGCTGTTGGCGGGAGAGGAGGGATCGAAGCAATTGGTCGCTGTCAAGACTGAGGGCGAGAAGGGTCTGGCTGCATACTTTGAAAGAGAGAAGACTCCACAGGTGGTGCTCAGTGAGGATGGCCTCCCTCCAAAGCCTGCGGCCTTTGGCCGGTTACCAGGAAAGAAATACGAGATAGGCCCCACGAGTTACGGAGAAAGGTATGCTTTTCAGTCGTCCAGGACGGGCTTGTGCTAACTCATGTCGCAGTTACCCCTGCCGAAGCTTTGTTTAGCTTGGATGAATGAAGTGGTGCTTGTATATAGTTTTCGCATCAGAGCATGATTGACAGAGCCATCATTCCATTGCTTCCATCATCTAGCTCGGCACATTTCTTCGTTTGGTCTCTATGGCTGCTTGTTCCTGCTCGAGGAGCTCTCTTTCTCGGGCGGCTTCTTCCCCCACAGCCTTCTCGCCTTTTCTTTTCTGTCGCTCTTCGAATGCCTGCCGCCCTTTCATGATTCGCATTACAATCTCTCCAGCATTGACATGGGAGTAGGGGTGCTTTGGGATTTCATGAAGGATGCCGAGCTCTCTTGCGTCCCTGTATGGATCGAACGGCGAGTGCATGAAATCCGTGGGCCCATGATACACCGCGGCGACCTTCCCCAATGGCATCGCGTCCAGGTATGGTTTTGATGGCGAGTATGGAGCTCCAAACACCACTGCGTGAATATATCGACATTGCAAAACGCAAAGTCCTCGCTCAAAGATGTTCATTATGGGGTAATTCAGACCCTTCCAGTGGTTGATCACATCATCATTGTGCACGCCAGCCACAATGTATGCTTCACCCTTTTCGGCCTCGTTGACGCGTTTCAGAAATTCGATATGTCCAGAAGAGAACAGGTCGAAGCCTCCATCCACATAGACTATGCGTTGACCTGGCTTGGGGTCCTTTCCGGCAACGAGCTGCTGAAATGAACCAGCTGCGGTCTCCTGATCTGCCAAATTCTCTGATTGCTTCCCGGCCCAAGTCCAGACTTCTGAACCCGGGTTGAGGGCAGTCTCATCTGTGGCGTAGTCCTTGATTCTTTCCAGCATTTCGGCCCCGGCAGCTGCTTTGTCTGGACTTATGGTGCCGTTTGACTTGCCTTGAAGTTCGTCTGTCAAAGACTTGATGAAATGCGTCTTGGTGCATAGCAACATTCGGCCGACGATATCGGTGGTAGATATGCCTGGAGTCCTCTTGACCACGAGAAAACGGCCAGCGGCCTTGACAAACCGGTAACAATCCTCGCCACTAGCATCGGAAGTGATGTCGTCCCCGTGGACTACATAATAGCATCCATAGTGGGATATCCATGGCAAGGCTGTCACGTAGGGGGCGTAGGGGATCGACTTGGTTGTCCAGCGACAAGCATCAACAGCAGCTACCCTTTTTCGGAACAATCAGATGGCTCAAGGAACAAGATATCGACAAACGTACCGTTCATCCAAAGTCATTACCGTTGGTCCCTTGTGCTGCAAGATTTCTTCATCTGAATGAAGGCCTACGTACAGCTCTTTTCCCAATTGACGGGCTTGTCGTAGAGCCCCGGCATGACCTGAACACAAGGTCAGCAGCTTCTACTTATTCAGAGCGCGCGAACATACCATGGTGCGCAAAGTCGAAGCATCCATCAACCCAGATGCGATCTTTCCGGATTTCTTGATCTTCTTGAGGGTCAACGGGCCATTGCCCTGGTTGTGGAACGTCCATATTCTCTTATCTCCTGTAGGAATCTCTCGATCGAAAGAATCTAATTTTGTAGAAAGCACCTCCGGTCAGCTCGAATACTGATGGCTTGGAGCGTGGAGTCGTGGGTGAAACGGGTCATTCCATACCGTCGGGAATGTACTGCAGTATAATGTACATACCTAGGTAGGTTAGGTAGGTAAGGAGGGTGGGATAGATGAAACCTTAGGTACCTATAGATGATAGGTGCCTGTAGGTACAGGTAGGGTCTAGGGGTCCCCTTGAACAGATGGTGTGGGTTGGGTTGAGTGGGCGCAGCCAAAATCACACACCTAAACTTCCGTAAAAAGTACGTTTCTCGCCACACACCAGCCGGTAAGAAGCGCAGTATCTTGAGTACTACTACCAGGTATATTGCGATCGAATCTCCATATACGGTACACAGACTACTGTACGTTCTGCACTACCGAATGCTTCCGCGTCCTTTTCCATCCATGGCCGCTCTGTAACAGACTTTGTCCGCCCACCCTCGACCCATCGCTTTCCGCCCGGTCAGTCTGGCAGCCACCCTATTCGACATAGGACTGGCTTAGTTGGTACAGAGGCAAATAAGAGCATGACAGAGGCTACCCTCCGAGATGGCTTCCACGGCTCGACCACCACCGGTTCATCAGGAGGAGGGACGCCAGGCTTTCTCTCCAAAATCACCAGATCCCCCTCAAGAAGACACAAACCTCTAGGATCTAACGACTCCATCGATGCGACTCTTTCTGGCTCAGCCCCGACACCACCGCGCCCTCGTCCTCGACCAGGATATTCTCGAACGACCACTGCTCCCGCCGCACCTGGCACGTTGAATCCCATCAGGGCAGATGTCGTCCCTCGAACCAACAGTGATGTGAGCCATCTCGCGACGGGCGACACCATGCCTCCTCATTCTGTCGCCATCCTCACCAACGGTGTGAATACTACACGACCGCTGCTACAGAAACATCCCAGCAATGGTCCCGCAAGCGCAAACAGTCAGGTCGCAGGATTTGCGGCCGGAGAGACCGACGTACCGTCTGCTTCGGCACCCCATGGAATGCTTCTGAGCGCCACTGGCGCCCATGGGAGTCCAAGCACAACCGCACTTTACACACACATTCAAGAGTTGGCCAACAAGAGGATCGCGACGCTGGACTATCTACGCAAGGCGCATGAAGGACGGACGTTCTGGTTTAATACTGTTCGGTTCAGTGAATCCGATATTGCAAAACTGCCTTCATACACCCCCAATCGACTTGCCAGACGAGCGGTCAACTACATGTTACTCGGCATGTCTATACCGACCATCCTCGACGTTCATCCGCAGCCCCATGCTCAAAGTACGGCCGCAACCAGCGCGGCAGTAGCGCAGGACTATCTACGAAGTTTGAGTACTCTCTTGGCGGAATTCGAGTCGTTTCAGCAGCTGCACCCGCCAGATGGAAGTACAGCAAGTTCGTTGAGTCGGGCACGAATCCCACAAATGTTTAAGAGAGCCACGGCGACGTCGAGACCTCGGAAGTCCAGTGGACCGGTGACTGATATCGGGCTACCAATGCTTTCGCAGACGTCCTCACCACCAACCTTTTCCGAGGCGGGACATCATGCATCGCAACCCTCCATAGACACCACCACGAGCGGAAATACTTTTGCTTCTTCGACGAGCACCCTAGTGACACCCTCGCCGTCGGCTCCTTTACCTTCGGGTAGCTTTCCGAGCACCTCCGCCATCCCCCTACCGGCGCCGGTAGATGCTCCTAACTCGACTCTATTACCCAATGAGGGACCCTACACGCACCTCCAGACACCACCTCTCCCCTTCACACCAGATTTCTTTACCGTGTTCGCTACGCTGTGTGATGTGCTCATCGAGACGTATCAGAGGTTACTGCAGATCTTGCCAAGTCCCGCAGCATGCACGCCTATCATCAGCGACTTATTTACGAAGGTGGACGGGCGAATACGAAAAGTGGTGGTTTCAGCCATCATCCGAGAGTTCGAGACTGCCTCGAGGGATAGTGCAAAGAAAGAAATGATGGGAATACAGAAAGTTGTACTGGGAGGGTTAATGGCATGAGGACCAAGCAAGTGAGCGATAACTAGTATTTGGCTGATGATTGTAACACCATGCATTGTTGGATACCAAGACCTGTGGCCGGACGGGATTTCTAACATTCTGATGAGGGCGCAAAGGGAAAGGGAAAGGGGATTATCTCCTGAGACGCTATGACAGTCTCGTGTGCCGTCTGTCAGGACTGGGGGCGTTTTTCGTGTACAGGCTTACAAGATGCCATTTTGAGATTCTGGGAGATGCTGGCACGCGATATGATATCGAATTGAGCAATGACCAGGGGCGGCAGCCCGATAGTATTCCGCGTTGGTCCATGCTTGACGTGAATTAGTATTTCACCATCAACTGGCGTAGCTGTCAATCCTCCCCTGGATCGAGGAGTGTCCGCCTCGATATACCTCTGCAGATCCATCCTCACCAAAGGTCCGAAAGTCATCTCAACACGCCTCGACGCGATGGTAGATCGTGATAGAATCGACGAACTCCTCCGACCCCGGCGTGCCCAGGACAATCTGGCATAGCTATAGGTACCTAACTCGTGGCTGAAGCCTTACATGCCTCGTGCCCAGGAACTTAGGGGTCAATAGGCGGGTCCACGTCACTTCTTCAAGCCTCCCAAGCCTAACGCTAGCCTAATCTTTAGGCGGTCGTCAGCGCACAGGGGCTTGATCCATTGCCCCCACCGCCTGTTCATTGACGCCCATCTACTGGCCTGATAAGCTCAGTGAGGCGTGCATTGACCCCTGACATCGATCATCCCTCGCTTGGACTGCCGTGACTTCCCCAGACTACGACAAATCGACTCGTCCTTGTGCCTGGCTTAAACGCTCCTACGCTCCCACCGCGCCACTATTAGAACGCCCTTTTGCATTGTTCGATCACTTTATTTTCCGACGCATCGCATTTAACCCTTAACCCCTCGAAATCCCTCCTGGTTGTGTTTGCCAGAGGATTGTGTGAGTCGAGTAGAAGGTTGAAATCGACGACGCCGCTTAAACAACTGAACTCTCATCTTGTTTGTGTCGGCTTCACATCATTACGCGATCGACCAGTCTCAAGTCTCAAGCCTGAAATCTTTTTTTGACGCGCCATCATCTGACGACCGTCTTGACCACCTCATACTCACTACAGTCGACATTTCGTCACCACGAACGCAGCTCGACAAAATGGCAAGCATGCGTCGTGGACAGGCCTTAGGGCTCGCCTTCGGCATCATCGTACTCTATCTCCTCTTCTTCTCCGGGTCAGACACCGACTTCCGCAAAACCACTGAATCATCTCTGGCGCGACGGCGTGGCATTCTGCGCGGAGACCTGTCCGACGCCGACTTGACTGCGAAGACCAACCGAGAACTCCAAATGATCCTCGACAAACAGAAGCAGATCTTGGAGCCATCTCCAGCTCAAAGGGGGGAGCCTAACCCATGGGCCTCGAGCGGAGCATCGGACGACGATGCGATCAGTGTCGCCGGGAGGAAAACAATGCCGAAAACAAAAGAAAAGCCAAGATACCCTATGGATGGTGTCGTTGGCGCAACCGACGACGAGGGTCAAGAGGTAGCCTTGAATGGCGGCAAAGCCGAAAAGCCGGAAGACGAGGGCGAGACTATGGCGCGGCAAGAATTGCAAAGCATCCTCAAGAAGAGTCCTAGTACGGGTGGTATTCCGATCTTTGTCTGCAGACCGTTACTAACGTCGTCGATTATAGTCATCATCTTTTCCAAGTCTTACTGTCCTTACTCCAAACGCGCCAAAGCTCTACTCCTCGAAAAATATACCATTTCACCGGCGCCGTATGTGGTGGAACTCGATTGGATGAACTCACCGGTGCCAAAACCACCGGGTGAGGATGATGGTGATGACGATGCCCCCGTTCCCACCCTTGGACGTAAAATCCAGGATCTGCTAGTCTCGTTGACGGGACGACGGACAGTGCCGAACATCATGATCAACACGCAGAGTCTAGGCGGGAGCGACGATCTTGCACACCTGCACTCTGAGGGCAAGTTGGAGGAAGAGATCAAGAGGATGGGAGGCAAGAGGATTGTGAGTGTGGAGAGGAATCACGGCGAGAGTTAGTTGCAAGGACTCTTTCGTTGTTCTGTCTTTCTCCTCCCAGATTCGCAGGCGTTCCCATCTACCCGTATTTGCGCAAATTCGGCACGCCTACGGTCGGTCGGTAGGATGCCCTTGATCCGCTGGTACAACCGGGCTCGTCGGGGTTCTTTTCCTTCTGATGGAGGTCCCCAGTCAGCATCCTGGAAGACGTTTGGCGCCGGGCTCATACACACTTGCTCGAGTTTCCGGTACGCATGATCTCACGAAACCAGAGATATGTCGACTTGTTGCTGAAGATTGGTGCGGAGGTTGAATGCGGCCAGGTCTGCACCATCAGCAAATGGACAGACCCGGACAGTGTCGGGGTCGCATGCGAACGTACAGAAGTTGCTTCTCGGTTTCTGAAGCAAAAGGTGCCGCGTCCACGTCGACTATACGTCTCTATACAACGGACTGGGCGCGGATTTCCACCGCATCGACAAACCAAATTCGAGCGTCATGATCCTACAAAAGCTTCGGAGACTACCGTTGAGCACTTTCTGAAGGCGGTTTGGATTATGTCCACGACGGCTACGGGGTCTACACCCACTACAGCATTGCGCGCAGGTCGTCACTGGAGATTACAGATACTGGGCGCTGGTGCAGGTTATGAATCCGCGGCGCGACTTATTGGGTATCATGTATATCTATGTTCACAGCGTTCTCTCGGCGTCCCAATCCACCACGCCGAAGTCAGGGTCGCTCTTACACTTCTTGAACCGACGTTGTTGAAGGCAAAGAGCTGATACCATAAGACGACACATGGCGAAGCTCCTCTCATGAGCTCAAATGAGACCGAGATGAACAAAGGCCATCTCTGACGGCTTTGCTTCCTATGCTCCTTTCCTCCCACTGACAGCGTCGAGTATTCGATACGTACAGTGGATGGACTCTGGAAGTTGGGGTCAAAGACTTGATGCAGAGCAGAGCAGACACACACCCATGGATTACAGGACAAGAGAAAGTGTGGCTGACCATCGGAAATGGAATACCAGTACCCGACGAAAGCATGTTTCTACACAATAAATGTCTCCAAACTACTACCTACCTACCTAGTACCTAACCTTGCCATCAAACCTCACTGCAGCGGCTGAGGAGGCCTTGCGTTTCTGTCCATCCATGCCCGAGTCAATTATATCTCGTCTCTCAAGTACGTGTAGTCTTCCACATCCATTTCTCGTTCTCTCGAGCCACGCCGGATGGATCGAGCATGTGCCGTAAGAATGAAAGGTACCTACATACCAGGTACCTATGTGTTACTAAGGTATGTTAGCAAACACTGATTGGTCCTATGCAGGACGACAGAGCCTCGTCACTCTTGACGCCCTTCGTGTCATTCATTACTACTGTACATGATTTATATGCCTCACCCACCCACACGAGACAACTTGAAGTAGGTTACATCTCTGAGCAGAACTGAACGGTTGAGACGAAGATGGCTCAACGCGCCTTTTCTTACTCTTCTGGTACTGGTATGTGATCAAGACATTTTATAAGCCCAGATAGATGCCTGAAAAGACGAGACGAATCGAATCGAATCGACTCGATGGACTCGGTCGTCTTCACACCACGGCTCAAACTGACTCGTGTCACGACCGTAGAGAGAGGAGGTGCCGAGCTCGAATGGATACATGAACTTCGAAGTAACGAGAAGGCTACATGGTGGAGGTGAGAACAAGAGACTCATTAACACGTTCCTTTTCCGTTTCCCATACCCATTTCCATTTCCGTTCCATCAATCCTCTCCATCCCTGATTAGTTCCTGGCAATGGCAAAACAGGGAGTTTTGATGTCATTTCTCGAGGGGTCTGGCTTTGCCTTTTTTGTGTCCCCGGTTTGGCAGATGATTGATTGACTCTTGTAACTTATCGTCATGAAGCATCCAAGGACGAGCAAAGTCGCTGGAAGATACGGAAAAGGCCATGCAAGCATATCTGGCGTCGGCGCCCACGACAACCACACCAGAAAAAGAAGAAGGACCGACAAGGCCATATCGAGTCGCCTATGCTGTACATAAGCTTCTTGATGAGTCGACCGGGTCGGACTCGCACAGCAGGGACTCGGTGATCACGGGTGGAAGAGAACTCGAACCGCAATCCACGGCAAACAAAGGCCGAGACGTGGAACAGACGAACATAAGCACGAAGCCAGAAACAGAACCACAAACAGAATTCATCGGCATGGTGACTTTGACATCATTGGACACCAGCAGCCTCGCGTTGCCTGAAGACCTCACACTACCGAAGACACACGCGTCAACGACGACGACGACGACAACGAAAGAAACAAGTACAAGAGACTCGATCCTTCCGGTCGAAATCGCATATATGTTCCTCCCCACAGGATGGGGGAAAGGATACGCAACCGAGTCCGTCAAGGCAGTTTTCGAATCGTGTGCCAAAGGACGGTCGTTCTGGACGCCCTTCGACTCGCTGTACATACGGGCGATCGTGAATGAACTGAACCCGCCTAGTATGCGTGTCATGGACAAGACGGGGATGGTGAAAACAGGGGTCTATGAGTTGATTGGGAGGAGTGTTTTTCTGGCCGGACAATGGCGGGACACGCATCGTCTGCATATCTATGCTAGGTATCTGACTTGGACTGAGTGGGACAGAGGGAATGATATTCTCCTAGACCACGACCATGGCCACGCTATGGCTGGCAATCTTGACCCTCTGTCGAATGTCGAATGTCGACGCCGTTAACGTCGACCGACTTGAACGGGGTCATAAAATGCTGTCATCCCTTGTCATCCCCTGCCCTTCCTTGCCCTAGTCCTCATATCACGTATGAAGAAGTACTCATTAGGAGATGATGGCCTGTCCAACAACTTCGTTACTTACTACAGTACTGTAGGACCAGCGTGTGAAAAGTCCGGTGTGGTCCAGTGGTGGCCTTTTACATTTCGACCGTTATACGTCAACATGTCAATCCCTCAACAAAAGTGTCAGATACTGCTTTAAGATCAGTTATTTACCACTGCATGGTTGATGCAAATAGTTCCCCCCTGTCAAAAAACGGCTGGACCTGTTTTTGAACTGTCAAATATGTCAAAGCTGTCAACTCGACCTGGATGGGTGTGGGTGTGGCCATGTAACTACCATTAGATACTCCTTTACTAGTAGTACAAAGTCCTAAACGTATATCCATCCGTATATCCATCCGTATATCCATCCGTATATCCATCCGTATATCCTCCATTGTCATAAGCTCATCAACCATACATACAGCATTTGGGTTCAGGGGTCGACTCCAGATACCTACGTAGTAAGTAGTAAGGCAGGCTCTTCCAGGAGAACCTCGCACAGTGTACAGTACTATACCAGACAGACCAGGGACTGACCAAATGATGGAACTTTCCCATGGGATCAGGGGACCCGGGAACCAAGAGAGCAGAGCGTCTCGGACGGCGACTACTAGTAGAAGTGAAGATGCATACCTTGCCCTACTATAGTACTACGTACCGTATCGTATATAAGGTACCTACGGATAATATCACGAGGGGACAAACCAGGAAAAGTCAACCTTTACTCTCCCTTTACTTTATTTCCATCGGATCTAAGGGAATCAATCAGCTTCACTCCCGACACCTCAGACGCAAGCCGAAAGAGCGGGCTAGACTAGGCTATACAATAATAAATATAGCCACCCTAAGGTAGTACCTGCATAGTAGTAAACCACCTTGATGGTTCTGATTGTCCTGATGGTCCTGATGGTCCTGAAAAAGAGGGATAGCGATCGCTCCGCATACACACAAGGTACCTAAGAGGCAAAAGGACTTAGGTAAAGTACCTAAGGTATAGTAGGCACACGTGCTAGGTACCTAGGTATCTCACTACTGTACCACGTACAGTGACTAGAGAGTAATCGACCGACGGATCCGATCCAAGTCACAAGCGACCGACCAGCCGATGAAATCTTTTAGGGGAAAGTTGCAAGGTTCTTTTGACCTGTTCAACAATAGCCGAAGAGGGTTCTCGCTTGTTCATGGTTCATGGCCTGAAAGACAGAAACCAGGAACGAGACAGAATGGTATTTTCATCATCATGGACTGGAGAGACGGCATGGAAAATGCTGTAATATCAATGATTGCTGTTTGTGGTTGGTTGGTTATGCTGATCGTGTATTCTGGCCCCTTTACGCCTTCAAGTTGTTCATCGACTGTATCAGTCTTTTGGCCTTGTCCCAAAGCTATCTCCCGACCTCGCGGTCGAGACCATTTATGCCACCTCGCCTCTGGAACAAGAACCCATGGCCGCAAAAGAGGAGAGTAAAGGTTCTGCAAGATATGATACGCGCAGTGGAAATGCCAAAGCTGTAAAACGAGAAGGGGGTATGTGTGCAATTCAACCCCTCACGACACCCGCCGGAAGGAGATGTTCAAGGACGGAATAGAGCAAAGGCAGTATGCTCAATCGAACTGATCTATGCATCAAACGCTCTCAACGCCATGCCGGAAATAGTTGCAAACACCTGATTTGTAGCACGTCCATTCGCCTGTGATTCCAGATATCGTTTGGCCAGTTCTCGTTCCGAAGTGAGATCGCCATGGTTGCCACTTGGTTTCGGTTTCGACCCCAGCAACATGATGCTGTAGATAATGTCTCGATTCTCCATGCCATCCAGAAAACGCCGACACTCTTGGACTGCCTCTGGAGAAATCCCGCCGTCTGAAGGACTCTGACTTGCCGCAGCAGCTTCAACCAGAGTCCAAAACCCATCCGATCTTTGTGCCAGTTGCTTTTCCAGTGCGCTGGCTTTTGGCTCCGGCTCGCTCTCGTCTTGATGGACAAAATCGGCCAGCGAAGCGGTGGGACTGGAGAATGGTTCGCCAGTCAAGATCGACTCAAGGGCACGACATCGACGGGCGAGTTTGTCGGCTTCTTCTCCGCCGTCATGATCCGGCCGGACACACAACCCGAGCAAGGCCCAAGAGACTCGAGCTTCCTGACTGGCCAATGCGGCATTCTGAGTGGCCGTATCGGCGTGGTTACTAACCAACGTCAAATACGCCAACATGTTACCCAGCTGGGCACGATCGGCGCAAAGCCATGGAAAGCCTTGTCGGGCGAACCATTTGGTCGCACCGGACTCCAGCAGCTTGTCCAGACCGGGCGCAAAAGCAATGTCGTAGACCTTGCGGATGGAGTCAAGGTTGGGCACCGAATCTGGCGGGATAGGGGGCACACTCGGAACTTTGGCACCGGCAATGGTACAAATGGACTCTATGCTTCTTGTCGCTGAGCGAGCATTGACGTCGGTCATTATTGCACTGATGACCAATCAGAACCAAGAAACGTGGATCCACGGGGGTCGATACTCACAACGTCCAGATGGTGGATACGGAGGAAGGCTAGGATGAGAAGGACCATCCATATGATAGGGTTGATTGATATGGGGCAGTAATTGTTCGGGTGGCCGTGGAAAGGGATAATCGTTATGGTCTCGCGGCGAGCTTGCAAGTATCGATGAATGGTGACCGGGCACAGGAGAGTGGTTCGGATTGGGATTGTATCGTGGCGGCTGACTCGGGAGGGAAGAAGGCGGAGGGTTGCTCGAACTCGACGTCGACGTCGACGGCGCCGGGTGAAGCGAATGCGGTCCTTGTGCTTGGGTTTGGTAGACCGGATCGTAACCTTGGCAGACTCTTTTACTCTTCATGCAATTCCTGCACTCAGGTCGCCCTTCATCGCACTGAGAGTGAATGGGAAATCGTTAGTATGATGCAAGCCAGCAGAATGCCGCAGCACAATCCGAGGCGAGACAAGGTAGGTTCAGCCGTAGGCCCAAAAGAGCCAATGGACCGACGCCAAGGCAATCTCGAGACGGCAAGAGATGAGCCACGATAGGTATCGCTTGCTGAGTTGGGTAGCGCTGATGGGCAAATTTGGACGGGGGGGGGGCGGCTGGGGAAGAGGTCTCGAGGTTGTGGTTGTAGTTGTGGTTGTTGGTTGGGGTTGGGGTAGGGTTCTGTGTGACAGCGGAGATGTGCAAGGTGTCGATCACAGTTGAAGGAGAAAGGGGAAGAAAATAATACACGCGTAAAGTGAGTAGCAAGAGGGCCGGCTAAGGAGAGAGGGAAAGGAAGTGCCAGTGTGTAGGCGCGTGTGTTGTGTGCGTTGTGTGCTGTGCGTGGCGCCACCCAACCACTGCACCACTAATAGTAAGTGGAGCACGTGTAAACTTGCCCTCCGTCTTCAAGTTGCTTGGAGTTGCCTGCGCGCCCGCTGCCACAATGACTGCTCGGCCCGTGCAATTCGAGAATCATGTCCTGATACAGCGATCCATTGCCATATGCGCAAGGCAAGGCCGTCGATGCAAATGAAAAGCAAAAGTAGAAGAAACACCCACAACTCACCTTGATGCGCCGTTTACGACAAGTCAAACATCCTGTCTTGGTCCGTCTCTTGACTTCCTTAGCCTTGTGCCTCGTGGGAGCGACGATCAGGTGGGGATCCGTTGTTGAAGGCAAAGGGATACGCGCGGGCATCGGCTGGTAACTCGACGGAATGCCTGGGTATATAGGCCGTGCGTGTAAATAGTCGTGAGGAATCCGAGGCGGAGGTGGAGGTGGAGGCGGAGGTGCAGGTCGTGCTGCATAGGGATATGGAAGTGGTGGTAGTACGCGTGGCGCTGCAGGCGGAGGTGGTGGCAGCGGTTGTACCACTTCTGGAGACGACCGATGCGCAACGTGGGCGTGAAAGTCGATGCTGCTGATGGGAGGTAGACTGATAGGTGCCGTCGATGCTTGGAAAGCCGCCGTGGTCATGTTGATGTTTGAATAGTTCATCAGGCCGACTTGCTGTATAGCCTCCTGCTGTTTCCAGCGAGCGTGCGAGAGAGCAAGAGCCAGTGGACTCCGAATACAATATGGTCGATCAAGGCTTGTAAGATGGTGACTCTTTCTTCTTCGTTCCGTTCTTTAATTCGCAGTGTTGATTCAGGCGATATGACGAACACGTATTACTGGCTTCCACATGGTCAGCATCGAGTCCATCAGGTCTTTGGACACACCGCGCCTAGGGCACTGGGAAATCCTCACTTCTTGCATCTGGGGTATCGGGAACAACAACCAAGAAATCTCAGGTGAGCGCGCGATGCTTAACGACCGAACAGTGCGCTGGAACAGAAGATGAGCTGGGAAGCATTAGATCTGAAAGCAGATGAAGCGAGACTCGAATATGTGAAGAACGCAAGTGCAACAGCAGTACTCGACAGAGGCCTGCACCATGGTAACATGTCATGAAAATGTTGCTCTGGCTGTTGGATGTGACATGGTATGACCGGAAAGAGGAGCAGTAGGGGACACCGGTCGACAGGGTTTCTAAAAGACCTTGCTCTTCTCGTCGCCCATACAGGTCGCATGGACGAGTAGCAGTCGCTCCAGGTGGATGGATGGAAAAGGGTTTGGAATTGGGATTGGGATCGGGATGGGATGGTTCAGAGAATGGTCGAAAGAAACGCTGTATGCTCAAGGTGTTGCGGACACCCCAAGTGCCGAAGGGCAAGTAAGCATGAATGAGGATGATGGCGAAATTGGAACTGAGCCTCGCTTGGGGTCGCTTCGACTCGCTCAGCCGCCCTAACATAGACGACAAGCAAGCATTTTCATTTCTTCCGGCAGCCTGGAGGTGCCAGTGGAGGGTGGATAGTGAGAGGGAGCAATTCGAAAGGAAACGCCCACCAACGTGTCGACTCCCCTGTCTTCCATCCACTGACTGACCACTGACCACTGACCACTGGCCACCGTCCGCTACACCAACAAGCCCCCATCCTCTTCGAACGAACCCACCGCCTGCGACCGCCAGTGACAGTGCCTGTGCGGCGACAGTGGCAGTTAGTGGTGACGGCTCCCTTAAACGGCTGCTAGGCACAACGGTGCCCCCTGTCTCCTGGATTTCCAGGTGCTTCTCGCTTACAGCACCTCCCGGCGCCAAACCAGCTTAGAGCGCGGGCTAAGCTGGTTTGACAGCAGGCTTCGTCCCGAGCTGGGGCCTTGACTTTCGCCGGCATGCTCATCTCCTAGTGCTCCCCCTCCAGGTTGGCTGCATATTCTCGGGGCTGCTAGCTATACCTGGTAACCCTCGATCACGAGCTCAAATGACCATCGAAGCCCACTGGCACCTAGATGAAGGAGAGACACGGACAACAAGAACAAGAAAATGTAAAGCGCAGGCAAGATGGAGAGAACAGATTGCGACAACAGAAAGAGCACAAACGCACCGTCAATCCTCCCAACTCACTGGGACCCTGTGACCTGTCTCTCTCTTACATCCCCGACTGAACTGAATGTCATGATGCTGCTCGACCGTTGCCAAGTGGCTCTAGAACCCTGCTAGTTGGTTTTCGAGAAAATGGAGTCGTATCAACACCGGCGACTCGAACTTTTTTCGAACCAGTCGGGTGGATTCAGACTGTGAGCTCTTCTCTCCTAGCTACAGGAGCTGCCCTCGTCGCTGATGTGGCCATGTCAGCTATCAACAACCTTGCAGTGGTTTAGGTACTTTACCAAGCTCCAGCGGGAGAAAGAGTGCCTTTCCTTACCTGGGCCCCTGGCTCGTCCTCCGCCTCCGGTTTCTCTCGTCTGTTCTTGTCGGGGTCTGATTCCTCGCGCCACCAGATGCCCTCCCGAACACGTCGGACTCCCCTAGTCCGACTATTGGAGCCGTCGGAGAAGAGACAAAAGAGATTGGCGTGTGATGGTCTTGAAAACGGTGGTTTGATCACCACGCCCCCCCTCACGCTATCGACTGAAACACGAGCTCTGAAAGGATAAATAAAAGAGGTCTCCAGCAGACTTGTTTTGCTTTGTTACGAAGGCCCCGTTCATGTCTTTCCAGACAAGAAAAAAGAGTCCCACATAATGATCCCTGGCACACAGCCTTTTGTACCTAGGGTGCTAGCCGTCCGGCGGCTCTAGCGAGACAACTGGCGCCCTCGCTCCCGTCTCTTGCCTTCCGGTCTTTCGACGGTCTAGGTACCCTTCGCCGTCATGATCGCCCAGCCACACGGACATGGGCTCGTCCAAGGATGATGACCAGCTATTCCGTACCATTTGTCACCATCCTTCTTCGATGTTCCTGTGGTTCCTTCTTGTGTCACATGAGTCGGCTCTCTCAAGAATACGAGGGATGCAAGAGATCATACTCTGAGACACCAACTAAAGATTGATTAGGCTCTCGGAAGGGACTCGAATTGTTCACCTAAGCCACCCCAGATCCATGCCTGTCTTCTACTAGACTTTGGCCACCAGCAAGAGCCTTCTCATGAGCAAGCATGTCGACCGAAGCTTGGGTAGAGACAAATGGGATATGATTTGATCGCTAAGGGGATGCAAGTGGGTTGGTGCTGTACAATTCTCCGAACAAGACCCAACACCCCATGCAGTGCAGTGCCCACCAAGGGAAGGCTCATGCAGAGGCGACCGAGACCCTATCTTTGAGTAACTCGCACCGCTTCTCATGCCTAACGGCTGGGCACGCATGAGCATCCTGCACCGCTACAGTATTGCATATCAGGACATAACCGACGGTACCTCAAAGCCTCCAATGAATTCAAGCCTTCTGCATCCTCCTACCTCTTGGTAGCAAGTTACCTACCACCGCCAAAAAAGGACAACTCACCATGACAAGCTACCTCCTGGTAGGAGGCGACCGCTTTCAGGCCAATGGCAAAGTAGAGCAGAAGTCCCCTGTATCCTCGCATGTCAATCCTGAAAGTCGCCTAATCCGACCATTTCTGCTCACGTTCCTGACAGAATAGGCGCGGACTGTGTCACTGCAACCGCCCGAGGAATCATTGAGCACGCTGCCTTCCTCTTGATCTTCCAACTCCTCGCACCTGTCAGTTACGGCATGCCTATGGTAGAGAGATGATACTCTCGCATGTACCCTCGAAACGAGGATGGACCTGTCACTGGCGTGGTACTCGTGCGCCGAGTGGGTTACAAGAGATGCACGTGGCACACCATATTGTGCGACGACCGCGACGCCCACTGGTTTCCGCCAGTGATTGCCTTGAGTTGTACGTCGTCATCCAGACCAAAACAAAATGTAATCTGGCCGACAATTGGAATTGTTGCTGATCATCATCTCGCTTATCTTGGGCGTTTCGGTTCGCCTGTGCCAGCCGAGATGTAAATCTGAACTGCAAAGGTGTTGTGGCTGTTTCAAGATGGTTTAGCCTTGCGTTTTTTGAACACCGGCAACGGCACCTCTTCCGGGATGTCGCTCAAGGGTTGTGATGGCTGAACAGTGTCGATCTCGTCCTTCACAGGGGAGTGTTGGTCCGACAACGCTTCGACATGGCTAGGCTTTTGCTCGTCGTCCGTACCACTGCCTGGTTTGAGGCTTGTGATATCTTCTCGCTTGATAGTTTCCTTCGGCTCGTCCTTTAGTTGAGCGGAGGGAGGGTTCTTCTCTTTCTTCAAGGAGATTGTACCGGACAATAGCTCATCGAGGTCCGGCTTCTCGTCGCCGGGATATCGCCTAGTACTAGAGCCCCATCCACGCTGGACGACCGCGTCTTCTCCTTCTTCATCCTCTTCCTGCTCTTCGAGTTTGCGCTTTCTGACTCCGATGTTTCTAACCCCTTCGGACGTCTCGTTTGTAGGCTTTTGTTCGACCGCTTGCCATTCTCCCGGCATGGCCACCTCAGACCGTGCTTGTTCAGGAACCTTGATGCCCATTTCCGCCAACTGTGCCCATTGTCGTTTCAAGTCGACGGCTGCCTGAGGACCGTTCGCAGCTTTTCGGACGGTCGATGACTGCGACTGTGAAGATGCTGTTGTTGGAATCGGAGATGCCGAAGGACTGCCACCGGCGACTCTGCTTAGCCTTTCGACTTCCAACTTTGCTTTTTCCTTCTCCCGTTCGCCCCGCTCATGGCTATTCTGGATATCTCGGAGGAATCGTCGAAGATTGCCTTGGTGTTTGCCCGTGCTCTCATGTTGTCTGCGCTCGAAGGGAGTGTCTTTGACGTAAGTGCTGCAGTGCTTGCACCAGTACTTAGGCTGCACCAAAGATTAGCAATGAAACGTCACGGAGGTGACCAAGGAATGCACACATACCGTAGACTTCCAATATTCCGACATACTAGGCTCGCGGGAGTTGTACGAGTAGACAATTGTGACTATGTCATGGCAAATGCGTTCAGAGACCAGATCGTGGAGAATTGTTGTTGGCTTCCGGGGAATACGGGCGAATGGCTTCACGGCGCTCTAGACCCTCGACGCCGCTCGGGGATTGTCTCCCGAGAACGGCACACGATCATGTACTTGAGGGGTCAGATAAAGAAAGATCTTGATTCTGGATAAGAGGCCGATGCCGCCGAAAACAGCTCGTCTGACGTCGGCTGAGGAGGATTGGCTCGTGTCTGACGAAACATATATCCTCACAACGCTTGCTTTGGAGACGCCCGGCGCTCCGCATGGCTGTGTCAGACGTCATTATTATTCTGTGGCAAACTCGACTAACCTCATTTCTGGTCACCGGCTTTTCATTCACCCTGACCAGCCAATCACGACCGCGCAGATCCCGAGCTTGCCCGTCTCGGAAGAAAATGCTCGAACTGCAAAGTGTCTGATCTCCCCTACGTCCATGCACATAATAAACCGGCTTTCTTCTTTCACATGGAAACAACCTTGAAAAGTCATTGATCACTACTACCACTCTTTCTTTTTTCTTGATTGTTTCACCACGACTGTGCTCATAGACAAATGCGGACACAGATCCACTAGATTCTTCCTACTATTACTATCTCAACCGAAGCACGATACTATCGTCCAGAATAGACAATCCAAACCAGACTCGCGATCATCGCGCACATTCCTCCCTATTTTCGAGCTCCTTTCTCGCGCAGTCTCTCACAATGAGGATCTTTTCGTCAGAGTATACCTTCGATTACTCGTGGGAAGAGGTCAGCACCAACAACTGGAGGAAATACTGTCCATGGAATGACAAGGCCGAACACGTCAAGGCGGTTGATACGCTCTCCCGCCACGTTGATTCTGATACTGGTATCCTTCGCACGGAACGTCTCATCACTTGCAAGCAAAACGCACCACAATGGGTGTTGAGCATTCTCGGCGGCGATACGACAAGTTACGTATATGAAGTTTCTTACGTCGACCCGGTTGCGAAGAAGGTTACCATGTGCAGCACCAACATGACGTGGTCCAACCTGCTAGAATGTCGAGAAACCGTGGTCTACCAACCGTCATCCAGCGAGCCGCACGCGAAAACAGACTTCAAGCAAGAGGCCAAGATCGTGGCAATGTGCGGTGGATGGCAAAAGATCCGAACCAAGATTGAGGAGGTGAGCGTAGAGAGGTTTCGAGAAAATGCCGCACGAGGACGAGAAGGCTTCGAAATGGTATTGGAGATGTCCAGGAGGGCATTTGGTGAAGAGCGGGAGAAGATGAAGATGGAGCAGCCGATTACTGTTTGAACAGCCAGATTGTTTCGGGCCTGAACCCAACAATGTGGCATTTGGCAGTCGCTACCACGCATATCACGAATTACAGGGCATGACTTCAGCGACAACATCGACGCCTGGCTTTCAGGACAACTCCCGTCAACTTTTCCGCCTTGAACAAAATTTTGGCGTTGGCACGAGGAAAAATGGCGGGAATGAAGCGATTTTGGATTTCAGCGAGGAGTTTGGGCAGCACTTGGATTTGAACACGGAAGCATTTCTCCACATCATTGTGGTATGCACACAAAAGATTTGGAAGACTTGTCACGATAGATCATTTTAGATGGATCTGGAAAAGAACTCTCCGCGCAGCGTTATGGCTTGTGACAATAGAGACCATCTCCACCTGTCGAATATATCCGTTATGAGGTTCTTTCTGCATTTCTTCCTGTGGCTAAATGTGTTGTTCTAGACTGTGGTATTTGGACCTTTGGAAGAACGAATCCGAAACCCCTTAAGAACGCAGTGAAAGTTCGTAGATGTTTCGTCATTGATCCGAAGCGTGCTTGTCTCAATGTGTGAAGTCATGATCTGTCTGGCCCGGAAGAGATGGAGGTCCTGGTCTCCATCTAGTAAAATTATGGAAGCATCGAGGGTGGAGGACAACATGGAGTCGCAAGTCGTGGAACGAGGAAGCCTTGCCATATGCGTAGCCGCTCCGCTTGGTGTGGGCGCCGTACTCTGTAAGCAGATCAGAATCTTTGAGCTTCCGACATGCGGAGTTCACTGATGATTGATCAGATGGAAAAGACGTAGTAACGAGGCGCGAACCTCGGTGCAGTGATAATAATTGTGTCCATGGTGTTGCGAGATGCGCGGCGAGGACAATTCGATCATTTGTGGTTGTTTGTGGGTTTCAGACCCTTCAGGTTGTCGAATGCTAATCCCCCAGCCATGCTCATCAGCAAATACAATATTGCACTACGTACGGTTAGTAGTATGCCAAAGAACTCCCTTCGCTTTGCATCCTGATGTGGGTGTGCACGCACCACGGCCACGCGTGTCCCACCCCGTCCTGCATTCGCGATCCCTCGACTGCTACAAACCCCATCCATCGCTCCAGAGTACGAACCATCTGCGGACCCAAATCTCCCTATACCGATCGCCGATTGGTGTACAGCCAGCCCATCCCTGATCGACCTGCTGGCCCGTTCCTCGTGGAGCCGCGTTACCAAACAAAAGTGCCAGTCTGACGGGCCAGATAGCAAATGAAAACAGTTCAGACCCTAGCGTAAGAGGTCAACGATGGAGACTGTGTAAGAGGATTTCTTGAACATCTTGGTTTCTCGCTGCATGGCCGCGTTCAGTGTCGGTTGGTTGGAAGAGACACGAGAAACCGATACTAGATGACTGTGTTCTGCCAGGTGAAGGGTTGTTCCCGGTCAGACTGCTGTCATTTCTCAGCTCGCTTGGTCGACTTGGGGGGTTTGCGCAGCTGCAGTGAGGCGCTTCCAATCCTTGACTGCTTGACAAAGTCCTCCAATCCGCTATGAGGCATGGACCTCAACGACTTCGCACCTGTCGAATACCCTCGCCACCACTCTATCATCACCGAACCGAGCATTCACTCAAGTGGTTTCGACACAACAACACAACCACATCTGGATCCACATACTGAGTCCCCTGCGCAACAACTCCAGTTGATCACATCCCTGGTCGACTCCTTGAGCGCCCTGGCTACGGCTGCACCGGGGTCGCAGGAAGATAATACTGCCATCGAGAATCGTACACCCATTTCCATCGCGACAGCCGCGCCTGCGCCTGCGCCGTCCGCTAAATGCCCCGACGTGGAAGAGGTCGGTCGCGACCTGCATGATCCCCGTGTCGCCGATGACAGTAGCGACGGAGAGGTGGCCACTGCGCCCGTGATTCCTTACGCCAGAAGGCCTCCTATTTTGTCCAAGAGTTCGAGCAAGTCCAGGTTCTATATGCGGAATATGTCTCAACAACCACTGGCGCCTCGAGATTCCATACAGAGTCTGAGATCCGGTGCTGAAAGTGACAGTGTCGGAATACCTAGTGTTGAGAGGCGACATCTTTCCAGTGCCAGCTCTACGTTGTCCGTGTTAAGCGGACTGAGCGGCTCTCTTCGCAAACCTACCGCGGAGTCATTGCGCGACAAGGCTCTCTCGCGCCCGGTCCCTCCGCAACGCTTCTCTTCAGATCGGCGGCGAAAGACAGAGTCATTGTACAGCACGGATCAAGAGAAGGAGAACAGATATCCCACGCGAGCTTCCTCCACGGATGGCTATTCGCCCAGTAGCGTCCAGCTGGAGCAGGCCAATGTCGAGCATTCCACCGGCGTGTCTTTGGCACGACTCAGTAGAAGCGAGCTGGGCGATCATTTGATCCCGTCTCGTCGATCATCCCTCAGACGGAGTGCCACGGGGCTTTCTGAAGCGTCGCAAGGCTCTAGCCGTCATTCCATGGCTGGACGCAACCTCACAGACCTCAACATCGACTCGGAGCTGATTGATGGTGATCATTCTACTGTCAGGAGGATCCGTGAACTACAGGAAGCCAAGGAAAAGCGCCAGAAAGAATGGCGGAACGAAGCCAAGAAAGCTGACCGAGCTGCCAAACGGCATACTATTGCAACACCCAAAGTGTCTCGGCGATCAAGTCCCTATCCCAATTCGAGGCTCTCTGTGACTGACGTTGTGCATGAGTCTTCCGAGGTCGAAGCTCCTCCTGAGGTATCTGCTTGTGTCACAGGGGCCGATCTCGCGAAGATGCCTGCATTGGTACCAGAGGTCTTCGACAGTATGCCGGCGGGCCAAGGTACTGATCTCGCAGCCGGTCCTTCGATTCCGACGAGACTGCTACCTTCCCGCGCCAACAGTGTGGGTCAGAGTTCTACGAGCCAGCCGAGACGGAAATCAAGCAGACGTGATCCTTCTGCGGCAGAGCTCAAGTCGATATCAGATGAAGTCGACACGTTTCTTGGTGCTCCCCGCTTTACCCAGAAGATTCGTCATCCTCGAACGGGCCGCACGATTGCCTTTTCAGAGGTGGGTGATCCACGGGGGTTCGTGGTGTTTTGCTGCGTTGGGATGGGCTTGACGCGTTACCTGACCGCGTTTTATGATGAGCTTGCCAGGACGTTGCGGCTCAGATTGATCGCGCCCGATCGACCCGGAGTTGGGGAAAGTTCTGCTGCCCCAGAATCGGCATGTACTCCCTTGAACTGGGTTGATGATGTCGCCGTCATCTGCTCTTCCCTTGGAATCACAAGATTTTCACTTCTGGCACACTCTGCGGGTGCCATCTACGCAATGGCCGTTGCGTTGAAAATGCCTCAGTACGTCCGTGGTCGGATTCATCTCCTGGCGCCATGGATCCCACCCTCGCAGATGCCCAAAGGAGCATTACTTCGGCAAGACTCACAGCCTGTTGCCAATCTGCCCTTATCTCACAAGATTTTGAGTGTTCTACCGCCACAAATACTCAAGGTGGCCAATTCGCGGTTCTTGACGGCGACCAGTGCATCTGTGGACGCTAGACCTCTCAAGTCAGTCAAACGGAGTAAGCAGCTCCAGGGCCTAGAAATGCCGTTGGCCTATTCCTTCACTGACATGGACGAGGATGGTCCTTTCGGCAATGCCAGCCATGACGTGGGGCCCGAGCATCCACAAATGGCAACGCCAGATCGAGGGCCGGACAGGCTAGGCTACCGGACGAACAGCTATTTCTCAGAAGTGGATGGTACGCCTACCGGGACTCCAAACCCTAGGGCTCGTCGACAGACACCACAACTTATCACGGACAAAGGGCAAGGCTCCCCTGCACCATCTCGTTTGACATCTGAAGCTCGACAAGCCCTTTTTGATCAGGCTCTTACGCATCGCATCTGGGCGCTTGCCACTCAAAACGCAAACCCTGCCATCGATCTGGTTGTTTGTCTGGAACGACGGAAAGCAATCGGCTTCCGCTATCCCGAAGTGACTAGGTCGGTTGTCATCCATCATGGCGTCAGGGACACTCGCGTGCCCCTGGATAATGTTCGTTGGTTACAAAGTGTCATGAAACGATGCGAGTTGAGGGTGCTCGATGGAGAAGGTCATGGGCTCATGGCTTCGGCGTCTGCCATGGCGAGTGTTCTTGGGGAGATTGCAAAGGAATGGGAAGAGTGGGAAAAGATTGCACGAGGCAAGGACAAGAAGAAGATGGAGGACGCTTCGTCCCGATCCACCAAAGGCAGGTCGTGAATAGTCTGGTTATGCTATCAGCCATGATATCCTGGGATGGTCTCGAGTCTTGAATCTAGGTATGGAATTGGACTGGTTGCATAGGCCGATGAATGGATTGCCTGTGACCCTGAATGACTATAGCGCTAGAACAACATATGTTTTGCACAGATGCCAACTTGTGTTCGAGGAGACTTGACTAACTTTGACGATGAGATAGAAGTATGCAGTTAATCTCCTACCAGAAGTGGATGGTACTAGTAATGTGCAAATCTGATCCCCAAGCCTCGTCGCACTACATCCACCGTAATACCTAATAAAATGACTGCGGTCAGTACGAGGCTGAGTGGCAGGGAGTCAAGTGTGGGGTAAGCGAGAGGATAAGGAGATAAGGGGACAAGGCTGCCCCCCTAAAACCCTCGCCGCCCCAATTAATGCTTGTCTAACTCTGTGTACTAGAAATATACTCTATAACGGCAGCACGGCACTGCGTCTTTTCTTCCGCCCTGGTTCTTCAACTTCAATTGTTACGTCTGAACCACCACTGACACTTCGCATCCCACTTTCTTCTGTAACAACACAAGCGGCATAGTTGCGATCTAATAGAGTCAACTTTTGCGCATGCATGTTCACCACTGGACCTACTCATCCTTTCCTGTCCTGTATTTCATTGGAAACTTTCATCCCTAGTCCTCAAAGTGTGGACAATGAGCAAGGAAGTAGACGCATGGGAGGACGAATGGTCCAACGTCGCAGATGTATGTTCCTTCGTCTCGTTTGTACTCCTACATAGATGCTCACGCTTATGAAACAGAAACAACCGACACCAACATCTCCCCACGAGCCTGACGAGCCAAAGAAAGTCTCGTCGAAAGTGAGCAAAGCGCAACGAAGAGCGCAACAAGCCGAATTCAATAGACAACTCTGGGCCGAAGCGTACGCTGACTGAGTCTCCCGATCTTTTATGCTTGTGTTTACCCAACTTCCTACCAATTTGTTCACTGACACGTAGTCATGCACAACAGTGAAGGTCCTCAAGAGACAAACTTCTTCCTTGAATCGCGCAATGTCGTGCCTCTCCGTTCCGAATTCAAACCTCCACCCATCCTACTGTCGAGAAAAGGTCCTATCATCCAATCCTCCCGACCGCTCACGAGCGGCATGCAAGCCCTGAGCCTCAATAAAGACGCAAATGCCGAATCATCGGACGACGAAGACGAGTCCAAAGCCAGAGAATTGACTCTCGCGGAACGGCAGGCCCGCGCTGCGAAAGAGCGGGAAGAAAAACAGCGTCGATATGAAGAGCGGAGGCTAGAGCTTTTCGGTCCTACGGATAACGGCAACAATAGTCACAGTAATACACCCCATCACCATCATCATAACAACCACCACCATCACACACAACAACAACAGCAAAATGCGTCAGGGACCTCGACACCCTCAACTCTGACGCCGCCGGGGTCGAGGTCTGCGACGCCCAATCGGGGAAGAGGAAGGGGAGGAGGTCGACGTGGCGGAGGAAACGCCGGAATCGCCAATATGAATATGAACACGAACATGAACATGAATTCAAGAACACACTCGAGAGGAGGCTCCCAACAGCGTGAGCGTGAGCGTGACCTCTATGACCCTTTGTACCTGGCCAGACCGGATTCAAGCTCAGGCCACAACCCAAGCTACATGCAGCGGCGCGCCGAGAATGGAATTGGCACGTCCAGTCCAGGCCTGCGTCCTAATGATATCCAACAACCTATTCGAGCGCCGAAAGGCCCTGATGGGTCTGGAAGGGGCGGGTTCGGATTCGCGAATCATCGAATAGGCCAGGTCGGTGGCGACGGGTCATGATCATGTGTCTTTGTACTATTGATCGATTATTGATGGTCATATTCCATCAGATTTCTATTTGGGACGATCTGAAAGAGCGCCGTTTGGCCCGGTGGCGTTACCACCACCAGACTTCTACGGATAAGCTGTTTGATAGCATGCCCTGGATTGGCCGATTTGGATGGTTCGCACGGCATGGCGGATGAATGGATGAAAAAGCTCTTCACCAATCCCCATTGTTGTCATGGGAGAATGTCCTCGTCGATGGGTCAATGAGGCGAAAGAATAGACCAGGGTTGATTTGCCCATCTCGGCATTTGGACGACGACTGTATGAATCCTGTTGTTGGCACCGTTGCCATCTTGCATGAGCTTCTTTGTTTATGGGGGATGGTCGAAGCTTTCACGACAGTCCGACAGTCGTTCACAGCGCCAGATCGACGTCGATACAACTCATTTCTCGGCAGAGCCAGTGTACAAATACGCATGGAACCAGGACGTGTTCTAATCGAAAGAGACTACGCTTCTCGATTTGGTCACCTCTGCGATGTCAGGGGTTTAATTGATGACAGGAAAGAAACCAGTTCTTCCAGCCGGTGCATCATGACGTGGTCAACTAATTTCATGGATTAAAAACCATGACCGATCGAGCTCGTCCTACGTGGTCCATCAAGAGCTCAGCATAGCAAGGCTCGGCAATTCAGCTGAGATCAACTCATCCGGCCAGCAGTGTGAGCATGCTTTGCTTGGTCGCTTGGTTGCCCGTCTGTGGAGGCAACTTCCCAAGGAAAAAACCCTGCCGTCCAGTTGGCCTCCGTGGTGTTCCTCCCCAGGCATGCAACCCATTCGATCACAGCTCCAGCCCTAGGCTAAGCTAGCACACCTCTCTTTGCATGCACAGCCGACTCCTCGCCCAGTCGACCCCAGACATCGCCGCCGAGGCCGAAGCCCTCCTGGGCCACCGCTCTCTTGGCGTAGTCGACCTCGACGAAGGCTTTGCGCAGACCGACGCCGTCCTGCGCGACAAGCGAGTCCCATCCGTCCTCGCCGACACCACGGTAGACGCCATGGTACGAGTTCTCATCAGACACGGTTCTTCTGACCCGTTCGTCGGCTTCGATCGCGTCGACCCACTGGCGCCATCGAGTGCCGACCTCCGGCCGCGGGAAACCTCGATAGTAGCTCAGCACGCGGGAGAGACGAATGATCCACGGAGCGAAGGCCACATCCACGAATCCTATCTCGCTGCCGAGGAAGAAGGGCCCGGTGGCATGCGACGCGTTGACGAGCGAAGTGATATGCTTTTGCAGCGTTGAAATGAGCATCGAATGTTGTGCGGCGCTCGCAGCATTGGCCTGCGCCTGAGCCTGAGTCTGGGTCTGAGCTGGATTGTCCAAGTCCATGGTAGAATCCATGTCGCCGTCCAAGTTTGGTTGCTGTTGTTGTGGTGTTGTTCTTGGTGGCGGCGTGAGCAGAAGACTGTAGAAGCTTGGCAGAATCTTGCGATTGATATGGTCTGCCCAGAGGCGACAATGGGCTCTCAACTGGGCATTGCCCAATGGAAGCAGACTGTATCCCATGGCCAAGTCCTCGAGATACTCCATGACCACTCCGCTCTCCCAGACGCCCCAGTTGCCGTGTCGGATGCAGGGCAGGTTTCCTTCCGGATTGACCTGCAGCATCTCAGGAGGGCGGTAAGAGTCGAGATGGGCGGGCATCACCTCGACCATCTGGTACGGCACGCCCTTGATTTCGAGCGCGATCCAGATGCGCTGGGCGAACGGGCAGAAGCTGTTTGCGAAAAACGTGATTTTCGAAGGAGCGGGCGCAGCATGGCTTCGCGCCGTGAAGAAGGCCAGACCGCTGGCGCGGAAGCTGGGGCTGACGGAGTCGCTGCCGTGGGTGTTTGGCGTGCTGGTTGCGGCGGGAGTAGGGAGTTTCTATATACACAAAAGCAAACAAAGAGTGTCAGCTCTACTGGACAGACAGGAAGGAACTCGGTAGACAGCGAGGAAGAGATAAACCGAGAGTGTCTTATTGGGGAGGAAGACTCTCTGATCCCTTCTGTAGACAAGGCAATTTGATTCAACGAGACCAGGCCAACCCAGCGAGCAGGGTCATTCATTTACTTAAGTTCTTGTAACTTACACTCATGCGCTTCTTCTCCTTTTCTTCCTTCAACAACCATCGCTGGACGCTGTTCTTCTTGACCCGATCGCTCTCCTCCAGGGTATGTTTGTGGTCGAGATCCAAGTTCGGGTCGACCATGACCGTCGAGTCGTCGTTCTCGTCCCCACCGTCCCCAAAGCCGCTGGCGGTACTGTCGCGCTTATCCTTGACCGCGCCGCCGCCGGGATTGCCACGGACGCGTTGAATCGTGAACCATCGCTTGCCGTCGGCGCCGGGGTGGCCTTCTGGTAGACGACGTCGCGGAAACTCAAGCAGACCAAAGTTCGGATCGCTGGGGTTTATGGACGTGCCGGCGCTGCTGCCGTTGACCCCGTCCTCGAGAACGATGGTGAGTTCGCTACCGCCCACGCTTCCGCCAACACTGCCCTCCATGTCCGTGCCTGAGACAGCCAACAAGGCTGGGTCGGTAGTCGAGTTTGCCAGTGATGTGGTGGTGCCGCTGGTGTCTCCGATCGCAGTCATGCCCAGCTTGCGCGCCTCCTCTGTGCTGAAGTACTCGGTAACTTTGATCTTCACATCGCACAGATCCCGCTCGCGTGCCTGGCGCTTGCGCTTCTTCTTGTTTGGGTCGTCGCTCTTGGGTGTCCCACTTGGTCGGCCCTTGAGACGACAATCCCAGTAGTGGCTGACGAAAGGTTTGCGCTTGTACTTCTGGGTCGAGCGGTGAGAATAGACATTGTCAACGTGCGGGAAGTAGGTCAGGTACTCTTCTTCTGAGAGGACTAGTGGTTCTTTGATGTTGAACAGTTTCTCGCGCCAGGCATCGAGGTCTGGAGGGTTTGGGATTAGGGGGAACGTGTCGCTGAATGGATTTGCTGCAATGGCTGGGTCGAGGTTGGTCTCTGGGCCGATGTTGGTGTTGGTGTTGGTGTTGTCGTTGGTAGTGCCATCAGGTGTGTCCACTTGCTGCTGCGTGTTGGGGGCCTCCGACGACCATGGATCAGACGATACCAGACCGTGTGGTGTGTTGTAGACCTGGGTTTGCGATTGCGATTGTCTTGCTTGAGAAGCTCGGTTGACGGTGGGAGTGCCATTCGGATAGGCGGACGATGCGTTCTTCCAGACGAGATTACTATCCTGCGCAGGTTGGCTTAGATTCTGGTCTTCCGAGATAAACTCTTGTTGTGCTTGGCCCTGATCTTGAAAATCAGTGATGGCTGGGTCCATCGGAGTATCTTGGACTTGTGGTGTCGAGATGCTTCCATTCTGTGAGGGAGTCGAGGCTGTTTGGAGAGTCACAGAACTACGGGTCTGGTGTGGACTGCGTGACGCTGGTGTTGGGGTGGCATTGTTCGCATTCAAGCTGTCCATAGCATCACTATTGCTCTGTCCTCGTGGCTGAATCGTAGATGCTCCTCCATTCATCTCAAAGGCTTGAGTATTCACATCGACCGGGTCGGCAGGGGCGTATCCCACCGCAGCGGCAGCAGCTGCGGCAGTGTCATCTTGTTGTGGCCCTCCTTGACCGTCGCTGTTGGCGCCGTAGGCAGGGAACTGGATGGGCTGGACAGGCAAGGCAAAGTTTTGTAGACTGTCGGCATCCATGCTGGCTCAGCGGCGCGTTGTTGATTTGTATCGAATGCGCGACAGCGATGGCTGGTGGATTCGGGAATAAAAGCAGCGTTGATGGAGAAGAAAGAGGGAAGAAAACAGATCGAGGCAAAGCGGCGGGAGACGCGGAACTGAACTGGATTTTCACCGCAGTCTAAAAGTCGCAGTCTGACTGGTATTTGACAATACAGATAATACAATACTTCAATCTGCCGTCACTACAGGCTCTGCCTTACTTTACTCACTGTAGTATGTATTGCCTGAAGACGCATTCAAGCTCTAGAGACACTTCAAGCACCTAAGGTAGTCGTTGGGTCTAGGTACCTTATATTGGTGACTGTCACTTACATCGATTGTACGTACAGAATAATACAGAGTAACATATATCGCCATTTGCCGCCTCTAGGTACTACCTAGGTATTTTTGGTGGGGGTTCCCTCCTGTCTGAACCGTCCTTTCTGTTTCTGTCAGAGAAACGCAATACATCTCAGTCTCAACCTTCTCAACCCATCTTCCTGTCCTTCTTCTTGTCATAAGCCATGATGTTCTTGAATGGAAATCCAGTCATACGCTTGTCCGCCCCTGTCCTCTTGGATATCCTACCACCCGACGTCCCAAATATGACACACCACAGTCCTAAGCTGCCTATTGCCCCATACCCAATAGCACCGAGCATGTAGCCTGTCTGGCCGAAGTTCATGTAGCGCATGTAGCAGTATATCGTGCTCAGACCGTGGAACATGGTCGTGATGCGGAGGATTGGCACGGCGTAGGGCGCCTTAGGGTCATTGTCTTCCAGACTGACGGGCTCGCTGATGCTGGACGACAATGGTATCGAGCCCGTGAAGAACAAGACAATCAAGGCGATGAGAGTCAGAGAGAAGCCCAGAGAGCGACAGAAGTAGACCTCAACGTCTAGACACCTTCAGTCAGCAACAGAGGCAAGCAAGCAGGGCATCAAGGCATAAAGAGTTCACAGTAGGCTAGGCCTGCTGCTTTCAACACTGGGCACCTGGGTGAGAGGAAGGAGTCGCCGTACCGGTAGCTGGATGGATGTCTTTTGCCAATGCAGAAATGATCATTTTTGGCAAAACTACCAAAGGAAATGCTTGGATTCCCAGCCATCCTGCGGTGCTGAATGTGTAGGCGTAGAATACCTGGCACACAGCTTAGTAGAATGTTCACAATGCCAGTGAGACGATGCCTGGTGATCTACTTACATCCATCTCGAGTAGGCACAACTATGTGAATAGAACCTCACTACCAAAGAATCCGTGTATCCAGATGATGAGAAGAGAACCAAGAACAATGCTCACGAAAGCAAGGCAGAGGCAGGTGGAAGTACGTGAAACCACGTGACGTAATGCACGTGTGCATAAGGTACTTGCGATATTGGGACCACAGTAAGAGAATGGGAAGAGTAGGTAGAGTAGGTATTCGAGTTTGAGCAATCGCTGTTCATCATTGTTCATCATCTTCGTGCTATCAACGTTGGTGCTCGGCGCTGGCTGCCTTCACCCCAAAGAGTGCTTTATGAGCACGCTCTCATCCCCCAACGCGACTTATCAAGAGCCGACCAATGACACCAAAGTCGGAAGATACCTGTGCGTCTACCAGCAATAGCTTACACCTCGATCAAGGTCGAGGCGTGATGTCTTAGCAGCAAGGCATTCATCTTCTCAATCAGCCGTCATGTCTTCCACAGCCGGGAATGTTCTCCTCATCAGCCCGTTATGTCCTCTTCAGCAAGGAATTGCTCTCCTGAATCAGCCCCGAGATGCCGTCCTCAGCCAGAATCAATAGCTCCGCCCCGATGATATTCGCAATCTCGTCTCTCCACATATTTGGACCACATGCGCATCGTCATGATCCCTTCAACCCGAGAGGTGGCACATGGGAGGTAAACTCAACCAGGGTGCTTTGTGGCCACAATGGAAGCCTTCAAGAATTCTGGAAAGCATTGAACGCCTTGTAGGTGTATCCGATGAATGGCAAGCTCATCTCCGCATCTTGTTCAGGCAAGACCTGTCTGGCATGTGCTCGGTGGACAGCACTATTGTCCTCCTGAGGGATTTCGTCAATGGGGAAGTAGCTGACATCAATGTTGGAAGACAGTCTTGGCTCGAACGGTGCTCGAATCTTGCGCAACTGATCCCACACAACTCCACGGAAGAAGGGGTGTCTCTTGATCGACGATGCCCCGTCATGTGCTCCTCCTTCTCTGCCGATACGATCTGGTGCGTCACATAGAAAACTATACCAATCAGTACTTGTTCATGACTTATTGGCGTTCGACTCACCTTCGGATCATATCCTCAGCCTCTCGTCCCAAGACCAGATCTTCTGGAAAGTACAATGATTCGCGCCAGTTGACAATCTTGCGGTAGGTGTCGTGAGTGTCCTCGGCACAGAATGGTGGCCAACCGACCAGACATTCGAACATGATGGCGCCAACTGACCACCAATCGCAGAGATAGGTGTAACCCTGACCGAGGAAGATTTCAGGTGCAATGTAGTCAGGAGTACCGACGGTCGAATAGGCCATGTGACGGCGCGACTTTCTCCAGGTGTTCATCAGTCCACGATTGCTGACAGTCAGATTGATCTGCTCATTCAACACCATCGAATTGCGATTACCGGCCTTATCGGTTGCATTCGATTTGAGAAGAGCTTGATAGTACGAATTCTCGTGCTGTTTGCGACCGCCGGTGGAGAGACCAAAGTCCGTCAACTTGATGTGACCGCCTCTGTCCAAGAGAATGTTGTCTGGCTTGATGTCACTGACCCTCTAGTTAGCACATAACCACCCAACACACGAGACCAAGAATCATACCGATGAAGGAAACCAAGTTTGTGCACCGCTTCAATGGCCATGACAATCTCAGCCATGTAAAACCGGGTGATGTCCTCAGAGAAGATTTCATACTTGATCAGCATGGTCATCAAGTCTCCACCAGGCAAGAACTCCATCAACATGTAGAGGAAAGCCGAGTCCTGGAACGAAGCATGGAGCTTGACAAGCCATGGGTTGTCCTTGGAATCCGCCAGGATGTCACGTTCCGCTCGGACATGGGCCAATTGATCCTTCTTGAACATCTCCGACTTGATCAGGGACTTCAAAGCATAGATCTTGCCGTCAGACTTGCGCTGCACCAGCTTCACCTCTCCGAACGCGCCCTTGCCGATGACCTTGATGGTTTGGAAATTCTGAGGGGTCTCCTTGGTTCGGAGAAAACGCAAGAAACGTGCCTCCTTCTGTGCCAAGATGTTGATCTCCTTCTGCTTCTGGAGCTCACTGACGTTCGGGTCCTTCAAGAGGGCATCCAAGTCTTTCGCACGGCTGTTGCGGTCACGGGCCCGTTCGATGTTTTCTTGGAAGAAGCTGTTAACTAACTGCTTTGCAGCAGTGCCTCTCTTGATGATATTGTCAGAGTACTTGTGAGGGTCCTGTTCCTCCTCTTCTGGCTTTGGGGAAGGAGAAGGGGAAGGTCTGGGGACTGGCGGCGCGAGGTGATTCTGGTGCGGAGTTTGCGCGTGTCTGCCTTCGCCGGCGGTTCGAGGACGAGAAGTGGCAGGGGAGGGAGCCCGATTGACATTTCCACGGGGTGTAGCGCTCAAATCTTGGTTCGAGAACTGCTGGATCAAGCCATTGGTTGCGTCATTGTTGTTGTTGTTGTTGTTCACCATGTAGGTTCTGGAGTTGGCTTGGTAGGCCGGCTGAGGAGACTGGAGACCAGATGGACTCTGGTATTGGTACTGTTGTTGGTATTGAGGCTGCTGTGACGCTTGTCCATATCCTTGATTCTGATTCATGAAATAACCATTGGTGGTGGTGGGGTTTGGGGACAACATGCCGCCTGGATAGTCCTGTTGACCACCATAGATCGGCTGAGGAAAGGTGGAAGGAGTGGTAGGATACATGCGTGCATTTGCTGCATCGTAGTTGTGCTGATTGTCGAACTGAAAGTTCAGGCGCAGACGATTGTTGTTGTTATTGTGGTTACCGTTGTCGGGGTCCATGATCGCTGAGGCGATGAGCCCAAGGCGTGAAGGGTTGTTTGTTTGGTAAAAGATTGTGCCCTCTGTCGATCTGGCGACTGGAGAGACAGTTCAAGTCAGTGATGAGTTCCTAGGGCCCCAAACAAGAGCAAACAAGATAGGATGTACCAGTGATGCCGCTAAGCGACTGTGAGATCGACGGGAGCCGGCGTCGCACCCCCTTGAGAGAAGTTGTTCACGATAGCCAGATCGAGATAGCAACTGGATGGCAATGTGATGGAAGAGGAATGTCTGAAGGATCGACGGCTTGGGGACACGTCGATCTAGGGTGAACAAGTAAAGGGCAAGTGAGAAGAGAACATGGTAGGAAGGAAAGAGTGGTATGGAACTAAGAAAAAGGGTGCAGGATGCAGGTGAGAGAGTGGGTGGCGCGCAGGTGCGGGAAGGGGAAGGTTAAGGACTTAAAGATTAGGGGTGCCGCCGCACTAAGGCGTTAGCGGCCAAGCTTAAACTGACTCCCCTGGTCACCCTCCAGGCACCCATAAGGCCCCTTCTTTCAGGCACCATCATGCAATTGGTGCTCAGGTCGCCGCCCTTGTTGGATGCACCAGGATTTACCAGTTCACAACACGAACAGTTATGCTTCATTCTCTATCTTCTAGGGTCGTCCGTGTAGGGGCGCCAACAATGGGCTGTCGCTTCGTGCCTTATGTCACCCCTTGTGACTGCCCGGTGTGACCTGCTACGCACCCTTGTGGCCTCCTTTCTTACTACTAGTATGGCGGGTAAGAGAAACTGGCAGGAGACAGGACAACATTGGAGTTACACAGTCACGTACACAAGCACAAAGATGTTTCCATTGTGGCGACCATTGTCTCGGACAAGAGGTCGACTGGACTTCTGTCTGCCAGAAGGTGTCCTTGGGCTTTGGAGTCCCCAGACTGGCGACTGTAAAAGGGGTTGATAGCCTGATGAGGCTCCCAGGCATCATGACGATGTGGAGTTCACAGTTTAGGGATGTTCAGCTTGCAGGGTCTTCTTAGTCTCTCTAAAGACGGTGTGGGTGACTGCACTGAGGAAAGTCTTCCGAGCCGCTAACACAAAGTCGAGGCGGAACTCCAACAACCCGCAGCTGGGTCCGACTATCTTTTTTCCAGTGCCATGCCCGGACATGTGCTTGCGATCGAGCCATAGCACAACCGTCCATCCTCAACCGGACAGCTGTCGCAGACTGTAGGACACTGTGATACCTCTATAATGGCCGAAAAGCCAAATTCAGATGTCCCGCCGTCGGGTGCTCAGCCGAACCCGGCTCCGAAACAGAATCCAGCACTTCGAATGATGGGTGAGATTCAATGCTGCGTGAGAGGGGATTATGACTGATTCGCATACATAGGCATGCCCAATTTTAAATTCAAGTTGCCCTCGAGAAATTGGCTGATATTCCTCGGTGTCACCGGTTCCTGGACTGCGGCGGTTTTATATGACAAGCATCAAAAGAAGAAGGTGCAGAAGAAATGGTGCGACCTAGTGGCTCACATCGCAGAGGAGCCGCTCCCCTCGAATTATCTACGGAGGAAGTTGACGGTATTCTTGGCGGCCCCCCCTGGAGACGGAGTGAGAACTTCTAGGCAGTACTTCAAGGACTATGTCAAACCGGTTCTGGTCGCCGCGGCCCTGGATTATGATGTGATTGAAGGCCGAAAAGAAGGAGACGTCAGATATGGGACGGCAGAACAGATACGCAGGTTCCGCCGGAAACAGGGCGAGAATGGTTCAACTCCTGTGGAAGAGGTGGTGGACAAGGAAAAATTAATCGATGAGGTCCGGGAGAAGCTGCACGTTGTGCCAGAGCCTGGCATTCGTGGTGATCTGGTCCTTGGGAGACATACCTGGAAAGAGTATATACGAGGAGTCCATGAAGGTTGGCTGGGACCCATCGAACAACCTCCACCGCCTGTAGAGCCAGAAGCCGAATCCTCACCCATACACCCGCCTACCGAGGCTCGAACGGACGATCCTGCAGCCACCACTGAGAAAGCAGCAGTGGCAGAGAAGGCAGACGAAGGAACAGAGAAGACGGAGCCGGAATCGGAACCGGAGAAAGAGAAAAAGAAGCCATACCCTCCTCCAGCATACTTGTCGGTTGACAAATACCCGTCAAGTTCTCTATCACCGAACACGCCCATGGTCTTGGAACCCTCACAACCGATCCATCAGCTGCATCTTCTTGGATTCCTCAAATTCCCTTGGCGGATGTACAATTTCCTCAATCGTCGTCACTTAGCAGACCAGGTTGGTCGCGACACAGCAGCCATTGTCCTTGCCGCCAGTCGACCTTACCACCGCGGAGCAGGCTTTTCCACGACAGATCCAGATCTCGAAGCTGACCCACTAGCCACAAGATCGCCTGAAGTGGATGCTGCTGCACCGTCTGGCCAAGGTTGGGAGCAACAAGCGCTACTTGCGGTGGAGGAACAGACATGGCACAAGTCAGTCCGGAAGGCTGCCCCGGAAGGCGACGCCACCGAGCGTGTATGGCTGGACGATGTTGTCATTGACAACCGGATCGGCGAACGCATGAGAAGGTTCGAACTCGACCCGGAAGAAGAGGCGAGAGCCAACAGGATCGCTTCTGGGGTCGAAAAGCCTCGTACCTTCCACGCCGAAGAGCCGTAAATGGTGAAGTCTGTGGTACGGTGCGATGGATATCTTTGCTCCTGATATTTCGAAGAGAATGATATTTGGCCGGATCTACGGGCAGCGATATTGGATCCAATGACCAGCCAGTACACTGCACCGAAATGGTCAAGGATTCATGACCGTCTGCGATAGCGCTCAATCTATCTTTCCCAACGACCAGACACAGCTCTTCTGCTCTACCGCTTCCTACTTCGGACCGTGTCTGGTCAAGAAAGGGTTGCTGGATCGATGAGGCGGGCTTGGTTGCCACAAACATTGCCCCAACACCTCTGGTGGATTATTGCTTCCCTCCTTGTCATTCTCTCGGCAATTTCCCAAGGGCCACTCTCATGAGAAGCCCATGTTGGGAGATATGAGCCGTCCATCCTCCATCGTGTCATGATATATCAACATGAAAGTTTGGATCTTTCTTGGACAGATACTGAACATTTTCCTCTGTACAATATAATCTCTTCAACCACAGCATAATCTCTTTATATGTAAGAAGATTCATTGACCACGTGCACTAGTAAGGGACAGACAGGAAGGGCTCGATTCTAATCCTCGCATCTCGTCTCCTTGTGCCATCCGGGCTATCGAGGTCAAGGAAATCTCCCCAAGGCCGCATTCCGTCCAGAATCTCCGTTTCACGCTTCTTGAATCGCTGCCCGTCACGAATGATGTACATTGGCGCATTTTCTGTGTGCGCTTCGTGGGTTTGGGCCCCCAAGGTTGGATGTGAGCCCAGACCATGTCCACCATGCTTGCCATCAGCTGCTGAGTGATTTCCTGCGCCGTTTTGGAACTCGCCGTGGGAACCGGATGGATGGACATGGTCGTCGTTACCGTCATCGACATCCCAATCGCCCCAAGCATCCCAGTCTTCTTTCCCACCGTCCATGCCTGTCGACCGCGAAATCGGCTCAACAGGATCATATTCATGAGACTCGTAGACTAATTTAAACTGCAGAGCAGGGAGATTGAATTGTTTCGCCACCAATGATTTGAGTCGATACACTGACACAGTTGAAGGCAAGTAACGGCGGAAAGAAGTGGGTGGTTGACTAGTCGACATTCTCGTATCCGTGGTATCTTCGTGCCCCCAGGAACTATCGTGGTGGATGTAGAAATATGTATCGACCAGTCGCGAGCCCAGTGTTCCGGGCCCATAGGAATCGAGCTCTGACCGGGCTGAAGGAGCGGAATTTCCGGGTGTTCGTTTACTTTGCTGCAAGAAGTGCTCGAGGATGTCGTCGCGATCATGTTGTACGCAGAGAGCAGAGTACAGCGGATGTTGTTGACGGGCTAGCTTGACTTTTTCTTCTGCCGTGGGCGGGTTGGAACCCTCAGATAGTTCTCGCGAGTCAGAAAGGAGTTGGCGGATTTCTCTTTCTGCTACGGAGAGATAGTAAATCTCGCCTTCCTCCCTGTCACGAGGGGTGATGTTTGTGTGGTTCAGTAATTTCAGATGCGGGATGCGTGCCAGTGTGAGGTAATATGCCCTAGAATCTGAAGCAGGTGCAGATGGTCTTGCTTTGGAGTATCCGATGTCGGTGAGGGAAGATACAGCCTGGTCATACAGCGGGTTTCGAGAGATGCGTAGGGAACTGAGGTTCGGGAAAAGCGTACTCAAAGCGTCAACAAATGAGTAGTCTGAGATTTGATTTCCAGCGAGGTTCAGGGTCTCCAGTTTCTCAAAATGGTGACGCCCGGTCGTTTCAGAGGGTTGAAGGCCGAGATGGGAGATTGAATTTCCTTGTAGGGAGAGTGTGGTAATGTTGGGAAACAGGGACATCAATGTCGATAGCGACGACAGATTGGTGAACTTGTTGTTGTCCAAGTTCACGGTCGTCACCGATGGATATGTGAGCGACCGGCTGCTGCCTGCAATGTCCTGGAAAGTCTCCAGTTCGTTCAGGCCCAGCGAAAGTGTCTTAAGAGACAAGACGGCATCTGATCCTGCTGATGACAGGATCTGGAGCACCTGGGCTGGCCTTATTAGCGATTCGTTCAATTGTAGTTCCTCAATAGTCGTGAAGGGGGGTTCGGTGCCATCGATGTAGTTGTTTTCGAACATTCTCAGACGAAGGCCGCTTGTTTTTAATATTTTCAGCTTCTTGAGCGGCACACAGATGTCGACGACATCTTGCCATGTTTCAATGATGTTCCAGCCGATGTCCAGTTCCACGATGTTTGGACAAGTTCGTGCGAGCTCGACTTGAGCCGTTTCAATGCCCGCTCGAGACGCACCTCGCTGCGCAATGCCAGACACGACCAACTCGTCGACGAGGACAATCTTCAGGTTGGCAAGGACAGATAGCTGCTTCTGGATCTTCTCAAATCCAACTTCCTCCACTATCTTTCCCGAAATCTCAATCGTGCTATCAATACTAGTGCTTGAACTGCCACCTTGGGCGGACTCAGTCGCTGCAGCGTACTTGAACTTGATTGCCTCAAGGAGGGTTCGTTCGGGATCAGGCTTTCGTGAAGATCTGATAAAGGAGGCAGCGGTGGGTGACGATGAGAGGCATTGGAAAATCCGTTTGCCCTCGTACTGGCCATCATGTTTTCCACGGCTTACATTATCCCACTCCACGCCCAACCAGTCGCCCTTTGTGTTCGGGAGGGGTCCGATGTAGCGAATTGTACATAGAGCTCCGGAGTAAGACCTGCGTTGGCCAATGTACGGCTCGCTGGATGTCATTGTTGCGCTGACAGTGTCCCGGCGGATCAGGTCAACTTCGTTGGTTCTGTGTACTCGCCATGCGGCAATATCTGGTTGTCCGGCTTATGTCTTACGCCCAACATTCGTTTGGTGCTCGACGTTACCCTCGGTATGATGGAAATCAGCTGACTCAAGGTACACATCTGTGAGACAGTGAGCTCAAGGGGATATAACAGTGGAATGTATAGCTGCAGTATTCAAGTTCTACGCTGCCATGCCAAGGCTGAACTGGCAAGGCTGCAGCCTCGTGCTCCCGACAATAGACTTATGTATGTAGGTACCTGCCTTTATACGTATATATGTACATGTAGGTAGGTAAGGAGCGTGGGCTGGTATGAAGATAAGTGATCGCAATTCTCATGGATTGGACATTAGATAAATCTATAAGATGAAGAGCCTATTTGTGGCCCTTGTTCTTCGACATCCTCCAAGATAATGGGGGTGCTTGCAAATGCGCCCGCCAGAACTTCATTGCAAGTTATACTCCTGGGTATCTTTTTGGTAGTATAACTACCTCAACGCCATCGCTATGCTGTAATCAATGCTTCGTCATGCTTCAACGTCCTCGAACACTTCGTCGTCATCGTCATCATCATCCATGCCGGATTTGTCCATGTCTGAGTCCTCCACCTTGGGGGCCACGACCCCCGATGGATTGAGCAACATGGCATCACTTTTGTATTCATCCTTAAGTTCCCATTTGCCATTGAAGTCTCCCGCTTTCCACATGAACGCGATTTCGGATAACGTCTCCCGCAAATATGCTTCGGGTTGATTGACTTTGGCCTTGAGATCTCGGAGACCCCAGATGCGATGTTGTCGGAAAAGTTCCATAAGCCTGTCAATGAGTACGTGTTTCTCCACGCGTGCTGCGCGATTTTCCTTTTGGGCGTGTCTCCGCGCCTGCGCATTCTGAGTAGGTTAGCATAGAGCGGGACAGGGTGGTACGGATAATCTCTCACCTTGAGCACGTTTGCCTTGTCGGTCATGCTCATCAACGGTATGTGCTTCTTGGATGGATCCTCGTCGCCAGTTGCGAAGATGGCTTGATCCCGTTCGGGTGGCTTCAGCATTGCGGCGGCCTTCTTGTTCTCGAGCTCGAAATACTCGTGATTCTTCACCGGAATAGCCTCGAATTCCTTTGCAACTGTCCCCATGATGGCCGTCTGCTTAGGAATTGGCCGCCGCGTGTAGGGTGTATATCGTCCCTTGTTCTCTTTCTTCTTGACTTCCCGCTTGTGACGTTCGTACAAGAAGGACCGGCCTTGTCCAGGGTTTCCTTCCTCGTCAATATCGTCCCAGGCAAAAGGACGGGGTTTGTAGCCGGGTAGATCTTTCTCCGAGAAGACCATGGCCTGTCCTGGTCTTCTGGCTCTCATTTTCTCGATCGGAGGAGGGAATAGATTGTACTCTTTGGGCTCGCTCTCAAACGCTGGAATGGCACTCAGTTTCATACTGACCTGTCCCGAATTGTCAGATATGGCACTCTAACTCGCGGAACGCCCTCATACGTACTCTCGAAGGATTGGATTCCGGGCCTTCGACTCTTATCGTACCGATCTCGATTTCGTCGTCGTCCTGTAGTTTGGAGAGAGCTTCCCACAGGGTACGCGGGACGTGACTGAGCCAAAGCGGTTGCTGCGCCTGGGAGAAGTCTAAGTCTCCGGTATCTTCATAGATATCGTCATCTTCTTCCATGTAGGGCGAGGGCGATTCGTCCATAGGTTCTGGCTTGATGTTCTGATCAGGTGGTTCCAGCTTGACCCTGGGGACTCCTGAGCCCTGAAGAGTCGCCATGATTCAAGAATGGGAGTCTGATGGTAAATTGTCTCGACAGAAAGTGGAAAGACACTACAGTACAGAGTAGGTCGCGCTGCGTAAGGTACCTCAAGGAGCAAGGAAGGCAAGTTCATGCGGAGATGCGTCGTGTCCCCTTTAGGACGAAAGTGATGCCGCTCTATGCCACCGCTCAGGATGAGATTACCTAATACAATCTGCGCCAAAACGGACCTCAAAAATGCCTACCAACATTATTAACTGTCAATGTCAACGACGCACACGATCACGGTAGGTATGGACATAAGCTGGTCTCGGTGACCAAATCGAAAACACCGCTGGCCATTGTTGCTGGAATCCAATTAAGAGGCTACCACTCACACTTGGACGATTTTTACCCCAATCTCAGGTGCCACCCTGAGACCTCAGATCGCTTCTTCTACGCGGCGAGGGCGGCTCGATGATTCGAGTAGCCTGACCCGACAAATTAGACCCGGAATGCGGCTAGTACGAGGCTCCACCGCCATGAGATATAAAATGGATTATATTCAAGTACCTCCGCGGCGGATCTCCTCTCACACCCAAAGTTTGAATGTTGTCCCCGAACGAGCCAGAGGTCGCAGAGCGGTCCTTTGCCGCCTTTCTACCGCTGAGCTTTTCTCTCGTTCAGTTAGTTTGACATCAGTCCGATGTCTGCGGTGTTGCTGAGAACTCCGCCGCACCCAGCGCACTCAAACGAAAAGCAGCGGCGCAGCGAGGATTTGTAAGGATCAGATCTTGATCCCACCGTCCACATATTGTTCGGTTGTGTTCGCCGCGGAGCTCTGTATAGCTCGCCAACCGTGTCCAGGTTTGTTCGTCGCGGGCTTGATCAGAGTGGTCTGACCTTGTCCTGTCGTGTTACGTACACCAATCCTATGCCTCAAAATGTCTCCCTATTCCCTATTTCTGCGTTATATAGATGGATGACCTATAAATGCTCTGTTATTGATTGAATCCCGAAGTTGCACTGTCATTTAGCTCACGCAAGATAAACCATGTTGGCAAGGACTACTACTCGATTAACCAGAATGCTGAACACCTCGGCCGCCGCAGCACCACTTCGAAATGCTGCTCCCGCAGCGGTTGCATCTTTCCATTCATCGCCGCAACGGCCAGCCTTGAGTGCAGAGCACCAGGCAATCATCAAGTCCACAGTACCAGTCCTAGCCGAACATGGTGTTGCCATCACATCGCACTTTTACAAACGCATGCTCAACGCCCACCCAGAAATGCGAAACATCTTTAACTCCGCCCATCAGGCTACAGGTACACAACCAGCGGCTCTGGCCCATGCAGTGTGGGCCTATGCGTCCAACATTGACAACCTGGGAGCCTTGACCGCTGCTGTTTCCCGCATTGGACATAAACATGCCAGTCTCGGAATCACACCCGACCAGTATCCGATTGTTGGGGAGCACTTGCTTGCCTCGATGAAAGAGGTGTTAGGGGATGCCGTCAATCAACCAGTCATAGACGCCTGGGCCGCAGCGTACCAGCAACTCGCCGATATTTTCATCGACTTCGAACGTGGTCTGTACCAGCAGGCCCGACAGACAGCCGGCGGTTGGGTAGGATGGCGGAAGTTCAGAGTGGCGCGCAAAGTGCCCGAGAGCGACGAGATTATCTCATTCTACCTCGAGCCCGTGGACGGAGGAGCCTTGCCTCCCTTCAAGTCCGGTCAATACATTTCCGTGAGGGTTTTTGTTCCTGAATTGGGTGTGTACCAGCCTCGACAGTACAGTCTGTCAGATACAGATGATGGGAGACACTTCCGTATCTCGGTCAAGAAGGAGTCGGCCAAAGGTATCGCGCCGGCCGGCCAAATCTCCAACGTGCTGCACGAGAATCTGCCGGAAGGTGCCGAACTTGATGTCAGCAACCCCTTCGGCGACTTCACACTCGACGTCGAAGCTAGTGGACCCGTCATTCTGATCAGTGGGGGTGTAGGCATCACACCTATGCTTTCCATGCTGGGAACACTGGTCGAGCATGCCCCACAACGACCCGTTGTCTTCGTCCACGCTGTGCGCAACGCCAAAGTCCACGCTATGAAGGATTACCTGTCTCGCATCATCAAAGATAACCCGCAGGTGTCGCGCGCCATCTTTTACGGAGAGGTCGGCGAATCTGAGCAGGAGGGTGTTGACTACGATTACGAGGGACGCATTGAGCTCCAAAATATCAAGGACAAGGTCCTACTCCCCGATGCAAATTACTATTTGTGCGGGCCCGTCCCCTTCATGCAAACTCAGCAAAAGAATCTGGAGGCACTGGGTGTCCGCCCCGAACGGATTCATTCTGAGGTGTTTGGTGCAGGAGTGGCTTAAATTTGGGAATAACCTGGGATAGCGCATTTTAATCGTGTCCTGATATGGTTGGAGTTGGGCCAGTTTGATCGAGTGGAAAGGAGTTCATATACAGCCAGGATTTGGCCTGCCTCTGCCTCATAACTACAGGCCCTGCCAACATCTTCGTGCCTTGATCCGGGGGAATCAACACCGTGAAAGAGAACTTTTCCCTCAATGCTTGTGAATGAATGAGGCATTGGTCGTGCCCACTGGGCTTCGAACATGCCAGCAGTTATAATGCTCTAGAGTCTTTCATATTCAACAGTGCCGCAACGCCAATGCTAAGACTCGCAATGCAATCAGAAAATACCGGGGTGACAATGGGCCAACATCCTTGTGCACTAGTCCGCAGTCGACGTGAGAGAGGGTGAAAGGACACTGCCCTGGACCCTAATGAGAGGGTCTGAACGTTGCACAGTACGTACTAAACAGTTAAGACTATCACAATAGGACACTTGGAGGTGTTTGAGGCGGAGAGTCGACCTGATAGCCACAAGCCGATTACATCAGCAACGACACCATGCACTCGCCAAACCTGCCCTGGTTGGCTATACTGCTTCTGCGCTCACGGGCCCTACCACTACCACCTGCACTGATGCGAACGACCTCAATGAATTGGCTACACTGCACATGATCCTATCTCGCTCTCTTTAGGTGGCAGCTGTTCGGAGCTCTGGACATGCGTTATTTCTGCTAGGAGACCGGCAGGGCAGAAAGAGGCATGGCCTCCAGATTGGTGTTGGTCATTGGTGACCTGTTCATCCCAGATCGTGCGTCGGTAAGTGATCAAAGTCTCCAACGTCTGGTCATGAGCGTCGCTAACTAGGACTCAAGGAAATCCCAGCAAAGGTTCGTCCTGAATGACGCAGCCTTCCTGACCATTCGACCTCTGACATGGCGACCGCAGTTCCGCAAACTCCTTGCTCCTGGCAAGATCGGCCAAGTGGTCTGCCTGGGGAACCTTACAGACAAAGAGACGTACGACTTCCTGCGTCAGGTTGCTCCCGACCTGCACATTGTCAAAGGCGATTTCGATACCGAAGCATCCAACCTAGCTCTCTCAAAAGTTGTCCAGCATGGAGGTCTCCGAATTGGCTTTACACATGGGCACACCATCATTCCGCAGGGTGACGCCGACGCTTTATTGATTGCCGCACGTCAAATGGATGTTGATGTTCTCCTATGGGGCGGTACACACAAATTCGAAGCCTATGAATTAGAAGGAAAATTCTTTGTCAATCCGGGCAGCGCTACGGGTGCGTTCAGTACTAGCTGGTTGGCCATTGACGAGGAACCTAACCCGAGCTTTTGCTTGTTGGACGTAAGTTCTATCTTCTGTTCTGCGTGACACCTTACTGATTCTGCGAAGATCCAAGGTGATGTCCTTGTCTTATACGTCTACCAATTGAAGACCGATGAAAATGGAAACGAGAACGTTGCAGTGGAAAAAGTGTCTTTCAGAAAACCTGCACCTACAGAGGCGTGATTGACCCTCAAGCCGTTATTCAATCGCTACTGCGATCCATCCGAGAAGCATCTCGATATTGACAAATAATGAGAGGTCTCGTTGAGGGGATGGCCAGCTTCAACCTCAAGCAGCTGCTTGAGTGTTTCGCCTGTGATATCTGTTGCTTCCTGCAGACTTGGAGCCAGAGACGAGTCAGATGACTTACGGCCATGAGGAACGCAGCATCGTGACTTGGGGTTTAGCCGACGAAGAACATCAGATCAAGCACCGAATTGAGGCATACTAGTAACACATGTTGATTGCCCAGGCTTATCCCCCATGTGGCTGGGATCAATCACCAGGGGTTTGAATATCAAAGCTTGAAAGACCCTGAATAGTTACTGTGGTTCATTTGCTGTCCTAGCCAGCAGTGCTTGGTCAGTAGTCATGAACTGCAAAGGGAACCGAAGCGTGGCCCTGCCAGCTCAGCCTTGCAAAGAGATTGCAACTTCAACGGTTTTGATCCATCTCAGGCGTGCCTCGGGCAGATCATCATCCTTGTACACTGGTCTCTTTCTCTTTCTCTTCCTCCTAGTCTGCTTGACTGGTGGATCTTCTGTCCCTAGGTCCGCGCCCGTCAACTGTTGTCCAGCATTACTGCTAGACATCTGCTCCATCGTGACTGTAGTAACGTCGCCCAACAACTCCAATGTGGTATCCCCGCATTCGTTCTTGGACACCTCTTGAACTTCTTCGACAGGCTGTTCTTCGACGTCCTCGTCTTCCTGGTCCAGCTCCACGATATCATCAATCACGCTCACACTGCCTGTCCTGACCTCGACGTTACAAAGCACTTCTTTCTCCTTGTTCCTAAACCACTCGCCAACGCGTAGCGCTTGCTCCATGGCCCTTCCACTGGCTTTGACGAGGACTTCCTCCCTGCTTTCCGCTATCCTTTCGTTGGCCTCCGCGATATTCGCACTCTTGTGTTTGGATCTGATTGTTGCGCCGGCATCCTGAAGTGCCCGTTTCTCTATTAACCCCAGCATCTTCTTGACTCGCTTGACCGCAGCAACCACAGGTGTTCGTCGGGAAACATAGACAACTTTGGGGATTTTGGCGCCGGCTCGTATGTCAGGGACCGAGGGATGATCAAGTGGCCGTCGCCTGATCGTAGTACTTGGAGGAAGCCTATGGAGGTCATGGTTTTTCTTCTCGTGCTTCAAGGCGGCCAGTTCGGCGGATACATTGAAAGGCAGAGAGGGTGACATGGCCGTTGACAGGCCAGTATTCTGTGGAACGATGCGTAAGAGTCTAACACCAGGGCCTCAAATTGGAAATCCCGTTCAGAGGAGCAAGATATTGGTGTGAGAGGGACCAGCCTTCTTCCGTTTTGGGTCAACCGTTCATGTTGTGAAGCGTGCGTAGAAGACGCGATATGGGCCACCGCAACCTTGCGATCAAAGAATACCGCGGAGCACAGAGACAAGAAACACCAAGCTCGAAGAAATCGTTGTCGCCGTGCAGCAACCAAAACTGTTGTCCTTCCGGAGTAAGCAAAAATCAGTCTACAGAGCTTGCTACATTAAACGATTCCAGAGACTTGTTGCATACATTCGATTGTGCAACTGCCTTCGCAGTCGGATTTCTAAACACCTCATAATGTACTCCCCGAACACAGTCGTGACGTGGATATTTCATACGGTCATCAAGCAAGAGAGGCGCCAGCACCATATCTCGCTGGTACTCTCTAGTGGTCATCCTTTGCGCCGATAACCCTCTTCGACACTTCCCAGCAGGGCTAGATCCATGAAAGAGACGCCGAGCAACATGCCATATTTCGTCAATGATGTCCTGGCAGGATGTGGCGTAGGCTGGTGCGATCAACAGATGGGAACCATCGTGAAGCTCCCCGCCAGGGTGCGGGTAGAGTCGAGCCCTGAGATATGTCTGATCACACTTTGTGGCCCACAGAGATATGGTCTTCTTCGACCAAGGTGTCCAGAGTAGACAGGCGACTTCGGTATTGTGGCGGCGGGTCGGATATCGTATACTCGCACTTCGAAATACTGGAGCGCTTCTCGCCGTCGGATTCCTCTGATGAGTGGATTTTCGACTCTCTCATTTGATGCTGTCTGCCATCGCAAGGACAGGAGACATCCCTTTCAAAGAGGAGCATGGTTCTCGGCGTCCTATCCCGCCGCTGCACAGGCAATTGTCGTCTCTGGCCGTCATCAATCAGACAAATGAACCGCCTGATTTTCGCTGTTAGCAATGTCCTGCCACTCATGGTTGTGGTTTACTGACCATCCTTGGGACTCTTTGAGTCGAGAGTTCTTACGGAGCTGTTTCTTGACGAATTTCGACAGGATTTCCCCACAGTCATTCGGGTCTGTCTTGTTGTACAATCTCAAGTCCTCTTCAGGATCAAAGTCGACTTCGTCCACATAAGTGAATGTCCAGCCGTCGTTTCCCGCTCGACCATGGAACCCCCAATCACAAAACACTATCTTCCGCTGCCTGAGACCTTGCGAGCATTGTGGGCGGTGAATCTTTGAAGACTGGCGTTTGAAGAGCATTGTGTAATATGATCACAATGGTATTTTTCATTATGGAGGATTTGAGAAGGTGATCTAGCAATATCGTCGCTTCGCAAAATCGGGGATGTCTATATGCCGTATGCATGCCCTCTCGAGATGGCCCTTGCGTCAACCCTGGGGTCAATGCGCACTAATCCTCCATCTAGGACCCTTACTCAACTTAGCAGGAGGGAACCGCAAGGCAAACCGAAAACAGAGCCGCAAAAGAAAGCCACTCGACGCATGTCCAGGAGCAAGGCTATCCTGCGATTGGTTGGGTCGCTTGCCGCACACTCAACGTCCCTCCCGCTTTAAGCTTCCAAGGTTGTCATCGAATGTCAAAGCGGCGTTTGACGTGAGAGCACAGACTCTCAGAAATACAGTGCACGATGGTCTGCTCATCCGGCCTCGCTAGAGTTCCCTTTGATTTGTTGGAATGGTTTAACAGGGCCTCTCGAGTCAGCATCTTCCTCAAATGATCCCAGGCCTGTCAGTCTCGACAAGCAAAACCACTAGTTCCCTCCCTTGGAGGATTGCTTCGCCAATAACGGATTGATGGCATATCGTTAACATTTGGGCTGACGTTCCCCACAAGTTTAGCAATGTTCTATGCATCAGTACCGTGGACGACGCCACTTACATCCGATAAGACGCAGCACAACCTTGGTCCAGAAGGTCTCGACTGCACGTCCCCAAGCATGACCAGAGGCGTCAAGGGAACAATGTCCGGCATGTGCCTTTACGCTCTGAATCCTGATAATGTCTTATCAAGAGAAGGCCCATTTGAAGGCCCATTTTGTTGGCCTGTGTGGGTCTCTTCCTGCTGACTACCTCTCTGTGCTCGAGGCTAGGCATCCTCCATCAGTATAGTGCACCTTCGCACAAAGCCAGGATTTTCTGCCATGGATGGGTATGATGGTCCGGTGTTCGTCAACTGTGTCATACTATGAATTGGTCTTCTTCAAAAGTCTGTTCTTGGTCTCTGGACGAGAAGTGCCAATGGGAAGATCGCGTTTCATATTTGAGATCTCAAGGTTTGTGATGCCGACCCTCTAGCCGCAAGCTTCCCGCCGTCGGCTCCCACTCCAACTCTAACTGCGCATTGGTGCACCAGCTTCCTGCAGCGTCAGAGGCGTGAACTTTGTGCGCGCCTCTGACGACGAGATAAACTGGAGACGTCGGAGGTGACGTTGTGATCTGCACATCCCGGTTTTCGAGAAAGTTCGTCTTGATGCACGGTCAGATGATCGCCATATCTAAGATATCGCCCGGTCTCTCAGAATGACACTCGGTTCTGCTTGATACCAGAGTCTCGATCTGGTTGCTGGGTTGTCTTATCTAGCAGTCTTTCTGCTGCGCGATGGCATAAATTCACTGTGATCTTGGACCATCCATCCACAGCATTGCTGAGACAATAGTCATGTCACGGGCTGTTCCGTGGCATCACTGCATTATGCTGTGGACGATCCTGCTCAAGATAAAACAAGCTCCCTGCGACGTCCAGAGTGGTGTGATGTTCCTATAAGGATGCCAGTCCTCTCATTCCCCTAAACCAATATTGAGAACGTCTCACGTTGTCGACATGAGCGTGCCGACCTGCGGCTCGAGCATATATCGCAGTATTTCAAGTGCTTGACAACATGAAGCGACTGAGCAAAGGTGTGTCCTCTTAACGTTGTACTTGGTTCTCCGGAAGTTTCCAGACACGCAGCTGCACTCGCATACCCTTGGTGTCACTGTGCACCGGTCCGGTCCAAAGCTCAGCTCACCTGTTCAAACATGATTCTGTGCTTGAGCACTTCAAAGCGCTCATGGGAGGGTCCCAGCTGGGCACCTCGTCTCTACTCATGGACGCAGCAGTCTATGCAAGGCACGATAGCTCGTCCATGGGTGCTGCTCCTGGTAATCTACATGAATCCGAACCTGCCGAACATGAGCAAGCGAAGCAAGTTCTCGAATTCTCCCTCCGGCAGGGGATCAGATCCAGCCAGGGCGAGGCTTGGAAGGGAGGGTATTGCTGACAATGTAAACTCTGCACCGACCGAAATCTCGTTGCGAAAAGATTATTCAAAGAAGTGTTCTTATGGTAGCTGATGTATCGACTCGAAGATCGTGAGTCCGAGAGGCATCTATAGCTTCCTTTTCCCGATTTTCATGTGTCGAGACTCTCATGCCCGAACGGCCAACAACAAGGACAATGAATCGACCAGAATATGGAAGTGACAACAAAATATCTTGTCACATATTCGTATTGACTCTTTTTAATTCCTTGGCCCCTATCATCCGTTCGAAAATGAAAGAGCAAGCAAAACCCCTCACCTCGCTGGAATTGGGATACGAGGAACCAGGTGTCAAGTCCAGCCTAACTTGGAAATCCATCTCCTCCAAGTGCGACGCCTCAAGGAACATGTTTGAATACTGGACGAACTGAACAAGGGAGCGGCCGGATGCAAGATGATGAGACTGAGTACGGAGCAGTAGCCGGTAATGTCGTTAACCCACAAAGCGGGCCTTCTATCATAGAAGGTCGCGCCGGTCGAGATACCGAAGTCCACAAACAGTCTCCTACCTGGGAATTCAGTTACTCTGCAATGATCAAACCTTCTGTGCGCAGTTACGCATGCGCGTGGTAAAGGAGAAACTATACAGGCTACATACAAAGTACGGGTGGAATTGGTGCGTACCTTAGTTCAGTGGAACGGGATAGCACCACGGCAAACAATGCATCACCGTAGAGGTTGCTACACGTGACTGTTCTTGGCAGTCTATTTGCAGCTGCTTGATCACGTGATGAATCCAGTTCTGCTGGCTCATCAGTGCCTCCGATCGCAGGCTGGGCGCTGCAGGGCCCGATACATAATTTCTCAAAAGTTTTCTCTCGACACCAACTGACTGATTCTCCACGACCCTACAACAAGTCAAACGCAGCGCATCCGCCAGCACGAAGAGTGAGCCCCGGTCGTGGCAGTGATCTCTTCGTTTCGCAGCAACGAAAGCACATCGCATCATAATCTCGCATTCCTGTTACCAGTCCTACGAAATGGCCGACAATCCTTCAGCCGGTACGTACCCTCTGCCACAATATCCCGTCCCACCCTACCTCTCCAGGGCTGCTTCCCTTGGGATCGACGATATGGGAAATAGATGTCTCCTCTCACTAAGTGTAACCTTACTGACGTTACATGACTAGCTTGGCCGCTGGCCGATGAGGCTCTGTCGCAGTCTATCTACGACCTTGTCCAACAAGCATCGCACTGTAAGATATACCTCCTACCCGCAGCCAGTTCTGCGCTGTGTCCCCCATTTGCGAGAGTATCAAGCTGACGTAAAGCCAGACCGCCAGTTGAAGAAGGGAGCCAACGAAGCAACCAAGACTCTTAACCGTGGTACCGCGGAGATCATTGTCCTTGCTGCAGGTACGTGACGCTACTCATTCAGTTTGCGCTGGTGGTGTCTCTTTTCAGACCTTGAAAGAAATGCACCATAACAGCTTGTTTCCTCACAATCCCATGCCTTGTTCTGTTCTCCCCGAAGTTCTTTGATCCGGCTTTGCTGACATCGTGCTCTTCTCCTACAGACACCACTCCCTTGGCCATTCTGCTCCATCTCCCCTTGCTCGCCGAAGACAAGAACGTTCCGTACGTCTACGTCCCGAGTCGAGTCGCCCTGGGCCGAGCGTGTGGTGTCAGCCGCAGCGTAATTGCCGCCAGCATCACCACGAACGAGGGAAGCGACTTGACTCCGCAGATCCGCGCGCTCAAGGACAAGGTCGAGCGACTGATGATCTAAACCGAAGAAAAGCAAAATAGAATGGACGCGCATGCGCAACGTGGTCCAGTTCGGGTTCGAGTGGCATATCAGGAGGCACGTGGAGGTGGACCTGTTATCTGGCACAGGGATGGACGGTCGCAGTTTTATATCGGACCGCTATTGCTATTCCAGATCAAGCACACTCACTGATCAGCGATTCACGGCTGCTGGATCACCACCTTTCATCTATTCTTCTGCCCGCGACGAACCGAACTCGGACCACATTGCAAATTTCACAGATGCGCATATGATTCGCATGGAAGAGAGAAGCTATCGAGTTGACCCGACACTGCAAGTCATTTGACAGGCAGGAGTCGAGCAGTCAAATTGTGATTCATGTGACCATAATCATAATCAATGCCTGTGGTTCCTCGAAAACTAAATGTTCTCACAATGCTCCGACATCGTCCTTCCTGTGCCTTGATCGCTCTAGGGACTCGTCAATGACCGAATACTATACAACGCCTATCGGCCTTCGCCCGCAATCGTATCGTCCCATCTCACATTCTAGCCACTCGTCCACAATGTTTCTTTCGTGCACTTCATTCTTCCAGCACTGCCATAGTTGGTCACAGGGCCACAGGGAGCTCCGGTAGCTTCTACTGCATCGTTGAAATCCCAGACAATAATCCACAAGATTTTTGGTAACATCAGAGAATGAAAGGCAGGAATAGTAGCACATATTTCGAAAGACAACAATTCGTACTATTCTCGCAACTTTTGCAATATTCCTTGGTAAGATTTTAGATAAGCACTCCCCTTTTAACCAACACCAGGAACATGAGTGTTTTTTTAGGGGAGTCGAGTCGACTCGTCAGAGTCAAGGTCCTATTTTTTTTGTCATCCACTAGGGTTAGGGTTAGGGTATACACCCTACATGTCTCTGTCTTGTACACACGATACGTGACTAGCAAAACGTATCGACATGAATGAATGATACATGGAAGGTCTGCAGTCTCCAAGATGAAGTCACCAAAGTTCTCCTATGGGAGCTGCGGCTGTCCTGCTCATTGATGCCCGACACCCACCCATCCACCCCACCACACGTGTTGCTGATAGTCCAGCGCTCTGAATGCCAATGCATTGCCTCTTCCTTATTGAACCGTCTAAGGTCCCTTTGATCGAGTGGCTAGCCGCGCTCATCTTTCTATCTACGGCGTCAGACGCCCAACGGCGTAAAGTTTGCCGAAAAGTGAATACCTATTTGGTATCGTTGGTCTCGTTGGTCTCGACGGCGACGTCGTGCAATTTGGTGGCGGCGACTTCGCGCACCTTTTCCGGGACAATGACGTGGTCCTCCAGGAAGTAGTTGGTGTCCGTGACGTGATAGACGAGCATGTAGATGACGGTCAGCGAACCGATGCCGTAGAGGACGAACTGCATGATGCACTGGGCCATGTAGGTGACGGACCTGGTGTCCATGATGAAGCAAATACACAAGCCCAGCGAGGCGGTGCCCTTGGCGAAGCCGGCGTAGACGGCGCAGCGGGCGGGATCGTTGCTCAACGAGCTCACCACCCAGTTGGCGCTGATCAGATAGCTTGCGTAGACGATGCCCCAGAGGAGGTAGATGACAGTGGCGCCGGCGAAGCGCGAACTGGTCCAGTCCACATCGGGAGAGGTGGACAAGCGACCGTCTAGACCGTTGATCTTCATCCAGCCCACCAGTCCGGCGCTGGCACCCATGGTGATGACCCCGACACAACTGCAAGCGATGAGACCGCGTTTCCGGCGAGACAGGCGGCCCATGTCAAGCAGTGAGCTCAAGGCAAACGCCGCCGGGATCATGATGAATTGGAAAAGCACGTTGTTCAGAGACCGAGCGCGCAGAGAAAAGTAGTAGCTGTTGATGCTGCTCACGGTCGCCAGGCACATCTCCGAGGCCAGAAACGTCGGCACAAGCACATAGATCCTCCAGTCAGTGACCATGGCCTTCAGATGGGAGATTTCCTGGCGTATGCTGGTCGGCTCGAACTCGGCAATGTGCGTTCCATCGTCACGCACAACCTTCCTCGGATCTATGATCAAGAACAGAGCGGCCACACAGGCCGCGAGCATGATGCCGAGAAACGTCCCGTAGACGGCATTGGATACGCCGGTGGCTTTGGTAGCGTCGACGTCGACTCCAAACGCGATCGCTGCACCCACCGTCCCGCCCAAAGACGTCAGACCCCACTGGACGGCAAGGTACTAGGAGGGAGGGAGTCAGTCAGTCACGGATGGGCTGTGGAGCGCGGACCGGAAACTCATCTTACAGTTCCCTTGGATTGCTCATCCGCGTACGAAAAAGCGAGAGAGGTTGCGCCTGTCCACAGACATCCAGCCGAGACACCCAGCGCCACGCCGGAGAAGTATGCAAGACCAGGGCCGCCGCCTCTATCGAACAAAAAGAGGCCTCCAACATACAACGGATAGCTAGTAGAGTCTCAGTCAGCTGTTTGAAAGATAGGAGCAGAGCAGTTCGTCTTACCCGAGACCACCGAGAGCACTGAAGGCGTTGAATCAGCAAAGGTCGAAATTGAAATAGAATCCATGGCTAGGTAGACTGGGCCCCTTACATGGTCAACCTTGGTTTCAGCAGGTTGAGCGTGGCTCCGCCCACCCAGCCTGACAGCGTAAAGACACCATAGAGGATGCTGTGTTAGATGTGAGCTTTGACACGGCAACCCCTTTCCTTCTCATGTCCCGTCGCTTCAGCAGCTACTCACGCATTTGTGTTCTGCGCCATCACCAGCGCACCGGGGCCACCTCCACCGGCTCCAAGACCCGTCAAGGCGAGATAGATTCCCGGCAGACAGAAGAGAAGGCTGGTTGTCGTGTCAGTAATGCCATCCGCAGCAGAGCGTCCAGGGATGAGGAGTTTACTTACCATCCGACCAGGAAGTTCTGGTTGAAGGGGCGATTGAGCCGCCACTTGCTGAGCTGAGGGGACGCCATGGCTTTCCAAGAACAATGTACACCAAGCTCCTTTGAACGTTTTCCACAAGGCCTTGTCGGTGATGATGGGACTGTGGAAGGCTCTGACTTGGTGAACAGAGCTATATATGTTTCAGAAAGCCCGCCGTCGCAGCCATCCCGACCTTAGAAAACAAACCGATACTGGGTGCCGGCTGTATTGCAACCATATCATATGGACATTTTGATAATGCTATCTGCTTGCTGATAGTAACAGATACACAGATCATACTGATTCTGATCTGTGAGCACAAGGGGTTATTAAGGGTTATCAAGAGCTTATCAACGTGAATCCACCCGAATGACCCATCGGTGCCGCGCTGCGCGTTTATCTGTCTAAGCGCGGTCCTCGCATTGACTGAAGATTCTGTACATACCTTATCTTGGACTTCGATAAGCGTTCTCGCTCGGTCCCACACCACAACCGCGCTTCATTTTTCGATCCTGGCGCAAGGGTGGTTAGCGGAAAAGTTGCTGGTGTGTTTGTGTGCCCTGAGCCTCAGCCTCGGACCCAGACCCACTAGGCGACCGGATCTGGCTCGCGGTCTTCAAAAGAAACCCAGGTTCCGCCAACGAGATGAGGAGGCTTAATGCACCGTACAGTCTTTCTCTCACGCATTCAACTCGTAGGATATCCTAGTCCGTCAAGAAATTTCAAGATGCCCAATCCGACATGGCAAGAGCGCTGTGCGAGCAAACAAGCGGAGAGGGACGCAACGATCCCGAAGGAATGGCTCCTCCAAGAGCTGCCTTCTGCGGAGCGTGCCAACGTGATGGATGTGCCCTACACATGTGGCATCATGAGTGCGGCGGAACTGGCCATCACGGAGCTCGATGCGACCGAATTACTTCATCGCATGGCCGAAGGAACACTCAAGAGCTATGATGTTGTCCTCGCCTTCTGCAAGCGGGCCGCCATTGCCCAACAACTGGTGTGTGCCGTCCCCCGTCGTTCCCAATGCATGAACAATTGTCATCAAGGACACCGTTGGACGCTAAGAGAACGTTGTGTCCGCTACAGCTCAACTGCCTCACCATGATGTTTGTCGACGAGGCTCTGCAAAGAGCCAAAGAGCTCGATGACTATCGTGAGAAGACGGGAAAGGTGGTCGGCCCTTACCATGGCCTTCCTTTCTCCATCAAGGATCAATGGGCGATCAAGGGAAAGGAATCGAATACCGGCATGGTCGCTCTCATCGGACAGACCCCGAAGGAAGATGCTGTTGTCGTCCGACTGCTTCGTGAAGCCGGTGCAGGTAAGCAGCACGAAAAGGAAATGGTTCCGACTGCTAACTGTTCTTTCTTCTCTTCCTCTTCCAGTGTTCTTTTGCAAAACAACGCAACCGCAAAGTAAGCGCATAGACCCGGATCTCGTTACATTTCCACTTGCTAACCACGCAACATTTAACAGCCGGCATGCACTTGGAGACTTGTTCGAACGGTGAGCCTGGGGATTCGGGAACGGTCCATCGGCCGGGTTGAAGTCCATTACACTAACTCTGGAGTTAGTCTATGGTCGCACGCTCAACCCATTCAACCGGCGTCTGACCAGCGGTGGATCGAGTGGTGGTGAGGGCGCGCTGGTAGGATTCCGTGGCTCACCCATTGGCCTTGCCGCCGACATTGGAGGCAGCATTCGGGCCCCGGCCGCCAACAACGGCCTGTACGGGGCAAAGATAACATCTGGTCGTATCCCCCTCACAGGGATTGTCTCTCCCGTGACAGGCTATGACTCTGTCCCCGTGGTCGTGGGCCCAGTGTGTCGGTCTGCACGAGACAACGAATACTTCTTCCAAACGATCCTCGCCACAGAGCCATGGAATAAAACACATTATCTGGTGCCGTTACCCTGGCGCTCCATCAAGTTACCCGAGAAGATGACAATCGCGTTTCTCTGGGACGACGGGGTCGTCAAACCACATCCTCCAGTGACCGCTGCGATGCAGAATCTAAAGGCCAAGCTGCAGAGCTTGCCCGACCGATACGAGATTGTTGACTGGCAGCCTTTCCAGCATGCCGATGGCTACGACGTTACCAGAAGTCTATACTTCCCGGACGGCGGCAAGGTGTATGCGGATATCTTGCGAGAGTCCGGCGAGCCTGCGCTACCGTTGACTCAATGGGTCACCAAGGAGAGCCACGTCAAAGTCCAGTCGATAGAAGAACTGTTACAGCTGAACTCCCGACGTGAGGCATACCGAGGTGGGTGATCCTTGAACGAACGAGTCAAGCCCCATGACCAGAATCGTTCGCAGATTGAACATTGCTGACTGACCTGTCCTTTGCAAGCTGCGTATCTATCTCATTTCAATGCTGCTGGTTCTGTCGACTTCATCGTTGCGCCGGTAGGGCCTGGGGTCGCTCCGGCGCATGACACGGCGAGATACTGGGGCTACACTGCCGTCTGGAATATCCTGGACTGGCCAGCTTATGTGTTTCCTACAGGAGAAACTGTTTCTGCCGACATTCATCTCAAGGACTTATCCTATCGCCCGAGGGAAAACGAGTTCGATGCATACAACTGGGAGAATTACGATCCAAAAGTGTCTGAAGGTGCTCCGATCTCGCTGCAGTTAGTCGGTCGCAAGTGGGACGACGAGCGCGTTGTCAAGGCGGTGGCAGAGATAGCAGCAATCATTGACCAACACAAATGAAGCTGGTTAGATGATAGGCAGCTGCCAAGTGGCAAGGGTAGCGCAGCTATTGCTTCGAATCAGTATATAGAGAATGCTCAGAACGAAAGTGAGAGTGCGGTTGCTTGAGAAGAAATGTGCCATTTGTCCGATCGTAGTAGTCGTTGGACTGGTGACCCAGTGTTATCTTGGTGAACAGTGAACAGCCATTCACATGGAATGCATGTAGCATGGAGCACCTTACCGCCAGAATGTGAGGCGGTAGACTCGGTCCTTCGCAATCAGCGTCAATGGTTCTGCAACGTCGGTGAGTAGATGGTCGGATCATTTGCCGCGAAGCGCGTCTACTGTATATGAGTACGCGCGCTTCGACTTCGACCATCTAATCGCCCACAGGAATCCTGCCGTAATCGCGCTCCACGTAATGCCACTGCGCGTTCCGCAATCGCGAGTTTGTCCGATGAGGATATGCCGAGCTCTCGATAGCTGGCGTGGCGCAACGTCGTATGCATCCGTCGAAACCAGCGATGAAAATCAGTATCAGCATACACGAGCCGGTTAGCGCGGAGCAGCTCTTCGGCTCGCCAGTCTCCATGCATTCAAGAATGAGTTGACATGGGTTCATAATACTCCGGTCTGCAACAGTTCCAAGATTTTCCTTTTCACATCAACCACACCGACCGAGCACGCTCTAGGACTCGAACATGGGCGAATACATTTCTCCGGGTCAGAAAGGCCTTGAGCTCTCACCGCAGACACAGAAATTGTTGCAGCTGGAACAGAAATATGTGGCTGGCGGCTTCGAACCAGTCCCTGCATTCTTCGTCAAGGGCAAAGGGTCGAAACTTTGGGTAAGTGGTGTCCCCAAAATCACAAACCTTCTCGCAGTCGTGAAAAGGCATTGACATGTCGTGCCGTGCTGCGCGGGTAGGACGTGGACGGCAAAGAATACCTCGACTTCATTGCCATGTTCAGTGCCGTCAACCAGGGCCACGGCCACCCGTATATCGCGCAAAGGGTCATGGAGCAAATGGAAAAGCTTCCGCTGGCCAACCTGTGCGGCCACAATGCTCTGTACGGCCCATTTGCCGAGATGATGTGCCAACGCTTCCAGTACGACCGAATCATTTCCGTGACCTCGGGGACGGAAGCGGCAGATACGGCGTGCAAGATCGCCCGAAAATGGGGCATCCAAGTCAAAGGGATACCAGCGGATCGTTGCCTCATACTGGGGGTGGGGTCCTCGTACCACGGGCTCGGGTCAGCGGTATGGGGTCTGATGGATGCTTCAGAGACTCGCAAGCAATATGGGGTGGACAATCGACTGCAAAGAAACACCAATCCCTCCACGGGCGAGCCTCTGGCATACCTCGATCTTGCAGCGATGGAGTCTTGTTTGAACGCTCACGGCAACACCGTGGCGGCAGTCATTATGGAATGCTTGCATGGGTCTGCAAGATCTTCGGCCGACGAGATTGCCTACGCCAGAGGCGTCTATGACTTGTGCCGCAAGCATAACGTGCTTTTCATCGCCGACGAGGTCCGGCAGGGCGCGGGCAAAACGGGCAAGTTTCTTTGCCATCAGCATTTGGGCGACGATTGCAAACCAGACATTGTGACCATGGGCAAGTCCATCACGGGAGGCTTCTATCCTCAGGCGTTCGTGCTTGGATCTGAGGCGGTCATGTCACTTGTCGGCTCTTTCCAACAGGCGGCAACGTTCGGCCACACACCTCTCGCGCTGGCCGCTGCCCGGGCCGCCATTGAGGTCATTGACAGTGAAAACCTGGTGGAAAGGGCTGTGGCGATTGGGGAGAGGTGGAGAAGCACGGTTGATGGTTGGAACCACCCGGAGGTGGACTATGTCGCCAGCATTGGGGCGGATTCGAATCTCTATTTCCGAAACTTGAGCGGGTCCAGGGTCGCTGCACTTTGTATGCACAAAGGTCTCTTCACGCATCCAGCTCCGCGAGGTCTTCGCCTGAGCTTCGCCATGACGATGACGGACGAAGAACTCGATCGTGGGGCAGCCATCATCAAAGAAGCTCTGGATGAGATCCACCTCTATGAAGATATCCCGGGAGAGAGATTCCATGACCCGAAGCATTCTCATTGACCCAGGGTTGGGCTTGGGGATATCGAAGTATAGGCGCGAATGTATTATGTAACCGAACCAATATGTCTCGTTCTTGGTGAAGTCATGCCATACACAGCTTGATGGAGTGCTTTTCCATCATAAGGTGTAAACCCAGCGGGCCATATGCTCGCCCGTCGTCATCTTCCCACAGAAGTTTCAGTAAGGAGATAGCCTGCTTGATGTGGTTCATACGGCAGTGAAGTACGAGCCACTCCTCCAGCATGTATCGTCGTTGATCCTCCTTGATGAGACAAGATCCTACCATCATTGCTGGCCACATCAGGACACACCTGTAAGGAGAGGAGTTCAAGTCGGGCTGAATGGAGAGGATTTTGTCGACGTGTTGTTGAATCTGGTACACAATTTTGGGGTTGACAACTGGTGAGCCATATATGGCCAACTCCAGGTAGATTAGCAATGCATGCCGATAAATTTCGCCTGTGATTTCATGCTCGGCCCGAAACTGAGCCATGTCTGCTGGCGGAGGTGGCGATTTCCACTCTTTTATGCTGGCAAGCAGTTCATTGCACTTTCCAAGAGACTCGTTCGTCACTCGCCCTTTGGCTCGATCGGCAAGACACAGACGGTACAGTTCTGCGATCATGGGGATCTTCTCAAAAAGGGTAAACCCGCAGCCGAAAAAGGTTCCAAAACAATCGTAATCCTGTAATGTTCGCAGAGATGTGACGAAGTCGTCCATCGGCACGGTGGAACTGCCAGGAGTGCCATATGGCGTGATATAAGCCACCGACATCAAATACGCGTAGACCTCCAAAACAAAACCGTGGATCTCTTTCTCTTCGGTGGTCTCGTAATTGTCTGGTTCGCGATTCAATCGCACAATGAGATACCTGCTCGCACGCAGGTGCGCAAACATGGCGCCCTCGCACACATCAGAGACAATCTGTGGTAATATTAGTCACAGTGGTCCATGAGGAGAAGGGACAAGACGCGCCTCAACATGACAGAGCACCATCAAGACCAGCAAAAGTCGCAAGCTTCTAGCGCCATACAAAGACGACAGAGCACCGAATTCGTTACGTAAACTGCTGATGACGAAAGAATAATGTAGCTGAGTTTGCAATCGAACATTGGGGGAGCCGGCGTTCTGGAAGCTAATGTGGCTGCCGCTCAAGGCTAGCACAGCGTGCATCAGCAGATCATCGCAGCATGCAATTGGTATAACATGCGTCAAGAAAGGATTGCTTCTCAGGGGCTTTGCAGCAAGCTCAGTCGATGTCACATGAAGGTAGTGTTGTAACATGAGGCGAGAAGTCGGACTTTGTAGCGAAGCACGTTCCGTGCTGAGAAAAGACTTGGACTCGGCGTGCCACTGGATGGAAAGCCCTTGTTCCGGCAAAGAGCTATTCAACGACTGTATCTCCGGGACGTCTGGCGGGCTGTTCCAAGAGCCATGCGCTGGAATTGGCGGGACGTCCTCAGCGTCAGGGGCTGGGGAAGCTTCCTGGGATGTGAGGATACGATCTGAATCCGATAGTTGGCGCACTCCAGGGTGAGACCCATCTGAGTCGGTTTGATTTGGCCAAATGCACTGGAGATGATTGCGAGTACACCCACGGCAGAAAGGGTGTTGCTCATCGCATCTCTTACGCCGCCGTCGGCAAGTCAGACAGCCTTGTCTACCACGAGTATAGCCAGCCCGGTGATGGCGACTAGTTGACCGAGACTCCATCGTGCATTGGCGACCTGAGAAGTTGAGAACCGGAGGTCCAGGTTGTGAATTGCAGTTCAGAGGCGTTTAACAATGGCAATGGCGACCTGTCGGGAAGGACTCGGTGCAGGGTTGCCGGTATTCACCGCTATGCGGCAAGAGACAATCCGCATTGTATTCCAGATGACTCGAAGATATATACCTGAACTATCGTCGAGGTAGTCTGAGGGTTTGCCATATCGGTTGAGGAGTTTACAAGTTTACAAATAACCCTTATACGGAGAGACAGTGCACATGACGGCTCTCTGCTCCGACGGTTGCCACAGCTGTGTCTTATCTGATTGGGCCATTCCAGCCCCACAGCAATTCTACAAGGCTCTGCATCACGTGCTAGACTTAGTATAGGCACAAGGCTGAGATTGTCATATAAACACACACACCCCCCTTTTACGTGTCGAAGACACTTCCACAGAGTGGTTGTACTACTGGTACTCCTCATCCCTGGCCACTTGGCGGGGAGGCAACAAGTTACAGGAAGTTATCATCGGGCCACGTTGGCATTCGACACGCGGTATAGTAGAAGGGCAGCAAGACGGCCACAGTATCAAGATACTACCACTAGTAGTATCTTGAACGCGCTCATATACGTCGTGTGTCGTTGCCTTCGTGCCTTGCACTGGCAAATTCCCAGTCTACAACACCAATCGCATCTTGAACAAGTCCCTTTCCACGATTTCGTTCTTCCGACTCAACAGCTCATCCACGTCCCAGTTCGCGCAGTAATACCGACCCGACAGCCATCCGCGCTTCTCAGCCGTCAACCAGACACAGACTCCACCAGGAAGACTGATATCGTCTGTCAATACTGCGAACACCAAATTGGATCAGCAGCTTTCTTCAACACGTCGTACAGAGTATAAACAAGGGGGACCACGTACTGTTGTCCCACAACGGTGGATAATCCACACTTATCGGAGTCTGAATGCAGCCCGGGTGCAGGGCGATGGCCACCACGCCATCTTTCTCAAAGTGGTCTTCATGGATGTGTTCCGCCAGCCGGTTGACGGCCATTTTGCTAATATTGTACGAGGCCGGCGCCAGCTGACTGCTCGTATCTAGCGAGGAGCCGCTCGAAGAGAAGATCAGCGTCTGTGGTCCGTCGCGCGTCTTCTGGAGGAGCGGAAGGAAACTAGTGGCCACGATCAAGGAGCCCACAAAGTTGGTGTTGACGACCCGTGTGAAGTCTGCGACGTTTTCGGCCGCAACCGTGGGGCGGAATCTGTAAGCCTTGCGTTTGGTCCCGTTGGATTGGACCTCATTAACGGGTAGAGTGTCATCGGGTATCAGCCCCGGGGCGACACCGGCATTGGCGACGAGCACATCGAGTCGCCCGAATGTGCTCTCAACCATGGCACTCAGCTCGCGAACCTGCGCTTCACTGGTGACATCGACCGCATGTTGTACGACTTTTGTCTCCGGCTGGACGCGTGCAAGCTCTGCCGCAACGGCATGGAGATCGGCTGCTTTGCGCGATGTTACAACTATCGCGGATGCGCCTGCCTGGGCGTAAGCTTTTGCGATGCCTGCACCAATGCCTTTACTCCCTCCAACGACCACGACCACGAATGGCGATGGGAGCTTGACTTTCGTTGGGTCAATGGGACCTTCTGCGGCGCTGTAGTATTTCCGAGTCGCACGGAAGCCCGCGTGCTCGGGCGTATTCCATACCCAGGGCGGATAATCGGACATGCTTTCGTTGGTTGCTGTTTCTCACTTCCTATATATGTTGGTCTGCTTGCACAAGCTGATTGGCGTGATTTGTTGGCAAGACGAAGTAGGCTCTGACGGTGTTATTCTGTCGACTGGTGCATTCTCTGCACAAAGACTAGAAGTCAGTTCCCTCGATCCAGATGCAGGATGTTTATCAGGTTCTATCCGAGATCGAGAGTTTGTCAGCACGTCGGAGCGAGGTAGAATTCGTAGCGTCGGATTTTAGGAGGTCCCCTACGCGCTTCAGCTTCTCTGTGACACACAAATCGATCAGATAGATATGCGCGTATGACAAATCCTATACTCCGGATTGAGCAAGAGATTCGAGGAGGCGAGATCAACGTCCATGATACGCGTATGCAAGGACCCACTCTACCAATGTTGCAACGATAAGCGCCGCTGCGCGATTATCATATTGATAAACGCGTCTATATCTTGTCTCCTTTATCGATGGGGCCAGCCGGACTTCGGGTTGTTCACTACAGGACGGGGACTTCACGGGTGCCAGTACCGCGCTCTGCAAAGTTGATCGGTGCTGGTGGCGCCATCTCAATGACAATGGCCGTGTGATATGTCAATGATACCTTCACGCCTCAGACCCTGTACTCTGTAAGACATTACGCGCCGGCCATGACACGCTGTACCACAGAAGAAAGTCTGGGGATGGTGTGCCCGTGTCAGCTTGCTCCAGAACACACTCTAAGTGGCACGGAGATGGCGTCAAGGCATATCAGACTGGTACGGTGCCACTCACCCCTATAGAGATCCGATAACCGCGCCGTGCCTTTGCCCTGGGTCATCCTCCCTTCGTATCGATCTTGACGTCGCTTTTCTAGAAGTGGAATTCAGATTTTCTATCGCTCGATATAGAATCCAAAGTGGGCTTCGAAGCGTCTCCACAAAATGTAGAAACAATGGTTGAGGCAAGGAAGGCATCATGACGGCTCTGCGTTGGACCAACATCCAGTCAATTGAATGACTATCGCGGCGCTTAAGAGCTCCTCAAGGTACGGGGAGTCGGGACAAGCCAGATGAATCCATTGATAGCACTTCCAAGTTCTGCTGAGCTCAGTACAGGGCGACAGTTCTGCTGATTGTCATGGATTCACCCAAGGCAGCACAACGCTAGTCTGGCTCATCAAGGATGGTCCCCATGAAGGAACATATAAAGCAGGAGTTACCACGGCCAAAAGCACGCCTCATTCTCTGGTCAACATCCCGGACGCGCATTCAGAGATGAGGGACATCGCACAGTACGATGTGCTGGTCGTGGGAGCTGGCTTCAGTGGAATTTCCGCCTTATACCGACTCCGCAAGCTTGGTCTCACAGTCAAAGTCTTCGAATCCGGGGGGGATTTTGGCGGTGTCTGGCATTGGAACAGGTTGGCAAATCCCCTCGTCTCTGAGTCTCTTCTGGCTTTCAATGATGATTGATGGATGGCTAACCCCGTTGCTGGAAAGATATCCCGGTGCTCGCGTCGATTCCGAGTGGCCATACTACCAGCTGAACATACCTGAAGCATACAGGGATTGGGACTTTTCGGAAAGATTTCCCGACCACAATGAGATCCGAGCTTATTTCGCCCACCTCGACAAAGTACTCGGCCTGAGGAAGGACGTTCGTTTCAACTCGCATGTCACGTCGGCCCAATGGTCTTCGGACGGTTGGACCGTGGAGACCAGGGACGGACAGGTGGCCAAGGCCAAGTACATGATCTTATGTACCGGTTCACTCCACCGTCGATACGTACCAGGTTTCCCGGGGCTCGACACCTTCAAGGGCGTGGTGCACCACACCGGGGCTTGGCCGCGCGATGTCAGCGTTCAAGGCAAGAGAGTAGGCATCATTGGGGCCGGTGCCACAGGCGTTCAGGTCACTCAAGAGCTCGGCAAGCAAGCCAGTGAGCTGACCGTGTTCATGAGAAGACCGAGTTATTGTCTCCCAATGGCACAACACAAGCTTAGTGGCGCCGAGCAGAAAGGCTGGAAGAGTTACTTTGACACGCTCTTCCGGCAAGGCAGGAAAAGCCCGGCCGGCTTTCCTGTCCTGGGGATGCCTATGGGTGTCCTCGACGCCGCGCCTACAGAACGAGAAGAGTGGTTCGAGAACATCTGGCAACGGGGCGCCTTCAACTACCTTGCACTCAATTACAACGATGTCGTGCTGAGCAAGGAGGCCAACAGGCTCGTCTATGACTTTTGGGCCCGCAAGGTCGGCGCACGCATCAAGGACGACAGCAAGAGGAAGCTGATGGCCCCTCAAGAGCCCCCGTTCTTCTTCGGCACCAAGCGAAGTCCACTTGAGCAAGACTACTACGAGGTGATTGATCAGCCCAACGTTCATGTCGTGAACTTGAATGATGAACCCTTGAGGTGTTTCAACGCGACCGGCATCGTGGTGGGAGACAAACAGATTGATCTCGATATAGTGGTGCTGGCAACCGGCTTCGACTCCTTTTCCGGCTCGTAAGTGTCATCAAACCGTCTCATTTCTTCTGCACTGCACGTCCATTGACCACGCAAAGGTTGACGCAGATGGGACTGAAGAACCGCCATGGCCAAGATATAGCCGAAATCTGGAAGTCGGGCATTCGCACTTATCTTGGGATGACCATGCATGGATTTCCCAACGCTTTCATGGTGTACTCTCCTCACGGTGAGGAAACTTCACTCTACACTTGTTGGATTCACTGACACATGCAAAGCGCCGACTGCTCTTTCCAACGGCCCAACTCTGATCGAACTCCAGTGCGACTGGGTCGTCTCGGCCATCGAAAAACTCGAGAAAGAAGGGGCCACAAGGATTGAGGCAAAGAGTGCTGCCGAGGACGACTGGATCGCTATGATTGATACCATGAATGAGCGTACACTGTTCCCCTTGACAGACAGCTGGTGGAACAAGGCGACCATTCCGGGGCAGAAAGCCCAGGTTTTGACCTACCCGGAAGGCATAGAGACGTATGAAGCCCAGGTCAGAGAAAAATTGGAGGAATGGCAAGGGTTTGAGGTCACGCATTGAGCGGCGCAACCTCCTGTCAATGTACACATCCCATGCCCAAGACCACATTGACCAAAAAAGGGGAGCAGTAGGTTGACCGCAGGTCCTTGGCTTTCGCCTTCATGGCATCAGAACAGATTCTCCTCGAAATTGTGGTCATAAAATTGGAACCAGGTCAAGTAGCACGAGATGAGATGGCACACGAAGGAGTCGTCGATCGTAACCTTGGTCCAAGGAGCCGCTGGAACTGAGACCGGTGGTATGTCAATGAGTTCACTGATGGCCAGCATCCAGCGGATGTCCATGCCTTCTGGCGGCGGGCTTGCCGAGAAGTAAACACACCAAACGTAACTGACCTCGTCTGAGCGTGGAATGAAGCGAAACAAACACAACCGGGTGAATCCTTCCTATCACCCGAGGACGGTCTATGGACAAATTGATACAAAATCCAGGCTCGTCAGGCGTTCATAGTCCCTGCATCACATACTCAGCTTGACTAGACTCTCCACCCATTTCCTTGCATCCACGCCCACTCCTTCATTCACCCCCTTTGCATTTGTCGGGCTCGAGCCGGTACCTGAGCCAGAACCACTGACCTCTCGAGTACGTGGCTGGTCACGGAGGAGCCATTTCCCCGTTGAACTTAGGGCCCGCGCATCGAAGCGTGCGCCAGACGGATCTCTACTGCTTGCCACCCGCTCCTGTGGAGATCTTCTTACCAGGATTGCTTCTTTCGCGGACGATGGGTTGGATCTGCTCTGGATCACTTCAGGCTCACCGTCCGAGGAGGCGAGCACTTTCATCCATACCACCCACCAACCCCGAGCGGTTTTCACTGTTCTCTCAAGCTCGCCGGCTCCAGACCGGCTCAGGCTGATGCCGGCCCCTCTATACCGGGTGCCAGCCCAGATGTTCAGGATGTGGGTATGCACGTTCAACGCTTCCACCCTGGTCCAGTTGCTTTTGACCAGCGCGACGGGGCTCGACGGACTCGTGGCTCCGGCAGGAGACGAAGTTCCGATAGGAATTCCGAGCGTATACCAAGAGCCGGAGACTGTGACAGGTTGCACTTGCCGTGATGTTCGGTGAAGTCCTTCGGCTGCCAGGCTGCCAGGCAGAGGTATGTTGGGGATGGAAGTTCGGATAGTCATCTTGTCAGGATCATAGACAAGGTCGAAGACTTCTAGTGTGTCTTTGCTGCCGGTCGTGGCTCTTGTAGTGTTCTCCACCTCAGCTGAAGCATTCAGTCCAGGCTCAAGTGTCTCCATAACCCGCTCTCTCCACCTCTCTGGATCTGTACTCCGCATGAGACTCTTCTGGAGCGGCCCAAGAGTATGATGGATAGATCGGTAAAATTCAGGCATCGAGAGGTTGGATGTATGCAACCGGAACAGGAACACGAAAATAAATGGTTGATGGACGTATACAGCAACTTGCACTTTTTCATGAGTAATGTTAGGCTTCGAGCCATCCACAGAAGCTGCAGCACTGGTTTTGACTTGAGGGGAACCATCGTTCTCGTCAGCCCGGCGGTTCTCGGCTTGCGAGGATAGACTCGCCGCAGCCGATAAATGGGAGAAGCGTGATGAGGACATCTCAATCAACAAAGTCCGAAGGAAGATGCGGTTTGGGGTACTTTGCGGCGGTGGTGAAGACGACCTTGAGACATTCTTCCCGAGTTTTGTGTCTCGGTCTGCTGGTTCGTCCTCAGGCTCAGTATCGAATTCAGTATTCTCGAGGTCGCCGGAGAGGCCAATCAAGAATTTCCCGATGGATTGTTCGAGCCGCTGAACAAAAGGCTTTCCTTCTTCATCACTCACTTCGGGTGTAGGATCCAGTGCCTGGAGTGGTTCCTCGGTCGATGAGTCCTCAGGCTGAGGCTTGGTCTCGGAGGGCTCAGTGTCTCTAACGTCTGAACTCACTGGCGTCCTTTCTGCAGCAAACCCTTTTGGGTTCAATGTCCAGCTAGATCCATACCCAAGGCTGAGATATTTGAGCATCTTGTCCCTGCCGAACAGTGAAGAGGAACCATGTGGCTTCTGGCTATGCTCCGCGTCGTCCAATTCCTCGCTATTGTCAGTATCACGTTGCTCGGTCCAACTTGCTTTCATCGTTGCAGCATCTAGAGACTGTTCGACCGCGCTGACCAGTGGCGCTGGAATACCCGGCGGGATTGCATTGTTCTCCATTGCTTTGCGGCGCAAGTCGGGCGCTCGTCCTTTGGATGGCTTGCCTCTTGAGGAGACCTCCTCGTGGTGTTGCTGCCGGGTGCGACTGGCGGATACCGGAGAAGTACTGTCGGATCTTTGCTGAGCAGCAGCCCTCCTTCTGTTTCTGCGATGTCGGGGCCGCGAGGCAGGATTCTCCCCCACACCGTAAGCGGCATCTCCGTGGACATAGATGTCCTCCATCCACTGGGACAGTGTGATGAGCGAGCGTCTCGAAACGGCACCCATGCCGGAGAAGATGATCCCATCTTGTGCCCGTGGATCGTCCCCATTGCCCAGCCAAGGCTCGGACTGTAGACGCCCAGAGACTGTCGTCGCATCCACATCTTTGCTCTGCTTCGCGTCGATAGGACCCAGGGGCGCATCACCGTATCTTCCCACAATCAGATCGAGAAGGCCTTCGGTCCTACCTGCAAAGCCCTCCAATACTTCTCTCTCGCCACTCCCCCATTCTTCCTCACCTACGCCGATGCCTAATTCTCCGCCCCCGGCGAGCTTGACCGCGTCGTACATCGCTGCTGCGGGATTGCCGTGAAGCAGGACATCCCAGTCCCGAACAAACCGGCTCCAATAGCGGTTCAGTATACTGCAGAAGAAATCCCGATTGTTTTCATGTCGCTTCCACAGTTCCGCCAGACAGGAAGCATGATGCAGCAGAAACCCACGGTACGCTTGCATCAGCTGGGCAAGAAGCAGATGAGCCGGTGCAACCTCCCGCGACGAGTACTCCACGTCTTCTGCTGAGGCAGGGCCGGCACTTTGATAGTCTTTCCCTATATTGGAAGCCTTTCTCGTGGCTGGGGAGCTGTTGGTGACGGTCGCAGGCATACGCGTGAGACTGATGGAAGCGAGTATCCACCATTGAGGCTCGAGCTCTTTCAGGACGACTCGACTCTTTTCCGTTTCGATAGACTCGAGAGGCGCTCCGTTGGAAAAGGTCCTAGAAACGACATTGCGCGTCAGATCACTTGTATACATTGGCCATGGTCTGGCTCTTGACTGCAGAGCCAACAGTTACACAACCAAGATCAGACGGGCTGCCTACCTACTTTACAAAATCCACCATGCCCTGCGCAAGCCCGACCTGCCGTTGGCGTTCATATTGCTCCGACTCTTGATGGGTTTCTGGAGCAGCATCTGGTTGCTCTTGTTCCTTTCCCGGTGTGCCATGTTGTGACTTGCTGCTCGAGACTCTCTGCTTGCTGCGTCGCTCATGTTCGGCCTCTAGTTTTGCCGAGTGATAGAACACGATCTGGTCGCCCACAGTCTCGTCAGTGGAACCGAGCGACGGATTATAGATCGCAAGGTAGGAGACGTGCGCCGGTACGATGCGAGAGGAATGGCTATTGTAGGAGGACATGGTCACGGCGGCAATGGCCTTCCCGGTGCTCGTCGATTAAGACAATCATCTCGGGACACCGAGCCCAAGTCAATTGCTCAAGTGTTCATGGAAAGCTTTACGTTTGAAAGTCCGCGCGAGAAGCCCAACAGGGTATATTATTGCGATAGTATGCCGGGGAAAATGTCCGCCCGCGGAGCAGTTGGTTGTCATTCAAGTTGGAACTCGCTAACAGAGTGACAGCTGTGGCAGTGTGGCAGTACATGCATGACGTTACCTCATTGGCGAGGCGGTGCATATCACGTGGTATTCATCGACTCCTCTGGGCGCCTCAGCCACAACGCACGCGCTGCCTGAGTGAAACACCCAACTGAATGCCACGTAACAGCCGTCAAGGACGCGATGTCGCCTGGAAGAAATGCCAGATCTATTACAGCGAATGCCTCAAAGTCCTGGGCAACATCGGTTGCTGTCCGAGTCCGAGTCCGAGACCCAGACGACGTGTTTTGGGATACAAAACCGAGAACGTCACCCATCTCAACAGGAGAAAGAAAGATGAAAGGAAATTACGAGTCTGCAAAACACGGCACACCGGAAGCGCAGGACTCTCTTAAAGAGGGACCCCCACGATATAGTAGTGCATGATGTTCTCCGAGGAGAAGTAGCGCAGCACATGCCTTCCATGGTTGAAGCCTGAGATTGGTCTAGACAGGAGAAGGGAAAGACACACTGATGACCATCGAGAACTTGAAGCCCAAAGCCTGAGGTGAAACGCCGTGACGGGATTTCCTATTTCGATGACGACTCGAAACAGGTCTCAACTGTAGAAAACGCCGTCATGCTTGTAGTACCATCCGAGCTTGCCCATCCTTAGCTTCTGTGCAATTCTTGCATTGCGTCAACCATCAACCCATCCTTCGCTCGATAAGGAAACAAAACTAATGTATCAGTGCCAAAGCCTAGCACGATCAAGCCACCGAACCGGACCTGCGTCGCAGCAAGGGCAAGGAAGATTGCGGTTCTCTCGTTGATATCGCGCCCCGTCCGGCGATATCCTGGTATAAAAGTCGGGAACGTGTTTGGACCATATGTCTGCTACAAGAGAAGCAGGTGCTTGATCTACAAAATCAAGCATTTCTTGCTCTTGCCGCTCTTGCGAGTCAACAGGGCGGCACGGGTGGCCGACTCAAACACTTCACGGACGCCCTCGCCGGTCTTGGCCGAGCATTCGAGATACTTGTAGGCACCGATCTTCTTGCGGACCTCCTCACCCTAGAAAACCCAATGTCAGTCTTATGGCCAGGGGACAGATGCAGAAGATGTAAATGAGGACAACGAACCTGCTCGGGTGTGACGGGCTTTTGCGATGTCTTTGCCAGCTCTTCAATGGTCTTAGGGTCGTGTCGCAGATCGCATTTGCATCCGACGAGGATGATGGGAAGACCTTGGCAGAAGTGTAGAACTTCGGAAATCCACTATGGTGAGAGGTCGTGTCAGCTCGGTCAATACCTCAAGCACCGCGACGGTTATGTAATGTACCTTCTCCTGGACGTTGTCAAGTGAATCGGGAGAGTCAATGGCGAAACAGATCAGGATGACGTGCGAGTCGGGGTATGATAGAGGTCGGAGACGGTCGTAATCTTCCTGACCAGCCGTATCCCATAGGGCGAGTTCAACGTGTTTTCCATCGACTTCGACATCGGCAACGTAGTTTTCGAAGACGGTCGGGACGTAGACCTATTGAGATGGAGGTTTAGTACTGTGCACCGGAGATTTCACTCTCATACGTTGCAGAGGGTGTTATAGGGGCGGCGGGGGTTGATTTGTTATGTTGGCAGGGGAAGTCAGGATGGCCGCGTACCTCAGGAAACGTGCCCTTGGAAAAGACGCTGGATGTAGAGAGCAGATATCAGCAACGGGCCTTGCAATGTGATGGTGGTTGATAGTATGACACTCACATCAACAAACAAGTCTTTCCGCAGGCACCATCTCCGACAATGACAAGCTTGCGACGAATCTCAGCCATGTCGGCTGCGGCGGACGATGTCAGATAGGAAGAAGGAAGGATAGAGGGATAAGATTCGTGAAGACGCTGAGAGCGGCCTTCGCAGGAATGATTGGATTTAGGATGAAGCGGATGGCAGGCGCAAAGGATGAATTATGTAGGAGAGTGTGTTTGAGACAGGATGGTATAAATGAGGTTGAGAGAGGATTGGCAGGAAAAGGCACCTTTTCGGGGCCGTAGTTGTACGTAGTAGTAGCGGTAGCAGGTGGTTTAGTGTGGTGTGGGTGTGGGTGTTGGGTGTGGGTGTGGCTTTGGACGCTGTACTGCCACGGGGGGCGGGCCCGACGCTCAGTGATACAGGGACACGCAGAGCGACGTACGTAGTAGATACTATGGTAGGTACCTCCCTGGGATATCTCTGTCCAAGTGCTGGCAATCGACGCGATGATTAGACTATTATTGCGAGGATTGGGGTTGTGATGGACTGGAATGATAGATTTGATTACTTGGGGCAGGGAGTGTCGAGGAAGTGATGGAATAGGCACCTAGAGGTAGAGTGCAGGTGGTGAAGGGGTTTGTTGACTGATTGCTTGGTCCAGTTTGGTCGACCTGAAGCCCGGCCGCCTGCTATGATGATACTGACTACTAGTACCGCAACACCGGCAATAGTACCTAAAGGTACACTACGTAGCGCTGCTGCCAGAGAGTCGCATGCACGCGGCAGATTCAGGTTTCTTCGAGTTTCAGGTTGGCGCAGCACCGGAGCAACCAGTCCAGAAACCCAAGACGAGTAGGCTCTAAGGTTCTAAGGCTCTCTAGCCCCTAGGCCCTAGGCCTCCTAAGCCTGGGGCAGGACAGATGTGCGCAGCTTGAGGGGGAGAGATAGGCGCTTTGACAATTTGCAGCCAGTGCCACCAAGGTACGTACTCCGCCTCCTCCCCTTATCCCCCTCCTCAGCAACCTCGAACTGCTTCAATGTATTATCCCATGCATTAAATCTACCTATGGATATCACATTATTACTCCAACATCCAGAGCATAGACTACCTACGTACCTACTCGATATGTTCCTGCGTCAGACACTACGCTATCTCCCAGTCGCTGAGGAAAGACATTTCAGCAGACACAAATCGGGTACTTTCAACACATCAACCACCTCTAGTTCTCCTACTCGGCACGCCGTACTACTGCGTATTATCCCTCTCTCTCTCCCTCTCTCTCCTGCCAGGTCGGTCGGTCAGGTGGCAAAGGACATCCATTTCATCTTCTTGTCAGCCCTCTCGTTCGCGACCTCTACCTCTCCTCGCACGCGACCACCACCGAGATCAGTCTAGCAAGATGTTGAGGGAGCGTTTCCTGAACAGCACACGAGAAGTCAGCGCTGGAGACCAATGCAAGTGAAAATCGGGAGCACCCTGCTCTGCCTGCTTGCGTGACAATGGCTGGACCAGATTCGAATCCAACCTTTGGGAGTCACTGCAGCTCTCCATCCTCAATAATGCCTCGTTCAACTGCGTCTCTGCCTTCAATTTCCCCACTGTCAGGGCCTGACACGACGGCACATGCTGGGCTCCATGCAGAAAGCTTCGCTCTTCAGGAACAGGTGTTTCTGTTGGGACACCTATGCGGAATCGTTCTTGCAGCGGTGTCTTGAAGTGAGGCATACTATCATATGCTCTCAAGCCTGGAGAGCTCCTGAACAGCGAAAAGGCACCCATGTCACCGCCCAACGACTCGGTGCACTCTTTTCAGCCAGTCAGCATCTCCCGGAGTCAGCTTCCCACGTGCACATCTGTTCGATTGAATTGTTCACTGCCACTCAGACTGCACTCACCCACTGCCACACGCTTTGAGAAGCAAGCGGCCCTTGGCCATGACACACTTCAGCTGACCGCAATTCTCCGGGTCGTCACAACCGCGACCAGCATCTCTTGACCCGTACTAATCATCCAGTGTCGGGCAGATTATCATAGAGCATAGAGCTTCGAGTCTGCTCCAGATCTCCTCGCGGCGACCAAGGCAAACCTCTTCACCACCCACACCGCTTCTCATGCCACTGTAGCTGGTACGAGCTGGGACATGCATTCCAAACCTCGAACTGGAGTCGAAAAAAAGTTGTACTTCTGTGATGCATTGGCCTTACAACTGTGCTTGAACGGCTTTCAAAGGCGTACGTCCTCAGCTCCTTGTACACTGTTGGGTCAGGTCAGCATAAGGTAGGTCGTCGGAAGTAATGTCTGATGAAACAATACGCCACAACAGAACTCTCTCCGTCTTCTGACTCTCGCATATCTCAACGAAAGCTCGTATCGCCTTTCTCCTCCCATCCACGAACCTCAGCCTCGATGGTAAGTAGAGACCAAAGTTGCAGAAGCTCGTGATGACTTGTGTCTTTGCCGAGAAGACCTACCCACCGCTCGATTTGAACAAGATGTAGCTTCTTGGGTTTTTGTGTTCTTGTACCATGAGATCGCCAGCGTGAGTCTTTGTGTCGACGGCCATCACGCAGGAGTATGCTTGGTTGGCAGAGGTCTTATGGGCATCGCGGAAACCGGACATGATGCAGACTATCCGTGTAAACGTGTAAGCTGGCAAGCATACTCAAGGTGCTCATAGAAGATTCAATCATCAACTATCAAGCTAGAGGTTTAAGTCGATAAATTTGTTCTTCAGTTATATAAGACGGATCTCTTCTGCGCAAGTTATCCTCCTTGTACTCTCTCCCCGGACGATGCCGGTGTATCGATATGGCGGTCTTGTACCAGTCTGGCTTCACTGCAGAACATCTCAGCTGCCTTCTTCCACGTCTTGTCTCTGTCTAATAACTCTGAGTTCCCAAATACTGCGCCGGCAAGAACAGCACGGCGAGCGTGCAGATCCAAACACTGGCGCCCGCGAGATACAGAACGCCGTTCAGACTATGAGCAAAGACCCGCGACGCCGCAATCGGCGCGATGATGCTAAACACTCTCCCAAAGAAACTGCTGATTCCACACGCGGAGCCGCGCACAGGGGCCGGAAACGCCTCGGGAGTCCAGCCATACAGCACGGCGTTGAACATACTCTGGAAGAAGTACACCAGGCCGTTGACGCCGATGTAGCTCGGCTCGTCGCTGACGGCGGTGAAGACGAACAGACAGGCGCCAAACAGCGCCGACGAGAGCAACAGCGCCAGCCGGCGGCGCGAGTAGATCAGTGTGCCGGCCAGGACGCCGGGAATGCCGAAGAGGTAAATATACACGTAGGAGCGGTATGTCTCGCGCAGGCCGAGCCCGAGGTCGCGTCCTTTGCGGGCGAGAATGGTCGGCAGGAACGAGCCCGCGATCGTGAAGCCCCAGTAGTCGAAGGCGTAGATGATCCAGACCAGGACCACGAGACGGGTCATGGAGGAGCTGGAGAACAGGACCTTGAAGCGCGATAGTTCGAGCTTCAGCCGTTGCCGCAGCGGTAGGTTCTTCTGGTTCGAGCCAGACCCCAGGATCGCGTCGTGCGATCCCGAGCCGCTGGTGCTTGCGGACGAGGAGTCGGAAGTCAGAGCGGCGAACGTCTCAAGTGTCAGATGGCATTCGCGCTTGTTGTAGTGGGCAATGTGCTGGAGGACCTCGATCGCCTTTTCGTCCTGACCTCGGTACAGCAGGTATTTCGGCGATTCCTTGAAGCGGAAGACCACGAAGCGGAGCACGAAGACGGCGACGGTGATCGCCCCGATGGTGAACATCAAGTACCGCCAACCCCAGTTGTCGGCTTTGGTGCAGCACGGTGTGCCCGCGTCAGGTCGGTTGCAGGACACCAGGTCGGGTGCGCACGAGTAGTTGGGGATGAAGCCGTATGCTATCCCGCTGCATAGAACCACGCCGATGGGCTGGAAGACTGAGAGAGTCGGCAGTAGCCAGCGGCGGTTCTGCGGTAGGCATTCCAAGCATATTGTCGTGTCGATTGGGATCTGGAGTATTGACGGCATAGATATTAGCAGCCCATCGAACAAACCGTAGCATGGTATTGGAGACGCTGAATAATTTCATGGTTCTATGGCCGATAGTAGGTAGGTCAGGGGAAGTAAGGGGCCACTCTCAACAACGGGCCTGCCTGCTATACCCTGTCCACTTTCTGCACAACATGCTTTTTACGTCGTGGATTCCGTGGCTCATGCGTCCAGGTTCAGAGATTGTAGTGTGGTGTGCGACCATACAATATGGACAGGACGTCTTCAGAGCAGGAGAGTAGACTTGACTTACATTGCCACCAATTCCAATTCCAACAAAGGCTGTCAACACAATTACCGCGTTATATGAGTTCGGTGCTCCGAGACAAATTCCGAATATACTGGAGATCAAGACTGTGTAGTTGAAGGCCGCGGACCGGCCGATGACATCAACGAGGATGCCCCAGACAAACGCACCGGCTGTAAGGCCGGCAGAGAAAGAGGTAAAGATGTTGCCCAACTCGGTATCACCAAACCCGAATTCGTTCTGCATAGGTGTCACCACCAGCCCGAAAGCTTGAGCCCATGTCAGATCGAGCAAGTAGCCGAAACTGCAGAGAAAGAAGACCGTCCATTGGTATCGTCCCATGCCTTGCTCATCCAACTCTCGGTTGACAAGCAACGCTTTCTTTTCGTATAGAGTCAGGCCTTCAAACTCCGGGTCTGTATTCACGTCGGTGCCATCATTCGAAACCGCTTTACCGATCTCCATATCGTCGGCTCCATGATGGACAGGCGGCGCTGTCACAACATCGACTTTCCTGTCTGCTTCGGAAGCCATGCTTCGCCCACTGTCTGGAAGCCTCTGTTCTCCGTCAGCTGTATCCCGCATTGTTCGCGCGAGGAAGAAGTAGATCTCTTCATGCTGTCAAACGTGAGGAGAAAGAACTTCTTTATTCTGGAGCGGTGACAAGGGTGACATGGTAGAGTTGGGTCTTGATGGACTTTGGCACTCAACTAACCCAAACCTTACCTTTGCCCATGTCGCCCAGTGTAGCTTCTGGATGGTACAACAGCTCTCAGGCCGTTAGTATCATGTGCAGGCGTATCCTGACTGACACCTTCGTAGGCTCGAGTCATGACGTTTCCCGTTGAAACGTATTGTCTGATTGGACAGATCTCAAGGTCTCCTTTTCCGCTTCTTTTCTCCCATCCAATCGTCGGTGACAGGCTTGGACGAACCACTAGAAAAGGTCTGGAAGAGAAAGAGGTTCCAACGGAGACACCTGCTGAGATTCAGGTTATCCCATGTCCTCTCACTTTTCAAGGTCTGCAATCCTGTAAATGTAGATATGATTCGGAGATCAGGAACACGGTTGTCAAGAAGTCTATCAGCTACGCCGCCGAAAATGTCGAAACTAGGGGCGTTGAAGACCAGGAGCAACAAACACTCGAGAGGTGCATGTCCGCTATGTTTTCAGACGGAAGTCACCGTTGCCAGTATCAGAAAACAGCCGCTGCCCTGCTGCAACATCTGAGATCACACCAGTTTTGCGCAAGTGTAACATCACATCGAAGAGTTCCTTGTCAGAGCCCGGTCGCCCGATCAGACTAATGGATACCGGGAGATGTTCGACCTCACCTGTAACCTTCGACAAGTAAGGAATTTCGGCCACCGGTATCGTATAGTCGGGACATCCTACCAGGTAACCAAAAGAGTAGATGCTGAATGTATCGTTGAAGAGGCTAACCCGGTCAGGGACATGATCTCGATATTCCGGACGTCCACAAGATTGAGGAAATATCAACAAAGTGGTTGCATTCTGATCGTAGGATCCAAAAAGTGTCGTGTCCGTCCACGTTCTGAAGGCTTGCATGGCTTCCAGGGCAGTAGATATTGTCTCAGCTGACACACTCCGACCGTACTCGAGTCGACGGCTGACGAGCTCGGAGATGTTTGGAGGGCGTCCATTGTTGGCTGTTGAGTAGTCATGGATGAACTCGTCCAGACCTCCATGTACTGCGGACGCGGTTGTGATGGTTGAATAGATGTGGCCAGCTGCCTCATCCAGTGACCGAGGTTGGCCTATCGGTGGAGTGGCCCTCCAAAGCTCATTGAGGTTGAAGGGTATCCTTTCGCAATCGAGTTTGGCTTCGAGCTTCCTGACGATCGACTCGATTTGCTTCTCGGCTTCAGTCCAGAAAGCCAGGTCGATTGACGGATGTGGAAACCAACGATGCTGGCCGCCATGATGCGGGTCGGGATTCACAGTTTGAGCTGCCCGGGTCGGGTAGAGCAGGTTGTAATTGCGTTCCGCTGGAATAGCGACTGGTGGTTCTGTGGGGCTGACAAGGAGTGACCCGATGCGCGCAAATAGTTCCACCTGTCGTGCAAAGATGCCCACCGTGTTGAACAGATCGGTAGCGCCTAGGACGCCCTCAACGCTGATGAGGCCATGCGAAGGTCTCTGCCCGTAGACTCCGTTCACACCGGCTGGATGGCGGATTGAGCCACCAGTGTCTGTGCCGACCGTGAAATCCAGCCAGTCATATGCGGCAGCAGCCACGGCACTACCAGTGCTAGAAGAAGATGGCTTTTGTTGGCCATCCCCTCGCGGATTGTACGGGCAGACGCTGTCAATCCACTCACAAGGGTCAAGACCCTCAGCAAACTCCGTTGTCTTTAGCTTACCCACCAAGACGGCGCCCGCGTCGAGGAGCAGTTCAATGCAAGGAGCGGTGGTCTTCTCAGCAGGATGACTGTCCCGCCAGGCTTGACTGCCATATCCAGTTCTCGTACCTTTTACGGCAATAGTATCCTTGACAGCAAACCTCAGCCCAGCCAAAGGCCTTCTGTCTTGTTCGAAATGCAATCGAGAAGGAACTGGTACGCCATATTCGAGCTGCTCAACTGTCAGCTCACTTTCTCAGCTCACATAGCCGCTGGTCTCACTGAAAGCTCGCAGAACATGGAGCCCGAGCATGATTTGCGACGCACAGCACCCACAAAAGCCTCGTGCGTGTCGGGCAACAATTTCAGGGCCCGAAAGACGTGGCCGGTTGCTCTCGAGACGAAATGAGGCCCTTCCGACAACCCAGCTTTCGACCTGTCTACTGACAAGATGCGCTTGCTTTTGGGTTTCTCCTGAACTCCAGCAGGTTGTTGAAGAATGATCACTGTGCAAGAATCCCTCCATAAGATTAAGCCAGACGTATGGAGTGGAATGACTTACATGATAGGAAGTGGTCCGACCACACATCGTCTGTCTTGCTGAACCTCTGGCAGGTCACTTCAAGATCTCTGGGGCTGAACTGAGATCCCATCCATTCTACTACGGTGGTTGGGATAAAATCTTCATCAAACCGGGAGAGCTTCTGCACCAGCGTATCTGGTAGGAGGGCGCCTTTCACGTCAGGTGAAAGACGATATGAACATCCGCCAATAGATATTATCCGCGAGGGTTCTCTCGCCATGTCCTGAAGGGAGAAGCTCGCGAATGGTGAAGTCAAGGACACATAGAGAGACCAGGAGAGCGCACCGCAACAAACAAGATCAGTATCTAAGGCGGAAGATTAGTAGCACTTGATGGCGGTGTGGCACAGGGCATGATAAGAGATTGACGTGGAACAGGAGCGGAATGCTGTCACAAGGAATGGAGATGGAGATAGAAAGCAAGCAGATGAGCACAAAGGGCAGGAATTTGCCTGAAGGTCTCTCATCTTTATCGTTGTCAGGCGGTGCAACATCCTGCACCTCGTACCATCAATCCATGACAAACAGATTGTGATCTGCCGCAATCTCAACCATGAAGGTGGAAGGAAACATCCAGATACAGATGCGATGGTGGAGAATTTGAATGTCGATTTCCACTTTCTACTACGAGCATCGTATCGAGGCTGATAAGAGATTCTTGGCGCTGATAAGGGAGCGGCGGGATCACATGACTATCCAGTGGTTACCGCCAGGGAAGGCTGAGGGTGCCAGTACAGTGTACAGTAGGTTGAACAGGACAGGTTCAGCTTGTATGTATCCATGGACGTAATGCTTGTGGGCCGTAGCTCTCTCGCAATCAGTATAGCTATCCCATCGTTGCACCACGATCAATCACCGTCATCGCCCTGGGCCACCGAAACGCCAGTCCTGCCCATGCGTTGACTGAGAGTCATGTCACCAGCCTTCTTGTGGAAGTTGCTGACAAAATTGGCACGGCCACCATATTTCGCATTGCGCGCTCGAGCAGCAGCATCCCGTTCCCTCTCAGCCTTCTCCCGCTCTGCGATCTCCGCCAGCCTCTGTTCTCGTTGCCTATCAAGCTCCGAGGCGTCCTGCTGCATCGCTGCCAACCTTGCCGCTCTGGCTGCCTCCTCTGCACCTGCATCCTTCTGATCACGACGAGGACTTCGAGAATGCCGCCGCTCCGGCCTAGAGGAGTGCCAACTCTGAGCCTTCCGCACCCGGTCGTTGTCTCCGTTGCGTCGAGGAGGTGAAGTCGAGCGCGACCGTGACCGCGGCCTTGATTTATCTTCTGGCGTATATGACCGGCGACGTCGGTAAGGAGAGCGCGATCTAGATCTGACAGAACGTCGAGGAGGCGACCTAGCACGCGATGGTGAGCGTGATCGAGACGGCGAGGGTGTATATGATGTGCGCCGACGGTGGCGGCTTCGGCCATTGCGATCTTCATCGTCTTCACGATAAGAACGAGACTTCTCGCGTCTGTCGATATCGCCATCACGATCGTCTCGATGTCGGTGATGGTGGTGGTGGTGATGATGGTGCTTCCTGCGTTTGCGGTCTCGCTCCCGGTCCGCCTCAGGCTCTTCTTTTCCCGCTGCCTTCAATAACATTCTTCTCTTGACGGGATCGTTCATCATTGCCTCGTAAGCCGCCTGTTCCTGCTTCTTGATGGCGAGCAGCGGATCCTCTCGTATCTTGGCCGAAATGTCCCTCGCGTTATTCGCATGCTGCACAGCCATGAAGGAATCCTCCTTGGCCGTTTTCTCCAGCTTCTGGGACTCGTTGCCTTTCAAAAGCCCGTCTATCCGTCTCTTCCCTAGCAAATAGCCTTCCATTTCCTCGGTGGTACCGGCTTGACCATCAGACGGACCCGAGTACATCCAATCAACGCGAGCCTGTCGTTTTCGTCCACCTGCGGCCTCCTGCAACTCTTCAAGTTCTTGGATTTGTCTTTCCTCTGCCCTCTCCTTCCTGATCTGTTCGATCTTTTTGCGCTCCTCCAGTGCTTTCTTTTCCTCCTCCCACACCTTTTTCTGGTTGGTCATGAGCGACGGGTGCCATGATTTCTTGAGATTGAGATCACCACCCATCTTGACGTCTCAGAATTGTGATAGACTAGGAAGATCTGAGACAAAAACGTAATGATGCTGCAGAGCCGTATAGAAGTCGCTAAGCAAGTAGATAAACCCGCCGGGGCAGGGTGTGTAGTACGGCGTTGACAGAATAGACGACTGGCGACAACAAGGTGGTAAAATTGTTGGGAGCGGGAGAACTTAACCTGAACTCCGCAGTTTATTTAGGCTGGCGTCTGGTTTGGCACGAGGCTGAGTGCCTAACGTACCACTGCACCAAATAATATAGTACTACTGCTGGCCTCCCTAGTCCATCCTCTCCGCACCGTTGGTGACCTGCCCTTGCTGCCTGCAACTGACCCTCAGCTGCGAATGCCACCCCACAGCAACTCATCGCTCATCCAACTTCGATAGACGTCTAGATTACTTCTTTGCTCGTTCAGCAAGCGACTCTCATATTCTCTGCAAAATCAATCGGCCATTCTGCTGTTCTGATAACATACTCCTTGACGCGGGGGCTGCCATTCCCGGCCCATCATCCTTGAATACCTCCATCTCTAATAAGAACCCACAGCCAACATGTCCGACGATGATGATTTCATGCAAGACTCCGACCAGGAGCAGTAAGCCAGTCCCCCGAGCAGACATAGAAGAACCTTTCGCTAATCTGAGTCCCGCCGGTATAGATACGACTTTGAATACGAAGATGACGACGAAGCGGAGAGCGGCGACGTGGACATCGAGAACAAATACTACAACGCGAAACAACTGAAAGCAGACAACCCAGAAGAGGCGGTGCAAGAGTTTCTCGGAGTTCCCGAACTCGAACTGGAAAAGGGCGACTGGGGCTTCAAGGGACTCAAGCAGGCTATCAAGCTCGAGTTCGCGTTGGGCCGCTACGATGACGCCGTCAAGCACTACAAGGAGCTCCTCACGTACGTTAAGTCCGCCGTGACGAGGAACTACTCGGAAAAGTCGATCAACAACATGCTCGACTACATCGAGAAGGTCGCCACGGAGCAGACGGCGTACAAGTGCATGGAGGAGTTCTACTCGTTGACCCTGCAGACGTTCCAGAGCACCAACAACGAACGACTGGCACTGAAGACAAATCTGAAGTTGGCCAAGCTGTATCTGGATAAGAAGGACTATACACAACTCACGAATAAAGTCCGGGAAATCCATCAGGCGTGCCAGAAGGAAGATGGGACCGACGACCCCGGGAAAGGGACGTATTCGCTAGAGGCGTATGCGCTCGAAATCCAGATGCACGCCGAGATGAAGAACAACAAGCGTCTCAAGAGTCTCTACCAGAAGGCGTTGACTGTCCGGTCGGCGGTGCCCCATCCCAAAGTCCAAGGCATTATCCGCGAATGCGGCGGCAAGATGCACATGAGCGAGGAGAACTGGAAGGAGGCCCAGAGCGACTTCTTTGAATCCTTCAAGAACTACGACGAAGCTGGCTCGATGCAACGAATTCAAGTGCTGAAATATCTCGTGCTCACGACCATGCTGATGAAGTCGACCATCAACCCGTTCGACTCGCAAGAAACGAAACCTTACCGAAATGACCCTCGCATTTCTGCCATGACGGATCTCGTGGATGCGTATCAGCGCGATGATATCCACCAATACGAAACAATATTAAAAGAAAACCAGGACCTTCTCGCCGATTCGTTCATCGCCGAAAATATTGACGAAGTCAGCCGCAACATGCGCACCAAGGCCGTCTCCAAGCTTATTGCCCCCTACAGTCGCTTCACGCTCCAATTCATCTCCAAGCACATCAAGATTCCGGTGAGTGAGGTCCGAGACATACTGGGGGTCTTGATCGTGGACAAGAAGCTCAATGCGAAGATCAACCAAGAAAATGGCACGGTCGTGGTCGAGCCGACAGCGGATGGCACAGATCATCTTTCGCGGGTCCGCGACTGGGCAAGCGCAGTGGAAAACCTGTGGTCAGCCGTGCTGAACGATGGCGAGGGATTCAAGCTTGATGATACTCAAGGCGGAGGGGCTTTTACCGGGGTGCTGAACTTCCCCCTGGGCTTTGAGACGGGGAATGCCATCCCAAGCCGCGGTTTGGGCCGCAGGGGGCCCGGCCGTGGTGGTCGAGCGGGCGGCAAGGCCCTTATCACTTGAACTGCTTGAAAGGCGGTCAATAGGGCATGCGTGTGGAAAGAGATTGGACTCTGCTGCCACAATGGCTCGCTTCTGGTCTCCACGGCTCTGCACGAGACAGGCAATCGCTCTGGTGCAACGCACGCCCTCGTCTACAGCTTATGATAGGACGACGCTGGCCAATTCAATCGACCCTGGATACATTATTATGTCAAGTCCTGACAGCAACGCCCGACAGGATTACCGATGGTTGGGTGGCATACTAGGATTCCGACCCAAGGCAAAGGACGAGGTGGCCGGAAGAAGCAATGATTGAGATGATGATCAAAGGCATCCGGCATCTGCTTGGCCATGCAGGACGTTCCAGGTGCATTGGGACCCGGGGAACCAACGCTATGACTGAGGATCGGGGCGAGACCGTTGTCGATACTAGGCACGTTGACAAAGGGTTAGCATAGCGAAACTAGTGCTGTCTCCTCCATGGACCTGGACAGTTTGTTGGTCGATGGCGATTGTCCCGCATGTTTTCGTGGATCTCTCCCTCACAGCCCTGCGTCCGAAGCATCAATCTCGCCCCCCTGGCGCAATGACCGCAACAGCTCAACGATTGCATGTCTGCGCTGGCGTTGTCTAAGGAATCACCGTGAGGCGATTGGCTGGCCGATGCCGCCGGTATCTTAAACATGATATCTGTTCCTACTTGCGAAGTCTGGCAGCATCTTCCGGACGTGCGTTCCCCAGCACTATAGCCTGGTAGGCCAGCTCGTTGAGAGGCGTGATCGACACACAAAGGCGGGCAGTGCCTTCTCATGGCAGTGGGATTTCCTCCGTCTCGTAGGCGACGCAACCGGGCAAGATGGGCTTGTGCCCCCTCGTTCCAGGTCCCTGTGAGGTAGATCGAGATCTCCGGTAAACCTTTCCATCCTCTTGCGATAGGGGCTCCTGATGGCGCACTCACGGGCTTTGGAGGGGTTCTCTTCTCCACCAACGGCAGAGGGATACTGGCAAGCGACGTGGCTTTGTTGGCGATAGCGTACGGTACTAGTCTGCCAATGTAGGTCATTGATCGAACAGCCACCCCGAAGAGTCACTTAAACCAGGCAAATCAATTGTGGGGTGTTTGCATGCTGGTCAGGACTGCTGATGTCGACGGCGGTGGAAAATCCCCAGCCGTAACCGTCATCTTGACTCCGAATATATGTGGAACCTGATGAATATACTAAATTCTAGGTCAACAAATACTCAAAAAATGGTCTGACACCGGATGGGGCTTCTGATGCAAGCAAGCATTGCTCAGCCTAACCCCTTGCCTCAGAGAGAGCCGGGCAGCCAGTGAATTCCACTGATGACTGGGATGGACCGCCTTGGTACCGAGCTCTGGCATGCGTGTGATCAGGAGCTCGCTGGCCAACAGTTGCAGGGATGCGGAAGCTTAGGATGAGTTAGTTGGAGGAGGAATGGACAATGTCTGAACGAGGACCAGGGCAGCGGAAACGAGGCAGGGGGTCGGCCAGTATCATTCATTCAGCTCATCGAAAGAATCAGACTAGAGTTGTTCCACCGTGGTGAAAAAGGCATGTTCCGGCATGCCTGGAAGGCGCTTCCTGGCACCAACCGAGGTGGCCAGTCTGAAGGCGTTCCTTTAGGCTCGATGGCACTCTCTTGTGACACAGTCCATCATGGTGCATGTTCTGCCTCTTACCCGGTGTCAAGCGAGCGCGGTCGTTCCCAAGCTGAACTGGACAGGCACAAGTCCGAGCTGAATGCATATGATTTGTGGATCGGCCGATGTTGTCTCCTGCTTTACACAGCATGTCGACAAGCACTATGAGGTTGCACAGCAGAGTGGGGGATTTTTATCTCGACTCACGATCGCAGGCGGCTGCTTGTTGATTGGATGGATGGATGTGTACTTTCTGTTCCCCGGCATTAAGACCCTGAACCACAAGCGACATGCGGCAGGCAATAGTCCGCACATCAATGCCGGGACACCTTTGACAGGGTGACTGGGGTCGGCGGCATGGCGGCAACTGTAGACGAGGTTCGAGATGAGAAAATGCTCACGACATGACCCGTCGAGGGGGGAAGAGGGAGGAGAGAGAGGGAGAGGCGGAGGGGGATAATGAGAGGAAGTAGGGAAAGAAAACAGATACAGAGAACATGCCAGCTGGATAGCTACAGTGTAGTAGATGAAGGCTGTCTACTCTGTATAGCAGGAAGTCGCAGATAAAAGGATTGAACTCGCGGGTTATACCGTGTTTGACATTAATACGAAGGGGGTCGGTTCGAGTTGGGCCTTTGGGGCTGTCAGGCTGTCAGACAGTCCGGCTCTCAGGCCCTTAGCCCTTATTAGGCCTAAGGCCTAAGGGCCCTAGGCTCTTCACCCACTGCACTGCATCCAGCCTGCGCCTGCCGCCCGCCGCCCGCAGTTTGAGCAGCGCAGTCTCCACCTCCAACAAATGTCCCTCCATATTCTTCTCTCAATTGATCAATTCCCATCATCTCCATCCATCTCCATCTCCGCCTCGTCTACAGAGGTATTCAGTTCTGACCTGCCAACAGGAGTCATCGCCGTATCACGGCGTGGCCCTGTTTCCCATCCTCCATTCATAAAAGCTTCAATCAACCTCGAGTCTTACTTTCTACACTTTCAAACCAATCTCCCACCCTCGATTCAGCTGTCTGCTCTTCTCCATCTCCACGTTCGGCGATCGTCCAGGCCCCTCTACCCAATGCCATGCCAGCAGCTCTAACCGATTGGCTTCGAATGAAGCTATCTTTGCTCCCTTGACAGATCATCTTCTGGTCGCTCAAGCCGCATCCACCGCTGTCAGAGTGTCCGCCATCCACGAGCCCGAGACCAGGGTTGAACGAGCCCTATCGCATTGCCGCCGACCTTGAATAACGCCCTCGTTTAAACCTCTCCGTTTCTCACTCTGACCACAAGCTTTTACGATTTTTGCATTTTTGCACCAGCTACCATCCTCGCAGATCTTCCCTTCAGCAGCCTCTGCGTGGTTGAACGTCCATCTGCCGCACGTGATAATCATCCCTTCCACCTCGCTTCTACTTCTGGTCAACTTGCAATATCATTCGACAAAAGGAAGCGTTGCCAAACTTGTAGACAACGTCCAGAAATGACTCTATCAGACTGACATTCTCATCCTTCGTCTACACGCATGCGTTGGGTCTATCTACGAGCTTTCCAAGGACTCTCTGAAGTTCCCAATTAGCGTGCCGACGTCACCGGATCGTGGATACCCACATTCTCCGTGCTTCATTGATTCAGCATCAGGAGATGACATTTGGGCCATATTCACCTCCCCTTTACAGTCCTTACGGTCCCTATCCACCCCAGCAACTTCACTACCGCTGGAACCCGCAAAGCCAACCGCACTATCCTCCTCCTTACGATTACCTTCCAAGTCAGAAAGTCAGCAGCTTCTGCTCTCAAAGTTACGGCTACTTCACCCCGCCCGCCACCAACCACGCAGCCTCCACCATGGCAACCCCCGATGCGGATGAAATGGAACGATTTCAGCAACTGTCTGACCAATATCAAGCAGACCTTCCGGTATGGCTCTCCGTGATAGGACATATATGCACTGCTAAATACATCGTAGGGACCATTAATCGGAGACAAGAAGCCTTTGTCCGAGCTTGTAACGGAGTATGCCCAGGCGGATGAGACTTATGTCGTCAAGACTACGGTATGCTTCCGTCCTTGGAGAATACATTTTTGCTAACAGTCCCAAGGCACTTGCTGTAACTCACACTGCATATCGACCGATAAAGGGAGATGGACAATGTGGATGGCGAGGTACGAGGCACTTTGTCCGAAATTCTTCCTTGACGGCGGCTGATAGTACATCCGTGCAGGCGCTGTCTTTGGCTACTTCGAGATTCTCCTCCAATCTGGGGACATTGGCCTGATCGATCAGGAATTGGTCCGCCTGCAGAGTTTTGAACAAACAATGCGGGCAGTCGGTGTCGACTACGATATCATCATCGACATGTTTGACTACACGTGGGAGCTTTTCGCCGCCATCAAAGCCGCAGCAGAACGAGGCGACAAAAGCGACCATGTTCTCCTCGAGATCATGAATGATGCACCCAAATCCGACTCGATCGTGTACCACTTCAAGATGATGACAAGCTCTTTCATGCAAGTTCAGTCCGAACGCTACGAAGCTTTTCTCGAAGTGCCTGTCGCCCAATATTGCCTGACGAGAATTGATCCAGCAAACCAAGAGATCGACCATATTGGCCTACAAGCCTTGACCGATGCAGTCATTGCTCCGGCGTATATTGCGTTGGAAGTCTCGTATCTGGACAGGAGCACCGGGAACGAGGTGACTCCGCATCAATTTGTCCTCAACTCCCAGAATTGGCCTGCAATCCGCCTGATCTATCGTCCAGGTCATTACGACATCATCTACAAAGACGACAACCCCATCCAGGTCTTCCTCCAAGCCGAGGCGCCTCAATATATCGCTCCACTGAGCAATGAGCTCTTCCGGGGCGATGCCGACGCGATGGAACTGTACTTCACAATGTTTCCCAACATGCCGACCCAGAGTCAAGGTGGGCCACAAGTCGAACCGTCGACTAATTCCTCCCAACTGCAGTATCGGCATCCTCAACCATCGTCGTTCACAAATTCCAGCCTTGGACAGCAATCTTATTTTCCACCGGTCTCTCAAAGCGTACCTCAGCAGCAACCTACCTTGCCGGTCAGAACACACTCACTCCCATATCCGGTGCATCAATCCCCGATGACTCCATCACATTCGCAGGTGTCACGCTCTAGCATTTCTCCGCAATCACCACCTCCGAACACCCCAGGAGCTGGTCCTTGCGGACCCGGAACCACACCCCGCAGGAGTACGGAGCCTCAAATCAGATACAATGAGATGTGTCATATCTACAACAACCAACGTCATGAGAGTCTTCCTTTGGATCCGGTGTCATTCGGCAGGTACGTGTTGGTGCACACTTTCATCTGGTGGCCTTGTACTTTCCCATGTTCTTTGACTGACTAGACTGTGTCCAGTTCCACGCAAAGCCCTGCCAACTATCTCAATCCCGACTTCCAACCCTTGATGTGGAAAGCGGAAGAACAGTATCACAAACGAGAGTAACCAGACAATAGAGCGATATGAAAATACGCCGAGACGCCAGTGTATCATATGGCAGAAAAGGAAACAATCAGTCGGGTGGCCTTGCGCGTCTTGAAGAAGTGAACCTTATGCTGAGCATTACACCCGGCGCGGGGAGCAGGGGAATTTAGACCTGCATTTGCCAGATGTGTCCATGTGGGTGTTGACGCAGATTGTCATGCTGGCAAGAGTGTTTTCCACGGGGATGTCTGTTCCGACGACGACTGGGGTGCAGGGAGACTTCGTGAGATCGAGGGACAAGGGGCGAGTGAGGCCCTAGGAACTGAACCAGTCACTACCGCATCATGAATTTTCTTATCTCTTTTCACGTTTTTGAGAAGCGTCGCAGCGGCATGGGCATGATGCGGCGGCAATGATAGAGACCAGTGGGTGACAGACCCCTTCGAGATCATCACCAAAAAGGGGGGAAACATTACGAATCGTTTATTTAGCAAGAGGCAAGGGAAGACGGAGTGGAAGAGCTGATGATGTTGTTGAGCCAGAAAGAGACGCCATTCTCGATCACGGCTGGACAACTGTTGCTATGAAGCAAGTATCCGAGTTTCAATTCATATCCAATCCAATCCACCAAATATGCCAGTTTCCACGGAGGAATGGATCCTTTGTCCTTCACAGGTGTAACACGAGTCCTGGCTTCCAGTTCGTCGGCTTGGACGTCTGCCTGTATAGAGCTTCCAAGCTCCAATGTTCGGTAACGTCCTTCTTCACTTCCCGCTTCAACTCGGTAAGGGGGCACGCTCCCGAATCACAATTCACTCACTTCGCCGCAGTCCTCCCTGCCCCAGTCTAATTCACGGGTATATATATTAAAGTCACCGATTTTCCTCCCAATAACGCAAAGACCCCCAGAAAGGCCCCGATGGCCCAGTCGGTACTGGGCGACCCCCGACCGCCACGAGGTCTCGAGTTCGAACGTCGCTTTTCCCGCCAAAAAAGAATGAGAGAACCCTGCGAACCCGGGTTGACGCCAACCAACGAACAAACGTGTACGAACGATCGGACCTACCGCAAAACGGAAAACCCCTGCGAACCCGGGTTTCACTTCCCACAACCCTCATATCAAACAAGATATCGAGGCTTGTGGAAAAAGTTTTTTTGTTTTTGTTTTTCGGGCTTTTTTTGTTTTTGGTTTGTTTAGTTGGACTGGGCGGTTCCGTTTTGGCTGGCCAGTTCCGAAAATGTGTGTTTGTGGGCATGCGAATATGCGAGTGCACGTGTATGGCGTGTCACCGTGTCAAGGTTAAGATCAAGGCAAGGTAGCGGAAAGCGCTGAGTCAAGCAACAGTAGTGAAGCAGAGACCAAACTGGTAACCTACCGATGACATGAGATAGAGGATTATGTTCTGTTTCAAGCTTTTTCGTCAAGATAGACAATATCAGACCCATCAAAATGATTCAAGATTTTCTCTCCCACGACAAGATGTCCTCCTCTTGGATTCGATACGCACCATCTACGGTCTCTTTGCCGGCTGCTCGCATTGAATTCAAGCCGCGACAGATTTCTTGCGCGAACACGTCTGCTACGCTTTCGAGAGCGATGTGCTCATCTGGCAGGGCCTGCAACGTTCGGTCTTGAGTTTGACCATGACTTTGACTTTCACTGCTGTTGAGTTCAAGTTCGTGTCCAGATCCATCTTCCGAATTCAGCTGCATTGTGTCATTTCTTCCTCGTTCACGCGTCAGCCACGTCACGCTCTTCCCTTCAAGGCCGCATGCCACGATCCGACTGAATCCCCAGGACAAATACCCCTTCGTCGATGCGAAGTACGAGGCTGAGGCGACCTGCGCCGGAGTAAAGTCATAGCTGCGATGTGACGGTGACGAAGGAATCGCAGCATCGAAGACATTAAAGCCGATTCCATGAGAGGTGATACCACGCGACACCTGGACGCCTAGGGCACAGATTTTGCGGTCGCTTTGAGGGGAAGAATCAGACTCTGCGGCGGTTAGTGAGTCCTGTCGAGATCGAGACGACGGTTGTTGTTGTCGATTATCCATCCAAACCCCCGGATCGTCTGTTCGCATCGTGGCCACGCCCCACACGGCACAGGTCCGTATGACGCTCTCCTCGAGCAACTTGACCCAACATCGCGGCGTGATCCCATGTCGACGCAGATCTGCCACGATATACCCCGTCAGCTGTCCTGGGGCGTGGTACGTCAAGAGCCCACCGCGAGGCGAGGCATGGAACGTGGCGCGGCCGTCGGCGGTCAAAAACGCCTGTTGCTCAGACGAAATGGGATTCGCGAGTAAATGACGCCGGCCGACGGTGTAGGTTGGGAAAGTGGAGAACGTTAGCAGCGTTGGGTCTGGAGGTGACAAGTCCACACTGGTAAAGTCGGAGGCGTGTGAGCTATTGCCATATCCGGTATTGGGTGCTTGGTTATCATTTTGAGCTACGTCTGCCGGCGACTTTGTGGCGGCACCTTTGTCTGAATTGGGCGATTGTGTGCTCGAACTCGGGCTGGGCCTCAACCCGGTACCGCCGTCATTATATGGCTCTGGAGCATGATGAACGATCTTATCCCTGATCTTTTCAGGCTCTGTGGACTGATCTCTTTCTCTGCCGCCAGCCAAGGAGCGCAGCAAGTCCTTGTAGGCAAACTGTCGTTCCACAAGTGCATTTTGCAGGCGCAGCGAGTGCGTATATGGGATCAAATGCGGGATGTGCAGGTGGGCTAGGCGCATTGCAGTTGCAGTTGCATCGTATCAAGGACTCTGGGCGCCAGAGATGGGCAGACTCGTCTTCTGGCTGTTGGTAAAGCCAGAGGTCGTTGCGAAGAGGAGGAATGTGGACAAGACCAAGGGGGTCTATGCCGAGGATGGTGCGGTCAAATGCAGTCGTGGGGAGTTTAGGTTGGTCGATCGATCGGCAGGAGGAGCAGACACAAGCGTCAAGCCAGAGTCTATATCAGGTAGTAGGTATGCAATGACACTAAAGCAATTGCCAGAGAAAGGGTGTAATCCGTATGATGCCGTATTGAGTCTGCGTCCAGCGCTGCCAGGTTGCCAACAAGCTCCCGCTAGTACTACTAATTTTATTATAATGACTCGGTCGTCATTAATAAGCTTAAGCTCAAGCGGAACTTTAGACGGGAGCGCGGCAGCAACCGGAGTTAATTTACACTGTTCGTGGTTGTTACACCTTCTCGGTCTGGTTTAGTCTCGTCGGACTCCAAACAATTCAACTGTGTGGGTTCGGTGTTGCCTCATATTACACCATCTAGGTAGGTATCTATCCATGTCCAATTTGAGGAAAAGCTCCTGGTTCTTATACCTCGATTTCTTGGCCGTCTCAGCTATCTTCCGAGTCACACCCCTTTTCGAGTCTAGCATGTTGACTTTTCCCTGGATTGTGTCAGGTACCGCACAGTCATAGAAGGCCTAAGACCTATTCCGGTAATTGTGCGGATTGCGCTGATTGTCCAGTAATCATGCCTCGATCTCGGCCCTGCAGCTTTGTTTCTCGGCTACTAGTACCATGCGGCTCAGACGACTCCTACATGCCGCAGACGATGATCGATCGCAAGCTCCGGAAAAATGAACAGGATGGATCTAACCGCGCCACGCTCTTCTGTGGGAGTCTCTGCCGGTCAAGTTGGACCAATACCAATCTCCAAACTGGGGTTGCGCGAAGTCATGACATAAAGTCTGCTCTCCGCCCGTCTTGGGACTCATTCGAGTGCGAGTGCTCCAGCTTGGATAACGTCTTCACCGCTGAGAATACCTCAAGCAGTCGGGACGCGGCCAAAGATACCTACGGAAAGCTCCGAAATTCCAGAGGCTCAGATCCGCATCGGTGACCACCACGTACAAAGTCCACCTGCAGTCGTGGTACCTATCCACGATCTAGAGGCATGGGCAAACGTCAAGACTCGATGGAAACTGTTCCGGCGAGTTCGCGCGCCGCATCTCCGACACAAGAACAAGAGTCGGCGTCGACATCGGGTTCGATAACGGCGGCCCAGGTGATTTCGACTTCCGACGCACAGCAAGGACTATCTTCACTATCCAAACCACAACCACAATCCCACTCACCTCTGACACCTTTGACCCGCCTGCAAAACGCAACCTCGCCCAAGAAGAGCACCGAGGCAGCTCTCTCCGAGGTAAGCAAGCTTTCAATGATCTCCGGTTCCGTTTCAATGACGGGCACCCTGTCTCGGCTCCCTCCTCCTCAGTCCAAAACCACAGATATCGAAACAGACTTGAGCTTTGACGGAATGTCTCATATGCCTTGGGGAGCGTCTGACACGACTCCAAACTCTGCATGGAAAATCTGACCACGGCATATATGTTCTTAGTATTGCGACTATCTCGGCCAATGCCTGCGTGGTGCCAACGTCAACCTCAATATCAGCGCTGACGAGCAAGAAGACAAGAGAGGACGTGACTGATAAGCCGGGTCCCATCTATGCAGTTCGGGACATCAGGACGCATGTTGTCTCCAGTGCCTCACTCGAGACGAAAAGAATTGCTCGGATTTCGCAAAACCAAAGGGACTGACTTGGGGAAGAGCGTTGGAAGCTAGCCAAGCAGTATGAAGTAAACGGTCGGGGCTGGGCGATAGGTGGACCGTCTGCTGAACAATCAGCATCAGGATCATGTTCGAGGGTTGGGAAAATGTTTCCGGTACGCCCGATAAGCCAAGTCGGGACGCGGAGGCGTCAGTACAGTAAGGCTTGCAATCTGCAAGTCATGAGATAGTCGGATGATTTTGTTGTATATACCGTGTTTATCAGATGGCGAAGTTTCGGCGAACATAAGTCCTTCGGTTCGAGCAGTGCAAGACAACAATTCCAATGATCCAATCCCGGCGCTCGAATCGTCTCAAGACATACTCCGCCGCGTCGACGTCCCGATACCTCCGCCTCTGGCCAAGACCATCTCCAATCTTGATGGATTTGTTGTTTCTTATCTTGCTGCTTCCATCATACCAGCCTTCAACAAACGGCCCCTCGGCCCTGAGTCCATCCCTTCCTTTCTCAAACACATCCACATGCATGGCACCATCATGTTCACGACTGGGCCTCCAACCATACGCCACCTGGGGATTATGGAGAGCCTGGACGATTTCGTCCCCACGTAGCAAACATCCGCCATCACCCAGCTGCGAGAGAAACGTATGGTAGAGCTTCGCAATGGCAAGGTGAGTGTCATCCTTGATGATCGCCTTGTTCGCCCAGACAATGACGGCCATGAGCGTCCGGAAGTGGATAAACGGAATAACCGCCAAAATAGACCCAGCGTATCTCCACTGAACACGAAGGATCTGGGCATCAATGGGCATTTCGCCGTCAGTCACATTCTTCCGCGTCAGGGCATTCGACCCGTCCATGATGGCAATGGCGCCCACCATGAACGAAGAGATTGCACTGGCCATGTCCGAGTCGCTGGGGATGCTGACGAAGCCGTAGTTTGAAAAGTTAGTATACGTTTCTGACAGTGCTGTCCCGTCGAGCACGGGCGGGTTGTCGCTCCAGCCTATTGCCCCGGCCAGCATTCTCGCCGTCAGATCCGAGACGAAATAGTCGGAAGGAAGCGTGCGGTTGCCATCGCCGACCTGGGAGACGGTATTGTTGCAGACGAAGAACCGTCCTTCAAGGATGGTGTAGTCATCCGGGAAGATATTACCCTTTCAAGTTATGGGCAGGGATTGACTTGTAATTGCAGGCTGCGCCCGTTCCGTATCCTTCTGCAAGCCGTGAACCTGGGATTTGGGTTCTATCCGTAGGACGTTGGAAACCTTACTTATGCACCGCTAATGGGCCAATCTATGTTGTTTGTTGCCGACTGGGGTAAAATTTTCTATCGGTTTGAATATCGAATATCGAATATCGAAATTTCTGAGTGGAGAGTAGTGTAGAGTAGAATAGCACTTCATAAAACGCGCCCTGGCGTGCAATTGCTAAAATGTTGTCGTGCGAAGTGCTGATGTGCGAGAGGTTGCCCAAGAGTGTATCTAGGACTCAATTCGCCTATGATGGGATTTCAACCGGTCGTGGCAAACGCCTTGTGCAATCCCAAGACACGTAAGGAGGGTTGTGGAGTTCGCAATTCCATAAACCCCATGTTTTGGTACATGGCGGCCTGATAGAGACGGAGAGTCTCTGCCTTCCGTCACCTGCATCAGACATCCGCGTTCGGCAGCAGCGGTCGGCAGCCATGCCTAAATCTCGTCTGCCTGGGGAGACGTTGATCGATTTCAATGCTCGGTGTTGAGCACGCTTTCGATGCCAGTCCAAGGGCGTAGTTCTGTGCAAGGTCTCATCAGATGAGCACGCCGAAGGTGCACCGCTGCTGCCACCCGGTCTGTGAGCCAGACCACTCAAGCGGCCTGAGTATTTTGACTTCATCTTGAAATCGCCAATTTTCAAGAACGAAGCCGACGTCGGACGGACTGTAGCAGCACGTCTGGCCTGAATAGCCATGTCCCCGGGATCCATGCTGCAGCTGCCAGCCTGCAGAGCCGCCATTTGTAGAGCTTGTTGTTGTATCGTGTCTCCTTCAGTTTTGCTTGCCCTGATCGACAGCGTCATTCAACCTTTCCGCTTCTTTGTCGCTTGCTATTTTATCGAAGTCTAGCCCCAGATTTCCCCATTCGTCCTTTGCCATGAGTCCTCTCTCCATCCGGCAGCCCAGATACTCCTTAGCCAGCAGTCTGCACTCTTCGTTGTTCTTCCCCGGCGGGTTCTGCCTTCTCAAACATCGCAGATAGGAGGAGATGAGGTATTTGCACTCGGCATCGTGGTCAAGCGGGAAAGAACCACGCTCTGGAGGTGTGGGTTTGATGCTGACGGCGCCGCCGCCGGGAGATCCGAAACCTGACATGATGCACTCTGAAAGGAGATAGCTGGTAGAGAAGCTGTACGCAGGACGAGCTTGAGCGAGTGACTAAAAAGATGATGGTGCTCAGTGCGTGACGGGCAGAATTGGAGAAGTCGAAAAGGAACGAAGTATGAAAGTGATATTGAAGTGGTTCCACCTTACAACAGATCTCAACACGTGACATGGCCGGCACCATTGTCTCTAGATGGATATCTGGGAAGCCTGGTTATTGACAATTACGGGGTCATGGTTAAGGCACAGTGGCCTTTCTTTGTAGCTGCGGCATGGTGTGTTTTCTAAGTGTGTAGATTTGCGGAATACTAGTACCCTATATGGGACCATCGATCTATTCAAGCATTTCCAAAAGATTACCACTCTGACAATCCCTTGCTGTGCCTGCAACCGAACAACATCATGCCAGGCTCTGGTCCAGGTGACAGTCACTATGCTGACCGGGAAAGCATCACTATTCGGCAAGTCAGTTTTGAGAACTCACAAGGAATCGCAGAAAAGAGAGGTAGCATGGGCATTCTTTATGTCAGTTCTCCAAGGTGATGTATTATTCAACATAGAATTCAGTAAGAACACAGCGAATACATGAGATCATCAGAAAAGGGCAGACCAAGGAAAACAAACATTCTCACCTTTTATCACGACTCTACAGCCTAGGCATATATACACCTCACCTAACCACAGATAATCAGTAACGAACTCCAACAGGACTCGACAAGATGATCAGTGGACAGAGTAAAGCATCTATTTCAGGCTGTTAGTTGTCCTGTCAGCAAACGAGACATGTCAATGGTCAAGCAGGGCCGACGTACCTCATTAAATCAGAATTTTCAGTGTATACGTTCATGCCCGGGCATTTGCCCAGTTCAAACAGTGTGAATAGTGTTCATCATATGATGCTTGGGAGGGAAACCGCATAGAGTGGCTGAGTAATTTACCTATGCGTCAAGCTGTCAGCATGTTTCGTCTCTTGTACCCATGTATATGCGTCTTCTTCAAGTCGTGGATCAGCTGACGAGTTCTCAACAAGTGCTACAGTCTCCAGCACATCCACAAGATTTGTACGTCCTGCTTTTACGGATGTGTAGGACTGCGCACACAGTCTGTCCGCCCGTTCGTTCAAATCTTCGTCATGGTAGGCACGAGGGAGTGAGGCTTCGTTGGGGAAAATGTACCTATACACAATTGCAGTCAGCATTGAAGGCCTGCAAGAGAGATCGATGGAGGATACGGGATTGTTGTCACTCAGACAAGGCTGAAACTTTAGTAGGACAGATTCCACATGGTGAATTAAGTCTGAGGAATGCCTTTCGTGTCGTAGGGTCATCACAGTGAAGGAAGGAAGGAAGGAAGGAAGGAAGTGTTGGTGTACCTTTTTGATTTGAATTCTGGGCTGTTGACGGCTGCAGTGGACAACATCATGGATCTATAGCATCTTTGACATGTTAGCCCCTTCGACACACAAGTCATGGATCATGGTTGAGGCAGGATCAACAATCAGCGTAATTCTAGAGTAATTTTGATCCTCAGGGAACTAAGTTCTCGGAGTTGGATTGTACATATTCATCATTCGAGGAGTGGTGTATAGGGCAATAAGGAACATACCTGGATAGTGACAACAGAAGAGCACGGCAGCTCTGTAAACCACCGCATGTCTGCAAGTAGAAGTGTAGGATCAACAGACGTAGTACTTTGAAAAAAGTACACAGAAAGGTTCGAGCAACTTGTTGACTTGGCGAAGCGAACTTTTGCCGGAGCTGTGGATGTCTTGGCAGCTGATGAGCCGCTTTAACTAGACCATGCCGCTTTAAAAACTTCCCTACTCCGACCTCAATCTCTAGTTCTCCTTTCGCTCTTCTACGTCCTCTGCGGAGAGAGCAAGTCTGACATAACGGCGGAAATAGTCTCGTCGCGAAGCTGTTTCACTGCGCAGCTTAAGGGCCTGCGGCATACGTTAAAGTTGCAGAGACAGTCCGGATCACAAGAGCAGGTAGGAGTCCGAGGTGGGCACGTACATCTGCAGAGCCATACTTCACCTTAAATGACCCGAAGGAGCAAAAGGAGTCTTCTAACGATGACGAGGAAATGGACAAATATACCACCATAGATACATCCACAGCACTAAGGCTTCATATAACATATTAGACGAGGAGTATCTGGACGCTTTCAGCTGAAACTGGTAGGGCAATCCTTGGGTGGAGCCAGCCACAAGTGACATCTGCTCGAACGCCACCAATCAACACCAATGCCGACGGGTATAGCCTGATCAGGTCCTTGACGTTGGAGATACATGCTGTTAGCTATCTAGCTAGGGTCCTAGGGATGATCTGCATGCCCCAATGGGGCCGCCAGATAGGCGTTGAACGAGATCCATTTCCCTGATCGGCGTCCGTCTGATCGATGACACCCAATGGCGATGAACGCCGAAATAGTCGTCCACGGTCTATATCTTGTACACTATACCAGGTTCGGCTGCGGAGGACCTCGCGGACAAGTCCTCGTCGCCGATGCCAGAGCCTAGAAGGGGAGAGAGCCGGGGGTATCTTAGGTTGGACGGAGAGGTCTCCTTCGACTACCACCAACTACGTACTACGGCTTCATCCAGAAGGGTTGTGTATGAGTTCTTTTTTCTTTTTTCTTTTTTCTTCTCTTCCTTATCTTCGGTGTCCTCATCTTCGCTGTTAAGCAGATCTGGGTCAAACTAGTCTTATCAAACCAGAAAAGAAAATATGAGATTGCTGTGGAGGTGGATAGTCGCCGCCTCCACGCTGGGGCTGGGAGTCCAGGGGACTCATACGGATCCCTACTATGCCCAAGCGGTGCGGTTGATGGAAGAGAGTCCCTTGATAGACACCCATATCGACCTTCCGCAGATTATGCGATCATTGAGCACGTTCTCCCTCTCTATTTTGTCTCTGTCGTCCAATGTTTATTCTGACCAGTGATCCAGGTGAGAAGCCGCTGGACAGCATTCCCAAACTGGCCGAGAGCTTCCCAGGCCATGTCGACATCCCTCGACTGAGGGAGGGTAGACTCGGGGGTGCGTTCTGGACGGTCTGGGCCCCGTGCTATGACATTGTAGGAGAGGATCCCGGGCCGGATTTCAACACGCCGACCAGCGCCCTCCGAGACTCGTTGGAGATGCTCGACCTGATCCAAAACATGATCAAGCAGCACCCAGACCATCTGCAGTTCGCGCACTCTTCGCAGCAGGTTAAGGAAGCGTTTGCAGCGGGCAAGATCGCCTCGCTGATCGGCATGGAGGGGACGCATCTGCTGGGAAACTCGCTCAGTGTGCTCCGAGTATTCGCCCAACTGGGCGTCCGGTATCTGACTTTGACACATACTTGCCATGCCTCGTTTGCATCTTCGGCCGGCGCCGGCGCCCCGCTCGCGGAAGTGCATCCGGGCAACGGCCTGACCGATCTCGGGAGGGAGCTGATCGGCGAGCTGAACCGGTTGGGCATCATGGTCGATTTGTCCCACACGTCAGACGCCACGGCGAAGCAAGCCATTGCCTTGTCTAAGGCACCCGTGGTCTGGACACATTCGGGGTCTCGGGCGCTGTGGGATCATCCGCGGAACGTCCCCGACGATATTCTCCGCTTGATTGGAGACGGGCCAGACAAGAACAATGGAGTCGTTCAGTCCGTCTTCTACCCTCCCTTCATTGGGCCTCCTGATGCGGCGAATGTGTCGCGGGTGGCCGACCACATTGAGCATATCGCTGGCATTGTCGGTAAGAAACATGTGGGCATTGCATCGGATTTTGACGGCATGTATGCGTCGGTCGAGGGACTTGAGGACGCCAGCAAATACCCTAATCTGGTAGGACTCCGCCTGGCCTTCGATGAGCACTCAGCTTACCAAGATAGGTTGCCGAGCTCCTTGCGAGAGGCTGGGCCGAGGACGAGCTGCGCGACGTGATGGGGGGGAATCTGATGCGCGTGATGGACGCAGTCGATGCTCTCAAGGAACAGCTGGTCGATGAGCTCCCCTCGTCTGCTGTTTGGGAAAAGCGAACAGACCTTCCTGCGACCAGCTGGGGCGGCAACAAGGACAGTGGAGCACCGTCCTATTTTCCGCTTGAGGTTCAAAGCACCATCGCTGAACTGTATCCACGACACGACGAGCTATGACCGGCCTCCACTTCTCAAGGGGCCTCCCTCCATCGCCGCTCGGGTTGAACTTTTAGGTTTGATGTTTGTTACAGGCGAGGTTGGAAATGGGTTGAGGACTCTCTGCGGTGACTCTGGTCTCCAGCAACTTCTTTAGCCGTCAGGATCGTGCGGTGTGAAAAGCTTCACAGACATGAGTTCTCGCTTCAAGATGTTGGCAATGGTTCTCCAAAACAACGAATCAATGCGCAAGACTCCAAGTCGGAGAGCATGTATCAGACTTGACTTTGACCGTAACTCCTGCCGAGCATTTTGCAAGTCTTGCAGCCATATCGATGTGTCTTCCACAGTATCTGTTTAAGTCAACGCGAAGGTATATTAGACATGATAGATAGTATGAGAAGGGTACTTTGTCAACGTGCCATCTGGTATGACGCCAGGCTTTGGCCTTATGCTTGACTGAGGATATACAACTGTACCTGCCATGCAGAGGTGAAGGACGAAACTACCGGCCAGTGCTGGAACCTCTGTGACAGAACAATGCAGAGTATTTATCTTCCTTGGTGACCTACCCAGATGATCCGAATCCTAATTCAGGCAACATATTGCTCAAGAGTAGACTACTCCCACAGCAGATCCCAGCCAGTTCATGCAATGTACAGTCAGGCTCGATCTGCATATCTCCTGTCATCTCCGACCTCTGGCCCATTCGTGGCCGCCGATCCTGTGGCCTCATGGTGATCAGGTAGCCCGGGCCCAGTGAGATGCTGATGAGCGGCTTCCAGGTCATGGCGACGAGCGAGTTTCGCCGACTCCCACCCTTCATCTCCTACATAATTGGTACGGCCGATGCCGAGCCAGAAGGCCCGGTCGCGAGTCCGCGCACCCCATGCCCACCCGCTCCCGCCACGAATGGGGAGATGGTACCAACGGAAGCCGAACCAGGCCATGAAAATGCCGATGACGGAGCCTGAGATGATGTCAAACCCGTGGTGTCGGTAATCAAACCAGCGGGAGAGCGAGACGAAGAAAGCGACGCCAATGGGCACAAACGCCAGGATGAGAAGATATATCGGAGGAGCGGCCGCCTCGTTGCGCAACGGGACGGGGCTCTGAGGGGAAGAGACGGTGGACGGCGACGGCGTTGACGACGATGTCTTGGATCCCTGGGGGCCATGGTCATGTGCCTCGCGCTCGACTTCTTCGTCGAATGTCGAAATATATCTGCGGCCGTAGGAGGTCGTCGTCGTCTGGGGCAGAAATGGGATCTGCACGCCGAACTTGGCGCAGAAGAACAGAGTCAGGTAGAGCAAGCCGGCCCAGCTGAAACTCGAATGGCCGGACGGCCAGCTGGCGAAGGCATTGCGCATGCGGTCCTTGTCGGTGTTGCGACAGATGCGCCAGTCCACGACGACCGGCACGGCCGAGTCCAGCGACGTTCCCAGCCCGCCGACTTGGTATCGGCGGATGGCCTCGGGGCTGGTGTCAGGGTCGCAGATCGCCAGCAGAAACGGCCGTGGCTTGCCCGTCAGAGCCTTCAGACCTTCAGTGATCATGAATGTTCCGGCCAGAGCCAGCCCCAGCCCCATCCACGCAGTGTTCCATTCCCATATCTTTCGGCGCCAGATCAGTGCCTTGGACGTGGCCCGGTGTGCCGTCGGGCCCGGGACGAAGATCAAGGAGATGATGGCGGTAATGACGCCGGGCGCCACGAGGCCGACGACGACGAGAACACCCGTCGATACGGTGTCATCGCGATGAGGGAAGGAGATGTTCGGGTCTTGTAGCGAGAATGCATGTCGGGCGCCGTCGATTTGGCTGAATCCGCCGCCGACTCCGGCCGTGCCTCTACAGATGCACAATTAGTTTTTGTACTAGGTAGGTATGGCAGACGTTCAGGGTGTGAGACATACAAGATGAGGATCCAATCGATAATGTAAGAGGCAAGCAGGCGTTTGGAGAGACGGCTCACGCCGCCGGCGAGGCTGTTGACGGTCCTTGCAGCTGCGACCATTTGGGGCAAATGAGCACGCGACAGAGATTCAGGTTCATGAACAGATTAGTTCGATGGGCTCGATATAGGTACAAGTACAGGTATTTATATTGGCACTGACACACCAAGAAGGCCAAGGGTGTCGCAGCACGGGCACTCAGAGGAGAGTTCAATGTATCATTAACTAGTAGGCACCCATCACAGCATAATTATACATACAGAGTATATCTTGGGGCATTCTTGGGTTGCTACACAGACCCATCCATCAGCCGGAGAGTGACAATCTGATTGATGGCTGATGGCTGATGGCTTGACGGGAGGGAACCGGGGCAGCTGTTTACTCGGTACACAGTACTTAGTAACAGGTAGATCCCCGTCGCTCTTCCGGGGCTTCCACCCATCCCCTTATCCCCTCCATTGATCCCCATGAACTCCAATCACAGGTTGAGAGTGACACTTTTGACGACAGGCTCTGTTTTGCTCCAGCTGACACAGCTGACACACTACAGAGTACGAGGGCGCCCCAGATCTGATGACCAGGTCATGCATAGACAGAACAAAAGGTGTTGCCTGTGTGTGTACTTGATGATTGCTACCGACATTGCTTCTCCCTACGGCCTCTCTATTTCTTCCCGTCCAGGTCGGCATAGAAGTTCCATCCAAACGACTCCGTGGGATCATTGAACCTCAGTTGCTTGTCGAGGGTGTCGATCTTCTGCACTTCCTCCGGCTCCAGCTTGAAGTCAGCCTCAAAATTGGCCAGGATGCGCGCCGGGGTCTTGGATTTGGGAATCACGCTGTGGCCCTTTGCAATGCCCCATGCCAGAGCCACCTGGGCGCCATTCTTGCCATACTTCCTCCCAATGTCGGTGAGGACCGGGTCGTCGATCAGCTTGGGGATGTTCTTCCCTTTGTCGTAGACGGGATTGGCGTTGCCGAAGGGCGAGTACTGCGTGACGTGGATGCCCTTCTCTTTGTGCCACTGCACGAACTTCGGTTGGGCCAGGTACGGATGGCATTCGAGCTGATGGGCGGCCGGGACGACCGAGGTCTCCTTGAGTAGACGCTCCAGCTCGGCCTGGGAGAAGTTGCTGACGCCGATGGCTCTGCATTTGCCCTTCTCCACCAGCTTCTCCATGGCCTTGTAGGTGTCGACGTAGTCGGTGTCGCCGGGGAGGAGCTTGTCGCCCTCCTTGGGAAACAGCTTGTCACTGCGGGCGAACGGGCTAGGCCAATGCATCAGATACAGGTCCACATAGTCGGTCTGGAGATCGTGGAGGGAGGCGTCGCAGGCCTTCTCGACGTCGTCCGGGTGGTGGGCGTTGTTCCAGAGCTTGGTGGTGATGAAGATGTCGCTGCGCGGCACGCCGCTCTTTTGGATGCCCCGGGCCACACCGGGCTCGGTGCCGTAGACGCGCGCCGTGTCGATGTGGCGGTAGCCGACCTTCAAGGCTTCAAACACGGCATCTTCTTGCGCTTCTTTGTCCTGCCACGTTCCGAACCCAATGGCCGGGATCTCGGCTCCGGTGTTCAGCTGGAACTTGGTCTTGGTGTAGCCGGCGAGGGTTCTCGTCTGGCTGGACATCGTATGTCGTGATAACTGGGACAACCTGGATGATGCCTGCACCTTGAGACCAGATAACATAATTCAGATCCCGCTGGATTGAGATGCGATTCTGAGGTCAAGCCCGCTGCGTGTGGTGGGAGAGGTTGGTTGGTGTGGCAGCGACGAAGCCGTCGGTTGATTGATACTAGTAGTGTCTTAGGTACTATGAGATGGAGTCTATCCTCGACATCTCATGATAGGACTTACGAGTGGGTATCTTGTCTGGCCACCTTCTTCTTCTACCCGAGGGACAAGTGATGACCACTGCAGCAGGGGGGTTTCCACACACTGCCGTGGTACGCGGGGGATTTCAGCAGTCTCCTCACCATCCTTATCTTATCCACTTATCGCGTTATCGCGTTATCCTAGGCGACGGACATTCGCCGGTGTTGATGTCACCGCCAAATCGACGTCGGACATGAAATCCGCCCATGTTTGACTGCTTGCTTCTGCTCCTTTCACTCCCCAGTTTATCATCCGTCCTCCAACTACAACTTGCTAAACACAATCTTGAAGAAGCAAAGAATGTCTCCATCCTACTTCATCTACAAGAGTCTCCGAGGCTGACAGCAGGTTGGTTCTTGGACGGATAAGACGATACATTGACACATGAAACTGCCTACATTCTGATATGGTGACTGTTATGTGACCATGCTGCACCCTTCAGATGTCAGCTCGAAGCTGTGCTCGATGTCTGCTGGTAGATCGTTGCTCATCACGCCCTTACCTTGAGTCATCTGAACGCAGATCTAACAGAATGGACAAAGCCTTTGTCTTCTGAGTCTGAGCTCTCGCCGATCAAGATCCCTCCTCAATCACATTCCTCATCCACCAAGCCAATCACACGCTGGCGACCCCAGTCCCTAAGCGTCGAGGCTGTTCTTGGTTGGCCTCGAAGCCTGGCATTCTTTGTACGTTGTCGGGGAAAACGCCATTCTTACTGTTCGCAGAGATCGGTTCTTCACGTCACATGCAAGCCTCCACACAAAGAAGGTAGGAAAAATAAACCAACATCTTCCCCCAGTGGTCTGGCTCTTCCTACAGGACGCCGAGGACATGCTCCCCCAAGACTCTTCCTGAACCCATGGTAGATCAGAGCCCGCAGGAGGAACGATTCCCAACCATATCGCGGTTCTCGACCTCTATATCGCTGGGGATGGCTTCCACCCACCACCCCGATATTCAGGTGGTTCCCATGCCACGCTGGTCGACGGCTGTGGGCTGCGCAAGACTAGGTCTGGCCATCTTGGTCCTGGTTTTCACATCCGCAGCCACCGCGATCTGGGGAGGATACCAGGTCTTTGGTATTTCGATTTTCACTGTACGTCCAGCTGAGGTGTTGGTTACTCGACGAGGACTAATCGTGGCTAGGCATCGGCCAGCTTGGTCATCTTTGCCTACTACTTCGTCGCCCTGTCGCGCAAGCCCGCCCTCTACAATCGCTGGGCTGTGTTAGGTCTCGAGATCTTTGGCGTCTTCTTCTGGCTGCTTAGTTTCGGACTCTTGGCCAATTGGACCAACGTCCACAATAGCTTCTGGTTCGGGCAGAATGGCAGCTACGGCTTCTGGCACGCTCCCTTCGATCCTTCGGACATAGGTCTTCGGACGAGAAGCATTGTCAAGAGAGGCACCAACAAATACCATACTGGGGTCGCTTTGGCCGGGACCGCCGCGGGGCTGGGTGGCGTTGAGTTGTAAGTTACATGTCGAGTCTGATCCTGCAAAGATTGTTCTGCTAACCAGATGGTGTTGTAGTGTGCTCTACTTGGTCACTCTGATCGTCTTTGCGGTGGCTTTGCACAACCAGCGGTTAGAAGAACGGAGTCGCGTCACCGGCGCAGCGTCTACCACAGCTTCCCCCGAGTCAGCAGATATGGGCCCAGCAGGAGGAGTAGCAGAGCCTAAGCCTGAAGCAGGTTCCGCGACAGTCTGAAAAGTGATGTGTGCAGGAGGCCCCAGGGACTTGACCAGAGCCACCATCCGCAAGGCAACGGGATATGTAAATATGGATCAAGCAATCAAAGGATGTGGGAATATGATTCTGGTCGTGTGACATTGAGCAAGGAATCAAGTATACATAACAATTTCAGGGGCTAAACCCAAGCCATCAATCTTCTACTCCGTACACCACTTTTATGCTCCGACAAATCCGTCCATGTCCGAGTCACGAACCGGAACGGAGATGTCGGAGACGGAGGACATGAGCGGACATGAGTCACGTGTCGAGGCTGCTGACTCCGGCCCCCGATTTTTCACATCCACCTTTTCGCATCTTTTCGCATCTTGTTCCATCTTTTCCGGCGCTTTGGTCGCCATCGAAAACCCTCGCAGTCGATTGCCTTGTTCTCTCGCCTTCATGCTCCACGGCCAATCGCGGACTTGCACGATGATTCGATGAAGTAATGGCAACAGGCCCCAAAAATGGAGGGCTCCAAGACGATTGATTCCAGGCCTCGGAAAGACCCTCTCGCATCATGCCTAGAAGTCACCACGACTTTTTCTTCGCTCGGTATGGAATGGATGATTTCTCTGGATTCCTCTTACTCATCTCAGACGCCTTCTTTCCATGTTGTCTGCTAGCCTTCCAACCCACTGTTTCCCTTTCCGGCCAGTGTCAGAGTGATATATAGAACAGGAGGTGCCCCGGTCTCAGGATGCATTGCGAATAATGTCCTGTACATACTATTACTATATCATTCGGTTGCCATCCTAGTCTTCGACTATCCACAGGGTCCAGGTCCAGCCTGTTGCAGCCCATGTCTGCTCGACTCATGAGCGATGGCAGTCTCCCCCGGGACTCGTCTCCATTGCCAGACATTGAAATTCAATCATCGAGGACATCCTCAGCCGACTCTACCGCACCCGAACCGGTGCCTATGGAGAAGATAGCCACCCAACTATTCGACGACGATGAGCCCTTGGACGTTCGAATCCAGCGTCTGGGACGCGAACGTCCCCCCGCCTTCAAGACGGCGTGGTCCGAAGTGGCTTTTGTTTTCAGCATTGTCATGTCGCAGATCTTGACCGAATATTTTGTGTCGGGCTTCAATGTCATCCTACCCACGCTCATTTCCGACCTGCACATCCCCCAGTCATCCAGTGTCTGGCCCGCCACCGCATTCTCTCTGGTCATTGCCAGTACGCTGTTGGTGTTTGGCCGACTTGGGGACATGTGGGGTGGATATCCTGTCTATCTCTTTGGTCTGGCATGGCTGGCGGTCTGGAGCATCATCTGCGGCTTCAGCACGAATGCACTGATGATGGACTTTTGCCGGGCGCTTCAGGGGCTGGGAGCGGCCGCGTACCTGCCGACCGGCGTGATGTTGATGGGGACCGTCTATCGGCCGGGCCCTCGCAAGAATCTGGCCTTTGCCCTGTACGGCACTTTCGCTGTGGTGGGCTTTTTCGTCGGCATTTTCTGCGGCGGCCTGGTGGGCCAGTTCACTCGATGGGGCTGGTACTTTTGGATCGGCGCCATTCTGACCGCTGTCACCATCGTAACCTCGGCCCTGTCTATCCCCAACGACCGACAACAACGCCTGAACAATGGCATTACCATGGATTGGCTGGGGGCGGGCACCATCGTCTCTGGTCTGGTTCTGGTCGTCTTTTCCATCACCGAATCCGCCCACGCCGAACATCGCTGGCGCACACCCTACATCCCCACGCTCTTCTGCGTCGGGTGTCTCTTGCTTTTGCTTGCGGTCTACGTTGAAGGCTGGGTGGCCACGATGCCACTGCTGCCCAGTGACATTTTCACGGTGCCTAATATGATCCAGCTCATCATTGCAATGCTCTTGCTGTATGGCAACGTCGGCATCTTTCTTTTGTACGGCACACAGTACTTCCAGAACATCATGGGCGCCACCCCGCTCCAGGTCGTGGCTTGGTATGTCCCGATGATTCTGGGCGGACTGGTCCTCAGCACCGTGGAAGGATTGGTTCTGCACCTAGTGTCTGGCCGGCTGCTGCTGATCATTTCGGGTCTGGGGGCACTGGGGTGTCAGCTGCTCCTGGCCCTAATTCCGACGGGTGGTGCCTACTGGGCGTACATTCTGCCTGCAATGCTGCTGGCAACAGTGGGCGTTGATCTTTCCTACAACCTGATCACCGTCTTTATCACCACGCAGCTGCCCAAGGCCAGGCAGGGACTGGCAGGGGGCCTCATCAATTCAATCCTCCAACTTGGCTTCGCCGTGGTGCTCGGTCTTGCCGACATCCTCCAGTCGTACACGGTGGAAACAGACGGCCTCCAGAAGAGTTACAAGAACACCTTTTGGTTCGGTGTGGCCGCCAGTAGTGCGAGTCTGGTGTTGGTCACCATTTGGGGCAAGGTGCCCAAGGCGAAGAGCGACCTGACGGCAGACGAGAAGTTGGAGCTTCAACGGGAAGCTACCAGGCTGTCGGCAGCCTCACGGCCACAAAACGTGAATGTCAGTTAAATCAGCATTGCGAGTCCGAGGAATTGTCTGCTTAGCGTGGCGTTGACTATAGGATTATGGATTGGGTCGAAAAATACAGCGGCCATGATGTCGTTCGTACATCGATTTTTGCATATCATATCAATATCTATCACATCATGTACAACTGAATACGGTCAATCAGACGTTACACTATCTTATGGACACTTTCACTTTCACGATCATTGGCGCCCAATGACCTATCATCATGTTGCAGCGATCCGTCTGACTTGGGAACAGCTTGGTATGACCATCTCCTACAGCATGCAATGTCAGCATTCCTAGATATCCCTCCTTGCCCTCATCCCTCGTCCTCATCCCCCATCAATCATCATCCACCACCAATTCAGCCTTTATGGCTTCTTCATGACCACTCACTGGCTCTTCCCATACCATACCATACCGTACCATTCTAACACCGCTTACGTTCGGCAGCTCTGCTATTCGACAATGATCGTGCTCGCCGCCCGAGCATTACCATCTCGTCTCATATAATCACAGTCCACATGGCATATACAGGTAACAGTATGGTACAGCCATGATGGGACCGTGGCATGAAATCTGGTCCCAACCTCTTACATCAGCAAATAGAGACATCGGCGTCCACAGAAGCAGAGTGGAACAGACAACCTCCCTGCAACAGCATATCTACAGGTCCAGAATGCTCACTGTCAACAACAATAACCAGAGGTTCTCACATTCCTGGTTTGGCACCGCCGGATTTGTCACTGGGCCACCCAGCCTCTACAAATCCATTCCCTTGCTTCAGCAAAACACTCCTCACAAGTCGAGGTGAATAGGCAGCACCCCTAACCTGTTCTGGTCTGGGACATGGAGTGTCACTGTTCCAGTCCAGTGTCCTCCCAAATCCGGCGGGTGTTCTGCCCTTTGGGCGACCAGGACAAAAGGACAAAGTTGGTTCAGCGAATGAAAAACGCGCTCAATACGGTCCTGACATATCACCCTTGCTCGAGTGGTGCCGGGAACATACTGTCTCAAAAGGTTACAGCCGAGAGTACCACACTCAGTCGAACGAGGCCCTTCTGTCTCGTCACACCAACACGACACAAGACAAGACGACACATCCTGAAACAACTCCAGCATCCTTCCACTTCAGCCAACATGTCAACCCACCTTCCTCTTGATGAAACACAGAACAAGCTACCTACACTTCGACATTTAATCTCAGATGGCTCGTTCTGGACACTCCCCGAAGTCCCACTCCTCCAAACCATCCAGCGCGAATTCCCCTCCGAACTGCAGCGTCTCAAGAACGCCACATTCCTTCGCGACCCGACCGTCCCTCGTCCAACCCAGGACAAATCCATGTCCGAGTCCCTCTACAGTCAAGACTACGCCGAGATCAACCGCACGCTCGTCGGCATCCTGGCTCTCCGTTGGCTATGGAACGACGACTACCAAACCTTCATCGGGACGAGGACACAGGGTCCCCGGTCCATAATCTTGAAACGCTCCTCGTTCGACTGGATCAGGGATATCTTTCTCAATGGCCTCCAAAGTGCCAACGATATATATACTCTGATCACGTCGATGGTGATCAACGATCTCGGCAAAGATCCCGGTCTAGCCACGGACTATGCTCGCGTTACGGGAATCGATATCTCCCACCTCAATCATGATATGGTTCTCTACCGTGTCGCTAAAAGTGACGTCGAAGTCGAAGTTGACGTTGAAGCAGGAGCAGGAGCAGGAGCAGGAGCAGGAGTGGAAGTGGAAGTGGGAGGGGGAGGGGGATTGATTCCAGCTCTGCACAAGTCAAGACTGACTCCCTCTCACAGAGAGCTGTTGCTGGCTGGAATCAAACTCGGCTCCGAGTTCAATTTCGGACAACTCGCTCAGGCGGAGAACGCGCCGGCCTCGTTGGCAGGATTGCTCGAGTTGCGTCGGCACGACCGCAATCACGACCACGCCCGTCCCAACGGTGACAATAACAGTACTGGCGGTGGCAATGTGATTGATCAAGCACTATCATTCGAAATGCGATTCATGGAACAAATCCTCGACCTAGCCGGCTCTGCGGGCCACGAGGACTGCACATGCGCGAAGAAGATGACCGAACCTGTCTTCCAGTCGTACAGGAATGTCTATGATGTTGCTGATGCGATTATTGGATGGCCACAACAACAACCAGAAAGCGATAGAGAGGCCGGAAACCAAGACCAACAAAAACAAAGTGAAAAGGAAAAAGACAGACGGAAAGAAACACAAAAGATAACAAGTCTATCTCTCCGTCAAGCCTACGATATCATTCTAACCCGAAAACTACAACTTCTCCACGACGCAGGATATTGTCGACCCTTCGATATCACTTGCCCCCGCGACAGAGCGATCATGCGGCTCTTCTGTCTCGGCAACACCACGGACGGGGACACTGCGGATGTTTTCTTCGTTGCCTTTGCGGAATATGTTTCGCGGGAGACGAGGCGGATGTTGACCTATGGCCTTAATCTCGATGGAGGCGTGGATGAACCTGCTGTGCAGCCGACTTATTTCCCGGCTATGTTGACTAAAGCTCTCAGAAATACTGAGATTGGGAATGAGAATGGGACTGATACTGCTCTTGCTCCTGATGCTGGCACTGACACTGGTACTGGTACGCCACAGCAGAACAACTCGAAAATCAAAACAGTCGCTGCCATGCTGCGCTACCTCGCACGGTGCTTGGTCGTCGACCAGGCCGTGCTGGAGAAATTGCCGAAAGGCGTGACTGTCATTGAGAGAGATGTGAGAGGGATTGCGGATGTCGTGGAGAGTGAAGCCTTCAGAAGGGATCCGGACGTGTTGGACGAACAAGCTATTCCTGGGGGTCAGGTTGCGAATATGGCATTGGAGGACCAAGTCCAGGTCTAGTGTTCAATCAAGACTTCATGTTGATGAGTGTCTTGGGTATAGGCAGACCTGCGATGGGCATTGAATGTGTGTGAGCATGGGAACCTGAAGTAAGGAGTTTTGTCAAGTCGTGGACCGTGCAGTTCGTATACTGTACGTCCGGTCCGGACACGATGACATGGATCTTCTTGATTCTCGACAAGATATTCAGATTGCCTACCTTGGGGTGGCAGAACAAGCTTGCCACAGGGGAATGGGGACCGTGGGATCCTACCCGTGTAGGTAGACAAGATAGAAAAGACAGACAAGACAGACAGACAAGACAGACAGACAGATGAAAAGACAGTTGCGGGAATAAGATGCAATCTGGTAAGCTCCAGAGTCATCATTTTCTTTCGTTTTGTTTCCTTGAGTGGTATTTCTTCGTTTCGTCCTCGTTGGCCTGTGTTATGCTGTCCTTCGTTCTTGCACTCCCTTCTCACCGGGTTGAAGCCACTGCCGGATCCAACCCACGGTTTTATATACTTCCGTTATGTCCAACAGTCTTTGATCGATCGATCTATGCCACGCCAATCCTGAGACTATAGGTTGTGTGTAGTCCTCGTAGCGATTTGACTCGCTTGCGCCGTTCACGCAGTGTTTTTGAATATAGCAGATACCGAAGGGGACAATGCAGTTCCAGCATGCTTTTCATGATTCAAATGATCTCCATTTCCTGCTGCTCCTCCGAGTGGAACGTCCATAGGAGACCCAACTGGGTGGCTTGATTGCCAATCTCTGATGTTGTTCAGAAGTCCTCGGACTGGCCTCTCCCCAACATATGCACCCAGATGGGTGCAAACATTGCCTCGTCTGGTTCATTTCCTGCTTCTCATGCTTTCCCGCCATCTGTCAAATGCTTGTTCCCACGTCGATTCAACACCTTGACAGCGCTCCGCCACCACTCCCCACGTCCGGTTTCTCACGATCGACTCCACGGCATTCTCGTTCCTCAACAGCGCAGCGAGCTGCTGTGTCCTGGGTTCCTTGGGGAAGAAGCGAGCAGAGTATGGATCCAGCCTCTCATCCACGATTCTGTCCGCATCTTTTCTGTCCATGGCTTCCCGCTCAATCACCTCCGGGTCGTCCGGATCCGGAGACGTCGCCACCGCGGTGCAGTATGAAATGACTTCAGACCGCGAATTCCATGACGGAAAGAGCACAGATTCTAGGAATGTCCTGGTGGTTTCGCGTGGGATGGGTTGGCGTGTCAAAAGCGAGGATGGGAGGGTTGGGTTGCGGATTGAGGTGGATGAAGGGTTGAACGGAGCCGTGGAGGAGGGAGTCAACAGCGCGTTCAGGTTCGTCGATATGCTGTCGTCTATGCTGTGGCGGGATAGACGCAGGAAGTCACGTAGGACCCGGGTGTTGAAGCAGAACTGCGGGTTCAGCTGCGTGGGCGGAGCTGTGGGTTGGGACATGATCAGTCCAGGAATGGCGGCAAAGGACGACGAGGAAGAAGAAGGTTGAATGCTCGATTGGGGTGTAGAGGTGGAATCTCGCGCGACAGCCGGGGAGGGAGAGGATGAAGAGGTCGGAGCGGACGACTTTGCCCAGAACCACGCCAGCTTGGTGGATTCGATGTGGATGTGGATGTCGAGCCCGTTTCGGAGTAGAGGCGTGAGGTTGCGGCGGCCGGATGGATCGAGGAGGCTATTTCAAATGGGAGTATATGGTGTAGCAGGGGGCGGCGACAGCGTCAATTGTTCACTTGCGGTGATTGCAACAACTTACAATGCCTACTAATACTTTCAAAGACACAGCTGGGGACTGAAGTCTGGTGGTAGAAGTAGTAGCAGTAGTAGTAGTAGTAGTAGAGCGTGAGGTTCGGTAGAGATGCCACACTCGGCAAGGCTGAACACTTTTTAACCAACTAAATACTAATTAGTGTCGTACGTCATGGATACTGCGGCGGGCACATGTTGAGTGGCTGCCTGCCCCAAAAACCACTTAACGCGTCGATACGCGTGTTGACCTTGAGGACAATCTCCGGCACTGTGTAGTAGATATCTATTTACCTGTTGAGCTTCCTTTACTCGGATGACTGTCCTCCCATCGCCATGATGGTCTCTACAAGTCTGACCTCTTCCTTCATCCATGCGGTCGAACTCTAGCATCGCAGAGACCACGACGTGACACCCGTACGGCACAGTATCTGCGTCACTGCAGCTGTCAGACACCTTCTCTATCAGCAACAATCACTTCAACCAGTCTTCAACATGCCTGAAATTGGCGAAGTCGCCCGGACAGTACACTACATCCGCAAACTTCTCGTCGGCAAAACCATAGCCAAAGTCGTAGCCACGGACGACAACAATGTCTACGGCAAGGCAGGCACCTCGGCCGCCGAGTTCCAGAAACACATGACGGGCAAGAAAGTGGTTGATGCCGGTCAACAAGGCAAATACTTCTGGATGATCATGTCCAGTCCGCCTCACCCAGTCATGCACTTCGGCATGTCTGGATGGCTGAAATTCAAGTCCGAACACACTTACTACTACCGGCCGAAAGAAGGCGAAGAAGACGAACCGTGGCCGCCCAAGTTCATGAAATTCCTGCTCGAGACCAAACCGGAGAACGGCGAAGAAGTCATCGAGGCTGCGTTCGTCGACATGAGACGCTTCGCAAGGATCAGACTAGTCGACTGCCCAGGCGCGGAGATCAGAAACGTGTCGCCGCTGAAAGAAAACGGACCGGACCCCGTCGTCGACAAAGACATAGTCACCGTGGAATGGCTGAAGGAGAAGTGTCGGGCCAAAAGGGTCCCCATCAAGGCCATGTTGCTGGATCAAGCGAATATCAGCGGCATCGGAAACTGGGTCGGCGACGAGATCATGTACAATGCCAAAATACACCCTGAACAGTACGCCAATACGTTGACGGACGAACAGATTGCCCAGCTACACAAGTCGATTCATTATGTTTGTGGCACCGCTGTCGAGCTGTTGGCGGATTCCGAAAAGTTCCCCGAGGACTGGCTGTTCAAGCATAGGTGGGGCAAGGGCAAGAAGAACAGTTCTAACGTCCTCCCTACCGGGGAGAAGATTGCGTTTCTTACTGTCGGAGGACGGACCAGTGCTGTTGTGCCGTCCGTGCAGAAAAAGACGGGGCCGGTGGCCAAAGAGATGAGCGAAGCTGAAGTGCTCGATGGCGAGGATGTACAGCCAAAGAAGCAGAAAAGCAAGAAGAGAAAAGCTGCTGCTGTAGAAGACGAAAGCGAGGAAGAAGAAGTCATGCCCAAGAAGACTACCGCCAGGGCTAAGAAGGCCCCGAAGACCGACGAACAGAAAACAAAGGTTAAGCCGGAACCGGAGGTAGAAACGAAACCGAACGGGGTGAGGAAAGTTGCGAAGAAAGGCAAAAAGGAACAGGCTATGTCACCTGTCACGGAGAAGAAGTCTGCTGGTCGCGGTAAGGTTGTAGCACCTGCAGCAATGACAAATGATACTAGTACCGGCAGACGGCGATCAGGTCGCTTGGGAAAGTCTTAGTTCTGGCAGAGTCAAAAGTGGATTGATCCATTTCAGGGATGATCTGTGTATGTGTACCACTAGCAATCGGTGGGCAGAAGCATGACATGCTACTCGGTTGGTGGCAGGGTCTCTCATCTTGCACAGTTTCATTGCCTATTGACATGTAATATGGTCATGGGGCCCTCCGAATGACAAAAGACAACTATGGCCATCTCTCCAAGCACCCAGCCAATATCCAGACTTGCAAATGATGACTTTCTGTACTGTAACAGTGTCCGGCCTCTCTTGTTTAAGGCAGTCGCCTGGACAATAAAGCAAAAACTCCCAAAAAGACAAACCAACCCTCGACATGCTCTCCGCCCGGGAAGCCTCCTGCGGGACCTATTGTTGCTCAGGCGTGTGGGTGCCGCCAAAGTACATACGGGCCTGCTCTCGTTGAGGAGGCGGAACAAACGAGTGGTCGAGGGCGTCGACATTGGAGACTCTCGACTCGGCAGACTGTTTGCTCTGCTCGGGACTGAGGACCCCGCTGCTTGCGCGACCATCGTCCAGGGCGCGCTTTTCTTCGTCCGTGACGGCATCCGCCCCGATCTCGGCGGTGTCCAAAGCCCGTCTGAATGACAGAATCAGATTGGTTGCCAACGGGTACGTGAAGACCAAGAAGAAGCAGGCGGTGGTCAACGACCAGGCCTTGGAGATGCGCACAGCTTCGACAAGCTGGGCCATGAGCGGAGGTTGCAGGGCGCCACCGCAGATGCTGACGATCATGAGCGTCTCGCAGGAGGGCGTCCACTCGTCAAAGGAAGCCGTGGCGCTCTCAAAGACCATTGGAAAGCATGGCGCCTCGAAGAACATGACCATGACGGCCACCGTGATGGCTGGCGTGCCTGTGATGGACGTCCCGGCGGCGGTGGTTGCCACCGCTCCAGCGATGAAACAAAGCAGCACGTATCGAGGCTTGAAGACCTTGGGCGCCGTCACCATGCCCGCGGCGACGAACCGGCCGACCACAAAAGCAATCTGGGCAAACGACATGCACACGGCCGCCCAGTTGTCGCTGGCGCACGCGTTGACCTTCATGTGCTCGATGAAGAACTGGGCAAAAGTCACCTGGCAGCCGATGTTGACGAAATTTGCCGCCACCCCCCACCAGATCCGGGCATAGCGCCACGACAGTAGTGGGTGCTTCCACAACCTCCAGCCGACGATGACGGGTGGTGCGGGAACGTCCACCTCGGGCACCCAGTTGGTACGGAAGAATATGATGCCCACTACCACCATCAAGCCAAGGATACAGCCGCCGAGACCCCGGTAGAAGGTGATGACGCTCCCCAGGTTGGCGCACGACGCGGCTCTGTTCTCTGTCGGCATTAAGCATTTCCCCGGCCGAAGCGGGTCGGAGGTTGGACGCATCGTCGACGTGTCTGGATTGAAGACGAATGCGTTGGCCAGGAAGGGTGCAATCACGGTGCCGATGCCCGCCCATGCCTGTGCGATCAAGATGCGCAGAGTGGCTTGCGTGCGAGGACCACAGTTGACGGCATATGGATTGGCGGAGCGCTCCAAGGTCGACACTCCCAGGCCGATGACAAACATGGCGGCGACCATGCCGGCCAAGCTGCAATTCTGGGCGCCGACGGACATGAACAAGTCGCCGAGAGCAAGACCGAAAAGACCAGTCATCATGGCGACCCGATAGCCGCAGTTGCGAACCAGTGGCCCTCCTATGAGAAGAGCACCGGGAACGTAGGCGGCGTAGTAGCCGGCAGCGAGGATGGCAGCCTTGTCCCGGCCGATCCCCATGGCCACTTTGACGTGGTAGTTCATGATGTCGAGGAGCCCGTAGGCTAGCCCCCACATGCAGAACAGGGCGAGAGAGGCGATGGCAATGGGGACGACGGTGTCCCTTCTGCGAATCTCTCGCTTTGGTTGCTTGTACTGGACATCGAGACGCTTGATGCGCTCGAGGAAGCTGCCCGAGGACAGGAAAGTGGTGATCATGTTGCTCGTTTGATGGGAACTGAGGGAGAGAAGTCGAAGGAGAACTAAGGGGAGTTCATGGTCTTGGGAGAGGGGAAGAATGTAGAAAGGAGTGCAGTGTAACAGAAGGCCGAGGAGGACAACTCTTATATATCAAATACATTTCTTCTGGGGATATGGGGAACCCCAGATTGAGGGATATAGTTCAAACCAGTGTGGGAGAGCAATAATCCAGTACTCACTGAACGGTACTAAACGGTCCATGTACCCTGTGATGCTGGGGCGATTCTGTCTCGGGGTGAGAGCAAGCCAGTCAGCGTAGAGAGCAGATTCTGTGCGACGGGTAGAGACAGTGTGTTTTTCAGATCGACGCCAGCCAGCCTTTCTAGAACTCACTTGTCCAAGGCACAAGACCAACTCTAAACCCTCCAAGGCGTCGAAGAGATCTGTCCACTCATCGTCCATCTTTACACAAGATCAGAGGACCGCGGGGTATTGCCCGAGGCCGGAAGGGCGTCGCGGGGACGGACTGGAAGGATGATTGCTTCTCATCCGGTACGGTCATGATGACTATCGTGGTGTTACAGAGTAGATACAAAAGTAAAATCTGGGGAAGAGGTTGAGAGAGTCGGGAGAGCAACGCTTGAAGATCCGTCCAAGTGTGATAATAACTCGGAGCCTTGGCACGATGAGAGCCGACGAGGCTGGCGAAACATCGACGCCCCAACCATTCGCCATCCGCCATTCGCTCTACCAGATATATTCCATCTCTAGACTTCTTTTCGCGCGATTTCTGATTCGTGTCATCTTCCCCGGTTGTCTCTTGGGTTTGGGTTTGGGCTCGTTCTATGAATAGACTCTGTTCCAGACTGAAAACCTCAACAATTTTGCCGCACACGACATCCTGCTTTCAGAAAGTGGCGAGATCACCAGCACCAGCACGAACACTAAACATCATGCCTTCCGCAAAAGACTCGACGCCTACGTTTAGAGTGTTAATGCTCCACGGCTACACACAGAGCGGCCCTTCATTCCACGCAAAGACGAGAGCTCTGGAAAAGCACCTACAAAAGGCATTGCCGGGCATATCATTAAGCTACCCCACGGCACCTTTACAGCTGAAGCCAAGCGAGATTCCGGGCTTCGACCCCAGTACCAGCGAAGATCCTGACATTATTGAAGCCTATGGCTGGTGGCGCAAGTCCGACTCCGATCCTCCAGAGTATGACGGACTTGACCAAGGGCTGGAAACAGTGGCCAAAGTCATCGAGGCAGAAGGACCATTTGACGGAGTCATCGGGTTCTCTCAAGGTGCAGCTCTAGCAGCCATGGTCGCATCGTTGCTCGAGGGGGACTCGAGGAAGCGCGCTTTCGAGAAAGCTCAATCGAAGTCACCTCTGGCGATCCCATTTCCAGCAGCTTTTGCCCGATTAAGCCATCCCCCTCTCAAGTTTTGTATCTCATACTGTGGCTTCATTGCTCCAGGGGAGAGATATCGAGGCTTCTACGAAGATCCCAAGATCCAGACACCTGTTTGCCACTTCATCGGCAGTCTTGACAGTGTGGTGGACGAGATGAGAACAGAGGCCTTGGTGCAAGCTACTGGCGGTCCAGAAAAGACTCAAGTCGTGACGCACCCTGGCGGACATTTCGTCCCGAACAGGAAACAGTATCTTGACACTGTTGCAACCTTCATAAAGCAGAACATGTTGTCAAAAGACGGCGAGGGAGAAAAGGAAGAGCGGGTGGAGGACATGGATGTTCCATTTTGACCTCTTCTGCACGTTCCAGATCCGCCGTCGTCGATATCATTGATACCCGATAGAACACCTTAGAGTTTGAGATGCGCATGCATGTATTTTCCACCTCGTGAAGACTTTATTCTATGTAGAAGTAGAAGAGGAGTATGGGCGCTATGTAGATAGGTATCCTACTTACCTTAGGTAGTACAATATCGTGGATTATCACGTGATGAATATGTTCCAAAACAGACTAGGGCCGTTGCTGCCAAGATTGTCCAAAGCGAAAGTCGTTCGCACACTCTTCAAACTGCCATTTCCACCGCCACATCGACCACAAGCCCGAGCAGGATTGCCATCGATCATCGCATCTTCTCCTACCAAGTCAATATCGAAGAAGACTCCGATCAACTACACAGCCCTCAAATCGATCTCAAACCTCAGTCAAAATGGTATGCACACGATCCCAAAGCACAGCTCGAATGATGTCCTCAAAATTCTGCCCCCTCTTTGGCGGCAGCAGCACACGACCATTGCAACAACCATTCATAGCAAACAACAATTTCTTTATCGCCAGAGTTTAGCTAACGTTCAATTCTACAGGTTCTCGCCGTCGATCTTCTCAACCCTACGCCTCAGGCTGAGGCCCGCAAGCACAAGCTCAAGGTACGGCAATTCTCAGCCTTCTGCGCAGACAGGGCAAAAGTTTGAAAAGTAAAAACATCTCGCTAATGTTCGCAACAGACTCTCGTCCCAGCTCCCCGATCATTTTTCATGGACGTCAAGTGCCCCGGCTGCTTCACCATCACCACCGTTTTCTCCCACGCTCAAACCGTCGTTATCTGCGCCGGCTGCTCGACCGTGCTGTGCCAGCCCACCGGTGGCAAAGCCAGACTCACAGAGGGCTGCTCTTTCCGAAGAAAGTAGACGACTACCCCAAAATGGAATGAAAACTTGATGGCATTACTTTGCTAGATAGAAGATGGATTCCCAGGACTAAGCACCAGCCCATGAGGAAAGGAGTTCCGGATATCTTGCAAAAGAGACTTTCTCTCGAAAGCATGGCGGGAAATTCTTTGATGTTTGTCTTTTACAACGAGCGTGAACTGTGGTTCCGACTGGATTGGGAACATGTTTCGCAACCAAAAGTCTCTCTTGCTTGGAATGACGGGCAGAGGCAACGAGATGCTGCATGAACATACACTTCTGTGGGAATGTGAGGAGAGCAGATCTTGCTTGTTGAGGAGGCCTATGACCTTGCACTAGGCTCAATCATGGTGATGGGTGGATAGTCTTGTACTTCTAGTACAGAGGCAAGCAATGAAATCTTCAAAAAGCATATCAACTCTGTTATCTCGCCTTCTCGTAGTCGACATTTAGACTGTTCGCCCTCCGTATGTCACTTGCTGTAGGAACTTCTTACAGTCGTCCGTATCCTTCCTACTTGGACCTCCCCAACACTTTTCCCCGTCTCCCCGTACTTGCGTAAGTAGGCTCCTCATTCGTGCGTGAGTTGGCTGCTGTAGCCTTCAGAATGGCACGGTGTGGCCAACTGACCATCGTCGGTGGATTTATTCGGAGGAATGCCACTCAGGAAGTGCATTGAGGTCGTGCAGCGGGTTCACTTTTGGATAGCCCGTCTCTGGACATTCGCCCTTCGTGGACAAACGTCCAGGCTTGTTTGTCCCATATCTGGGCCTTGTTCTTTTGTCAAAGATAAATTCGGCAATCTCGATTCGATTCATCCACGTTCCAATTCCGTCATGATCTTGTTGACCAGTTTCTTCTGCTCCTTTTCGCCGAGTTCGGCGTCATCCAATTGTCGTAGACATCGCCCTACGGCACAAATCCCCTTTATGCCAGCCTCCGGACAATCGACCCAAACCTTGCCATTTCTGCCGACGGCGATCTCAAACCCACCCTGAAGCCTTGCCCCGAGCTCGTCCATAGCGAGCACATTCTGCTTCTTCAATAAGCGATCCGCCAAGCCAGGGCTCACATCAAACACCATTCCTCCAGACAACGGGCCGAGACCGTCCGGCTCCGACTTGCCTGTCGAGGGATTGACGCAGCTCAATTCGATCTCCATGTTCTTCTGCGCAGACACCACTTTCGCATACACAAGATCATTAGTCTTGAGCTGCGGCCGTGTCTTCTTGGTGGCGCCCTCGAAAGCCAGCTGTGGTAGAATTGCCTGGGGTGAGTGTGGATTGATGTATAGATGGAAAAAATCCGTTGATGACGCGCGGAATTGCGCAATCACCAGGTCTCCCGGCTTGGAGATGTATCGTGCATTGGGTGTCGAGATTTGGGCGCTCTTCTTCCGCCAGTCGACCTCTAATAGTCCGCCAATGGTGGCTATGAATGATTCGGTGTCAGGGTCTGGTCGAAGGCCATGTCCTATTTTGCGCTTTTGTGATGTCGGGATCTGGCTGACGGGGATATGCTCTCCAGGTAATACTATCTGAGGTGTTGCCATCGTATGTATGGGTGCCCTTTTCTGGTAAGTACTGAGGGACGTACTATTAGGTCGTGCCGATATGTTTCCACATCGACATTTTCTGTATGGTTGGAAGTTGTTAAGGCGTTGCGTGAAGAGATTGAATGCTTCTCGGGACAATTGCAGTATGAGGCTGCCAAGACTAGGGCGGAGCAAAATGTCATTGGGCTGCAGCTATCACCCTGAAGCAGTGGTCTTTATCATACTAGTAGTACAAGTATATGTGGTACGTCGACAGAGGCCTGGGTATCTTGACATTTACTCCAAGATACAAAATATTTGTCTTACCGGAATTCAGCATTCCAGAACAAGTGAGCATTTGTGGCCACATTTCCAGGGATGGCAGCCTCGTCAAATTGGGTCTATTATGTAATCAGCTTTGATCCTCGCTTCACCTTCCCCTTTTCCATCGATCCTTGCGGCGAGGCTCGAAAAAAGTTGGAGGCTTTTGCTCGAGTCTTCCATGTTGTTCATTGTGCGAAAAGTACAAAGTACTGCACGACAACGAGCATTGAACGCTTGCATTCCCTTCGTTCATTATCGAGTCACTGCACCAAGCATTCTTTTACCCATTGAATTGCTCACAACATCATGAGTGACGAATCTAACGAGGTGCCGGCCACCGGCTCGCCTGAACACTATGCCATCGGTATCGCCTTCGGAAATTCCTACAGTTCAATAGCACATATCTCAGGAGAAGGGAAAGTTGAGGTCATCGCCAACGAGGAAGGTGACCGCCAAATCCCTTCCGTCTTGTCCTACATCGAGGGAGAGGAATACCATGGAACACAAGCAAAAGCACAGTTGGTCCGCAACAGCAAAAACACCGTCGCATACTTCCGAGATTTCATTGGCAAGGACTACAAGTCGATAGACCCTACTCCGTGCCACGCCTCAGCACATCCTATTGAGGTCGATGGTCAAATCTGTTTCTCAATCCGGGACACAGACAGTGAGACCGAGAACAAAGTTTCAGTCCAGGAGATCACTGCCCGACACCTGCGACGGCTGAAGAACTCGGCATCCGACTTTGTCGGCAAACCAGTGACGGCGGCTGTTGTTGCCATTCCTACAGACACCAGTGACGAACAGAAAGCGGCCTTGACCAAAGCTGCCGCCAGCATCGAGCTTGAGATTCTACAGTTTATGCCCGAACCCATTGCTGCCCTCCTTGCGTACGACTCGCGGGTTCCCGACTCGGGGGCAGACAAGAATGTGTTGGTTGCAGACTTTGGTGGACACAGGTCCGACGTCGCGGTGATTGCTTCAAGAGGAGGAATGTACAGCATCCTGGCCACGGCCCACGATTACGAGCTTGGTGGTGCTCAGCTCGACCAGATTCTCATCGACCACTTCGCCAAAGAATTCGAGAAGAAGAACAAGACGGACCCGCGCAAGAACGAGCGAAGTCTGGCCAAGCTGAGGCTCGAGGCCGAAGCGGTGAAGAAGGCACTCAGCCAAAGTACCAGCGCGACCTTCAGTGTGGAAAGTCTTGCGGACGGAGTGGACTTCCGGTCGACGATCAACAGGAGTCGATATGAGATTCTCGCACTCAAGACATTCGGCCGCTTCACCAGGCTCGTCGAGGAGGTCATCAAAAAGGCCGACCTTGACGTCCTGGACATCGACGAGATCATTCTGTCCGGGGGTGCCTCGCATACACCCAAGATTGCCAAGAACATTGAAGCCATCTTCCCCGAGTCGACTCGGGTGTTGGCTCCGGCCACCGTCACGACAGCTTTGAGCCCGTCCGAGCTTTCCGCGCGCGGTGCGGCCCTGCAAGCGTCTCTGATCCAAGAATTCGACAAGGAGGACATCGACCAGTCGACACACGAAATGGTCACAGTCACACCACACCTGACTGCCGCGGTGGGCTATCAAGTGTCCGACCAACCTGCGGATTCGTTCAAGGTGCTCATCCCAGCCGAGACTGCCTTGCCTGCACGGAGAAGCAAGGTGATTGATGGACTCGAGGGCGATGTATTGATCCGGATATGTGAAGGTGAGCGCGAGATCAAGGTCACCCAGTCGGAAACCATGCCTAAGACGAACGGGACCAAAGATGGGGATGAGGACGCTGAAGACGATGATGACTCGGACGTCGACGAAGACGATGAACCGGAAGAGATCCGCGAAAAGATCTGGAAGCCCAAGCAGGCGCTGGCCGAGTTTGTGTTCAAGGGCTTGCCCAAGAAATCCAAGGTTGAAATCATGGTCAATGTCGATGCTGACTCGTCTGTGTCTTTCACGGCCCGACACGTTGGTGGCAAGGGGGGAGTTCGGGGCGAGATCAAGGCTGCCGAGGTCGCGCAGAACGGGAGTGCATGATGGAGCTCGACAGTCCCTAGAATCCCGAGCGTCTCGTCTCGTCTCGTTCGGGCCTCTTTTATGTGTAGGTTATGGTGGATGAGTGGCATGGCATGGCATGGCGCGGCGCTTCGCTTCAGTTTGCTGGTTGATCTCATTTTGAATCACGAAACAAAAGAGAATTGCGATGGATTTTGTTGCTTGCTTAGGTACTTGCCAGCTAGAAAAGAAAGTCCTTGGCCATATACACGTTGATTTCAAGTATTTCCCAGATGCTTTCCAGCTTGCCGTTCCGTTTCCAAGATGTTTGACACCAATGCAATCCGTTGTGTGTTATCAGGGGTCTCCGAAAAGAGTCAGTCCTCAGCAGTCGACAAGACATCCTGATACCATGCTACAGAACACCGGAAATGAGAAGCGGGCTATGAATCATGCTACAGTACCCCTTCATGTGCCATCGATCCAATCATTTATCGTGCGTGCTTACAGTCGTCAACCGCTTTTTCTTTTTCTTTTCCTTTTCTCCTGAGCCCTCGGTCCTCACGTTGTCTTCTCTCCTTGCTCCTCCAGCCTGGTTCTGGTTGGTAACAATGTCATCTTCTCCCGCCCATACTACTCTTCATCTCTGTCCTTGTTCTTCATCCCCTCCCTCCACAAGCCTTTCTTCCTGATTCTTCCTCTCCGCAAAGACGGCAAGCAGGCCCAAGTCATAGGTCGCCTTCAAAGAGCCCGCCGCCACAAAGGCCACCCAGAAGTGATTCCTCGCCCCGAGCACACCGGTGATGAGGGGGCCCAGACTCTGCGCACACGTCTTGACCACATTGACCGTGCCCATGACGGCGGTGCGTTCATGCGGTAAGACGATCGCCGCCAGAAACGCCGAGCGAGGCGCGACATCCATGACCTGCGTGCATGCTCGGCCGACGAGAAATACGAGCGCCCCTTCGAGCGTCGAGGGGATGGGAATCAAGGCGAGACAGATGGCGGAGGGAAGATGGGTGAAGACCATTGTCTGTTTCGATCAGTTAGCCTTTGTTTTTCTTGTTTCCGAATATCTTCGTCTCTTGCATTACAAGGAAAGGAACAAGAAGCAATCAAGTCTTTCGATGCAAGGCAACACCCACAAAGTTCCACACATACCTTGACATTCCCGATTCTTTTGGCCAGGGACGATGCCACGAGCATGGAAAGAGCAGAGATGACATTCGTCACTGAGAAGATCGATCCTAGTTTCCCCTCGGGCAGGTCGAACTTGCGCTTGAAGAAATAGGTGACCCATGATCTGTTACCATGGGCGCAGCCACGTTAGCGGAACTTTTCTCAAGTCCCAGAAGAGCAAAAGTACAGCTCAGTCGCACTTACAGCGAAGCCAGTCCGGACCCGAAACTGTCCAGGGTAAACAACACACACAGCTGCAGCAAGATGCCTCTACTCTCCTTGCTGATGTTGGGCAGTAGTCGCCATTGCTTTTTCAGGTGATTCTTTGCGTCTGTGTCATTGTCATTGTCATCTTCATCTCCACCTCCATCTCCAGGCGACGACGGTGCATTATTCCCCAGCAGTGGCGCCGTCTCGGTGGCCGCCGACGTCTTAGGCTGACCGGTAAAGTCGACCTCACATTCCCTACTCAGCAGCAGAGCCAGCCCGAGCTTGACAAGCCCGACAACTGCATAGATGAAGAAGATCAACCGATACGCCTTTACCGCCGACCAGTGTTTCTGATGTTGCAAGAGCGTGATGATCCAGCCGCAGCAGACAAACCCCAATGCAGACCCCGCCGTCCCAATCAGGGAATACCAGGCGTAGATATCGCTTCGGTGATGGCTGGCTGTGAGATGAGCCAATGTCGATTCTTCGATTGCGCGGAATGGCCCTATTTCGTTGCCACTGGGACTAATCACCCCGAAAATCGCTCCGGCCAAAAGAATCCAGTAGTTCCCAAACACCCCAAACACCACACCGCTCGCACTCATCAGTGCGGCGCCCAGAACCAAGATCCATCGTCGGCCCAGACTGTCCGCGACCAGCGTCAGAAGAAAGCTGATGACCACGTCCCCGATCAGCGTGAGCGTCATGAACAATCCGATCCGCGTGTCCGAGATGCCCAGGTCGGACAGGTAGGATGCCAGAATCAACGTCGACCCGCCGTATGCGAACAGCCGCACGAACCGCTGGAGGATCAGGATCTTGGAATCGACGGGCGCCGCGTACAGCGTCACCAGGCCGAGTTCGTTGAGTACTGCTCTGACAGATCGTTGGAGATGGAAAGTAAAGCCTGTGCCCGTGTCGGCGTCGGGGTCTGATGAGGTCGTCGCTGGTTCTGGTTCTGGTTCCGGTCCATCTTGTGACGGACTCATGTTTGATGAGGATGAGAGAGAGAGAGAGAGAGAGAGAGAGAGTTGGGATTCGCTGCTGTCAGATCAACTTGCTTGCTCTGTCAGGTCAGACTTCCTTCTTCCCTGCCAGTGCTGCCTTTCTGGCTGTGAAGCGTGTATGTTTTGCTTCTATGTTGTACATCTCACTCCGTGAGTCATTGTATTGTATATCAAGTTAGTAAGGTATGTTCATACGAATAAAAGAGCAGATAGTGGAATAGTCATCAATGATGGAATATTCTGTCGTATCATATCATCTTTCAAGTTTCGGCCGAGCTCGGTGGTAAGAATTTACTTGTAAGACTGACAATGTCGAAACCCTTGCTCGCCGACTTCAAGTTGCTAGATGGACGAGCAACTTTGGTTGAGAGTACCTCCTGAGGTTCATATCTGTAGAGGTCCGAGAACATGCTGAAGATAGGATGAATCTGACTATGAGGCAGAGCGTGGGCGAATATAGGCGCTCGACACCCTGGTTGACGCCTTGTCACTCACTCACTGGCAAGACAACCTCAATCTCAGTGTAATCCATTCATCCCTCATATACCTTATACGACACTACGACCTTACTGTGGCAGGGGGGATTGCTGTTGCCATCACTGTCTCAATGCCAGTACGAGTGAAGAAAGAGATCGAGGGACTGGCCTCACTTCCTGCGGCTTCTTGTCAATGGCAGACGGTGAGTGAACAGCCGTCACTGCTGTAAAGATCCAATACTCAAAGAACGAAGCACGACACACGAGGCAGAAACGGCTTGTTTGTTTGGAAAAATCGATTCGCTGACAGTGCGGGAATGTCACACTGTCTGGTGACCAGCCTGTGGTCTACAGCTCCCTCTGTTCCCTTCCTCCTCCAGTGCCGATTGTCTGCACTCCCCTCCGGTTGTGTCAATCTCCCTCCCTCTATCCTCCGCCTGGCCGCCTCCGCCATCCTCCTCCTGCCATCCCCCAGTACAATCGCCGTCCGCTTTTGTTCCAGCAGGACAAAGACTCCAGACAGTGCCAGCACCTGGTGTCGACCATGGGCCTCCACCTAGGCGACAGCGGTGCGGAGCATCGCTCACGCCAAACCCACTGCCACTGTCAGAAAGTCCCCGTCTTAGTAGATCAAGTCCAGACCGGGGATCCGCACAGGACCAGGCTCCACTTCCTCCATCTCGTAATCCATCTCCGGGCTCAGCTCGAGGTATGGTACCTCGGCCACCAAGAGAGAAGGACCACAAGAGGTCGGTTGCGAAGGCTGGACCTCCACAGCCTCCAGCCCGTCCATGATCTCCTGAGGTTGCAGGCTGAAGTTGCCCGCACCCCCAGACTGCTCAAACTCCATTGGAAGCTCTTGCTCCTGGCTGGCTCCTCCTGCCTCCCCCACGGCCTCTCCTCCCTCCGCTGCAGCCAACGCCGCCGCCACCATCGCCTCCAGTTGACCGTCCTCCGTCAACGGGGCCTCCAGGAGCTCCTCGAATCCTCCACAGGCAACTTCGAAACCATTGCCTGGTCCCATCGGGACGCTCCATCCCTCCTCCTCCACCGTCCCCTGATCCTCCTCGGCTCGCGGCTCCGGCTGCGGGTCGCCCTGAACTTCAGGAGCTGGCTGGTTGGCAGCCGCCTCAGTCACTAGAGCCGGCTCCATGGCCATTTCCAGGACCGCCTGCAAGTCAACCAACTGGCGTTCCAGCTCCTCGTTCGCGACCTTGACTTGTCGCAGCTCGGCCTCGACATGGCTGTATGCGAGGAGCCCCTCGTCCAAACAAGCCTGTCGGGCGCTAGAGCCCTCCTCAGCCGCCTGCCTCAAAGCCCGCTCCTGTTCAAGAGCGGCTTCGGCCCGGGCAGCACGAGCCTCCGCCTTCCGAATACTGTCCACTGACACCCGATGCTCTCGAAGCTCGTGGCGAGCCTGGCGAGCTTGAAACTCAGCCTTGTCTTGCTGCTTGCGGGCGTAGTGGCAGATGTCGGCACAGTCGCGATGCTCGTTCTTCACAGCCAGCTTCTCGATCTCCAGGGCCTTGGCCAACCCCTTGCTCTTGGTGGCAGCTTTCACCAGGTCTTCGTAATATTGGCGGTCGACGAGGACCATCCCATCGGGGGACCCCGTCGAGTATGGGACTTCGAAGTGGTTGGGCTGTCGAGGGGTTGATGGACGTGACTGGTCGTGGCTGTTCTTGCCGACGAAGGCATCGCCTTGTCTGGTCTTGGTCTCTGGGGTGAAAGCGAGAATGTCTTGGGCGCGTGTCTTGATGTTGGCCGCCAGCGGCTCAACAGCTTTCTCCTGGATAAGGGAAACCACGACGTCCTTGAGATGGAGACATTTCGTCACGCAGATTGGGAGAAGCCAAAAGAAGAACAGGTTGTCCAAGAGCCACAAAGTCTGGTACACGGCCCAATATAGCCAGTTGAAGAGTGCCAGCAAGAGGGTCGTCAGAATCCCCATCAGGAGGTCGAATAACACCTTGCCGATCTGGTAGAGCTTGCCAAGCACCGCATCGCGGGCCACCGAGAGAACATCTTGCATCTTTTCAATGTATGGCTGCACGTCGCGAGAGCGACGCCACAGGAAGATGTAACCCGCGGTGTACATGGTGTCCAAGAAGTATGGATCCAAGGGGCGACGGATGCTTCTCTCCAGTTCCCGGGGTTTGCGGTGGTATTCTTCCGTGATTCCGCGGCCATACTCGGTGAGGAGAATCAGGCGGTCCACTCGCTGCTCGTGATAGAGCTTGGTCAGGAGGAAAATGAGTGGTACCCAGAAGATGACAAAGAGGAGGATTAGGATGTGATGTAGTTGCCATGGGCTCATGGTCGTCACTATGCCGTAATCCTGGTTGAAATGGCCTGTCACAATTGCCGTGTAGGCTGCGGTGGGCTGGGGAGTCTTGACGTAAACGGTCGTTGCGCTCGTCACAGTACTCCATGGTGTCGCTGTAATGGTTTTCATGTCGACGAATGTAGTCGTGACATGTCGGGTCACGTAAGAAGGAGTGTGGCTGGCTCCGAGGGTGAGGACGTTTTGGAAGAAGGGAGAGGTTTTGAGGTTGAGTAGGATGAGATACTCGCTGGATTTCTGCTGAACGTACAGCATCACAGCGGAGAGGATGGAGATGACGCTGGTAAAACTTGCCATGATTGCAATCGTTTGACTGTTGTCTGTGCTTGACTCTGAAGATTGCAAGTCGAACCGATCGTGGAAGGTGGTAGGTAGAAAGGATGGGGGATTTTGAAAATTCAGGACGATATTTATGTGTGGGCGCAGGCGCAGACGCAGTTGGAAGTGAAGTGAATGGTCTATTGACGCGCACCGTGTGTTGTGCAGTGAATGGCTTCAGCCTCGTGACTGCCCATTGTGTTGGCCAACACCGCCTACGGTCGCCTGTTTCAGACAGTTGATTCAGCGCTCAACTGTATTGTCTCGAAGCATCTGTCTCGTGCCAAAGAGCCATTCAATCCAAGGCGTTGGATCCTCCAATCGCCACATCAATAGGCAACAATGCCATCAACCATTTGTCTCATATGTATATCGAGGTCAGGCAGCAAGTGAAGGAAGCTGGAGGGCACCCGGGAAATATCCTGCTTGGATGTTTTATGTCTGGCGGCCTCTTGCTCCTTGATTTAAGCATTTTTTCTTATTCTTTATAATTGTGACTTACTTGCAACCCGAAGCGTTTCCGGCGTCGTTTGACTTCAAAACACGGACTTACTTTCATACTACCGATCTGAGATCCTTTCCACGGGTGAGTTTGCAAGGCAGTCCTCCCGGTTTGATAACCAGTTCCAACCAACTCAAGCTGCCCGGTTTGACTTACCCAGGGCTTGATCAACATGACCCATCGTGGCAATGAGCAGGGACAAAAAGCAACTGCCTGCCATGGCTAGCAAGCGCTGAGGATTGCTTGCTCACGGGCGGTCTCATTCGTCCTCCGGTTGGTCCTTCATACGCGCCTCCCGGGCACGTACGGAAGTCCATCTTGCAGAGTCCAGCAGCACAATCCCTAGCAGGTCTCATTCAAGATGGCATGGTTAGCCATCTTGCGAGCTGCTTGTTTCCGTCAATGTTGGTGGCTTGATCCCGAGACAGCGATACTCTCGCTGCTCCTCCAGGGCCTCAGATCGCTTCAAGAAACTGCGAAAAGGGGAGGTAGGCTACTTTGCCTCCGGTTCGAGATAGCATGGCACAGCCTCATTCCAGCAAGGTGAGATTGAGACCACAAAGCCATCGTTGGTAGTCATGAAAGACATTATCAGCGTGAGCTGTCGTCAAAATCTCAGACATCGTTGGAATAAGATTTGAATCACCCACGTGATACCACGTGATACCACGTGATACCACGTGACCATAAAAATATATCGACCGACCACCAGTCTTTTTGGTTCTCCTGACTTTGTCTTCCTGTTGGTGTACTGTGACAGTAGTCCTTCTAGGTATCTCCCTGGTTTTATAAGCTGTTTCACCTTGCTTCCACCATGACGAAGCTCGGTGCTTCTCAAGAAATTTGTCTATCTGACTGAGGAAGGTGGAAAACTGACCAATCAGAAACCGAGTCGATGTTTTGGGGTCAATATCCGTGTTTCTCAACGTCCAGCCTCGTCTTTTTGTTATTGCCGAACATGAAATACCTCTTGCTCGAGAGGACGTCAAATAGACCTTTGTCCTCACGATAGGCGCGTCTTGGGCGCTTTTCATGCGACAGCTTGCTCCATAACGAACTCAATGGAAGGTGGCCGACCATGAACCACAATTCTTCCGATCTTCCAGCCCACATCTCCAAGTACCTGAGCACAATCAATACAACGGCAACAAGCCCGGGGGATGACTTGGACCTCTTTTTCCACTGTTGGATCCGTCCCAACTGTCCATCATGTCTGTCGCCGTCCAACCCGTATCCGTGCTCATGGTGCGCCACGTCCATGACCTGCGTCCCTAATACCGTCTACCCATATCCGTTCGGGATCCTGTCGCCGATCAAGTCCGCTGACATATGTCCGTTGGGATGGCGGGAGAGGTGGGAAATGCGGGCTCGTCCGTTTGATTGCCGATGCTCGAGCATGACGTTCATCAGCGTTGTAGTTGCTATTGTGGCTACGTTGGGCGGTGTGCTTTTGATATGGCTGGGCATTCGCTTCGGACAGTGGATAGGGAGGAGATGGAAAAGACGCGGAGAGGGCTGGTCGGGCCTACGCAGCCTGCATTTAATTGTACAGTCTCCTACGGAGAGTCGAACAGGGGCGATGAATCAATCAGCGGAAGAAACAACGCCGCTGCTTGCGTGACAACCCCTTTGTCTTTGATTTTGTATATGCTGGACCCAAATCAGAAGCCAATTTCATGGAGCAGGATCGAAAGTTTGTCGATATCAGTCTAGAGTTTCTTCCCCTCCTGATGCTACACCTTTGCAGACTTTACTAATGCGATATTCGACACTCATCCCGTCATCATCGACGATGAACATTCCGGAGCCGACGAATAAGGCATGTTCGAGCGCTCTGTATCGCATGGAACCAGTTTCAATGGATACCTGTATGACTGTGCTCAAGCATTTAAGTCGGCGGGTTCATCAAGGCTTACAACCCAACCCCCACGAACAGTGGCTCTGCACGAGTGAAGAGATGCGTTATTCTCGGGGTGCAGATCGGAGCGAGTTCCGGGAGAAAAGCAAGGTGACACATATACGATTGACCGAAGTCGATTGACTTCACGTGCGCACTCCGACCAAGGATGCGGCGCATCTCGGTTGTGGTGTCCACGATGCCAGTATACAGTCCGGGGAGGAAGAATGCAGTCAACGCAAAGAAGAGAGAACAGCTCAACTCGACGGCTGTGGCCGACCAGTTTCTCAAATCTGCAGAATCACAACACACCCACCAAGCCAACAGAAATGAAGTCTCCATTTTTTATATATACATTACTCGTAAATCATCCAAAAAGCCAGCCGAATTCCAGATCCGTGGCGGCAAAGAAGAATCTGGTCCATCTGCTTGATGATGGATTCGGCCTTGTCTCCATTATCCAAAATCCTGATCAATCTCATCATCCGGCTTGGTATAGACAAAGGCTCTTTTGACAAACACCTTCCAGAGGTGGTTCTTGGCCGTCTGCTTTTCCTTGTCTTTTTTCCGACTGCTTTCAACTTCCGACTGCGGTTGCCGCTCCTCAGTCGACTGCACGTCCGACTTGGACAACTTATCCCGGCCTATCCTCTCCGCGAGATCCAACCATGATCGCACGGTCAGATCTGGCATCTGATAGTGACTGTCATTATTGGTCGTGTAGAGTTTCCGATAGTGGAAATGTTTGAAGGGATCTTTCGACTTCTTATCCGAATGCATCCTTTCGTGGATATCAGTCAGATTGGCGAAGTACTGAGTATAAGACAGCAGAGACAACGGCTGAGGTGAGTAGCCTGGCCCTGGCGGTAAAGTCTTTGGAGGCGGTTTCGGAACAGGGAATTTGGGTTTGTTCTTGCGGTGCTTCTTTTTCTTGCCCTTTCTTTTCTTTTTCTTCTTCAGATTGTGAACGTCATCTTCTGCGCCTTGGTCGAGACTCAGATGGTTGTCATTCACATCGAACAGAGCATCTGCAAGATCGACGGTGGAACCCACTTCGGACTCCTTCACAGGACTCCCTATCGCCTTCGGAGCCGGATGATCACGCTCCATGCCCGTAATGTTGTAATCCACAATTCGCAATGTCGGAAAGAAGTTAGGTACCACACTGGGCGAATCGAGACTCACGCTGAACCTCTCACCCCATAGACCCCCGATGTCTTTCAGAAACTCTTCCAACTGTTTCTTCTTACCATGCTTTTTCTTCTTTTTCTTCTGCTTCTCGATCTCAGGTATCTCCGAAGACTCATAATCTCCCGGCGTAAGATACGAATAACCTGGTGGAGGTCGGGGAAGGTTAGACCACTTAACCCGCAATTCATTCAAATATTGCGTTTTCGCCGCAATGGTCAATGTATCGTCGTGTGATTCGGGGAAGAGTCCACCCGGTCGGGTGAATTCATCATCGATGCCATCGATGTCGAACTTGTAGACCAGATCCTTCACATCTTGAAACATAAAGTGGTCGACGTTCATGTGGCCAAACATCGACGAGACAATGACATCGCGATACTGGCGCATCCATAACGTGTATTTCTGGTAGCAACTCTCATCCCAGCTTTGCTTGCTCTCTGTTCTCGCAGGTGGGACGTGCCCTATCAAAATAGCTTTCATGCCTCGCTCCCGCATAAACTGTAACTGCACTCGCAGCCATTCCATATGCTCATATCCGGGGTCATTCTTGGAGTCACACCCATCAACCGCCGAATTGGAATCGAAAAAGTACAGGGTGTTCAGGCTGAAGACCGCCAGTTTATTCGGTATGACTTCGGTGAAGAACCATCCTCCTCTTGCAAATGAATGACGCTGCGCCTGCGGGACGAATTTTTGCCAGATCTCACTGTATGAACGGGTCCACTTGTTAGGGCCAGGCTGAAAGATATTGTGAGGGAGGATGTCGTTGTTTCCGAAGGTAGGGACGATTGGGACGACGAAATCATTGGTCGGATCAGGATCGTCCACATTGTCCGACTTTCCAAACACCTCGACAAACTTGTCCACGATAAATTGGTTGAGCCTGATGACGGATTTATCTGTTCGGGGAATGCTATCATCATTGTCGTGTCGAGCAGAGTCCCCGGTCCAAATCACAAAGTCCACCTGGTCTTTGAAGTGCTCTTTGATCCACCTGAACGTGGCGTTGACCAGGGAGAAAGGTGAGTCGCAACTGGTCACTTCTGCACCATAGTATCCTGCAGAACCTTTACCTCGATGACAAGCCTCGTCCGGGTCGGAATGCGCTAGGAAAAAAGGATCGGGATGGATGTCTGTGGCCCGCTGGTCAGTAAGGACACGAGATGGGAGAACAAGAACGGGCGGTGGCACCTGTAATGTGTAAGAACCTTCCCTGCAGCGGTCTAGGAGGAGGCTGCGATTTGGACGGCTCTGCAATCACTTGTTGAAGACCATCCACCTGGGAGGGCAATTCCGTAGGCGCAGCTGCCGTCAAAGCCGTGAACAGTAGCAGCAGGGCGGCCGTGAAGCGGACCATAGCTAAACGAGGGTTGAAAACCACATTGACAACCCCGGTCACAACACCAACCGATTTCTCGTCGCCGCCTCTATAAGTGTGTAGGATAAGAGAGGAGTGAAGATGTCGTCGCGGTCAAATGTTGAAGGTCCTCAAGAATCTCGAATGAAGTCGAAGCGCAGGATGATGTCATGCGTCAGGCAGCACCACAGCACGGCCGGAGTGGTTTCCGAGTCCGAGATTGAACGCTGCAGTCTGGATACTATTACTGCTACTGTGCACGAGAGGAATTTCTGGTGGTGGGTGATGTCCTATAACAGCAGCGTTGATCGGCGTCTCTTTTCAAGTTTCCTCGTGTTCGCTCGTAAAGTGGTTGTGGTTGTGGTTGATGTTGACAAAGCGAGTGACAGGAGACGGGTGACTGGTGGCGCGTAATACTCCACAGTATTGCGGTCGATGCGCCTGGCGAACAGAACTTGAACGACCTGATCTCAGGATCAAGAACAGATGTTGAGACCAGTCCCACCATCTACACAGACCCGCGATGCGTCTTGTTATATCACCATCCGTCGGTCAACGCATTCTCAGCCTTAACCCAGTTTGACTTTGCCCTGCCGTGTCAGGCCAATAAGCAACAACCAGGCACACACGTGCAGCTCGGACGGTCTCCTTAGCCCGTCAAGCCCGTCGTCTGCGTCCCTACAATCGTACCAGACGGACACCCTAGAGGACAGTATGGAGATCTGTGATGTGATGGGCCCGGCGTCCGCGGAGTACAATGGCTCTCTCGCATGTTGTCTTTGCCCCATGCACATGCCAGTTCATAACACGCAATGTGACCCGAGGGTTTAACTGCGTCTTCCAGAGAACTCATAACTTCGCCGAGGGAGCGACCCTTGTGGCATGGTATAATGGCCCTGCGCTTGATACTCCTCAGGCGGGGTAAGCATCTGCTGGTGCTGGTGCCCGGACTGGTCGTGAGCGTCCTGGTTCACAGCATGAGGAGGACCGGGTAGCTGCTCCGAAGGGATCGTACCGTAAGGATGCTGGTTGTAGGGGTGGCCTTGCGGGTTGCCATACCCGACGCTGTTGTTGGGCGGGACGTTGGCTGGACGCGCATACTGAGTAGCGCTGGCATCCATTTGTCTGCTTTTGAGTCGAGAGAAGAGGACCGCCGACTCCTGTTCGAATCTCTCCCTCATCTCCGGCATCGACCAGCGCTGACGGGCAAAGTCCAGGATCTCAATGATCTTGCGCAGACAAACTGTGGCGCGCTGACTATTGTCTAGAGGAGGGTTCCTCGAAAGCGCCGAATCCCCTCGGAAGGTGTGTGAGCTCTTCACTAGCCGGTCAAAGTCCGACCACATCACCTCCACGAATTTCTGGCCGACATATCTCGCCCTGCAGATATCAGCGTACGTCAGGTACGCATGCCAACTGACATCTTGGGTGATGGGCTGCAATAAATCTGCATATTGAGCCGAGTACTCGAACACAAGCTCCTTGTTAAGATCCGTCATACTGCAGGCCGGCACCCGGGGGTTAGGTGACACCACCAAGATCTGACAGTAGAGCCTCTCAAGGTTGAAGAGCATGAGATGATATTGAGGGAGGGTGGACGGAATGGTAGAATACCAAGCGTGGAGATCGTTAGAAACTGAGCTGGCATAGGTCGCGGCTGTCGCCAATGGCCATGGGGACCGAGACGACCACCTTGTTGTTTGATAAAATGCCGACTCGACTCGCCGGATGTCGAACAAATACAATGATGGTCCCATGGAATGCGCAAATAGTTGCGAAGAGGCCGGGTCGGACGCCGACTCAGGTAGGGGAACATCCGACGCAGAGTCGTCAGTAAATGAGAATGGCCGGTCTAAAGACATGCTCACCAGACGGTCGAGAGCGTAGGTGCAGTGGAAGATCCTGCGTCGAAGATCTAATGTATCTTTGCTGATCTTGGTTTCCGCTGGCGGTTCGCAATGCAGTCCCAAGTCGACCATGAGGCGAGATGCCATGCCGACCAGATACCAGCTGTCGAAATGACGTGGATCGACCAAGGCATATTGCACCAACAGAAGGAGAGCCTGAAGCCCGCTAATCGAACCAGGCTGAAGCACGTAATTTGCCAGGCCTCTGGCCGCCGTAACATGCTGCAGAGCAGCCTTGTAGTTTTCGTCACCCTTTCGCTGTGAGCTCGAGGCATAAGCGATCGCCAGAATCAACCGGACATTCCAAACGTCCATTGGACTGACCGATGATGCGACCGAAGCGGAGTCATGATAGATCCGGGAGAGACTGCCCATCAAGTCGGTTTCCGAAAAGAAGGGAAATAGGACGTATATCTTCTCGAGATACTGGTTGATCATGGGAGTGACGGCGTAACGTGGTGGGAGACCCCGGGTTTCGAGCTGAGAGAGCTCCTTTCTTGTTGCGGCGGACAGAACGAGTTTGGCAAAAGACATGGTGGCAGTGAAGCCATGAAAGTCGCGTGAGGTGGCGTTGACCGTCAGGAAGCCAAAGTCGCTGACCAGCTCATCAACATCGGAGGCTTCCTTTCGCCGGCTTCCACTGACAATCCGTTTTCGAGGAGGAGGCTGCTGTTGTCCCGAGCCCTCGGTCGGAACAGCATGGTGACGGGCAGACTGAACTCTGGCGTCTGCGATCTTTTTCTGGAGCCTCTCCGCGGCAGACTCCAGAGCAGCGACATAACTCCTTTCCTTGCCTCGGGCAAACTCGTCGTTGGAACTGGTGCAACTGCTTGATTTTCCTGAGCGTTCACAAGCTGAACAAGCCGGCAACTTGCCATCACATTTGATCTTTGCAGACCGACATCTCGCACAGGCCGCAACCGGCCTGGATACCCGCAGAGAAGGGTTCAAGAGAGCATCAACTGATTCTATTTTCGTCATTGTGTGAGGCGCAACCAATAGAGACCAACTCTTGACGCATACCGACGCGACCGTTGAGATGATCGTCCTTCAGAAACGGTCGAGCCAGTCGGATGGGATCCAGGTGGATGCTACTCAGTGCCCGTGGGGGGACTGGTCTCAAGATGATGGAGCTGTCGATCCGGGCGCAGAGGACGTTTATCAAGGTCTGTTGGTAGAGTACAAGGAGTCTTGGACGGACCCGTTCAGACTGATATGGATGGCAGTCGTTTCCAGGATTCACTGTACAACATACCTAGTACATCATGACAGGAATCAGCATCAGCTCAATCCACTGCTTCGCTAGCAGGGCAAGCGGCAGATGAGGCCACACAGCGGGATATGGTGTTGCAGAAATAACGATACGCCAATGGATGGACGATGCCGAGTGCCCCTTAGCCACTGCAGTTGGGTGCCGGTCGAGGCTTGACGAGTCTGACAGGTGGCTGTCTGGCCTATTACAGCTGCCAGGGGGGTTTCCTAGGGTTTAGGGAGGCTCAAGGAGCTCCCTTCCGCGTCTAGACCGGAACCTTGGAGGGAATGTTTTAACTAGCATCTACCCCCTAAGGACCCCATAAGCTCTAATTCTTGCCTTGATTGTTCCCACCTCCTGCGCCCTGCCGCCCCTTAGCCTCCTTAGCTCCTCAGGGCTACTTAGGCTCAAGCTAGGGTTAACCTTAGGTCTATCCAACTGACTTTTCTAGGCATGCAAGCCCTACCACTGCAGGCTTCCCTAGGCTCCTTAGGCTTCCACCGACCTGCAACCGTCCAGATTAGACCCGACATGCACAGCAAGCTTGTGCGCTTGCACCACGTCTAAATCACGTCAGGGTAGGAGCTTCTGGACCCTGCCATCCGTCTAACCCCTCGAAATCCTACTATCGAGCTGTGAGTGAGTGATCCCTCTCACGTTGACTGTTGTCTGCTATGCTTGTGCACCGTGTGCGGGTAGACGTAGTGCTCAGGGGATACACTGGCAGTATGTACGTACGTACGACATATCTCTTCGACCGCCCAACGAGTCATCCAGATCGATTTCTAGTCGCCGTAACTGCAAGTGTAAGGCCCACACACCTCCCTCACACTGTGATAGACCTGCGTCCCGCGTTAGTTCATCCTCGGGTGCAGATTGTACGTAGTATTGCAGGTATGGAGCACCCTTCAATTTGTCGGCCGGCTTCGGCTGCTGGCCGTTCTGGCGGCTGACAGGCTCTCTCAGGCTGCCCTGCTGCTGTCCGACCGTTGACTTGATGTGCGGCGACACGACCCAATGATGGCCGGCTAAGGCCTTGGGCGACCCTGAAATGCACCGAGGGACATACTCATGCTTTTGCGACTTCATCAGGACCGGCGCAGATGATGAAGAAAAGACGGTAGACTTTCGCGGCACGTCCAGCACACTGCATACCAGACGAACGCGTCTGGCGCCGCTTATTGATGGCAGACTGTCAAAATGCGGTCATGGCTGACTCGCCAGAGACGGCGAGGTCGCGAGACAAGGTCCATCACACCGTGACAGCGTGTGTGCGATGCAGGCAGGTAGGCTTACCGCCCCGATCTTGCCTAGAACGGACGATCATTGACAACCTGTAACAGAGGAAAACCCGATGCGACCCAACCTTGCCCCGTTGTGAACCGTGTGAAAGAAGCAATGCCCATTGCGAATACTACGATTCGGTCAAGAACAAGACGATTCCTCGCACCTATATTACCTCCCTGCAAGAAACCGTCCGCAGGTTGAACGACGAACTCAAGTCGCTGCAGAAGGAGAATGAGAAAGAGGAAGAGTATGAACCGGACCACGAGGCCATGGCTCGGGCTGCTGGCCTGGTCAAGTTCAGCGAGAGCGACGACTGTCGCTTCCTGGGGCCTTCCAGCGGGATCGCCATCACGCGCTTTGTTATGGAATTCGCAAAGCAGAATTCGGCCAAGAGGAGCATTCAAGACGTCGTCCCCCATCGTGCCGCGCAAGAGATCAAGCAGAAGTTCGACGACGAGAGTAGTAAACCCACGTCCAAAGTCTACCCCCTGATCAGCTCCGTGGCTGCACCGGACCTGCCGAATCGTGAACTCATGGATCGCCTGGTCGATATCTACATGGTGAAGGCTCAATATATGCTCCCGTTGTTGCACGAGCCCACTTTCCGCCGGGAATTGCAAGACGTCTACGCGGGTGTGACGGACCCGACACTCAACTTCCAAGTGCGCATGGTCATCGCGATCAGTATGCAAAAGCTGGACACGCAGTACGCCGGTCTTGCTGATAGCTATTACCTGGCTGCTCTTCCATTTCTGACTGGGGCGGTTCGAAAGATGGACCTCTCTACGTTGCAATGTTTTGCCTTGATCGCCCAGTATTCGCTGCTCACACCAACGAGAACAGCAGCATACTGGGTTGTGGGCATAGCTGCGAAACTGTGTCAGGAATTGGGACTGTGCGAAGAAGAAACGATCCAAAGACCGCCGTCAGGGGCACGACCGAATGCTCTCGAGGTCGATATGCGACGACGTCTGTTTTGGATCATTACTTCCATGGAATACGGCCTGTCTCACAGCCTGGGGAGACCGAGCGCGTTCGCAGTCACAGTCGACAACATCAATGTCAATTTCTTCGAGCTTTGCGACGACCGGTTCGTTACCGCCGATGGACTCCTCCCCGGACATCATCCCATCATGAAAAAGTGCATTTCCATCCATTTCTTCAGGATGCGTCTTTTGCAGGCGGAGATCAGACGGACTTTATATCTCCGAAAGCGAGAATCCCCCGTTTCGGATACTGACCCTTGGTTCGGCATGATGTTGAACAAGATTGACGATTGGGTTCGAGACTGTCCCAAGAACGATGAAGGCTCTGGGTTGAGCGAGAGTTGGTAAGGTCGATCCGTGCATATGCCGTTCATGATTCCGCGTCCACTGACTGTCATGTGTCTCTGTTCAGGTTCATCGGAAGAAAAAATACCATGATAGTATTCATGTATCGTCCCTCACCTCAAATTCCCAATCCATCATTTGAAGCCGCCCACCGATGCTATGTAGCGGCGGTGTTCAACATCCAGCTCCAGAAACGCCAGGTGGAAGCACGTCTCATTGACATCACCTGGATCTTTACCCAAGCCATATTCATGGCTCTCAACACCGTTCTCTGGTCTGTCTCATACCCCGGAATCCGCCAACAGCATACAATCGAGGAAGTCCAACGCCATATCCAAGATGCCTTGACAGCCATTGACCTATGCGCAGACCGATGGCCTGGCGTCAGGTCGGCGCAGCAACTTTACGAAAACCTCGTTCTCGGATGTCTGAAGGCGTATGATGTCGACAAGGTCGCGGAATCTCCACAATCGGACTATGTCTCGTCGACCACCCAAGACGTGAGTTCTACAACATCACAGTTCGCAAACAGTCCGGCGAGCACGGCCAACACCTCCCTTTACGGCGCACAGTCGCCTCCATCCATCCACAGCGCCCAGGCAGCCACCAACAACTTTAAGAATGCCGGAGCGAACTTCAATGAGCATATAAACCAACCCTTCCATCACCAGCAGCATCATCACCATCGATCGCGCACGCCGCCAGCATCCACGACGACCAGCGACGCCAACATACAGCCACAAACATCAACTGCCACCAGCCAGCCACCAGCACCAAGTGGCCAGTACATGACAAGCTCAGTGCCACGAACAGACATGCATTCTCTGCACTACAGTCTTCCCGGCTTTGACCCGCACAGTATGGCCGGCGGCGAATACATCCCCCCGGGCGCAAAAGGACCCAGCTCCACCTCCAGCTCCAACCAGTGGACCAGTACCAGTGCTCCCATGATGCCCGGGATCATCCCCGGCCTAACCGGCTCGCCGGACATGAACTACGACGATCTGCCATACCTGGCCACCCTCGGCCAGGAGTATTCGCAGTACATGCAGCAGTCTTACTCGTCGACATACCGATTGCCATCTCTGAGTGAAGAGCAGCAAATGGAACTCATGGCGTCTTTGGAGCAGAGCCAGCTGCCGGACGTGTCAGGTCTCGTCAGCGATGCCACCACTTTTTACTCTGCGCAATTGCCCTGAAAGAGAATGAGAATGAGAATGAGGGAGAAACGCCCAACAGTAAAAATATCCTGGACTTATCCTTCTGCAGAATAGCGCAGTGCAGGCTAAGACAGGGCACGGCACGCCTGGTCGCTCAGTCTTGGAAGCCTGCGGCCCAATGATTCTGAAACAAGGCACGCAAGCGCCTCCCAGGGCACGACCGAACCTTCTCCCTCCAACAATCCTGGTCCCAGATATCACACTCTTCAAGACCAAAAGAATAGTCGGTCTACACTCCGCTTCTAGGTCCAAGTCGAAGCTGTAGCCGAACACGAGCCGCATCGCCAGCTAGGTAGGCTGGCAGGCTGGCTGGTGGGAAAAGGTTTGCACACTGAGATCCATCCCCTGGGGTTGAGTCACACCCAGGCGCCCATGACCGCCATTCCCTTCCGTTTGGCAGGATGTCGACTACTTCTCCCCGCGGTCTCTCTCTCTCTCTCTCTCTCTCTCTCTCGCCCTCGCGCACACGACACCAATGCTCCAATGCAATGGTCATGTGCGAGATACGTCATACAGCGTCGTCAGGTTATGGTTGTCTCCTCATAGATAATGGCGGCGGAGAGGAGGGGATTTGTTTCCGCATTCTGCAAGTCAGCACTAGGGCGCCCCATGTCTGCCTACCGAAAGTATTCCAAAGTTTTGGATGTGCGCCAAAGCAAGCAAACCTTTTGAGCCTCCTAGACTGCCTTGGACCCCTGTCTCTCGACCTTGAAGAACGTCACTGGCACGGACTCGACCGACATCCTTATTTTGAGAGCGGAAGCCACCGTTGAAATAGGGGATTCTATGCATTGCGACATGGGTGACCCCTGTGTGTGGGCCTGCGTCCATATCTGGACAACTTCAAGTTAGGGTGAAAGTATTGTCTGCCCAGAACAGCGCGTCGATCGAATTACTCGACACAATCCTTCCGGTTAGAATTCGTCTACACCGCTGTGCGGTCACTCGGTCGTATGCCACTTCAAGGTGCCACTGTACCTCTAAGATCGCCACCATTCGAACGGATACACCAGAATCCCGAGCCAAGGCACAAGGATATGCATGACCACCAGCAGGTAGCCTGGCACTGCGTTTCCGACACGAGAAGATATCTGAACTTAGGTTCAATGCTGAATGACCCGTTTCCAGGTCAACCGTCAAGGCCTGAGGATATTTCGCTGGGAGACTGCGCCCACTGGATACTTTCTGATAGTCTGGTGGCCGGCAGAAAGCAGCTGCAATTTCACCTTGTTCGTATGAGCCCCGTTGGTGAGTTTTGTATCGCCGGATCCGGATTTTGTCTTCAAAGATATGTCATTCCAAGTCTGCCGACCAGCTCGTTAGCAACTCAAATTCAACCGTTGTCCCTGTGCTTTTCCAGTCATTCATTCAAGACTCTGGAGTCCAAGCAGTTTCTGGTAACAAGCTCCTCACTCACCTGCTTATTGAGTGGGAGTCGCTGGCCGGTTCCTACACTGTCAAAATGGATACATTCGAGTTGCCTTGGTCCATGGAGCTCGAGAACAACTATCAACCGCTGTCGGCAGCCGGGATGGTCAATGCTTCGGAGACGGCTGGACTTATCGACCATCCTGTTCCACGCATGCATCAAGGTCTGAGCTCGGCGCCCAGTCATTATTTTCAAGAAGAGCACGGCCAAATGCATCGACAACAGTCGCAGGATATCAACGCAATTCGCCCCAGCATCGCTGGGGAGACTGGTCACGGCCACAACCAAACGTACCAGTCCACCCCGCAGGCGAGTGAGGAGAATCATCTCCTGCTGTCGATTTTGTTGCACAGCGACATCGGTCGTTACGCTGCAGCGGCCTGCAAGTACCTTCAGCTGACCCCGGAACTCTGGTGCGCGTTGTACACCCCTCACACGCCATCAGCTGCTCAAGCACTTTTGAGTCAGACCCTATCGCGGATCTATGGCAATCTCCCAGCCGGACTCTGGGCGAGTCTCGTGGCGCTCAGAAACGACGCTCAGTTCGAGCAGTGCCAGAAACAGATCGTTCAGGCAGTGGAAGCGACGTCAACAGGAAGGTCGCGGTCCAAATCACGAGGGGATTTGCGAAGCCCCAACCAACCCACAATTGCAGGTGTGAAAAGGCGCGCAACAGCCAGGTACGAATATGTTTGCCCGGATGAGAAATGCACGCACATCCCATTCGTCAACCAGGGGAATTATGTCAACCACATGAACCTTTGCCATCCCAACTACCCTCAACATGATCCCCTAACTTCGCGGCGGCGCGCCTCCTCACTTCGACAAGGTGCTTGGGAAGAGAGCATCTCTTCTATAGCAGGTCTCAGTGGCCGACCTTCATACACGATGGAGCGGTCCACCGATTTGGTCAATCCCAGCGCCGTCATGCCAACAGCTAGCCCTCGAGTCCCAGAGGACCTCCAGCAGATTGGAAGTATTCACTCGCCGATCTGTGAGAGCGGACTGTCCTTTGGTATGTTCAAAGAAGCTCTTGCAAGCTCTCGTGCTGAAGGCTCAGACGGCGGAGTCATGGTGAGCGATGGACCCGGCAGCGGACTGGTCGGTCAAGAGAGGAGGACGGGGTGGCCAGTACAATGGCTCGCATACATGTAGTGATCGTTGATCTCACATGCGTACGCCAAGCAGAGACCTGGCCGATGTCAGCAGCTTTGAGCTATCAAGCAACGGTTTCCACGCAGCTTTCTGAGGGAGGTGGGACTTTAGTCTGACCTGCGGTCTGGTGACGAGACGGGTGACGTTGTGGGTTGGGACAGTAAGGGTGCCTCGCTGTCTCCTGCAGTGCTGGGCGCTGGAACTCATTCACAGCTGCGATCGCAGAAGAGTGTCTTTGTGCTATGCTGCCGACAGGAAATGCTCCTTGAGACACCATCTCAACCTTGGACCATTGCGGACTTGGCTCTCCAGCTGGCTATGTAGCGCAGGCCGTCACAAGGTTCAATTCAAGCCTCAGAAGAGTGAAGATAAACCCCAGCGTTTATGGTTTATGCTGTGCGGTAGAGATGTGACATCTGTCGCAGCATATCCCACATCCCTTTTGTTGATTTCATTTGACGATATTCTGGCAGCGTAAAGGGGCGGGACACGCCTGTTAGACGGGCGTCTGGAACCTAAACCGGACATGGCATGCGTGAAAGAGGTGCGCAAGACGAACCTGGAACATCCAGCAGATGGGACAGGCGAGGGTCCTCTCGCCATTGGGGATTCAAGCATTTGAGCAGCTACTCGAGCAAATCACCATGCGTGGTAGTCGTCCATTGGAAGAGGCCAGCGGTGGCAAATGTCGAGTTGCGCTCAGAAGAGAGGCTCAAGGGGGGCGCCATCCTCGCTGTCGGGCATCCATCCTTGGAAGTCATTTGAGTGTGCCTGGCAGAAATGCAGGGAGGGAGTAAAGGAATGATTGGTGGCAGGTTGTGACAACCTGACTGCCACACCGGAGAACATGTCCAGACCGCACAATGCTCAAGACAGTGTCGACGTTCTTGCTGCATCTTGCCGAGCTAGGAAACAATGGCACAGGGAAGAAGGCAGCCACCCATGTGTGCCGAGTTTAGGGCGCCGCTGCAACAACCATTCTTGTCGGCGGGTCAAGCTGATGTTTTCCGGTCCTTAGCTGGGTATGACACTCGTTGATGCTTTCATCATGGCTGGTTATTGTGGACAGAGGGTAGGCTGTCACCGGGACGGCGCAGGATAGCATCGTCGGCTCCGACGCAGGGGAGGCCTGGTGATGGGGGATGTTGAGATGAGGGATGGCAAGATACACAGACCCTGCAACGTGCATCAGTTCTCTGGAGTCGAATCATTCTTGCCATACTACTACCTAGGTAGAATCTGGAAGATGCAGGGGTTGCAAGCAATGTGTCGCCAGTGGCCCAAGAAAGAACTGCGCAACTACTGGTAGCATTCGCAACAAGTGGCGCGGACTCGGGCATTGATCGACTTCGAACTCGTACGTAGTAGCGCCGCAGACATTGGCTAGAAGCATGCTCAGGGTTAGCAGCCGTGCAGTGACGACGCCCAAATGCAGTGGTCATGGGTGGGACGTCAGTGCGGGAGCGTGGAACTTGAACGCCCGGGGATGTGAATCTTGGTTGAAGCCCGCGGTGGAGAAAACCCTACCAACCCCGGGCAGCACCCACCCTAGGTCCTACAGTACTAGGACAAAAGTCTCCGCCCCCCCACCACCGCTGGCTCCTCACACGAAACCTCCAAACATGCGATTCTTGTCGAGTTTCAACTCTTCGTTTTTCTCTATCATCGTCCATCATCACCTGTTTGTTGCTGCTGCTGCTGCTGTGTGCCACCGACTCTCGCTGTGTCACTCTGCCTCGTATGTACGCAGCAGCTATTTTGTCTCCTAGTCTGCCATACCATTTCATGCTTGATATGTCAACATGGCATCTGGCTCTGGGCTTCCTAGGATATGCGCAGTCGTGTCCCAGTCCTCCATGTTTTCCACACTGACCGTCTACATATGATCGATCCTCCCCGTTCACCTCCTCGGACGCCTTTTCTACCTCCCCACGCATACTGTTGACATCGATAGACTGTACCTTCAACACTGCACAGCCTTCGTATCACCTCTTTCCTCCATCCTCTCCCTTCTGTCTCGTTCTCTTACGGTCTCGCAAGCATTTGCTGCCTTCGTTTCTACAGTCTCAGGCAGGAGAAAAACGACACTGCATCACCATTGGGAGGGACCCTTTACCCTCTGGGCCCAACGCACCAATTCCTTTCACAGTGGTCGGTTGCGCGTGTATACCATTCTTTCCCAGCATCAATCTATTCGACATCGACGGCGAGACCTACCATGACCTCTCCCAATCTCCCCTCATTTTCAATGTTCAACACCACCCATGCCGGTCAACATGGCCAGTTTCAGCCTGCTCCACCGTCCGTTGTCGTCTCTCCTCGAGTGCATGAGACACTGCCTACGGCCACGATGCCTGCGATGACTGACCCTGACATGCAGAGGAGCCTCGGCGAGTTGATCAGTCATGACCACTTTGAACACTACTATCTCATAATCTATTCCTACCTGGATACCTCTGCCGAGAATTGGCAACGCATCGTCTACATCCGCGCCATGAAAGGCGAAGATGCTGAAGTCTGGCTGCAACATCATCGATCCATATTCGATACACCTCCACCAGATATATTCAACTTAATTGCCGACCTCCGGCATAACAAGAGCTGGGAAACCTCGAGAGCGGTGATTCTCTCTCGGGTTAAGAATTCCCGGCAGAACCACGATCGCTCCTTGCCTCGTCGTCCACGTCGGTCTCGTAGGGTGACTTCTGGATCGCATCTGACCCCCAATACGCCGTACACGCCGTCCACACGGTCGAGATCCCGGGACAGTCATCTCCGAACCAGTCACTCTCGCCCGTCTCTCGAGCTTTCCGGCTCCGGTTACCGTCAACCAGGTCGTCGTGTGGAACCCGACAACTTTGAAGAAAGCCCTACGCCAGCGTATACCCACGTGTCAACGGCGAGCGCGAGCCGCACCGCTCCTGAAGGTTGTCGTTATCATTGTTCATCGAGGAATTGCAGAAAAGACTTTGCTCGTCAAGGAGATCTTGAGAATCACCTAGACAAGTGCCACCCCGAATTGAATACACTGTTCCCTTTGTCCAACCCGCGGGCGTACCTTCGACCTGTGTCTCAGACCATCCGACATACCGGTCCAGATGTGTTCCAGGATGACCCGATCGCCTTGCCGGTACCGGGGAATGGGGTGGTGCCGAACGCCATGCATTCATTCCACATGTCTGCCGATATGCACACGCACACGCACACAGCAGCCCAGATCCCTTCCCAAGCTGGTGACGATGCTTGTGATACCCTTAGCGCGGATACTGTTCGCGCGATGTCGCGCGATGTTATGGGTGCCATCGGACAGGATATCCCCCGCAATGTCCAAACGATGATCGGTTCTCCATTCACCAGCACTGGCGCCCAGATCAGCCACAATCCAGGTTATGAGGTGCAACATGATCTTGGCGACGGTGACCGGGGCGTGTTTTCCGTCCAGAATATTGCAAACTTTTCGAATTTTCCCGATTCATATTATGAGAATAACCCTTTTATGCAAGGAGGCTAGAAGTCGGTGGATGGGTAGATCTCAGGACTCCCATCTGGGAACCAGTTGGGTCACTACGTTCGTGCGGGCCGGCTGATGCGGGACTCGTCATGCATCTCAAATCCTTCACCTTTGTTCTTACTAGAAGAGATACCCCGTCATAGATGGCTGGCCATTATGACTGCAAAGAGAAAAGTCCAACGGGCGGCGGCAATGGTGAATATCTATCGCATTTCCTCTTCTAAGGAGTGCTTACTACACATCATGTTGTCATCCCTCAAAAGAGAGCAGGACGAATGGATGTATGGTCAAGCAGGTATGTTATGTCTGCGCAAAAATGTTGATTGATGCTATTTATCATGGTGCTGGCGATGATAGTGATTACGGAATGACCATGACCATTATGAAGGCGGTGGCAGGAATGATGTGAGATGGTGTCGGATCATATAGACGAAACAATGTTACAGCTATTCTCACGATGGCCCTGGCTTCACTTCCACGCAGAGAGAGGACTTATCGATAGGTCGTTGCTCCAAGTCACAATGATGCCTCGGCTGTCCGCTCGGGTGTACGAAACTGTTGACCATCTATCGCCTGCATTGGAGGCGGGGAAGCCTCATCCTCATCCTCGTCCTCCTCATTGAGTACTTGACTGACAGACATACGAGGGCTTTGTTACCATCACATTACTACAAGGTAGGTACCTCAGTATGTCCGGCAAGCGAGCTGAACAATGACCCGAACAGACATGTGCTATTATATATCAGTCCAGTTACGTATAACGTCTGACCCATTATAACCATACTATCTGCTTCTCAAGACCACCATCTGGCCATCTTCTTTTGGAGCATAACACTTCTTCACTTGCCTTGACTATAGGTCACCCTACCTTACCATCACCTCCTCCACCTCCTTCTGCTGCTGCTACTACTACTACTACTACTATTATTACTACTACTCAGCATGTCATCCTCTCCTTCTCCATCTCCTTCCAACGCCTACGTCCTAGGCGTAGGTCTCACGGAATATATCAAACCGCGCCGCCAGAGACCGTACCCAGAACTGGGCTTCGAAGCCGGCACCAAAGCCCTACTGGACGCACACCTCGGCTACGACGCCATCCAGGTGGGCGTGGCATGCTACTGCTACGGCGACACGTGCTGCGGCCAGCGCATCTTCTACCAGTTCGGCATGACGGGCATCCCGATCTACAACACCACCAACGCCTGCGCGACGGGCAGTACGGGCCTGCAGCTGGCGAGGACGCTGGTCCGGGGTGGTGCGGTGGATGTCGTGCTGGTCGTCGGCTTCGAGACCATGATGCCCGGCAGTCTGAAGAGTATGTGGCCCGATCGGCCGAGTCCGATGGGCCTGGCGAGTCGCATGATGAATGAGACGAGGGGGAGGTTCGAGTCGCCGAGGAATGCGCAGCTGTTTGCGAATGCTGGGAGAGAATATATGGAGAAGTAAGTCGGCCTTTTTTATTATTGTCTTCGATCCTATTTATCTGTTTGTTTGTATGTTTTTCCCTTTCCTTTTCGTCACGCGTTCTTGCTCTTTCGAGTTCGGCTAGACGTTATCAAATGGCATCTCGGAGTCTTGGGACATTGTTGTTTTGTATGGCAGTGTGCTCTGCGAGGGCGTTCTTTGCTGCATGGACGGGACTGTCTTTTGTGTGTTGGGTTGCTTGAATACCTAAGGAGGTGCCCGAGGGTGGAGTGGAGTGGAGGGTTGGCTCGTGCACACAAGGCTGCGAGCCCCTTTTCGTTTTCTCCCTATCATCCACACCAGCAACCGGTACGGGTCGCCGCTGCAGCCAAACCTAGACCCAAAACCATTATTGACCATCACCCTCATTTTTTTCCAGGTATGGTGCAGAAGCACGCGACTTTGCCGAGATCGCGCGGATCTCGCACGAACATTCGTCACGCAACCCCTACGCGCAGTTCAAGAAAGTCTATTCGCTCGAAGAGATCGAGACCTCGCCCATGATCCACTTCCCGCTGACCAAGCTCCAATGCAGCCCGACCTCCGACGGCGCCGGGGCCGCCGTGATCGTGTCGCAGCGCTTCCTCGATTCGCGACCTGACTTCAGATCCCACGCGATCCTGATGGCCGGCCAGACACTAATGACAGACTCGCCGGCACTGTATGACGGGCAAAGCTCGATGAACCTGGTCGGCTTCGACATGACGCGCCGAGCGGCCCAAGCCGCGCTGGCCGAGGCTGGCGTCAAATCGGCGCGAGACGTCAAAGTGTGCGAACTGCACGACTGTTTCTCCGCCAATGAGCTCATCACGCTGGAAGGGCTCGGGTTCTGCGATCCGGGGAAAGCACATCTCCTCGTGCGCCACGGGGATATCACTTACGGAGGGAACGGACCGGTCATCAACCCTTCCGGTGGGCTTATCTCTAAGGGCCATCCGCTCGGCGCCACGGGCTTGGCGCAGTGTGCTGAATTGACGTGGCAGCTGCGCGGGTGGGCCACCAATGGCAGGCTCGTGAAGGACGTCGATGTGGCATTGCAGCATAACCTGGGCCTGGGCGGTGCTGTTGTCGTCACGGTCTATAAGCGCGCGGATGGACGGAGGAACACTGATGCTCCTGCCGCGTCGGATGCGGAAATCGGGAGTCTGTCCGGTCTAGGGTATAATCCGGCCACGGAGGCCAGGACTATCACTCTCGAAGACGCCGAAAAGGTGAGGAGCAAGAACGCTCGTTGTGATTATGCCCTCGGCGAGACCGCGGAGAAGTTGCAAGCTGCTCCGCAGGCTAGATTGTAGCTGGTGGACGATGTCGTATCTGCTAAGAGTAGGGTAGGGTAGGGTATGAGATGGTTCTGCTGCAATGGACTCTCACATCATTTGCCGGTGGTGCATGTCCGTGAAGTGCAGTTAACTTGGTCTCACATTTTTATCTCAGTATCCTGTTCCTTTGCACAGCTAGGAAGGTTAGACTCCAAAGCTGCCGAACGTCGCTCTCTGTACCGGCACTGACGCCCGGTGGCGGAGGCAGCGCACCAAGTGGCGTCGTCACAAATCCTGTCGAATTGCTGTATGTCCAACTCCATACTTCACCCTGCAGCTGGACAGAACTGGCTTCGATACTGTCCCAGAGGACATTGTACGCGCGGAGGACGTTGGTGCGGACTGAAGAGATCCCACACCACGCTGGAATTGCAGTTGCGCTGTTCATGCTGCTGTTGCAGCGAGCCAGTTGCCGCTCGAGACCTTTGGCCATCATGGCGAGTTGGAATGACCAGATCACGGTGCCGTGGTACGCCGCGTTTGTGAAATTCGAGATGAGCACGTCTGAACCCGACAGCGCCGGGTTTGCCACTACCATGCTCTGTGGCGTCATTAGCCCGGCAGGGAATGGACGTGTCATACTGTTAGCCGTAGCATTGATGAATCGTGTTTCTTGCGCCGATGCCTCGAGGGTCCTAGATGTGGCGTTGACGAAGAACAGCCGGAACCCTGTATCGCTGTGCAGAACATCCACTGATGATAAGTTGTTGTATCCTTGCAGTGCGATTGAATATGTCGTCACATTCCCGGAGGAGGGCAGGGAAGAGGCGTTTGTTGGTCCATCGTAGAATGTTGCTGTTTCAACAAAATGCTGTAGCCGAGAACGGGCTGTCGAGGCCGTGGTGTTGGTCTCAAAGAACAGCAATGTACTTTCTTCCCAGACCTGTGCTCGCGAATCGGCCGATGTTGCCCAAGAAGTGGTATTCACACGCGTATTGTGGGGATATACTCCTGGAGTACGGGCCAACTGGCCTATCGCTCGCAGAGCGGCCGGGACGAGTGCAGTGTTGACATCGAACGGGATGCGACCTCCTCCAAGGCCGTAGGTCGAATCACGCCACTGTCCAACAATATCCTCTGGTTTGAGATGGATCAAGTTCGCGGAACTCTGGTTGAGAGCAAATGGCGCCGTGATATTCATGATTCTCTGAGCGTTAATGAGGCTGAGGTTTGCATAGGTCAGATTGCGATTTTGTGGATCGATCGACCCAGCCCTCCGACTCAACAAAGGCCCCACACGATCCGGGCTACTGCTGAAGTACTGTGCCATCAACACTGGCAGGTAGTAGTCGGTGTCAATCATAGGGTAGGTGAAGCCAGGTGCGGTGCTCGTTATGTTGTTCTGTAGGTTGAGATAGGTGGCATAGTCTCCAATAGTCTCTTCATGGCACACAGACCCATCGGTGCGGTTGATGGGCTCCAGCACGGCCCCAATCACAGCTTCTGTGGCGGATCCGTTCCCCTGGCTCAGAATGGGCTCGAGAAGTAGAGCACTAATCATGCTGTCCCGACCAAAATATGTGAGGAATCGCCATGCTCCTGCGAGTAACTTTTCAGTGTATGACAGAAATGAAAGTGAGGTGGTCTCGTCCGGCTGCTCTTGAATAAGGTCTTCAGAAGCCCTGTTCAGCACACGACTGGGTGGTAACTGGGTCAGCTGCGGGTAGTTGAAGCTGGCGGAGAACGTGTAGAACCCTGAACCGAAGCTGATAGTCTTATTCTGCGGATGAATGGTAATGTTAGAATCCATACTCTGATACGGAACCAATGTAAAGGTCGTGGTAGTAACATTGTCGAGCCAAAGGCGAGAGAACGTCGCTCCCGTCCCATTGGTCCTGGTGACGTTGATGGCCTCCTGTATGATAGGTCGGAGAAGACTCGGGCCTTCTGTGAAATCACGAATGGTCCTGACGCTGCCCAGGATCGGAATGGTCAGAGTTGCGGAAGCGTTGAAAGATAGGACTCCTTGAACTCCCACGAAGGCGTATTGAGACCCTCGGGTTGGTCTGTAGACCGGTGCCAATGGACTTCCCAGAGTCGAGTTGACCAGTTCAATCGCCAGAGAGCCGTTCAACCCATTCTGTGGTTGGAAAAAGGTGCAGATACCACTGTTTCCTGCAGGCCAGGCAATGACTAACCTCGGGCCAATGATTGACAGTTTGGAATCGGGCAATGGGCTGGTCACGACGGCTTGGGTGTCACTGTTGCAATCCGAATAGAAGTAGTTTTGATAAGGCGGGTCACTGAGATGCTGGGTTACAGCCTGGCACGAGGCCGAGTTCTGGCCCCAGGCTGATTGCAGCCACAACGCAACAATGGCAACGAGGAAAGCAAGCATGACAGGAAGAGAGATATGTTTGATAGACCTTACCCATGAAGAGTGAGCAGCAGGCATTCGTCAACGAAGCACAAGCTCAGGACGAAGTGCCACGCATTTCTTAAAGGTCAGAAGCCGGTCCATGAGAGCTGAGCTCCAGTTGCAGCAGGAAGAGGAAACGCGACTCCAGATTCATGCGTGATCGATTGACAATGACATCAATTTCAAGGCTCGTAGCGAATGCGGGGGATGGTCTCAACGCTACTGTGAGAAGAGAATGGTCAACCAACCTTAAGGCAAGGTTGCCTCTTCTACCCACAATACCGACCATTAGAGAGATGGAAGAGGAGGAGGAGAAACGAAAGGGAACGATGCATCAAGAATGCGGGGATCGGAGATGGAAATTCTAATCTCCGGAGGCGGAGTCCGATTAGAGTTTTTATCACGTGAATCTGCTCTTGGCAAATCTAGCCAGCCTCCGCGTGCTTGGCATGTTTGGTGTTTTGTACGGCCGATCACTGGCGGCGGAGGTGACCGGAGCCGGCGTTTGTTTGCACTTGCAGCACGTCAAGTTCTATTCCCATTGGCAATGCAACAATAAACGAGCTTCTTGCCCGACCCTGTTCGCTTTTCCCAACCGGCTCTATCTGCGACTTCCGGGGCCACGGACTTAAGATCTAACGTCTGAGAAATTTCGGGCATCTTCTGAAACAGACAGACATCTGATGATAGACGCATCCAAGTGGTCAGTTGGGCCGTGTGGATCTGGTGTTCTCGCAGAGTTTCTCCCAGAGAAGACTAGCCTTGCGCATCGCTACATTGAGAGGGCCAGTGCAAGCAAGATTCATTGATACTTCCTCAAAAGCCAGCGTCATGTATCCTGCCCACAATGTCCGCCATGACCCAAGAGTAAGAACCTGCCTTCATATAAAGCTGCCCGTTGCGTCTCAAACCGCTCTTGACTCCAAGCACTCGTCGACGCGCTACTCCGGACACCGCCGTAGAACATTATTCTCAAGCCGGGACATTCACCTTTTGCAGTCATGGCTTCGAGGATAATCTTGATCACTGGTGCGAGCGCACATCTTGCCCACGGAAACAACCTTCGCTGATACAAGTGATTTAGGTGCCAATAGCGGCGTCGGCTATGCCGCGACGCAAGTATTAGCCAGGGCGTCTGAGCAATACCATATCATAATGGCCAGTCGATCTCTCGAAAAGGCCACAAAGGCCAAGTCGGAGATCGAGTCGGCGGGCATCAAAGGCCGATTGTCGACTGTGCAGCTGGACGTGACCGATCAAGAATCGATCCAAAAGGCCGCTACAAGCGTGGGCCAAGAGTTCGGCAAGATCGACGTCCTCGTCAACAACGCCGGCGTTGGTAACGTCGATGTGGACGTGGCCACTCGCTTCAAGGCATGCTTGACCATCAACACGCTCGGACCGGCTCTGGTCTCTGCCGCGTTCCGACCTTTACTGCTCAAATCTTCAACGCCTACCTCGATCTACGTGAGCAGTGGAGGTGGCAGTCTCGCCAGGGTTGCCGACCTGACTGCTGCGAAACCACGGGCTCCAGGCAGTCCGGATGCCTATCAAGCAAGTAAAGCGGCGCTGAACATGGTTGCATTACAGGAGCGCGCAGACTTCCACGACCAAGGACTCAAGGTGTTCATCATATGCCCGGGATTTGTTCGCTCCAACTTGCGCGGAACAAGCCCTGAACTTGTCAGCGGCTGGGGCATGGCTAAAGATCCGGTCACTGCTGGCGAGACGTTGCTGAGCATCATCCAAGGCGAGAGGGATGCGGATGAAGGCAAATTCATCCACAAGGATGGCATATATCCTTGGTGATGGTGGTATGTCCGGGAGAAGTGCGACGGCTCGAATGCGTGGCAGGCGTGTGGTGGTGTAGGGGGTACATGAACGTCATGAGGTGTTGTTATGGAGCTTGCTGGGCTGTGTAATTGGGATTGACGAGGTTTCAGCAAGACACGTACCGGTGTTGACCGGTCTTTGGCAAGATCCGCGGGGTCCAGTGCCAGAGCGAACTGACTATCCCATGAACCGTCACAGCTAAAGAGACTGAGGACACGGGGATTGATATTATCTATCATAAAATGAGAGCATAAAGCACGGTCAGGTAAGGCCCTACTTAATCGTTCCTGGCACATCGAGAAGGAAAAACTCGGATGATCAGAGCACGCCAGTAAGCAGCCTCGTACCATGTAATGGTCTTAAAGTAAGAATCAATGGATGAGTCCCCGCTTGGTGCCTGGACAAAACAGAGTAGATAGTCGATAAGCTACAGAAGATAAGAGATAAGAGATAAGAGATAAGAGATAGTGGTTAGTGGGGACATGCCGAGTATAGAATGCCTCACCTCCTTATGGAGATGCGCGTGTCGTGGGCAGTCCTTCAAGAAAGACTGCTATCCTCCCTCTCTACCTAGGTACCTGACGACGCCTTGATGACCACAGCCAACCGTGCGATCGCGACTCTCCGATACCAAGACATCTTAGAGCATCATCCTATTCCAGTGACAGTTTTACTCAACTGACTTGATCCTAACTCGACCAAAAGAGAAGATGTCCAATCTGCCCCATATATCCAACTGGATCGATGGCACACACGCCATCCCCTCGACGGAGCGACTGGAAGTGATCGACCCGGCGACCGAAACCGTTCTCGCCACGGTCGACGCGACATCACGCGAGACAGTCGACAGCATCATCCGCCAGTCGCAAAAAACATTCCGCAATGGGCCCTGGTCGCACGCCGACCCCTCTGACCGGTTCGCCGTGCTATCTAAAGCGGCCGTTCTTCTGCGCTCGCGGATTCCCGAATTTGTCGAGCTGGAAACACAACAAACAGGCAGGCCCATCCGCGAGATGCGCGCCCAGCTCGCCCGGATCCCGGAATGGCTGGAATACTTCGCCTCGCTGGCGCGCGTGCACCAAGGTCAAGTCACCCCTTTCAAGGGACCCGTGGTGAACACTCTGACCCGTCTACCTGTGGGCGTCGTCGCGCAGATCACACCGTGGAACCATCCGCTGTTGATTGCGACCAAGAAGATCGCTGCCGCTCTTGCAGCAGGGAACGTGGTCATCGTGAAACCATCGGAAATGGCGCCCTTATCGGTGCTGCGTCTCGGCTCGTTGTTCCAGGAAGCTGGACTGCCGGACGGCACGTTGCAGATCGTGTGTGGCTACGGACGTGACACGGGCAAGTTCCTCTGCGAGAATCCGACGTTGGCCAAAATCGACTTGACCGGTGGGTTGGCCACGTATAAGGCGATCGCATCAAATGCGGCAGTGAATATGATCCCTATCACGGCCGAGCTGGGCGGCAAGGCTCCCGTGTGTCTGCTTCCCAGCTTGGATGTCGAGCTGGCTGTCAAGGCGGCGCTGTTTGCCAGTTTCATCGCGAGTGGTCAGACGTGCGTCACTGGGAGTAGATTGCTGGTCCATGTCGATCTGTATGACCGGTTTGTGGCATTGTTGCAGAGGAGAGTCAATGCGCTTCGTGTAGGTGATCCGACCGACGTGCGTACGCAGATCGGGGCGGTGATATCTCAAGGTTCGGTGGACAGATGCGCCGCCTTCGTCGAGCGAGCCGTCAAGGAGGGCGGGAGGGTTCTTTGTGGTGGGCAGCCGACGCATGTCAATGGGAAAGGCTTCTTTTTCCAGCCGACCGTCATCGAGACGCATCCGGGCTCGGATTTGTCGTGCAATGAGGTCTTTGGGCCGGTGATCGCCCTCATCAAGTGCGATTCTGAAGAGCAGATAATCAGTGTTGCCAACGACAGCCAGTTTGCATTGGGCGCTTCCGTCTGGTCGAACGATTTCGCTCAGGCCCATCGGGTGGCGGACAAGATTGAGGCAGGGATCGTCTGGATCAACGGTCATCATCTCAACGATCCGTCGTCTCCTTGGGGCGGGTTTAAGGAAAGTGGCATGGGCAAGGAGAACGGATTGGAAGCCTTCGAAAGCTATACCAAGGTCAAGAGCACGATTATCAACTATGGCATCCAGCCTACTTGGTTCGACGACGAGATTGAGAATGCACGATACGGTTGACCTGCTCAACTGAAGGAATTCAATCCCGTCCCGATGCCACACACAAAAGGGCGTTGCTTGCTTCTCAGTGGCTTCCTTATGCTCCTGTGCTGTATGAATCCCAGCATATCCACGAGAAACACGTACCTTACATATTCCATTTCGCGATATCCTGGAAAAAGCAATAATGCCCTGGAAAACATTATCTGCCGCCATGCAGGAGCCGGTGGGATAACTATACTGACAGAAGGCTGCTGCCACCAATATGAATCAATACATCCATCCTTCTTCGCTTACAAGCCGTCCCTCCCAATTCCAAACAATGCTTTCACGGATTGCTTCGTGTGCTCCACAATCGCCGCTTCCAGGTAGAGGCAATCTTGATTGACCATGCCTTGTGCTGCGCGTACGTCCAGCATGCCAAGGTCAAAACTGTCAGTGGTATGGCAAACGCCCAGTATACCCAGAACTTGTTGGAAATAACCCATACCAGATAACCTGTATTGTCGTCCTCCACCTGCGCGAAGAAGCTCATACTGAAGATTGTGGATACGAAGGTTGCGGGCAGCACGGCAAGAGTGACGACGGCGATGGTTTTCATGGAAGAGCTGTCTCGTTGAACGATAACGTTGAAACCCTCCATATGTTAGCTGGGTCCTTCTCGGAGCATCAAAATCTCTCGCTTGCCAGATTGATTTCGTTCCCCAGTCTGGCCTTCAAAGCCTCTGCCCTGAGTCCGAAGTTTCGTAATAGCCTTAGCCAGAACGACAAGTCATTGTGAGGACACTTCGTCCTGAGTCCGCCGCCAGCAATACCAGGACAGGCGCAAGAAAGACCCGAGTTCGGCCTGTAATCCCCCATGAGCTCGGTGACAGTGTCGGCAGCAACGGCAAGGACTTCGCAGGTGTGGATTATGTGTCGAGCCAGGTCGTGGAGCGGAGTAAGATCCCGGTCGAGGAAGCCAGTGACATTCCGTTCCTACAGTTCGCGACACATTGGTCAAGGGGACAATCACCGGTCCTGTCTGGTCATCCGGGACTCACCTTTTCTATCCGTCTGATATGGTCTCGAAGGGTCCATATGGACGTGTCGTACAGCTTGGTCAGCTCACCAACTATCGCGCTTTGAAGGAAGACTGGGGCTTCTCTCGGCGGTTCGCCCATGGCGCTGTTCATTGTCTCGATGAGGTTGGATTCGAGGATGGCCGGCGCGTCGAAGCAGAAGACCACAGCTTCCCCTGTGGACCAGGCATAGATGTAGAAGCTCATCTCATACCACTCATAGCTGGGAAACGGCTGGCTTGCCTTCCCTGTCAGCTGTTTTATCAGGAAATGAAACCACGAGGCTGTTTGTGGACTCTGGCGTGAGCACACTGTGCCGGTAGCTCGAAGCAGGTTCAGCCACTCACTGTCGATGAGAGTTGCTCCGTCACTATGAAGATGGCGGGCACAACCCGCATATCCGTTGGCGGTGTGGCAGAGCTCGTCCCAGAGGATCGATGGATATGCCCAGTCCGTGTTCATACAGTTCTTGATTGCTGCCGATGTCTGGAAAAGTCTCCAATCTGCAAATCTTCAAAACATCAGCCTGTCGTTCGGACTTGCAATCTTCCTGAGTCAACAAACACAATCTGTACTCCCATCTGGAGGGGCGCCTAGGGGCAATGTCAGCAACATTCAGGAGCAGTTGTCCAAGTGAACGTTCTCGTAGGAATTCATCTGCCTGGAGGATGCTCTTCTTGAATTGACCATTGTCTGTTCGACGATGTCTTAGTGACCAGGATCCCACGATTAGGCCGTCGCTGACCTTGTCTGTAGACATTGACTGCCGTCATTCTCTGCATTTGTGGCGTTCACAGCACTTTAGGTCAACGAGGTGAACAGTTCTCGAGATGGCCTTGTGCCTCGAATATGGGACACATAGGTAAGTCATGTTCAGGATGTCGAGAATAACGTGTCAGGCTGAGGCTGTCCTCTCTTACCGTTGCACTGATTGAGTGGACGGGCCAGGACTCACTGCCTCAGCCATGCATTAGCTCTGCCACAAGCTGAAAGTCGAGACCAATTGCATGCCCATCCATGGAGTAGAACAATGCATGTCAAGACTCGAGAAAGAAATGGACACGGGATTCGTTCCTTCGTATGCCGAGGACAGCGATCGCTTCGGGCGTGTAAAGGACGCAGACAGTTGACTTTCACGTCTACAAAAGCACAGATACAACAACCAAGATACACAATATCAGGCAACTCCGCATCCACCTCGATCACCGTGGCTCGAGCGTTTCTCATCTATCCCTTCGACGACTTCTTACCATCTGTGACCTAGACTGCGAAGTGTCAGTCAGACTAAGGCGAATGTTCTGCAGCATTCAAGGTCAAGGCTCCTTCGAACGTCCTCTTGCGTCGAACTCGGTCGTTGACTGATAGAAATCATTTTTCTGTTCTTCGAACCTCCTCTTATCCTGGCGCCACGTTCGACCCTTCCTCACTACCTATGGAGGACCCTCTCCTAAGGCATGGCAATGTCCCCATCAAGAGAAGGACTCTAAAGAAGCATGCAATATACTGTTCTTCCTGGACCAGGGCGCACAAGGTGCATCGCGCTGATATCTACTCACTGTAACAATCCGACCTGGTCCATCAGGGCAGGGCCGCTATGTTCAGATATCGTGGGCAAGCACTGGCCTGCACATCTTGCGAGGTAGGAATACAAGGAGACCGTGCTGGTGTCTAATCAGACCGTCAAAGGACCGGTATGTTGAGCAGGAGGCCGAAATGTCACAAAGTGCAATATGATTGCAGCTCTACAATACTGGTAGGTGTCCTCTTGACGCTGATGCAGCTTGCAGAAGAGCCACAAACAGCAAGAGACCTATCACTGGCAGATATGCCACCCGTGCAGACAGATTTGGCCCTTGTCACAAGAGCCCTGTCATGTTGAGGATTCAGCATAACTACAATCTATAAGGATCCAACTCCAGGGGCTCATGCAGAAGACCACAACCCGTGTCAACATCATCACTTATTCCGCCGGCTTTGTCAAGCTCCAAAGCCCTCCAGATCCTAAGAGCACAATACGCTTTTCAAGAACGCAGTCTCTCTCAGATGCAGTAGTTCCCTGGCCGACCCCATCAATTGGTAATGGTCTGCATCAACCATGACGAACTCCTTCGGTTCGCTTATTTGATGATACTGTGCCATCACCATATCCGGTGGACTATTGGTGTCTCTTGTCGCGACGCCGAAGAAAACTGGAGTTGGACACAGGGTTTTCAGGTGCCCCATTGGCAGCGAGAAGGTTGAGATATCGTCGAGACTGTAAGTGTTGTGCAAATCCCGCGTCAGCCAAAGTCCATAGCCAAAAAGGGCAAGCTACGAGAGACTCTCGTCGTCAAGCTTCTGGCAGCTTCACTCACCTTCGCAAAGTAAGTTCATTTTTCCACGTCGACGCATTTGACATCCACGGTGAGAAGAACTGGACCGACTCCGGACTGGGCAGCACCGACTGCCCACCGGGCTCAGTATTCACCACGGGAACAGTGATAGGAGGGTTCCCCGCCGCTCTGGCCATCCGATCCATCTCGAACATGGCCTGCATGGGCCCATTCAGGACATGAGGCGGCGCCAATCTCCTGCATATCTCTGCGCCGTCCATGCCCGGGCCGAGCGCAATGACGGCCTTGACGCGCCTGTCGATGGCGGCGACATAGACCGCCTCCGCAGCGGCCAGCGAGTATCCCCACAGCGCGATCTTGGATCGGTCGACCTCCTCTCGTGTCTGGGCATATGTGATTGCATCGCGCATGTCGTTCGCCTGTAACCAGGTATTGATCTCCTGTCGGGGCGCGTGGGCCGCCGTGTCGGAAGTGCCGAACCCTCGATGGTCGTACACCAGACAAGTCAGTGGTAGCTCGGTCACGAATTTCGAGGCCACGTCGTCCAGGCCCATCTCTTTGATACACGAGAGGCCATGAGTCAGGATCACGCATGGCAGTTTCGCGCCCTCTGACATTGCCGACTCGGAGGGTGTGAAGAACCACCCGCGCAACGTCACCCCGTCCGAGGTCTTGAAGGAGATGTCTGTTCGCGGCATGATCTGTTGGTCCTCCTGGTATGAAGACTGGTGCTTCGAGAGATCTGTGGCCCTCGGATAGATGGTGATTCAGGCTCGGTGGTGTGGCGGTGGAGAGAAGATTTGTGATGTCTTATGCGCTCTCGGGTCCAGCAGAAACAAGTCAGATCTGAACAGAGTCCTTCCGATGAAGAAGCCTCCTAGGATATCTCGGTCTTATATGTAATACACACATGGTGGATCAGTTGAGCACCAGTCTTACTGAGATCCACCATCTCCTACCAACCGTCAGCTTCATTGACCTGCTCCTGTAAAGTATGCTTTCCGACCAAGGAAGATGTTCACTTCCAGATGATGAGTGATCTGACAAAACCTCGCCGCCTCTGGCGTCTTCTCAGCCTCGAATAGAGCTGGTTAACCATTGTACCCACCGACGTGAGAAGCACTTTTCCCCGTATTCGTCGAGATGCTGATCCATTAGTGGTGTGGGAATCAATGTTTCCTCGACGGCCAGACTCGCCGGGGCTTGTAATTGGCCTGCTCTGTCCCTTCGTTGAAGCAGTGCTTACATCAAGTCGGATGAGAGCAGCGGTCGAAGGTCAGCAGAACAGGCTCAGGAATTGGGACGCTGACATGCAGTCTCCCCAGATAATGGCACAGCCGATAACTACATCCACCCTCTTCCGGCAAATGGCCGCCTTGGGGATGCCTGGTAGCGACGACACCGTTTCACGCACTGCAGTCTACAACAAGCGCACTGGATGCTCTGCTTCACATACGGGTAGAATTGGGCTCAACAGACCAACGTCCGCTGAGCGATACTAGTCAGAAAATACTTGGACCAAAACTCCAACGCAAGCTGTATTCTCGAAAAGCAAGAACCATATTCGTTTGTCTGTTATTTGCTTATCCACACGCAAGCCCCCTAAAGCGCTGTTCGCTCCGTCTCAATCTGCCAGTAGATGTTCCCAACACAAAACCCAGACCCTGCCGTCCCCGGAAGCGCAAGCGCTTCTCGTATCTAGCTGGATCGAGTCAAAGCCACTCTGATGTTCTTTTTTGGTGTCCTTTCAAAGAAAATGGTTCATCCGCGAGACTGAGTGAAGGCCACGGTCGGAATACATTAACCCATCGCGTATTAAGCTAGTCTAAGTGACTGCAAGGAAAAAACGCCGCCGAGACCCATGCTTTAGATGAAGAGGATGGCGGCAATGAGAGCGCTGAGGCCGGTCAATGGTGTGCTTGCGCCGAAGGTGACACCAGCGTTTTTAGCCTTGCCCGTTGCCGATGGGGAAGCAGAAGTACTACCGCCTTGGGTAGCAGATGGATTGGTCTCAGGGTTGGCCTTTCCAGTGATGCAGGTGTTGACACCCTTGATGACACCCTTGTCATGGGCCTGGTCGAACAGGTCGCAGATACTGGTGTTGGTAGACTTGGTCTGGACGTTGGATCCACCCCTCACATCAGTGAGCGAAGGCAGTTTGACACTGATAGAATGTTAACCAAAGGTCAGTGTCAAAAGAGTGGGAGCAGGTGACCTACCTGTTAAATGTACCAGTGAAGTCGAGAGCACCGACAACAGTCTTTAATTTGGGAAAACCGCTTATGGCCTTGAGGTTGGTATTGTTGGCAACCAAGAAACCGCCACCGATCTGGGTGAGGGACGGGAAAGACAGGTTGGCCAGGTCAGGGCTGTCAACAACAGCCAGTGTACCACCAGTCTGGGTCAGGTTGGGAGCAGAGAAGGTCTCGAAGGAGTCAGAGTAAAAACCCATGGAGCCTGCAACGTTGGCAAGAGACGGCATGTCAACCTTGCTCACGTTTCGGAAGGTCAGGTTGGCGGCATCCTGCAGGTTGGGGAAACTGATCTCCAGGTCACGACCATTTGCCGAGAAGGAAAGCGAAGTGGTGACGTTGGTCAGGTCGTTGACATTGACGCTTGTAAGGTAGGGGTTGTTGTTAATATCCATGCTTCCAACAGCGGTCAATTCGATGCCGTTGATGTTGTTCAATTGCGTGTTGGAAATGTAGATCTGGTTCGACTTGGAAACACCTTGGTCGAAGTTCAAGCTCTGCAGGGCAGGAAGGCCGACCCAGTTGATTCGGTTGACAGCGGTAAGAGAGTTGAATTGGAGGGTGGATAGAATGGTCAACCCGGTCAAACTGAAGATGCCGCCAATGGAATTGAGCTGGTCCGAGGTGAGGGCAGTCAATTGGGTGGCATTGTTGCATTTCACATCACCAGTGATTTGTTGGACACCGTTGATTGCGATTTGGCCTGCGGCGGACGAGTCGATGGTCACGTCTCCATCGTAGGTCTCGCAGCCAGCAATCTGTTGAGCATCGGCACTGCTGGCGATCGTGATAGAAGGGCCATCGCAGATATCACTTGAATTTGATTGTGCTGTCCGATCTGTCAGCTTGCGATCTCCGCTTGAAGATGTTTCGGTTTGGCAGTATCTGTATCTCCATCTCTTGTACCTTGTGTCCCGGGCTTAACCAAGTTTACTTGAAAGGGGAAACGTACCGAGGACGGAGCTCGCCAACGCGAATGCGGGTAGGATGAACTTTGTGAAGACCATTGTGAGTCTAAGAATCAGCGAACGGGCTGTAGTCCATGGTCAGTAATGATTCGCAGTCTCTTGCGCGGTCTGATGGAAAGAAAAGGTTTGCTTGAGGCAGCAGTGAGGACACGCCGATTGGTGACGCGGTGACAGGAGGCAGCAGTCGGTCACTCACCTGAAATGCAGTATTAAAGAAGATAGAAGGTGACAGCCGAGATCGAGCTGGCTTGAAGCGACTCGTAAGAACTTTTGTCTGAGAGTGCGAATTAAGCTGTTGCGAGCTTGATGAACACGCCGCAGGAGGGGGATAAAAAAGGCTTCAATGAGCGGATGAAGCTGGTTTGTTGATCGCTTGGGAATTTGTTAACACAGCGAAACCGGCGGCAGGGACGACCCGTTCTTCTCTTTGATGAAGAGATCAGGTATCGACGCGTGGCTGGCTCGGGATGAAGAGAAGAAGGGAACGAACAGCAGCAACGACGGACTGGAAGTGTGTATGCTGAAGTAAACTTGGGTTTGATGGAAGAAGGGGGATGGCAGGGAAAATAGGGTTGGGATTGGGAATTGGGGGAGAGAGGAAGAAATGAGTGGGTTTGACCTGCAGTGGTCCGAGTGGTTGACGGCGGCAGCAGGGAGGGCAGGGAGGGCCACTGCGCAGTAACAGAGCATACAGAGTACATACACGGTACTACTACACCCGGCGTACTTACCTGCACCGTCCTTAGTATGCGGGTAAGATAGCCTAGCAGCACCATTTCTTTCATCGGGCTCTAGGCACGCTACGGGCTCTTCAGTACCTTACCTACCAGGTAAAAGATACCACCGACGAAAGCGCCAGCACAGGAACGGGTTAAGCGTGCAGTGGGCTGGTCAAACTGTCCGGCGACGGCTTTCTCCCGCATGACAGGGGACGCCTGTATAAGTGGACACATAAACAGTTAACGAGCTGAAGTTCTGATGAGCTTGCTGCACAGCTTGTCGCAGGCGAGGGGTTGCCGATGTGTTGATGGTGGAGCGGGATTGACATTTCTAGCCACACTAAACAAAAAAAGGAGATGGCTGTAATGATGGATGGTATTGTCCTGTACGCACGTTGTACCTGTCATGATGTTCGCTGTCCGCAGCCACTCACCACCATCAACACAACCACCCAAAGCAAGCGAAGCTCTTCATTCTTTTTGTCCAGTCTCCAGTTGTCCACCGCTGGGCCCTGTGGATGCTCCACCTCTGCAGGCCATTTCTGCCAACCCCCAGACCTCAAGCTTTGCTTGAGCCACCGTCAAACCGCAGGCCGGCCTATTCCATCCCCTTGAGAGCCTCCATCAAGGGCGGACGCCATTGAGCCAGCATGGCTCATCTGAGACATTTGACGCGCGAGCACTCGCCACCTTCCACAAGCATTTTGCTAAACGATCCAACCTTGCCTGCCCACAGAAATAACGAATTCCGTGCCAGCAGTAAAAAAGGACTACCACAGTAGCTGGCGGATCGTGGGTACCATATACAAATACTACACATCAACCACTACGTACCATATCTCGCTTGTTCGATTTCATTTTGCGAGCCACAGATCCACATGCATAATGGCGAGATGAACCGCTCCACGATGCGCAGCCAAGAGAGTTCTGATGTCCGAAAGATTCCAGTCAATCCCGCACCCTACACATGGACAAAACAGTGCTGACACATGATAGGGAGAAGATTACTAGGAGATCGAAGCAGTGTTTGGCTACGAGTACATCGACAGTTGAGACTCCAAGACGTGCTTCATCATATAGAGATCCCGCTGCCAGAATTGTGACCAGCAAACTACGCGGTGCACATCATACAAGATACCCCTACTAGGCTCTCCGCCGTCGCTCGAGGCTTCAAAGGTCAAACTTCAAGTTTCAATGCCGGACCCCGGTCGGATCGACGCGGCGAATCGCGTAGTGCTGCCAAAATCTCCAGCTTCAATTTCATCTGTGCGTGGCCCGGACTGTATGCTGGTCTGTCGCTGTGGTTTGGTTTACCACATGTGCAGAGGACCTGGTATGTATGTTATGATTATGATTACCATGATCAAAAATTGTGGAAAGATTCATGTCCCCTCAGCCACTGCATCCGAGATGGATCATGCAAATCCGCAGCACATGTTCCACCATTGCTGTCTAGCGCATTTGTTGTTACAACCCCATTACCGTACGAAGCCACACACAAAGCAACCTATCCCAGCAGCAGAGATAGGGCTATCCGTTTTGGGCACAACCACTTTCAACCACTTTCGTTATGAAAGCGAGTAATTTCCATATGCTCCGCTGGCTGCAAACATGATGATTGCTGAAATAACGACGAGGGTGTCTTATCTTTGAAAGAAGCACCTAACGATAGGCGGTGCGGCAGCCCAGCAAGCTGCTTTGCCAGACAAAGAGGTTGCGGCAACAAGCGGATATCTTTGGCCAGTACCTAGGTAGATATCTACTAGGTACCTGCTAATAATACAATAATACTCAATTCGAAGTGGGGAGAGACAATTCGCCGAGAGGTGGTGCGTTTTCTGCCCGCCCGGCGCCCAGGCCGCGTAACACTTGAATAATACGACCAGCTGCTCGGAATGAGCACTGAGTAACCTGGGAGGTGACCAGAATTGCACAACATGACACGTTTGCTCGGCATCATGTGTCCAACCTGAAATGCTGTCCTAACCTACAAAACCTGGAAACTATTTCTCTGATAGAGAATGAACATGCAGGTTACGCGACGATCGCCCTCTTGAATCGATACCTCCCTTGTTTAGAGCGACGCGCCGAATGTGTGGTCGGACGTACTAGTAATCACGAGTTCACGTGATCTGGCTTACCTCAGCCAGTATGTCTTGGCATATCAAGGCAGCAACGCCGTGCGCTTGAAGTTGTCGCCAGATTGGTAAGACTCGGAAAGGACTACTGGACTGACAGCATGGTGAGCGAGGATGATGCCAGAGATGAGTATAAACTTTACACGCCCTTCTTTTCCTGACCCCCAAAGACTTGTATGATCCGATGAGAACGCCGGTTCTGTCGTTGAGATGATCTTGACTCTTCGCAAGGATCTCTAATTCTTGCTGCTGGAGCGTCCAAGCTATCCAGAAAAGCATTTCGAGGAGCTTCTTGCAGTCGAATGCTGGCCCGTCCTGTCTTGGCCATGTCTCTCCGCAGATCTACTAGGATTGCGACTACTGCAGTCAATGCAACAGCGAACGGGGTAGATGTACCGATCAATGGCTTGAAGAAGCGCTTCGCAAGCCAGCAAGGAGGGCCACCGACCACGAAAAGGTCGAAGCCCGCCAGCGAACATGGCCACATCAACGGAGAGGAAGAGGAACCAGAATTCAAGGTGCCAGTGACGCCGCTGAAGAATTCTCGACGAGGCCCGGCGAATGCATCCAGAAAGCCACCGCTGACCCCGACTCCCAGTCTTGTCAACCTTATTCGAGCCCCGTATAGCACGGGCGACATAGACGATTCCACACCCCCGCCAAACCGTCCTGCCGAGCCTCATGTTACAAATGCTACGTTAGTTACACCAGGTGGTACTCAGAAGGTAGCATACCCTGATGATCTGCCGGATTCGTCGCCGTCAAAACCAGGACTGCCTCTCCCGACAGCTACGACCAACACCATCCTAGAGCAAGCATGCAATCATCTTATTAGCGTGGATCCGCGCTTCAAGCTGCTGATAGAGAAGCACCCTTGCCACATCTTTTCTGCCAGGGGTCTTGCAGAACAAATCGATCCCTTTCGGTCTTTGGCCAGTGGGATCATGGGTCAGCAAGTATCCGGGGCAGCAGCTAAATCAATCAAGAACAAGTTCATTGCACTGTTTAACGAGGAAGGCTCGGACGAACGAAAATTCCCCACACCTGCTCAGGTCGCGGCGACCGACATCGCACGACTCCGGCTTGCAGGTCTTTCTCAGCGGAAGGCCGAGTACATTAAGGGATTGGCCGAGAAGTTTGCCACTGGCGAATTAACCACTGAGATGCTCATGAGAGCTACGGATGAGGAAGTCATGGAGAAACTGATAGCCGTGCGCGGGCTGGGGAAGTGGAGTGTCGAGATGTTTGCCTGCTTTGGCCTGAAGCGGTTGGACATCATCTCAACAGGGGACCTAGGCGTGCAACGCGGCATGGCGGCATTTCATGGCAGAGACATCAAGAAACTCAAGGCCAAAGGAGGTGGCAAGTGGAAATACATGTCGGAGCAAGACATGCTGGACAAGTCGGCGCCGTATGCACCCTATCGAAGTCTGTTCATGTGGTACATGTGGAGGGTGGAAGATGTCGATGTCGATGTCATGCAGAATACCATGTAACAAGAGAACTCATGCATCTTTGTGGTAAATGTACAGTGGGTAGAGGAGGCCCATCACTCCTTTACCGCAGCGATTTGTCCATTCCGTTCTGCTACCGACCCCTAGCTTTTATACCCTCTACTTCTTCCTTTCAACAATAACAGACTCCAAGTCGGCTCGCTCCTTCAGTTCAGCTTCGATTTCCGCAATGATCGGGCTCAAATATTTGTAATCCTAATTACGAATTAGCAACTGGCATGATCCCTCGTGTAGGGATTATCCCACCTCCTCTGGTTTGGTCTGCTCCTCAAGGGGTAATAGCTGATGGGCTAGAGAGCACTATGGCAGCTGTTAGTCCGCGGATGTAGCATCGTGAAACCTATTCATACTTGGAAAGCTCTTCTCAAGCGAAAGACCCGGTCGTATGATTCTTTGGGAGACAATCTCTTTAGGGCAAGCTGCACTGTGTCGTTTTCCTCAGGGATCAGGTCGTCGGCTCTCAGACCTAAGTCGCAGTTAGTTTTCATTCGGAGAAGAAAGGATGTCGTGACTTCGAACCCAGTCTTCTGTATCCGGCCGCATCGGCGTACCAGTTGGCGAACGGGACCATCCATCTCTTCAACCATGGCCGCTTCAGGATGTAAGGTGCTAACGAGGGAGCAGACATCGTGGCTCAAGATGCGCAGCAAGATATCGGACGGTGGTGCTATGAGGACTGTGGAAGCAAGTCGATTAAGCGCACCCTTGAAGCTTTGTCGTCGAACGCAGCAGGTCGAGAATACGAGCAATATGATTGGTGCTTGGCGCAGATGGAACTGCGCTGAGATTCTTTTTCACCTGCGGTACTAGTACTGCGCAGTAGTGCACTAATTTATGTAGCTCTCCAAGCCGGGAAGGTTCTCCGATCGGCTCCCATGCTTCTTCTCACCCACTTTCATTATCCGCAGCAGCAAGGTCGACCTCCTCACCAACAACAGTTCCTCATCATTCCTTGAAACACCTACAGATCCCGGCAGATTCCTGACTCTGTCGAGCTACCTTTGGCATTGCTTTATGCTCAAAACTTGATGGCCTTTGTCAACCGCTGACAGGGCACTCGGTCGGCTTCGGCCAGACCCCGCAGTTTCCGCGATCCTGGACAACGGTGCAACGGAGCGGTCTGTTTCCCGAACCACCCTGCCGCCTCGTGTGTCACATTGGATCAACATCTCAACCTCCACGCTCGAACCCGTCATGAGCACGTTATATGGGATACTAAGACACTTATGATCGGGACTCCAAAGGATGTCCTACGAGCGAGATCCTGAACAGACCCCAACCGTCTTGGCCTCCCAATATGCTTCGCCGACCGACGACACATCCTCCTCCAGCAACCACGATACAATGCCTCCAACTCGCCCGAAGGAGTCCTTCGTCTCCCGCTTACAGATACAGTCGACACAAATTCCGAAGGCGTGGATCAGCCCCATATGCGGTGCCGGTGCCGGTTTCGCATCGGGCATAGTGACATGTCCCCTGGATGTGATAAAGACAAAATTGCAGGCTCAGGGCGGCTTCGCTGCCAAAAATCGCCAAGGAGCGATGTCACAGACCAACCAGCTCTACAAAGGTCTGGTTGGCACCACTCGAGTGATTTGGCGGGAAGAAGGTCTCCGGGGGATGTACAGAGGTCTCGGGCCTATGTTGCTGGGCTATCTGCCCACCTGGGCCGTGTACCTGACTGTATATGAGAACACGCGCGAATATTACTACGAGAAGTGTGGCAGTTGGTGGGTGGCTCGGTGTTACTCGTCCCTGACGGCGGGAGCGTGTTCGACGGTCCTGACAAATCCGATCTGGGTGATCAAAACCCGGCTGATGTCACAAAGCACCAAAGCTGCTAGCGACGGCATGCGCGCTCCATGGCACTATACTTCGACCTGGGATGCGGCTAGGAAAATGTACCGCACCGAAGGCATCCGGTCATTCTATTCGGGACTTACGCCCGCGCTCCTCGGCTTGACCCATGTTGCCGTCCAGTTTCCCCTGTACGAATATTTCAAGATGAAATTCACAGGCTATGGCATGGGCGAACATCCAGTCGAAGACAGTGGTGCCAATTGGATTGGGATCACCGCCGCCACTTTCCTGAGCAAGATCTGCGCCAGCACAGCTACCTATCCTCATGAAGTCCTACGAACTCGCCTTCAGACCCAGCAACGCAGGTCTGGCGTGTCATCGTCAGATGGAATGGCCGTCAAAGTACGCTATACTGGCATCTTACATATGTGCAGAGTCATCCTCCAAGAGGAAGGCTGGCATGCATTTTACGCAGGCATTGGCACAAACCTTATCCGCGCCGTCCCGGCCGCCATGACCACCATGTTGACATACGAGTGGTTGCAAAAACTTATCCATCAAGCCCAGGCCAAAGGTGAAGAATTGAAACGACCGACTGACGCATATCCGATATGATCACACAACATGAACCGTTTTACCCCAACCGCGACGACTCGACACTCTTTGCAGGGCGTTGGCGGTGTTTTGGACCGGGGTGCCACGCTTGCCTTTTTTATTATCTAGCCTCATGAAAGGAACGCAGGTCACCCATGACGCACTATTTGAGTTGAGTCAAGTCGCGTCGATATCGCTCTGGGTCTGGCTCGGATGACTAGATCCTACTTACTGCCCTTCATCCTGCCCTGACGGGACGAATGAGGCGATGCGAACAGCTCTATAGGGCGACAAGCCGTGGCTCCAGACATTCCATCGCAAAGTCACTGCTACTGGCCAGACAAGGCTCTTTTGTCAGACCTAATTGTGGCACTGGGCTGCCCCAATATTGGCTTGACCCGACACCAACGATGGCTGTAGCTCACGAAGGCACCTAACGCCGTCCTCGACGACAAAGAACCACAAACCACGCTCCACCTCTCTTTACCGTGGAAGAAAGGGGTTTAACCTGAAGTCTGCGACTCAGGGGCGGCGCCCAAGATCAATCGTCCACGTGTGAAGAAGACCTCACAGACTGCTGTCGCAGCGAAGATGGATATTCCCCTGAACCCAAGAATCCAACCTATGTATCCGGCAAGGAGGAATGACGATGGACAGAGGAAGCGCAGGCAACGCTCCCTCCTCAAGGTGGTGCAGATGTAGACCTCATTCGAAATAGAATGACTTGAGATTCATCATTGAAATTAAAACATGTGTATCCTCACAACCCTGCCGCGAGGAACATTCGTGTCCATTGCGTGACGTGCTTATCTTTTCGACAGTTTACTTGCGACACTCATATTAGTCACGTCCAAGTCTAGTAGAGAGAATAAGCGAGCACTCGAAGATGTATGTATGCCCCAGACGTATAATACGATATGAATGGAAGTCAAGCATCTGTAGTAGAGAAATTATGAATAGAGTCGGTCTTATCGCTGGCATTGATCATATATATTTATATTCCGGAAAGTATCCTCTCCCACTCCTGCCAACTTTAGAGTCAAAAATACAGCAGACCGGCAGCCAGGACAAAAGTACTAGTAGTAGTGGTCGTCGTAGTCATCTAATATCAACGAGTATGATGGTGAAGCGAAGTTCTTCCATCTTGAGTTCCCGAAGAACGAATCACCAGAGGAATCAATTACGGATGCTTTTCACGTCCTGTGTTTCTCTACCATGGATGATGTAGAAGGTCAGGTCATGCACCTCATTTTATTTTATTTTATTTGATTCTCGAGTCTCGATACTTCGCACAAGACACGAAGAGATACTGTTATACTAGGAGGTAGGATACAATACACCTTTGATACCTATCTTTAGGTGAACGAAGACTCAAAATACACAATCAATGTCTGTTTGTTCTTTGTCGATGTATGGACGCAAAGAAAACAAGACAGGTTTAAAAAGCCCCATCCATCAAGCCAGCGCAAACCATCCCATTGACTCCCAATCCAAAAGGGAATCACAAAACGCCATCATGTCAAAAGGTAGACCGACCTGGGCTTATTGAGTCGAGTCGTATCCATCGTAAGATAGCCTTGACGAGGCGCAACAACTTGAGACAAGTTGCGGCGTCATCTCAGACTACCCCACGATTTCTAGACGCTCCCAGGATTTCATGCAAACAAAAAGACAGAAACATCGCGGATGCACACCATCGCTCGCACGATCACATTACAATGATCAAGTGTTCCACACGCAGTCGATGGATGTTTTAACCACTGCACATCACGCATGCATCTCCATTCTCAATTGAGCCTAATAACGTAACGTTAGTCAAAGATCGCGGAACGGGTGGGCTGTAAAAGGTGGGAACATACAAGCAAGAACCTTCTGTGAGTAGATATCACCCTCACGTTCTTCCGAGTCACGTTCCTTGTCTTCGACTTGGAGACGCTTGATCTCCGCTCTGTTCTCGAGGCTCTCCTCCACGTCAGGAGTCCCGACGGGATCAGTGGGCAAAACCTTGGGACTAGGTTCTTCACTGCTGGTACCATCGCTCAAGCGCGTCTTGGTCAGTTTGCGGACAAGGTCCAGAGTCTTATCCTCGCTGCTGGGAGGAGGCGTGGATGTAGGAGTGGGAATACCATTCAGAGAAGTGGCAGAGCCGCCTGTACTGAAAGGAGATGTCTTGGTCGCGTACATTGGGCGTGGGACAGATTGGTAACTCGGCCCGTAGCCCAGCGAGGTGCGTTTCTTGGGCATGCTTCGCTCACGTGCCACATTAGTGTCTTCAACCTTGAGCTGTTCTTGGTCGACAGTGAATTGGATGGGGGCACTGGCGGCCATGGTTCGCAGGTAATACATTCCAGTCTTCAGGCCCATCTTCCAGCCGGCAAAGTGCATCGACGTAATCTTGCCCATTGTTGGCTCCTTGAGATGGATGTTGAGGGATTGAGACTGATCGATAAAGGCACCTCGATCGGCGGCCATCTGCAGGACAGTACGTTGGCTGATTTCCCAGACAGTCTTGTACAGAGCCTTGATATCGGCAGGGATGTTGGGGATGTTCTGAATCGAACCACCGTCAGCAATGATGCGGTTCTTCATGTTGTCAGACCAAAGTCCGAGCTCAACCAAGTCCTTCAGAAGCCATGGGTTCACGACTTGGAACTCGCCGGCCAACACACGACGGGAGTAGATGTTGGATGTGTATGGCTCGAAACATTCGTTGTTGCCCAAAATCTGAGACGTGGATGCAGTAGGCATGGGCGCAACCAGAAGCGAGTTGCGGACGCCATATTTGGCAATTTCGGCCTTCAAGGAGTCCCAATCCCACAGATCTGTTGGAGTGACATTCCACATATCATACTGGAGAATGCCTTGGGAGACAGGGCTACCTTCGTATGTCTGATAAGGACCTTGCTCCTTGGCAAGTTCGCATGATGCTGTGAGGGCGGCGTGATAGATGGTCTCGAAGATCTGGATGTTGAGTTGTCGAGCCTCGGGAGAGTCAAAAGGAAGACGCAGAGCAAGGAACGCATCTGCAAGGCCCTGAACACCAAGACCAATTGGTCGGTGACGGAGATTGCTGTTCTTGGCCTCTTGCACCGGGTAGTAGTTGATGTCAATGATCTTGTTCAGGTTGCGAGTAACAACTTGGACGACCTCGTGGAGGCGACCAAAGTCATACTCGCCACGAGCTTGATCGACAAAGGTAGGGAGAGCCAGAGAGGCAAGATTGCACACGGCAACCTCATCTGGTGCAGTATATTCGACGATCTCGGTGCAGAGGTTGGAGCTTCGGATGGTACCCAAGTTCTTCTGGTTGCTCTTCTTGTTGCAGGCATCCTTATACAGCATAAAAGGTCCTCCAGTCTCGGTCTGTGCTTCGAGGATGGCATACCAGAGCTTCTGGGCTTTGATGGTGGCGCGACCACGGCCTTCTCTTTCATACTTCTCAAACAGAGCGACGAATTCGTCTCCGTATACGTCGGCCAGGCCGGGAGCCTCGTGAGGGCAGAACAGAGTCCAGTCCTGGTTCTTCTCAACACGTTCCATGAAAAGATCAGGAGTCCACAGAGCAAAGAACAGATCACGTGCACGGACTTCTTCCTTGCCATGGTTCTTTCTCAGGTTCAAGAAATCAAAGACATCGGCATGCCACGGCTCGAGGTAGATGGCAAAAGCGCCAGGGCGCTTGTTACCGCCCTGGTCGACATAACGAGCGGTATTGTTGAAGACGCGGAGCATGGGGATAAGACCATTGGACGTGCCGTTGGTGCCGGCAATGTATGAGCCGGTAGCACGGATGCAGTGGACGTTGAGACCAATACCGCCGGCAGTCTTGGAGATCAGCGCGCAAGTCTTCAGGGTGTCGTAGATACCGTCAATGCTGTCCTCTTTCATGTCGATCAAGAAGCATGATGAGAGTTGAGGTTGGGGTGTGCCGGCGTTGAAGAGGGTCGGCGAGGCATGAGTGAAGCACTTCTGGGACATCAGATTGTATGTCTCGATGGCCTTTTCGACATCATCTCCGTGGATGCCGACAGCAACTCGCATGAGCAGGTGTTGTGGTCGTTCGGCGACTTGCTTGCCAATCTTGAGCAGGTATGATCTCTCCAACGTCTTGAAGCCGAAGTACTGGTAGTTGAAGTCTCGATCGTACACAATGGCCGAGTTGAACTCCTCAGCATGTCTCATAACACACTCGTATGTCTCCTGCGAGATCATGGGAGAGGGCTTTTGATTCTTGGGATTGATATAGTGGTAGAGATCCGAGATGACGGAAGAGAATTGCTTCTTGGTCTGTTTGTGAAGATTGGAGACAGCAATACGTGCTGCGAGGATGGCATAGTCGGGATGGGTGACGGTCATGTAAGCAGCAGTCTCTGCGGCCTGAAAAGCTGTTAGCACTTTGAGAATTTGTTCAACGACGGTGGCACGACTGACCAAGTTGTCGAGCTCGATCGTGGTTACACCCTGATAAACACCAGAAATCACTTTCTGTGTGATAGCTGCTGCATCGACGTGTTCGGGATCGAGACCATAGCACAGTCTCGAGACACGTGCCGTGATCTTGTCGAACTGCACGCGTTCCTTGCGTCCATCTAGAAGAGTTGTCAGCGACGTGGACGTGCAGGGAGGGACTTCAAGACGCGAGCTGAAGGGCCATTGAGGCTTCTGATGTAGGCAGGAAGGGATCATACCTCGCTTGAAGACGAACATGGTGCCGGGTTCGAGTTTTCGATTGAATTGGCTCAAGGTCCAATGTGAGGAGGAAGTGGTGGCAAGCTGCAGAAAATGAAAGTGGGAGGGCAGACAAGACCACTGAGCCTGCTCTTATGTGTAGGATAGATACTCCTAAGCACAACACAACGAAGCAGGAAGTAGTAGAAGAGAGGCGTGAAGTTAAAGAGCAAAGTATAGAGAGGGAGGATACAAAACAACACTCGAATGTAGGTACTTATACGCCCTACGCGCTGGTCGAACGCGTTCTCGCGTGCGGTGCGTGTTCGAGCGCAGGGGTGCAAAGTGCCAGTGATTGATTACTATGGATTATGGAATACTTAGGTAGTAATTAAGCGTGTAAAGTGCAAAATCCCATTTAACTGGCGTGTCTGTTGCCTGCCTGCCTGCGCTTTTTGCCCCGCTCCCTGCGCTTCTGCCTCGCGCTTCCACTTCACGTTCACGTTCACGTTCACGTCCACATTATTCACGTTCCCAGTCTCATATTTTATGAACATTTCTTAGGTACTTACCTGGTACTTTGCCACTGTCATCCATGCCACATCTTTCTGTCTCTCCCCTGCTCCTTTTCGAATTCCTCTCTATCACCAGCTTGGACCTCTCCCAACCTCCTCGAACACTCGACTGCCTGTGACGGACGACCCAGCTCCATGCCATTTCCTATGAACATCCTCCCCTGACCCGCCTATGCCCTCGGTCCTCGACCAATCCAAGAATGTTACATCAAAGTGGAACACTCTAGTGACAGCCGTGATCGGACACAAACACAACACGCCTCGACAATCGAGATGCTGCCTGCTGAGACCACAGACCAGGCTGACAAACCCCCGACGCCTTCAAGTTTACCTAGTCATTCCGCAGAAGATGGACACAGACTCTTGGATTGTGTACAGATTGCACCAACATACTAGCACCATAACCGCGGTTTAATCAACCTTCGCTCGTTCATCGATATATCTATGACAGGCCAGCCTCCCTTCTGAATCGTTATGAACTGCCCCCTCCCAACTTGCTTGGAAATCCAACCCCGCCGTCCAAGCATGAGGTATCTTCTTTGACATGCATGCAAGAAATGACATTCAGCCTTGTCCCAGAGCAAAGGACCCCCCCAAAAGATAAGCAAGTTGCATGGATTGATTGTCGTATCAATACTCCCTTTCCTTGCCCTTGCCTTTACCCTCTGTCGCCTCATCGTCAGGATCATGGGACTCGTCCCCTTCCCGTACGCTGCTCATCCTTTTAACCTGATCTCTGTCCTTGTCCTCGTCGTGGTCCGCTTCGCTTTGGTTACTGCTCAGCAAACTCAGCGTATCGGCATTGACCACCCGCAGTTTTTCTTTCGGAACAGTGAACATGACCTGGACTACCCGTTTCTGCACCGCAGTCTCCACGTCCCAGTCGTCGTCTGAATCCTCAAGTTCGCCGTCCGTGTCGTTCAGCGTAAACCCTGGAACCGGTTTCCTTCTCACGGCGGTGGATGAGCCACCTTCAATCGCACCAGGCGCGTCGTTGTCCCAGTCCTTGGCTCCTCGCTTGCCTTGCCAGAATGACGCCCCGGCGCTCAATGCCCTGTTTAGACCAGCGTCTGTCATCTCCGGCTGTGCGGAATGCTTTGTCGGGCTTGACTGGCTGCTTTGGTTTTCAAACGTAGTAACACGGTCATGTACATGGACACTGCCCGTTCCTGTGAAGACTCGTCTCATGCTTCCAAGCAGCGTCAAGGCCCTTCGGCCAGATCCAGTGAGGCTACCGGCCCTGGTATACTTGTCTTTGCTCGAGGTTTCTGCGAGCGTTTGGTATCCACGTCCTCCAGGCGGCTGGCGCTGGTGAGCGCGATTCAGCAGGGCTTGATCCTCGCCTCCCTTCACCCGCCCCCAGCCAGTCCGGGCTGACGAGGAGGGGTCTGCATAGTCTCTGGGGTTGGGATGTCTTCCAGGATCGATGTTGAGAGAAATGCTGCGGTTCGATGGCGTTCTGGCAGGGCCAGCTCTTGGATCATTGTCGAAAGGGCCTTGTCTGGCGTTTCCAACCCGGCTCATAGCTGCTGCTGCGCCCGAGAAGAGCGCATATCCTGCGCTGGCACTTCTCTGAGAAATGCTGCGCGACATTGTGCTGCCAGCCGATTTCTGAAAGGAAGACGTGGTCATCACACTGTTTTCAGAAAGATTGCTGCCCGTTCGATCCGACTTTTCCGGCGAACCACGCCCTTGAGAGCTCCCGGGCGGCCGAAATTGGGAGAGGTTGGAATACGTTCTGCTGTACGCTTGACTGGTGCTTCTCGACATGCTCATGGTCTCCGCGGCTGATTGCCAGTCTTCGACCCAGCTCTCGACTTCTTTCTTGCGTTGTATTGCCGCATCACCTTGCAGCGCGGGCTCACCTGTAATCGCTGGGTCCTGGAACGGATCACTCAGTGCAGAGCTCCCGTCACCCACCGGATTGGTCATTTTCATTCTCTTCGAAGACCCGGCCTGGCTGCCCTCCTCCTCTTCGTCGATGCGGAACACCGCCCCTGGCATTGCACCGGGAGGATGTTGGTTGAAAGGACCAGGTCCTGTCGGAGCTCTGGAGACCAGGTTCTTTCTCAGGCCCCGCGTGGGACTGGGGACTTCCCTCTGAACGCCAGTGCGCTCAGCATATCGAGAGGCGTCACTTTCTCCTCTGCCAGCACCTACGGCCAAGCGGACCTTTCCATTTTTGGCTGTCAGCGCCACCGGGGCCCAAGGGAAAGAATCGCCTGAGCTCTCGAGCTCACGTTCCTGTATGCCATTCCAGCTGGCACTTCGCATTCCGTCACCAGGCCTTTCGCGGGTTTCGCCAGGCGGCGTCGGTGATCGGTATCGTTCAGCCCCCAGAGCGAGCTCTCTAATCTCCTTCTCGCGAAGGGCACGCTTTGCCCTAAGCTTTCGTGAGTACAACAGCCACACAACAGCGACGCCAGCAGCTGCAGCCAGACCGAGACCAAGGCCGGCTCCCAGGCCTGCCCTTTCCGAAGATTTCAGTCCCGTGGTCGATGACGATGCACTTGGCGACGCAGGAGGCGAGCCTGATGGGTAAGGATTCGTGTAGGTGCTGGTCCATTCTAGACTGGTTGTATTCAAGAACAGGAGAGTGTCCGACGGTTGGCGTTTGCGTTTACTTTTTGAGCCAGAGGCGTCGATGGAGTATCCTCCAGATACCATCATGACCCCTCCAGGGAGCATGGCCGCACCATGGCCATATATGCCTGTACCAGAGCCCGATGGAAAGGGATCCGAAGCTGAAGTGGGAGTAGACCATGTCCACTCTCCCTGGCCGCCGTAGCCCTGACCGACTTCCAGTACGATGAACTGAGGCTGTGCTGGCGTGTTGATGTCTCCGACCCAGCCACCAAACACAAAGATTTGAGACCCATCGTCGGCCAAGATGGCGGTATGGCCAGAGCGAGGTTCGACCGTTGTCGCGGTGGCTCTTGTGCGGAACCTTTGGGCACCGGCAACTGTCGCTGGAGATACACCGACGAAGGCCCAGGACTCTTGAGGCAGGGCAAAGATGGCCAACTGTGACATGTTGATGAAGGCCGTCTGTGTGTGGCCACCGAGAAGGACAAAGTTCTGTTGCTGCGACACATTGGTGTTGGATGTGTTTGAGAAGGTGGGCGTGAGGGCCGTGATGGTGAGCCCTGCTTCTGCAATGGGCGGCGCTCTGGCTCCGGTCATTGATATTTTATAAGGGGCGCTGCCGTTCGAAGTCGAGTCCGGCGCAAAGGTCAGCATTGTATTTGAATAAACCGCGTCCGAAACCCAGGTTGCCGCAGCAGAGGATGTCCCAGTCGGACACATTCCTCCGAAGACATAGAGGGACGCATCCTCAACCGAGGCAGACGGAGAGAAAGCAAACCCAGCAGAAAGGTAGTTGCAGCCTAGGGAGTCGTCGCCCGCGGCCAACGGCAAGGTAGACCAGGAGCCGTTTTTAGCTTCTTCATTGTCGTCGGGTGTGAACCTCCACAATTCCAAATCTTCGGCGGGATTCCCACAGTCTCCCGCCAACACGGCGATTCCTGCACCGTCGGGAATGGTGACGAATGCTTTGGACTCGGTCTCGGAGAGGAACGGCAGCGCGCCCGAGATCGCGGTCTTCGTAGAGGAGGAAGAGACATTGTCCGCCGTGTCGAGCGCATACAATGCGAATTGCGACGACGACGGCTGCGGAGAGAAGAGGTAGGCGACCGAGCCGTCCTTCGCCGGGACGATGCGCGTGGGATTGTAAGGCAGTTGCGCAACCACTGGTGTAACCACGGCCGCAAGACCGGTGATAGGGAGGAGGAGAGATAACCGTCGCAACATGGTCCTCGTGAGAAGGCTTGGGCTCAGGTCATTGTTGAACTTGCGAACTGGACTGTGTGGTGGTGATCGATCAATCAACCCATCTGCGACCTTCCGTCACCGAAATTGACCTTCTTCAAGTTTGCGCCCGCAATCAAGGGAGGGAGGAGGAGGAGCAAGCGGCTTTAGACGTTTCGGCAGGATTGGGATTTCGACCAGGACTGATGAGAGAGAAGACCAAGGACGAGGAGGCTGGCCATGCAATGCAATCGCAACACACAGTCGACCGCGGGGCAGATTCAGGCGAGTCTTGTCGCTAACTTCGTGTAATAGTAAACAGACGCAGGACACCCGCCAGCCACGCTGAAGACGAACCGAACTCGGGTCCAGGGTTTAGGTTAGGGGCCTTCCACTGCAGACGGTTGAACAGACTTCACGTAACTGTGTCTATGGCGTCCAATTGATCTTCTGAACCTAAATGCAACAAGGCTTGCGCCATGCTCGGGTTGACCAGGGTGTTCCAGCGACTCTGCAGCTGAGGCGGAAGACGAACTGGCGATTGTTTGGGGGAGGCTGGTTACTACGACAACCACACAACACTGGCACCACTACAAAGATAAGCGAAATGGTGTCGCACAAGCACAACCACCAGCACATGCGACTCGGGGAAACAGTCGACTGGCATTGTATACTACCAGTTCCAGGGATTAAGTCTCGATACATTGACAATGATCCGTCGTCCAGTATCCTCAAGATCACTAGGTACTAGTATTTCGGATTCTAAGCAAGACTCGTTGGTCTGGAAAGCCGCCCCCTTGTTAGGATGGTGGATAGTAGTAAATCCTGCTATTCCACGACAACCAGCCTAAGGGAACCCGTGGCCTCACCGCCAGATGGATATGTATCTACAGGGACGCACGTAACCACCGTCTTCTGTTTCGATCACACGCTCCAGTCCGAGAAGGTATCAAGGCACTATCTCTCTCTCACCCGCTGCCGACGTTTCAGCGTCAACTTGCATGAAGCCGACTGCCGCGTAGGGCGCCTTCGAGGTCTCTAGATAGATTGAGCGGCCGCGTTGAAAATGACGCTGGGATGATGTGATCACACTGGCGTGCTCGAGTTGAAAAGTGTAGCTGGGAAGCGATGCATGCCGAAACTTATGGCGAGAAGCGCTGTCCTTGACTGGCAGTAGTCTGTCGAGTCAGGTTCCTTGAACAGCATTGGCAGACGAGTCGTGCCATCAAGAGCATGATTGCCACAGTTGAACCTGACACCGTACATCTGCTTGCCGGAAGAAGTCTCTGGGAAGTGTTCTCTAGCCATTGTCGGCCGAACAGTCTCTGCCGGACTGGACTGCAAGGTTCATTTCAGCCCATTCATATGTTCAGCGACTGTCCCAGAGGTAGCAGAAGTGCCAGTCTCCTCTGCAGGCAGCGTAGTCTTCAGCGGCGGGAGGAGACTTCTTGCACTCTCCCTCGCGGTCTGGGCCATAAGCGCGTCGATGAGCACCAATGCCGACATGGCTTCCACGATCGGCACGGCTCTCGGCACGACACAAGGGTCATGCCGGCCCTTGGCTTCCAACACACCCTCTTCGGCATCATAGGTGGCAGTCTGCTGCGCTTGACCAATGGTGGCAGGAGGCTTGAACGCGACTCTGAAATAGATGTCCTGGCCATTGGAGATGCCTCCTTGGATGCCTCCTGAATTGTTTGTTTTCGTGATTAACTTTCGCTTGGGGTTCGTTTCGCCAGCGGGGGCAGCCACGAAGGGATCGTTATGGATCGAACCCGGCACTTCACAGCCACCGAATCCAGAGCCGATTTCGAACCCCTTGGTGGCTGGGATGCTCAGCATGGCATGAGCCAGCTCCGCTTCGAGCTTGTCAAAGCAGGGTTCGCCCAGCCCGACTGGGCAGTTTCGGATCACACAGGTGACTGTGCCTCCGATACTGTCTTGTGCGTCTCGGAACTGCTCGATCACCTTCGTCATACGCTCTGACGCAGTTGCGTCGGGGCACCTCACAGGGACGAAAGAATCAACCTCCTCTCTGGTGACTTTCGAGAGCAAGGAGAGGAAGGCCGGGTTTGTCGAAGGAGATGGGTGCTTGGCTGTCGGGGGAAACAAGTGTTCTGAGCCAACAGAGGACACAAATGCCACGATTTCCACGCCGTGCGCTAACGAGAGATACTTTTCGGCAATGGCACCGGCAGCCACCCGGCCTGGAAGGTTTCGTCAGTATCGCCGTCTCAAATGGTCAGTTGACCGACCACATACCGATAGTCTCGCGGGCACTGCTTCTGCCGCCACCACTGCTGGCTTTGACACCATATTTCTCCAGATAGGTGAAGTCGGCATGGCTAGGTCGGGGGAAGAGGTCCATAGTCTTGCCACCGTAGTCCTTGGGTCTCTGGTCTTCATTGCGCACTACGAGGCCGATGGGTGTGCCGAGAGTGACGCCAAACTCGGTGCCGGACTGTATCTCCACCCGGTCCTTTTCGTCTCTTGGAGTCGTCAGAGCAGATTGTCCAGGTCTGCGCCGAGTCATTTGAGGTTGGATGTCATCCTCCGTCAAGTGCATGCCAGGAGGACAGCCATCGACGATACAGCCGACCGACCGACAGTGAGATTCACCGTAGGTGGTGACCCGGAAATATTTGCCCCAGGTTGACATCTTGACTGCTTTTGAATTCGATGCTGCCACAAACCTTTTGAGTATTGTAGTGAATATCGGGCTGGGATTGAATATAAATGACTCAAAGGACTGGCTGAACACCTAGCTCAACAGATGCAACCAACGTCACAACCACGAAAAGGGATTGGGAGAAAATGATAGTGATCAGTGAGAAGTTCTCTGTCCACTCAGCTCTACCGTGTCTATCTTACAGGACTTTCAATGAATGTTCAATCAAAGAGTCATACAGTTCGAAGCTGTTGAAATATTTTGCCCCCAGGAGACAATTATCGCACGAGGAAGGTGTAGCGATCGGCTGCAGAACCGTGCTGTCACGTGTCAACGCAAATACTGACGGCTACATATTGATACCATACGAGGTAATAGAGCATTATATCTTGAGGTAGAAGTCTATTCAGTGGCAGTTCTCGGTTTCGTCATATACTTTGACGCCTACACTAGATAACCCAACCGCTTACTCCTTTTCATATGCTGTTTTTAATCCGTCAAGTCATAACAAGACATGAGTGAGTGGAAGAGAATTGACAGCCAACTGCTGAAGCAACCTTCAACGGTGGACTGCGTCGAACCCAACCAGCCGAGTCACTATCCTGACCATTTATTTAATGCTGACCAACGGGAGACGAATTTTCCCTCTGTGTCATTTTTCCCTGTTGCAATGCACCGAATGAAGTCCGACGAGTGAAGAACCAAGCGAGCATCCGCAGACCGTAGAGAGCTAGTAGTCGTCACCACGGCTGACAACCTCCTTCACCGTGGGACGTAGCAGGATCGTATGCTCAAACTGCGCGGTGTAGCTGCCCTTGACATCGACCAAGGGAGGATATGCCTCGACGATGCCCGAGCCGACGAGGTTGTTCAAGCCAAGCAAGTACTTGTCCTGCCCAAGACGATCGAGGTAGCGTCGGCAGAAGGGCAAGGTCCCGAAGTTCTTCTTGATGACATTGAGCAGCGAGCGGGCTGACTGCACGCGCAGAGGAACATTAGGAGCGTCGCCATGTAACGCGTAGTGCGAGACCTCCAGGTCGTCGACGACATAGCCGCGGCCTGTTGATCCGAACGTCTCGATCGCAAAGATCTCGCCTTCCTCCATCTTGGTCTGGTCGCCTCCTTTGACGATAGGCACTGACTTGCCGCCGTGAATGCAGTGCTGCACGATATCGTGGCCGTTGAGGTTGCGAATCGGCTTCACCTGGTACGTCTTCCCGTCAAGATCGACTTCATAGGACTCCATCGTCTCCTGGATCGCGGCTCCAATGTCGCACACCCGGACATCAATGCCGGCTTCACGAATGCCTGTGTTGGTGGCGTCCTTGACCGCCGCCAGAAGGTTGTCGTATTTGGGGTCAAATGCCACGGTAAAGGCCGAGTCCACAATTCTCCCGTTGACATGGACGCCGAAATCGACTTTCATGACATCCTGCTCACCCAATACCCATTTGTTGCCCGCATTAGGCGTATAGTGGGCGGCGATATGATTGATGCTCAGTCCCGTGGGAAACCCTACACCGGCGATGATGTTGTCACCTTCCTCGAGTCCCTGATGACCCGTGAGAGCGCGCGTGCCGTCCTCAATCCCCTCCGCGATCTCGGTCAGTGTCATGCCCGGTTTGATGTTCGCGTGGGCCCATTTCCGCACCTGCCGGTGCACTTCAGCAGCCTGGCGGTACTCCTGTAGGAAATCATTGTTCATCCGGTCGAGGTGCCGTTTCTCTTCGTTCGTGGTTCGGTATGTATTGTCATTCTTGTATTCCACCTCTTCTCCCACCGGGTATGTGTTGTTGGGGAACAGTTGGCTGAGAGGGACTCGTGGCGGATCGGACTGGACTTTGGCACCCGCGGCCTTCTTCTTCTTGGGCTTCTTCTTCTTCTTCTTCTTTGCGGCGCCGTTGGCAGTGTTCCCGTTGTCACCACCGGTGGCAGTAGCCCCGTCGTCTTTGTCATCGTCCGAGTCATCCTGATCCGATAAATGGCCGTTTACGCCGTTTGTGCCATTGACTTGCGGGTTTTGCTTAGTGGGCGACCCATTCAGAGCGAGCTTAGACAGCTCGTCCGCCGTCTTGGCCGCCATTGCAGTGTGGAATGGAGGCTGCTCGCTCCGAGTACACGAGATGTAGTCGAAGCAAAGTCAAATGGGGTAAAGGGTTGTACGGAGAAAACAAAATCCTGGTTGGCCTTTTTCCTTACAGTGGTATAGAATGTACTATGGCATCCAGTTTTCCTGGGCTGGTCGGCACCTAACGGCGCAAGCGGGGCCGTAGTCGGAGAAAAGCTGCGGGCAACTTTCCCGGCGTCCTTTGAGCAAGCCTTCAAGTTGGCGTCGGCGTGTTAGACGTCACACTCTCCGGCATTCGATGCATCGCCCTCGTTCTACATCAATCTAAGAGGTGTCGAACCAGTCACAAGCATGAGGCATGAACCTGCGCCCGGGTACACTCTCGAGCCTCCGCCTCACGAATCCCTGTGCGGCCAAATGCTTCGTCAATCGAACACGCGGACGCCACTTCTCACAGTCACAGACATGTCCGACCGCGAACCACGGTAACCCTCCCAACCACTACGACGTCCTTGGGATAGGACAACATGCAACCCAGGCGGAGCTGAAAAAGCAGTTTTACGTTCTTTCCAAAGAAACACACCCGGACCTCAATCGCGACAATCCCGAGGCCGGTAAACGCTTCATGCAGATAAGCGAGTCCTACAGCGTGCTGGGGGACCCAGAGAAGAGAAAGCGGTACGACCGGGACATGATCCACGTGCATGGACATCGACACCACCATGGCACGACATCGAGTCATCACCACAGAGGAACGCACGCTGGCCACCGCCCGCCCAGCGGGTTGAGTAGACGGCGGAGCGCGTTCAAAGGTCCGCCACCGTCGTTCTATGCCCATGGGAAGCCGTCCGCCAACACATCAAACCAAGCACGGGCGAGTCAAGCCGGCACTTTTAACGCTAGCGCATTCGCAGACGAGGGGAAGTGGGATCCAGATTTCGATGCTCGCAGCACATACAAGACCCAGACACTGGAAGATTACAGGCGGGCCAGCAGACGAGCAGCCGAGCTGGCGGCTGCGCAGGCAGAAATCGAGGCGGACAATTTCTGGGGCAGGTTCCTCGCCGTGACCAGCGTCATTGTGCTTGGTGTCTCATTGGGCACAGTCATTGTGGGCATGGCCAATACTCCGCGGGGCGGACTTACCAGAGGAGATGGCAGTCGTAGAGGGGGCCCTCGGAACGAATGGACCAAGGGCTAGATGGTCGTTACGGACTCGACCTCGGATGTATCTATAGATCAGACAACAGCGTTTGCTGGCTGAAGTGAGCTGCAATATGGTTGGATCAATGCTTGAATTTGATGATTTCATATTGATCAAGGAAACCATCACGGGCCATTGCGACTACCCCTTTCTATGGCACTTTGTACAATCTGGGCCAATCTTGTCCTTGATACATATTTGAGATGGCACTGCATTTAACCCTCAAATGTGAAGGAGGCACCAACTTTGTGGGAGGCTTGGTTCAGGTTTTGGGTGTCGAAGGAAGCTCCCAGACCGAGGGTCACGCCGGTGCCGAGCTTGACATTGTAAGCGAGCGCGGCAATACCACGGTCGTTGATTTTGGCCTGCTCTCGTTAGCGTTACGGTTTTGAAAAGGAAGAATGAGAATGACCTTTGCGAAAGAGCTGGGGTCGAGCTTGTATTTCGAGGCAACCTCCAGACCAACATTGCTTCCGGCCGTCGAGTCCCAGGTAGCCTTTGCGCCAGCCTCGACCTCGGCGTTGACCTTGTGGTAGTAGCTCGCAGAGAAAACGGTCAAGTTGTTGGTGGCAGTCACAGCGGCGGCATATGAACCCTGGCTATATCCAGCTGCAAGGGCGTATCTTGTGATGGCGGCTTTGCCGACGTCGTAACCACCTTCTGCGCCAATGAGGAATCCCTCGTGGCCAAGGGTCACATCGAAGGAGGCGGTTGGTCCCTTGAAGACGTCGGTGAACAGTCTGGTGTGGATGTTGGGTTGCTTGTAGAAGAGGTTGAGCTTTCCACCGTAGGCGCTCTGCGCAGGCAGGTAGTTGGTCAAGACCTCGGCCTTCAATCCCTTGGTCAGGTTGTCCTCAAGCTCGAGCTTGGTGTCCAGGCTGTTGGAGGTCGTCCATGTCTGGGTGAGGGTGAGACCTGCACAGGCAAGAGTCAGTACCGAGACGAGGCTTGACAGGAAGTGGCTCATGGCTCGAGAAACCATTCACCACTTCAAGTCCTGCGATCTGGACGGGAAGAGTAGAAGTACCAGTTGCCTTGTCCGCGTATTTCCCTTCGATCTTTCCTCTGCCGTTAATATGGTATATCCTGAAGTTTTCCTTGATTATCATGGTGCTCACCGAGCCAGAGATTGGGCCATCGTGGGCGGATTTTCCCTTGACGTTGAAGCTGAGGCCGCCATTAGCACGATCTTTATCCACGGAGGAATAGGGGGGAAGACTGTACACAACGCCGTTTGGAGCCTTGGACTTGACCTCGAGGTTCGCGGCGGTCGTGTGGTAGAAGTCCTTATTCAAGAGCTGGAGATATCAAGGTTAGACCGGAGAGAACCTGGGGACGGCCGGTTGTGCTCTCACATCGTTCGCTGGTTTAGCGATATCGCTGAAAGGAACTGGGATGCCGGACATATTGGCGGTGGAGGACGTAGGAGGTAGAGTCGAGATAGATCAGGCAGGGGGAGAGTCCAGTGGAATGCAGTGGGATTGAGATGGACAATGGACCGTGGACCGTGGGAACAGGTTACAACAACTTGAACTGCCCGAGGGAGCTCGAGAAAATGGGTCGGAAGCTGTTTTGCGTCGCGGGTGGAATTGGCCAATCAGCGTCGTGAAGAGAAAATGTGAATGGGCCGGCTTCCCCCTATAGGTCACGCGTTTCGATACGCTTCGAGAAGAACACAAGTGCCAGGCCGTCAAAAGAAGATTTATTTGCCTACGAGTATATACCATTCATCCTTTGTCGAGATGTGCACAGGCTCTGCTTTTTGTAGCGTGAGCATCGGAAAAGAGATCTAGCCTTCCCTGATGATGTCGCCCGGGTATGGACTACTGCCATGGGCTTCCCGCACATAACGGCCCCTGACCTGCAAGAGATGGTGTCAATAGCATTAAATGTGGAATAGATTCTCCCAAGGGCCCCAATCATGACTTGTTCGCCTCCTCATATCTGGCAACATGGGTGGCAATGGCTCGACCGCTGGGGTCGGTCTGTTTAGACCATTTGGGCGTCCATCTCATGACCGTAGAGGCACAGTATGGAGGGAAATGCTGGTCGAACATCAACCGATACCAGTAGGCTTCCTTGGTGGTCGGGATATCGTCGCCCCATTCCGGCTTAGGGTTAGCCATCATTTCATCCGTCACGTTGAGCTCGGCGTTGTCCTTCAAGGCATCAATCCAGCCATATCCAACACCGTCGCTGAATTGCTCCTTTTGGCGCCATAAGATGTTATCCGGCAGATAGGGTGCAACGTCCGGCTCATCGCTTGTGTCAAATGCCTTGCGAAGAATGTACTTTTCTATCCTGTCCTTTGTAATCATCTTTTCCGCGGGGTCGATGTTCATCGCTACCTCAAGGAATTGCTTGTCCAAGAACGGGACACGAGCTTCAAGGCCCCAGGCAGAGGTTGATTTGTTGGCTCGCAAGCAGTCAGCCAGATGCAGGTTCTTGACTCTGCGGACAGTCTCCTTGTGGAATTCCTCCCTGTTGGGAGCGTTGTGGAAGTAGAGATAGCCGCCAAAGATTTCGTCGCTTCCTTCGCCGCTAAGAACCATCTTGACACCCATGGCCTTGATCTTTCGACTCAACAGATACATGGGCGTCGAGGCACGAATGGTTGTAACGTCGTATGTTTCGAGGTGGTAGATGACATCGGACAGTGCATCCAGGCCCTCCTGAATTGTGAAGGTGAAGTCATGATGCTTAGTACCCAGGAACTTGGCCACTTCAAGCGCCGCCTTCGTGTCCGGCGCATCGGGCAGACCGATGGAGAAGGAATGCAGCTGAGGAAGAAACGTTACGGTGGATAACTCGTCGTCGTCGTCGATGCCCACCAACTTGGTCCCAGTTTGCGGCTCATCCCCGTTGGCTGCGCCGTTGGCCTGGGAGTTGATAAGAGCGCGTTGACGAAGAGACTCTCGTTGTGCAATCGAAGCCGTCAAGCTGGAATCAAGACCACCAGACAAGAGGACGCCATAAGGCACCTCCGCCATAAGACGCTTAAGAACAGACTTCTCCAAAGTTTTTCTAAGCAGCTTGTAGTCCACCGGTGTGTCTGGAATCTTGTTTTCATCCCACCAAGAGGGCTGGAAGTATCGTGTGAGCTTGTCGGTTTTGGAGTCGTACACATGACCGGGTGGAAACGCCTGGATCTGGTCACAGACCGGAGCCAAAGCCTTCAGCTCCGAGGCGAAAAAGACGGCTCCTGGTGTCTGGCTGGATCGGCCAAGGTAGAAAGAGGTGATACCGATGGGATCCCGCGCCGCGATTGTTCGGTCCTGTTCCTTGTCGTAGAGGACGAAGGAGAACATGCCATCGAGGTGGTTTGGAGCGTCGATGTCAAATTCCTGGTAGAGAGGGATGATGACTTCGCAGTCACTATGGGTCTTGAAGTTGTAGGGCTTCTTCAGATGTTTGCGCAAGATACGATGGTTGTAGATCTCGCCGTTGACGGCCAAGGCAATGGTGCCCTCATCGTTGACCAAAGGTTGTGCGCCGCTGTCCACGCCGACAATACTAAGACGCTCGTGGCAGAGGATGGTGTTGTTGCCCGTCCAGTTTCCGGACCAGTCAGGTCCACGATGCCGCAGGCATTTGACGCACTGGAGAGCAGTGGTCTTGAAGGTGGCTATTGAGGGGTGGCTGCGACCGGGTCAGCAGGAAGGACGCAAGAAGCTGCAGGTCGACGGGCACAACTCACTTATGACAGGCAAATATACCACACATGACTGCGCACGAGCTGTCGCTGTTCTCTGTACCTTGGTCGAAGGGGGTAAGAAGGTGCTGAAGGTATGCAAGGTCAAAGAAAGTGTGGCGGCGTTGAGCGTGGGAGAGGAAATAAAAATGTCCACGGCGACCCAAAAAATTGGAGCGGGATGAGTCAATGCTCACTGCGGCGGGCTCGCCTCTCCCACCCCGCCCGCCTCGTGTGATAGTCGTGCTGCGCAATGCTTCTTCGTCCTTCCAGTCATACCTAGGCTGACCCAGCTGACACGAGACTCTTGAAAAGAACCATCGTCACATTGTGGATAGCGGCTTTTCCTTTGGGCCTTCCACCCGCTTCATTCCCCTGGCACTGGGTCAGAAAGATAAGGAACGGACTACTGGGAAGTTTGGTAATATTTTAGAGGCAGTGGAGCTGAAGTCCGGCCGCGGCGCGCCTCTTTGCCTCAGACATTTGTTACGGATGGGAAACACTATAGTTCGCGGGACGAAGAAGCAGAGATCGCAAGGCTGAGGAGGACTGACTGACTGTTGTGCCTGGGCTACGCGGTAGGGATGCCTAGGTAGGTATGCGTGGTGATTTCTTCTGGCGCGAGCAAATGCAGTGGCGGTGGCAGATATCCGAGCCCCCGCATGCGTTCTTAGGTAAAGCGCCCCTGTAATAACTCTTGTTACCACGCTCCCCCCACGCTTTCGCCTTTCGGGCAGGATGGCGGCGAAAGTGACAAAGTCTGGTGTCCTCCAAGTGGCTTGAAAGGAGCAGATCTTAGGTGACTCTTTCACTGACAACACGTGGAGTGCTAATCGTGGATCCTCCTCTGCATCTTGCAGGTCATTCAATGATCGATCTGCCAGTCATCGAAAACTCCGTAGAAAAAACCCGTCCCCTTGTCCCCCGAGAAAACGCCTGCGCTTGTAATCCACATGCTCGTCCAAGTTGCTGGTCCGTCGCTGCTAAGAGCATGAACTTATTCTGCCTCATACAGCATGCCGACATTCAAGGTGCGGGGTTTTCCTTCACTATGCTCTTGATCTTCCGTTCGTACGCAGCCCGATCCTTTTTGAACAAATTGTATGCATCGGCTTGGGCGGGAGACTCCGGGTTGGGATCATTCAGCAGGTCCTGAATTCCCAGGAGAATCTGTTTGATGGTGATTGCTGGCTTCCAGCCTTCTTCTTCATTCAGAATCGAGAGGCAGACTGTGCCGGAAGGGTACACGTTCGGATGGAAAAGCGGAGGGACAAATTTGCCTGTCTATGTCAGCATGAACTGAAACAAGCGGCGCATGGTATTCCACGCACATTTCGGAGGCTTTGTAGGATATTCATCGGGGAACGTGAGCGTCAACTTGAACAGTCCACCCTGCCAGATGGTGTTGTCTCTTCCCGGTATGCCCACTTCCCAGTTCTTGAGGTCTAGGACTCCATTTGCGCCTCGCACTGGCCTTGCGAAGAAGCCAAAAGGATGGTCGCGACGCCACTGTTTCCTGCATAAAATGTCAGTGACCGCGCAGCGATCGATAAAGGCACTTTCCTACCGTTCTTCTTGGAGGCGGTTGAGACAGAGCGACATGGTGAAAAGATTGCTTGGAGGATGGAAGGAGGGTCGCAGCAGTCGGCCGGGACGGTCAGGTGCTTTATAGCGGTCTGGTTAGGCTGGGCTGCAAACTCCTATCAAAGAGAGTAAAAGTGCAGTGGCTCAAAGAAGTCGGAGAAGAGGCTCTAGAACTTGAACCCACCTTGAAAGGCGCGGGCAAGGCTGCGGCAACACTTCGGCTTGGCGAACCGCCAACTCACGTGCTACAACAGTCGCCTCCAAGGCTGAGATGCGAAACCATGCTGGATCACTGGCACTTTTGGGCGAGTACACATGTAGTTTGTAAAAAGATATAAAGGGGGTATCACTCGTCATCTAGCTATCACATCAAATTCAAAGATTGCTTTCAATTCTGGCATCTTATTTGTCAGGAAGCCCGCCTTCTGACCAATCGCTCCATCTCCTCAGTCCAGCTTTTGGCGAAGGCCGCCTCGGTGAACCGGCCTGTACTTTTGCGCCCTCTTAACCGCATCGCGAAACGTTCTTGCGGATCTAGGGATGCAACACGCTGAAACGCTGCTGCAAATTCCTCCTCGGTCTCAGCATGGAAGCCAATTGGCTGGCCTTCAAATGGAACAACGATGTCCAACTTCGGCCCGCCGCTGTTGTGCACAACTGGGATAAGTCCCGCTGCCAGTCCTTCCACATTGCCAATGCCAAAATGCTCCGAGTACATGCCGTTGGTTGTAATGCTTGATTTCTGGAGATACTCTAGAATGACTGAGAAGGGAGCATCGCAAATAAAGGTGGTGGCGTCCTTGACTTTCAACTCATGAGCTTCAAGGCGTAGATTGTAGATGTGCTTCTCATCGGGGGTGTTACTTCGCACCGATCCGATCAGAACAAGGCGAGGTTTGTCTGTTGCGGCATGGTAGTATCTGGCGAATGCCCGGAGAATGAGAGAATGATTCTTCTCAGGCCGAAACTGCGCAATATAAAGAATGATGTTTTCCCGTCGTTTCTCGCTCTCTTCGGTGACCTGGATCTTGGCTTCCAGTTCTTCCACTGGACAAGGAGGATAGACCACGGTAGCGAAAGTCGAGGTGGAAGACGCATTCTTAGGTTTCCAAAGTTGGCGAATATGCCCTTGGGTCCAGGTCGAATTGCACATGACGACGTCGATCTGACTTCCCATCCAGCCGTAAAGCCACGCAAAGGCAGTCCAGTAGTATCTCTTGGCCTTTCCCTTCCAGCCTGCGCCAGCTCCAGAATGGATACCACGCTGGCCTGTGGTGTCGTCAAGGCTTTCAAGCATGTCGGTCGAGATGGTAGGGTAGTGCACATATGCTGCGGTGGGCACCTTGGGAAACAGATAGCTGCAGAACGCCAGAGCAAAAGCATAGCCCATGGTGTCGACGAAAATGTCGGGCACAAGGAGTTGAAAGGCATCGTAAGCCAGCACCACAGAACCCAGAGACTGTCCCAGCAAAGTGAAGTGAGGATAGGTACTGGCAAGGACGAAATGGCGTGTGGATAGATATAAAAACACGAGAGAATGTTCTTCGAGGGTGATGCCAAAGCGGGTTTTAACCGTAGCTACCACGAGCCCACGGTCAATGTCGTGGTCGCCTGTATAGACGGCGCATATGACATTGGGCCAACGTTTCTGAGTCGCTGCGATAGCTGCCCACAGGACTCTCTCACCGCCACCTCCCGCATTACTGCACGCAGTCAGAGGCGAACAAGCATGTCATGAAAGCATCGAGGTCTTACCAAAAGGGGTGGAAAAATCCCACCACGCCAGACCAGTCTGAATCCTGTGCAGGCTTCCCGTTGCGAGCAGTCTCGGCACTGTCGATGTTCTCCCATCCATCTTCGACCTCTCGGGATGATTGTTGCTCCTCGCGCCATGCAGCTCTACCCCGTTCGACCCTTGCAACGATTGCGGCCTTTCTGTCTCTGGTCTTGTGTTGTAGAAACCAGCCCAAAGCGCGCAAGCTCAACCGAGCAGATATGAGAAAAAGGATGGGCCAAAGTGGCAGTATGGCGAGCAATGCCACAAAGCCGGAAGCAGCCATGCTGAGGAATGGTGTAAAGTACAGCGAGCTACATTCTTTAAAGGTCGACGAGGGGAAGCAGGATCAAGTGTCTGCCTAGGCAGGAGTCTCAAGTTGTGGCAATGTGCATGACAGACGTCGGATAATGAGGAAATTCCGCCCCGTGCTCAACCCCTTTATGGATGGGGACGATGCCGCCCTATTTTCAGCACCCGGGGGTTGTGCGAGCCAGGTAAGGGGTCACCCGTGCCATGCCTATATTTAGAGCCCAAGGAGTCTCCCTAGCCTATACTCTGTACACCTTTAGGGGCAGCCTCAGGCAATCCCTACCTAGAACGAGTATCCTACTATACTTACTACACCTACTCAAAATCGGGGAGATTCTGGCTAATTCTTCAATGTGCTCTATTGTTCAGTCTATCCAGGTCGCTACGCGACCTTAGTATGCACATTTTGTCTGATATAGGAGGACCGAATCTCTACTTCAAAGCAGCGTCAATGTATTTCTACTCTGAGGCTAGCCGGATCTCCCTTAATTACTAAGTGAACAGAGTTTCCCTGGCCAGGGTAAGGTTACCTTATGCTCTAACTCTACCTGCTTAGGGACTAAGCTTATCGGAATAGTTAAAATGGTGGGGCGATGCTAAGTCGGATTAGCAGCATTTCGCACTTTTGTCTTCATATCAGGACAGATCAGGGCGTTGCCAACCTTTTCACTTGAGCTGAACGGTGTTGACACAGCCGAAGTTGACGAATAAATTGTGCGAACCATCAAGCTGCTGCTGAGCTACCCTCTCTGGTACGCACCATAGTATTTAACGTTTCGCATTTCGTCCTGTTTCTTGTTGCGCAGCGCGTGCCAAAAGCGCTCGCCCTGGATGGAGTGGTCACAGCATCGATGACAAGCAGCCTATGAGCAAGAACTCCAATTCATGACGGAAGTAAACAGCAGAAACAAACGTCCAGGGGTTGATTGCTTGTTCAACGCATGTTACTTGCTAGCAATCACCACCCACCGACGGCCGACCGTGCCACATATCGAGTCAAGATTCAAGCATCCGTCCAACGTCTCTCTCTGCCATCCACCGCCGCCATCGTGGAGCGGCGTTTTTACGCCATTGTTTCCCGTACATGTATGTCGGTATCGCTGCAAACATTGAACATACCACGCATAGGCCAAAAAACAGGAATGCGTATCCATATCCGGCCGCGTTGATAAAAGGCTGAACCGAATACGAGATTGCGAAGTTGATGCACGAAGAGCAGATGGCCAGCACCACCACCAGCTCACCACCGATCTGACAGTGTTAGCTTATGTAATCAGTCCAGGAAGGTTGTACTTACACCTGGGAAGCATTCCATGGCATATGCAGTAGCAATAGAACAAGCCGAGACTTGATGAGCAATCATTGCCCCAACGCCGAAAGCGATGGTCATCCAGTGCATCCCGAAATCGGCACCCCAGCCATACAACTGGTATCCAACAGCTGCATAGACAAACGAAAAACCCAGTGTCCAGAGACGCATTTCGGGCTCTTTGATACCGTTGTTGCGGCGAGCGAGGAAGATGAGAATATAGTCACTGAGGACACCCGTGGCCCAACCAACAAAGTTCCCCACCAGAGCGGCGAGAAACACCAGACCGGTGCTAGTCGTGGACCAGTTGTACGGTGGCTCGGTGAGGATTTCCGAAATGGTGTTGAAGGAAACAATGCCTGCAGTGCAGCCAAATGCAAAGATGATACCAGCAATGACGATGTTCGGGATCGTGAACAGGAGGAAAGGCCGTCGAAAGTATTGCCAGAAGGTGGTTCTGTCCTGAGGATAGTACACCCAGAGCCTCAACTTCTCCCGGTAGGTTCTTGCCGGAAAAGAAGCGGCCAAATCGTTTGTCTCGGTGTCGGTCGGAATGGAGCCATCAAATGCAGTCTGCGCGGCCACCTTATCCTCCAGCTTTGGGTTTGCCTGTTCTTGCGCAATGCTGGGGAGGGTGCCAACCATCCTGTCAAACAAGAAGCGTGGAAAGAGCGTCTCCTCGAAGGTCAACAAGAGCAGGACCAATACACCAGCGTCAATAATGGCGACGATATACTGTGACCATCGCCATCCAGGGCCATCGGCAATTGTTCCACCGGTGATGAGACCTAGGATACTGCCCAACTGTTGACCGAAGAGATAAAAGGACAGCGCCCTACCACGTTGGTGGGTGAAGAACATGTCAAAGACGCTCAATTGGATCACGGCTTGATATGCGGACGTGCCTATCCCGTTGAGCACCATGGCCAAGAACCAAGATGCCGTGCCGTGGAATTCGCCCAGCCAGACACCCGCGCACATGCAGACCACGGTGGAGGCAATGAACACTGGTCTGCGGCCTATCTTCATGGCGGAGGGGATCCAAAAGATGTTGACAAAGCCCAAGAGGAGGTAATTGAGAGCACTGCCACCGTTCATGTTGGTCAAAGACACGCCAGTATCTTCGGAAACCGTCGTCCATGCGGCGCCCAGCGTATTCTCTCCATACGAGAAGGCGCAGGCATAGAGGGCCAAGAGAAACAGTTGGTAATACTTCTTGAATCGATTCCACAGCAATGGATCGGCACCAGCAGTGGTTGGTGCAGGAATGAGGACGATGTCACCCGTTCCATGCGAGTGCGCAGTATGGAGATTGTGTTGAACTGTCGAGATGGTTAGCAATGGGACAAAGTTCAGCTTCATTGATGTGGACTTACCATCGACAAGTTGCTCGGTCCCGGGCACGTCGAGATCAAAAGCTAGGTTGGCCATGGTGAGGAAAGGATCGATGGTGGTGACAATGGTTCATGGGAAATCCATAGAGGGCGTCAATGGCTTTATAAAAATGCTTTAATGAACGTGCTGGGCTCGCTCGGTATAGGGGGGCGATGGAGCGACGAGCGATGAGTGGTGAACGATAACCGTACGGATGTGTATAGTCCAAGCGGACCAACCAAATGTCAGTCGTGGATCCCAGTCCTAATACAGATAAGAGGTTCTATCATCCCCAGTCTCGCCCACGAATAATGGAGCCACCGTTGGGTCCTCGCGGCCGGGATAAGGCGGTCGTCGGTACCAGAGTAGAATGGCCACAGGCTCAAGTGGAGGCGCGCACCGGAGATAGACGTTGATTCCCCTTTACCTAGGTAGGTAACCACAGACGCTGTCGGCCTTATCTTGAACTATACAGATTTCAAAGCTCCCTATTGCAGGCGAGGAATATGCGACCGGGGCTAGAGCAACTGCCTTGCTCCGGTATTTAGCGGCAAGGTGGTGGTGGATGGGCCAGTCTCGCTGTCATTGCATCAGTCGACACAGATCTGCTCAACCAAGCGACATATTGCCGCAGAGTGGCGCGACAAATTGCTCCCAGTCATTTTGCCCTTCCTCGGCGGGTGTTTGAGCCCAGTCGTGTAGCTCTCGTGCTTGCCACACCTTCTCAATCACGGATCTTGTGCGTGAGACGTTCACCATCGAGCCAGAGAGCTGGTGGAGAGCGTAGAGCACAAAAGGCCGAGCGTTCTCCGCCATTCCCCCTTCTTCTGGGAACCACAACACGTCCTGATGAGGATCGAGTTCCACCGCGGCCACAAACAGAGGCCAGCTGAGACCGGCAACCACCTGGTGCGCCAACAGCCGGGATACAAGGGGAAGAATGCGACCGATATGTTCGGTCACGTATGGTGTCGAGGGTGTCGCTCCATAGAGAGCACAGTGCAGGTAGAGCTCCGCTGCCAGCCTCTTAAGTTCGGCTGAAGTAGCCAGGATTGTATCCTCCAAATTCCAAACCTTTTGTTCGAGGCTAGCCAACCTTTGCCCCAACAAGGCTGCTGCCGATTTGAAATGGTCCAGTGATGCGATAGCTGGGTTGGCTCTTCGTCGGCGGCTCAGCTCGTTGGTTTCACTCAGGATAGACACCAACTCTGGGGAACAGCCTAGCCATGCGTCGCACTCTTTGGCACTGCTGGTCCAGAAGTCGGTCTCAAAAATGGTGTCCTCACCACAAGCCGTGCGTCCAATAACATCATGATAAGCAAAGAAACGTTGGCAGAATAACACTAGACTGTCAGCTGGTTGTCTCTGATTGCTTGCTCCTGCCGTGTTTCGTCGGATACGAATGAGATCTCGCGCTCCCTTGAGGTGGACCACCCAGCGTTTGTCGCATTCCTTGACAATCTCAAACAGGCATAGCAACATCATGACAACGAGAGTCTCGGAGCTGTTTGCAACCTCTCGTGGATCATCGTGGCTAAGCTTGCTTCGAAGATTCCTGAGCGCTCTATCTGAAAGCTGTAAACCCATCGCCGTGTAGGCCGGGTTGCTCCTAGAGCGATGACACGCAGCAAGAGCCAGCAACGCGTCCAGGGCCAGAGATGATGTCGTGATGGAGAATGGCACCAGCAAAGTCGCAAATGGGGACGTGGAGACGCGTGTGGGCATCGTCATAGGACAAATATGTTCCAGGTAGTAAGACAGAAGAAGGGATGCGTCGGGATTGCGTAACTGTGGAAGTAAACCAAGGCTAGGGAGAATTTGTGACTGTTGTTGACTCCGGACGAGTCTGGATTTCGAAAGCCATGAGGATAGAGATGCTGCTTTGGAGGCGTCATCGACGTTGCCTTCGGTGCCGGGCGGCGTTCCGCCCTGGTCTATACTGACAAGACTAGATTGTGCATCGTAGTCCAGGGTCGTGAATTCTTGAAGGGCACCCACAGTGGCATTGACGAAGCTGTAGGCATAGACATGGGGCACATGGCACCATGTTGCGATGTCGTCGGAAGCCGGTGAACTCGATATGGGCGAGGCACCTTTGACGGGGTCCTTTGTCCATGCCCTAGCCCGACCAAAGGCTAGACCTTTCACTTGATATTCCTCCTCCCATTTCAATGACACAGCCGTCACGCAGGGGAGGCATTTGAGTCGGCATTGGCCACAAGTGGGCTTATCTTCGTCGCATTTGATCTTGCGTTGCCGGCACGTTTGACAGCCAGTTCGGGTTCGTCGTTTCACCGAAGGAAGATCTGATTTCCGACGTCGTGGCATTGGAAGAGCGCATGCTGAGTAGGCCGCCGGCAACAAATTAGAGGCGGTTCACAGAAGCTATGGTGGGAGAAGTTGTCTTGCGTTGCGCTTGTACCTTCCCTCTCTAGGGAGGAAATCTGGGATATCGTAAGGTGGTAAGGTGTCGCTTTTGCAATTTATCGTACTAGCAGTAGTATGGCTGACAATGAGTGGAGGTGACCTGCTAGTATAGAGGGGAGGAGGGCACGGAGGCGAGTCTGATCACATTATTACGGAATACCGTCTGTGGTAAGAGAGATAAGAGTGCGGAACGAAGGTGGAGACGGATGAAGAGATACCTGGATGCTGTCTAGTAAAGTACCTATCTACCTACTGGCACTGGAGACTGGACTGGAGACTGGATACTACCTACTCATGAGATCTTTGTCTTCAGGCGTTGCGCTTGTCAAGCTGTCGCTTTCGCCCTTTCGCCCTTCGACCCTCGTGCCACTTTGAAGTCCAGCGCCGCAGTTTTGACCGCAGTCCAAATGTTCTCGAATGGGGAATTCTCCAGCTCCAGCCCCCATCGTCCATGGCTATGGCGGTTCTGAAAATAGTGAGAAGACCCCTGCTAGATATCGTCTCCCGCCTGGAACTCCCCCAGCTTCTCTCCTTGCTGTTCCTTTGTAGTTGAACTATCAACCTCAAGCTCCTCCCAAGGCTACCCGTAACGCAGCTGCAACCCTCTCTGCACTCAGAATGGCAGCTCCTCTGTCCCCAGAGTCAACCATCCTTATTGTCGGTGCTGGGACATGGGGAACTAGTACCGCCTTACACCTTGCTCGCCGTGGATATACCTCCGTGACGGTCCTGGACCCATATCCGGTGCCTTCTCCCATTTCTGCTGGCAACGACCTTAACAAAATGCTAGAGTTTGGAGACATTGCCGGTGAGGATGACAAGGAGCGATATGTATCAGAAAAGCTCCTCGAGGCCGCCACCCAGGGTTGGCTGAACGACCCAGTCTTCAAGCCGCATTTCCATGAAACGGGATGTATTATTGCTGCGACGTCGGAGGAAGCTAGGGCACACATGAATTCCAAAGATGGTCCTAGTGAAGCTAAAGGGTGGATTCCACTGAATTCGAAGGAAGATTTCATAGCCACAATGCCCAAAGGGGTCTTGTCCGGGGACTTTCCTGGATGGCAAGGCTGGTGGAGGAAGAAGGGCGCTGGTTGGGTTCATGCCAGGAAGAGTATGGAAAGTGCAGCGAGGGAAGCTGAAAGGCTGGGTGTGCAGTTCGTTGCCGGCGAAAAGGAAGGCAAGGTGGACGGGCTCATCTATGAAGCTGGCGATGTCAAAGGCGTGAGAACAGCCGACGGGAAGCAACACCGCGCAGATCGAACGATCCTGTGCGCTGGCGCAAACGCCGCCGCTCTCTTTGAATTCAAGGGCCAACTTCGACCTACAGCATGGACCTTGGCACACATCAAGTTGACGAAAGAAGAGGCCGAGATCTATCGTAACCTGCCTGTTCTATTCAACATTGAACGTGGTTTCTTCATGGAGCCAGATGAGGACAACCACGAACTGAAGATGTGTGACGAACATCCGGGGTATTGCAACTGGCTCACAGACTCGCAAAACTCAAAGCGATCAAGTGTACCTTTTCCAAATCACCAAATACCGAAAGAGGCCGAACTGCGATGCCGTGGCTTTCTCCGTGAGACGATGCCACATCTTGCCGACCGTCCGTTCTCTTTCGCTCGGATCTGCTGGTGCGCAGACACCCCCAATCGTGGCTTCTTGATCTCCAAGCACCCAGAATATGCCAGTCTGGTGCTTGGAGTCGGTGGTTCAGGCCACGGGTTTTGCCATATCCCCTCCATAGGGGGGTTCATCGCCGATGCAATGGAGGAGAAGCTGGATCCGACGGTAAAGGAATGTTTGAAATGGCGGCCTGAAACGGCGATCAATAGAAATTGGGATGGACTTCAGGGTCGATTTGGCCCGGAGGGAAGTAACCGGGTGATGGACTTCCAAGACGTCAAAGAATGGACGAATATCCAGGTGTAACCCATGAAGGGGCTCTTGAAGAAGGCAGGGGAATGTTCAGATCACGAGGATGGGTTTGGCCATTGCGCTTTCGACTTGAAAAGAAGTATCTTCCAGAGAATTTGTTGTAAGTTGAGAGAGACATAATCAATAATAGAGATACCGTAGGTAGTTATTCAGGTACATAACCTGGGTGCGATATGCACCTGGCGAGCTTAGATTTACCTGGTAGGTAGGCACCTAGTAGGCTTAACTTTACCTTCCTAGGTAGTTACCTAAAGTATCTGGATGATAGGTATACTACCTAAGTAGTGCCGCACCGTAGTAGTCTGTCTCTATGACGCACCGTTTCAATATGCGCCGCGTCCATCTCTAGAAACTCGAACTGCAGCGCAGTCCCTTGTTTTCCGAAGACTTGTTTGCGACCACCAACAATACGATCGACTGACCACTATTTGAACTTGAACCGTGATGCTCAGTGGTTAGATACGCGCCTTTGGTGTCAATTAGCTACAGCAAATGTTGCCGCGCCAGTCCAGACGATGTACCACCACCGTACGAGCTGCCTCTCTTTTTCTTGAGCCGCAGTCATGCGCAAGGACTGCCCTCCGCCGACATGCCTTTGCACGAACCTTCCATTCGTCTAGACCGCACCGCATTCTAGCAGAAGCATTGCAGCTTTCGCACAGCGCCTTCGAAGACGTTCATACATTGAGTGGCCTTCCCTGGTGTCTTTCGATCCCTCTGACCGCATCCCTGTTTCGACTCGCCTGGATCCCAGTGCAGGTCATATCCACCATCAGCCTCAAGCGCCGACAAATCGAAGGTCCTCTTCTGAAAGGATGGCGGAAGGCATACCAAGACATTGCAGTCGTCAAGTTCCGCGATCAGACGCAGCAGACTGCAGAAAAGGCAGAAGCGTGGGTGAGCAAACAGTTGCAAGCTCGACGGAAGGCTATACGAAAACACAGCAACTACATGAGCCCTCTTTCGATCTTCGGGTTACAGTTATCCTTCCTCCCCATCTGGATTCTCAATGCCGATGTCATTAGGCGGATGGCAGGCGATGACAGAACCCTGCTGTCTCTACTCGTCAGTACAGACCACAACAAGGTGGACACGACTGTCATCCCACCCGAACCGGGCCTACAGGCAGAAAGCCTGTGGTGGATTCCCGACCTAGTCTCCCCGGACCATCTCTGGATTCTGCCCCTGATGTTTGGAGCTCTATCGGTCGCCAGTGCGTGGATGGCTGCGGGAAGAGGAATGGCGAAACAACAGGTCAAGATCTCGACCATGGAGCATGGCGTGGCGAAACAGAGGGAGATTTTCTTCTTGTCCGTGTCCCAGTTCATCGTTGCCGCGTCTTTCCTCTTCCCAGTCTTCATCATACGGTCAGAGACGGCCACAGCTGTGGTTCTATATCTGATCGGAAGTGTGGGAACGCAGCTGGTTCAACGACCCTTGGTCAGTTATCTTCTGGGTGATCCAAAGAAGTCGGCTATTGAGCCGCTGGAGCGCAAAGCCCCTAGACTCAAGGGAACACGGGACACCCGCTGAACGCAAAGCACTGCCTACCGCCCTCCAGGCCGGTCAACAGCTCTAATTCCGCGATGCGAACGCCTCCAGAAATCCAAGTGCTAGGATGGGCTGACCTGATCCTCCACATTAGCGACGCCTACCAAGACCGTGGCCTTTCAGCCTCCTGGTTGGGAGTCAGGTCGCAGAGGCTGCTGTGTGAGACGCAATGGCGATTGCATCATCCCTTCTCTCAACGACCTCAATTTCCTGGTTCTATAGGAGGCCTTTGGTGCGAACCGGTTTGAGACAAGCATACAAACATGTGTCCACTAGATATAAGCGACTCCTAGATGCAACCCGACGGTCATTGGGAGCATCCCTATGGGACGGAACCATGGAATACTCGGAGTCAGCCTCCAAATTACGCAATTGATCAGAGTGCTCGAGGTAAGGTCCTATGGCCAGGCTGAGCAGTCTAGATGGCAGCATCGGAGAGAGAGCATTGTGGCTCTACAGTCTTCTACAGTCTGCACAGCGCAAGTGGGTGACCATGGTCTGTTGGACCACATAATGTATTTGTGTCATGGACAGAAGTCCGGGGATGATGTACCTGGATGCACGCCTTCTCTCCTGCCACCAGGAGTCCGAAAACCTCGCGTCTATCAGCTCCACCGCGCAATGCAATATACACTTGGTAGAATGGAGAGCAAGAAGCTTCAAAAGCAAACTAAATGCCTCTGCTTCGCTGTCACAGCTTGGCCTTCAATGTCTGATCCGTCCCAGTAGCATTCTGCGCCGTAGCCTCACTGTTGACGACCACGGCCCCCGTGTTCTCTCCCTCGCCGAAGAATACGACCTCAACTGTGAGGTCGTCTCTGTACCGTCGGCTGTACGGGCTCGGCAATGTGAGCAGAGCACACAGCATATCCTTATCCTTTCCCCCAAGCGCGTTCCGGACCAAATGCGTCGCAGCGTTCTTGTCCTCAACGACGAACCGGTCGATCTTCTCTGCCCGCACGTCCCACTGCTGCTGCCGGATCGGCTTTTCGCCATCTTTGCCGCTGTCGATGCGCCCGGTCTTGTCCATATTGCCGCCTTTCTCCACCGGGAGGGCGGTGGGCGCAGACGACTTGAACCACGACGTCAGCCACGCGGTATTTGAATTCGACGAGTTGGTGGCCTGCTTGTTCTGCTGTTCAATCCATTGGCCAACCAGCCCAACAGCTTCTTCGTTGGTAAGCATTTCCCACAACCCATCAGAGGCCATGATCAAGAAGTCACCCTTGGAGGGTTCAATTGCAGTGCTGGTCACGACGGGTTCGGCCGTCACGTAAGGCGGGGTCTTGAGCAAGGGGTGCGGCGTGCGGCCGAAGAAATGCTTCTTGATCCGGTCTTGGGTGTCGCGAGACCATTTGTAGAAGGCATCACCAAATGCGCGCGTTGGTTCCAGATTGCCTAGGACACGTCCACCACGAATGACATTGTCTTCTCCCGGGTGCTCTGCTCGAATTCGAGCCGCTTCGTTGGGATTGGACCCAGTCTGATCTTCTGACAAAGGGGTGGCAAACCATTTTCCCGTTTGCATGTTCCGCCGTCCTAGTACCGCTCTGCTGTCACCCGTACAAGCCACGCGTAGAGTCTTGCTTTGTGAATCGTAGAAAGAAAGCAGTGCGCATGAACCTGACAGAGCAGGAGCCAACAGTTCTGCGGCGAGCCGTTTGCTGGGGTTCTTGCTTAGCTTGCTCACGCTGTCCAGGCAGATCTCGTTGTCCAACTTGACAAAGGCGGACTTGAGGGCCTGGTCGATGGCGGCGGGTGACGGGAAGGGCGACTTTGCGTTTGATAGGGCGGCCTTGTAAGTCCCGTTCAGTTCTCTTGCAACGAAGGAGATCAGAACCTGGCGCAGTTTGGCAGACGTTGTCCATCCAGAGTGACCATCAAAGACTCCCCAGAACATCCAGTCTGAAGACGGAGTACCATCTGTGGCAGCGACAGTGCCGGGGACCTCGACAATCTTCTCGGCATGGTCATCCTCGATTGGATCGTTGCTCGGTACTTGGACGACGTCGTATCTGACCACACCACGCCCTCGTCCAACAAGAAACGACTGTTCGTTCTTCCGAAGTCTCTCTGTGGCTTGCTCTGGTGTCATCATCTCCAGCACCTTTCTACCGTAATCATCCGTATCCTTGGCCAATGGACCGTCCCCAACGATCGAACCCGTGAAAAACTGGTCGTTGTCTACCACCAATGCCTTGCGATTAGGCTCCTGCCCGGCTGCAACAGGCGCAGGGTTTGTGGGATCGGTGACAGGGTGGGCGACGTCCGGAGTCGTACTCAGACTTCTCGTCGGCTGTGCTGAGATTGGTGCAACTGGGTTTCGGAGAAGGTGCTGTGGCCCATCACCCCTATAAGCGTACCATGCGCTGATGGCTCCTAATGTTCCGACGAAAGCGAGCGGCAACTTTGGCAGACGCATAGACGACTGCAGAGGCTGCCGCGACGTGCTGTATCTTCGTGAGATGAGAGATGCTTGTGCAGCTACGACATGTTCCGGAGAGGCAGAGGATGATTTGGAAGGAATAAGCTGCCGGAAAGGAGATCGGCGAGCCGTACGAAGGGCGAACACAGCAGCGCGACGCATTGAGACAGTCAGGACGAGGGAGCGAGGCCGATGGCAGGCATGTGGGCTGAAAGAAGAAGAGAAGATGAGTTGGCAGAGACAATGGACGAGATGATGGAGGCGACACGGTCAACTGTGATAAGTACACAGGCTCGACAGTTACAGTACTTGCAGTCAGTCATTCAGAATCCCGCCTCTTGGGAAAGGCTGGATCTTTGGCTGGCGGAACCAATCGGCGTGTTTTCTCTTCTCCGCTGCTCGACTGCGTCACCGGCAGCCGCAACGAGTCGAGTATTTACTCGATACGTACTTTGGACTTTGGATGGTCCTCCTACAACTCTAACTTTTACGCATTACTCACCACAACCTCGCATCCCTCTGCTTGCGTTTTCAATTCTTTACAGTCACTCACTATGGCTCCTAGAGCACTTCGCAAACTCCAGCGCGAGCAGGAGCTGCAGAGACAGGTCGCCGCGGCCAAGAAAGCATACGAGGAAGCGGAGGAGTCAGAAGAAGATGAAGATGTTCCTGAAGTCTCCTCCACCCCTTCTCGACCAGCAAATGCCTTCGATATGCTAGAAGCAGTTGAAGATGAAGACGAGTTAGACTCGAACGATGTAGAGCCTTCCGCAATTTCAGTCCCGGTTTCTTCCTCTCCACCCGACGATGCCTTACAACCAAGCGAAGTGACTGCAGTCAAGCCGAAGGCCAAGAAGAAGAAGAAATCCAAAAGTAAGAAGAAGGGCAAAGGCAGAGCATCAGAGGTCGCTGAGGCCACGGAAGCCTCCGAAGACGAGATTGATCGAGCCTTGAAGGAGCTAGCAGTCAAAGATGCCCACAGCCAAAGCACCGCTAATGAGCCTCAGCAAACGCCTGACTGGGAGGCGGGAGCAACAAGGGTGCTCGCCATCGATACACATAACCTGAATCCTACGAACGAGATGAAGAGTTTGTTTGGCAATATTGCTTTGGAGGGTCAGGAGTCCCGGTCCACATCTCGCAACCAGCGGCGGCCACAGCCGAACCCACAAGGAGGTGTCGACCTAGCCACTGCTCTGACCGGAAGGTATTGCGTTGCAAGTAAAGGCAAGGAGCTCGGATCTCTTGCTTCGAGACGGAATATTTTTGTACAAGGCAAGGAAGAGTGGCCACTAGCAACCAGCGGGGGACTGAGCATGGAACATGTCCCTGATCCAACGTCCTTCGAGAAACGGTACAACATCATGCACAATCCGCTGTACCGAGAGACGCAGATGCACTTCTTGATGGCAGTGGAATCGATGGATCCTCAGAAAATGATCGGGTTGCTGTCCATGCATCCTTACCACATCGCCACGCTGCTCCAGGTCTCGGAAATCGCCAAACACCAGGGCGACCATGCCGTGGCTGGAGACTTGATCGAGCGGGCACTGTACTCATTCGGCAAGTCGGTGCACAGCTCTTTTCCGGCCTCCATGAAGTCCGGCGTCGCCCGCGTTTCTTTTGAGAAACCGGCAAATCGCGAACTGTATCTGGCAATATGGCGGCACATCAAAAACCTCGAGATGAGAGGTGTATGGCGAACAGCTTTTGAATGGGCCAAGCTCCTCCTTCAACTCAACACAAAGACAGACCCGTATGGGGTGACACTGATGATTGATCAATTGGCTCTCCGAGGTCGCCAACATGCGAAGCTGATTGAGCTCTGTTCGGACGACGGTTACGGCCCGTCGTGGGATTTCTTGCCCAACATCCAAATCTCCCTAGCCATAGCATACCAACGAGCAGCCAGACCGCGGGACGCCAGAAGACAGCTTGCAGTTGCAATGCACAAATACCCTTACATCCTGTCCGCCCTCGCCTCAGCGCTCGACATCTCCCCACTTCCAAAAGCCTTGTGGGCCAAACTCCCTTCCACTGACGCCGAGAAGCTCTACACCCAGCTCTACGTCACGCGTGCTAAGGATCTCTGGAACACCCCGGAGACAACCAGTCTCCTGGTCGAGGTCGCAGAAACACTGCCACACTACAGCGATGCAATTGCCGCCGCCGATCCGGCGCCGAAACTGGAAATCTCCCTCGAAGAGGCCAGGCACATCATGCTGCTCGAGATCCCGTCTCTGATCGCCCTCCTCCCACGTCGTTTCACGAGCATGCCCACGTCCTCATATGACGTCCTTCCGCCACCAGACTCACTATCGGACTTCGTCTTCCGCGCACCTTCGGGGGGCGGCGGACGCCAGGAGGGAACCATGCAAACGATCTTCAACGCTGCCGGCGCAACAGCTGGTGCAACAGGGGGCTTGTTGCAGCGCATCATGAACTGGTTCCAGGCTCCCGCATCCGACGACGCTGACGGCGAATCCGAAGGCCAAGCCGCTCTTCGGAGCTTGCAGGAACAGCTTGGTGGAGACGTGCCACCGGAGATGATTGAGCAGCTTCTGCAGATCCACCTGGACGAGGCCACGGATCAACAACAAGACATGGCAGGCGGCTGGGACTATTACGAAGAAACGAACAACAACAACGCGACCGACGATCCCGACGAGGGGGATGCCAGCGACACCGACAACAGCATGCCCGACCTGGAGCCGATCCCTGGCGATGAGCAGGATCCGGTGCAGCGTCGAAACCCTCGTGCGGCCACTGTCGAAGAGGAGGATGGGTTTGATGAAGAAGATGCTCGCAACGTCCGGCCTTCCACTTCCACAAGTGGCGCGGTCCTTCGTCACGTCGATTCTGACGAAGAAGAAACCGACGTTCCCGCTTCATCTGCTGCTCGGCATCAAGCGGCCACCGCTTCCGCGCCTTCCTCTTCTGCGACACCTGCCTCTGCTGCAACAGACTTTACCGACCCCCAGCGCCTACAACGCTGGTTGCTCACCACAGGACTGACGGACCTCCAATCGAAACCCGACACGTTGGGCGCCTATGTCTCGCACCTCGAGACTCTGCGCAAGCCGCAGCAGGACTGGGTTGTGAGCATGGTGCGTCAGCGCGCCGGGCCGGATCTCGAGGATAAGGTCAGACGAGCGTTAAGCTGAGTCTGCGCCGCTTGGCCAGGAGAGAAGAAGGGTGCTGGATCCAGTGGCCTGTGTGAGACGGTGTGCGAAGGCGGCATTTGAGCTACTAATACCACCTTGCTCGGGGTCTATTGATTTACTGGGAATGGCGAGCATGCAGCAGCAGAGGGCATAGGTCTGGCGTCTTGGATGAAGACTGGACAAAGCAGATAATTTTGATCGACTGCGAACACATGACCAAGCATTTCTTGTGTCTGAATGATAAGGCGAGCACGCTTTCGCTGTATCCACGGTCCACTGGGTTGGAGGGGGCGAGGACCTAGCCTTGACAGCATAGTAGTAAAGCAAACCCGATGAGATGAACCTATCAAGCAAACTACTTTTCTCATTTTACACCACTGAAGCGCCGTCAGGTGAGGGAATCTGGTCTAGAAGCTATTTATCTAAACCGTTGAGTCCGCTAACAGTGGTATGCCCAAGTATTCAACTTGCCCATATTCCACCCAGCAGGACCGATGTTAGCGACCATGACTTCCCAACTGTCCCCGAGCTTCTCTGTCCGCGATTTTCGCCATCCATTCCGAAACACACCTCGGTTTGTAATCTCACATTGATTGGGGTACGTGACCATTTTGACTGATCCGCATCATCCTGTAGCACAGGCTTGCTAAGCCTTGCTTACTTTTGACGACAGCTCGTCTGCTGCAGCTCTGAAAGACCGACGATGCTGTTTCCACATTTCAGATGCACCACCAAGCTCTGCAGTCGTAGCCATGCAGTTATCGAGAGCATCGAGGTCTGCATTGGCCGAGGAAGCGCCAGGCAACTGCGGCTGGCTGCTTCGAAACAATCTCGATTTCACAACTCCGACTCGTCAGAGTCTTCAGCAATAGGTTGCTGGTTCTGGCTGGACATGCCAGTCGCAGGAGCAACTGCCTGAGTCGCGGGACTAGCAGCCGAACGCTGCAAATCAGCTAGAAGCATCGCATATCCGGGGCCAGGCTGGTGAGTTCTGCGTCTAGTGGTCGGTCTCACAGGTGGAGGCTCATAATAGACCCCGGCGGCAGCGACTTTAGACAAGTGTCCAAATGCTCGACGGTCGCCGATCAAGGGGCCTGTGGACATGGCAGTAGATACCAACGGCTGGAGAGTTGCTGCTGGCTTAGTAAAGTTTCCGCTGCTCTCTCCAGAGGCTGTTGAAGCGTGAATGGTACTGCCGTTTGTCGATTTTGGTTGCAGGGCTGAAGCATTACTCTGCTCGGCTGCAGGGAATTGGCCACTGGACGGCATGACAACCGAGGTGTTTGGGCGAGGTGATGCCTCCACTGGTGCCCATCTCGAAATGATGGTGTTCGTAGACTTGCTAGCTGGTGATCTGCTTGGCGCCTTCACAATGGGAGCAAGCGGAGCCGCAACTTCAGCGTCAGACGGAACTAGAGTTCGAAGATGCTGCAATGAAGCAGCGCTAAAATCTGGGCGCATAGCAAGGACCAGTGCTTCGTCAAACGAATTGGGTCTGAACTGGAAGTACTTGTGAGCCTCGTCCTTGGGTTGACTGGTTGGCGCCATGTCCTGTTTCTTTCCTGCATCATTGACAATGGGCTCACGAGGATTAAATGGGTTCGCCCCGAGAGCTGACCGAGATACGTTGCTCGATGACCGTGGATCAGACGTCGACAGTTGCCCAGCTCTGGATTGAGGGCTCAGTTTAGCAGTGATGGAGACGCTGTTGTTGCCTTCCAGCGCTCGATTTGCATCAGGATCATCCCGGGTTGCGAGAGAAGTGGTGGGGGTTTGTTTCAAAGCCAACAGCTCTGACTCGGGGACATATCGAATGCCATTGATGACGATGACTTTGCCTCTCCCAGCAACGAGGACATCGTTGTTCACATCGTCCAGGATTGGGGAGTCCATGATACTGCCATTGTGGGGACTGGAGCCAGTGACTACTGCCTGAGTCCTTCCACCAACATCTGCATTGCGAATCCCCAGTCCGATGAGGTCACCTGTAACGGCATCTTGGACCGAAGACGGCACCAAGGGTGTCTCGCGACTACCGGTGGAAGGTGAGAATCCGGACAGTGCTGTTGAGCTTGCTATGCCATCAGTGTGTGTCGATGTATCGGGAGCCGCCAGTGCAGCATTGCCAGGGAATGCAAACTCGCTGACCGGGACCTTCCGAATGCTCGGGTCCTGTGGATAGGATTTCTCAGATGTAACTCTTGTGTCAGGCTCAGATGCCTGAGCAGCGAAAGTGGCAAGAGTGTTTGTGTTTTCCGGTTGAGCTTGTTGATTCTTTGCCGCTCTCGCAAAGAACTGGGTCGCTGACGCGACGAATGCTGAGGGATCCGAGGATAAAGAGTCAGTGTAGGGGTGACGAGATGGTAGGCTTCCAGCACGGCCTGCCTGCGAAGAAGCAGCAACCGTTGACACGCCTTTTGGAGGAGGACCATTGACTCGTCCGGCTCGCTGAGTTTTGGCACCACTGCTAGCGGACCCCTCTGACACGGAGCTTGTCTTGTTTGATGGGATATTGTTAGGAGTGACCGCTTGCGTAGCCGTGGCGGTGAGGCCAGCTCCTGTGTCCGTCGGGAAAGCAGGGGTACCGATAAGTCCTGCAGGTGGCCATGGGCGATCTTGTTTGGCGTAGAATGACTTCTTGTTGGAGTTAGACGAAGACGACAGTATAGAGTTCACATGGAACTGTTGAGCCCTTTCGAACAGTCAGCCCTGTAACTCGAGAAGCGAGGTAGAATCTTACCCAATGGAGAGTCGATCGCCACGACTGTTTCCGAAGAGGCCTCCAAAGTCTCGCTCTTGATCCAATCTCTCTTGCTGTGCTCGATATCGATGCGTATTTCCGCTCGCGCCGCCGGCGAGGGTTTCGATTCCAGCAGAAGTAGTCTTGGCCTCGTCGGTATCTCCCCATGCTAGAGCTTCGTCAGTCGTCCGTACACAATGAGATGATGAGCCAGATCTCTTACCGCGCCACGAGTTTGTCTTGGCTGCGTTCGCAGTCGCAATTTTCGATTCTTCCGTGCCCTGAAGATCGGATTTGGGGACAATACGAATGTTCGGAACGTGTCGAGGGCCATAGTCACTGGTCGTGATGTAGTCTGCGGTAGCCTGCCCTAGATCCTCCTTGAAGCTCGGTTAGCCTGGACACTCCGGCGAAGAAGCACCAATGAAACTTACAGCCATGATTCTCTTGAGGTTTTCTTTCTTCTTTGTGCCGGGAGACATAGGTGCTGAACTGTATTCTTGCTCTAAATCGTCAACATCAAGTTGGGCGTGACGGCGTGGTGCCATGGTGGCGAAGCCCCCGGCGCTGCTTGTAGAGGAGATAGTTGCAAGCTTCGAGAACGTCGGACGGCTTCTGTGCCACAGATTAGAGAGGACAGTGAGAGAGCTGGTCCTCGAAAGGTACGCACAACGCAATGCAGCCTGTGGTCAGGAAAGTTCCTCACGAAGAGCGAAGGCCCGAGCGAACCTCCGAGGAGAAGTTTGAGACTGCTAAGTAATGATGGAGGAGAAAAGATCGATGGAGGGCCAGGTTTGATGGAGAAGAGCAAGAGATAGGAGGGTGAAGATTGTAGCCGATGGTGGGACTGCGTATTCCCGCACGGAGCAAGATGGAGTGAATTGTTGTGGGAAGGCATGGAAAGAACGAGGGGAAGAATAGAAAAGAGTGATGCGGAAAGGCAGCAATATGCTCTGGAAGTGTGAGAGCGGCTGTGCCAGCGATATTGCGGCTTGAGAGAAACAAGAGGCGAGTTGAAGCCGCAACTGAACAGATAGAAGAACGCGACAGTGGTAGGCATAACAGCACGAGTTGTAAAGAGACAACAGCAGGGGAAAGCAGACGGTTTGACCTTTTGTGGCTTTCAAGAGGACAGAACATGAACATGTAGACAGAAATCATCACCAACTGCACAATCATTCAAGCATCCAAGCAATTAAAGCATTCCTACCGGTGAAGAACAAGAGCATCCAACGCCAGCGAGGTTAGTCGCGTGCTTGAAAACCTCCCTCTATCTTTTGGCCTGACTGACTAGAGACAACTGGCCGCACATCGAGAGATCCATGAAATGAAAAATGCCAAATCTAATGAAGAGACATGATCCAATGATATCAGCGCTGACGGAAATGGTATGAGATCTCTCGCCCTTTCCTGAACAACAGCGGTCTTTCAGCTATACCTGCTCATCGTTGTTGATTGAGGCGTCGCTGGCAAGTCGATATGGTAAGATGGTTGAAGCAAAGGAGCATCGCGATGTACTCATTCCCCCTTGCGTTATGCAGTCTGGACACAATCTTCTAGAGATGCCATGGCAGAACTCTGTTGATGCTCTACCAGTGAGCAAAGGTGTCTAGGTTGTTAGCAAGAGAAGGTTGCTGGTACGCAAGTGAAAGAGATGAAGTCAGGAACGGACGGGGTTCCTTTCATGCTTAGGTGTCAGGCATAGTATCCTTTGGAAGTCCAGACCTGCAGCCTGATGCCGGATTACCTGCTTCCGAGACCTAAAAGTAGATACTAGTACTACGTAGCACCACTCGGGCTAGGGGCTAAGGGGCTTGCTAGGTACCTACCTATAGGTGCTATGTACCCGGGAGCTAGGGTGGAGTCAACGCCATCCCACCATTTTTTGGTGTCCTCACCTTCCTCAGCCTCATTGTTATTGTTGTTGTGACGGTTACCTACTACCTAGCACCTTATGGTGGTCGTTGTTGTTATTGTTAGAACGGCCGCTGACAGGAGCTGATAACACGAGATTATAACCTCAACGGGTAGGCTCCTTAGGCTGTTGTGATGCCTAAATATACGAACGAGATACGAGATACGAGCAATGGGAACTTCCAGGTGCTTCTCAAGACACTGTAAATGTAGTACCCAACGGACTAACTGTGGTACAGGGCGCCCATTTGCTCCTCCAAGGCTGTGCGCACGTTTACTAGGTTCCTAGGTGCTTAGTAGGTATATACCAGCAATAGTACATAGTGCTCAGATCTGCATAGGTGCCAACCCACTTATCCACCTAGGTAGACGATACGTAGGTAGGCATACAGTATAGTGATACTCTTCCAACGCTGCTCGGTGTGTAGCATGGCGTCAAGATCAACATAATTGCTCCCCTTGCATCGTCAGATAGGAGGTTCGGAAGTCAGAATGAGTGGGTGGTGGATGGTGGGTGGTGGGTGCTTCAAGTTGAATAGTCAGGGGAGCCGACGACTGATACCAAGGGAACCTACCAGGCAAGCTCGCCAGGTACCTTGTCCCCTGTAGTGGGTGCCAGAAATGGCCTCAGCTCCACTGCAGGCTTCCCCAACCTACCTAGATGCATCCGTAGAGCCTCTAGTGTCCCCTATACTCGATCCTAATTGACCTCTTCCTGCGGGGGCCCGGAGACCGAGCTTGTGGGCTGAGCTCAACAGCCTCATGACAGTCCGGATGCGTGCCTATCTGCAGTGTGTAACTGGAACTGAGATAGAGACGTAAGCCGTCGACATGCTTTAAAGAACTGACGACAAGCCCCAGCTGCATCTCAACAACCTCAACCCATCATCTATCTCTCCTGTGCATCCATCACTTATCATCCCCCCTGACACAAAGCTCCCTTTGTCCTCTTCCCCGACAGCACACCACGCCTCACCTGTCCGTAGACCGCCATTTTCAACTCCTCACCTCGACTGCAGCCTTTATCATTACCTTATATTCCCCTCGTCTGGCCGGCTATTTGGCGTATGAACCCTCCTCAGGACTACGTTGACCACAACGTTTTTTATACCATCCATTAAAGTCGAAAACTTTCGATTCTCTATCGTTACGAGGTCCAATTCCGTTCGATCCGTCGTCATGGCAGCTCCGCGCGCTTCCTCCTTCAAAGCCTTGCGCAACCTCCAACGCGCATCCGGGTCGACTCCGGCCAAACGGAGCCTGCACATCACTGGAGTGCATGCCTCTCCCCGACTAATTGATCCAACTCACAAGACAACCTATACACCCTGGAACCTCCAGGATCTTCGTCAGGAATGCCAGAAGCGAACCCTGTCCGCCTACGGCACGAAACATGAGTTGATCGACCGACTTGCAGGTCATGACAGTCTGCAGGCCCGAGCATTCTCTATTGCCATCAAGCGGATTGCCGTTGAGCAGACGAAGAAGCCGGTCTCAGGGTATGTAGACAGCCGGGCGGTTTTCCATACAACGATCTAGACTGACCCTGTTGTAGTCCAGCTGAGACAGCTCCCCAGCGTCATTTCAATACGTCGCGGGAGTTGAAAGCGGTCCACGACACATCCACCATTGACTTTGCCTACCTTCCAAAGCTGTACGACGACGTAGTTGGCCCCGTACCGGCAGCCATTCGGGTCCCCATCCTGCCCGACGTCGATTCCGGTAGTGCTGAAGCAGTGATGGACAAGTACCCCGAATTGGACGCCGCAGCAGGTGGATATCAAGACACCAAAGGCCACGAGACTGTTCTGAAGCCGGAAATCTCGACCGTGAACGACGCACTGGGGAGTCCCGCAAGTGCTTTGAGCGACGTGCACGATGGCAATCATGCAACCGAGATGTCGGTCGAGCAGCTCACGGCGTTGACGGAGACCGTGGGCAACAGTGCTCGGCAATTCGTGGACACAGTCAAGGAGAAGGACGAAGCAACCATACGCAAGATCTGGAGTGGTTTCCTTGATGACCTGTTTGGCGGGCCACAGAAAGGAGCCAAAGCATGAACAGTGCAGTGCTGGATACACAACCCCGGCTGTAACATGGCTGGTACGTACTGTTGATGTGTTGCTTTAATGTGCGGGAGGTTGGAAGACAACTCTATAGCAGTATTTCCATTTTTAAGTCCTGCGCACAGCGCGCTTTCTGAGCAATGACATGTTTTGTTTGTTGTAGTGGTGGAGTGGCCGTCAATTTGATGCTGATTATGCTGAGGGTTCGCGGACCGCATGTGCGACTGTGGCAGGGACTTGGGATTCCGTGTCTCTGATCTTTGACTCCACCTCGTCTCCACGGTCTGTCAATTCTGCACCTTCGACCATCACAACCTGAAGGGCATCATTCGACAGGTTTTCCCCCAAGTATGCGAGGAAGCTAGATCTACTGCAGTTTCTGCTGTCAGCTACCCCTCGTCCGCTGCCTCCGATGTACACCACAGCCTCGCATGAGATAAAGCCGCTCAGAGGAAAAAAAGGTTGGACATTGGACACCGCTATGGAGGAGGGGGTTGGACATGGAAGCCACCGGCTGTCATGGTCTCGGCGACACATACCTCAGGACCAATCCAGTTGGCATCTGAGTGATCGTCAGGTACGCGAATAAGATCTCCATCTGCGCCCTGAGTCTTAGGAGCCCTTTCAGCCAACGTCCACTCTCGCTTCTTCCCCCTGCAGTGGATGACGACCCGCCAAAAGCAGCACGGATACACTTGGCGATGGCGCCCCCGGCATTGGCAAGGACAGACGCCAAAAGACCTCGAGCGTTCATCTAGTCGACACCACCTCTGTTCCGTCGTTGATCCTCACATACGTTCTCTGGACTCTGGAATATATGTCTCTCACAAGATCTTCGTTCTCAGCATCTTTCATCGTTCATCACTGTCGTGAATACATTATATAGCACGTCTTCGGGATCTCTTAACTGAGTATCCCTCGCTTTTGGTTGCTGTCACTCCGTCTCTATCGTTCCGCATTTTCACTCCTTTCACCTTTGGGCTGGTCACCGATGGGGAGAATCTTAGGGCTATTAATTTAATCTCGACCCGGCTCCTTTGGATCAAGCAAAGAGAGACGACGAACATACACTACTGGTGTTCATTTTGGTTGCCTTGGACGAGAAAAGAACGATGCATCGAAGATGGCTGCTATTACCATTACTTTCCAGTTGCGCTTCTGCATTCTATCCCTACCACGGCGGCGATGAGGGGGAGTCCAACAGCAAGAGATTTGTCCCTTTGAATCTGGACTCGCTGTCCGCAGAGGAACCGGGCGTCGTCACGCTTGACCTCAAGAAAATACCCGTCGGTGAAGCAAAGTCCCTCACATTTGTGCACGCTAACTTGTCGTCAGACCAAGCGAGACAATCAATTTCCCGTGGTTCTTTCCTCCAAACCGTCCGCTCCCAACGCCATGGCTATCAGCCAGGACGGTCAAGACTATACCTACTTCTCAATCATGAACTTCGGCTCGAAAGGTCAAGAAATGTACATGTTGGTGGACACAGGGTCAGCCAATACATGGGTTATGGGTTCGAATTGCTCTTCGAATGCTTGCAAAATCCACAACACGTTCGGCACGGTGGACTCGACAACTTTACAAACAACCACACAAACCTGGAGTATGGCTTATGGTACAGGCCAAGTCCAGGGAGTGGTGGCCAAAGACACCGTTAGTTTCGCCAATTATACGGTTGAGATGGGATTTGGTCTCGCATCCAATGCCTCAGACGATTTCAGCAGTTACCCTATGGACGGCATATTGGGCCTTGGACGACCTAGTTCAGATCAATTGGGAACTCCGACCATCATGCAAGTCCTGGACCAGCAGGGCGATCTGTCAGAGAACATCGTTGGCATTCACCTACAACGAAATGCCGACGGTGCCAAGGACGGACAAATCACATTTGGCGGTCTTGATTCGTCCAAGTTCAAGGGCAAAATTGGATACACGAAAACCAGTAGCCAGACCAATTGGGAGATCGCTGCGGATGATGCCGGCGTGGATGGAAAGGCAGCCGGCTTCAAGGGAAAGAGTGCCATTATTGACACCGGCACATCCTATGTGCTGATGCCTCCCTCGGATGCAGACACATTGCATGCATTGATCCCCGGAAGCTCCCATAACGGTGAGATCTACATTGTTCCCTGCTCGTCTACTGCAAGCGTCTACTTTACCTTCTCAGGGGTCAAGTACGCAGTCTCCCCGAAGGACTATGTGGGCAGACCAAGCGGAAGTGGGTGCCAGAGCAACATTGTCGGCCACCAGCCGTTTGGGCCGGACGAATGGATACTGGGCGATGTGTTTCTCAAGAACGTCTATACAGTGTTTGATTTCGACAAAAACCGGATAGGCTTCGGAACAACCTCCGATACCGACGACGCTTCTTCGGCTTCTTCCTCTGCAGCTTCTTCAGCTACTTCGACTGCAAGCGGAACATCCTCATCGGGTTCGGCTGCTGCAAGCAGTGCCGCCTCATCGGCACTGGCCACGTCTGCATCCGAATCGTCGACCAGCACGGCCACGGCCACGGCCACCACTGGAAGCAGTCAGACGAACTCGGCGAGTTCAGCGGCTGCGACCTCCACGGAGTCGGGTGACAGCAGTCCGTTTGGGGACGCGAGTTCGAGCAGCAATGCTGGTTCCGAGATGACGGTCCCCGTTCTGGCGGTCTTGGTGCTTGCTCTGGTCACGGGATTTATGGTGTAAGCTATGATTGGCATTTCAGCAGGAGTTTACGACTGGCATAGCACGAGGGAACAAATATGTAATGATGAATGAAATGGGCCCATTCCGCAATGTTCTCGGGGCTCCGGGGCGAGGCAAGTCGTGTCCCACCCCTTCCCGAGAACGTACCTAGGTAGATAGGGATGATTATAAACAAGACATCAATATGGTCTTTAATCACAACTACCGTCCGAGGTCTTTACCCACCTGGTTCGTATCCATCTTTTTGGTTAGCCGCCTGCATCTCGGCTGAAGCTCGTTCTCGATGACGCTTTTGTCAATAGTGGAAAATTGCAGTCTTGTGAAGGTGACCGAAGTTCGGCATGAGCAGCTATTCATGTGTCCGCATGAAAAGGCACCTTAGAATAAGGAACGTACCTAGGTAGTTTAGATAGGTGATATATCTAGGTGCCAGATCAATACCCCGGTAGCGTGAGTGAACGAACAGCAGGGACTCGGAGTTCGGAGTCCGTCGATCGGAGTCCGTCTGCCGTCTACCGTCTACATACCTTAGGTAGTAGGTCACGTTATTTCAGCCTTGGCGTTCCGCGGCATTCCACTTCAAGTTGAATTGCTCCCGACTTTGCATTTTCGACTTCGGCTTTTCGGAAGTAACTTTCCTAGAGTCATTATGTGCTTCATGCCTGCGTCTAACTCGAACGTGGCTGATCGAGACGAAGCGCTTCGACGACTTAACCGGGTTTGCTGGTTCGAGCATGCTTCAGTTGTTCGCTTCGACGAGGTGGGTTAGAGCTTTCCGCGGCGTGTTGCTGTGTTGGAACGACATGCGGAATGCCTTGGTAAGGTTCAATGCATCCTGGAGGTCAACTTCTAGGTTCTTTTTCCAATCCGTCGCGTTCATGAGTAACGCAAGTAGCAAACACCCTTTGCGTGAACCTCCACACAGCTTCGTCTACTCCTCGAGCTCTCAAGTCGGCCAACAGACTCTCATTGTTGGTTTCCTCCCCCAGCGGATCAACCAGAAAGATTCCCCCGCCTGATCTCTTGGCGACCTCAAGCCCCTCCGGCACTGACACAAGACCCCCTGGCTGGACGGCATACCGATCGTTGGTGGCTAGGAATAAAGCGCGTGCACCCGTCTCCTCCATGCTCATCGGATTCGGCGGTGACATACCGAACTGGGCGGCCTTAGCAAGGCCCGGAGTAGCCACGGGTCCAGGATACCAGTGCACGATGCTCAGGCGCGGGTTCTCGCGCGCAAGCCGCTCGAGGGCCAACGTGCCCATGGTGGTAGCATGCACCGACGAGTTCCAAATCGACCATTTGGCCGGGTCGCGTAGGTCTAGGTCCCGCTCGTTAAGCGGTCCCTCGATTCCGCCGGCCAGTACGCTGACGACGCGCGGACTAGAGACGCCGGCGTTATCAAGCAAGGGAAGTAGCCGCTGAACGGCGTATAGCCGCGAATAGTACCGCGTCGACATGGAAGGGTCAAGGCCTTCGCGTGTATCCCGACGGCCCTCAAAGGCCATAAAGCCGGCCGACATGAAGAGGATATCGAGCTTGGTTTCTTTTTGTGCGACCGCGTCGACGACCTTGTCGATCTCGGAAACAAGCGAGACGTCGGCCGTGATGAGGTTGTAAGTACCTGTCGGATTAGATTGGCGGAGTGAGTTCAACAAACTCTCGTGCGAGACAACCGTGGCCGGGCGGGCAACAGAGTAAATGCGGGGAGCGGAGGCATGTTGAGCGAAATGTTGCAGGGCGCTCTGGCCAATCCCCGATGTAGCGCCGATGAACAGCGCGACAAGGCCTTTCGGGAGGGAGGCGAGGCGAGCATTGGATTGCTGTACTGTCTGAAGCGAGACCATTTTCTGTAATGTCTTTGATGAGGTTGTGATTCTACTAGCAGGTCATAGGGATCATATAAACAACGGTGAGGATTCAAGCCATTTGTCATCTCCGAGCCTGACATGCCCGAGTCCGGTCAGGGAAGAACAGAAGTACTCAGTCCTCGGGATTAAAATCAAGCCGGTGAGGCCAATAATGGTAAACAGCCGCTGTCGTGAAATGAATTACTGGTACAGTATCTCTATCACGTCTCGTCTTGTTTAGCGATCCATGTCATATAGCCTGTGGCAGGGGTTAGTACCTCAAAGAGGTGGGTGAGCTCTTCAACATGACTGCATGCCACATGTTTCTTCACCTCGAACTTGAAGTGATCCGCCGGACTCATCGGCCGCCGGTCTCCGACGTGCCACGTGCAGTGGTGATAGATCTAACGCGGAGCATAAACCCCTTCTGCTATTCACGTGATGACTGTTTTTGGCGGGGAGGCCGAGGTCGTCTTCCAATCTCCTTGCTACCGAATCAATCATACTATCCCACTGCAGACCAGGTCTACCAGACTCAGTCAAGCTCTGTTAATGTATCTGCGAACGAGCTGCGAATAGTGGTACCTACCTGGTCCACTCGCTGGTTCTTGATCTTCCTTGTTGTCTCTCGAGCAGCCTCGGTGAATGCAGTCATATGCTCATCCTACTACCTCGTTCGACAGCTCCTCGGTCACGCTCCCAAGTCCAAATGATGCCTAGTTCGAGGCATGAATCCTAGCGCTTCGGTGAGTGAAGATGCGGCACCGACTTCGGCCCAGGCAAAACAAGCCGCCTGTCTCGAATGTCGTCGGAGCAAGGTGAAGTGTACACGTGATATTGGTGCTGCTGTGTGTCGGAAATGCCAACATGCTGGTCTGCAATGTGTCACGCCTGAATACCATGTGGGAAGATACAAAGGTGTCAAGAAGTAAGTGCAGTGATGTCCGAGGATCGGTTCATCGAATTGACTCTGGTTCCCAGTAAGAGGAGTGGTCTCGAGAAGGCAATCTACCAGGTCGAACAAGCATTGAAACGGTCTAAAGCTGGCACCATAGGTCTCGATAGGGAAGTTGAGGCAGATCTCCGCCAATTGGTGTCATCTCCTCAGGTGAGTCCGTCACGGCCTCGGCAGTCCAGCTCGGCTCCTCCCGGTGTTGTCGACCAGCAGCCTTTCTCTGAATTACAGACAAGCCTCGTGGGCAGCGGTAGAGTTGCAACCGTCGAAAGCAGTCATGAGGTATCTCCAGCTGAGATTGGCGAGAAGCCGGATGAGCTTGCCCTCAACAACGCCGACAATCCTCTCCAGTTACTTGCCATGGCTTCGGTGCTGCCTGGCCAATCGCCCTCCACGACAATGTCCACTTCCCCTGCTGGAGTCGTTCCGCGACCAAGTGCCACGGACGCCAACCCAGACGACACTGAACTACAACGATTCTTTACTTTACCGATGTCGAAGCTGGACAACTCACCTGACCTCGATCCGATCGACCTAGGGCTGGTGACCGTGGAGGAGGCCGACTCGCTCTTTGCGTTCTTTTACGAGAGGCTGTCACACACTCGGTGGGGTCTTGACCCAGTCCTTCACACTGCCAGCTTTGTGCGATCGAGATCGGCCTTTCTCTTCACGTCCATTCTTGCCGCATCCGCCTTGTTTCTACCAAAAGCAGATGCGTTATGCAAAAGACTATCCAACCATAGAAACCATCTGGCCCGGTTGGTCATTGCCAACAGGAATAGATCTGTCGAGATCGTTTTGGCTTTCATGGTCAATATTCCCTGGATGGTCCCGGCAAAGCAGTGGGCTGATGATGAGACATGTTCGTACTTATCCATGGCGCTCACGCTGGCCCTGGATCTCTGTCTCAACAAAATAGTCGTGCCCTCTCCCACTATTCGGCCGGTAGGGTTCTTGGACAGAGTGGCCAAAGCCGAGTGCATCGACACCGCCAAGGCCTTACAACTTGATGGATTTCCCGGTGTCGACCCATCCTCGGCGTGGGGACGAAGGCTCCTGAGGACTAGAGAGCGAGCATGGTTGGGTTTGTTCGTTCTCGACCGAGGGTCAGTCAACACTCGGCTCTCTATCCAGTCCTGTCGCTAACAGTGGCGTTCTAGCATCTGTCTAGCGAGGGGCCGACCCTATGCTGTCCCTATTGGACCATTGGTGGAAAGCTGTGATACCTGGCACATTTCCGACATTGCAGATCGATGGGACGGGAGCGTAATCTCCGCTGCGGTTTTGAGACGAGACTTGGTACACTATTCTTTGGAGAGATATTCACAGGACTAATCATCGCAGGTTGGCCTAATTTCCAGCGTCCGCGAGTTCTGTGATAGTGGCCAAGGGGCAAATGGTGGCTACACGGCAGTCAAATTGTAAGGACTCTGCTTGTCTAATCACTTCTTGGGTTTTATTTCTTTCATGCACCGTTTGCCTGTGTGAAAGGTGTCGGCTGCATGGAAGCAACTGACCAGTTTTCAGCCTTAAAGACAAGATTGACCGCTTTTTCGAGCAATGGTATGCGGTCTGGTCTCTCCAGATCACTCAAGGCGACGGTAGGTGCCAACGTGAGCGTACCGCAGCATCGGAACCTTGAACTAATGTCATGCAAGGCCAGCTGCCACCATACGTTGAGATTCTGGTCTCCCACACCAAGTTATCCACTTATTGCAACGTCGTCAATCATCCAACCGCATCAAATGATGTGAAGCAGTTCTTCCGAGCGGCAGGTCTAGCTTCGGCCATGAACGTGATGAGGGCGGCCGTTCAGGGGGAGAATCGATTGAAATCCATGCCGAACAACACCGTCATTATGGTGTCCTTCGCCGCAACCTTTGCTCTTGCATTGGGCACGACCACCTCTGGAAATCGAGCAATCCTGGGCCACAATGCTCGTGCCCTCATTGAAGAAACCACACAAGTTCTCGAACGAATTGGGAGTACGCCAACACATCGTCAAGGCTTGTCCGTTCTGTTTGCGAAGCATATACGTCGACTACTGCAAAGCTCCATTCTGAAGCCGACCGAAGACCATCCACGTCAAACACCTGGAGCTCCCGAGCAGGCGCAACCACAAGACCTGAATCCCGAATACAGCAATGCCCGGAGTGGCTCGGCGCATACCGTGGATGCAGCCTCAGCCCCTTATGTCTTTGATATGACCGACGATCAGATCTTGGAAGCCATCAACAACGCCAGTACATCTCAAGATTTGTTCCAGCTTGACGAGACAATGTTTCTGGATTGGTTGGACTGGCCGAACGTCACATGATTGAAGCCTGCCAACTGTTTAGAAACCTGTATCAGTTACCCATGACGAAGACTGGGAATACAAGGCCTTCAGACGGGATCTGAGCGGGCTTTGTTGCATGGACGCGCTCTGGGACAGTCATCGCCCTCGACGGGATGCCCAGCTTCCGCAATTGCTCCATACACATCAGAGTGACAGTTGTGCAAGGCCTGTATACATGGTGAGTGGTCCTAGCCGCCATCGCTACGGTCTCTGCAAACGAGGACGCGAGAAAATGTACAGGCATTCAAGCCTTGAGGTCTCACGATGGACTGCTCAAGCACAACTGCATATATACCCAGGCAACGCAAAAAACCCACCAGGACTCCCTATTATATAACAAGAGCAACCCGCGTGAATAACTCGCAAACTGCCTCAGAAAAATCCAAATCATCTATCTTCTGCTTGAACAGTGGCAATTCGTTCCAAACAATGTCCGAATTTCCCATCGCTTTGACTTGTACCAACTACAGGTGGATAACACCACGGTATGTGATGACAATTTCGTCCAGAGCCTTTATCGTCGCAGTCGCAGTCACACCCTAGGAATGTCCGCTCGAAAACCGTCCGACGGCCTCAGATGAACTCGGCGTCAGAAATATAGCCGGGCTGTACCCCTGAAGAGCACGTGACGCCGGAAAATAGACGGAGACGGGAAGGGAAACGCACGATGCCTGATTCTGATTCGAGGATGTCGCGAGATCTGGTTGCGGGACCCTGGTCTCGATCGCGTCAGTCATGACATTTTGCGTTATATTTGGTTCTACAACTATTGTACATATTTTACACTCTCACCAGCCGCGCTCAGACGATTACGCGCCGCCAGCAACCATGGCGACAGCGAGGCGGACACTCCTTTTGTGCATCAACGACATCAGAACCAGCGCGGGCTCCGGTGTCAGGACTTATGTTCCTCATAGAGCCCCGGTCTGCCACTTAAGGTTAACGCCGCGTTTTAACCGGATAGTGAGGCAGCATGGTGTTCGATGTTTTATGACCTCGCCTTCCAAATGGCAAGAAGCCGATGGACTGCCTGTTATTGACCGGACACGATCGAAGCTGTTCAAGGACGCAGATGAAGCTGTGGCAGATTTGAAGTCTGGTTCAACCATTTTCAGTGCGGGTTTTGGACTGTGTGGGACGGCTGGTGAGTGAAGTCATACCATTCTAACGGGCATATCTCGAGAGATGTCTTCGGTCTGTCCAACTTTAGATTGACAACTCACCTCTCAACGCCCAGAAACCATCATCACGGCGATCCACAAGCGCGGATTCGACTCACTGAACAACCTGACTGCTGTGTCGAATAATGCCGGAGCCGGTAGCGACGGTGGACTTGCTCCATTGACTCACTCGGGTCAAATCACCCGGTGCATTCTTTCGTACCTGGGCAACAACAAAGCACTGGAGCAGAAGTATCTCACCGGCCACATCGCCATTGAATTATGTCCGCAGGGAACCTTGGCTGAGCGAATCCGGGCGGGAGGTGCTGGCATCCCTGCCTTCTACACGCCGACCGGTGTCCGTAAGTCACACCACCCGACGTGACTAAACATGCTTAGTGTTGGCGCTGACGCTGAGATTTCAATACAGATACTCTGATCCAGACTGGCGAGATCCCTTCGCGCTTCGGTCCTGCCGATCCAGACACCAAGAAGTCCGCGGTGCTGGAATCCGGCCATCCACGAGAGACACGAATCTTCAATGGCAGGACGTATGTGATGGAAACCGCACTGACTGGCGACGTGGCCATTCTGCGAGCATGGAAGGTTGACGAAGCCGGTAACTGCGTGTTCAGGTAAGAATGGACCAGTGCCTCTCTCCTTTCCCTGACCCAATGCCGTTTTCGAAACACTACAATATCACTCACACGGTCCGTTTGTCTTGTTAGATACACCACCAAAGCGTTTGGCACGATCATGGCCAAAGCAGCCCGCCTCACCATCGTCGAAGCGGAAAACATCGTTCCCGTGGGATCCATTGACCCCAACGACGTCCATCTCCCAAGTATCTACGTCGACCGAATCGTGCCCGCGACCGTCCCGAAGAAACTCGAGCTGAAGAAGACCCGACCGGCAGATACCGACGCCGGGAACGAATCTGACGCATCTTCCGTATCCGGTTCATCGTCATCATCATCATCATCATCATCATCATCTTCTTCTTCTTCTTCTTCTTCAGCTTCATCAGACAAGTCCGCCGCCCTGATGCGCCGCACCCGCATCGCCCGCCGCGCTGCCAAAGAACTCAAACACGGCATGTACGTCAACCTGGGCGTCGGGATGCCCACGCTCGCCCCGTCCTTCCTGCCATCGGACGTCAAAGTGTGGATCCAGTCGGAAAACGGCATCCTAGGAATGGGACCGTACCCGACCGAAGACGAAGTCGACCCGGACATCGTCAACGCCGGCAAAGAGACGGTGACGCTGATCCCCGGCGCGTCGACATTCGACTCGGCCGAATCGTTCACCATGATCCGCGGCGGACACATCGACGTCTCCATCCTCGGCGCTCTGCAGGTCAGCGCGGCAGGCGATCTGGCCAACTATATGATCCCCGGCAAAGTGTTTAAGGGCATGGGCGGCGCCATGGATCTGGTGAGTAACCCGGACCAGACCAAGATCGTGGTCACGACGGATCATGTGGACAAATATGGCAAGTCGAAGATCGTGGAGACGTGTGCCCTGCCCTTGACGGGGGCCAGGGTCGTCAGCACGATTATCACGGATCTGTGCGTGTTTCAGGTCGATCGGGTCAAGGGGACTCTGACGTTGACCGAGTTGGCGCCGGGGGTGTCGGTCGAGGAGGTAAGGGCCAAGACAGATGCCAGTTTCGCCGTTGCGCAGGATGTGGGACAGATGGAGTGATGAGTGTTTGAACCAGAACATCAGAACGGAGGAGAGAGACGCGAGACGCGGACGAGGGAAAATCAAGAAGAAAGACGCATTGAGTTGGAGACTGAGGCAGGTTTGTTACTGTCATACATACACTGCTCGTGAAAGGGGGTGAAGGAATGTTTGGACGGAGGCCATTTCTCTGGATAATTGGTCGTTCGAGGGTCGAGGGTCAATGGATAAAGGTGGATGAGTGTGTATATCCACCTCAAGAAAGACATGAAGTAGATAGACCATAGATATCAGATGTATAATGAGATGGGAGAATACTAGGTCGGATACATCCGTCTGATGTGGTCGTTCATGGGCATGGAACTGATATAGGACGTAATGGATGCATCTATTTTATATATATGGTATAGTGGTAAATGGTAGACTGAAGTGGTATACAAGGTGCCACACAGTCATCCACATTCATGCGCTCATCCTCTATGATCATCATATGTCCAAATGAACCAGACAAGCGGCCGGTTCTGTCGAGGTACATTCCTTTTCGCCCACCCTCTCTTTTTCCGTTCTCATGTAAAAGCTGCAACAGATCACTCGGGCGGACGAGACATGGTGTTGTAGGCCAGATAAACAAACGTGGCCATCCCCGAGCCGTACATCCAAGGCAATGGCTTGGGGTGGGTATCTCCCTTTTGTTCCCTTCCCCTCCATGCCACCGTCTAATGAGGAGGAGGGAGCACTTCCGTAGGCAACATAAGCTGGTGACCCCGAGTGGATCAGAAGTGAGCGTTGAGACGCTTCTATAGCTTCGGCTTGACACCTTGCATGCCCGGGGCAAAACTGGAGCCTCGTCCCTCGCCCAGGGCCTGAACGATCTCATCCACGACATTCAGGATCCACTGATTTCCCTCGTCGCTGGCAAGCCACTCTCCGCCTTCCACGTCCTTCTCGGCCGTGCCGTCCTGATAGGCCTTCCTCAAGCCAAACACGTGGCTGGTGACCTGTGGGCCCACGCCCGTCTGGGCGCGCAGACAAGAGATGCCCACAACAGACGTCAGCACACGGCCGACCTTGAACGCCTCTGTTCCTGGCGCGGGCTCCGGGTCCGAGAGTACTGTCGCATAATGTCCGGCGAGGATGTGCACGGGTAAGTTCGGGTGGCTCTGGGCCAGCTTGTTTAACAGCTTGACCTCGAATGGCCGGTAGATGGAATCCCAGGTTGCGCGGCCCCGCGCCATGGCCTCGTCGGCGTTACTGGAGTCGACCTTGCGCGAGGCCGGGGGTGGGATGGCGTCGAAGACGTCGCGCGGCAGACCTTCGCGGAACGCCCCGAGACAATTGATGCTGCGTGGTATGCCGTTGAAGGAAATACACTTTAGCCCGGCCTCGCGCATCAGTCCGGCCGTTTCGGGCGCGGACAGCGGCGACGAGGGGACTGTTGAAGCCAGGTTGAACAGTTCGACGAGCGAGCCCGGTGAGTTCATCGTCATGGTCGCCGCCGTGGATATGGTCACCCATGCCGGAACGCCGACGCCGCGGCCCTGTGCGCTCGCGGCGATTCGGGAGTATGTGGAGCGGATGTTGGGTGGCGCTTTCAGCGTGCCGGGCACGGCGTGCGCCGCGTTGATCAACTGTTTCAGGGGCTCGGAGAGTTTCGACATTTCGACGGATCCGGCGTTGACTGAGTATGACCTAGGTTTGTTGTTCTGTTGCGTTTGGGCTCTCTTGGTCCAAAGTACTGGGAAGTGGGTGGTGTTAGTTGGGTACCGTTTCTAGAAGGGTGGTCTGCAGACGCCCATGGGAGAGGGCCAGGGGTAGATCTGAGGTGGTGAATATAGAGAGCATAGGAATGATTTTCAGAGGCTGGTAGAGCCGGAGAGCAGATTACATACATTGTTGATCGGGTTTTCTTGTAGAGCCTCGGGGTGAACTCGAAGACGACGGGTGTGCCTTGCCGTCGCAGTTATCGCTCATATAACAGACGGACTTGGTCGTGGATGTGTAGCCGAGGCACTGTGTAACAGAATCAAGGCGAAGATGATATGTGTCAGGCTTGGTCTAAGACGAGAGAATGGTCGCCTCGACAGTAAAAGGATGATGTAAGTGGTAAGATGGGAGATAAAGCTGAAGAGGAAGCTGAAGATGGAGATGGAGAGCAGACGTCGGCAGAAAGAAACGCCGAGACCGGCCCGGGGCCGCCCAAGGAAAATGCCCGCGGTAAATTGACGACGACGACGACGATCAATCCAACCATCTCATCACCATTATGTCTCGGGATCATATCGATCAAGAGGATATTTCACCAGGCACACAGTACCTACCGATCGTTGCATCTGCTTGGTCGTGATGCTGTAATCCTGCGCTTCGCCTTCTCACCTCTCTTGAGTCTCCGGACAGACTCGGCAGCCCTGAGGTCTTCGGACATTCTTCTACCACCGTCCACTCACCTCTCTGCTTCTCGACTCTCCTCATTTGCATCCCTGAACCTGTCACGCATAGTCGCTCATCTCGTCTGTTGATGGCTCATTATTGGCCGTTGCAAGCGGAGATGTAACATCATGTTGGGGATGGTGCGACCGCTGAGAGACAGACACAACTCGTACATTGGTCGACCCGGGCCATCATATATACCTCGACGAGAGAGTCTGTTCGAAAGTCCGCTCGCTGCCATTCACTGCTCCAAGAGGTGCCCGAGAGCATGCACAGGAACTTGAAAGACTACCCACGACCAGCTGTGGTTACCCTGGTTTTCGATCGCTCTCGTGGCATAAAGCTCAACTCCAACTAATATCCACCACGTCTACGCTACTTCGACACGAGTGTCGACGACAAGATGGATGTTAGGTCTGCACTTCAGAAGCCAGAGGACGTTCAAAATGAATTCCAGACGAGCAGCTCAGTCATTCACATCGACAAGGCTGCATCAGAGTCGGGCTCGCCTGGCGATGCCCACAGAAAGGCTCTGACTCGAAAGCTCCTCTTCAAGCTCGATAGCCGGTAAGCATTCTGTTGAATTGGGACAGTATATCATGCTCAATGGATTTCTGGCCGTTAGAATCCTTCCTGTCCTCGCCCTGCTGTTTCTTTGCTCTTTCCTGGACCGAACCAATGTCGGGAATGCCAAAATCCTTGGGCTGCAGAAGGATGTTGGTCTCAGCGACCGTCAATACGCCAGCGGTCTGGCCATTTTCTTTGCATTCTACATCGCCGCGGAGTTGCCGAGCAATCTGGTGCTCAAGAAGGCGAGTCCAAGAATTTGGTTGTCGTTTTTGACTGCCGCATGGGGCATTATCGGGATGTGCCTTGGGTTCATCCACAACTACGCCGGATTCCTGATCGTCAGAGCATTCCTGGGGCTTGCAGAGGGCGGCCTTCTGCCTGGCATGGTCCTATATCTTTCAGGAATATATACTCGAGGTGAGATGGCTTTGAGGATCGGTCTCTTCTACACCTCGGCTTCACTGGCTGGCGCATTTGGCGGACTCCTGGCCCGCGGTCTTTCAGCCATAGGCCCCAAAGCTGGTCTGGATGCCGGCTGGCGATGGATCATGGTGATTGAGGGGCTGTTGACTTTCGCCGCAGGTGTGGCTGCATACTTCTTGCTTCCCAACGATGTATCGACTGCATGGTTCCTCAAGACCGAGGAGCGAGCACTGGCAGCAAAGCGACTGCAGGAAGACACCCCGACATACTCACGCGATGGTCATTCCAGCGAAGCGACCGAGAAGTTCCGCTGGTCAGAGGTCGTGCGTGGCATCCTCAGCATCCAAATGTGGCTAACGGCGACTGCCTACTTTTCCATCCTGTCCGGCTTGTACTCCTTTGGGCTCTTCCTCCCCACCATCATCAAGGGGCTGGGGTATACGGCAAACGAAGCCCAGCTGTGGTCGGTCATCCCATACGCCGTGGCAGCCGTGGTCACGGTCGTCGTGGCGTTTGCTTCAGATCGTCTGAAACTCAGAGGAGTGGTCATGTTATGCGTGCTGCCGCTGGCCATCATTGGCTATGCGGCCATCGCGAACGTGAGCGAGCACGACAATAACACCAAATATGGCATGACCTTCTTGATGGCGACGGGCTTGTACGCCAGTGTCCCGCCCGTTCTGGTCTGGAATTCCAACAACTCGGCGGCCCATTACAAGCGTGCTGCCACCTCTGCTCTACAGCTGGGCATAGCCAACGCTGGCGGGTTCGTGAGTGCCTTCATCTACCAGTCTTCCGAGGCGCCTCAATATCACAAGTCGCACACCATCATTCTGGGGTTGTTGGTGTATGCGTGGTTCGCGTGAGTACGCTGCTCTTCTCTGCCCGAGTCTTCATTTGACCTCCGACAGAATCCTGCTCAATGTTCTCTACTGTGCCAAGATCAACCGCGACAAGACCAATGGTAAGTATGACCAGTATATCGAGTGTGGAGACGATCGAGATCCGGAATTCAAGATGGTGCTGTGATGGGAGACCGTGGTGCTTCCTACGGAGGTGTCAGAGGTGTCACTGGGACATGATCGTCTTGTGGGACTGTTACTTCTGTGAGGCGAGGAGACTCGGATCAAGTTCAGGTACCAGTAGATCAAGATACACTCACTCGGAACCGCACCCGGCACACCGTGATGGACGAACAGAAGTGACTCTCCCTGTACTCCCAGCATTCATTGCATCCTGCCTGGCACAGTCCGGGGATGGGAAGCGGGGTATGAGACGTATATGAATAGCACTTCACTTCAGCTTGTTGTCACAACCGACAGGACGGACCTCTTTCCTGACTTACTGGTCGTCGGACAGTCTCGAGGAAAGTAAGTTCAGCCCTGACGAAACTCGACCATATCACCGTGTATTCATTCCACCTCTGGCCACTTTCTCAGACATCGTACTTCGTTCTAGTAATCCATCTATACCACACTCGTATCACACAGATTCTCACCCTGATCGAACGAACCATGTCTTCCTCTCGCTCACCCAACCCAAGTCAACTAGCCACCTCCCTACCCGGCTTGACCACCCACATCACCGGCCATGACCCGTCGACCGGCAAAGCCATCGTCCAAGAATCGCGACCTGGAAACTGGACCAGCTACGACGACAAGCTGATGGCATTCAACGTCATCTACACGACCTCCGAATTCCCCGCGAACCTGAACAACGACCAAGACCTCAAGCTTCACGACCAAGTCGCGGCAAGCGGTAACCTCGGACTCGTCAACCCACATGGCACCGTCTGTCGCGTGGTCGACTTCGCCCCGGGCTTTGAGTGCATCATGCACCGCACGCAGAGCCTCGACTACGGCATTGTCTTGGAAGGCAGTGTCGAATTGGTCCTGGACAGCGGAGAGAGGAGATCTATGCGTAGAGGAGATGTTGCGGTTCAGAGAGCGACGATGCACGCGTGGAAGAATACGAGTGATACGGAATGGGCGAGGATGATCTTTGTGCTTCAGGACTGCGAGAAGTTGGAGATCGCAGGGATGGCGTTGAAGGAGGATCTGGGGAGAGGTGTCGATGGGTTGCCGCCGAGCGGGAATGATGATTAAAGACAACAGTAGAGAGCAGGACGGACAGCAGCCGTCGGACCACAGTGGTCTCACGCTGAGGCAGCTGGAGAAGTCGAGATAGAATATGCGCAGCACCACGGCACAGCACAGCAGGGCAGATCAATAAACATTCGTCGTCGTCGTCGTCCTCGTCCTCGTCCTCCACCATCACCACCGACGTCTACTACACGGTACAGTACGTACTCTGGATATGTTTTGTACCAGGTCCCTACGCGGCCCTAAGCCCCTGAAACCCACTGTGGCTGTCAATCAGCACGCTGGGTTAAGGAGGTGGATGCTGTCGCCCACAAGCACCCGCAATCGGGGGATAAGGACGGCTGTCGCTGTCGCTCACTTGTTGACAGCTCGAAATGGTCTGTTGACTGCCAAGGGACAGGGACCGAAGTCCCCGTTGACTTTTAGTATGGGTTTAATGGGTGCTTTGATGCTGGCTGGCGATAAGGGACCCGACGTGCCCCGGAACTGATTTTACCCCCAGTAGTACAGTACAGAAAGAGTATCAACAGCTTCACGATACTTGTGGTCTGTGGCGTTCCGCAGGCACAGGCTCAAGCTCTTCATCTCTCCCTGTACATCCTAATAGTATTGTACCTACTTCCTCCTACCTACTGGACGCGCCTTGCACCATCTTTGTCTGCCTCTGTAACTCCAACTCTGCGCACCTCCAAAACACCCACTGGAACACCTCGTCTCGCCTGCGATCTACCTCACACTGAACAGCACAACGCCACGACCAGACTATTTTCGGGCCTTCTTTTACTCGATCACCTTGCTTCAGACTATTCGCCACATGCTTTCGGTGCATGCGACATAATCCGTCCACCTTGAAAGACCACAGACAAAACAAGACGATGCGCCGGGGCTTCGGCCACCAGCCTGAGGATAATGGGATGGCAAAGGAGTTCATCGTCGGGCCTACACACCACTTCATCTGCAGCGCGCGTACGGAGTCGAGGCGAGTCCGATGTCGAGAAGGAAGGCTTCGTCCGATCACGAAGCAGCGACGACGAAGATAACCGCGCCATCTTTGACGAAGACGACGAAGAACAAGACCAGGACCCGTCGGCCGCATCCTCACGCAACACCTCGTCCTCCCACAGACCCATGCTGGTCAACAACGCCTATACCTCCAATAGATCCTCTTCGCCCTCATATCTCGGGAGAATGCCGCGCTCCATAATGCGCTGGCTGTGTCTGGGCGTGGCCGCCACTCTGCTCATATTCATCTTCTCGCTTGTCCGATTAAGTTGGAACGCAGACAAAGAGGTCAAAGTCGCCATTGAACAGGCCAAAGTGGCCCCCAAGCCTCCGCCGTGGGAGAATTTTCCTTTCCTCCAGAGATATTATGGCGGAATCCGCTCGTTGGTGCCGGCCAAGTCCAATGATCCCGAATACCCCCGAAATGACGACGAGGTGCCCATCGAAAGCATCAACATAGCAGAAGAAGTGAAAGAAGAGGAGGAAGAGAAGAAGGAGCAGGAAAAAGAAAACACACGCACCAAACGGGACATTCAAGCCAGCATCAAATTCGACCCGTACCCAAACTACACATCCTCGGAATACGTTGCAAAATACGGCCAGAAGGTGGATTGCTATTTGGATGAGAAGAATACCGTCTCCGTCCCGAGAGTTCGGGTCTATGAAGGCATTCCGAGAGGATTCCCAGATAATGTCATGGGCTCTGCCGAAATGCTGGGCTTAAGAACAGACATCTGCTACGATCGATTCGGTCGGCTCGGGCCGTATGGGCTGGGCTACAGCATCAATCGGGGAGGGAGTGGCGCGCAACAAGAAGGCGAAAGAGAAGGGGCCGATCTGGTCTGGGAGGAGAGTCCGGAAGTGGACTGGAGAAAGGTGCAATGGGCCGACATTCAACAACGATGTGTCGCTGCCAACCAACATCGTTTCAAAGAGCTGCCCGAGCCGCGAATCGAAAAGTTCCGCGCCATGCAAGTTGGCCGGATGACCAAAAGGGACAACGACGACGAGCCCGAGTTCGCGGCCATGCCGAACAAGGCGCCCGAAACCGCAAAGGGAAGTGAAAAGCCCAAAGTCGGTTCCGAGAAGCTACCTCGGACAGCGGTGGTGATCCGGACTTGGTGGGACTATCCGTACACGGTAGAAGACAAGATTTACCTGCGATCTCTCATGTCCGAATTGACCATGTTGAGCGGCGGAGAGTACGTGGTGCATTTCCTCATCCAAGTGAAGAGCGACGACGTTCCGATCTGGTCGGACGACGAAACCTACGAGCGCGTCCTACGAGAGTCACTCCCCGAAGAGTTCCGAGGCATGGGCACGCTCTGGTCCGAACGACAGATGCTGCTGATGTACGGCGGGCTGCAGGAGACATGGGTGCGTGACCTGCCAGTGCACGGCGTGTACCGCAGCACGTTCATGCCGATGCAATACTTTGCCCATCAGCACCCGGAATACGACTATTTCTGGAACTGGGAGATGGACATCCGCAGCACGCACCACTGGTACCACTTCTTCGACCGCGTGTCGAAGTGGGCCAAGGCGCAACCGCGCAAACTGCTCTGGGAGCGCAACAGTCGCTTCTACATCCCTTCAGAACACGGGTCATGGGAAGACTTCAGCCAGATGGTACGGATCCAGACAGACCAAGGCACCAACAGCGCCAACAATCTCTGGAGCAGTCTCAACGGCGCCGCCCGTAACAAGAACCAGGACTCTTCCTCTTCGTCCGGAAGCGCATCCGTCACAGGAGGGATGAAACAACAAGGCGACAGACCGATCTGGGGTCCCGAACGACCGCTCGACGACGACATCGTCTTCGAAGGCGACCCGACGCCCCCGACCTCGTTCGACAAAGACAAATACTCATGGGGCGTGGGCGAAGACGCGGATCTGATCGTGTTCAACCCGCTCTTCGACCCCGAAGGCACGACGTGGCTGCTCCGCGACGACACGACAGGCTACAACATCACGCGGGGCCGGCCGCCGCGCCGCACGGCCATCATCACGGCGTCGCGCCTCAGTCGCCGGCTGCTGGACACCATGCACCGCGAAACCGCGCTCAAGAAACACACCATGTTCAGCGAAATGTGGCCGGCCAGCTGCGCGCTGCATCACGGCCTCAAGGCCGTCTATGCCCCGCACCCGGAGTACATCGATCGCAAATGGCCCACGAATTACCTGCAGGCCGTGTTCAATGGTGGCCGCAACGGCGCGACCGGCGGCGCCAGGACCAGCGTCTTTGGAGACCGCGAGCATAATTTCCGCGGCACCACCTGGTACTACAATGCCGGCTTCCCCGAGGTCTTGTGGCACCGGTGGCTGGGCATGAAGATCCACAATGATGGTGGCGAGCAGGCCGAGTTGGCGGGTGATGGGAGAATGTGTCTGCCGGGCATGTTGCTTCATCCGATTAAGAGGGTCGAGTTGGTCCAGGAGGGGAGGAGGGCTGATCAGTCTTGAAAAAGGTAGAAGAGGAAGGAAAGAAACGGACAGACAGATGGACAGACAGACAGACAGTCAGTCAGTCAGTCAGTCAGCAAAGTCTGAAAGACTGGAAGATTGTGTCAAAGGAGACGAGAGCAGAAGCAATGAGAGGAGATGAGAGGAGATGAGAGGAACATTGATAGCGTTTTATGATCAATATATATCCCACTGAGCGAGCGAGCGACAGGGCGACAAGGGGGACAATAGCGAATGCGACCGGGTCTGGTATAACATGTATGTATGCATGCATGGATGGCTGGCTGGCTGGATGTACTGCTATGGGCGCCAGTTGCCAGATGCCAGATGTTAGGTGTTAGGTGCTGGATGCTGGATGCTGGATGCTGGATGGCAGGTTGGAACTGGTCGACAATGAGATAAAGTCACCTACAGGTACAGACTGTTTCACCTAGCCGTCTATGCATGCTTGCCAGTGCCTCTGGCACCAACGAGGCTGTGCTGCTAGTAGTCAGAGACCGGACACGAATCAATCTCTCCTGCGAGGATTGCTGTGATCTATCTCGCTGTGAGAAAGGTCCAAGTGTGGACTACAGTGTAGCACGGAAGACTCTAGATATCAAACATCAGAAACATCAGAGAGAGAGAGGTGACCATAAGCGACAGCATCCTTTCTGGTCAACCTGGGACATGCATTGATCGTTGATATGTTTGCAGGTCTACTTACCTAGGTATCTAAGATGCAATCCCCATGACAGACATCTGGGCCAATTCTAGGTCCCCAATACCAAGGTATCGATGCAGACGATCGATCGAACTCCCAGAACGCCACGCTTGAGATACTGGGACATGGACATTGAAACCCCTGAAACCTGAAACCTGAAACCTGAAACCTGATACCTGATACCGGAGAGATACCATACTAGCATGCCCCTTCTCCGGCTTCAAATCGAGTCGGGCTCTCTCTCTAGCACGACATGTCGAACTTCGGCTTCCGACTGGAAGTGAAGGAGCCCCAGTACTGCTCGCTGGCTTTCTGGCCGTTGTCGCCAATGGCGTCGGCCTTGTTGGGTTCGTCAAAGGCCTCGAACCAGAACAGGTCGACGCCCCAGTCGAGCAGGCCGCACACGGCGGATTTCCAGTACGTCTTCATGTTGTCGTCGCCGGCCTTTGCAGCGCCGGCGTCGGTGCCTCCGGTGCCTGGCCAGCCAGTTTCTTAAGAAGAAAGAAAACATCAGGGTCAGTTTGGACTTCTTGGGGAGAGGGGATGTGCGACAACTAGGAAAAGAAAGGCTGGGGGGCTTACCGCCGTTCATGAAGTGGATCTTGTCCAGACTGCCGGTGACTTCCTGCACATGTGCCAGGGCTTGAGCCATGTCGTCGAAATACGTCGTTGTCGCGTTGGAGAGTTCTTGATACTGCCAATATGAGAAGCCGTTGGCGAGACTGTGGTTCATGATGTTAGCCTATGCACTTACTTCTGAGCATTGCTTCATGCAGGAGACCCTCTCACATTAGTTCGATGCCGCTTGTAATGATCGAATCCATAGTACCGTTCGCCCAGCCGTTCCAGCTATCGGCCGTCCCGATCGGAGTGTCTGGGTAGGTCTGCTTCATCTGCTTGATCCAGCCTATGAGTTCCTGCGCGCTGTAGGTGCCTCGATACATGCCCTCCGAGCCGACCGTGATGCCGTACAAGGTGTCGCCGAACGATGTGGGGTCCGCTTTGTCAATCGCCGCTTTTTCCCTCTCGTAGGCGCCGCCGTCGGGCCTACATTAAGACATATATCTTGTCAGACTGAGCTCTGGTCGTTTTGTGGTTCGACACCCCTTTTTTTTCTTCGAGGTACATGTACTCACCACATGCCGAGCAGGACCTGGATTCCCGCCGATTTCGCAGCCGGGAGGATCTCAGACGGCGTATTGCATGGATTCCCGTATTGGTCGGAAGAGGAATATGTGCGCACGATTTGAGCTTGGCTGTTCCCTTGGATCGCCTTGAAGTCGGCTTCGAAGTCGCTTTGCGTCTTGCATGTTCCGTCAGGGTTGGTGTTGCCCACGGCGAAGCCTAAGGTGCCTGCTGCCGACACTGCCAGCGGTGCGGTTGCAAGGGCCACGCAGGGAAGAACGGTATGGAATCGCATATTGGACGTGGTAAGGGATTTTAGTAGTTTGCTGTTTGGTGGTAGGGGTAGGGGTACTGGGTATTGCCTTTTAACGTCGAGGCCGCTGCAACGATAACGAAACGGGGGTATCACGAAAGAAAGCGCATCAATGGCAATGACTGGAAACAGGGATCAGATGAGTGAGTGACCAAGAGAAGTGACAAAACGACAACGACAAACGACTGAGGGAATGGGTAACGTGGAGAGAAGAGAATGAAATGAGTCTGGAGACAAACGCCCTGAACGTTGCACTTGCGCAGTCATAATCTGGGGTTCGTTTGCTTCCCCGTTCAAACCACTAAATATTGTCGGTGCTCGGCGAGTCGGGTTGTTTAACATGTGGCACTAGTACTAGTACGTCAAGAAAACCCCTGACACTATTCTGTTCTGAGAAATAGATGACGCTGCTTTGGAGTATTTTCAGCCTCACGGTTGCAGCCTGGCAGAAGCTACGTCAATCTTATGGCGTTATTCAATGACTATTTTAGGCCCAAGACACTGATCTTCATCTCGCTTCTTCGTTGTTTGAACATTTTCACGACTTAGTTCTCGACTTTTACTGCCGCCCTGCCTGCGTAAGTTGACGCTCTTGGTGACCTCCGCAAAGGCAGGGACAAGCAACAAGAAGGGAATATCTCAGCTGCAGCCAGGGCCTCGAGCGACTGAGACTTGAAGAGCCGGAAGAAGTTCGTCTACTATAATTCCTGTGACTTTCGGAGACTGTGCCGCGTGTCCAGAGCCAGGCGTCACATCGACGTCAAACCCGGTGACACCATGCTGCTCCTAGATCATCCTATGATATTGCCGTCGCAATATGACCAGCTGTCATCCGCGTGGACAGCCAGCAGGACATTCGTTTGGTCAATCCAGACACGTGAAAGTGAGAACCCCGTCCAAGTCAGCTCCCTCGGCAGCACGGCAAGACTGTTTCTGCAAACGACGCTGTCCCCCCCGCTGGGTGGATGAAATGCAGTGAAGTCGTGCTCGGGGGAACTCTGCTTCGGCGTTACCCCCCGCCGGAGTAGGAAGGTGAGACCCTTGCGTCAATTCTTGGAAAAGAATGCTCCAAGTGATGGCTGATGATGATGATGGTTTGTACAGCCAGCCTCGCCAGCCTGACCACGTGCCCCGATGTCGATTCTGAATGGCTGATGCTCGGCGTATGCTGCACTAGGATGGTTAATGTGTTAGCTCCCGGGGCTTTCTTTTTAGTCTCCGGCCGACTACCCCGCCCAGTTGCCTTAGCTTTACTATGGTGTCTGGCACTAAAGCTTGTTCCTGCCCCATCGAACGGACCTTGCATACATATGGTCAGCCCCGCAACTCGGTTGTGAATATTCCCAAAAGATTCAACGAGCACGAGAACAGTCGAACACGACACCAAGGACAGCCGCTTCAACCTGACGAATACCATCAAGAGAAATGGGCACGCGCCTCGATGTGCTCCCGAAGGGGAAGGGAGGAAGTCTACGAGCTCTGAGAAATGCGCTTCTTCGCCGCGGCACGCGAGTCCATAAAAGACTTCAGCGGCAGGCTGCCAGGTCTGTTTGTTCACCGACCCCTTCATCCTGGATACCAGATCTCTGAATTCTCGTCTCGCGTGCTTCCACAATGCTCAAGACTGCAGCCTTCCTTATGGCCGCTTGCCGTTTGGCAGCCAGCGCAGCTGTGCCAACCTCTTACTGTTCCCCTCCCCCAGTCTCAACTATTGAGCCTTCAGCCAGCCAGATCTCGGCCACAGCGGCAACAGCCACGGCAGTCTCTTCCACAAGCAACGTCAAAGGACTTGCCTTTAGCCGCTTCTACCAGATCTGGCTGGAGAACATTGACTTCTCGGAAGCCGCCGGAGACCCAAACCAAGCATGGCTGGCAGACCAAGGCATCACGCTCAGCAACTACTGGGCGACCACTCATCCCTCGGAGCCCAACTACTGCGCGGCAGCCGGTGGGGACAACTTCGGAATGGACAGCGACGACTTCCACGCCATCCCCGAAGACATTGCTACCGTGGTCGATCTCCTCGAGACCAAGGGTATTTCGTGGGCCGAGTATCAGGAACACATCCCATTCCCAGGGTTCCAGGGTTACAACTACTCCAACCAACAGACCTTCCATGATGACTACGTCCGCAAGCACAACCCTTTGATTCTGTACCAGTCGATCACCAACAACGCCACCCGGTCGGAGCTGATCAAGGGATTCGATGATTTCGGGAACGACCTCAAAGACCACAACCTTCCCCAGTGGGCTTTCATCACACCGAACATGACCAACGACGCCCACGACACCAACATCACGTTTGGTGCTCGCTGGGAACGCAACTGGCTTGAGCCGCTGCTGAAGGACGAGTACTTCATGAACGACACCCTAGTCCTTTTGACCTTTGACGAGAACGAAACCTACGAAGTCGAAAACAAGATCTTCTCGGTCCTGATTGGCGGCGCTGTGCCTGAAGAACTGCGTGGAACCACCGACGCCACCTTCTACAACCACTACTCGACCATCGCCTCCGTTTCGCAGAACTGGGGTCTCCCGTCCCTAGGCCGCTGGGACTGCTCGGCCAACGTCTTCGAGCTGGTGGCCAACAAGACCGGCTACCAGAACGCTGCCATTGACCTGAACGATGAGGCCATCTTCTATAACTCCTCCTACCCTGGCCCGTTGTCGAAGAAGAAGTATATCCCTACCTGGCCGGTGCCGACAAACTCCTCCACATGCGCCAACGGAATGGGTGTCTTGGACTCGGTGGTGCAGTCGATCAAGGGCCAAGCTCCTACCTACAATTACAGTAGCCCGTATCCTTACGACCCGGTCTCTGGACTCGATGTCCCCCATGACACGACCAAGGCTCCTCCGAAATAGACGCTCCTCGTCAACTTTGTCTGAAATGCCTGAGGTTCGGACCTGGAAACATCCTGAGGCCTGAGAACTGGCATACTAGCACAAGCCTCCCCATAGTACATCCACAGTCGATATCTAGACCTTTGCAGAGACTGTTTAGATGGCAATACGATGGTGTCTTCCATAAAGGCTCTTGGCGTTGTGACTGCCTTCCTCAATGTATAGTAAGATTTCCCAGTGTGGTCTTTGACAAAAGACCATACGGCAATCTCCTCACCATATTCTGTTTGCCCCCAGGCTGGTGACCAAGTGCTTTACTTCCGCGCTTTTGCCCGTCTACTCATGTACCACTGATAGACGTCCAGTGCTATGTAAAAGTGTCCTCACTACATCCTGCGGTACACATGTTACTAGTGTCCGGGACTGAGATCTTCAACCTCCGAGGACGCCTGCTACCACATTCACACAATTGTGCAGTCCTCACGGTGCGGACGAGCTTTCAGTATACCGAAACTGTCTAAACTGCTGGGTAATAACATAATCGACAGCTATGTTACCAAATAATAAATCTTGCAACCCCGCAAACGCCACTGAATTCAAAATTGTCCAAGGTCCAAGACTTTCACTAACGTCAACATAGGCAACATGATGATGACAAGGGCCATGTGTCTGGTAGTGATCCAACGGGATCAAGAACTAATCAGTCCTCATATTTGATTGCACAAGATCTGACCCCTGTCCATCTCCGAATGTTCAGATATCAACAAAGCTGTCGAACAACCTCACCACTGCCATGGCACAACCTGCCGCGGCGCCTCCCACAAGCACCATCTGTCCGCCACCGTTGAGGTTAGCTCGAACACTTCTCCAGCCGCTCCAGCCCTCGACCAGGCCGGCCTTGACATAACCAAAAGCAAACAGCGCCAGCACCATGATACCGATACTCCAAATCAGACCTTGCGTGACATCTCCGGCGAAGAAGTAGGGGATCAAAGGCACGAAGCCGCCGACAAAATATCCCGTCGCAATGGTGATGGCACATACAAGGGCGCGGCTGGCTGCTGGTTCGGGTGTGCCGTGCTCGAAGCGCATGAGAAACTCAACCACCGTCTCCGGACTGTTCGAGGTGATGAGATGGTATGCGAAGTCTTTGAGGGTACATGGGGGGAGATGGTAGGGAGCGAAGACGGAGGTGATCTCAGAAGATAGGTCGCTGCCTCTTCCGTTGACATCATCATCGGCTGTCGAGTTGGCGCCGACACTCTCTGCCACTTTGCTCTGCGTCGAGCGATAGGTGGCTCTGTAGGCGGCCTCTTCGCTCTTGGCCCCAAGATAGCCACCCAGGCCCATGGAAAGGGCGCCCGCGATGAGCTCGGCCAGGCCGCCGAAGACCACGACTTTGGTGTTGCCCAGCGCTGAGAGGCCTGCAGTGAGGGCGAAAGGCACGGTGAGACCGTCGGATAACCCAATGATGGCGTCTGAGACGATCCGTGCGTTCACGGGCTTGTGTCCCTCCCCGTCTGGAGGGCATGGGAGGTCTTTCTCGTAGACTGTATCTTCAGACGGCTGGCTGCTTGTCTCAGAAGCAGATTCTTCGGCGATAGAGCCAAGAGAGGGTTGTTTGGACGGGGTGGCCTTCTCGGCGTCGACGTCGTGCAGTGACGCATATTTGGTAGGTCGAAAGAAATTCACCATCGCGGCCATGGCGTTGGCGTCTTCGAAGCCGTCGTTCCACATCTTGACCGAAGGTTGAGTCTGGCTGATAGTCTTGTGTCTGGGTTGAGAGGGAAGTGGACAAGTAGACACTGGCAGGCCGAGTGCTTTGGAACAGGACGAAGAAGATGATGGAGAGTAGACGGAGAGGGAGGGGGGATGCTTGAGTGTCAGATACCGCCTACCTATATCGCCTCCTCAGGTTTGAAGCCGTTCTTCCGTCATTGCGAGAACTTGCTTCCGGCATGATCGCAGAACAATACCACAAAGTGGTCACCGCGTTGAGCGAGATATGCCGAAGCCATGTTGATCCTGCATGATCCCTCTCGTGGGTCACGCACTATCGGTCATATGCCGCACCCTGCAGTTTGTGCAGGCGGAAAAGGCACTCATCGGCGTCGTCTTCGCCTGTCAATCAGAAACGTGCTGCTGTTGTGAGCTGGGAAAATTCATGGGCTGGAGGGTTTAGCGTGGTCAAGGGACCAAAGCACCACAGCTTGAGGAGCCAGCAGCGAAAGAAGATGCAGTGCCCCGCCTGCATGGTGCCGATTCATGCAACAAGCTGCGCACGTTGTCCGTAAGCTGCAATTGTATAGAGCTTGATTGGCGGAATGGCGTGGAGAGGGAGTTGTAACAAGCATCCCAAGCAAGGTGCGAAGCCTCGTGAAGCTCCAGTTCTCTGCGCCACTAGCGACAACCTTATACAGAACTAGAAATCAGGCTAGGAACTTAGCAGGTTTTAGCAGGTTTTAGTGTCTTCAATGCTCTTCTTAGCATTTTAGCCCGCTCTCGCAGACATCCTCGTCCTTGTTCTATGCATATCACGGTCTCCGCCCAAGCTACCTACCTTGAACCTACCTCGGTCCCCAAGCTACCCACCTGCCTTGGTGAGATGCTGATGTCGAAGAGCCCACGCCTCCACCGGTCGAGCTATACGTAGCCGTGGTTGTTGATCACTCTTCCCGACGTCTCGCTTCCGAACGCTCATGTTCACAAGCCGAATTTCGGCAGAAAATAGTACGGGTCATTGGCCATCTATCGGGTGTGAATGTCGACTTGCTACAACTTGTCAGGAACGTGGTGGTGACGACGGAGAATTATTGGACGGAAGTCTGGCTGAGGTGACGGGAAGCTTCTACGAAGACATGCCATGAGCAGGAAGACTACGGACACCAACGCGGCGGTGAGGAACAGCATGAGGATAGCAAAAGCATAAAAGCCTATGTCGGGATGGCGAAACTGAATGCTGGACCATCTTCTGACTGACCAGCACCGGAAGAGTCTCATCCAAGCACAATGGCGCGCTTTGTTTCCTTGACCACCGCCCTGGCTCTCGTTTCCTCCGCTGTCGGGCGACCTCTCGAGGCCGGACAGTCAGTATGGGGCGACCTGAGCTCCAAGATCACGCATGTGGTATACCTTATGATGGAGAACCACTCCTTCGACAATATTGCCGGGTACTGGGACTTCCATCCAGACATCAACAACCTGCGCAACATCGAGTTCTGCAACGAGTTCACCAACCCCAACTGGACCGTCTACGGCGAGCCCCTGATGATCTGTGCCTCGCCATATGAAGCCGAAGTGCCTCTCAAAGATCCTGACCACAACTTTGCCGGCACCAGCTACGAGATCTACCGCAAATGGGAGCCGACCGCAGACGATGTGCCTGACATGTCGGGCTTCATTGAGCGACAGTCTGACAAGTACAATGCCACTCCGGGAGACAGTGCGTTCGTGATCAAGGCATACGATCCAGCCAAGTCCAACACTCTCGCCACATTGGCGCAGAACTATGCGTTCTGGGACTCGTACTATGCCGAACATCCTGGCCCTACCAACCCTAACAGAATGTTCGCGACCTCCGGCTCGACGTGCGGATATGTCGATAACCACGACAGCCAAGCCACTGGCTGGTTCGCCAATGTGACAGGAACGACGTGCGCGACTTCGATCTTCGAGGCTCTCAGCAACAAGAACATCAGCTGGAAGAACTACTACGAGAGCGACATATTGGATTCGTATATCTACAAATGGGTGCAGGACAACGCCATGGACCGCCTGGTGCACGCAGATCAGTTCTACGAAGACCTCAAGAACAACAACCTGCCTCAATTCTCCTACATCAACCCGGAATGCTGTACCGTCGACTCGATGCATCCGACCAGCAACATGGCCGCCGGCGAACTCATGATCAAGCATCTATACGATGCACTCCGGAACTCCTCCTACTGGGACAATGTGTGAGTAGTCATTCCCTTCTACCCCAATTTGGACCAAACTGCATCCTCTCGCCACAAGCATCTGCCCCATACTAACATGCAACAACAGTCTCCTCATCATCAACTTCGACGAACATGGCGGTTTCGCCGACCACGTACCTCCCCCCACCGGCATCCCACCACCCGAGGATGGCATCACCTTCTCCGGCGAGTCCGACGGTCTCAACGTCACATACGACTTCACTCGTTTAGGTGTGCGTGTCCCGGCGATCGCCATCTCGCCCTGGATCCCGCCCAACACGCTCATCCACGACGAGGGGACCAAGTATGCCTCCAATTCCGAGTACACGCATACCTCGTTCCTACATTTCCTGCAGGAGCTCTGGGGCCTCGAGGGCTTCAACAACCGTGTCCAATGGGCCAAGACTTTCGAGCATATCTTCTCCGATACGCCGCAGGAAGGAGGCGGTTTGGCGAGTCTCCCCGCGCCCGTCTGGCACAGTACGGCGGGCCAACCGGAGCCGGATGCTTTCCCGCTTCTGAATCAGGACTATAGCTATTATGCGAGTCTCGATTAACAGACGATGGCAACAAGGAAGAATCAGAAGGAGGAGGAGGTATGAGCCAGTCACGTCAAGTCAGATAAAAGTAGGGCGGACGAGACAAGGTAGGGACTGTGTCTTCTCTTTGCGTGTCTTGATGGAAGAGCATATAATGGATAGATGATGAAGACAGCAAGAATTGAGATGGGTACTAGCGTGGAATAGAAAGGCCACGATCAAGATGATGATGAAGTTGATAGTCGCCAAGTAGAGAAAATATATACAACATACATACACCAGGAGAGCGCAGAGCCGTAAAAAGATTCGGTCAGATGGTCTTGGACGATGTCTTCTTCTGCCACTGGAGAGTGGAATGGCTTTCCATACACGGTAGTCCAAGCAGTCGACCCCAAAACCAATCCCGAATAGCCAAAAAGGCGGGTTGGCGCTGTTCTTGCATAGATGGCACGGGGAACAGTCTCCATGCAGAGAAGTGTTTCCCCATAATGTGCAAAATGGCTCACCCATCCAGCCTACAGGAACTGAGCGAAGTATGTAACCCCGGCAAACCGACTGTTCGCAGAGAGTGCTGGGCTAGACTTGTGTGCAGCGTGCAGCTTGTGCGTGGTTCGAATGCCATGCTTTGAAGCAAGGTGTCTCATTCGGACTCCCCGCGTGTCCCAAGTCTCGACCAAACCGTAGCAGAGAAGAGAGTGGATTGGGTCTCACGCCGGAAACTATGTCCAGAGTTGATTGTACCGGCTTTGACTGCGGGGGTGCCGCCGGCTCGGCCCTCATCACGTTGAAAAAAAAGGCTGAACGCTCTCCACATTGTATATGTGGTCATCGATTGACTCTGGCCCAGACGTCCGAAGCACCGAGCAGCGCACTGATCGAGCCGGCCATCCCAACCGTGACAGGATCCAGTGGAACCCATCCCACGACGGCCCCGGGGATAAGCAGATCGCAGCCGTCGATCACGATCTGCTTACATACTGCTCGGCGCTTGGCACTAGTTTGGACCTCGGAAGAAGGAGGGTTCGTTGACTGTGTTGTCGGCTTCTTCTCATCGTTTGGAGTACGTGTCGTCGGACTGTCGTCTTTTCGCTCTCTGGTGGACACGGAACTGGAGGCGAGCAATGACAGATCATAGATTCCCAACACAACAGAGACCGCGAGAGCGTAGAACCAGAACTTCAGAGCCTCGATTTGGAGAGCCGGACCCCATGAATAGGAAGTGATAGATAGTGCGTTTGTCTATGGAGTCATCCCAACAGACAGACTGTCAGCTTGCCGTTCTGTCATTTGCCGCCAAATGATACTGACGCGCGAAGTACAAGAGACTGCCAAACGCTCGGGAGGACTCACGATCGTAAACATCTCCATGAAGAGATATATGCCAAGAAATGACCATTTCAACACCGAGAGGAGGATGCGCACGTTGTCTCCCGAGGCTTTCTGCTCCTTTTCATCGTTCGGCCTCGGCGGCGTGTTGCCGTATGCCTGGTACTCTGCATGGGCGACTGTGAAACAATCGATCCATTTGAAGAGGCGCAAATAGCGACGTGCTGTGGGTGGAGCAAAGATGTCAATTCATCGGGTTTGATAAGCCGCACCTCGAGCGCCAGAAGCACTTATACGAGACGGCGAGGATCTCAAGAAAGGCCAGAGTTCACAAATATCTGCTGCTTACCAAGTGCAAATTGGTTCTTCGCTGTAGCCCATTGCGCGACCTCGATGGCAAGTGGGGAGTTAATGTTCTCGCCGATCTGCGAGACTGACTGTAGAAACTTGAGACTCTTTTCGATCCCAGCTAACAAGGGAGGACGACATCATTAGTTCTTCTTCCAGTCGCGATTGTTCAGGGAGCGTCCGCCGCCAATTGATAGCGGCCACTATTTTCGAGCTCACCGGAATCGTTGGTAAATTTTGCGACCGACCGGAGCATTTTCAGTACGTGTGGTCGGAGTATAATCGAGCACTTGAATTAGAAGGCGGAGAATATAAGGAGGTCCATGAGTAATAAAGATTGGCAATCATGTTGTTTGTTGGCAGCATCCAAACTGGACCAAGAGCGGATGAGGTTGAGATTCATTAAAGCAGCGAGAAATATCAGCCTAGTTCGAACATTCCAACGAGCCAGAACCACAAGAGTCCAATCTATCGACTTCAAGACATTCTGGCAACTCCAACTCTCCATGGTGCAATCCTTCGCTCTTCAAGCTGACCATCACCATGTCGGTCCTGTCGCGCATTTTAGTATTTGTTGGGCTATTGTCGCTGTTTCATGCGTGAGTGACAATTTACCAACCGACCGACCACAGGCACTGACATATTCCTAGGGCATATTCCGCCCATGAATTCTCGATACTGTCCACCAAATACCACAAGAATGCTCCTCTGCCGCTCGACATCAAGCTTGAGACACTTATATCAGTGTTTTTGGCATGCTTCGGTCTGGTTCTGGGTTCCGAACCCTTAAGACCTGTCAGCTGGAACGAGTGGGCGGGAAAGATTGAAAAAGAAGGCGGACCGCATCCATTCCGCGGTCTTGAAGATAGGGTCGGCTTTATGGACATCCGAGCGGAGCGGCGGGAGTTTGCAAACTGGGCAAAAGCGCAAGGCGCCGCTACGAAGAGCTAGGCTGTGTCTTATTGAAATGGTTTGCTTCTTGCGAAGTCGATGGCAAGTCTAGATCGAGGGCGCCGGGAACCTTGCTGGCTCGACGATAAGGATCGGCATATCCGAACAACGGTCGAACCCTCCATATAGCGTCCATGTGCGGTATACCCATCAGACGTTCTTCCACCAAGCACACGCACTCGCCCACGGAACTGGTGCTTGGACGAGACATGTGACTTTCGGGAAGGACTTGCTGCGCATTCTGCCAGCGCGGAAACGCAGAGTCAAGCTCAAAAGGATTTGCGCGGGGTGTGGATGGAAAGAACCGACCGGTGCGGACCCCAGATTGAATGAGTCAAGCTGTGATGCAGTCTCAACAAGAGAACGCAGCCAAAGGAGGGTTCAAACCGACTGTGCTTGTTGCAGCAGCGAAGAACAATGTGCAACCGCTGGAAAAGAAGAAACTTAAGATCCAGACAATCCAATTGAAGCCCTGAAATAGGGCGGATTTCGAACTACTCTATCAGCTAATGATCTGTCAGCCGGAGCCTTTCGGCGCGAACAAACTCCATTACATATCGCTCCTGCGAAATGTCCTTCTCCCCCTTCCTTTACCCTTTTACGAGTCCCATGCGCCGTTTCGCTGATCGATGACCCACTCCCAAGGACAATTTTCCGTCGATCCATCCATTTCTCATTCATGCTCACACGTCACAGTCATAACCGAAATAGATCCATCCCAAAAAAAGGAATCCCGAAGAGCGTTATTGACTCTGAACCAGGATTGGGACTCGCTTGTCTTCCAAAACTCCCATCATTGTTGCTCACAGCAAAGAGAAACATAGTCCAAGCACGACCAAGCTCACTCCAGCCCCGGCGACTTTATTAGACACCGCACCACCCGTGGCTTGGGCAAAGGTAGCAGTTGCGCTCTTCGTGTCGGTGGACTGACCTTGACTTCCCGACCCCGAGGCGGCCACCGTGCTGGTAGCCAGTGTCGTGCCAGATGAGTCGGCAGTCAGGAGAGCACTCGATGCCACGGCGGTCCCGTCGGAGCTGGAACTGTTCGCATACACGTACCCAGAGTAGGTGGGGAGCGTGGGCGAGACGGGTTGACTCGTGACGACTTCCGGCTGGCTGGTCACGACGGACGGCATCCCCGTGATGACGCCCAGCGAGTTTGTCATGCTGGTATAGCTGGTGAATGGGTTGTCGTATGACGAGGTAGCCGAAGGATCCGAGACGGCAACTGAGGGGGATGATGCTGCGGCTTGGATCTGGCCGTCGGGGATTTGCGAGATGGCTGTCAGCGTCGAGGCGACTGCTTGGGGTTCGGGGGCGGCGTGGGTCTGTAGAGGCTGGTGGAGAAGGAGGATGGCGAGGGAGAGTGAAGATAGGGAAAAAGCGCGAATGGACTGCATCTTTGAAGAACGCTGTTGATGTTGTTGCTGAAGCGGAAGCGGAAGCTGAAATTAATGTTGACGGTGTTCACGATGTGGTCTTGTCTCTTGCTCTCGCCGATGATAGAAGGAATATGCGCGGGTGTCGTGGGCCGTCTTCTCAGTCTAGAGTATTTGTTTGGAGGTATATGTCCGGTCGATTATCCCAGCGCTTTGTCCTTCTGCGCAGAGGTTTGGCTGAATAGATTGTCAGGATGGATGGATAGGTCGTACGAAGGAGAGTCCGTGAACAGTCCGTGTCGGGGCAATGATCTGCTTTCAGTCTATATACATACCACCCTTCTGTAGGGAGTCCTGCAGGCTATTGCGAACGATACAAACACCTTCCCCTTTCCACCGCAACCAGCACGATTCCTGACCAACCACCAACCACTGGCATGGGGACCATTCCCGCCTCGCCCTCGGTAGCAAGCCGAGCGGGAAGGGTGAAAACCCCCGCAATAAGAACACTTATGTTGGCGGGGCTACATACATTTACAGATCCAGGGCCCGACCAACCATTCAGCCACTGCCCGTGTTGACAGCTTCGTTGATAGGCAGGAAAACAACTTGAAGGGGAGCCGTTGCGGGTAACAGGCTTCTTAAACCGGCTAGCTGGGCGGAATGTGGCTGGTTGCGGTTTAGCGTGGTGGGTTTGCGGGCGGCTGGTTGGACGACGGCTGGCCCCTGCCCCTTGTTTCAGATCAGAAGTACGAGTGACCGAGTCGTGGACATACAAAAGGGACATCAACCCCCTTGCATGCCTTGACTAGCATTGGATATCGATAGTGGCCGGTTGCGTGCGTTTTGTTTGTTGTTGTGACGGTCGGCCGCAGTAGCATCATGGCCCAACCCCGACACTCCTGGGTGCCTTAGGTAATGATACTCGAAGACCTAGACACGTACTACTAGTATTATGGTACGCGCGCAATACTGATGTCCTGCTTGTTGGTTGCTATGGACACTTTGGAGCAGTGCAACCATGACACACTGCAGACTACTAGTATTATAGCCTCGACCTTGATGTGATGCATGCAGAGAACATCCTGAAAATGCCAGCCATTAATCCATATGCTATGCAATCAACTTCATTCGCTTGAACGCTCGGACCAAACGACTGGGCAGAAACCGAAGGTGGCCTTGTGGAAGGTGCCCATTACCCGTGCATAGACCATTCCATCATAACCGTCGGATTCCAACACGTGGTTGCCCCTTCCTGCGCGCTCCGACGTTCGAAACCTTGCGTAATGGGGCTGGCCTCGATTCGAGAGGTCCTTGCGCAACATGCGAGACCTTGGCGCCAGCAGCATTCTCCTTCCCTTCATCACCAGCATATATCTGGCTCTGGGACGTGGTTTCAATGTTCGAAGCTCCGGTGCGCGTGAGTTTAGGCGACTTGCGCACTGGTTGTCCTGGTTCACTGTCTGAGTGAATGGGCCATGAGTTCTCAGGGGCGTGGAGTTCATTGTGATGATCATCAGTATGCTGAGCGCCTTCAGCCGGGGAGGGTAACTCTGAAAACGGTCGTTTCCCCCTTGCAGAGCCACCCGTGCCAGCTGCACAAGCAATATTCTGCTCCGGGTCGTTCTCCTTCATGTTATCCTCCACGGTCTCTTCTGCAGACCGCCTGCCGATCCTTGCTGACTTCTTTGGAATCACCCGGTCGTCTTCCTCCTCGCCACGCCGCTTGGCCTCATGCACAGACTTCAGTAAATGCCGAGGAATAGGTGCATGAATGCTTGTCATGAGCTTAGCCTGAGTCGAGAATGCCTCATAATCCTCTTGTATTAAGGATCCTGCCGCAGCATTCAGCGCCGAGTCTGGGTTCGGCTGGATCAGTAGACAAGAGATCGTGACCAAGATGTCTTTGAGTGTCAATTTCGGATCCCAGTCTCTTTTCAGCGTTTCCAGGCACACTGCGCCGGTTGTTTCTTCCACGTTTGGATGGTAGATGCGCGTCTTGAAGGTCGCCTTTGGCGGGCTCTTGGGGTAGTCGTGTGGCATCTTGAGATGTAAGCGCCATAACCCTTGCGAGTATGGAGTTCCTTCTGCGCCGGTAACCAACACCACGAGTTGGGTGAGGTCGTCAGGATGTGAGGCATCCTCGTTCGCCGGAAAGAGGTAATTCGGGGGGAGGGAGGACTGTAGTGCAGCAAAGTCCTTGGCAAGACGGCGGAAGGAAGACGCCTAGGTGATTGTCAGACTTCTCTGTATAGCAGACCGCGATGATTGACAAGACTACAGGCGCGGCTCACAAAATCGACAAAGTGGAAACCACCCTGTCACAAGATCCGACTTACCATTTCTGAATGAATTGACTTGCACTAATATGAGCGTTCACATATACACGAGAGCGTTCTGTTAGTATGCATTGTCGTGCGTGTTTACATGGGCCGTGGACACAATGATCGCGTCGTGGCGGCCGCACTCTGTGCATGGAGCAGGAGCAACATTTCTCCGAGATTTTACCACGTGACCACGAGGCTATTGCTCACGTGATTGCTCGATGACTCAGACGGTCAACCCATCTTCAGCTTCAAGTTCCTTTGGTACTTTGAGAGATGAAAAGTGCAACAAGCCTTGAATTTCTGACACACGTCCCCAGGTCCAGCATCAGAGCGGCTGAATCCAAGTTGCGGGATCTCCTTGTCGACCATCGAACACTACAGTGCGTCATCCACGAGACCATGGCGCCAACATGGTTCGTCCAGATCTCCAACTCTCGCATCTCTCGCACAAAAGTCAAATTGTATACGACCCACCAATCTCGCGCTCTGTGTACCTGCCGCCGCTGGGACAGTCCGAGGCGGCCCTTGTCCTCGAGCATAGAGTTGGCGTTGAGCCTTTCAGCCGTCATGTTCATGTTGGGCAACACCGCCTTCAGTGGAGGTAAGGGTTTCTTTGCAAGTGTGGCTCAGCTGCATTTCGTCTACGAACAAACCAATCATCTTCGATTTTGGTGTTCGATGGTCTGCCTCGCGGTCGGCCTCCCCGGTTGGCTTTGGACACGGTCAGCACACCCTAGCTGATGAATGAGGGTGTAAGACTGCGGTGAGAGCGAATCCGTCCCGCCTGGAGAAGCCACTTGGGATCTCGACTGTCAAATGTCAGCTCCATCCTGCCTCCCCACCCATTTCCACCTTCGACGACCGTCCTTTTGTCTTTCCCTCTTGTCCTTCCTCTCCATCACCACCCTTCCAGATTCCCCAGGCCATCATCCCCGTCGGTCTGGAGGTGGGCTCTGTCTTCCATACTACCTGGGTTGCGTCTTTTGAGCCCCCATACTTACGCTTGCAATTGTCGGCGTCCGCGACGGCTATCGCCTAAACCAAGCGCCTATTTAGGCTTCTCCGGGCATCACCACATCGAGGAACCATGCCCAAATGCCAATCTGCCTACTCCTATTGAATGATAAAATCTGTCCTTGGGAGGCTCTGCCACAACCCGGCCAACAGCCGAAGCTTACAGAATCTCTGGCAGGCTCCCGACTCCATGACATCGATGGCATTTTACGCCCTTTCTAACGATATATACGTACAGTATCAGCCGCAGGTTGCTTCTTCGTAACGGACTCTGTTTCAACTATCCTTCCCATTACCTACCGAGTCTCACTCAGTACCTGCATGTGGAACCCTCTCCAAGATCGGACTCCTTCACTTACCTATTGAAGCACCTGGCCGACCGCAGATCCACTGGATGCGCTTGGGCACATTTGGCCATTGTATGAGTCCAACCCACTATTGACTAACGCCCCTCGTACTTTTGACGCAAGAGTCTTTGCCACCGCCGCTGCTATCAGATCTGCCTGCAATGTGGCTGCCAGTTCGAACTTCGTCCTCCCATGCCTTGGCACGTAAGAGGCGGGCCAGCAAACCAAAAGTACGGACAGGTTGCAAGACATGCAAGGTAGGTTTCCCCCCACTTCACAACAGTCAGACCCATGTCCAGCATGTGTCGGATCTGGTGTCGTATGATACCAGCGATGATCTGGATACTACCGCCGGGCAGCTGAAATATGACCGACATATTTGCCTGACTCGCGTCTCTGACTAGAATTGCCTCCTAGGTACGGCACGTCAAATGCGATGAGATCAAACCCAGCTGTAAGTTGCTCCTTGTTCATCGCTTGACAGCTTTGCCTCCCGAATCAATGCTCACGTATCCCTGTTAGGCAAACGGTGTACCTCCACTGGTCGCAAGTGTGATGGGTACGAGTTTCCTCCCAAAGAGGCTTCCGGCAGCCCAGCATCAAGTTCTTTGTCGCCACCTCACTGCCCTGGGGTGACATTTCAGCATATGTTTCAACCCAACTCCCTCTCCAAACCCTTCCAAGGCACCATTCAAGAACGTCGTATCTTCCACCGCTTCCAGTACTGCACCGTGCCCGCCTTCGCAGGTGGATCGGAATCCGGTTTCTGGACCAAGCTCGTACTCCAAGTGGGTCAAGCCGAACCTATAGTGCGGAACGCGATCATTGCACTGGGGACGCTACATGAAGATTACCAGGAGCGGCGTGGCAAATATACCCCCAAGGCCATCGAGGGTGACAGCCGTTGGCACGCCCTAAACCTATATGGTGGCGCGTTGCACCAGCTGAATCAAAAACTCGACGTGCCATCGGAGACCAACGCCAGGCTTGCCATCATTGCAAGTATATTATTTGCTTGCTTCGAGGTCTTGAACCGCAATAATATGGCCGCCGTCACCCACTACCAGGAGGGAATGAGAGCATTGATCCGCGAAATGAATCTTCCTGAGGGCGACGAGTCATCCATGACACCATATTCCCCGAGGCAACAGGCCAAAGCGAGGTTTCGAGAGATCCCTCAAGATGAAGTGGACGAAATACTGCGCGTCTTCGCCCGATACGATATACAAGCTTGCACCTTCTCCAAGGACCGGGCCGAGCCTTTGTTAACCCACGTCGGCCAGGTGCCGCGGGTCCTGCCAACCAACCTTTCGTTGAGTCAAGTCTGCAATCATCTGGATAACCTTCTGGTGTCGGTGTACCAGCTGGTCAAGTCCGACTTGCGCATGTATCGTTACTGGAAAGCCGACTCGGTGCCCATAGAATGGCAGGTTCAACGACGGGAGGCGGTTGGTGTCTTTGATTCATGGATGGACGCCTTGGAAGGCTTCTTCCAGTCTCATGCGACGAATCTTTCCCCTGCCGACATCAGAAGTCTTCTGGGCCTGCGACTCCAGATCAAGACGGCGGTCATGATGCTTAAGACATGCATAGACTGTGGGCCTGAGACCACTTTCGACGCTTTCACCGACGGATTCGAAGACATGGTTTCCAAAGTCGAACAGATGACCACGGCGTTGAGGATGCCGGAAGCCCCGCCTCTCGAAGTCGAATTCATCCCTTTCACCATGGAACTCGGGATTGTCCACCCACTGTTCTTTATCGCATGCAAATGTCGAGATCGGGATATTCGACGTCGAGCGGTGGGCCAGTTAAAGAGGGCGGGCAGGGAGGGCGTCTGGGAAGGCCCCATCATGGCTGTTCTGGCACAGAGGATTGTGGACCTGGAAGAAGAGGGTCTCTCTGAAGGAGAGGAGGTGCCGGAAACCAACCGTATCCATGAGATCAGGAAGGACGTGAACTATGACTCTCGACAAATACGGTTTGAAGCGACAAGAGCTTCCGACATGACGTGGAAGAATTTCTCAGTGCACAGAGAGGTCCTCGGGTTCTGAAGCGTGTTCGCACGGCGGATTGGAGCGTCATTAGCGACAAATGCGAATGAATCAGCCATACATATCGTCTACACCGATGTGGTTTTATTATGAGACAACGACCAATATCTCAAAAAGCGACATCTGGCATTGAAGGGGGTTATTGAATGCAGATTCGGACAGGTATTATGAGATGAAGATATGAGATAATGATATATGTACGGACAGAATTGAGCAGTTGTTCGAATCAAACCCTCGGACCGTATAGCAAGTGATGACAATATGACCACACCGGTCGCAGCGTTATACCTACGGTAGCCTGTAGGTAGAGACGCAAGGGCCATGGCGTCGGAGAATTTCCCAGAGTCGGCTCTAGGAAAAGTTGGAACAGACCACAGCCCTTTCAAGCTCTGATCACATCTTGATTAGCATCTCACTATCTTGCCCCTGATCCCTGTCAGCCTCGCATCTCCCGTTGGGCGGTGGCTTCAGCCGGCCGGCCAATGCTCCGCCCGAGGTCGCCCACGGCCAATCATCTACTCGAGTCAGGTACACAGAGGGCTCTGATTGGCCGACACCCAGCTGTCAGCCTGTCTCTGGCGTGTCGCGTCAAGCCTCAAACCTGTGGAAAAGCATCCTCGCTGGCTGAGTTCCTTTCCCAATCTCGGTCAAAACCATGAATCAATTCGTCGTCCAGTCTTATTTTTGACACCTTGAGGCTTCGCATCTGACCTTTCCCCAGTCGTCCACGTCCTCCCACCATCCTGTCTGCTCCTTTCCATGGCGGCGGGTAGACTGCGGAGTCTGGTCTCTAATGTCAATCTGAATAACACGAGGGTGTAAAGGCTTGACCACTTCGCTCCGCAGCCCTACGATTGCCAGCACCCTGGGTCCCCAACCGTTCATGAACCTCGAAGAGAGCGAATCTCCGATCGGTCCTACAATCCCCAGAGATTTCCACAGCAGCTCCTCCCTCCATTCAGGTCAATCATCGCCAAACGCATCAAGGTCGCGGAGGTGGTCATCCACGCCTGCAGAAGACGACCGGGCCTCGTCGTTCACTCTTCCTCCTCTACCGAGCCTGCGTCGCGCCGAGAGTCAATCCGAAACCTTCAAATCCCCCGAGTATCTTCGCCAGCGGGCAGGGAGCGGAGCTTATTACGCTGCCGCTTGGGGATCCCCATACGCTACTCCGAGTCCTCGAAGATCACCTCGCGTCGTACGTCACAGCGGCCACTCCCACGAGGTAGACCTAACGCCTCCATATCTCCCGATCCGCCAGCCCGCGAAGGTCCTGTCTTCGAGTCGTCTCCAGGAAAGCACTGCGACTCAGAAACAAGATAACGTTTCAGAGAGGAAACGTGTGGGGACAACAAGAAGACTACGAAACGCGATTTCGGAGAGGCCGAACTGGTTGAGCGAGTCTGAAGAGAGTGGCTCCAACACAAGCGCGGCCTCAACCCCAACGCGGGAAGCATACCTTGACACTTGGGGAATCTCTGGCGTTGACTTTGTACCGCCTGGCATACGAAAACATCGAGTTAACGAAAGCGTTGCGACCATAACCCCGGATACGTTCCATGACTCGGAAATCGACCCAGTAAGGTCTGAAAGTCAGCATCGACAGCTTTCTCCGTCCAGGGAGAATAGCATGGCCGAAGATCGTGGCAGTGTCGACATAGAGGATCGGCGTCTTCCGGTCCTTCCTCGTCGTGTCTCGACAGCAGAAGGGCCGGACAGAACACACGAAAGTCCTGCTTCGTCGGGACGGCCCCGGCCCAGCTCGATGCAGTCATATCAGAGACCCAAAAAGAAGGTGGTTTGGAGAGGCAAGGCATGCATTATAGCATTACCTTTGACGGACCGGCAAGCTGCAGGTCTGCCACCTCTATTGACAGCTCAAGAAATCAAGGATCGTATACAAGGATGGATTGCTGCCGGCTATCGTGTGGATGGCTTCGAGCCACCTGTCGAGGGTAATGGCCAGAGCCGACCCGTGTACCCCGATCCGGCAGACATGCAGGCCGAGCGCAAGTTACGCCACTATCAAGTCCATCTCCCCGACCAAGCAGAATGGGATTCGTGGGTGGATTTTCTGAAGGAGGAGAAACTTCGAATGCTGGGCGTGAGCCCGAGCAACTCAGAAGCACTTCCGCCGACGAAATCCCCATTTCCGACAACCTTGAGTCGAGGCTCGTCTGGTCATCCAGGTCTGCCACATTCGCCTCCAATTGTACCATCGTCTGCTGGAAGTATACCTATAAGAACAAGCGGCCACCCGTTCTCTCCGTCTCTGATGTCGTCTGCCGGGATCAGTCCCCAGCCTCCTTCTCTAACGTCATCCCAGTATAGTGTTCTCCCGAAAGCACCGCATGGTTACAAACAGTCAGTTGCCCTCCCCAATGCTCATGGAAGAATCACCTCGCCATTCGAGCCTGTGTTTCCGCAGACAAGTCCATTCGGCACCGGAGCCCGTCCGAACATACAGCCCTTGTCATCTCGGCAGAACAGTTTCTCGCCAAATCATCCTTTACATCTTCCAAATCTTGGCGAGATCCTCTCTCCAGTGTCTCAACCACGAGGCGTAGACGTACGCGGCCCTCAGACTAACTTCATGTCTGATTCGGCGGGGCGCAATCCAATCCGGTCTCCCGGATATGTGGCTCATTCGCAGAACCTTAATCAGAACACCCCAGCCCCCAGAATGCCGACGCGTGTGGATAGTTTGGATCAGAATGGACCCTCTAGACCTCCGATTGAGATTGCACATCCTAAGCCAAAGAGTCATCGTCAAAACCTAAGTCTGGCACTTCAAAGGGAGATTGACGAAGCCGAAGCAGCATTGCATGCGAAGGAGGGGAATACCGGAGGCGAAGCGACTGAGGATTTCGACAGATTCGCCAGGAAGAGTTCCGCAATGGATGAGTCTTTGCACGAAGAACCTCCTATTCTGAGGCGTCCTGAAACGATGACAGATGAGGGATTCGAGATTGAAACCAACCCGAGCATAGCTGCGACTCCAATGCTTATGGACGACAAGAGCCCATTTGTTGTGAACTGGCAAGCATTGAGTGACGCCGCCAAAGCCGAACCTCAGACTACTGACGAGCGTCGTCAACCTACAAGCAAGTTCAACGTGGAAGCTAAGGAATTCGACCCTAGAGCTGGTTTCTCGAGCACGAACTTTTCTTTCGGAGGAGACAGTTTCGCGCCCTTCGGTCCGCCTACGTCGGCTCCAGCACACCCAAACCTGAGGCCTGCAGTGACAAGCAGCACGTCGTCGGTGTCTCGTCTTAACGTGGAGGCACCTGCATTCACACCGTCCTTCATGTCACAAACTGTCCCGAATGAAACACCATTCCAATTCAGCTCGGCAACTTTCAATGTCGCAGGAGCCACATTCCTATCTGTCCGGCCCACGGACGTGGACTTCAAGCGCAGCGTCAGTTTTCCCGTTGGAGGAACAGCAAACAGCCCGGACAGCATCTTCGGCAAAGTTGTTATTGATCCAGCCTCCAAGGTCTCAAGAAGAACAAGCAAAGGTGTTCCAATCGTCATGCCGAAGGCAAAGAACGGTCAAGAGGCAGAATCGGGGAGCGAGTCGCAGAGCGAGTCGGAGAGCGATCCTGAAGAAGAGGACGGTCGGCCAATGGCGCCTACTGATAGACAGAAGCGAGCGCGGCGACGGAACAGTGACGGTGATCGCAGTCCTGTCTTTGCTACATCAGCTCCATTCAACCACTCGAGGATCTTGTCGGAGATTGTGGATAATGTCGATGCGGACGGACCGAATCCGGGAATCCCGCAGAAACCCGTTGATGGTTGGTCCTATATTCAGGCGGACAAGACGCAGCTCGAGAGCAAAGGCGACATCGTGTCAGGCCAGGAGAAAGACGGGGCTGCCCGGCACAGCGAGTCAGAATTTACCTTCGGGGATCAGCAAGACGCCGCCAAGTTCAATGAGGCTCGTCCATTAGACACGGATGGCAGAGCTGCATCTGAGGAAGATGTCCAGGCTGAGACGGCGAAGGATGTGAAACAAGAAGTGCCTTCCTCAGACGAACCATCGCCGGCTGTAGGACAAGCGCAGAAGCCCACATCATCTTTGTCAGCACTTGCCAGGCCTTTCGAGTTCAAAATTCTTTCCTCGAGTCTGCACACGTCTTCGGCGAATGGCACTCCTCAGAAGCCTCAGGGGCTGGAAGTTTCAAGACATGCGGTACCACCAAGCCCAAAAGAGTCGTCCAGAGAGGTGTCTGCCAGCCTTTCCTCCCCTCCAGCAGAGTTGTATCACTACACAGGCGGACAAGACATCTCTGATTCTGATGTTGATGTCGTCCAGGTCTTCGAGGAGAGCACCACTGAGAACGATGCTGTGCCTCGGCGCGAACGTGAGTGTTCGTTGCAGCAGCAATCCGAAGCCGGTGAGCCTGTACATCGTACCGAAGCTGAACAATTTGAAACGAAGTCTCCACAACGGCAGCCCCACGACGAGGCCGTCCCGTCATTCGAAGAGATTGACGCCGTCATGAAACAATTTGAAGTCCACCCGGAGCTGGGTATCGAACGTACTGATACCCCGCTTCGGTCAACACCTCTCGTAGACTCGCGTCTTGGTCGAAACTTTCGCAGCGACGCTCCTAGTCCGAGTCTCTCGAGGTCTGAAGACAACAAACGCGCTGAAAGTGAAAAATCATACGCTCCTTCACTTGGACGGGGAATTGAGGTCGATAACCTTAATCCCGACCAGGATGACGTTGGCGATTGGGGAGAAACCTTGCCTGCAAAGGAAGAAGCCAAACCGGATATCCGATCAGAATTCTTTGACGGCCATGTTAAAGACCTGGTCGGCGGCCTCCTTGAGGATCGCCTGGCTCCTCTAGAACGAACGCTACAGGTCATCCAGCATAGCTTGGCCGTCGTGGCCACAGGCACAAGACCTAAGAACCGTCGGCATAGCACGTCCAATGAGCTCAAAAATTCCGATGCAGATGATGAAGACGACTACGACGCTTTCGAAGGATTCCCGTCTTACAGAACCAGATCTCCTGCGACAAGAAGAGAAGGACGGCAGCAAGAACGGATCCGCGCCGCCGTTGCGGAAGCGTTGGCTGCATACCAACCACCACCTGCGCCACCACAGCCTTCGATAGACATGACCGAGATTCAAGGAATTGTGCAAGAGATGAGGCAGCTTGCTCAGCAAGCAGGATCACAGGATACCCAGGCCGAACTGAAGACGATTGTGGAAGATGTCATCTCGCATCATCCGCGATTACGGGGTTCTAGGGTACATCAAGATCATGAGGCTACCGAAATGAAATACAAGCCGCAGATCGATGGATTGGAGAGCATGCTTAAGATATCCCAAGAACACGCGGCCGAAGAGGCCCGCCTTCGAAGACAAGCTGAACAGGAGCTTAACGAGGTGAAATTGCGTCTACGCATTGCCGAGGAGGAAGCCGCGCAGTATCGCGAAGCATCGGAAGAGGCGCAACAGTCATTACAAGCTTTCATCGAAGAGAAGGAATCATACAAATCCTTGGAACAGGACGTCGATGCTCTCAGTCTCAAGAATGCGGCTCTAGAAACGACGCTCGAAGAGTATCGGGTCTCAAGTGATCAATGGCGGGAAGACATTCGCTCTGAACGTGAGAAGAACAAGGAGCTCAAGGAGACGTTGCGATATCTGCGGCAACAACTGGAGGACCAGTCGCACTCTCGACAGAATCTTCGGACAAAGTTGGATCGTGTGCAGGCTCATATGACCCAAGTCGTCCATGATTTGCATGCGGAACAAGCCGAGTGGCGTGAGAAGGAACACGATCTCCTGAACAGACTGTCCCTTCTCCAAACCGAACTCGAACACGAACGGAGACACCGCGAAAAGGCCGAAGTCGATCTCGATACGCTGAACAAGGAACACCAGACTTATATGCATTTCCGGAGTGCTCTTGAGCAGTCCCAACAGGAAGTTTCCAGACTGAACGAGCTGCTGGCGTCACTCAAGGAAGAGAACAGAGCACTCGACACCAAAGCTTTCAATCTCGACCGCGAACTGGCCCATGTAATCAGCAGTAAAGATGCCGAACTGGCGACATCTACAGCAAAACTACAGGCCGAGCTGGACAGCACCATAGCCCGCCTCGAGAGCATTCGTACTGACTCCGAGGCTCAGATCTCCAGATTGCAAAGCCGCCTAGACCATGCCGAGCTGGACATTGAAGACCAGAAAGCCAAGCATGATGCGCTGATGAGTGAGACAATCGAAGCACACAAAGAAGCACTTCGAGAAGCCAACGAAAAGCGGGAGAGCGCGCTAGAAGACCAACACCACGCTCACGAGAAGAAGCTCAACGACCTCCGCGACCGTCACACCAGAGAGTTGCACAATTCCTTCGACAACAGGACTCGATTGGAGCACCATCTCAACGAGAAGTTGAGTCTGAGCGACGACAGGGTGAGACATTTGGAAAGCAAGGTCGCTGATCTCGAAGAACGACTAGAGATCACCAGGTCGGCGGCCAAAGCAGCGGCAGAGGCGGCAACAGCCAAAGGAATCAATGTCCCCACTCCCGCTCCGTCTGTCATAGCATCACCGCCGCAACGAGCCTCCAGCGCCTCAATGTCGTTCCCTAGTGGATCCGATGTTCCCGAGAAGATCTCGCCGCAGGCTCTTCGGGAATCGATTATGGTGCTGCAAGATCAACTGCAGAATCGGGAACAAAAGATCGAGAAATTGGAATCAGAGCTGGCCGCGGTCGACAAGGAGGCGCCTAACAAAGTCAAGCAACGCGACACCGAAATCAGCTGGCTCCGCGAGCTACTGAACGTGCGGATCGATGACCTTGAAGACATCATCAACATGGCCTCACAGCCGGACTTGGACAAGGACAGCGTCAAGGATGCGGCGATCCGACTCAAGGCAAATCTCCAAATGGAGCAGCAACTCAAGGAGCGGGTGGCGTCCAGCTCTGCGTCCGGATTGACAAGTCAGATCCCGGCTTTGGCGGCTCTATCCAACTACGCTCAATCACCACGAGCACTCCCCATGGCCGCCGCTGCCGCATGGGGCAACTGGCGCAGAGTAAGGGAGACTTCCATCGGAGCGCTGTCCGACCTGGCCTCCAACATCAGCAGCCAGACGCAAACACCGTCCAAATCGACCGTCGGAAGTCCAGCCAGTTTCTTGTCGGGGATCATGACGCCCCCCAGCACTAGCCAGAGAGGTGTTTCAGGAGGAGAACCTCGAGGCTTAGGCCGGTCGAACTCGAACGAGCTACCGATTCCCCCACCTAGTATGAGACCTCTCGCGGCGGCAGCAGCAGCAGCACAAGCTCGAAAGGGCAGTTCCCCCGCCGAAGCACCTCGACCGCTGAGAGCGTGGAACTCTCAGCCTCGATCTCTGTCCAGTCGGCAGCAAGAGCCGAGACGGGTTAGTGGCGAGCCGCTGGGAAAGAGACGGGAGAGCCTTGAGATGCAGAACCCCAAGAGGCGTGAAAGTTCCGAATCTAAATCTCATTCTCAATCTAGCCTAGGTCCTGGTGCTGGTGCTGTTTCCAGTTCTGATCCCGCTTCACCACGGACACCGACACCGGCACTTGAGAGAGAGCGAGCTGGTCGACCGCAGCCGAATATGAACATGAATCTCGATCTGACGGACGATGTCGACGACGACGCGTCTCTGCTGGACAGCACGGCAACGGAAACAGAACATGAGCATGAACATGAACATCTCAAGCCGGAGCCGCACGCAGATCTGGACTCAGAACCGCCGTCTATCAGCGAATAATCCCTTTTGCTCTTAACACGTCGAGGAAACTCTAAGAGGGGTTGATGGACACTTTGTCAAAGTTTGACTTGTATGTTTGTTTACCTTGACTTGCTTATCTTGTAAAAAGACAAGAAAGGCTCGATCAGCTCGAAGGAAGACCCGAGTCGGCATGCAAAGGAGAGGCAAACGCCAACGCAACAGCAAAACCGATGACGAAGAGAAGGGAAGAGAGAAGAAATGACAAGAGAATAGAAGGGGAAGAGCAGAAAGGGGATGATACCAATTCACCATTCACCACTCACACGTCTTTTTCTCCTCTTCTTTTTTCATCATGTTTCGAGTTCTAGCTGGACTGGACTGGGCTACTAGCATTGCGAGAGAGTGAGCGCGCATTTTCCAGTCATTGATGTTTTTTTCTTCGTTTTCCCCATGTCGGCAGGTTGTTCTGTTCTGTTCTGTTTGTCGTGACATACCCGGTGTAGGTACTAGTAGGTAGCTAGCTATCTCGTTTCTTTCTTTTCTTGCTTAAGGACTGTCCAGTGTCCAGTGTATTCAGTCTTGTCGGATATACCCCCCTCTCTTGTCTCAAGCGTGCTATTGGTGTGAGTATTTTTCAAGTCTGAGAGTTCCGACCAAAATCCGGTCTGCTCAATCGTGAGATTTCCGTGTTCATCTTGTTCATCAACGAGCTTGTTGATTTTCACATATTGGACCGTGGACCGTGGACCGTGGTACGTGTGTGCATGTATATATATATGTGTTGAAAGGTATATAGCTGGATATAGCTAGATATCCTATCGTATCTAAGATGCCTGAAGAGCGAAAGCCTGAATTATGTGATATATCTGGTCAATGATAGATAAGAGAGAGAGAGAGATATATATATATATATATAGCTTTTTGAAGAATTTGTTATTTTTATTTTTGTTGTTCTTATTATCACTAATTATTTTTCTAAGCTTGGATTCCGTCCAGGCTTTGGGGTTTTATCATTCGGAAACTTGAAAGCCAAATCGTCGCCGTCAAAAGAATGGTCTTCGAAGCTAGGAAGGAGGAGGCGTTCATCTTCGAGTTCCAGATTCCAACCAAGTCCCAAGTTCCGAGTTCCGAGTTTCAAGTTTCAATCACACGGTTTGGTGGAGGGTTGGTAGGTAGTAAGTATAATCGTTGTCTCTTAGACCTAAGATATCCCGGATGGTCTAGGTATTTCCGCCTAGTACTAGAACACCAGTATATATATTCCGGAAAGTAGGAGAGAGTAGGAGAGAGTAGGGTAGGTATTTGATCTTCGGAGGTACGTATATCGTCCATATGGACAACACCCAGATACTACGTAGTATATCAGACAGCAGAAACAATCACGACCACACGGACTGAGATCCCATTGCCTTTTCTCTCTAGAAGTACAGTACAGTAGAGTAAAATATATGATGATACATTCCACCAGAAAGAGTTGAATTATATATGTATTATACATATGACACCCTGAGCTCCCAGCTGCGGCCGAGGCCGAGGCATCTAATCCATCCAAGTCAACCATCGGGGGCATTCATTCATTGGCAGCAGCTTGAAACCGTTGGTCTGGTCAATTGGCCTGCCTCAAAGCCCCGACCGACCTCGTCTGACAGTTGAAGCGCGTCTGGCCTTTCTTTTGCCTTTCTTATCACCGGATTTGGAAGAAGCACGGAAGCCCATGGATCCCAGGGGATCGGCGAGTTCGGCTTCCCATTCGCGCATGTTGGTGTCGAGGTCGTCGTATCGGTATTGGCCGGGCTCGACGCCAGCCGCAGCAGCAGATCTGGATGGGTTTGACTTCTTCGTCTGCGACGTTGACGCTTTCGGAATACTAGCACTCGCTGTAGCTGCTGCTTTCATAGTGTTCTTGGCCGCTTTGGACGGCGGGAGGGGATTGATCTTGTCCTCGTCAAACTCGTCGAACGTAAATGAAAAGGACTCGACACCGGAAGATGCGGGCGATGTGGAATGCCCGGTCTCCTTGACCTTGGACGACGGGTCGATCTGCGCTTTGGCAGCTTTAGACTTCTGCTTCTGCTTTCTTGGAGACGATCTCGGTCCTTCTTCACCATCAAGATCTTCCATGTCCAGCGCCTGTTCGAACTCCGCCTCCTCGTCGAGTTCCGCCAGCTTTTCTTGTTCCATCTGCTCCATCAGATCTGCCGCTTGGTTCTGCAGTCGTTCCTTGCGGCCGCGGGCGCGCTTGGCCTCCTTGGTGTGAGGGCCGCCCATTCGGAGGGTGCGTGGAATACGAGTCTTCGCACCCAACGCCCACAGATCACCCCACTGCGACTTGCGCGCGTCGTGGTACGCTTGTTTGCTGAAGGACTTGGGCACCGTCCATCGCTCGATCTTGCCGGCAGGAGTGCAGACGTCCATGATCACATGGCCGCGACGCTTCATGGGCGTGAAGACCAGCCGGGGGAGGTTCCAGGGTGCGGGAAGGCTCTGACGGGCCTTGCCGTCGGCAAACGCCGAGGCAGAGTCTTCGAGGGTCATGGTAGGGTCGACTTCATCGAAGCCTGACTGACAGAGCTTCATCCACGTACTGTAGTCCTCGCCTAGAAGTTGGGGATCTGGGTGAAAAGGTGCCGAGAGGCCATCCTCAAGTCCTTTCCAAGAGTTGAGCTGTCGTTGGCGCAGATCGTCTCCTTTCATGACGGACAAGTAGGAAAAATCCACATCGTCGTGGTTTCGATCTTTGGCGCCCAGGATTCGTTGAAGGTAGGTGGGTCGCGTATATCGTTGTTGGAAACTGCAAAAGTCTTTCCGACCTTCTGACAGACCCGACATATGATACATGGGACATTTCTCGTGATTGGTGCACGGCGCCACGATCATGCCAGTCTCCCGCGTCAGAACGTCGTCACTTTCATGACCTGCGCTGTATCCGGTCGTGTGCCCTTCCGGTACGGCGATGTATTTTTCCAGAAGAAGCTCGCGAGCACCGGCGACCGCTTCGAATCCGCGAGGCACGCCTTTCTCGATCAGTATCAACACGCCTCCCTTGTCGCTCAGCATGGACCAGAGGTTCTGGACATGCTGTTTTCGCATCCAGTCTTCCCGCAGGCCGAACAAGGAATGCGAAGCAATGATCACATCAAACTGTTTGCGTTGCTGGGCTGGACGGTCGTCCTCCAGTGTAGGGGTATCACGTGTGTGTACGTAATCTGGAAGTCGTGGCACGAATGTCGTGTTGTCCAACAGCGCGGCCGCTCGATGTCTCAGGGTATCCGAGCCTGTCAGGACGACGGATTTTGACTCTGGAACAGGGGGCGGGTCACGATCGGATGAATGCATGGAATCCCAATGAGCCTTGACAATCTCTCGCCAGGCAAGAATGCCTGCTCCTCCTGCGCCAGCATCGAGGATGCGAGGCCCTCCTTCTTTGGCAAACATGTTGTTCAACCACGTCGATCCCAGACGTTTTCGAGTTTCTACCAGAACAGACATGATGGCGGCGTATGTAGGCGGCATAATCGTGGTGAGGAAGGCATTTGCTTCCATCTCACCCATGCTATGTTGGCTGGCGTCGAGCGGGATCGGAAGTTGTGCCCTTGCCCGGCCAGACCTCGGCGTCAGAGGAGAATCTGGAAGGCCAGGCCCTCCGAAGGTTTTCTCACAAGTGTCTTTCAAGTGCTTGTTGGAGAACCCTTTCAGAATGTTGGCTACTGGAACCACAAAGTCTTCCTGCGACAAGAAAACAGTTTTCGGGTTGGTTGCGAATTTTGCAAGCTTGGTGAAGGGGTGAAATCTGGGCTCTGTTTCTTCTTCTTCTTCTTCTTCCGCGACTTCATCAAAGTCTTCCGCCACTTCGCCGTCCAGTAGTCGAGCGACCTCCATTGCTCTGTGTGTGGGAGAAGCAAGCAGACTGGCCGTCTCATCAGACGTCGAATCAAACTTCCCCTGTATCGGCTCATGCGTGTCGACTTCAACTTCCTCCTGTCCATCAGTATCGTCTATGCTTGAGCGACCGCTGTTCAGGTCGTATTCAACAAGCTCTCCTTCTTGATCGAACAGCTGATTCGGTACCGGCCCATCGAGATCCACTTGTTCTAGGACATCTTCTTCCACGCCGGAGATGGGATCGCCGTAGAGTCTTCTGTAGATTTTGAATTCCTCTTCCTCGAGCACAGATTCAGGAAGCCTGTCACCATGGATTTGTCTCGCCATACGAGCCACCTCTTCTAGGGTCGCTCCAGACTCCCGCAGGCTTGCCACCGAATTTGTCACCTGCTGAGCAAGGACTTCCGGGATGTCTTGCAGATCAAGGTTTCCTTCGACACTCAGGCGACTTATACTCTCGCTTAGGGCTCGATCTTCTTCAATGGCTTGCTCGATAGGTCGACCCAGGGCATGTTCCAGCTCTCGTAAGGCGTCTAATTGGTCCTGCAGTATATCTGCATCCAGCGGTCGTTCTGCTTCGTGCGAGATATCCGTCTTCTCGTATGATGAGGTGGAGCGCTCCTGGAATACTGAAGGCGTCCGCGTGTACCGTCTGGCATGCTGCCGGGGCCGGTATGCATGCCGCCATCGAAGGGATGCAGGTCGGCTCTTCAAACTGACGGCAGGGCCGCAAAACCCCCTTTCCAGGAGGATTTGAACATCCTGGCGATGACCGTGGCACAGGCTCGATGGCCTTGCACGAGGAATCATTCTGTTGGTGCTGGATTGTTGTCGGCAGACTCTGTGGACTGAAACAGACACTGCCAGGCATGCAAATAAAAAAGTTCCAGGTTTACGGTGGAACACGAGGAGTGGCAATGGCATCCACGTCCTCCAATCATTTCCCTCATATTTCGGCGCAACTATTGTGCCTTTGGAGATGAAGAGATTCAGAGGTGCAATCTGTATCGTGCCTCAGCTGTCTCCTGGCTTCCGATTGTTTAGATGGATAGACATATATTTGCTTATCATATCGTTCGTGCCACTCACGCTCCAGGGCATACCAATGTGGAGAACAAGACAAGCCCATCATTTTGCCTAGGATAGATTCATTTGTCTATCAAACCGGCAATGTAGGGTATTACGCTAAAGCTAGCCGCAATCCTTGGTCGAAAGACGCTTTGAGCGACACGCTGCCTCGAATCCATCAGCAAGTCCCGTCCACGTCGGAGTCATGGAAGAGCAACTTCCCCATGGCAACACGCTCTCAGCCCACTGGACTCCAGGGCATAGGAATGAGAATCTTGCTCTTCATGGTTTGGATGAGCGGCACAGTCTTGTGGACAGTATCGCCCCATCCTTCAACTCCCCAGGATTGTTCTCGTCTCAGCTTTCGTTCCTCCAAATCGGCAAACTGCCACAGATGATGCACAGTGTTCAGATCTCCAATCTGCACGAACCAGGCTCCCACACCTTCCATCACTTCGCGTCGCGCTTTTAGTCCTTTCCTCCAGTGGGTCTCCCATTCCAGAAGATTGCCAGGGTGCAGCGTGTATGATCGTAGCTCGAATAGACCTCCGAGTTTCCGTGGTGGTGTGGTGGGCCAGAATGAGAATTCCTGCATCAGTGATACCTTCTTTGTGTAGATGAGTGACTTGAGTTTCTTGTCAAACTCGGGAAACTCTGGGTGATGGGAAATGCTGTGCAATGAGGCGTGATAGCCGGTGTAGCGCTGATACTCCCAGATGTGTACTATAGGTTGAGTGTGTCAGTGCAACAGCTCTCTCCCAGCGAGCAGCGCCTACCGAAGGTGTCGCAATCCCCAACCTCAGTCCGCCAACTGCCCACCAGATGGACCTTGTTTTCAGGCATGTTTGCCATCCTAGGATACCAACTTCCCACGAGATCGACATATTCATCAACCTTGTCGGGCTTGACGTCGTGAAAGACGATCGAGTGGACGTATTTACCCCTAGCCAACACCTGCGAGAACGACCTCTCCATCTCTTGGTCTAGTTGTTGGCCCTCAGGAGTACCGTAGATGAAGCTGGACAGCTTTCCCCCTCGTTTGGTCGAGGTATCTGTTTCCGCCTGTCTGGCTTCTTCTGCATAAGGAGCGGTAGAGAGTGAGCCTAGGCCCAAGGATCGAAACACGCCAGAGGCGGCTGCACTGGGGGATGTGGAATATGTAGAGGTAGCGAGGAACTGACTATCAGCTTGATCCTTTCTCTTCTTGGCCGCTTCAAGTCCATCCCGGAAGTCCTTTTGTTTGGCATTGAAGGCATCTATCCCTTCGGGGGTGATGTCGCCCAGGCCAGGCACACGAATGGGCTCTCTGCAGAGCGCAGAGGTTGTAAAGGCGCGGACGAGGGTAGAAGTCTGAGGGGAGGAGAGGGGTAGTCTTCGAGAAAGCATGGCTGCCAAAAGGGAGTATCAAGAGCGAAGGAGGCGGAGGAGAGGATGGTCGTTCGAAGAGTCGGTTAAATGAAGGAAGTTGTGGATGAGACCACCGTCTCGACCTTCTACTGTTGTTTGTCTGTCGGGGTCCGTGAGACCATGAGACTTCTGAGGTATACGGCAAGTGGATGTTATACCGGGTAATGCCCCCAGTGGTCGAGGTTGCGGGAGTACTCTGCGGCTTGAACCAGGTGCCAGTGCCAGTGCCAGTGCCAGTCGGTAAGCCTGGTCGGGAGTCTTACTCAAAGTCGGGGTTGTATGGATGTGATTGGGAGTGATTTGCAGTGTTGTACAGGGCAGGGGGCCAGAGGGAAAGACGTGCACAACATCTATACAGAGTAGACGTCAGTGGGTGCAAGTGACGCAGGCGACACCCCAGTGTCCCATGTACTAGCCTCTACACACTAGGTGCTAATCAGCCCACTGACACCTAGAACAGTGTGGGAGAGAAATGGTGGCTTGCGGGGCTGGTTAGCTGCTACTAGTATGTCCCATTTTCTTCACCCTGCATTGCCACGGATGAAGGTTGTCCACCAACTGAGTCGATCAATTGACCCTCACCGTTGACCTAACTCTCCAACACATGTGGGAATCTTGAACATCCTGACATCTGCCAGAAGACCTGAAACACTTGATCACAATACATCAGAGAGCCCTCCTCTCCGCCTGCTCGATCTTCCGCTTTGAACAGCCATGTCTGAAGCTCACAATCCGCCTCTCAATTACGAACCATCCGCAACCACAACCCATCGGATTGCCTCATCAACCCTGCCTCCGGAAGTAACACAATGCCTCCAGAACTCTCGATTCCTCCATCTGGCGACCATATCGGCCACCGAAAGCTCTCAACCGACGCCGCACGTCTCGCTGATGAACTACACCTTTCTCCCCTCCTATAAAGAACATGGCCCTGTTATCATCATGACCACCAATGCTCAATCAATCAAGGCGCGGAATCTGCTGCACAACCCCAAGGTCTCCCTTTTGGTCCATGACTGGGTTTCACATCGGCCGCCCACTGCAACTTCCGTTTCCGGTGCTCGATCGGGAAGCCCGCCTGGAGCGCCTACGCGATCAAGTCTGGCCAGCCTGCTGATGAACCTCAATACTTCGGCGCTGAGTTCCATATCTACCACCATCGCGGGCGAAGCCAGGTTTCTGGAGCAGGGAAGTGAGGAGGAGAAATGGTGCAAAGAAGCACATCTAGCCAACAACACGTTCGGAGACCAAGTCAGACAAGAGGCCGGGCTGTTCGGAGAACCACCGAATCTCGAAGAAAACAGTAGTTCTTACATTGCAGGCGACGATGTGCGGGTCGTGCTGGTACCGGTCCGCGAAGGACGGATAGCGGATTGGAAGGGAGGGGTTAAGGATTGGATCTTGGTCGACGAAGATTCACCATCCACTGTTGCAGATGGTGAAAGAGGTCGAAGCAATGGTCAACCTCTGGTGAATGGGATTATTGACTAATTTCGTCCTACACCTGGCGGCTTTGACAAGGAACGAGAAGGATGGACCGCTCACTCAACGCTACGTTGTGAGCGAGAGACTCGATGCGGGCTTTTCTGTCACGGCCATATGGCTCCAATGAAGAAGACGTTTGATAAAGGTGTTTCCAACTGGGCTCTATCTTGGCCAACCGCAACTCCATATCATCATGCCTCGAATTTTTCCAGAGCGAGGCTTTAACCACCAAATCCAAACCGCTAAACCCAAAAACACTTGCTTGGATCGGAAAAACGTGGCAACAAAGTATGCAAAGCGAGGGCATTTACATAAGGGCATTTGCAAGAGAAAGCCGAGGTACCAAGTTCGGTCAATATCCAGACTCAGGTCTAGGATGGTGGCTGACTTGACGGTGTCGGTTGTTCGCTGTGCTTTTTTCACATGACCGTACATTTCGAGTCTTCTTTGGATTTGGCCGGTTTGACTTGGAGGGCGACTCTGGCGGCTTCTGTGAAAGCTTCATTGACGCCACGATTCCGCATAGCCGAACATTCTGCGAAGCCAGTCAGTATCTTGTCCATGACACAATGAAGTGCGGATGCAGGGCTGTAGGCTGTACCAAGATATCGTAGAGCACCAATTTGTCTGGCAACTTCCAACCCCTCGTTGTATTGTATCATGATCCTGGGAGGCGCCGCCGGCTCGTCGTCCTCTTTCTCTTGTTCCTCTCGTAAATCACACTTCAGCGCGCACAGCACGATCTTGACGCCGGGACAATGTTCATTGATCTCGGCGATCCATTTCGTGCCGACGTTCTCCAAGGAACCTCGATTGTCAACCTGCACAAAGCCGCTCTGGTCAGCCCGTTTTCTTTGCTGGTTCCCAGCGACGCACTTCCGGGGACAAAAGGGCAAACGTACGCTGAAACATAACATGATGGCCTGGGTGTCGTCGTAGGACAATGACCGCAGTCTGTCGAATTCCTCTTGTCCCGCCGTGTCCCACAGCGACAATTCCATATGGATTCCGTCGACGAAGATATCGTGGACATAGTTCTCAAAAACTGTGGGTTCGTACACTGTCTGTAGTTGTCGCAAGGTTAGAACATGCTACAGACCGTACACTGCCGCAGAATTGTTCGGATGTGTATGCGACAGACAATCAGATCGCAGGGCCCAAACTGAACGCACCGGAAAGAACCCTCGTGTAAAGACGTTCAATAGACTGGTTTTCCCGCAGGCGCCATCTCCGAGGAGCACCAGCTTGCGCTGGACGACTTTGTTGCTGCCGCAGAGAGGCATTGCGACTCGGAGTGGTTGTTGTCTGTATCGGAAGTGCTGCGGCTGCGGCTGCGCTTTGTTTTGTGCCGGATGCGGCGGGCAGTTGGAGGTAGATATGCTCTGGCGCAGCGAGTCGGGTAACTAGGCGGGTCGGTCCTAGGATGGTAAACAAAAGGAGCGATTTGCCGGCTGCCTCTCTCACGTAAGTCCCAAGGATGAGAATGCAGCTAGGAATAGAGGATGAGGATACTAAGGACTGAAGACTGCGACCAATACTAATAGGTCCGGAGCGTATAGAGTAGACAGACTACTAGTAGGATATGTGAGAGGATTCCGTTCACGAGATGGGCAAATGTTAGACGCAACGAGAGCGTCGGGGTTCGTTGACGCACTGCACTGGCAGCTGAGAAACCGCCCGCACACCCGCATGCATGAGATGGTATTGGCACACTGGCACTGCAGATACTGCCACTTCGAACTGCATAGGCGACAACCACGCCAGTCGAGGCTCCCTAGGCTGCGTTCTTTGGCGGGCCGGGCGCACATGTGGGCTAAGGCGGCCGGGCGTTGGCGGAGGGAGGGAGCTGTATTTAGTGGCTGGCGATAGCCTGAGAGCCTAAGGAGCCTACTATGGACTTCCAGCCATAGGTAGTTAGTAGGGCGCGACAAGATAATGCCACGTGGTGAGTGATAGCGAGCTCTCTAGTTCGGCTTAGTACTAGTAGTACTAAGAAACCCTTTACCATCTCTCAAGTAGAGAAGGGAACCATTCTCGATGAAAACAACCGTTGCCTGCATCACCATTTATGGGTTGCTCTTCAGGCAGAAGGTAACCTGTTCGCGAGCATTTTCATGGGAGTGATTTTCATCGTCAGCATTTGCTGCACCGGCCGCGGTATAGGGAGTCCTACCATTATCTGAGGCAAAGAAAGAGTTCTGCACAGGCCGGATGGGCCCAGAAGGAGGGAGCATGACATGGACTCGTCTCAGTTGCCAGCACATTAAGGAAGGTATATTGAAGTTCTCTGGTATGGAAAAGCCAACCATGTCAGCAGGTAGGTCGCTCAAGGCAAAACAGTGTGAAGTGTGGATTGAGGAATACAAGCGAAACCCGTGCATCGAGTTGTCAGACGCATGAAAAGGAATATCACAAGAAGGTGCAATATCACGGTGTCCAGGACGAAGCTGTCCTTTGGTGTTGGCATGCATATCAAGGCGCAGAGACCGAATATCAGCGGAGCATTGCAATCTGGGAATGTGGGTGAACATGACATATCCCTGATGAGGCCAAGGTCTCCACGATAAGAACAGACCTGGAAATGTGAAGGAACAGAACAGAATTGGGAATGCGTTTGCCAGCCGATCGAACAGAAGAACTTTGAAAGCGGTTCTTTTCTTCATCTAACCCATTTTCCGGGTCTTAACATGACAAGAGTCGTCTCCTGTCGTACCTCAAGCCGGATGAAGCAAGTATCTCGCGAGTGACCACGCCCCAATCCATGCAGTTCAGCACCTTTGCATCATATCACGCTGCAACCGCAGCCACAGCCACCTTCGCCCGCATTTATTCCTCAAGGATGTTGCCCCGCTCGCTCACGTACAGACCGTCCAAGAATTTTCGGATATCCTTGTTTCGCACTCTGCAGATTTGCTGGAGGTCGGCGGCCGACTGTGACACGTTTTCCAGGCTGTTGCCGGTGATTTCGATCTGGTCCTTGACACCTTTGGAGGCCTCGACGGTGACGCCGTCGAGCATAGTGACGTTTCGCACGATCTTCTCGCCCAAGAAGTTTCTACACCAAAAAAAACATACAATTAGTGAATGTTCCACCATCATTGCAAAGCGTAGCAGGGCGTATCATCGACTGTAACGTGTGCGTCCGCCTTGTGTTTTGTCAAGCTTGTCTTACCTGATCTCCAAGTGGAATCGGCCCTCGTCGTTCTTCTCAATGTTGACGTTGATGGGGAAATGGGCGTAGACGTATCGCATCTTGTACTTGTAGCCCTTGGTCACGCCGATGACCAAGTTCTCGACGAGCGACTTGACGGTTCGCAGGGTAGCGACGTTCTTTCTCGAGCCGTGGTGGATTTCGATCTGGACGATTTGCTGGCCCTTCTTGTTCTTCGTGACGGTGAAGGTGACGGCGATGTGCGAGAGGTCCTTGGTGAGTTTGCCTGAAAAGAGAATACCCATGTTAATTGACTGTCTTCTTTTCTTTTCTTCTCAACAACCTCCATCGTGCGAGTTGTGGGTGGGCATTGAACGGAGCTGCAGTTTCGTACCTCGGGGACCCTCGACGGTCACGATGCGCGAGCGGATGTGGATTTTGACATCCTCTGGGATGACCAGCTGCTCTTGCGAAAAGATGTACTTCATCTTGAGCAGCGGTGTTGTTGGGCGTGCTGGACTCGGACTGGGGGATGCTCGAACTTGAAGGTCGTCGTCCTGCGGAGTGCGGATTTTCAAGAGTGTCGAAAATGTGCGCGAATCTTGGCACTGCTTCCAAGGTGGTGGTGTCACGTGCTTGGCATCCACCACTGGCAGGCTCACGGCAAGTCGACGAGGCTGAACTTGAACCCGCCATTTTCTTAGGTCAGCCTTCTCGCCGCTTTTCTCTGGCCCGATTTCCCTCCAATAACTTCGACATAGGGATTGGTGATCTTCCTTGGGCTTGACCATGGAAGCACCCAGGCAGGACTTCCATCACTTTGGAACAAAAATTACTTTACGAGTATGCACTGCAAATTTATGGCTCCGAGAAATCAATTCCATAACTCAATCGCTGGGTATCTCATGCTGGTGTAACTATCTCAGTCGGCTTTCGCTCTGTGGTCATCCTGCCCGGCGAGTCTGTGCCAGCATCTCACTCAAAGCCGGATCATCATCGCCAACCTCAATCCCTTGCTCGCGCAAAGCATTCTGGTATCTTTGTTTCAGGCTTTTCTCGTCGTCATCATCCCTCTCTGCGTCCGGGTAGTCGTCTGGATCGACATCTTCATCGTCGTCACGATCGCTTTCGGAGTCATCCTTGGCAGATGGTCTCCCGGAAGCGCTCGGTGTGCCGTCCATGCTCATATCCTTCATCACTCTTGTCAGATCCTGTTCGCGTTTGCTGGCAGCCTCGTTCTCCCGTTCTTTTCTCCTCTTCTCCAGTTCCGGTTTGTAATCCCGTTCGAACTCTTTCCGTTTCTCTTCGACGGCCTCGAAGAAATCATCCACACCCTCGCCAGTCATGCTCGACACAGCGACCATGCTGAGATGAGAATAGAATTCTTCCAGCACCAGACTCATGCTGTTGAGCAGACTGCCCATATAGCCGCTGCCGCCGAATCCTTCACCTCCAAACGCACCTTTGCTTTCCTCCTCGCGAAGCGCCTCTTGGAACTTCTCGAAGTCGGTCATCCATTCTCTTGCAAACTCGGCGTCTTGAACGTCCGTCTTGTTGAACACTAAAATCATGGGAAGTTTTGTCTTGTAGAGGATCGAGCAGGCATAGAGCATATTGGACATGAATGTCGACGTTGACGTAGTCCGTGGCGTGTCGATAATGTAGGCGATAACCGTGGGAAATGAGGAGGCGAGTGATTCTAAAAGGATACTGCCCGAAGCAGACCAGACAAACACCTCAATCTGTCCAGGCGTATCGACCAAAAAGTGCTTGGGAGGCACCACCGAGCTGTCAGACGGGGGGTTTGCACGCTTCTCTAGCAGTCCAATGATCTGGTCGATCTTTGTCGCAAACAGATTCAACGAGGTCAGGATGCCGCCGTTCGGACCGAGATTGTATTGCTTCATGACTTCCTTGTAGTTGATACTGTCGCGGATGTCGATATTCGCCTGGAAAGGGACATTGAGGACGGCAGGGTCAAGATTGAGGACGTATGGCTTCTTCTTGTTAACGTGCAGATAGTTGTTGATTCTCTGCATGAATGTGGTTTTGCCCGAACCTGCAAAGAGGTCAGTCTTTCGCTGTTGGACAAAGCGCACATTACTTACCGGCCATGCCGATGCAGACAACGGCGACAGGAGAGGTCGCCATGATGCTGGAAGATGTCGTCGGAGTAACGCGTGAAGGTGCAAAGTTGCCGGTCGATACCTACAGCCAGAGGATGTTAAGTGAGAGAGACTCTACAAGACAAATGTCGCGCTGCTGCAGTTTGGTCGGAGAAATTTTGGAGACTTGCGTATGACGCACCCCGCGGTTCGACAAAAGCTCCCTTTCAAACACTCCAGTCATTCTGGTCATCTGCAATTGTGACGATCCTCAAGATGGCCCTAGAAGACTTTGAAAAGGAGCTATCTGAACAGAGAGAAACAGAGAGACGTCGAGAGAGACGCAAGGAGCACGAAAAGTCAGATCGACACCATCGACACCACCACCATCGCAGTTCTCGGCACCACGATTCCCATTACGATGAAGAGGGCCATCGCTCGAAGAGGTCCAGACACTCCAGAGACGAAGATGCATCAGAAAGCAAACATGGACATAGACATCGGCGCCACAGCCGAGAAGAGGAAGAGAAAGAAGATGATGAAAATACAGCAGACGATCCAAGTTCGTCCCGGCCAAATCTAGGCGAACTGAAACGTGATTCTTGGATGGAAGCCCCTTCAGCCTTGGACATCGACTACGTACAGCGAAAGAAGCCCGAACCCTCGCCACCGAAAGGAGGCTCGTTGGGAGCCGATTTCGAGATGAAAGTGCATGAAAAGGAACTCAATCGACACCTGCGAGACTTGCAGAACGGGAAGAGTTTGGACGACTTGGAGGACGAACCAGCCACACACGAAGTCAACTATACCTTCGGCGACGCCGGGTCGCAATGGCGCATGACAAAGCTCAAGGCTGTCTACCGCCAGGCCGAAGAGTCCGGCAGTAAAGTGGACGACGTCGCGCTCGAACGATTTGGCAGCCTGCGCGAGTTTGACGACGCCCGAGAAGAAGAGATCGAACTGGAGAGACGCAAAACGTACGGAGAAGGCTACGTGGGCAAGGAGAAGCCCAGCGGCGAGCTGTTCCAAGAGCGTAAACTGGAAGCGGGACTCCGACGACCTCACCCACGCGACACGGAGCCGAGCCCAGACGACGTCGTTGAACAAATGCCCGTGCCGACATCCAGCACCAGTGCTCCCAATCCCAAAGTCGACCAAACGACACTCAACAAGCTCAAGGCACAACTCATGCGAGCCCAGTTACGCAAGGATCCCAAAGCAGCGGATCTGGAGAGAGAATACAACGAGGCGCTGGCCGCCTTCTCGACGCAAGATCCTACCGTGATAACCCTCTCGGCCATGGACAACAGAATGCTGTCCTCCGCACCACGGAACGAAGTGAAAGCCGTGCAGAACCGCCGGGGCGCCGAGCGCGGACAGGTGGAAGAGAACGAAGACATGAGCATCGACGACATGGTGCGCGAAGAACGACGGACACGCGGCGAAGTGGGAGGCGAAAGCCAACGCATGGCCGACCGGATCGCCAAAGACGTCAAGTTCGACGACGACCTCGAGTACATGGACGAGAACGCCGCGAAACTTGCCAAACGCGTGCACAAGTCCGACATCAACCTGCGCAATGTCGCCATCAACGAATACCAGAAACTCAATCGCATCCTGGAGAACTGTCCACTCTGCTTTCACGAAGATACCGAGACTCCCCCGGTCGCGCCCGTCGTGTCGCTGGCCACGAGGACGTACCTGACCCTCCCGACCGAACCGGAGCTATCTCCTCTCAGCGCCATGATCGTGCCGACCGAGCACCACACCAACCTGCTGGAGTGCGACGACGACGAGTGGGAAGAGATACGCAACTTCATGAAATCTCTGACGCGGCTGTACCACGACCAGGGCCGCGACGTGCTCTTCTACGAGAACGCCGCGTTCCCCAACCGCAAGCCGCATGCCGCGCTCAATGTCGTGCCGTTGCCCTACAGTCTGGGAGAGACGGCTCCGGCCTTCTTCAAAGAAGCTTTCCTCAGTACGGAAGACGAATGGAGCCAGCATAAGAAAATCATCGATACGCTGGCAAAAGCCAGGAAGGACGGTCTGGGCAAGCTCGCATTCCGCCGCAGTCTGGTCAAGGAGATGCCGTACTTTCATGTCTGGTTCGAACTGGATGGCGGCATCGGCCATGTTGTCGAGGACCCGGACCGGTGGCCTCGTGGGGATTTGTTCGCCAGGGAGATCATCGGGGGCATGCTGGGCCTGGAGCCCGATGTCATCAAGCGGCAAGGCAAGTGGCATCGAGGCCACGACAAGAGGGTGGAAGGGTTCAGGAAAGTCTGGAAGAAGTTTGACTGGACGAGAGTCCTGACGGAAGGCAATGCATAGAATCATGTCTGGATTCACGGTATAAGCCTCTTGAATCAAAAGCGCCTATTGTGCCTGCGTCAGTCCGCTCATCTCATACCGCTCCGTCTTGCTCTATATCTAGTAGATCACCCCTGAATTCTGCTATGCGCCATCTTGCGACACAGCTAGTGCCTGATTTTCCCATCCTTCCCGCTTGGGTGTTGACATATGTCTAGTCGCTGCTGTCTCCCGGCTCCGGGCTCGGCAAAAGAGTCTGTACTGATGCGCCGCGTGCTCATGGAATAATTCCACATACCACGCTTTACTTGTCCTGGACAGCATCTTTGGCACAGGATCGCAAAGGATTCTCGTATCTCAGCGCCTGCTGATTCTGTGGGTCTCAGAGGGCCCATCAGAGAGAGAAGCTCTCCCCAGTGCAGACGCCACTTCTGCGGCCATGTAGCCTTCCGAGCTTTTCTTTTTTGTGACGAGGCCGACCACGACCACGATTTCCATCAACTCATCTCGACCAGCATTGTGCTCGGATCCTGGAGATATTTCTGCACGACCTGCGCCATCCTGGCCATGGTAGCGCCATCCACGACTCTGTGATCCGCACTCCAACTGACGCTGGCCATCTGGGCAGGCTTGACAGTTACCCCGTCCTCGGCGAAGACAGGGACGGTCTTGACCTTCCCGATCCCCATGATCGCCAGCTGGCCTTCCACAATGAGCGGCGCGACCACCTCGCCGCCGATGTTTCCGATATTGCTAACCGTGATCGTCCCTCCGGTCAGATCGTCCGTGCCCAGCTTTCCAGCCTGACCGAGCTGCGAGAGACGCAGGAGTTCCTGGGCGATGGAGGTGATCGAGCGCGTATTGACAGCCTTGATGACCGGCACGATCAGCCCGTTGGGCGTATCCATGGCCACCCCGACATTGTGGACAGAGCGCATCAACAGCTGTGGTTTCTTCGGGTCGGAGGTCAGATCCAAGCGTGCATTGAGTAGAGGGTATTTGTTCAGGGCCAGTGAGACGGCCTTGATGATGAATGGCAAGTAGGTGTATTTTGGGGTGGTCTCGGGATCGCGGCGGGCGGCGTTTAGTTTGGCCCGCATCGAGGCCAGGTTAGTGATGTCTACCGTGTCAGAGTACAGGAAGTGTGGGATTGAGAGTGACGCCGTCATGCTCTTGAACATGGCGCCTTGTACGGGAGTCAGTCGTTGCGGCGTTTCCGTCTGTTTGGCGTCGACATCGGCTCTGGTTGGTGCAGGAGACGCCGGTGATGGCTGTGTGGATGCCTTCTCGAGGAATCTGTAGACATCCTCTTTGAGAACGCGCCCGTCTTTGCCCGTTCCAGGGATCTTCTCGATGGACAGGCCGTGTTCCTTCAGCAGACCTCTCACGGCGGGTGTCGCGAGAGAGGCATGTTTTCCTGGCGGTGTAGGTTCCGAGATTGTAGGCTTCTCTTCTTGCATCTTTATCTCTTCTCGAACGGCTTCCTCGCCGCCCTCGGCCGCTTGTTCGGCATTGGCACTGGCATGGGCGGGACTTTGTTCTTGGGGGTGTTCTGTGCTGTCTTCTGCGCCTGCGTCGTCTTCCACTTCAATGTCGACGATCGGTTCTCCCACCTGAACCACGGCGTCCTGTCCGAAATGGATCTTCTTGATGACCCCAGTATACTTGGACGTGATCTCAACCGAAGCCTTGTCGCTCTGGACTTCACACAAGGGACTCCACTCTTCGATCGGCGCGCCTTCTTCCACGAACCACTGGATGATCTGGACCTCTTTGACCCCCTCGCCAATGTCTGACAGTATGTGTGTTTCTATCCTGTCTAACCGTGTAGCGGCATGGAAATGCCGACTCAGACGGAGGAAGGGGGCATAAGTTCGAGGACTCGTGGCGAGTGTCTGGCGTCGGACCAGGCTGTGCAGCAGCCGCAGGGCTTGCAGCGATGGTACGTGCTTCATGGCTGGAAGCTGGACGTCAGACTCTGCAGCAGTAGAAGTCGGACCATCGCAGAAGCCATGACTGGGCAGTCCAGCTGGTATTTGAAGACCGGCGCGGTCTCAGCAAGACAGCCGACGATAACCGCAGTCGCTTTCTCAATATCCGCAAGTGACGGAATTTGTCGTGGAGTTGAACGTTAATACCGAGCATGACTAAGCAGCGCATCTGGCACTTCCCAGACTTCCAACTCATATCATTCTCGTTGTTTGGGGGTTGGGGGTATCACGCCTCAGATCTTACTGCTCTGAACGCTTATCAGAATCTACATGATCCTTCTCAATGATCGCGCTCGAGGTCTGGCCGTAGATAGGTACGTTTATCGTTATATTGCTGTGTATATATCCGGTACGTACCTTAGCTAGTACGTATACTGTGCCGAAATTCTTACTGTGGTTTGCCAACTTCTATGAAGAAATCCGACCAAATGTCTCCCCGGCTTTGTCCAGAATTAGGTTCGAACCCACAGGCGACAAGGTGTGGCTTAGGTGGCACATCTCGAGTTGAACCAGATATCCAGGTATCCAGATATTGCTGGGATCGCACCCAACGTCGGCGCTCCCATGGCTTGTTTGTCATAACATCTTCATCGTCACATAGATATCTCCAACACCAACACTTTGTTCTTCAATCTTGATGTCTTCCTACTCAGGACTCCAACAATCACGACGCAGGTTAGTTTGGAACTCATCTACCGAGATATCCTTGCGTTCATGCCAACAATGGCCCGCACAAGATCCCAATCACCTCCCAAGCCGACCCAATCAGTCACAACGATGCCAGTGCTCCAGTTCCCCGGCTTGACACGGCCCTGGTCATCCAACATATGTCGCTGACACAAATGAGCGGTAATGGTCGGATTGACTTCGGCCGCAATCTTCTCGGGCCAGGTGCCGACCTTCCAGAAATTGCTGGCACTCAGGAAGTTGACGTACAAGGGATACTTTTTGGTCTTGTTGACTTCGGAATCCGGGAAGAAATCACAAGCCCCGCTGCGTTCGAGATGGTCGCGGGCATGGGCGATCTTCTTTTCAATGCTCGGCCGGTCCATGACCTGGTAGAAATCCTGCACACACACGTCTCCCGACGGACACATGGCGTTGGGCGTGTTGTCTTCCCAGACCTGGGCGTCGATCCCCCATCCACGGCCGCCCCATTCGTGACGCAGCGGTTCTTCCAATGCGAAGCGGCGCAGTAGCACGATGCGGCCGCGCACCTCGCCTAAACTGGGGACGCGTGGCTCCGTGAACCATTCGCGCGGGTTGGTATAGTGGTTCTTCAGGATCCGGGACAATTGTTCGTCCGTGCCTTTGCCCGTGCCTTCACGTTTCAGGGACAGGATGAGAGTCTCGCTGGGATTTTCTTTCAGGAACTGTAGAATGTCGTCGTAGAGGCCTCGAAAGGGCTTGTTGCCGGACAGGGCGATGGGGAATGCGGCGTGCACGAGATTTAGTCGGTCCGAGTTCGGGTCGTATGGTTCAGGAACCTGCACTCGGATGTCGAAGAAACGCACGCCGTTCTTGAGCTGTTCCATGGGAGACACGGCTTGGCAGCGTACCGATGGAGGCGCGTTGTGGCATGTCGGTGAGTTGTGCGTGCCCGGGATCGAGAGGGCGCCGAGCGGAGCGTGGTCGGGGATCTTCTCCATCCATGAGTCGTGTCGTGATGTGTTGAACACGGCCGTGTATGACGGGTTAGGGAGGTATATGCCCGTGAAGCGCATCTTCGGGTTCGGCGCCAGTGCTACCAGCGACTCCGTCTCAGCTGTCGGCACGGGACAGTACATCTGGTGCTTGCCACCCAGTTCCGTCTGGAACGTTAGACGGAGTCGTTCTTGCGGCTTGCTGATTACGGGTTTGATGTCCGTCGGCACCAAGGCGAAGGGCGGGAGTTGGATTGAGATCTCACGAGTAGCAAAGGGCCTTGCATCGGCATCGATCTGGGGCACCGCTTTGCGTGTCGTGTTGTTGGTCAGGCCGATGCTGTTGGTCACTGCTACCAGCGACCGCGTTACGTTTTGCATCTGGAATCCTTCATCGGGAGGAGGATCGAAGTGCTCGACCAGCACCAGCGTCAGAGGGTTGTTGCTGATGTTGCGGAGCGTCACGGGCGGAGCCATTTTGGAGATTCCGGGGAGATCTCGATGCAGAGCGAGGCTTCGGGGAAGAGTGAGATGGAAGATGAAGCGAGGATTTCAGGCTGTGAATGACGCAGTAGAAGAATAAACATCCAGGGACGGGCCAGGATCAGCCACGAGATGAACACTTTGAGGTACGTACCAAGTCAAGCTGTGAGTTTCTGGCTTGTCAGAAAGAGCTGTTAGATCATCGACAGGTCTCGTCGAGCTTGTGCTCAGCTGTGCAGGGGTTCCATCGTGATATGGGGAGCGACAAGAGCTTTAGCGAGGGGGTGAAGCGCTGCAGGCGGCACCGGGGCTTTACTAGTAGGTAATAATAATAAGGCTGGTTCAGAAAACCCGAACTTGAAGGTGACACCTTGTAGTGTTAGTGGGTCTGTTAACAGCTTGCCAAGCCACTAAGATGTCCTAAAATAATTCAGTCTATATAATTCAAATGTGCAAGATTTCTTTTCGAATTCATCCAACAGACGATCTCATCACTCATCAGCGGTGTGGCGCAGGGGAAGCGCGCCGGGCTCATAACCCGGAGGACATCGGATCGAAACCGATCGCCGCTATTAGTTTTTGCCTTTGGGAGACATTCCATGGTGATTGTGTGGAATCTTTTTTGGTACAATGGTCTGTGTTCAATTTCGGGTGTATCTGGGGGGGTTTTTTTGGCCATTCTTGCAGCCGGTCATAGTACGTAGGTATGTAGTAGCGAGAATTATGCCAAGAACCCACTAGCCCCCAAACAGTATAGTATACTAGGTACACAGTAGTACTAGTAGTCGAGTATACTAGAGGCAGTAAGAATGGGCTAGCCATTTCAGGCATAATGCACTCTTGAATATCTCGGTCGACTAGTGGTAGGTGTATCGACTGTCTTCTGGCTGGCATCCCGCTTCTTCAAGAGCTGGAGCCTTAGGCAGATATTTTATCGGTAGGTCCGTCCAAGCTGATATCATCCCAACAGTTGTTCTAGTATGGGTCTTGATGGCCCCGATCACTATCGGTCGAACCATTCTACATTCGTGTCGTTACTCGCGCGCAACGATAACGCCTTTATGGCCAAGGTGCTCCTATCTGCAGTGGTGGGTAGTCAAGTGGAAAGCTGGCGCAGGCAGTCACTGCATCGGAAGGACCTTTTCGCGATGAATTCATCCATATCTTGGCGTTTGAAATGCTTCGCCGTTGCTTCGTTCCTTGGAAGGCAGCACGGTGAAGGCTTGATCTTACCTACCTTATGCACCTAGTTTCTTTCCCAACTTGAAATGCCCACCTACTACGTCTCTCTTTGCCACTCGGCCATCGAGGTTTTTGTATGAAGTCACGATTCCATGCAATCTTCAAGCCCCTGCTCTAACTCCTGCTCGACGTGCAATTCGACAGAGTTGATACTTCACAAGATACGAGTGGTGCTCCCACTCTTCAGACTGCGCTGCGACTGCCCTGGCTCTCTTCAACTCGCCTCACATCCTCTTTAGGCAGCTGTGTCGATTTGCTCGTTTCGCTACTTTTCCCATCAAGCCAGAACCTCGAAGATTCCCTACGAGGATGTCTCGCCGTCTTAGTGCATCAGAGAAGGTGGTAGAAATTCTCCAGCAATCCAGAGAATCCAGGCATGCACTACTGGCAAGACTCGATGATGAACAACGAAGCTACAATGGATATCTCTCCGGAGCACCAGCCACAAAGCGTCACCAAGACTTGCCCGGGACCTCGTCAAGTGGCTCTGAACCGGATGCTGATGATATCCTCATAGCAGCTCAAGGATCCCGTGCCGGATGTCTTCGACCACAAATCGATGAGGATGATGCAACCGAACAAGATGGAGCAGATGACGAAGAAATGTTGATCTGTCCTTTATGCTACGAAGATCCAACTATTCCCGAGGACAAGAAGATTCGAGAATTCACTGCATCGGACCTAAAGAGCCATATGAGAGACAAATACCACTCGGGGATCGAGCGGTTCAGAAGGCTATCATAACTGCAGCGGCCAACGGTGACGGGCGCTATCACTGTCCATACTGCAAAGAAGCAATGGCAGAAGTGGGTGAATACGATCTCAGAAATGGAGATACGGCAGCGCAGTCCTTCCATCGCATTGACTATCTGTTCAGCCACATTCGGGATTCCAACAGTGACCACATCCATGGCTCGGGTGGCTGGAAGGAAGATCAGAAAGCCATTGAGCGCCATGACGCCTTGAAAAGGGAAGATGGCTGGTATAACACCGACTGGGAGGGCGATGCATCAGAACAGGAGCGTCGTCGCTCTTCGGCTCATCGCCGTCTTGCAGGAATGGCAGGCCTCCGATGGCGTGAGGTAAAGGAGCTCAAGCATTCCGTGCCACACGAATCAAGGCTGGGATTGTGTCGAGGAGGTCCATCAGCAGAGTCGATTCCTGAACGTCTTAAGGACCAGTTGTCTTACAATCCTCCTACGGGCTTCAAAACCATATCTGACCGTTTTGAGGGAATTCTGGTGGCAAAGAAGTGTGACTAGCAAAGACATGTAGCTCTAGCTACCTAATAGATGGCCAATACAAAAGTACATGGGAAGAAGAGTATTTGGCTTTGCTTAGTATTTATTACTAGGTGTTTCTCTCTTTGGCCATTCTCGCAGCCGATCATAGTAGCAGCGAAATATTATGCCCAGAAGCCACTATCCCTATTGTTACAGTATAGTATACTATAGTATGACGCCGACTTCCAACGGAGGGCTAAGCGATGAAGAAGGAGAGCGCTCCAGATTAAACTCTCGAGAGGTCAATGAAATTCCGGATGTCTCTAACAGCAAGTATAATCTTGATATTTGGGGGTACGGCAGGAACCTACCTACCTATGGCAAGCGGAACGTAATGCGAATACCAGGGCGGACGTCTTGCAGCCAACGGACTACGGTATCTCGTATATATACAGGAAGGTGCCCCTAGTAATTTGTGAATATTAATCATCAGGGTTGAGAAGTACGTCAACAATAATTATGGTGACTCAGTTTGGTACCCTGGAGGACGCCATAAAGGACGTTGTCTGAACGAGGTAGATTATCAGGTCAGATGCATAGGTATGTCATTTGCTGGGCTACATGAGCAACGAGCAAGTTTTAATGCCACTTCGTTGTTGATGTGTCTGCTGCGAATTCAAGACCACGCCGGCATCATGCCACATCATTCCACATCATACTGTGCGATGCCCTGCTATAGCTAAAGCTCGGAATAGCATATACGATGGGTATCAGATGATTTGATCGTCGTTGTTGGTGGTATGTTCTCTATCTGATCCAGCCAGAAGAGCCTTTGCCCACACAACATTCGTTGATGCGTTGTTCATTTATTCATTATCAGCAGCCTTCTTCTTGGACTTCTTGCTCGCTGGGGCGCCTTCTCTCTGAGTGTGCACCTTCAGTCTCGTCCACGACTCTTCCGGGTCCCATTCGAAACCTTTCAGATATGGTTCTTCCAGCTCGTCATCGGCCTATAAGACAAACAGAAATGTCAGTGACATGAACTTGTCTTGGGTCTCGAGTACCCATTCTGAAGAGAAACATCACCCACCTTCTTCTTGAATTGTTTGTGGATGGCATCGAGAGCATCTTTGATGGTCACGCCCTTGAGATTCCTCGCCGTGACTTCCAGACCCAAGGGGAAGTGTAAGTCGATCTTCTTGATGGGAGGTTCTGTGAGGTGCTTTTTCAGGATCGATGCATCTTCGATCGAGCTAGGTGAGGTGTTGAGTTTCCTGGGATTCACGTTAGTGGTATGAACGTGACGCACAGCACGTAGACAAGGCAAGAGGGGATGGGTGACCTACCAGCCTGTTTTTTGTGTCTCAACTGCGACGGAGATCTTGGTGCCCTCTTTCTCTGGGGATGGGGTTAGCTTTCCCCAAAGCAGGTGACAGGGAGCAGACGACAGCTTACCGAGATCATTGATGTTCATAACACCTGGAGCACTGGATGTTGTTCTTCGTTTGGTGTGGTGTTCTTTGGGTGGCGAGCCGGCCACGCCGCCAATGGCGGAGTCGACCTTTGTGAGGTTTGATGTGTCGGCAGACATGTTGATTGTGGAGGTGATTGGTGCAGGTCTGTAGAGGCTTAAGTCTGAGTCGCTCGTTAGGGAAGCGTGAACAAGAAATACTAGGAGTGTGAGAACTGAAGTGAGACATAGAAAGGCTTACCAAGGACCAATGGTCGGACAGACAGGATTGATTGGCAGTGTGAGTAGTAGTTTGCAGTGGTTGTGATGGATGGTAGTGGTAGAAAGGAAAGAGGAGGATCGTAAAGGAGAACAGGATGGTCAAGGAATAGTAGATCAGGTAGGTAGTCAGTTGGTCAGGGAGCAGCGCAGGTGAAGCAATTGAGGGGTAAATAAAGAGGAGGGTGGTCAGTGTGTGAGAGAGTTCAGAGGGTGGACGCGACATCAACAGAGCACGAGAGCGGAGGACTCGGCAGTGGTCAGCCCGAGTAAGGTGCCTGCGAGAACAAAATGAGGTTGGACAGCTGACCACTGGCATCACTTCACTCAGTGCAGGTTTGAGCTTCTACTACATGTATCTACCTACCTGTAGGTACCTGGGGAGCTATTGAGTGCTTCTCTGGCGTGTTTGTACAGTGACCGAGTTATCTCACGCGAGAAGCACCTGAGGGGAGCAGCATTGGGACCCACAGTGGTAGCAGATACTACATCATACTACGTCGTGGTAGTGGGGTAGAAAAGACGTGCTAGGCAGGCTAATGAGGCATGTCAGGTGCTGACTTGCGTCGGTTGCGGGCGAAGAATCACAAATAGTGGCGTGCTACAACCACTAAACCACTAATCGCGCAACTGGTGACTTTCCCCGCAGCTACCTAGACTCCTAGGCTCCACCCTATTCAGGTCCCGTGCGCCTAAAAAAGGAGCCTGAGCCTAGGGTTCGCTGTGCAGGCCTCGGAATATGGAGTTTCCGAAAATCCGGGGTAGTACTAGCAGTTTGGACTTAGCTTGGGATGGGGGGTAGCAGGGGTCCAACTCTCCGCCAGCCAGCCTCAGATTTATCATTAGGTAGGCACATCAGCAAGACTGTTGCCCTAGTAATATACTGGAGATCAACAGTTGTTCAATGGCATTGTCAAAATCCAGCTCTCCTCTTACTTCCCTTCCCCTTCGCTTTGACCTTGGCCGGCCGGGCTCCAAATGCGCCTCTTTCCGGCTGCGTCATGCTCAATCCAGGAATTCCCTCCTGCGCCTGACTCGACTCGGGCGCAGCCTGTTGGCTGCTCTGCACTTCCCTTCCCGGCAATGTCACCCCAGTAGCGCCGGTGGCGATGCTGGGCAACAATGTCCGCTGCATCATGGCATCCTGACTCATCTTCGCCGTCTTCTCGAGCTTTCTTTGCAGACGCGCGGCATGTTTGGCGGCCTTGCGTCTCTCGCGTGGGTCTAATGATTGTGTTGCTATTTCTTCCTGTGCCAATCTCACTCGCTGGGTGATCTCCCGGTATGAGTACTCGGCAGGATCCTCGTCGATCGAATCAGGCAGATGTGCTAGTATACTTGATATGGTCGGATTGTGGTCCAGCAGTAAAGGAGGCACCTCCTCTTGGAACACTGCATATCTCCGTAAGCGTGCCACTGCCGGCTCTTCTTGCGGCAGTGGGCTCTGGGATGCGGAAATCTGAGACGACGAAGCTCCTTCCATATCTGACTCTAGTGGCGGCGACGACGCATGCCTCTCGGGAAGCACTGATCGTGCTTGAGCTGACTCGGAAACGCCGATGCTCAAGACCACATTGCTGGTGAAAGCTTCTGCCGCGGCCTGACGCACAAGTCTTTCGCAATTGACCCGGTTACGATCTGTGACCGCTGACGAAAGAGTCTCAATATAGGAGGCGATCAAGCCATCATAGAGCTCAAGTAAGTTGTCCTGGGAAGACCCTGGCGGGAAAAGTCCAAGGTGGAGACCAACCCTCTCGACCGAGACGCCTTCGCTGTTTCCCAATTCATCAAGCCACAACCCAAGAGACTCCGAGTCTTGCTCCACGTCTGAAATTTGAAGAACTCCAGAAAAGTTTGATAGCAAATGCACTTGCTCAATCCTGTCTTGCATGCTCATCATCCGGACTCGTTGAGCTGCTTCATCCAGTGCCTCGTCGAAAGAGCGAGAAGGATGGGCGCTGCCACGTAGGATATCGTAGTCGAGTAGCCGGTCCCAATTGCGGAAATGAGGCACACCTGACGAGGCGGTGTCAGTGTGCGAACGATCCTGGCGGTCATGAACCACCCGCTGCTCTTCGGCATCATCGTCTACGACAAAATCATCGGTTTCATCTTCGTCAACGTATCTGGCGCTTTGGACGGGGTGGACAGCCAGAGACAAGCTGAAGATACGGTTCACACCACTCTCGACAGAGCCCAACTGCTTTCCCAGTCCATGTTTGTAGACGGCCTCTACCATCGTGCCATCCATCAAACACGCGATGAGCTTGAGAAGGTCGCATTCAGCCAGGGTGGATAAAGAGCTTGTCGCAGCAGGCTTGATTGGACAAAGAACAACGTCGCTGACCTGCTCCATACGCGATTGGAGGTACCGTGGCATCTGGAATACCGATGGATCCTTCAAGGAGACTGTATTTTGGCTCAGTCCATCGTTTCCGAAATGATAGACGAGGCTGAGATGGCTTGTCCGCGAATAAACTAGTACAGCGGTCGCTGCACGAATCAGTGCCGCTCGAATTGGGTCATGAACGATCACTCACCTTGTGGTAGCTCGCACAAACTCATGCGCAAGGACAGGTCATGGCCATCTCGGAAATGGTTCCACGAACATGCAAGAGTCAATGGTTCAACTCCTGACCGATCTTTCCAGCTGACCTTGGACGAACTGAAGATCAACAATCGTGAGGTGGTTAACACTACAATGTGTTCTCTTCGCCGCTCGCTGTGCTTGACATCAAGGATCCGATTCTGATCCGACAGTGGTCCCAGCCGCATATCGACCACACCGACGCAAGCCCCCGAGAGATCGAACACGGCGGCAACCCTTCGATTACACACCAAGAGTCGGTCATAAGAGCCTTGGTCGTCTTTGAGCCAGCAGACCCGGTGCCAGCCATCGTAATGTTGCTGAGCATGTTTGACATGGAATATATCCGCGGCATTGTCTAGATCGTTGGAACATTGGAGGTGAACGTGGTACAGCATACGGGCAGACCTGGCTCTGGCTCCTCTAAGTTTCCATATACTCCAAACTCCGCAAATGTCTACCACCGCCAGTGAGCGCTGATCTTGAGGGTGGAAGGCAGAGTGGGCATGATAGTTTCCTCCAGTCCTGGAAGCAGGAATAGTCACCACCGGGCACGGATCGACTCGCAGATTGGAGGTCTTTGCAGCATGGTGCAGATCTCCTAATGCTCTAGGCATTGAATGACGGTCGCTGATCAGGGGATGCAGAATGCTGGTGGCGCTTGGTTTGACGACGAGGAACTGCGCCCGATATTGGGTTGGCGCCGAAGATATGTGCAATATCCGCTCTGCTGACTCCACCCAATGTCCCTCGCATTGATGTCCAATGGCCGGTACCGTATGAATCTCTTCGAATCCAGAACGGTTGGGAAAGCGTACATCGGATGAATCCAGACTGGTCAGACGTAGTGTCTCGCCACCTGGGCCTGCAGTAAAAGCCACAATAGGGCGAACACGGTCGTTGCGTGCATCATGGTCAAAGACAACCCTGGCATTGCCGAAAGCCAGACTATTTCCTCGACTCGCGGCTCGTGGAGTAGAAGACAACTTGAAGGGTACGCCGCGCAGGCTAAGAACGGCAAATGCAGCATCGGGTATCTGTTTGAGAAAGGTGTTCTTTCCAGAGTCGGTTGACCATTTCAGAAATGCATCTTTGCTGCCGACAACGGCCGTTGAATCTTCGACTTCCTCACCTTCACCTTCCCCTGCCTCGGACGTTTCTTTCGAGTGACCGACCCATGTCTGCTCGTGGACAAGTGAATACACAGATCCAGAGTAGACAGTAGGATGAGTCAGCCGAGACTCCGAACCGTGATCAAGAGCGATAGCAACAGTGTTTCTGCCCTCCAGATCAAGCTCAGCCGTGATCCGGTTTTGACGCAGAAACGTCCAGCTGTGGAGTTGATCATCGTAGGTGGCCGTACCAAGGTGGCCGTAGTTCACTGCGTTCGTTTCATGAGCGTGTGAGATACGCGTGACCCGCTCGACATCAGCCATTCGAACGGATTGTTATGGAGGATTGTGACCAATGTCGCCGACAGACGAGAGACATTTTCGACGGAAGATTGGCTTGGGTTGGACAGACCGGTTCACAATCGAGCCGGGACAGTCTCTCGACTGACGGTAAGCACCCCGTTAAGCATCCATATCGCAGGGGAAGAATCTACCAAGCTTTCCCATATTGGTGTCTGTACGCGTGCAATTGAAGGGAAAACTTGTCCACGGCGGTTGACATTCGCGCCAAGCCATAATACCTGCACATGTAACTTTGTGATCCTCAGTACTTGCTAGTTGACAACGAGGACTCGATTTACGGTGGATCATGAATTGTTCATTCGCAATATGTATAATTGATCGTTCCGTGTATTGGAGCATCTGGATGGAATGGTAAGCATGCACGCGACAGTCAAGCAATCAGTCAGCAACAGAGTCAGCATGAGCAATGGAACAGAGAATCATGTTACAATATCAAACAACGAGTCTTCACGGATTCCACTTGTTACTCTTCGATATCCTCCGCGAGGCGCTCTCGCCCTCTCAGCGCGGCAATAGCAGCGTCCGTCAAGAAGCAGCATCGTACTCCCTACGTTGAGCGCGGTCGCGAGTCTCGGTGCACCTACCTTACTCAGAGTGCTATCCATATCACCCTTCACAGTAACATCCCTAATTTGTCGCTGAAGTTTGCAGTTGCTAGCCCTTACCAGCTGAGGGAAGAACCTTACTAAGCGAAGAAGCAGCCGGTAAACGAGCCGGTAGTGGAGGAAGAAGATGATGAAGCTGGATACCGTGTCGGCTACGCTGTGGGGGAATCTGGAGAAGAACACATCACGTCCCTCACCAACACTGGGGCGCCTTGACCAGCTCTGGGGCCCCAGAGTTGAATGTCACTAACCTCCACATTCCCCCGCCAGAACGCTCCGAGTCCACCATGTGCCGATGCTCATTCAACCAAGTACAAGTTCGCTCGACCTGTTCGACAATGTCCGACTAGGACTATGCTCTGCCTGGATGAGGACGCTTGATCTAACTCTCGCTGGTGTCTCGAGGCCAGTGCATATAACAACGACTGCCTCCGCCCAAACTGCCAAATACTGCAATATTGCTCTTCTCGTTTCACAGCTTGAATCTCTGCAAGTCGAGTGAGCGTCAACGAACGGCATCATGGCAGGTGGCTATCGATACGCCTTCTCCCTCTCTAAGGGACAGGTTCACACGGAGACACCCCCTGGCACAGTCATCCTGATAGGTTAGTACCATCATCTCCTGGCACCTGCAACCGGTGCTGTATCAAGGCCCAAAGTGCAGACATGCTGATTGATCTGTCTCGAAAAGAACACGACCTAGAGCGTACGGCAACAGGAACTGAACACACGGTCGACCACGTCAGACTTGTGCCCCGGCCTTCCGACGACCCAGCAGATCCCTTGAACTGGTCACTATGGCGCAAACTGGCCATTCTTTGGGCTTCCTCCTTCTACTCGTTTGTGAACAACTGGAATTCTTCCGCGGTGGCTCCTGCCATACCGATCCTGGCTGTCGTGCTCCAAAAGGACTTTGCACAGCTCACTCACCTTGTTGCCGTCAATGTGCTCTTGGCCGGTGCTGCCAATCTGTGGTGGGTGCCTCTGGCTAATGTCTATGGTCGCCGCCCGGTATTGCTGTTCTGCACTCTGCTCATGACCTTCTCTACCATGTGGTGCGGCCTTGCAGGAAGTTTCAACAGCCTCCTTGCTGCTCGAGTGGTGCAAGGCATCGGCATCGCGGCTGCAGACGCGGTAGCCCCCGACGTTGTGGGAGAGATCTTCTTTGTCCATCAAAGAGGCCGCGCAATGGCCATCTATACAGTTTTCTTGGCTCTGGGTTCTCTGGTCGGCGGTGTTACTGGCGGGTACATAGCTTCGGCATACGGCTACAAGTATATCTTCTGGATCGGCACCGCACTTTCGGCCGCGTCGTTTCTGTTCATCTTATTCTTACAGCCTGAAACCTTGTACGACCGCGTGGTCCCGGCAGCGCCCTACAACGGTGCTCATACCCACACAGACAAGGAGGATGGCAGCACAATGGAGTCCAAAGGATCCGACCACATTGCACATCTGGAAGAATCCTCCTCTTATCGACCCTTCACCTACGGCCGAAGCCTCAGAGTTGGCGTGAACCGAGGAGGATTGTTCCGAGCCCTTCTTCGGCCCTGGGCATCTCTCTTATTCCCGGGCACTTGGTTGGTGATGCTCCATTACGGTGGCCTGGTGGGTGGCATTGTCACCCTCTCCACCGTGGGTCCGACGCTTCTGGCCATGCCACCGTATCTATGGGGTGCCAACGTCGGTCTCCTCAACGTTGGCGGCATCATCGGCACCCTACTCGGTGCTGTATATGCTTACCTGACAGCGGATCGCCGCATAACAGCCTCGGCCAGCCATGATTCCGGCGGACATGCTGAACCCGAAACCCGGTTGCCGCTGTTGGCACCTCCTCTATTCATTGCCACCACGGGTATGTGGGTGTTTGGCTTTTCTGCTCAATATCCGGGTCCTACTCGCTGGGTGGGCTTGGAATTCGGGCTGGGCATGTTGGCTTTTGGACTCATGTCGGTACCCAGTATCGGCTTCAACTACGTATGTGCCCTATCCACCTTCCCTTGTTCTTGTCTATTCTTCGCTACTGAGCCCCTGATGCTGATCGTGTGATGTCTGTGAATATAGATCATTGATTCATACAACGCCATCAGTGGCGACTGCTTTGTGATGATAGTGTCGTTCCGCGCTGTCATCTCATTTGCGTGGACCTTCTTTGTCGGACAGTGGGTGACCAAAAGTGGTCCTGCTGAGCCGTTCGGTATCTTCGGCATGCTACTCGGCATCTTCTCGCTGTTGACGATTCCTCAATGGCTGTACGGGAAGCGGACCAGGATTGCCACTCAAAAATGGCTTCCAAAGCGAGCCGATCATTGAAAAGCTGAAAAGTTGCCTGCCTGTCATTGTGGACCGAGCGAGATGCTCCAGTCTAGCTAAGGGGTTGGACAGTTCCACCGCTTCTTGGGCGTCAATCGTTAGACTGAGAATCAATTGGTCGATTAGTACCATTTTGCCCTCATGTATAAGGGTGCCAGAGTTAAGAACTACTGTAGTTCTATACTATGAAAAATAGAAATCCTAACTTGGGAAAGGGCTCTACATACTAGTAGTACCTCGTGAGCCACATGGCATATCATGCTGGCCTAACGCCTGGACAGATGCGCATTCAATTGTGAAAGGAGGTCTTCTGGTCGAGAGCCCGAACCGTGAATGATCAAGAGAAAAGATCGAAGCAACGCCGACATTCTATATATGTATTTGGTATGCCTCAAGGAGAGATTTGGAGTCTAGCTTCTAATCAACCCTTGGTCGTCACCTCGCAGCGATGCGCCCTGGGCGCTATCAGGAAGTAATTCTCCATCTCCATCGAACTGTCGGTGGTCGACTCAGCCAGCACGGCCGTGGGACAAGTCTTGAAAAACACAAACGCTCCGAGCAACAACTCGTTGGAGGCGAGATGGATGCCTAGGCAGACTGCGGTGCTTCACGTCAACGTCGTCGTCCTGGTTTTCAAGGCTCATGGATATTGACAGGAAAGAAAAGGCATCAGAGTCAACGTACCTCGAGAACCCAATCCAAACGGGAAGAAAGCGTCCTTCATGGCCTCTGTAGGCTGCTCCCAGCGTTCAGGGATGAAGCTTGAGAAGATCGGTCAGCAATTGCCGTATGGTTCCTTTCTGCAGAATCACTCCACGCACCTGTCGGGATCCGGGAATATTGCTCCGTCTCTGTGCACGGTGAAGGCCTGGGCACCGACAATGGTGCCCTCGGGTATGTTGTACCGGCCGCCCAACTTGGCGCCTCCTGGAGGAGACACCCGGGGCAGACTACCGGGGGCGGCGCCATACAACCGCAGAGACTCGTTGATCACGGCCTGGAGGTACTTGAGTTGAGATATCTCAGCCAGCGACGCGTCGATCGGCAACGACTCGATCTCGGCCAGCAGCTTTTGCTTGACGTTCCGGTGTCGGGGCCGGAGGACCGACCAGATCAAGTACGTCAGCGACACGGCCGTGGTGTCGCTGCCGGCGACGATGAGGTTGGACGCCTCCGCGGAGATCTGGGGCAACGAGAGCTCCTGATTGCGGGTCGGGTCGAGGAACTTGGAGAAGAGACTGCTGTTGCTGTTGCTGTTTGAAGGAGACATCTGGCCATTGTCGTTGCTTTGAGAAGCGGCCATCACATGCCGTTTGTGGTTCTCGATCGCAGCCAGTCCGTACTCGTCCATGCGGTCGTTGAGCGTGAGAGCGTTCTGCACGGGCCCGACAGGTATGTGTTTCGCGACGCGCAACAAGGGGCCCAAGAAGCCCAACTCGGCACGGATGCCGGCGATCATCATGGTCGTTTCCAGGTCCCGAATATATGGCGTTTTCTGCGGAGGCACAGAGTCAGCGTTCTGATTTGAATACAATATATAGCGAATAGATTGCATTGCTGAATACAGAGCAGAAAACCCCCTCTCTCCAACTCAAAGCTGATGACGCAGACGCAGACGCACCTTTTCTTGCTCCAGCATATTGAAAGACGTCCCGAAACTCAGTTCACCAATCACGTCGGTCGCCATGAAAGTCAACCACCTCAGGAGATCTGCTCTTCCTTTTCCGTCGGCGTGAGTGGCACTGGCATCGCGGCGGATCTTGGAAATCGCCGTGTCGACTTTCTGTCGGATTTGGGCCTCGAACTTGACGATGGACGAGTTGGAAAAGCTTTGTGCAAACAGTCGACGTCTGGCGGCGTGCTGTTTCGCGTCGATCATGGAGAACAGGCCCGGGTGAGCGCTCTCGTTGAATTTCTGGTACCAGTCGGCCTTGCGAAAGTCGCTGCCTACGCGGTAGACGTGTTTGATGCTCGGCAGATCCGCGACGGCGATTTCGTCGGGCGATATCCTCACGAACGGTCCTTGACAGACTCGGTCAGTCTTTTCTCCTAGGCTTTGACCAAAAGACCAACAGTGCTTGCTCAAACTCGAGTGAGTGCTCGACAGTGGGGGCTTACTCACCATAGGCTTGGTGGAGAGAATGGATATATTGTGATCGGTTCCCCGTCATGACCTGATATTTCAGCCAGAGGTTCGTCCACGGCGCATACCAAGGCCCGGGAACATGTCGTAATGGCGTCAAGACGACTCTTTTGGTCACCTACAACAAACATTCCTCGTTAGAAACAACAGAACCCTTCGAAATTCGAGCACAGAGCACAGTCCACAAGATTGCAGAAGAGGGTTAATGTCAATCGCCAATCGTCAGCACTTACCAGAAAGACTCGAAACAGCAACCATGCACATATCACCACGGCACAGAGCTCTTTCAGCGAAAGTTGATGTGTTAGGCCAGCCATGACGAGAGAACCAGCCCCAGTGTGAGTGTGTCCACGGAGAGAGATATAGGTGTAGGTCCGGGTGTGTATGTGGTTGTCACAATCACTTTAAGTCTCTCCCAAAGCGACGAGGCTCAAGTCGAAAGGAATCAGAAGATACACCGTTGCTTACTATCACTCCTATATAAATCGTCCCGGACGACGTCTGGTAATGCAGTGTGGATCGGGGGAGATTGATCGTTTAGTACGACTTGAATGGGTATCCTGGGCCGCGAGGAAGCGACCTGGTTCCCCCGCAACAGGCAAGATACAACGTCCCAGCTGGTGCTACTAGTACGCCAACAACTACACGCCCTTCAACACCGATCAATACTCATGAAACGTAAGGTAGGTACACCGACTATAGTAGGCGCGTAACTGGAAGTTTCCGAGTAGAAGTGCCGTCGTTGGTCGTTGGTCGTTGGTTGTTGGCCGTTGGTTGTTGGCCGTTGGTTGTTTCCCCGCGAATCCCCACAGATTGTGGACCGGCGACCCACACAAATCCCGCATTGGTCGGGAATGTGGGGGAGGAGGCGGCCGGGGGAGAGAATCTGTTCCTACGAAATACAACGCTTGTCCCGACTTCTTTCGATCAAAGGATGTCTTGTCTCTCTGCAATCTCCACAGCAAATAAGGATTGCTGTTGTTTCTGCCCATCGATAATGATGACAAGCGAAGGGACCATCTACTAGTCTACTAGATAGTAGGTCGTGATATAAGACCATGGAACACCTACATACTCTATACTAGGTTGGGCTACGGTCTACAAAGTTCACTGTCTGGATGTTCTATTGATAACAATCACAAAACACCTTATGCTACCACGATGGTCTCGCCGTAACCAGATCACTCATGGACGTACTCTCTACTTTGTAGTATACGAAGATTGGTTTCCTCCGACAAGTGATGACGATGTCTCAAGAGAGGCATCAGGACTGTCGGTAGTTTTAATTTTCATTGACATTTTCAGATCTAGCGGTTCTTTTCTTTGGAACAAGCAGCCTTGCCGTGCTCTCTTGGGACGCTTTCATTGTCTCCTCCTTCTTTGGTATACACCTGGCTACTTGGCTACTCTGACCGCTGTCTCTAGTTGTCGAAGTCCAGCATTCCCGCTTGAGCAGCATCTAGCATCTAGGAACTAGCGGACGGAGCCAACATGTCATCATTTGGGCGGGATCACGGGTAGGGTGACATAGTTGTCGTAGACGGGTCCGAAATTGATATGGTTCATGCCCGCCAAGCGCTGCTTGGTCCTGTTTTGTTTTGGCATCGTCAGCAACGAGTTTTGGATTCTCTTCAAAGCTCCCCCCGGTCTTTTATTCATGGAACATACCTGTCATTTTCTCCTCCGTGGGTGAAGATGCCGGAGCCCTGAGTGTCTCCGGACGCGACTTCAAGCACCAGTCGGCTTCCTTCGTCCACGACGACGTTAGTGGGCCAAATCTCGACGTCGACCGGGTAGACCTCGCCGGGCAAGACAGGCAAGACGTCGCACTTGAAATAGTCTCGGTGTGGGAGATAGGGCTTGTGTCGTCGGTGCGCGGGGTTGACCTTGCGCAGACTCACTCTCAACCAGCCCTTGCACAGAGGAACTGGATCGCCAGCGGTGCCCGTGTAGAAGACTTCGTCTCCGTCGGCGGTGAAGTGGCGCAGGGTCAAGAACAGGTCGATGTCCTTGGTCAAGGCAGAGCTGTCGCTGCCGATATACGGATTCATCGAGACGCTCAGTCTGGCGACGATGTGGCCGGTGATCTCGGTGGGCTCTTTGAACGGCGCGGTGGAGAACTGCACCAGCTCGGGCTTCTCGAGCGTGCCCAACGCATGGTACGACAGCTTGGAGGTGTGGCTCAGACTGGGCTTCTCCGTGGTCAGCTGCTTGTCGGGCGTCAGATGGTACGGGACGTATTGGGTGCGGGCGATGGGCCATTCGGCCTCGTCGCGGCGGCTGTAGGTGCGTTCGGCGGCGGCGTCGTTGAAGCCGACGTTGCCCTTGCGCAGCACGACGCTGACTTTGGGCGCCGTGCCCGTGGACCAGCCGTCACGGTCGTCGCCCTTGAGGAATGCATCCAGGAAACTCTTCTGCAGCGCCACCTCCTCCGGGTAGTAGAAGGGCAGGTCGTGGCGGCCGGTGATGAAGCGGAGGTACTTCAGCCGCGAGCCGGCATAGGTGTAGCCCAGCACGTTGCCGCGCAGGTGCAGCAGGATCCCGCCCCAGTTGGCCACCGACAGCAGCGGCACCTTGACGTCGTCCAGATTGTACTCCTTGGAGGCATAGTAGTCGTCGTCGCGGAAGAAGTTGCGGGCGTTGTCGACGTTCTGGTCGTTGCGGTTCGCCGCGAGTTCCTCGTCGTCTAGGTCCCCTTCGATCGTGTTTTCTCCCCACTTGCGTTGCGCCCGATCCGGCCTCCCGTACTGGTTCGTGACCACCTGGCGGTTCCACCAGAAGCGGATGAACGCGTCCGACAGGATCCCGCCGTGCCGGCACCGGTCGCGGTAATAGTCCGACATGCCTTCCCAGGGGATGATCGCGCTCAGACCCTTGGGCTGCAGCGCCGCCACCCTCCACTGGCTGCCGGCGTAGTACGAGATGCCCAGGAGCCCGACCTTGCCGGACGACCAGGACTGGGAGGCCGCCCATTCCACCGCGTCGAAGAACGCCTCGCTCGTCGACTTGGACATGGTGTCCAGCAGGCCCGGCGACTGGCCCAGGCCCCGTTCGTCCACTCGCAACACCGCATACCCGACCGACGTCCAGTAGCCGGGATCCGGTGTCTCCCATGCCGAATGCGCCGACTTCTGTTCCGGGTTGACCTCGGAGAATGATTGGGCGTGGAAACTAAAGCTCAGGTTAACAACTGGTCATTCACAAGTTTCCATCACCGTCTTCGAACGGTGTGCAGATGCAGATGCAGATACAGATGCAGATGCAGATGCAGATGCAGACGCAGATAGGGAACGACTCACTCGCCGTAGTAAATGTCCTTGCCGTAAGGCCCATAGGTCACCAGAACTGGCACGGGGCTACTGGACGAGTCCTTGGGCCGGTACACATTGGCCCTCACCACCCCGGAACTGCTCTTCAAGGGGATCGTGACATTCTTTTCGAAGACGTAGGGAAAGCTGTCATGGTCGACGGTCGCGATGTCGCGGATTTGGTTCGGCATGGTTTGGTTTGGTTGATTGTTGATCCCTTCACTTCCCCTGTCAGGTCCAAGGCCAGCAGAACTGTCCTTGCCAGAACCGTCGTTGTTATAACATGTTCAAATACATCGGTTTCCTGTATCCACCGCTCAACTGCCCGGAAGAACCTATCCCTAGATGGTCCGAAAGGAAGCGTCACCCGGCCATGCTTTGATGCAACTTTCGTGTGGAGCCGAGACCTGTAAACCCACAACTTACAAGCTTGGGGTTTCACCGACCATCGGCATTGAGATCACCAGTGGAGGAGGAGGAGGAGGAGGGGAGGAAAACCACCCTGTACGCCTCGAACTTGAAGGTGACCGTGAAGGACAAAGGCCTATACCAGATCGTAGATACATCATTCAACATCCCTGAAGATAAAATTCGAACAGGACACTACTCACCGAGCGTCTCCCTCGCCAACCGAATCAACAGCAATCCTTTCTCAGCAGCACCAACAACGCAAATCAAATCAAGTCACATACAACATCATCTTGCATCTATTTGCTTTTCAGCATCAACACTGCGTGTAAAGACTGTGTACATTTGTGCGTCTGCAAGATGGGAGACAACGGCCTCCCAACAGTCCACAGGTTCGTGACAGACCACAACGACGAAGGAAAAGCCATCTTCCACAAATCCGTGGACGAGGTATTACCGTTCCAGAAACAAAGCAAAGAGGCACACTTCGGGCTGGGCTACGCGACCAAGGAATTTCCGGTCGAGCTGAGCGACGACGCCGACGTCAAGATCTACCAAAACTACCTGGAAAACCTGCCGGGCATCACGGTCCCCGGCGGCACGGTTCTGCGCGTGGTCGACATGGCCCCGGGAGCGACGTCGCCGATGCACCGCACGGTGAGCCTGGACTACGGCGTCGTGCTGGAAGGGACGGTCGATCTGGTCCTGGACTCGGGCGAGGTGCGCACGATGAAGAGAGGCGACGTGGCCGTGCAGAGAGGCACGAACCACGCATGGCGCAACGCCAGTCCGGACTCGTGGGCACGCATGCTTTATGTCCTTCAGGAGGCGAAGCCGCTGTATATAGCGGGGAAGCTGCTGGACGAGGATTACGGGGGCATAGAGAATGTCAAGCCTTCGCGTCATTGAAAGTCATGGCAGAACAGATTGGTCTTATCTGCTGCCACAATGGTAGAGGAAAGAAAAAGCACAGTTCAATTGATCGGGTGGATGGCTTGATCACCATATTTATATAGGACAGGATAGGAGGGCAGGTGGACCAACAACTTGGACCTCAATTCAAAAGACAATATCCAAACACGATGCCGTAATATCTGTCATATAAATGCTCTCCTACGAGGCTGGGCCGTGTGTCAAATAAATCACCATTCACCCCCAATCTTGTATCTGAAGAAACGACTGTTGATCTTTCCACCGGTGGCCCTCCACGCGGTGTCCACGTTCTGCAGTACGCCCAGTCAGTCATTTTTGTCTCATTCGTCAGGGCGAGTTCAATCTCGTGCACAGGATGATGATCATAATCACGGTGCAAACTCACTCCAATCAGCCCAACACCATTCAGCATGGTGAAGATGAAGATGCCTTCCACCACATTGGAACCAGCCGGTCTCTCAGGACCAAGGCGGCTACGATCGACAGGCCTGTAGGGCGGCACTCGACGGTGTTCCCTGTCCCAATTGGGGGGGTTTTCGGCCGACACGGGCGTCTCTCTTTGCGGATTCGGCGGCTCTGGCGTCCTCGGCTGTTCAGGGTTGCCGCTGTGATGGATGTCGTAGTCGGTGAGGGCTTGGAGCACGGCTCCAGAGACCGGGTTTGCAGTCGTGGTCACTGACATGGTCGTTGTCGTCGGTCGCGATGGAGAGGGAAAGAAATCCTAGGGAGCGTGAGAAGTAATGGATCTGGTTCTGGATCTGGTTCTGGTTGTGCTTAGCTGGAGGGTTGTCGAAGCAGTGTCTGTCATACGAACCTAAACCTTAGCCTCCCATGATTCTGATCCTGATGCCTCGGTCCGGAGTCAGCCCAACTCTGACTTCTGGAGTTCCCCCGTCTTTCGGGGCGAAAAGTAAGTCCCTGGGATGATTTGAAGTCTCGTGACGGCTTCCGGTCGGAATGTGGGGGAATCCGAGAAGAGTGACGAGTGACGGGCTGAACCAACCCTGGCTGAGCGGGCTGCGGGACATGACCTGCAAAGACATCCGGACTGTCCAGATTGTTATTACCAGGTGCATACGGACCCGGTGACGGACGGGAAAAGGGAAGAGAAGAAAAGAAAAGAAATCAGTCTGTCAGGTCACAGAAGGTGTTGTTGTCGTCGTCGTCGTCCTCAAATATGGCCAACTCGGTGGAACGGGTTCTAGCCGCCGCAGTCCAAGGACAGGCACGAAGCCCTCGCTTCATCCAAAAGCAGCTCAGCAAGCTTCATGCAGCCCTTACAAAGGACGGACTCGCGATCAGAACCACCATCAAGAGCGAAACCAAGCACTCGACCGCCGAAGTTGAGGTTCAGTATGCGCTCACGCTCGAGGCCGTGGCAGCCTTGTTCGCGCAGATCGACGACCTAGAACAGGCGCTTCGGGAGGAATACCATCTCGCCCGACTGGAGAATTCGCCGTCGCACAAGGTTCCATATTCGATCGTCTACATTGTGCCGTCAAGGTACAATCTCTTCTACAGTTGTGTGACGGCGGTCGCCGCGGCCATTGCTGCAGGCAACTGTGTTATCCTGGAGGTATGTATGGAATGAATACTCGGAGCTTTGGCAATCTATCTATTGAGATGTGACATTTTTTGCTCACTTGATTCCAGTTGGCTCAAACGACATCGAGGATCTCGGAAGTGGTCCAGAAGACGCTGTCGAACACCCTCGACAGAGACACCTTCACGACCGTCGACACGCGGATCGACTTGGAGACTCTGCCCAAAGGATCTGTCCGACTTTTCGGTGATGGCGACGGTGCCAACCCTTCGAGGACGGATCTGGTGCCTCCTTCAACGCGGAGCATCGCGATCGTCGACCGAGCCGCGAACACGCGGGAAGCCGCGGCGGCGGTGTTGCGAGCTCGATTTAGTTTCGCGGGCCAGTCACCGCTCGCACCGGACGTGGTGCTCGTCAACGAGTTCCGACTCAAGGAGTTCTGCACGTCGGTCGCGGAGCTGACGAGCAAATACCTCGCCGCGCAGTTCGAGGGCGGGGTCGGGGCCAACGGCTCGACTGGTGCTGGTGCTGGTGCTGGTGCTGGTCGCAGCCCTCCTGCCACCGCGACCAAGATCTCCAGCACCGAGCTTCAACAAGCGGGCGCGGAAATCCTGGTTTCGGGTTCCAAAGGGGCCGTAGCACGCATCGGGATCGACGACAGGAAGTCGCCTCTCTTGAGGAAGCCCATTCGCGAACCACTGCTTCTCATCCATCCGGTGCGAAGTGTCGACGATGCGATCGACTTTGCGAACGCGGACGGTGGTGGTGGTGGTAGTAGTGGTAGTGGTCTTGGAGGAGAACCACTGGCCGCCTTGTACACCTTCGGACCCCCCGAGGTGGCCAAGTACTTGTCCCAATTCGTCGACGCCCGCGTGTCCTGTGCCAACGACATCCCCGTCGAGCTGGTCGGGGCTCCCGCGACGCCCGTCGGCCACGCCACACAGCTCGGCGGCGCCGGGCCATACTCTATGGGCATATTCTCCGTGCCGAAACCGGAATATATTCGCTACGACGCCAAATTCTCCAATCTCGGCAAGCTTCTGGACGGGAACGACGTCGAGGGAGCGATGCAGGCCCGCCGGGCAGCCGAGGCGCTGAATATCACGGTGAAGCAGCCGCCGGGACATGCCATTGGGTTCTTCGAGCAGGGACTCTTGTTGGGGGGAAGTATCCTGCTGACGACGGTCGTGGCGGGGAACGTGCTGTTCTGGAAATACGGAATGCCGGCGATAGCGAAAAGGGTGCGCCATTAGCTTTGTTGTTATGGATTCCATATAACTCAAGTCTACTTTACTTCCTTTCCTCTCCTTCCTTTCCGACGTCAAGTACTGCTACTGCTCCCGTGCCCATGTAATTTTGTCGACGCTACATCCTCTTACCAAAGAGTGTATCTGTTCTAGGCTGGAGCGTGGACGATGGCACATATATGCTTTCCCCGAGGGTGTCATAGATTGATGCCATCAGCGACGCTTAGAGAATGAGAAGGATCAAAAGGTTCATCTTTGATCAACGTACAGACATAAGTCACTGGTATGAGCGAGCTAGATATCTGGGATCACGACATTTCCGCCCAACCCGCATGATTCGTGATTCATGGTCCAACCTCACGTCCAACTGTCCCTCGGCCGCGGCCTCGGCAGCTCAAGACTCCAGCCCCGAGACAACGTATTCTAGGCCAGGGCCTATGCGGCCGACTTGACAAATGAGCCGAACGAGAATTGGGAGTTGCACATATTGGTCTGACAGGCAAGAAGTTTAGTTAGGATAATGCGCTGATCAGAGTCAAGGAAAAGGGGGTGGTGGTCTCCAAGCTGAAGAGGAAGAGAAAGAGGAAGAGAAAAAGAAGGTAGTCCCCAAGCCGAAACTCACCAATTCCCAAGTCTCAGCATAAAGCTTTCCATAAGTCCCCTCGTCTTCCTTATCGCCCACCGCCCCTGCAACAAAAAGCCCACTCATGAAATGGTCGTCGGTCGCATGGGCGTCCCGATACTGAGGATGTTTCATCAGACGAGCGATGGCCCTCCGCAGCCGCGGACCCGCGTTCTGAGTAACGTTATCCTCGACAGCCTGGCGGAACTCCAACGCCCATGCCTCGGGCGGCGACTCTTGGGCAAAATTGTCCCGGTACCGCAGCATAGGCTCCCACTTGTTGCGGTAGAGGTTGTGGACGGCACCCCCGGAGCCGATGAGGAGATATCCCTCCTTGCGCAGCGGGCGCAGCGTGGCGCCGACTTTGACGTGGTAATGGGGGTCGTAGCGCGCGTTCATCCCGACGATGGTCGTCGGCGGACATCCATGAGGGAACATGCGGATCAGCACCAGGTACGTGTCGTGGATCCAGTCGAATTGGGCGTCGCCCTCGGCGTCGAAGCCTTCTTGTCTCAGCAGCTCAATGCACCGGTTGGCCGTGGGGAGGTCGGGGTTTAATTGGTAGTCGGCGTACTTGGACGGATGGACGTACGCGACGGGAGACTTGGCTGGGTGCGGGTTGGTGGCGACGTGGATCTTGTCGTTGACGCTGGCCCAGTGGGCGCCCTATGTTGTTGTTGTTGTCGTTGATGATTTTGTTCGTTTGTTCATGGGTAGGTGAGGATGGATTGGGGAAGAGGGAATGAGTATGTCTCCTTGTGACAAACTTACCATGATGATGACACCTTTGATCCCATTCGCAAGAGCCTCGTCGCCGCATTTCTTCCAATATGTCGCGGATTCGCTTTCTTCCCCAAGCATCATGGTCGAGCCGTGGGAGAACCAGTGGACCGGGGTCAGCGCTGTGTTGCTGTTAGTCTTCATCAGAGCCATGTCTTTTCTTTCGGGGGGTGATATTGATATTGATATTGATACTGGGACAGGAGGTAGTGAAAGTGCTGCTGCTCACCTTGTCCGGCCATCTTCTGGAGCCTCAAATATGATGTGCTGTGCTGTGCCTTGCTATGCTGTGCCTCAACAAGCGTAGAAACAGCAAACGGGCCGTCCCCCCGCGAAGCACCCGCTGAACTTCAACTTCAACTTCAACTCCTACTCCATGACTATGACCTGCCCGGATTCGGCTCTTCGATGTAGCCGACGTTGCACTCCTCACATGCCGGGCTTCGTGGCCGCGTCTCCTGGAAGCTCCCCCACACGCTTCCGATTCGTCCCAGGCCCGTCCTATGACCCCCGCCCCCCTGCCGACGATAAGGGGAACCACTCCGGTCTCCTGGGTGGGGCTCCGGGGTTGGAGATTGACTCCGAGTCTGTCACATAGTACCTCCATAGTGGGTAGTACGTACGTAGTCCGGCTTGTCATGTCCCATTTTCCCCACACCCCCCACACACACCCCCCATTCCCCCGGAATCTCGTCCTTCCTCCACGAAAAGCTTCTTCCCTCGCCCTTTCCTCTGCATATCTGGTCATCATAGTCTTCGGTAACACGACTGCGGTTCCATGTGGTCGGCAGCATCCTACACTCCGGGGTTTGTTGCTCTGTCTGACACTTGTCGCGTTCCACGGTTGAGCCTTCCGCCTGAGAGCCTAGGGAGTCAATGCAAGTCGACGAAGACTCTCTCACCGCTGGTCAGTCCACCGGGTCGTCGGAGGCAGTGGCGGCTGGTAGACAGGGCCAAAACACAGCACCGGTAACATGCAACATCTGTGGGAAGACGTATAATCGAGTTGACCACCTCGTGCGTCATCAGCGTTCGCGTGAGTGGAAGTTGATCTTCATCGTGCTGCTTGTCTCAACCCACACACACACACACACACACACACACAAACAGTCTGCTGATACCAACCCCCGGTACAGACTCCCAGATCAAGCCGTTTCCCTGCACGGTGTGCGGCAAGGACTTTGCCAGAATGTAAGCTCATCTATCGGTCTGCTGTCTGATGTCTGATATCAGATGTCGGCTTGGAGTCGGAGTCAGGACAGCCACAAACTAACCCGCCGGGTCCGTTTCTAGAGACGCGCTCAAGCGCCATGCTGTCAACCACGACACCGGCGGAGCAGGAGCTAAGCGGCGACGGAGGGCCACGGTCGATGGAAGGTCCCGTGTGACCAAGGCATGCAACGCCTGCGCGGCGGCCAAATTGAAATGTGAAGACGAGAAACCGTGTCAACGGTGTCGTCAGAAAAAGCTGCCTTGTGTCTGTTCCGATCCTATTTCTTCCACAAACAACAACAATAACGAAAGGTCCTGGCCGTTGGGGTCCGCGCCCGGCGAGCTAGACCACCAAGGAACTTCAACGACCGATTCTCTAACACCACCACCTCGACGAGACTCGTACCTTGAAGCGCCCTCAACGACAGAGGATGCGCAGAGCCAGTCGCCCATGATCGGAGGACAGCCTGACTCAAGGTTTGCGGCATCTGGACACGGACAGGCTCACGGAGGACTCGACTACACGGCCTCCAGCTTGCAGGCTTCTTTAGCCGTGGCGGCCTCGGAGTTGACGGAGGATGACACGTCCGGGTTGGCATCGGACGGCCACGTGCAGGACACCGGATCGAATCTGGACGCAGCGGGCCTGTCGCTGGACATGTCGCAGGACTGGGACGAGTCGTCGCTGGCCTACTTCCTCAACGACATCATGCTCCCACCACTGACGCCTGTGCCTGACGGCCACGATCTCCCCAACGAACAACCGTACCATCTGCGCACGCCGCGGGACTTTCTGGATTTCGGCACCTTCAACATGGACACTCTGCCCGATCTGGACATTCACGCCCTGCAGCAGAACAATAACCATCACCTGGAGACGATGCCATCCGTGACCAACTTGAACGCGATGTTGTCGAGCCCGCTCCCAGCATCGGGGACGGCGACGCCCATCTTTGCGGACGGCATCTCTTCGGGCAATGCGGCATTCATGCGCTCCATGTGGATGTGGACGCCCACCAACCGCGACCACGGCGGCGAAGACAGTCTCAATCTCTCCTTGCCCAGCTCCGACATGGACAGCCCCGAGACGCGAGCCCTGGCAGGTCGTCCGGTCTTCCACCACCGCCTGGACAACACGTTGCGCGACAAGATCCTGGCCTCCGTGCTCGGCACCTGTGATCCTTCGCTGTACACAGCCATCGCGTCGTCGTTTCCCAGCGCCGAAATGTTGAACAAGCTGTTGCATTTCTACATGTCCACACACCTCGCCCTGACCGACCCGTGGTTGCATCTGCCCACCATCGAGCTCGACAATCAATCCCTCGAGCTCGTCATCATGATGATCTCCGCCGGCGCCGTCGTCTGCTCGGTCACTTCAATCCGCAGGCTTGGCTTTGCTCTGCAAGAGGCAGTTCGAGTGGCTTTGGCCAAGAAGGTGAGTAGTATCTAGCCCGGCATTTCTGGCCCGTCTGACCTCCTGGATAGTTTGAGACCGACAATCGCTTCACCCGAGATCTTACCACGCTGCAGGCCTTCGCGCTTCAACTCCAGGTTGGGTTATGGAGTGGCGATAAGCGTAAGATGGAACTGGCCGAAAGCTTTGCTCAGCCTCTGATCACCGCAAGTCTCTCCATCTTTGTTTCTTGTTCCCGACTAATCCGTCGAGATAGATGGTGAGACGAGCTGGACGCTTTGGTCAGCTGAGAGGGCCACTGTCAATGCCTACACCCGAGGACGCCGGCGAAACTCTGGACCTGAAATGGAGGGCATGGGTGCACGCCGAATCATACAAGAGGTAATTTCCTCACCTTTGGTCTTGAAGAGAAAATACTGATCAAGACTAGACTGGCGTGTCATCTCTTGATTCACGATGCGCAGGCGTCAATGGCTCGTGCAGTGGCACCACTTCTGTCTCCGGCGGAAATCTCGCTGGGGTTCCCGGCATCGAAACAACTCTGGTCTGCTGGCTGTGCGCGAGAATGGAGGATTCTCTGTCTCGACCATAATCTGGCTTGTCCGGACAAGAGCCTGAGCATTTCACGTGGGCTCAACAATCTGTCGCAGCTGAGAGATCAACAGAACATAGACCTCTGTTTTGCGGCCATCATCGTCATCTACAGCACTTGGGCCGTGGTTCATAGCCACCTTCAGCTCAACGCTCTGACGCGATCGCCCACATCGACCCCACGCCATAATGGATCCTTCATAAACAGCTCCCAGAACCCGGGAGTGGTTCATTTCATAGAACAGATTCTCCTGGTGCTCTCGGACTGGAACGAATCTTTCCGACCGACGATGGCCCTCGTGTCGGAAAGGACGCTCCTCGGTCTCCACGTGTCTTTTGAACAAGTGCAATTGTTTGCGGGCAAGGAAGGAGAAGATGAAGCGCGACGGGCCTTCCCCATGCTGCAACAGTGGGCCGACAGCAGCGATGCTCGCAAGGCCGTCTGGCATGCCGGTCAGATCTTGAGAGCCGCACGACGGTGTCACGCAAACGAACTCCTGGATTTTGGCGCCATCTGTCTCTATCACGCCGGCCTCACCTTTTGGGCGTATGCGGTGGTTCGAACAGCGGCTCCAAGCCACCTCCCTGGTCAGACACAGTCATCTCGCGCATTGTCCAACCCAGGTGATACAGTGTATGTCTGGCTGGACGGGGACGACTGTCCTGCCGTGCAGCGTTTCATCAGTCTCAACCGCGGCATTCCCGTGGTCCATGATGGGACGGACAGTGCCAATGGGTCAGTATCGCTGAGCAGTCCAAAGACCCTCATGGGGTTATGTATTGACCTGTTGAGGAAGAACGCAAATGCCAGGGACCACGGAGGATACCTGCCCTTGGTCGAGAATCTAAGTCAGCTGATGCGTGACCTGGGCAATGCTGCGCAAGGGGTGCTTTCCGGACAGCTGAGACGCTTCAAGGAGCACCAACCAGGAGCGCGAGGGGGTAGTATCACCTAGGAGTAGGAGTAGCCAATCCTAAAGATGTTAATAAACCAAAAGATTTGTGCAGAACGAATGCCCGGGTACTCTGGGGATAACTCCTTGTACTTCGTAGTGTCAATCTCCTCCACATCACCCGAGGAGGGTTTGTCCACATTCCTTCCCGACATCCCCACACTCCGGTTCGTGCGCCATATCGAGGGTCAAATCCGGAGGCGGCCGCATTACCGGCCCTCGGCAGTATCAAGTTGCGAGAAGATATATTGTGCTGGCTGAGCATATCAAAGTGATGTTTGATTCCCAAAAGCCCAAGAGCCCAAGAGCTTCATCAAAGTTTCGTTCAAAGAAGCCCACGAGAGGTCAAATCTGCGTGAACCTCTAGAAAGAAATTGGCGAAACCTCTACAATGATTGCGAAAGACGAGGTGAATGGCTCGAACGTACCTGCCGAGTCGTCTACATCCCAGCCCACCACTGTAAATGGGCATACAAATGGAAACTCGAATGGCAGCCTTGACGAGGTAGAGGAGAGCTCCGGCTCCCTGAAGATCGTCATTGTTGGAGCAGGCATCGGGGGCTTGACTGCTGCGATAGCCTTGAGAAAACAAGGCCACCAAGTGACAGTATGTAATTGGAGGTCCTTTTCATCGACCAAGGACATGAGCTGATATCGGGGTACCTAGCTGCTCGAGCAGTCCCGGTTTGCCCAGGAACTGGGCGCTGCTGTCCACCTGGCACCCAATTGCAATGGCATTCTTCGACGGCTGGGCATAATGGCCGAGGAGTTTGGAGCGAACACCATGGACTCGGTGAGACCGACCCTGAGTTTTCCCTCGTAGGAAGCGGGTCGCATGTCTAACGTGTCCCAGTTTTCCGAATACAACGCCGACGGCTCACACGTCAGATCCATTCCGACCATGCCCCATCTGTGGCAACATGTAAGTGCTCCCAAGAACATCGGCGTGGGACAGAGCAATTGATTGATTGTCGTTTTCTCCAGCCGTGGCACCTTGCTCACCGAGTCCGGCTACACACTGCTCTCAAGCAGAAGGCGACCTCCCCGGACGGACCTGGACGGCCAGCACAGCTGTTGACTTCCAGTCGGGTCGTGTCCATCGACGTCTCCAAGGGTATCGTCACGACGAAGGATGGGACTCAGTACCGCGGAGACGTGGTAGTCGGAGCCGATGGCGTCCACTCGATTGCCCGTCTCTCCATTCCCGGCTGGGACAAGACGACGTTCGACTCCGGCAAGAGCGCTTTTCGGTTCATGATTCCTCGATCTGCGGCCGCAGAGAACCCGGTGACCAGCAAGTTCTGCAACAAGCCTGGCGAGTTGGTTGCCATCTTTGCGCCCGACCGTCGCGTCGTGGTCTACCCGACCAACGACAACCAGGAGTTGAATTTCGTGTGCATCCACCCCAGCGCGTTGACTGGGGCCAACGACGACTGGAACAACGAGACGAGCATCGAGAAGTTGCTGGACGTGTATGGGGACTTCGATCCGTCGGTTCGAGCGTTGCTGGCCAAGGCCAATCCGGCCACCCTCAAGGTCTGGAACCTGCTGGACATGGACAAATTGCCCACGTTCGTCCATGGCCGTTTGGCGTTGCTGGGAGACGCTGCCCATCCCTTCCTGCCTCATCAAGGCCAAGGCGCCGGCATGGCCATCGAGGACGCGGCGTCCCTCGCGGTCATGCTCTCCGACGTCACATCCGCCGCGACCGAGATCCCCGACCGACTGCGGCTGTACAACGAGGCGAGGTACGAACGCGCACACGCGATCCAGGAGTTCTCCCGCCTGGTGGGCCAGGACGAGAAAGATCGTACCCAGCGCGTCGACATGGTCCAGTACACCAACACCAACTTCGGGCACGACGAGTGGGACTCGTCGTCGCAGAAACTGCGGGAATGGCAGTGGTCACGAAGCCCGGTCTACTGGCGCCAACCCATCGCGTTCGGGCCGATGCCTGGCCCTCGACAGACGTTCACGGGCGCGCCTCAGGACGGGCGAGCTTCGGTGACCACGACGGCGGCGATCAAGTTCAAGACCTCGCGGACCCTCCTCGAGAATCTCTTCCCTCCGGGCGAAAAGAGAAAAGGGCTGAAGTTCCAGAGCCCTGGCACGGTTGCGTATGCATCAATAGCGACGACGACCCTGGACAAGATGGACTGGCTGGGCGGCGGCGGGTACAACTTCTGGGGTCTCTTCATCCACGGGATCCAATACACGCGCAAGGACGGCAGCGTCTTCAAGGGCAGCTACCTGCCCATCCTGTTCGAGAACCTCACCGACCCCATCGTCAGTGGCCGCGAGGAACTGGGCATGCCCAAGCTCTTCTCCGACATCGACGTGCACCGCCGAGGCGATGATGCCTACTACATCACCAACAGTTGGAAGGGTGCCGTCTGGGCCAATTGCCGACTTACGGGCCTGAAGGAGGTCGACCTTTCCAAGACTGGAGGTAGTGGTGGTAGTGTCTCCGGAGAGGCCGACGACGGCCAACTGGTGTATCGGTACATGCCCACCGTCGGCCGCGAGGGAAAGGGTCATGCGGCCGAAGAGTACTTCGCCATCGTGCCCACGGCGGAAGAACAGCCCGTGCCAAAAGTGCGCCGCTCCTTCGAGGCTTCTGAAGCGAGCCTCAAGATCGACGGTCTCGACTGGATCGCCCTGCCGACGCTCCACCACATCGTCAGTCGTCTGGCCGAGCTTCCCGTGTACGAGGTGGTGGGAGCAAAAGTCACCGAGTCAGTGGGCGTGCCGGATCTTGCGTCTTGTCGGAGGATCGAGTGAAGGACTGGTCTGTCTCGTGTAGGAGACGGTAGTGGTAGTGCAGATGTCGGAAAGAAGGATTTCCGTATCTCGTCCAATCCAAAGGTCCATGTATGTGCTTTACGTAGTTGTGTCCTTGGCATTCGCCGGATTCACGCTCAACTTGTGCATCTTGATCGTCGAACAGTAGAGCAGATGGTAAAAAGACGGGGAGCTCGATGAGGCTGCGAGTATAGGTTAGTGCGGATTAGGGCGGCGTGACCGATATGCCCGAAGGAGCATGAGCGGACCTCGGAGCTACCGGACATCTGCCGGAGATCTACCGGCCTCGACCTAATTCAATTTATCATTCATCGTATCGGTGAGGTGTACTACGAGCTGGGTGTAACCACCGTTGGGTGGTTGCCATAGGGTGCACGGTTACGTCTCTCTCGTCTCGTCTCAACTTCTCTCTGCATTCAGATCACAGCAAGAAGCACTGGCAGAGGCCAAAGCAGCCGACATTGGAGCAATTTGCAGTCTTCTTGGAGGGCCATTTTCATGACTATTTTAATGTGAGATCCGTAGCTAGTACATACATCGATCGCTCCAGTCTTTCCAGGTCATTCGTTTTCACTCCTTACCACTCAGATATAACATTCCGGCGGAACCACGCAGAGGGCGCTCAGATTCAGCAGCTCGTCGAGCTCGATTGACCATGTTTATCCAAGCATAGCCTGACTTGAAACGTCTTCCCGGCAGCGGCTTCGATTTCCCTTGCTCCCATCGGCGATTCTTCAACTATGTCCCACGACTGCTTTCGGCTTGTACGGTTCCTCGAGGTACTTCATCTCGCCGTCGGTCAAGGTCTTCCCGCGAACCTCACAGGCCTCTTCGAGCCGGTTGAGACTACTGAATCCGACGATGGGGATTGTTCCTTTCTGAATGATCCACGCCAGAGCGACCTGGCTCATCTTCCAGCCTTTCTTGTCGGCGAGTTCCTGGACGCGTTGGATGATGGCGGTGTCGGCGTCATCCAGACCGGAAAACATCGGGTTGCCCTTCATGCTCTCTTCACGGGTGGTGGACGCGGACCCCAACGGACGGGCCAGGTGCCCGCGGTACAGCGGCGCCCAGGGGATCAGGCCGACGCCGGTCTCGTGGCAGTAGGGGATCATTTCGCGTTCTTCCTCGCGGTAGCACAGCGAGTAGTGGTTCTGCATGGAGACGAATTTGGTCCAGCCGTGGATTTCGGCGCAGTGTTGCATTTTGGTGAATTGGTAGGTCCACATGCTGCTGGCGCCTAGAGTTGAGAGAGGGTTAGGATAAATGGTGTGACAAAAACAGTCACCAGAAACAGTCACCAGAAACAGCCATCAAGAACCAGAATGAATGGTACAAGTACAACAAGACAGATGAACAAAAGGGAAAAGAAAATCATTCTCTCTCTTACCAATATATCTCACTTTCCCAGCCTCCACAAGATCGTGCAATGCCTTCATAGTCTCCTCGACCGGCACCGTCGCGTCAAACCGATGGATCTGCAACAGGTCGAGATAACTCGTGCCCAGCCGTTCCAGACTGGCGTCCACGGCGTTGAAGATGGCCGTGCGGCTCAGGCCGTGCTGGTTGACGTAGTCTTTGCTCCGCTTCAATTCCTCCGGGTACTTGATGGTCTGGAGGCCCGGTTCTTCGCCGACAATGCCGAAGCATTTGGACAGCAGGACCAGCTTGTGGCGCGGGAGCTTGTGTTTCTTGATCGTCGCGCCGATCAGCTGCTCCGAGACGCCGTTGGAATACAGGTTGGCCGTGTCCCATGTGTTCAGGCCGCGGTCGTAGGCGCCCTTGAGGAGCTTGTCGACTTCGTCTTCGTCCGAGATGACCCATGGTTGCCAGTCTTTGTGGCCTGTCGGAGAGAAGATTTGGTTAGTTCAATTTGGTTTTGGTAGGGCAGCACATGGGAGGCGCATGACGGTAGACGCTGGTCATGGAGCCGGTTGCCTGTCAACCCTGATTCTCCGTTCGAACGTCCCGTTCCCATCTTTTGAACTTTGTTGTCACATGATCGATAGTATACCAGACCCGGTAGACGCTTGGACTGGGGAAACATATATACAGAAAGAAGAAGAGGAAAGAGAAGAAGGAGAAGAAGAACAACAACAAGAAGAAAAAACTCACCAAGCGACATAGCTCCCAAAATAGGAACCGACACTCGCAACCCCGAGGCCCCCAGCTGCGCATACGAGACTTTGGTATTATCCAGACTCTCCTGGAGCGACTTAGGAAGACCGGCGTCACCCATTTTGCTTATATTCTGCGTCGGAAGAAGAGCGTCAAATATATGAAGGTGTGGTGGTGGTGGTGGTGGTGGTGGTGGTATCAATCGTCGAGACTTCAAGGACTTGATCAGTTCAGGCAAGAGATATTCCGACGTCCAGATAAACCCTGGTATTTATATTTTAATTCTCACGAGAGAGGGGAAAGACAAGATAGGACGCGACGGGACGGGAGAGAGCTTGAGCTTGAGCTTGAGCTTGAGCTTGATAAATACCGGAGACAGTAGGTACCTACCTCGCCCATTTCTCCCACCTCGGCTTGGTGCCTTTTTCCCCAAATGCAAGAGACTATCTCCCGTCAATGAGACTGATCCTGATACCGATATTGGTGCCGATACTGAATAGGTACTGACAAATCAAACCCCTCCGACCCCCAACGCCTTCTAATCTCCAAACTTACCTAGGTAGTAAATAGTAAATAAATAGTATTGCCGTTTCGGTCGTGGACACTGGATACTGGAGGAGGCGATGGTGGGGTATCGCGGAGTTTGGAGCCGATATGGCCGTAAAGTCCACCACCACCACGTCAAGGTATATTCCTCAAGATATATTTTAGAAGGGGGTGACCTTTCTTGACCTGCTGCTGTAGCCATTTACAGAGTAAGGACAAAGATATATATGGCGGATATCAGGTTACCTCCCTGCCTGTATACCATACAATGCCATGCACCATGCACCATACAACCAATGTGTATCCTGGACAGCAAAACACAGAATTCGGAGATGAGAGAGTTAACTACCCATTAGTGTTATGGTAAGATCAGATATTGTCGTCAGATACCGATTATATCAGTTCCAACCTCACTGCAACCCAATGAGTACCACCAAAAAAGGTACTCGTACAGAAGCAGAGACACCGGTTTTATCCCAAAGCAACCTGGTCTCATGCTCAAGTCGAATACCACCTACCGAAAAACTCGTCCAGACCAGATGTGCACATGTACAGTGGAACGCCGTTCTCTCCATTGTATCCATGAATTTCATGCCCGAGTTTGTCTCATTTTCGTTCCACCCTCTTTTTCATATGACGCATATATGGTCCCAACAAAGACCAACCCTAAGTGTTTTGTTTTTGTTTTTGTCCTTGTCTTTCGGCTTCGTGTCATCTATGCCCGATCAGAATCAAATCCATGGCATCCTCCTCTTCATCCTCATCCTCGTCCTCCATAATCTCGTCATGACTGCTCTCGGACTGTGAATCGGAATCCACCTCAGCGTCCACCGCGTCATGTTGACTCGGCGAACTCGGTCGGCCCCAAAAGTCCAGGTGGTCGTCATCTTCCAGAGGCGTCGTGCCACGTCGAGGCACCGGCGCCGCAGCACGAGCAACAGCTTCTGCACTGCGCTGACCCGTGCCAAAGTAATTTCCGTGGCCTACCACCGGCGATGACGAACGGGCCGATCGGCTGGTGGGTGACCGGGGCAGCAACCAGGATGACCGGCTTCTAAGAGATTGGGGTTGGGTCTCGATGGAACGGGGGAGGCCTTCAATGTCGACGGGCTGGGTCATCTGGTCGGTCGGAGTGTGACTCTGGCTTGCCGTGATGGCCGCCTCGCTGACCTCGGCTTCTTGCGCGGCACGCTCCTGTGCCGCATACAATTGAGGCGTCTCGTCGGCGCCCAAGAGCTCCAACTGGGTCGTGTTGTATGAGTCGCAGATGGCACATTTCAACCCTAGCCAGTGATATTTGGTCACACTCCGACTGTTGCAATCGTTGCAGAATATGTATGCTCGGTTGTCGCGGTATTCTTCCGGCATCGGCTGTTCTTCAATGTGTTTGTCCAATCGCCGGAATTGACTTTCCATGTTGGCAATGCTTTTGGAGCATAACGGGCATTTGTAACTGGCATTGCACCACTCGGCAAAACAGGACTCGTGAATGCTGTGACCGCAACGCATAAACGCCACCGGCTTGTTGGAAGTGAACATGTACTCTCCACAAATCGGACAGTCGCATTTGGTGCTTCTCTCGATGCATTTGTGCGTGCTCTCGGCCTGGATCGACATACACGCGGCACAGGTCCGGCAGTGGAAGAAGTCTTTGCCGAGACCCTCCCCTAATCGACAGATGCCGCAATCGTCGCAGTGGTAGATCGATTTGGCCGGGTCGTTGTTCCACAGTTTGCACACGGGACAATAGTAACAGGCTGTTTGGACATGGCACATCTTGCAAAACTGGCCCACCGGTTGGGGGGTATTGCAAAGCATACATAGCATGTTTCGGGTGTCCCGGCGTGGGAGGGTATGGTTTTCGACTTCGTCATGACACAATCGGCACGTGTACCATCTCTCGCATGAATTGCACTGCATTTTCACGTTCCGCTTGTAATGGGGGCAGCCAAGCTGTGGTGTGGATGATTCTTCTGACGCGTCTAACATGTCCGGGGCGGGTTCGTCGAGTGGTGCGTAAGTAGGAACGAGATCCTCCGGCGTAAGGTTGTAGACGACTTCTTGGCTAACCCCCGACATCAAGGAGCCAGAGGACGCCGGTCGTCGAGGAGAGTCAAGTGGCCGCCGTGGAGGTTTGGCAGGTCGTAGGGCCTGCGTGATCTGGTAGCGTTCCATCATCAACCCATGTACAAGCCTCGACTTCTCGACCGGTGTGCCGGGTCCTGACCAGATCGCACGGATTCTTCGTCGGAGAGGTCCCATCCCATCGTCTTCTGGTAATACCCCGGATCCATCTCTCCGGCGGTGTGCAGTCGCGTCATATTCTTCCCGTCCAAATTCCGTCAAGACCGTCCTCGCGGGACCTAGATGGCCGGCCGCGGGTGGATCAGACGCCGCATGAGGTCTGGCATTGTCTTCGTGGAATCGGGATCTATACGACAATTCTCGAGCGGGGTTTAGTGAAGTTTCGCTGCTGGTGCGATTGCCTCCGAGCAAGTCCGGCCGTGAAGGTTGTGGTAGAGCTTCCGTTTCGAGGAGTGGGAATTCGGTGCCAGGGCCATCTTCCCTGCCTGATGGTAACGGTTCACGCGCCGAGTCATCCATTGCCTCGAGGGCAGGAGAAGGGAACTGATCGAGGTCGAGGTCGAGGTCGTTCAACTGGTTGGCCCATAATTGAAGGGCCCGCGTGAACGACTGCGCGATGGTTTCGGGGTCGTCTCCGTCCGTTCCCTCGAGGGAAGGAGGAGGTGACGTGGTCCAAAGCCGAGAAGGATTCCACTGTTGTAAATCCGGGACGGCAGGGAGGAAACTGGGCGATTCGTCTGCGCCACTGCTGAGGCGAGAAAACCGCCGTGCTTGGCGCAGGACAGGTTCGACGATGAAGGAGGGAAGGTATTCACTCATTGAAGACGAGCGACATGCATTGCTATCGGTACGGATGGAGTTGCTATTTGTCTTGTCGAGTCCGTCGGATGGGTTTGGCAGCGAGGTCAGGAAGAAGAGCAGGCGACGAAGATCCCTGTCAGTAGAAACATGGGGAAGTTGAGAAAAGGGAGTCGAGAAAGGAGAGTCTGACGTCGTGGCAAAAGCGACAAGCAGGAACCTTTGACGTGCAGTGGTTCTGGCAGAATGATGGATGCTGCCAATCTGTCTGACATGTGAATACTATTCACCGCTAGTGTCACGTGACAGGATTGGTCAGCAAGGCTGGCATCAAACGGCATGAAAGGACATAATAAGGAAGAATTATTCGAGTTGTCGAGAGTGATAGCATTATATCTTTAGCGGAGACCGTCATAACAACCAATATTTCTGCCAGTCATCAGGTCGAAGCGATGGAGTCCGCGTGCGTTTGGGACATCCAGGCTGGGGAAGACCAGCCCTCGTCAGGCTACATCTTCGAGATATACGCAGTGACAACCAGCTTAAGCGCTCATGCGATGGGGCAGAAAAGATGTTGCTCTCAAAATATGTCATGCGGTTAAGCATCCTTCCCACAACGCTGAATCGTTGGTGCCAGCCCTTGCGCCCTTGGGGTTCCGGCTGTGAAGTTGGATACAACACCAACACCAACACCAGCCGCTTGACTGCAGCGCAGACACACATCACATGTTCAACATCACATGTTCACACACGCACAATAAAAAGAAAAGAAACAGACTATTCCTGTAGCAAAGAGACAAAAACTTTTTCCAGGAACCCCTCGAGTCGGGGGTCTTGGGAAGTGAAACCCGGGTTCGCAGGGTTTTTCCGTTTGGCAGGTTCGCTGGTTGGTGATAACCCGGATTCGCAGGGTTAGAAAGTTCGAAGGAAGACGATCGCTGGTTGGTGTCAACCCGGGTTCGCAGGGTTGGATCGATCGCGGTTCGAACCGAGGACTTTTTCGCCTAGAAGCTCGCCGCCTGCCACTTAGTTGAATGCCGTGTCGTAACCGCTCGGCTAAATGGTTTGACCTGAACTCACTTCTAGGGGTCTTTGCGTTGAGGACAAAATTTGGGGATTTAAAATATAACCCTTCAATTTCGCTGGCTCATGTGACCGGTGATTCCCAGCACACTGCACGAGACTCTGTGACTCTCTGCGCAGGACTTCGACATGACAACATTCCTCACCGTCGCCTCACAACTCTCTCTTGTGGCACGCACCTTTTCAACTTTTGAATGATACGGCGTCCCGTCTGATGGTATCCTCACCCTGACATCCGTCGACAGGTACCCATCGTGCAGTGTCCGTTCCTTGCATCTGGCCATTGCTGGATGCTCATTTGCCTTCCGCGACCCTGCTCTCATCTTCTTTGGCGGCATCTTCGAGTCCGCGCAGAGCCTCCTCGATCTCTGCCGGCTCAGTAATGGACCAGACACCACCGCCCTTGGCTGATGACCGACCGACTTCCTTGGACACCAGGTTCCGACCAACCTTCCCAGGCCCCACTCCCAGATACCGGCGCGTTCCTGCTTGCCTGTCCAGGTACTTGATCGAATCCCACCAGAGGACAGTGTCAATGGCTTGCCTAGCGAGGTTGTTCATGAGGTCTTCTTTGGACTCGAATGGACGTGCGGTCACGTTGCTGATACAGGGCATTTGTCCGGGGAACGTCACCTTGTCGGGATCCAATGCTTTCTTCATAAACTCATACGCCGGCATCATGATCGGGCTGTGGAACGCCGAGCGTGATTTCAGCTCGACCGCCCGTGGATCATGTCCACCAAACTCTCGAATGTGGACCAGCAGGTTGCGTATGCGTTGGAAGCTGCCGCTGAGGACTATCTGATTCTTCGAATTGGCATTGGCGATGGAGACCTGTTGGATGGCTGGTGTAGCGCTCGAGTCATCTTTGGCGCCTTCAGCTCCATGGCTAAGGAACTCTTTGACCGCTGCGATCAATGGCTCTAACTGCTCCGGCTCGCAGACCAGGGCTATCATGCCAAAGTCTTCGCCCGACTCTTCCTTGGCCTTTCTCGTGCATTCTCCCATCACCTCGCCTCGTTTCCGGACCAAGTCAAGAGCATATGCATATTCCAAGTTGCCGGCCGCCACCAGAGCTGCATATTCCCCCAGGCTGTGTCCGAGCGTGACATTGATCACCTCTTCCGTCTTGAACCCAAACTCTTGCTCCAGCACCCTCAGGATCATGACCGACACCGCCATAATCGCCGGTTGTGCGTTTTCCGTCTTGTCTAGCATATACATTGGGCCCTCGTCAATGAGGGTGGAGAGTTTGCAGCGGACAATGTCATCCATCTCCTCTAAGAATGGTTTGCATATTCTGGGAAAGGCCTCCACCCAGGGTCTAGCCATGCCTTTCCTCTGAACTCCATGACCAGGGAAGAATAGGGCCGTGCGAAGGACGGGTTCGGAAGTGGTGGCATAGCTTCGGAGGGGACGATGGAGGCATCGTCCAAGACCGCGGAGGGCTGGGCGAGGAGGGCTGCACATCATGGCGGGCGTTTCAAGACGACAGAGGAGGTCGTTCTACGGCATCCCGTGTGGTTATGGACTTCAGTAGTGGAAGAACCTATCGAAAAGGATGTCTGAAGGTCAGATGTGGTCAGTTGATCTTACCCAAGGCAAATCGTGAAGGCATCAAAGGGACGGAGAGTGTGGAAACGTTGAATGGATTCCATGAGCCCGAGAACCGGGGCATGGGGAGCAATTGCGGAGAGGAGGTTTGGCAGCAAGGAACACTTGACGGTGGACACCCAAGACACCCTTATTAGAACAAGGCCCGGGAAGACACGCGAGTTATTTCCGAGCTCACGTGCAGTGCAGTGTCTCCCCAACCGCCTTCCAAGTTCCCAGCTTCTACCACAGCACAGCACAGCACAGCACAGCAGAGCACATTACATTCTTGGCCTTTGTCTCTGGTCAGGTACTTCGTCTAAAAGATCGTTGTACGATCTCGTTGAGGTGCCCATATCAGGAGGTGCTGTACATACAACAGCGTCGCGGCCTTCTTATTGTTACATGGGCGGACCTATCATCAAGGCCGTCGTTATTCGTTCCGTCTGTGGTCCAGACTTTCATCACAACTCCAATCCTCCTTCATTCAACAAGACTAAATCATTCCTACCCCTTCCATCCGAATCATAACCGCTCATTTCTGACCGAGTATCGCGAGAGATACGGGCAACATCCTTCACATACTGAGGGATCGAGCCCGAGCGAACCTCGAAGTCGGTTCTGGCGGTGATGACCCCTTCGTGCTGCGGCTGACTTGCCAGCTGCTGTTCCTCTGAATCTCGGCCACGAAATGACTGAGGTCTGGACCGACTGAACAAGTCTCTCTTGTCGTGTTTTGGAGCCTGCCCGACCTCGTCTTCCGGCCCTGTAATGGTGGTGGTCGTGCCCCAGAACCCTTCTCCGGAGTGCCTCCAACCATAAGTATCCAAGCCGAGAGCATCAGCCGCCGGGGGATCGGGGCTGAATATCAACGCATGTCTGGTACATGCATACATGAGCACGTCAAGCCAGCCGCAGCAGGAGATGGCCGCCCCGGCGACACAGTACCACCAGTATGGCACTGGAATGCCCGTCATGGATGCCATGCGTCCCCCGGCCAGTGGCAGTGTGCAAATCACATACACCACGGGATAAAGGATCATGTATCGTGTGGCTCGTCTGAGGACGGCCGGGTTGCTTCCATTCTCGACGCCGGCAATCTCATGTGGGTGCCGCCGTGCATGAGAAGTGATCGCAAGGTATATCAGCCCATACACGACAATCGTACCAAACATGCAAACGAAAATCCAGAAATAGTGCAGCCACAGTCGGAGATTCTCGTGTTTGTGGTTGATCCAGCACTGTAAATGTGTGAGCTAATGAGATGGCTGCAGCAGAAAGAGTCGTCTTACCCAAGCGCCAGCCCTCACGTACAGATTGGGGTCTATCGCGACACCAATGATTGCCATTGCATAGACAAATGTCCACGCGCCTGCAATGGCTGAAATGAATACCCTGTTTGGGACGCGTCTGCCTCTGACCACGGAGAAAAAGGTATGGATGGCGATTGCGAGAATGAACACCCCAGATGCCAGATCTCCGGTGGAAATGAACCAGCCATTCACCCAGCACGTCGTTGTTCCATCCTCAATCTTGTTCGTGGCAAGAAAACGAGCACTGAGGGCAAAGGCCACAGCTTGCTGTATGTCGGCCAGAAGCAGGTTGTATATCAGGACGAGGAATTGATTAGCACCCTGTCGAAGCTGCCCTCGGAAGTACCAGGAACACAGTCGATAGGTCAAAAAGCTGAACAGGCTGAAGGTGGCAACGAGCGAGAGAGTCCCGAAAAAGGCTATCGCCAGCAGACCGCGTCGCACGATGCCGGGCAGAGGATCCAGTGTGCCGCTGTACAGCGACCACGGGGGCAAGGCCATGGTCGCCCGACCTACAGAATGGTCTTCTTCACATGGGACTCATGCGGAAGAAGTCTCGAGTGCTGTATTCACAGTATTAATATGAAGCAAAAGCCATATGCAAAGCTCCCGCCCCTGTCACCTCCATTTATGTCACCTACCGTAATATTGAACGTTTCGCGCTGGAACGGTGGCCAGGGCGCGTGCCCTGTGCCCTTGGCCAGAAAGACGGCTCGACGGAATGGTTCTGGGTAACAATATGGAAAGCTGAACGCTCGAGCCTTGGTAAACCCAATGCGTTTGTCGTTAGCGTCACAGCTCGCTGTACTTGTGGACGTCGTGACATATGTTAATCAATGTGGTCCCATTTCTGATGGGCCAGGTTCGCAACCCACATGGACAAAAGTCCATTTGTTCTCTTCCTAACACTTGTCCTGTGCACTCACGGAAAGATGTTCCACCAATCGTCGGCTGCAGGAAGGTTCCTCGTCGCTCGCTTATCGACGGTCGCGATCTTCGTTAGATCGACTGACTGACTCGCTCAGACGTCCATGGGCAACAATTGCGATTTGCCTCTTTGCCTTGACTGCCTTGCCAAAGAAAAGCTCTGCATGATGAGAGATGCCAGCGGTGACTGTTGAACCCGCAAAGGCTGGCCCTGGCTTTTCTTGTGGTGTTGCTAGAAGCGTGATGCTGTGGAAGGTGCAAAAGCCACATCTGCAACCCACAACGCAGATGAGGGACTTGACGGTGCGGGGGTTCATTGCACTAAGATACGCTATTGGCTTGGTGAACGGTCTGCTTCCTTTTACATTTTTCGCTTGAAGTACTTCACACACCCTTGAACGTCAGAGGCTTGTGCAAAAACCCGAATCATTATTGACATAAGCAATGGGGTATGGGGTATGAGAAAGTCCCTGGGCAGCTCATGCCAAGTAGAGACAGACGGTTTCCTAGACGGGTGCCACTGTTGGAAAAATCAAAAGCTCAGGTCTTAAGATCGAGTGGGCTTTGTAGGTCGCGTACCAGGTAGACCCAGATGTCAAAGTGACCAGATAATTCTTGGAGCCGTCCAGGTTCGAACAATGGCCAAGCGGGCATAGAAACAAAGCCATGACAAGCCAGCGGGAATGGCAGATGTACGTCTCCATGCAGCTTGGGGACACCCCAGAATGGGCCTTTGCGCTGTTGCTAGCCCCAGTAGGTCAGTGTCGGAACCAACGGAGCATTTCTTTCTTGAGGCTCTAGACGAAACGCCAGTCTTGATAAGGCTCCCGCAGCTACGCTTTTGGCTCGCCGGTTGCTCGTGAAGTCTGGAAGCATTCTATTCTCAGAGCGGATGTCCAGCTCAAACCATAAGACGCTTTCGAGGACGATGCTCGACAGTGGTACATGGTTGCTGAACTGTCATGTGGCATGTCAACAAAGGGATGAGACATACCTAGGTATAAAACATCATCGTTGGGCTCTTTGCACAGAGATGTTACTGCGATAGACACCAACAGAGCGGTAAGCCGAAGCAAGTATTTTGACCAGTTTGTTTACCATCTTATCAAATGCAAGATCACTACACAGCATCGTGCCTACACATTGTTTTGACCAGCAGAAGCTGGACCTGTTGGAGGATGTTGCGGTGCGAGGCACCAAGGAAGGGTAGAATGGCCGGCAGGATTTGAAGAAGATCTGGTACAGTTCTAGTCAGCATCAGAACCACTACAGTCTTCATCTCTTCATAAGGCGGGTAGCCCAGGAGTAGTCAGATCAAGTGTAGATTTGAGAAATTCCACATCAAGACCTTTATGGTCTTTCGGCATTGCAGAATTCACGTTTTGATCATCATCCCACAGGAAAATAAGGGGAGAGAAGCAAACCGACCTTAGAGTGTGTAAAGCTCACACGAGTCAGTCCTGTGGAGAATGGCCATCAAGAGTGCATCGTAGACGCCTATAGGCAAAGCATCTAGACCTGTCTCGGGTCCACGGTAGGTACCTACGTAGAGAAGGTAGAGATGGATGGTTGAAGTGTGAAAGGAAATGTAGAAAAGTGCGCAGTCAGTCAGTTAGTCACTAACCTCCAGCTTCCTTCCGGTTGCCGTGCCACCCAAGAAATGCACAAAGTCGCAGCCCAAAGAACAATTCAGCATCACCCGTCCACCGACACTGCACTGGACTGCTATTTCTACACACATCCATGTCCATCCTCGAACCCCTGTATATGCCTGTACAGACCCGGGGTGCATCTTTGTTTGAAGACAATACTTGAAAAGAGTGCTTGCTCGAGCGGTCTACAACAAATCCATCCAATTCCTGTACAAGCCCGCCGTCGCGTGTCCCCACCACCACCAATTCATGCCTCAACGGTGAACGGACGCTGCCCCGACCCGTGCGAGGCGGATCAACTGCGCATGCTTCATTTTGCCATGCGCTTCTTTGCTTCCCACCTTCTAGTCGGGCTCTCTTTCTCCTATACGGGGTCAGCTCTCCCGGACAACTTGTCCGCTTACTCGAATCCTCTATCCGCACTGTCGGTCGATGCCCTCCTTGTCAAGCGCCAATCGTGCGCCTCGGGCTTGAACTCATGTTCCGCCCTGGGCTCCGATTCCGTGTGCTGCCCGTCAGGCACCAACTGCGCCTTGGATGAGGCCGGGCATATTGCATGTTGTCCATCTAATGCAGTGTGCACCGGGACAATAGCCGGAACACTCACCGGGTCAAGCACGGGGTCAGCAACGGGAACAACGAGCACTACTTCAGACAGTGTGCTCGGAGGGTCAAGCAGTTCAAGTACGGCAAGCCCTCCTGGCGTCACTTCATTGACGACCGGCGTCTCTGGGGGTGGCTCCACGGTCCCAAACAACTTCTATCCGTTCATCTATATTCCTACTTCCTATGCGAACGCCGACCTCTGTACCAGCGCATATTCGAGCTGTCAGTCAGCTTCCACCTCTTGCTTTGCCTCACTTGCAGGAGCGAATGGAGTCACAGTCTCGGGGCTTGGAGGAGGCATAACGGTACAAGGTGCTTCAGGCACATTGTCGAGCTCGGCAAGTAGCATATGCAGCTCTCTCAGTGCAGCCGGGTGCTATAATCTGCAGCAGAGTCAGTGCAGTATGTTTGGAACCGCGTCGGGAGCCACCGCGACTTCGACGGCTACGGAGACGACAGGATTTGTGCAGGTTGGAAATGTAGGACCGCGACAGACTCCTTGTCCCGGAATGCTCTACGCAGCTGGCGCGGGGGTCATGTTCGGCGCTGTGGGTGCATTGGTATAGAAACTGGAGAGAGTCTTGCTGGTCTCTCAACGAACAATGGAGATATGACGACGATACGAACCTGTTCATCGAGCATTTGAGGAGTCGAACTTGATGTTGGAGCATCGGCCAGCTCCATTGTCAACCTACCTAGATCCGCCGAAACGAGGGACACCACCGTTCAGCTGTACAGGATTGTATTCACTAGACGTTGTTTTACTGGTGTCTTCTTACCAGCAATTTTTCATGTTGAACCCTTCCAGGCTCTTTCGATCAGAGGACAAAGCGACTCTGCGCTCACCTGATTCATGTCCTTCCAAAGGTTCGTTTCGGATCGGTAACGGTTCCGGTTTCGGCGTGGTACGAGGCGCTACGCGTAGCAGCGGCCAACACTCGTGGAGATGGATCCATTCAGCTCGCACAGGTTACTCAGAAGGGCGATGGCCCTCCATCTTAGCCTCGTTAGTTCTATGGTCTTTCTCGAGGAATATACCTGATTTGGATTGGGACACGGCGCCAGGGCCTCGTCCGCACGTCCTCCACGCAACACTCGATTCGAAAAGGAAAGCATTTTGGCCGGATCGTGTTAGAACGTGCACAGCCTCGCTTATGTCGATGGCATATCAAAATGAGAAGCACTGAGCTTCTTCTATATATACACTTGTGGTTTGTCGTGTCATGAATTTCCCATTCTATCCTTGTCCATTACCTTTTTCAGAATTGCTTCCATCTTCGTTTCCATTCTGGCCGCGATAGTCTCCTTTGGTGAGGTTCCGCTGAGCAGTATAACAGAATGAGAGCAATCATCATCGGTGGTGGACTCGCAGGCCCCGTTCTAGCCCTTGAGCTACAGCGCCGGGAGATATCTTGCAAAATATTCGAGCGGCGCGACAACGCTGCGTTCGACGGCGGCAATATTGCCCTTTCGCCAAATGCGCTTCGTGTCTTGGATCACATGGGCGTGTATGACCGGGTAGCGAAACAGGGCTGGAACTACGAGGAATTCCAGATCCTGTCGTCCCGGAATTTGCGTCATATTGGAATGATCTTGAACGGCAGTCAGCAGAGATACGGATACAAGGCTCTCAGGATCTCCCGCCGCACCGTCAGACAGACCCTCCTGGGGACTCTCCACGAACGAGGCATCGAAGTCCGCTACGATTCCAAACTAGTCGGCATCCAGGAGACAGACCGGTCCACCGTGATCGCGACATTTGCCGATGGGTATACTGAGGAAGCCGACTTTTTGATCGGAGCTGATGGCATCCACTCCCGTGTCCGGGAATACCTCAATCCCCAGGCTATCCCCAGCTTCAGTGGCCAGATGGGCATCGGCGGGTCTGTTTCAAGGTCAAAGCTGCCAGCATCCAGCGCCGACATGTACATGCCTTGTCTGATACTCGGGAAGCTCAACTCGTTCCTGCTTATGCCTTGTACCTATTCTGGTGACCAGATTGACTGTGCAGTGACGGTGGAGGGCAAGGACCGAACACGTGAGGAATGGACTCAGCTGCAAAATGACAAACCCGCTCTCTACCAGCACCTACAATCTCTCCACGAGCATGAGAAGTGGCCGGAAGTGGTGCATGTTGCTTCCAGAGACGTGGAGCTGTCCAGCCTCTCACTCTGGCCGTTCTTCGATCTGCCTGACCTTAGCTCCTGGACCAGTCCGTCTGGCAGAGTGATTGTCATTGGTGATGCGGCCCATGCCATGCCGCCGACGGGCGGGCAAGGGGCCGCCATGGCTTTTGAAGACGCCTTCACTTTGGCCGACACCCTCGCCCTGATTGACAGCAAGGAAGCTGCCGTCCCCACGGACATCCTCAACCAGTGGCAGGACGTACGGCAGGCGCGTGTCAGGAAGATCCGCAAGTTCACTTCGAGCGGAGGTGACATCAGAAAATCTTCGACCAGCACATATGTACAAGTCTTCAAAGAGTGGGTATTGCGCATATATTTCTGGTGCGTCGGCAAGGAGCGCGGCACGTCCTGGATCTATGCATATGACCCAAAGGCAGCACTGGCGTGATTTGCGTCTCGTGCTCTTTTTTTCTTCGATGAGCGTGCTCGAGTATTTGGCAAGAGTCACTTCGGCGTACCAACAGTACAGGTACGGGCTTCGCTACAGATGGTGACAAGGATGCATACGTCCGCGGTACAGAAAGCTACATATCTAGTTACACTCAGCGGGCTCCAAGGCTCACTTGAAGAAGAGGCTAGGGCTGCGTGTCATCTCCTGAAGCAGATACATGGAGTTATCCGGCCGAAGAAAGGATCCTTGCAAGCCACTTCTACGGTGTCCGAAGAATCGGTCAGTCCGAACGTATCAGACCCGAAAAAGATCGGTGCCCTCCATTCCCTGAAGTCTATCAATGGGATACAAAACCCTACTACGCCTCTCTTCCATGCTCTTCGTCCCGATTATGGTTCGGCATACACTGTCTGTGCCGTAATCAGGGATCTAGCAAATCAAACGACGACGAGTGAAACACGGGAGGGCCTGACGGGCGGCAGCAAGCTTCACAACCTCGACGACCCCTGTCCCCGATGCGCGAGTGTGCAGACAGAGTATCCTGGATAGATTTATTCTGGTCACAGAATCTGGGAGGTATGTACGACGCGAACTACGCCATAATCTCTCACCAGCCATCACCGCCAGGGAGTGAAGTGTATGGAGAGATCATGTCTACCTCCACCTCCACCTCTACCAGTTCCCTACCCCGCCATGTGCCTCAGTGCAACATGCAAGGACGTTCAGCGGCATAATATGGGAGATGAGTTCTATATAGCCACATCGCAAAGCTACCATACCCCAGACTCCCGGCCGACGTTGATAGGGACTTAGCATGCTACTAGTATGCCACCAGGGTTCTGATGCTCAAGCGGGGCCCCGGACGTCGAGTTCCATGACATCAAGATTCCCACGAGGGACATTGGATTGATCGTTCTCCAGACTAGATCCCTCACTTCCCCGGACAATCCTTGCACGACCTTGGGGAGATGTATCCATTCCGACGCACAGTGCAGTGGAGATGTGGAGTGGGCGAAGACCTATTGACTGCCTGGATGAAGGCGAGCTCTTCTCTTTGCCGTCGTGGCATCGTTGGTACACTTGAATTGGTGTCGCTGCAGGTCCTCCCCCCCCCCCCCAGGTATTCACACCACCTGTTCACTGGGTTGCCTTCCATGATGTCTCAATTGCTCCAGATCTCTGGCCTCTTTGGCCTGGTAGCATCAAAGTCTATCGTGCAGAAGCCGTCCTGGTGTCTCCCAGCCTCCTGGGCTTTCAGCACACCTTCCCATGAGATGAGATATGATGCGGCCACCCGAATTGCTCTGGACGATACCAGGTCTACCCAGACGGGCAGAGCCTGGTCACCATCGGCCAATGCAAGAGGTGGTTATGCGCAGGCCGTGGGACAGTTGCATGTGCCTTGCATACATTATCGCACTTGACAGGAGGGGAACTGCAGTTACCCAGGCAAGCTCTGGGATCTTGCTGAAGCCCACGGCATTCGTCTTGAGCTCTCAGATGAGGAGGCAAAGGCTATAAAGGAGGGATGAAGCCTGCGATCGAAAACATTTCGGATACCTTAGCAACCATCGAACCCGTCCCTCAAATATCTTTTTTAACCCAGCGTCTCGACTCCCACCATCCGTCAACATGAAGTTCTCCTCGCTTATAGTGCCTTTTGCTCTTGTGGCATCAGTGGCTGCTTCCGGGCTCCTCAAGCGAGATACCAGCGGCTGTTGTTGCGGCTGCCTTGCTCAGAGCGCGGCAGAATCCATTGTCGACCAGTACATCTCCATCCTCACTCACACGAACGTCACGACTGCCAATGCTACCGCGCAAGCTCTTCTCGATGAGAACTACACCGAGATCAGTGATTCGATCCTGTCGCTCGAGGGTCTGCCAGTGAGTCTCTCGTGAAATGAAGCCAGGTCTTCCTCGTCCCCGTCGTCTAACCGTTCTGTAGCTGGGAAATGCCACCTTTGTTGGCAAACAAGAGTACATCAATGGTGTTCTCAATTCACCCCCTGTAGAGGGAGTCAACACCCTTGAAGTACTGGTCGCCGGCTGCACCAAGATCCTCTGGTACTGGCTCTTCACTGGTATTGGCAGCGGCGAGTATGAGGTCAAGGGGTTCAACTTGTTCACTCTGAGCGACGTGGGTCAGATTTCCGTGGTGAACCTGGAGTTCAACAGCATTGCCTGGGGCCTCGATACGGGATATCAGATCGTCTTCCCTCCCAATGGTAGTGCGCCCACTCGGAATTGAGATGAAAGGATTGAAGGAGCAAGTCGGTGGCAACCTAAGAGATAACATACCTACACTCGAAGAAAATGGTTAGAGAGGTTATTTTTCGAAGCAGATATGCTCTAATGAGAGGACATTCAAAACTTGGAACACGGTCGACTGGCGTCAATCTCCCCTGTCCTCGATTGTAAACTCGGATATTGACAGCGGTAGCCGTTCCAACAGCTGATACACGTAGCATGGCTTCACCTGACTTAACAAGATAGGGCTCTTCATCGCGTTCCTGGTCACACTGTCGTAGGAGAATGCAGGACTGTGACCACTATGCGACGAGGGTCTTCCGATACATTTGAGTGACGTCTCACCAATTGGCCGCGTCGCAAATCCTCTGTAAATAAATATTGCGTGGGGAACTTGAATCTGGACCGAGAAGCGTGTCCCGCGCACATCTCTCCGTCGATCTCACCGACTCTACTACTTTTCCCACATCTTCCCTCTTCGATGAACCAGCTGGTCTGGAGCACAAGGAGATCATGACAAAGAAGAAGCCAAAAGCTTCTACGCAGTCGACCGAGAAGACGGCTGCTGCTACTGCTACTGCTACTGCTTCAACTATTCCAACTCCAATCGTCGCCGGCCAACAGACTGCAACAAGTGCTCCGACACCGCCAACGCAGGCCTTGACAACGCCTTCAACCTTGGTGATATGTCGCAATAAGTACTGATTGGTTCATCGCTCCATTCTGGGCCCAAGATCCCCAGAGATGGACGTCGTTGGAGGACTTTTGAAGGGCTAACCGTTTCGACAGGCACTGGCGACACATCTCCTCCTACCATGGACCATGGTTGAATCTTCCTCCCGAGGTGCTCGAGAGTCTGGCCTTCAGCAACTTCTACTCCCCTCGTCCCCGACCCATTGACCCGGCCGTGTTCTTCGACCTGGTCAAAATCCGAAGACTGATCGACGATGCCACCAGTCTGGCCGTCCGAGCCGCCAACGGCACCACCTCCGCCTCTCTACACACCTCTATGAATGCGGCCAATGGTATCTTCAACGGATCTGATGCGGAAATCCTGGGCATAGGGTCTGTAAGAGGTGGCGGCAATGCCAAGTTGAGTCGGGAGCGGAAACACCGTATGAGAGAGCATGCTACGCAGAAACTATCTCACGCGTACCAACTCGACGAGATTGCGGCCAGCGTTGCCACCATGCAGGCTGCGTCGGCGATAGACGATGTGGCAAGGCATGTTCTACAACGCAATGTGGAAGATCCGGACGCCCAGTATGTGCACTTTTTCCACGAAAAGGTGCCGTCGCTGGCCATGCCGCAGTATACCACTCTGGATCCCCTGAACCATGTCATTCGCCAAAAGCCCACCGAGGCGTCGCCCTACCGAACCAGAGCCGTTGCGCGGGTCTTCAAGGACGATCTCGAGGGCGCCGCGCGGGATTGTACAGAGGGCCTGGCCGTGCACCGGCTGTACCAGCCACAACGTCAGAATGGCCAACGGGGTCTGGTTCTGGCCAACGAGGTCGCAAAGTACGGCCGAGAGCATCCCCTGGACGGCCGCGTCGAAGAGAAGGACCAGCCCAGCAGTCTGGAGCCTCAACTCCTCTTTCATCGTGGTGGAGCATATCTGACCCTGGCGTGCGACCATATCGGACGTGCATTAGGAGAGGGGCGTCAACATGCTTCTGCTTCTGTTTCGAGAGACCTCCAAGACTACGACGGAACAGCCGGTGATCCCTTGACAGAGTTTGAGAAGGAAGAAGCAAGGAGTCGAGCCGAGGCACGCAAATTGGTCCGAACGTACGCCAAACGAGCGCTTCGAGACTATACAGCTTTCCTGTCCCATTTTGACTACACCCCCGGCCTCTCTGCCGAGTACACGGACGCCTTTCTGGAGAAGCTGAGCTCAACCACTCTTGGTGCCAGTGATCGATCGCGGAGTGAAAGACTGCTGGACATCGATGCTCATGCACGTTCTGGACTCGCAGAAGCGCTGGTCAAGTACGAGAGCCAGAAGAATGGTCACCAAGACCGGCCGTTACCTCCAATCCCGAAGCCGGCGGTACACAAGTTGAACGCTTTGTTTGCCGCAGTTCCTCCTACCGATATTCCCCCATATCCTCCCGCCTCGGACAGTCTCAAAGATCCAGACCATCCTGCGTTCTCGCTACCAGACTTCTCCGAAGCGGTTACATACCATCCGCTGCTGATGGACGTGCTGCATTCCTTACTACTGTGCCATTGCCTTCTTCAGACGTCGACCAAGGAACATCTGCGACACGCACACATGGCCGCGCGGATCGTTCGGATCTGTGACGGTTACCCCATCTTCCTGGCCCCGCGCTCACCTGCCCGGGCGGATTGGATCGAGATCCTCCGCCGCTCAAAGAACTGGTTGGGGTTAGATGACACCTGGGAGCGTCTGTGTTCTCCTGTTCCCCTCCCCGAGCATGATCACAAACCTCGGCCGACCAAGCGCAAAGAGGGAAACCTTAACGGGAACAGCAGAGACCAGGCCAAACAGGGAGACATCAAAGAGGCGATGGTAGAGGAGCGAATGATGGCTCAAGAAACGTTCAGGACTGGCGTCAAAGCTCGCGAACTGAAGACTGCCCAGAAAGAGGACGACGCTGCGAGGAAAGAACAAAAACATCCAAAAGCGGATGAGGCGCATGCCAAAGAGAAGGCTATCGCGGCTGATGTGTTGTCGCGTTCCATGAGGACGGAACGAGCGGAGGCCATTAGTCGATGGGTCATGGAAGCACCTCCTCTGAGCTCGGCCGACGGAACCAGCCGATCAAAGAAGAAAGTCGGGGCAAAGGCCAGGTTGAGGAAGGCGGAGAGTACAATCTCCAGTCTAAGGGGATCTGGCTTGGAGCAAAGCGTGGATAGTCTCGACCTCGTTGATTAAGATGGAGATGGAGCTGATGTGTTTGTGGTCAGCTTCATACTACAAGGAGTGATTGCTGCTCACCTCTAGCTTAGGACTAATAGCATCATTCCTGGCTGTATGACAGTGTATGCAGGCGTCAACCACGCATGAATCTCCGTGTTTTACGCTCCTCCTTGGCCTTGCTGTGTGTTACAATAGTGTGTAGTTCTATAAGAGTGAACGACTATCAAGAAACGCGGCGCAGCATAGCGACCATCAGTGCTGATATTGAGATAGCATCAACACCACGGATCACAGATCATCTCGCAAAAACTTAGACTCCCCTCTACTGAGTATCCTTTGGCATTGCTGGCATCTAACTTCATGTGAGTCTCATACCGGTGGCTCTTCCGGACCAAGGAAAACCCGAGACCCAATCCTTCCGATGCCACAGCTCACAAAGCGTGTACCTCTCTCTCTACATCCCGACTCAAGACCAAAGAGAACCGTCCCATGCCTCCTCCCCCTCCCCAGAATCTCAGCCTTAGTATAACCAATCCGTTGGTTCTCTACCGGGCTCTCGTAGCTACCAAGAAGATCAAGCCGGACCCAGCGCAGCATCGTCTCGCACTTCAGCTCCAGAAGCTCTATTTCCGACTCAAAGATTACGCGCCGGAAGTCGAGTATCGGTATCGGCTCGAGAAGATCGGACGGCGGGTCGGCAGGAATAGTGTTCAACGAGATGGCACCGAGCAGAGGTCCCAACGTCCAAGCGATGCAGAGGACGACAGTCCGTCTGACCGACGGTCCAAAAGCATCCTGTCCTCGCTTCTTCCATTGAGGTTCACGACTTCCGCGTCCGCCCTGGCCTTGATCAGAACGACCCCTCTCCACAACTCCGCCGTGGAGATCGACTCGCCGCAGGGGATGCTCCTGTACGGCGAAGTCGGACGCGGCAAATCCATGCTGTTGGACCTGCTGTACACGTCGCTCCCGTCGAGGAAGAAGCGACGCTGGCACTTCAACACGTTCATGCTGGACATCTTCCGACGAATCGAAACCGCGAGGCTCGAACGACTCGAAGACTCCGAGCATCGAAAGTCCAGTCTGTTCGGTGCGAGTGTCTCGGACCACGAACACGTCGTGCTGAGTCTGGCCAAGGAGACGATCAGCGAGAGCCCGATTTTGTTTCTTGACGAGTTCCAGATGCCGGACCGCACATCCTCGAAACTGATCAACAGCTTCTTCACTGCGTTCTTTCACCTCGGGGGCGTCCTGGTCGCTAGCTCCAACCGTATGCCTGAAGAGCTGAGCAAGGCTGCTGGTATCGAGTTCGGGGGCCACGGGTACGGACACCGACGCGGCATGGGCGGCGGCTTCTTCGGGCTCGGTTGGGGTCTCAGTCGTGCCAGCGAGGGCGAAGTGGCTGCAAAGACGGATTTCGGGCTTTTTCTCGAGGTCCTGAGGGCGAGATGCGAGGTGTGGGAAATGGAGGGCGACAGGGACTGGAGACGAGAAGACCATGATGCCGAGCTGGTGGGGGATGTTGACGACAGTGTTGGTGAGAGCGAGGTCACCACCACCACTGTTACATCGTCGTCGTTATCGTCATCGTCGTCATCAGCGACAAGCAGGACAGACAACACCTCTTCATCAGCTACCACCAGTCTCACTGAAGACTCCAGTTTGTCGTCAGACTCGCCACCACATTACCACATCAAGCTGCCCTCGGCGCAGGAATCGGCCTTAGCTGCATCTCCGTCATTTGAGGCCGATGTAGATCTTCTGAATCCATCTCAGACATGGACTCCCACGACGCTCACGGTCTACGCCCGGCCACTCCATTTCGAAACCACCCACAACGGAATCCTGAAATCGTCCTTCGACGCCCTCTGCGCCACATACCTCGGTCCAGCGGACTACGTGTCCCTCTGCTCGACATTCCACACCCTCATCCTGACCGACGTGCCTGTCCTGACATTGACCCACAAAAACGAAGCGCGCCGATTCATCACCCTGCTCGACGCCCTCTACGAGGCGCGGTGTCGCTTACTGATCGAGGCCGCCGCTCCGCCTGACAAGCTCTTCTTCCCGGAGACAACGAGGAGTCTGCGACCGCGGGCTGCCGGCACGGCTGGTCGTCTGGCTTCTGGGCCTGGTACTGACGTCGTCTCCCGTGGAACTGGAACAACAAACGTCGCTGACGAAACCGATACTGATGAAACCGATACTGGTATGGGCGCTGATGACTACGACTACGACGCTGAGTCTGACTCCGATTCAATCACCTCCGAATCTTTCTCCGAAATGTACCAGGACTCGACGGCTCCATTCCGGCCCAACATCTCCTCCTACACAGGTTCGTACGCGGATGCAAGCAGCACCACCATGTCGCCATCCACGGCAGGGCCAATGCCTGTGCCATCTTTCACCGCGTCTCTAAGAAATCCTTCTCTGCGCTCCGTCCTCGCAGACGAAGATGGAGATTTCGGTCCGACGTACGGCAACGGGCGAGGTCATGGCATCTCGGATTCATCTACCGCTCGCTTCGGCATGGCTGCACCGGATTTCACCTCGGCATCGGCCCTGACGGGTGAAGATGAGCGATTCGCGTATAAGCGCGCCAGAAGTCGGTTGTGGGAAATGTGCGGTCGACGATGGTGGGATGAGCGATTGCCCAAGCGGACCTCTAACAGCGATCAGGGTATACTTGAAACTACAAATAACGGCACAAGTTCTGATGCCGATGCGGACAAAAGTGGTGTGTCTGGTCATGGGACTCAACAGTCCGAAGACATGGATGGCGTTCTGTCTTGGTGGCGACCCGTGACTCCGGACGGGCGGTTCTGGGAGCAATTTGTCGACGAGGCCGAAGCAGCCGTCGAAGAAGGACCTGGAGCTAATGACGGACATGAACCCACCACAAGGACCAAGACTCATCATGTCCACAATACCACCCTCTCTAGCAGTTCCAGTGAACCGAGGAAGACCCAAACGGAGAGAGATATGCAGAGCGACAGCGAATCGGGTCGCAGAAGCACGACCACGACCACGACCACAACGACGACCACAACGTTGACGTCGACTTCGACTTCGACCTCAGCCCGGACATCGACCTCAACCTCGGGAATCATTTCAGCTCAGCAGAACCATGACTCTGAAACGGCAGATACCACCTTGAACAACGACGGCAACATCAACGACACCACCACCACCAAGGACAGCATTTCCAAAGACACCCTCTTCCACCACAATGCATCGCCCTACCGCACCTCGTCCGACCCGCCGCCCAAATTCGAATGGTATCATGCATGGGGAATGATGCGGTGGGGCAAAAAGGCTGGAGACTGGGGAAAGGGCGTTGAAGCGGTTCAAGAAAGACGAGAAGAGAAGAATCAGGAGCGACAACGACAACAGGAGGAGGAGGAGCAGGAGGAGCAGAAGCAACAGGGGCAAACAGAACATGACCACGATACATCAGATCAGACAGCAACATCAACATCAACCACATCAACAACCACATCAACAACCACATCGACAACACCATCGACAACACCAACACCAACACCAACACCAACACCAACAAGAAGCACAAGTACAAGTACGAGAGGTTCAAATCCAAATACAAACACAGATACAGACACAGACATAGACACGAGATCAGCTCCACCAAAACGGAATGCAGCAGACGAGACCTCAGAGTCGAGAGAGCAGCGAGATATCTGAATCTGAATTTGAATTTGAATCTGAAATAAAATGAGCGTACAATATATATATATATATATATATATATATATATATTAGAGCCAACAAAGCCTGAAACTGAAACTGAAACAGAGATAAGGGAGAACCGAAATGAGAGATATATAAATATGCTGAGTGGTAGTTCTAGTTACTGGCAGACCACTCGAAATAAGGATGATTATGACCACGATCATGACAACGCGGACATAGTGGAGAGAGAGAGAAAGAGACAGGGAGAATCCTGACATGATGGTCTGTGGATGTGTCTACTGCATACTTGTGTTCAAACGCAGCTGGAGATGGAGCAAGTCATATCAAGGACAACGTCACAGCTCACAGCTCACAGCTCACAGCGATTGTACAGTCATCAGCAGGAGATTGTAGATAGTTGGGGATGGGGATGTTGATGTTGATGTTGAAACAACCCGATCTCGTGATGGGCTGCCACTTGGTACCGACCAAGATCTAATCAAGGCGTGGTCTCCATCTAAGTGTCCATGCGTCGGTCTTCTGCACATACGCCTCCATTTCTGAATCCTAGTTCGCTCCCATTCACAACCCGTCCCAGTTTGAATCCGCAGCGTTCCGTGTTCTGTCTCCTCAAGATCGTTCCCATTGCAGTTCATGTTCTTCCGTTCCTTTACGTTAACAGAGACCGAATCCAACTATCAACCCATATTGAACGTATGCTTCGTGGTCCCTCGTCTACTCGTCTACTCGTCATCCGCAACGGCAGGCGGCTCGGCCAAATATCCCTTGTCCTCGAGATACTTGATGATGAGCTTGACGGCGTCCTCGACACTAGTCTTGTCGGAGTGGATGTGGATCTCCGGCTTCAAGGGCTCCTCATATGGTGCGCTGATACCGGTGAACTCAGGGATCTTTCCCTCGCGGGCCTTCTTGTAAAGACCCTTCGGGTCTCGCTGTTCGGCAACTTCCACGGGGACATCAATCCAGACCTCGACGAAAGGCACTCCGGGTTCGCCGTTGGGCCGTTCGGCCTCGTGGAGCTGACGGGCCAGATCGCGATCCGCTCGGTACGGGCTGATGAAGCTGGTGATGGCAATGGTGCATGAGTCGGCGAATAATTTGGCCACTTCGGCAATCCGGCGGATGTTCTCTTCTCGGTCCTTGGGAGAGAAGCCCAGGTCTTTATTCAGGCCGAAGCGGATGTTGTCGCCATCTAGTCGGTAGGCTGCTTTGCTGTAGGGGTGACGCAGGAGGGCTTGTTCCAAGGCCACGGCAATCGTGGACTTGCCGCTGGCTGAAAGGCCCGTCAGCCAGATCGTGAGTCCTTTTTGCTTGCGAAGCCCTGCCCGGATGCTGGGGGTCAAGGGAGTGGGGTGGTAGTGGATGTTGCTGTTAGAAGAAGGTGTTAGTAGAGTGAAAACCATTCTTGTCACAGTTGTTATGCCGAAACAGTTGAGCATGCAGAAAGAAAATAGTTGAGCGGCAGGTCGCAAGGAAGCCGGGGAAGAGGTGATTCTTATAAAATAATGGACCTTTTGAGCAAAATGATCCCATGGACTTTGGGAGCAGGGAAAGGAAGCTGTGCCATGCTGTTGTGCTATGTTGGGCAGAGCCCAGGGCGAAGGGACGTAACATACGTTGCCATGGCTTGGATTGTTGAATGGTTGGTGTCCTGACGGTGCGACCACAAATAGCTTCAAATCCTTGAAAGAATGCGCTGATGATTTGGTGTGCGGTGATGTGATATCCTGTGTTCCGAGTCTTGTGTTATTTGTTCTTTAGCAATCAATCAACAAATCTTCACCTCACCGCCGTCGTCATGTAGATTGTTCAACCTCCTTTTTGCTCGTCATTTTTGCCATGCCAAGTCTGGTGGTCCGTGCTTCTTGGGGGCTAAACAAGAAGACCGAAGATCTGGAACGGGGCGGGAAAAGGGCTCAACAGGAGGAGTTGGAGTTCTCAAAGCTTTGCTCCAGGGCTGATAAGGCCTCCTTAGCCCGATCTTGGGCCAGCTTCAGGACAACACACTCCAGAAATTCTGTCCCAGTGCGCGCGTTGCTGACGACAAACAGTAGCTGTGGTTGCGCAAGAGGCGGCAGACACGGGTGGCTTGGGGAGAGCCAGTCTGCGGCCATCGTCACAGAGGTTGCAAGTCTGTCTGCTCGAGCGTCCACTGAGGACTCCGGGTTCTGATCTTCAGGCCTGGATGGCGTTGCTCGACACCTGTCATACGTGTCTGCTATCGTTTGCATGCCTGGCCTGGTCAAAGGTCTCGTCTATGCCCCAAAGAACGTCCAATTGCCAACGGAATGGATGCCCGCCGGCTTCTTGCAGATGACTTGACCATGCCTGGCTTTATCATCACGCAACCGACGTGTGAATCTGGGGTTTCGCACTTGATCCCAGATTCAGAGCACCTCATGTTCTTCCAGTGCTGTGATGTGTCGTTTTTGGTTCTGTTTGCTGTTGGCTGCCATGTGGACAACCAGTCATCGCAATCAGTGCTCCGCTCTGCTGTCTGTCTTTCGGACACGACACCCGGGGAGGATTTAGATCTGGCTGACTTGATACTGGGAGTCGGTCCAGATGGTCAGAGATCTGATGACATGGCTATTAGCTGGTTTTGATGGCGACAATGGCCCCTTGCGAAGCTGTGAAATCATTGCATACTATGTACACTCGTGTTTCTCTCCCAGCCGCTGACTAGCTGTACAGCCTGTGCTAACGTGCTAAGCGAAGCAGTCTTCGTTTGTCTAGTTGTTCGTTCGTTCGCCCGGTATCGGCGTAGGGAGGCCGGAGGAGTGATGTTGGTACGATTCGGACCCAATGATCCTTCCAAAGAGTCTGGTACGTGTTCCTCGAGAAGTCGGTGTGCCACCTGGGACGTTGCTGATGCTAGCCCTGGTTCAATTGCAGATACCCAGGCAATCGAATTACGATCTGGATTCCACTTGCAATAGCAGGGATGACCGGGGTATACAGGCTTCCAGACAAAGGAGAAGACATCCCAAAATCCTTCCCCGTGGGACCTGTGCGACACGTTCTGCAGTTGACAGAGGTAGGCTTTGCATGGCCTGGGGAAACTGTACGCCATGGTTGAGAGGATAAGTATCCGCCCCACGATCTCTTTGTTCTGCTTGTTTGCCTCCATCTTGCCTTACGACCTCTAAAGCTGGCGGTGTGTGTGTATGTGTGTATGTGTCTGCATTTGCTGCTGTCTGGTTCGAGGACTTCTGATCAATGCTTGGGACCATAGATGCCCAACGGACGATTACTGAACATTGTGAGGCTTTGCAACAGTGTGATGATGTTGATTGTCGGCTCTGGGTAGGGAAGAGCTGTCCGAGTTTCCAGTCGGTGGGAGAGAATCTGAACTCTCTCGTCCAGGGCGTGGCTCTGTGGTGCCAACGACGTCGGAAGACGGTGCAAGAGGAGGGAACGCAGGAAGAAGACGACGAGCAGGACGTTGGCAGAGTAGCAGAAGGAAGAAGTCGACTTCACTTCCGCCTGCGCCTGCGACGGCAACACCAGCACCAGCACCAGCAGCAACAACAGCAACAGCAACACCGATCAATGGGTGACAGCGGCGGGAAGACTCCCAGATTCTACTTCACCTCTTCCTCTCCTGGATTCACACTCGTTTCACCGCCTGTTTGTTGTAGGTTTGGCATGAATAGAAGAGTCAAAGTTACTGTTTGCATCAGTTTGGCTTTTCCTTACCGTGTAATGTCCCTTCACATCACCACCTCCACTGCCATCCGAGCCGTCGACGACAATCAGGTCTGCTCTCTCCGTCGCAGTGTCAATTCCCATTCCAATTCCCGCGAGCGCAGCGCTCAGGTCAATCTTCTACTGGCACAGAGTTCTCCTCCTCAACTCTCACTACGCCCTTAGTTCGCTCTTCGCGCTTCGCTCCTCGATCTCACCCTCACCCTCACCCTCATCCTCGCCCTCACTCTCACCCTGCCCAGCCGATCTCTTGGGCTCAATTATGCTGCCCTGGGAGAAGCTCATCAAACTGGTCGGCGGTCGCGGTAAGCGCCACTACCTCTATTTTCTGCGACGGCAAACGGACAGCCACAGCTGACAATTTGGGACGAACAGCGCTGGCCGAGAGGAGCGAACAAAAGAGGTTGGAGCGGGAATACAAAGATGCCGCGGCAGCCCTCAAACTCATCACCGAGGTTGCGAACGAACCACGTATCGAATATACTAGCCGTAAGATGATCAGCTCCTCCTCACTGCAAAACTGAAACATCCCCTCCAGGTCCGCCATCGGTCCAAAGCACCTCTATACCAAAACGTCGCAAGCCTGTCCATGGCACCTTCGGGCCTCCACATAGACCGGTCTATGAACGATGCGCCTCGAGCCCTGTCGTTCCCGCATTCAACGCCCAGAAGACGCCACCTGGTCCGCCCGACATCACCGCTCGAGATCTCAGCGCGGAGGAGCTGAAGAGAAACTACAGCTCCGACAATGTCTGGCACTTCCACCACCAGCCATTACCGCCCATGCCGCAGATGACAGGCTTTGGGAGGTATCGAAGAGCGATCAATGCACCTGCACAATGGCAAATGGACCATCTTCATCAAAACATGCATGACATGGGTACGGTTATCGTGAATCATCTCGGCGACTGCCCTCCTGCTGGATTGGACGTTGAAACCTGGCGCGAATACCGCACTCAACACTCACGCACCAGTAGTCTGGGAAGCTCTCGCAGTTCTAGCTCCGGCCCTGGGCAAACCGTTGCTACGGAGTATCTCGACACCACTACTGGGACTCGTGTCAGTCGCGGTTTCTGCCCGTCCAATACTTCGAGCGCCGCAAGCTCCTTCAGAGATGGATCCGGGAACTATCGAAGAGACTCCAATATGTCCAAGGCCAGCATGACGAGTCCTATCAGTGATGCAGATCCTGAACAGCACCCTCGCCAGAGCCGCGTGTCACCATATCGACATACGAGCGTGACCTCGATCAGCCCTCTGACAGCTATCAGCGAAACACAGGAGGCCTATAACACTGCTACTCGCAAAGTCGAGAAGCCTTGCGAGTTTGACCAGGGGGACAACAATGAAAACGCTGTGGCATCTGACGAGGATGATGACTTGGACTGGTCCGACATGCTCGTGGTTGGTGGTGGCAATGCCAGCAATCTGACCAAACGACTTGAACGGACGTCCTCGACAGTCAACACCAGACTAGTTCTAACGAAACAACGAACCAACTCTCAAGAAAGACCGAAATCGCGGACGTCGAAGAGAGCAGTGCCTGACCGTTCCAAGACCATCAAGGCCGCCACTCGTCCTGCTCAGCGTCGTGTCCAGCTCCAGAGAAAACAGTCGGACTCTATAGATCTTGTCCCCGCTACGAGTTTCCAGCCGGCTCAGAAAGAGTCGAAACGACAGACCCATAGATCAAGAGCTGCCGTCGTTGTGAAGCCGCAGTCCGAAAATGACGACTTGCTCGTCAGAAAGCAAGCACCAAAAGAAGGCGTCACACAGCAGAAGACGATCGCGTATATCGAGCGCGACCAGCACGACAGTACCACCGCGTCGCCATCGCCCGTGACCGATTTTGGGGCAGTGCTGTTACAATCGGATACCTCGAATGAGACCCTATTCACCGGCCATGCGAGGAACACCATGCAGTCACCTTCGAGGGGCAAAAGAGACAGATCTAATACGGTCTGCAGAATACCACTTTTACGATCATCGTCGCCAATTGTGCAGGCGGAGGATTCGACGACCATGAAGAAATGACACGGAAGAAGGCCACGAGCCTCGTTATGAAGAGATGAAGTCCAGTTACTTCACCATGAGCACCAGAAGCCACCACCACACTACGGGAGAGGCTCTGGGCCCCCAAGACGGACGGGTGCTTGTGCAGATGACACACATTAACGTCAATGTTTTTCCTTTTTTACGACAACCACACGATAGATGAGCTTAATTGCAAATGACCTGGATCACGGCGTTTTCCTCTTTCGGCGATTATGTGCATATTTCATCAAGGGTTCTTGATGTGCGACTCATGCTGGCCGATGTCATCGGGGGGAGAGTGTTGCAGCATGAGCTTTTGTTTTGTTGGATAGCTGGAACTGTTTGCCAAAGCCAGCGAGCGAGGGTTCTGTTCCACCGGTTTGCTGCAGACCTTTCTCGCCCGGCGAAGGCGAGAGTGACGGCAAGATCCAAGAGCTGCATGAACAGCACTAATGAGACCTTTTTCTTTCGGGAGCAATATGGAAATGCAATGCACAGCACAGCACAGCACAGCACAGCACAGCACAGCACAGCACAGCACAGCACAGTACATGCACACAGCATCGGCGCCGGGCAAGTTGAGCCTGTCGTCGAGCAAATGGACAAGAGTCCAGCACTAATAAGCCCCTGCAGAGGCCGGGCAATGAGATGAGATAGCTATAGATACTGTAGCCATCATCTTAGCTATCGACAATACTTGTCTGCCGTCAGTGACTATTCATGATTTCTTGTTGTTGGGTGTTGACTGCTGTAATTAAGGAAGACAAACTACGCTCGTATCATCGGATCGGATCGCATCCATTAATCCATCCTCGTTTCTCCTCATCGACTTCACCAACACATAAACACACTGCAACCCCCATGACCAGCTTCAATCATCTCAAAATCTCCGCCTTGATCATTGATTCTCAGCTCATGGCTAGCTGAAGCCTTACTCAAGAATGGGCCAGACGAGCACAACTTCTCAACTTGCTTCAAGTCCTCCTGTTGCTGCCATCGCACGGACATCTCGAGTGACTTGTGACTTTTGAGTTGTGACCCGCGAGCCTCGAACTGCATCAACAAACCACGACACCGCCTACTCTGTACCGGCGCATCGGCTGATTATCACACCAGAGGTCGCATCGTCTTGATATCATACCGGGAAGCGCCAGAGCAGCAATCTCTCCTAGAGAAGGTATGCGCCGAATAAACCGGATACTGTGTTCTTGCGGGCCATTATTACCTAACAGTTGGCGATTGGAGTCCCGGGGACAGCTAAAGCCAAGCGAGGGAGGAGAAGAGGGACGACATTGGCATTGACATCGGCAGCAGAAAGATTAAAAGGCTCTGTCGGTGGCTTTCTCAACTCTGTTTCTGTTTCTCTATCCTGGTGTGTTCTGTGCTCAAGTCGCACTGTACCGCACCCATCATGGCGACTCCGAGAGCGCCCAAGCGCACCTTCGCCGACGACGACGGAGACAACCACGACGACATCAACGTCTGCTACGTCTCGAATCCCATTATTGATCGCTCATCGACCTTTGTCGCGCATTACCATCCACGCGTCTTTGCTTCGGGCAAGGGCGCTGGCAGCGGCGGCGGCACCTCGGCGACGTCTCTGACCTCGATCGTCAAATCTCTACAAGCACATCCCGATTTCGCCGCCGCGGACCATCGCATGGCAGCTTGGCGGCGACCATCTGGCCAGCGCACGCTTATGCTCGGAGGGACCGCATCGACACAAACATCAACATCAACATCATCCTCAGCCCCAACCTCGATTTCGACAAACACCTTCTCGAGACCACCAACAGAATCAGGAACGACAAGATCCACTACCACATCAACTGGATACAACGGCAACAGAGTAATCTACACAGTCGGCTCCGACGACGACGACGAAAAATACTCAGGGAAGCGGCTCGAGCGCGTCCTCATCGACATGGACGTCGAAGGCGTCATCGTCGTGGCGCGCTGGTACGGTGGAATCATGCTCGGTCCAGTACGATTCACGCATATCGAGAACGTGGCCAAAGAAGCTATCGGTAGATGGAAAATGCAACTGCAACTGCAAATGCAAGCTCACCCGACGACCGCCAGAGACGAGAAACGCCAGAAGGTGCTGCCACTGGGGAACACTGGTGGTACGGGGGGTCCAGCAGGGATATCGGGGAATGCGCAAAAGCCACGGGAACAAGCACAACAATCACAAGCCCTACAAGCACAACAAGAAGAAGCAGAACGCACAAGACTTGCAAAACAACTCGTGGAACGCGATAATAGTATCGTCGTCTTGCGGGGCCTGCTGGCTGAGAAGACGACCCCGACCCCGACCCCGAGACAGGATCCGACACCACCAGCTGAACAAAACCAATCCAGTCCGTCGGCCAGTAAGATCGATTATACCCAGATGCCGCTGCAGAGGTTGCGGTTGCTGGATAAGGCCAGGGATGCTACGATCGCGTTCATACTGAAACAGTTGGACAAAGTGGATGCTGAGGAAAAGGAAAAGGAGATGGAGAAGCCGAAAAACGCTATCCCAGCCACGACAGTGTCGACAGCCGAGGAGGGAAGTGGCGGCGACGGTGAAGAAGCGGTTGGAGGGATAAATGAGAATGCTCGGGGAGAGGAAGAAGAGCACAGCAAAAGTCCAGGTGTGGAAGAGGACGCCACTGCCAGGGATCCCATGCTGGATAATGGCAGGCTGGATGACACGACACCGGGAGAGACAGGCGTTGATGAGTGGGAAGACGGCAACAGAGTCCAACAATCTGTGAACGAAGATGCTGGTGTCGAGGAGACGATAATTGAAGACGGCAACAGAGTCCAACAGTTTGTGAATGAAGATGCTGGTGTCGATGAGACGAATGTCGAAGATGATGGGTATGGCGAAGCAGCAGCTGAACACAGCCACTGGTGAAGCATGAAGACTACGTCGCGGATATGGAAGAAGCGGATAACCTCGAATCAGAATCATTGGCAACGATAGCACGAATGGTTGCCAACCACATTACACCGCACCATCCAATGCCATTAAAGAACGGAGACCAGGCCGGCCACTGCGCATCAAGACTTGATCTGTGAGGAACAGGAACTTGCCGATGATGACGATGACGATGACGATGACGGCGTTGGTACAGGATGAAGTGTGAGGGAAACAAAGGCCTGAAGGGCATTCTCTGTCCCCAGACAGCAGCGAAGAGAACAGGTTGAAATCGTCGTTGATGCTGTGGTCTGGCAGCCGTGGGAATGGCCATACCAGTCCACGCTGGGTTAATGGTAGGCGGGACATGCACAAGGAAGGGAGATGTCAGTTGAGGATTCATCCGGCATGGAGTGAAGACTGAGACAGCCACTTTGAAGTCAATTCCACGAAGAGAGAACTGATATCTAGAACGTGAACCCGAAGCTAAAGCTGAAGCTTGAAATCGAGGCTGATGCTGGGATCGTAGACAACAGCCATCATACAAGCGAGTCGATTGCAACGGTCACCTAGAACCGGCGACCACTTCAATATTGGAGCTCTGCATCATCCGACACTTCATTCCGGTCCAAGACAAGGATTGAGCTGTATTCATCGGGAGTGGGTGTGAGAGCTGGAATGTGCATGCACGGTCAAGACAACAACTCCATACCATATGCTTGGTACAACTTGATACAAAAATCTCGATATGCGCGTCTCGACAGATCAGACCTGACCTATCCCTGAGTCAAGTCCATCCCGTTCCATTCTATATCGTCCCAACCGTTCAAGCCGATACAGACACGACTCCCACCCCCTGGGGGCCAGCTCCATCCTCCTGAACAGAGGCACTGGCCCTACTACTCACGGGCGTCAAGGCATTCTTCTCGCCCTCTTCCTCTTTGAACTTGTCCACCACCATTTGCCTGGTGAGTTGTTGGTAGTCTGTCATTTCCAGAGAGATTGCGTCAGTCAGTCAGCCATGCACAGGACCTCTTTTAAAGACATGAACAAGACGAAAAGAAGGGAAGAGAAGAGAATAAAACAAAGAGAAGGGAAGAAATAAACTCACGCAAAACACCACTCTCCTTGGTCTGGTTCAACACGCCCTGAGAATAAACGCCTCGTTCCAGATTCGACTGGGCGACTTCACACAGCTCGTAGTCTTCCAGCGCGACCTTCCTCACGAACTTGAAGTAGTCTTCAAACCCTTCGACGCCGCCCTTGCCGTCGTCGAAATAATAGTCGAACTCCATGCGCGTCTCGCCCACCTTGTCGCCAGGACAGACGCGGAAACTGCTCATGCCGCCGCCGTACAGGTTGAGCGTGCACACGGGGAAGAAGTACAGAAACAACCCGTCGTCCGGCTTCGTCGGGTCCGCCACGTGTCGGCTGTACGTGTGGTGGTTGTGCACTTCGTAGAAGGTCGGCGGGTATTTGACGCTGAACGACCGGTGCGTGTATTGGCAGTGCAGGCATTCTTGGTACCCGTCCACCATCGTCTTCCAGTTGAACCGGCCGGGGTATTTGATAGAACGGCGGTGTGGGAGGCGCCGGAAGTCGTATCTCGATAGAAGAGACAGGAGCGATGGCGGGAACCAGTCGTCGAAAGAGGGTGCGGACGGGTCGATGGTCGTGAAGAGAAGACCGGTCGGGGTTAGGAAGTGGTTGAGTTGATGGGCCTGGATGGTTTGGGGGAGAATGAGACAGTTGTTCTTGCAAAGAATGGAAACATATGACTGTGAATGTGAACAAGACCAAGACTAGCTTTGGAACAGGACGAGCGGTTTGACAACAAGTTGAGGACGTTGTGATCGTGGCAGTGATGAGATGGGTCAAGGGTTAAGGGTTAAATGTAGCAGACAACATCGGGAATTGGAATTGGAATTTGGACAAGGCAGAAAGACGTTGGTGCTTTGAGACGTGAGAATGAGTATCCTATGCCAACCAAGAACGAGATGTTGTATGCGAATATCAAACCAACAAAACAATCGCATCACAAAACTTGGGGGGAAAACGTACATCGGATTTCCTCGTCACTGTGAACTTCTCGTCACCATCGTGCCGCACGACAATGGCGACACCGGCAAATTCATATTCGACTTCCTTGTCAACAGCGAACCGAGGAACCGCGCCGACGAGATACCAAGACTTGTAGAAGACCGCACGCTGTTCGAGGTGATAGAGGTTCTGCGAGCAGTACCACGATGCCGGGAGGGTTTTGCTGGAAGTGGCTTCCATGCTGGATCAGACGACGGTGGTTGTAAACTCTGGTGAGGTATGGAAACACCACAGTGGTATGCGGTCGATAGTCTCTCACTGGGTATGTTGACTTGGGTCTAGCTGTCGGAGTCTTCCAACTGCAATAATATATTATATGATGGCACAGGGGCAATAACAACAGTTCCAGGCCTCGCTCAATAGTCAAGGACGCGTTGGATATAGCATATCACATATACCCCCCTATCTGCACGAGTCAGGCCGAAACAGGCATCCAAATACCGACTGGGTATATCAAGGGGTTTTGGTTGTACGTAGCTCGAGCCTTGTGTGGACAGCGCGGGGTGCCCAACAATTCCACGAGTCGTCCATGATGGCTTCGGATCCGAAACGCGGTCAAGTTTCCAGCGTTGATAATCGAGGAATACGTAGTAGGGCGCGATCTCCAAGACAGCCCTTCGCTGGACGTTCTGGCGAAAATGATCTGGCGGAGTACTTCGGCAGGAGGAGAGCACAGCTGTTCGGCCAACGTCGAATAGCGAATAGCGAATCTAGTAGTGACTTGTCGGTTCTCGATTCGAGCGGGATCGCATTTCCAAATCGGGACATGGCGCAAGTCTATGTCGACCAACTGGTTGACAGCCTGTGCGTCAGCCTTGATATCATGGGGTGGATAAAGCTGCAACAATGATATACCCATAGTAGAGCGTCAGTCACTGACACTTCGGATCCGATGTTTATCGTAGTAATAATGGCCATGAGATAATCCAGCTGCTGGAACCCCATTGGCATATCCGTACCGGATATTGGGGCCCAAATGGTCCGGCCGTCGAGTCGCGGATCTCCACCGGGTGCTCATCCCACACCTGCAACGGCGTGTATCTGGTTTCATGATAAGGTCCATAATCTTGGTCCCTAATCTCTCACTGAATATATGAACGAGGATAGTTGTTCCGTAGCCATATAGGATGACAGGACCATGTTTCGCAGCTTGTGCTCGTCTTCTACCGAGTCCTGTTCGTGAGCAGAAGGAAAGATTCGAATCATGGCGACGAGCCTCTTTCTAAGCCACGTGGCACGACCGGACCTTGCTTTTCTGGCCTATGTTTCCGTCTTGTCCTTTCTGGCTTACTGTCTAGGCCGGCCTCTAGTGAAGTTTGCCCATGCATTGTTGTACCCCGACGACCAGAAAGCTTCCTATCAAAACTCCGGTCTCGACCAGGCCGAGAAAGGAGGACTGCAAAAGCAAGACGAGATGACGGACGAAGACATTTTCCAGTTGGAGAAGAGGGCATTCTTTAGCAAGGTTGGTGCACCGCAAAGAGTAACGTTTGAGCTGCAGCAACTGACTTGTCCAAGACCTGGTTGTTCGTATGCCACCGCAGCAGATTTGATAAACCCGGAGATTATCATGCCTTTGACATCGCCGGGATCTCGTTCTTTGTTGTCCTGGGCAAGGACTTGCAACTCCGAGCGTTTCACAACATCTGTCGACATCGAGCTTACACGGTGGTTCGTAAGCCCTGTGGCACATCCACCCGGTTCTCCTGCAAATACCACGGCTGGCAGTATGACGATGAAGGTCGACTGGTCAAGGCGCCCAAATTCGACGAATCTCCCGGCTTTGTACCCGAGGACAATGGTCTGTTCGAGGTCAAGTTGATCACGACCAGAGAGGGGTTGGTGTTTGCCAACTTCGATGCGAGCACGATGAAACTCCCTTTCAATAATGTCAAGTCTCATGTCGACCTTGGGAGCTGCTCTTACGTGGATGGCGTGAGCGTGACTTGTGCCACGAACTGGAAAGATATTGGTAAGTCGGTTCTAGTCCACGCCGAGCTTGGTTCCTAAGAGTGCTATATCAGCAAACGATTTCTCGAGTCAGTGTCAATGGTCGCAGAACCCTTTCGGATGGTTTCCTCGACTTCGCAAGCAGAAGATGGCGACATTGCTCGGCCCGTTGAGCATGGTCAAAGAGCTCCGTGCGGGCTTGTGGTGCACTATGACTCTACTTCCCCGGTCGCCTACCGAGGTGGTGGTGAGATGCGATCTATATGCCAGAAAAGGATATCAAGTTCCGGCAAGGGTCGTTGAGCAGCAAAAATGGATGTTGGAGAAGGAGTTGCTCAATTTGTCGAAACCTGATACCTCTGACAAGTCGTCAAGGACGCCGTTTGCGTACCAGTGTGGAGGTATGTTGTGACACCGCAGCTGGTCAAACGTACAGCTGACTCGGACCAATCTAGGCCGCACCATTGATTTATTCGCAATCCTGGCTCAACATGAACGAAACGAAAAATTGGCCAAGAAGAAGCTGCAGCCAGCTATTCGGATAACGAGCTCTGCTGAGATTGACGAAGAAGCGGCAGCAATCTGTGATGCAATTGATGGCATGGACGAGACCACCTCTTTGGAGAAGTGTTCAAAAATATCCAGTTTTCCCCAGACACTGGAGTGGTAAGCTGGACAAAACAGTACAGGGCAGAGGCTGGCACGGGAAAGGTAGAGCATTTCAAGGTGTTTTCTGCATAGAACTGGATACACTGCGCTGCATTGCATTGGAGCAGGGGTTTGAAGACGATTGAGTCAAGGAAATTGGGGGGTTTCTTCTTGAAAAGCGACAGCAAATCCCTCGAACGTGATATGGAGGCTTGAGCAGAGAATAACCACGAAGTTATTAGACGCTTTGTCCCGTTGTTGAGGAGTCCACCAACCTGGACAAGCCACGTTGTGAGAATTACCTGACGAAGGCACTCTCATGTTGATGTCGTGTCGAGAGACGATCGAAACATGCAAACAGGTGAATGTAAAATATCTGAGTTCAACAAAGGAGAAAGGCTGGAACTGTGGAAGATGAAACTTGAAGATGCTTGAGCATCACGTGCCCAAAGGTCCTTTAAAACCTTGGCACCAGAATTAGCAAAGTGCTAAATTGCTTAGAGGCCACGTGGACGCCAACTGCGAGCCTGCTGCTTTAAGCACGACGTGTTTTCTTCTTCCTGTGTCCTCAATCACTACATGTACCATAATAACCACTCCAACATCACTTCAGCAGGAATCTCGTAGTCGCTGGAATCCTGACAGCGGAACTGGGCCGAACTTTACACGCGTACAGACTCGCTCGCGAACTTCACTAGCGACTTCCTCGAACATAGCTACATACTTAGAAATCAGGCGGTAGGCAATAAAACGGAGGTAAGATGTGCGCTTGAAACTCATCCTGCCATTTTAGAGATGCAGACAAGCATTTACAGGAAACAGATAAGCTGGCACTGGGACACGTCGAATACATAGTAGAATTCTTCAAGATGTACGATTTGCATTGCGTCAGCCCTGACTGGCCAGCCTCGTCCTTTATCGTTATCGATAAGAAGGAACTGACCCGTGAAAAGTACGTTTGATTGGCTGTAGCGGCAATCAACCAATTCCGAGAACCGGCGTCGGGGGGAAGCATGCATTAATAATAATTTGAAGACTGGTCGAACAAGTCTTCAACAAAAAGGCCTGTTCGCCTCAGACTTCAACTTGTCGAGTACAGCTTTCTTGATTTCAACGTTACTCATCTGTCGCATATGGACAGACACACAGGCAGCCAGACCTTCGAAGTATCTGCCAACGCGGACTGCCGTACATTCTTCAATTCCTCCTTCGCCGCGGTCGCCACTCGCCGGCCATGAGCGCCATTCTAAGTGCAGACGACCTCAACGACTTCATTTCGCCTGGCGTTGCCTGCATCAAACCCGTCGAAACCCTCCCGAAACAAGAAGACTACAATCCTTACGAAGTTACGACCGAAGATAAAGTACAGGCGCAAAACCCTGCACCCGCCTCCATCTCTCTGACCGATTGCCTCGCATGTTCGGGCTGCGTCACTTCCGCCGAGGCAGTCCTTGTCTCCTTGCAGTCACATACCGAAGTTCTCAACACACTTGACTCATATCCATCACTTAATGTCCGAAGCCTGGTCGACAGACCGAACGGGGTTGTCAATGGCCATAAGCCACAGCCATCAGATGCGAAACTGTTCGTCGCCAGTGTGAGCCCGCAGGTCCGGGCGAGTCTGGCGGCGACATATGGCATATCTGAAAGAAGAGCTGGATTTATGATTGAACAATTTCTGAGTGGAGCGCAGGGCTTGCGGATAGGTGGCCAGAACAAGAATGGGTTCACATACGTGGTCGATACAAATCAGTTAAGAGAAGCATGTCTTGTTCTTGGAGCAGAAGAAGTGGCCGAATCACTTGCCAATCCGTCGAAGCCAAAACCGGTTTTGACTTCGGCTTGTCCAGGTTGGATCTGCTACGCGGAGAAGACGCATCCTCATGTTCTTCCACATCTGTCCACCTTGAAATCTCCCCAAGCACTGTCTGGCACATTGTTGAAATCGGTGCTAAGCCGGACCCTTGGGATTCATCCGTCTCAGATCTGGCATTTGGCCATCATGCCGTGTTTCGACAAGAAACTCGAGGCAAGCCGGGAGGAACTCACAGACCGCTGGTGGCAGCCGTCGCCGTCGGATACCCTAGACACATCAACTTCGCCGGTCCGAGATGTCGATTGTGTGATCACGTCTCGCGAGCTCCTGTCTCTTGCGGACGCGCGGGGTGTGCAGCTATCTCAAATGCCATTGAAGCCCCTCTCACCCCCTGAGCGCTCTCCTTTCCCCGACTCAAGAATCTCCACCTTCCTGTTCCCGAAATCTCGGCGGCGGTCCGAACAATCTCCTCCAGCTGGATCTTCGGGCGGTTATCTCTACCACATCATGGCCACCGAACAAACAAATCATCCTGGCAGCACGATCTCCGTACAGCGAGGTCGCAACGCCGATGTCATGGAATACCTCCTGTTATCCGCCTCTGGACAGACACTGATGAAATGCGCAAGATACTACGGCTTTCGAAATATCCAGAATCTGGTACGCAAGCTGAAACCGGCGAAACAGTCAAAACTTCCGGGCGCAGCCAGACGCGCCGGTGCGGCTGCAAACAGCGGAAGCGATTATGCATATGTCGAGGTTATGGCTTGTCCTGGCGGATGCACCAATGGTGGTGGACAGATTAAGGTCGAGGATGTGGTGAGCATACTGCCGCAGACAAGGGGCGAGGAAGTGACGAACACGGCTGGTCCGCAGAGTCAGAAGGAATGGCTGCAGAGAGTGGACGAGGCTTACTATTCAGCTGATTCGGAGGAGGACTATGACAACGCGGACGGAGATGTGATCATGACGGATGGACATGCAACTATCAATGGCCCTTCTGAGTACGAACATACGAACGGAAATCAGTTCCAGAACAACGCCGCCACCACTGTGATCAATGGTATCGATATCCCGGATGTTCGAGATTTCCTGCGTCATTGGTCCTGCTTGGTTGGTGTGCCATTGGCCAAATTGGCGTACACAACTTTCCGCCAGGTCGAGAGCGACGTGGGCAAGAAGAAGACGAATGGCAAGCTTAGCGATACCGAACGCATCGCGCAAATTGCGGGCTTGAGTGGCGGCGGCTGGTAAGTTATCACAGTTGCGACGATTATGATGAGGGAGCTTGGGTTATTATAAATCATGATAGAAATTGATTTGGAGCTATTGGGATTGTCGCATCGGTACTGAACTAGGTTTTGGACCTGGTATATTGGTTGTGTTGCATGGCGTTAGGTCTAGAACGATACCCGGCTTCAATGGAAAGAATATTGACGATCTCAAGAATCCAATCAGTGGATACTACTGGGCAGTGTCTCGTGTCTCTCCCATGGCCGCACTCGAGAGCAATATGTGAGGCTGTTTCCCTGTTCTGGCACAGCCTTATCACGTGTTAGACTGTGCAAGGCTGTCCGGTCATGTGATCATATATTGCCTGTTGTAGCCTAGCGCCATGTCTCGGATCTGCTTCAACGTTGCTCGATCGCCAGAATCTCAAACATTCAAACATTCCATCTGCAACAAAAACAGTCTCATGTTTAGCCGCCACGGGACTTCTACACATTGCTGATTACGTGCAGACCTCCAGTCGCTGTGAAAGAAGCTCAATCTGGCACTTTGATTGTTTTGGCATATCGGTTCATCTGCATGAGATCTGAACCTGACCCCAGTCGATTCGTCTCCCCCACGGACCATGATCTGCTACAGGAGGTTGTCCGCCTCCTTGCACATCTCACTCCCACAACGCGAACTCATGTCATCCCGAGGTTGATAGCTGCTGCATGTACAGAGCCATCACATCATACTGTCAGGGGATACCTACTGCAGCTTTCTTGCCGACACACGACACCTGATTGAAGTTGATGCTCCTAAGACGAAACACGCCTGGTCAGCCGCCCACCATGAGAATGACACATGAGGGCACTGCTACCCAAGGGATCTGTGATGACATCAACTGAGCGCATCCTGATGAGCGCTGCGTACCGGGAGCCCCTACAACCTGGTCGCTTGTTGCGTAGCTGGAACCTTTTGGTTTCATGCCTACCTGCATTCGGTGGCCTTTCGCCTATCTCTCATCTACTAGGACTCCTTTAGTTGGTTCTTTGCTTTTCCCTCCTGCCAGGCAGGCAGGCGGGGTCTTGTCTTTCCTTTTTTTCTTCTTGGGCCCGGTGTTCGCTGTTCTTGTTTGTTTGTTTCTTTCTCTGATATAGGCAAGCTGGACTGACCAGATTCATTCTTTTCCTGGCCTCGGCTTCACGATCTTTTCTTTTCCAACCAAAGCGCTGGCGCTGAGCGCTGGACGCCACCCAAGGTGTTTCGCTCTTTCGATTGACTTCGGAACATTTGCGACTGTTCAGTCATCCATCTAGGGCTTATCTTCTGCTGAAAGCGGTCAGCCAAGCAGCCACTCAACCTTCTGATCTTGATTCGAGTCAGGTCGACACAGAACCGAAGCGAGCCGCGCTGGTGCTTGAAGTTGCTCTATTGCATCGAACAATGGACCTCCGAGTCGTCCAGGTCCTTCTTCTCATCTTTTCATTCGTCTTGGCTCTGTTCCTCCTCATAGCCTCGTCCAAATATGCGGCTTGGGCGAAAGTCATGACAGCAGCGACAGGGAGTTGGCTGTATGTTCGCCCTCATCCATCCCAATAAGCTGGAGTGCTCAATGAACACTTGGACTAATCTTACTGACTACAACCCAGGTCGCTAGTCTTCTATGTCGGTGCCATCCCGCTGATGTCTCTCGTCTATGCCACCGCGCATCTCGCAGCATTACAGTTCAACGGCCTCCCAACCCCACCGTACCTGAAGAAGAACAAGAACAACACTCCGAGCCCAGCCCCTGCACACGAAGCACCATACGACCCCAACTACGGCGTGAGCAGCACGATGTTCATTCTGGGTGTGTCGGTCCTCCATTTCCTAGCCTGGCTCGCCCAATCCATTCTCTGCACATCTTGCGAATTGGCGCCCATTCTGGCGGGCACACAGGGCCGGGTTCCTCGATGGTGTCCTCAATCGCGGTTCAAGGACATCGGCACACCAGGACTTGCGAACATGCTGGGCACGCTGGCGACGGTCAAGGATGTCTTGGAATGGGGCATGGTCCTTCTGACGATCTTGCTGATCGAATGTGCCCGGCGCGAGTATATGCGCGCAGTGCAGGTACAGCACGAAGCATTCCTGGGCGCGGGTGCTGGCGTGGACTTTGGCGGGCGAAGTCGAGGGTTCGATGGGGCGGACTCGAAAAAGCCTGGCGTGGCGGTTGAATTGAGCGCGGTTGAGATGAGTGGACCAAAGCCGGTCACCTCGGACGGGCAGGATCAGGGACAGGGACAGGAGCAGGGACAAGCCGACGCCCAAATGCTACAGTCTCGCCGTGACGAACTTGAACACAGAGGTATGCAGAAGGTTATGCCACATGTACAGGAGCGGGAGAACAAGTGGTTGCGACTCCAACAGCCGGAACAACCGTTTTTGTCGCAACAAACATGGAGCCGAGCTCCGATACAACCCCAAATTCAAGATTGGAGTGATGGTCAAGGTCAAGGACGATTCCCTGTGTTATCTGCGGCACCAGCAGCGTCGACTGACAATGACAATTCCTACGGAAATGGCATTGGTATTGGCCTAAAGACGACGAGGCAAGGAAAGGACAACGGCACCACCAGCACAGGCTTGCAGAGAAACGGCACGCTGAATCACATGTACGAATCGAGGGTCTAGCCATCATCGCCATCGGCTCGCTGTTGCTAGACAGGCGATACTGGATTGGAGGTGGTGGTGGTGTGGAGGTGGAGGAGGAGGAGGAGATGGTGGAACTGGAGGTGGAGGTGGACATACTGGTTGAATGGATACCACTTCTGCCCTCACTTGCTACGACGATATTACGATATGACGAGACCGAGACCGAGACCGAGACCGAGACCAAAGGCAAGGCCAAACAGACATGTGCCAGAAGGAGGATTGATCTGAACCTGGGAATAGTGGTGTATTACTCCTACTCCTACTTATACTTCCAGAGGCAGGCAGGCAGACAGGCAGCCCGATATCAATGAGAAGAGGAGTTACGGAGTGTTGTATACCTTATACCCCTAAGTATGTAATTTTTTTTTCTCTACTTGTATAGTGACATGATCCATTCATCTGTCCATCCATCCATTAACGTAACGTACTTCTCCCGCTCATCTCATCTCATCTCTTTACTTTCCAATACTCTTCCCATCACCAACCACCTTGTCCCGGTTCTTCACTATGTACCACGGTAATCCACACTTTCTACCCCGTCGTCGCTTTCGGAAAGACTCTATCTACTATACCTGTTCTCTGTAAGGACCGCTAGTCCTTGTACCTTATTGACAAAAACTGATGGCTCATCACAACAGAATCTAGATCGATGGTAGAACTTGGACCACTGAACTGGAGTCATCTCATGCCGAGAGAAGCAGAAGCAGAAGGGTTCTATGGGTAACCACTTTTGAAGCAATACCTACAGTAGTTACCTAGCTAAGGAAGCCAAGCTAAGCCATTTATTAGAAGGTACCTAATAAGGTACATTATCTAATAATGCTGGTACGGGTGATGAGGGTATCTAGAAGTGAAAAGCACAAGACACGAACCAGACACAAGAAATTCTTGTTCGCTGGCAATTGGAACCCGGCTACCGAGACTTCAAAACACGCAACAGCAACAGCGACAATCACACATGACCCGTTCTGCCCATGCACACGCCCATGCCCATGCCCATTTCCGTGTTCATGTCTTTCATGGACTGACATGCCCGAACTGGACCGTAAAAGGTAAATCAGACAGAAGTCTCCAGACAAGACCGAGGGAGGTAGAGAAGAAGCCCAGAAATCGTAACGCTCAGCTTCGGGCCCGAAGTAAATCGGTACTGGCCCCGAGTCCCTAGCCTCACCAACGATCCCGTTGGCAGACCAGAATCAGAAGCCGATGCAGTAATGTCGGATGCAAGCCCTTAGTGTCGCACGAGTCGCTTCCGTAGAAGGGCGGAAGAATCAAAACACCTTTTTCCCGGGTCCTTTGCGATACACCCACAGCCGAAGGGACCCCTGGCCCGGAAGTGAAAGTCAACCGAAAAATCAAACCCCTTGAGAAATAGAAAGTGTCCTTTGTAGGGGCAACCCAGCTCGAACCCTTTCTGGCTCCAGTACCCTTTCCGACTCTCAACGAGCAGAGCCAGAACCAGAAGAACTTTTGGCATGGGCATTGGATGCGGAAAAACACCACTCAATTGTCGCAGCCGCGGTCGCATTCGTACGGAAGATGCAAAAATGGCAAGTCATGTCGCTTGACCAGCCGTCCCTTGACCAGCTGTCGCGGGCCCGCCTGCTGCAGGTTCAACCGGCACTGCGGTTTTCGGCGGAAGCGTGAGTTTAGGAACTGCAATGCACACGAAAAGCAAGGATTAGCCAAGGTTCCGGATAAATTGCCAAACACACTTCTTCACTGCTGGGAACAACGATTTGTTTGTGACCGCCAAAAGGAACTTACTGCTCATTCCATACCCCTCGGTCTTGCCTTCAGGGTCATGGTTGTCAATTTCCACTCTGATAGCAACGTTCAACCCACCCGGGAGAGGTCCTTGGTTACTGAGCCCATTGGCCGCCGGATGTTCTGTACCGGCGCCCTCCTCGCCGACGTGGAGTGGAGTTCGCCCGTCGATATCGCTGCGCGGCCGACTTTTGCCGGGTTTGCCCGTCGTGTTGACCGTCACGGACCCGTTAACGCCATTGGTAGGTTGAGGGTGATGGGTTCCATTGTTGGTCTGCTCCTCGAGGATCTCTGTGATACATGCGTAGTTCCGACTGGGCATGGTACAATGGTTCCAGTCGGCTCCCTTCATCTGACCTCCAGGTTGCTTGTCGAACATGTTGAGCAGGGTTTCGTCGGTATTGCCGTCTCTCAGATGGTGGATCTTGTTGCGTCGGGCCAACAGATTCGCCACGGCTTTGGGAGGCGGTTTGTTCGTGATGGCCGAGGAAATGATGTTGGCCATGTAGCGAGGGTCTTCGAGGGCGTCCATGTTGTCGGCCGGCGTGGAATAGAAGCGGCCTATGGCGGACAGATGGACGTCACCCCCCAAAATGGTGACCCTGATGGAAAACTCGGCCGCCAGTCTTTGCAGCCTAACCACAAGCTCGCGTCGCTCGGCTTTGTGATGGCGTGCGGTGTAGTGATCGTCCAGGTCGTCGAGCAAGTCCACTCCGCCGTCAAAACTGTTGAAGAACCCTCCGGCAAAGCCAAAGCGGCGGTTGAGCAGACGGATCGGTGCGATGATGGGAGACGTCAGAATATTCTCCAGCCATGCAAGTCGTGGGTAGGCGATCGGGACACCCAGCAACAGAATGAGATGTTTGATTTCTCCCCGCGCGGCCTTGAACTCGTTATGCAACCGGTTGAAGATCATGTCGTACGTGTCGGGGTAATTGACTTGTTTCCGTGTGCGTTCTGTTCGAGCATCAATACCACAAAAGGCTATCCGTCGACCCAACCGCATGTACAGACTCCTCGACCTCTCTTCCACGTAAGGGCCTGGTCGCTTGCCTACGATCCAGCTGGGGTCGTCCGCCGTTCGGTTGTAGACATAGGTGTCTTTCAGTTGACGCGGATCGGCGCCGGCAGTTCCTCCCACGCCCGCCTCCATGGTGGTGGGAGCATCAGTGGTGAAGGTCGAGACAGGAGGGGCGGTGTGGTGCTGGAACAGACAGTAGTACTTGAACGCGACTCCGCCGATACCACGAAACACGGGACATCGCATGAAATGGTCCGTGTAAGAACCGAATCCGTCTATAATGTCATGGTCATCCCAGATGTTGATCTGAGGGATTTGACCATTGGCCGTGGCGAAGGGTTCCGCGCTGTACCATTTCCTGTAATTCTCGTAGTACCATTTGTCGCATCGATTTCTCAGGTCCTCGCCGAATGGGTAATCCTTTCTCTTCCCGGGGCTGGTGATCGCCGTCCACTCCTGCAACGGGCCGCTGACTCTGATGGAATCGTTGTAGATCTGATCGCCTCCGCCGATCATGACATGGAAAGGACGTTGCTGGTGGGTTCTGACCACGTCGTTCCACAATACCGGACCTGGTCGTAAGCATGTCAGCGGTCCTGCAGCCTTTCAGGTTATTGGTGTATCCTGACCTGACCAAAACGCCTCGTCCGTTCCCACCGAGAAGCCATTGCACGAGTGGAACATGATGCGCATGGAATCTGTCGAAGCCGGCACAACAAACTCCCTGGACGGGCTTTTGTTGACATCTGTGAGGAACTTCATGTTGGGTATCGTGTATTGCCATTTTGCTTCCGCCTCCACCAGCGGGACGCGAAGTGTGAACCGCCAGAATGTCTTGTCCGGGTCCGAATACAGCATCAGACCGTCCACCACCTGCCATTGCGAGCTTGAAACCCGTGTCCTCCCATCCCACGCACCTAGAGACTTCAATTCGAGGGAAGGTCTCTTTGACCCGGGTTTCGTGACAAGGAGGACTGAGCCATGCCAAAAATGATTGCCTTCCTCGCTCATGCGCTGATAGTTTATGAGAGGGCCACACAGGACTTCCAAGTAGGGATTCGAGCTGTTGACATTAGGGCCGGGGCCGTGGCCTTCTTGAGGTTCGGAGACATGCTGACGCTCTGTGCCCAGCGCATTACCATCAAATTGTCCTAGAAAGTTGTGTCAATGGCAGATTGCACTCGTCGGTGCTTGAGGCACATACCTTCCATCTAGATCAACCCTTTTGGTGTATGACGACTCTGCGAACTCGACGATGGTTATGTTGACCCGGTTGGCGCGTGGTCTCTTGTCGCAGGGTGTCAACAGTAGGATTTCCACCAGACAGTCGTCCTTGGTATGAGTAAGAAAGACTTTGGGAGAAAAGGAGGATCAGCCTCTAAGGAGACAGCAATGCCAATGAAGAGGAACGCGTAGTACAGCGACAAGAAATACAGAATAATCAGCTGGCTGGTGGTTGGCATAGACCGACAGACACAAGCATGCCAGGTGTTACAACAGACACTGCACTGGCAGATGAGAGACAGAACCCCCCGGGCGGCCCCTGGGAAGAGAAGGCTGGCTCACGCACTGCCAGGCATGATGATGATGCCAAGGTCGAACACACGCGGCGCATTGAAGACGATGGTTGTATAGAAGGGATTTATGCGCATTATGATTGTTGGGGGGACTCTTTAGGGCTGTTTAGGGCTCGTTAGGGCTCTCTAGGCGTCGTTAGGGGCATCTCTAGCCTTTTCGGCGTCCTTCAAGATACCCATCCTTTGACTGTCTACGTTCAAGCCGCGATCCACCGCGCCCAACGCAGACTCCACGATCTGCGGGACAATAATCCACACAGCTGCCAGTGTTGTGCCTCACAATCCCTGCTTTCAGCTGACATCGTTCAATCCAGCTGGGTTTGATTTGCTCCAGCCACTGACTGGGGCCGAGAATAGAACCTCAGCCACAATGATGAGTGCCGTGTCTCCGAAGTGAATCTTGCACGCTGCCACCCTTCTGAAGAGGCTTGTCAGGTTGTCTCAATGCATGCCTACGACCACAACGGATGATATCCTCACCACTGTAGTATTGTTGCTTATTTCCACATCCGACGCCAGCACCAGAACTCCCCGACGCCAAACGCTATCAGATGCCGTTCATCGTTCATTCCTTATCATCCTTGGGTTGAGGATCGCCAATTCCATGCTCATAAATGGCAAACAAGGTGTCGCTCTCCGGCAAGCATGGACTGTCGTAGATCTTGCAGATTCGCGTCTCGCCTCGTCCCTTCTTCAAACTCAGCCGGGTCGTACTCGCGTGAGCAATGATGTTCCCGCCGATTGGTTTCTTCGGGTCGGGGTTATACATGGAGCTGGGTCCGCCGTCCACCTGTGCCACAACCTGATTGGTGATGACGACGGCGATTCCAAACTCATCCGCCAGTCGCTGAAGCGTGCGCAGGAATTTCGCCATGTGTGACTGCCTGGACGACAATTCCCCTCTGCCATTGTAGTCGGTGCGGTATAAGGAGGTGGCGGAATCGACGATGAGCAGTGAAAATCGGGTCTCGCACATCATCTGGGACGCTTGTTGGAGAAGTTGCAGTTGATGTTCCGAGTTATAAGCCCGAGCGTATGCGACATTGTCCAACACCTCTTCTCCCTCGAGACCGTATCGATTCGCTACCGACAGCAGCCGAACTGGTCGAAACGTGCCCTCAGTGTCGATGTAGAGACATTTTCCCTCTCCTCCTCCCATGTCAAACGGCAATTGACATGTCACGGCCATTGTGTGACATATCTGACTCTTTCCGGTTCGGAATTCTCCAAAGATTTCCGTGATGGAGCCGGTCTCGACACCTCCTCCCAGAAGCCGATCCAGGTTCTTAGAGCCAGTGGTGATGGAAATAAGGTCACTGCGTCGCGCATGCATTTCGGTGGCCGTCGTAAAGCCCATCGGGACGAGTTTCATGGCTGCGCCGGATTAGGTTGGACACTAAGAACATGAAGCTTGTGGCCTACCTTCGTTGAGCAGTTTGCTTGCTTTGGCCTCGGAAATTCCCTTGATCTGTTCCAACTGTCGACGAGGTCTATATGCCGGTGTTAGATGACCCTTTGGGGACACAATCAGTGGGATGTCTCACGTGTAGGCAATCGACTCCACGGTGTGAAAGCCACCCTCGACAACTAACTTGACATCTCTATCCGTCAATCCAGCGACACCCTATAGTATTTGTGAGCATATAGTCATGGGCGCCTGATCACTGATAGACTCACCACCAGCTGCGTCACCGGTATGGGAGCACCAGGACCGCCGGGCATCTCCTCGTAGTCATCTTGAGGGGTATCAGCACTCTCGGTCTGTGTCATGATGGCTGTGATGCGGACTGTGGTTATTGGAAGCCTGTTCAATAACGCTCAGGAAGGTCTGGTATCAGAGTGTGAAGGAGTCGTTTGAGTTGTTGTGCAGGGTGTGGATTGGAGCGAAGAAGGTCAAAAGGTGGCAATGTGGCGCGTCCAGGCGTAAAGTTCAAGTTGTGTTTGAAGGTTGAGACGCGTCAGACGATAAGCTACATCCATTCTGGTCCTAGCGCAAACACGGTGTCAGGTGACCGCATTTACGCGTGTGTGCTCTTGTGGTCGCGTCAGGGGCAGATTCAACTTCATCCATACAAGGTGTCTTCATCAGAATATAACCTCACGAGGGTGCATGTTGCTCACTCCAGCTTTCAATGCCCTGAATCAAGCCTGTTTGCCCTCTAACAATATATCCCCTGACCCTTATGAACTCGCTGATCTGTGGCTGTCGAGGATCGCCCGCTAATCGACTTATTTGCCCTTCACTGTCCAGCCTTTCTTACAACCCGAACAGTCCATATCTGTTGTCACACGCTTCAGCCCGTTGTTTGCCGTTCCCGATCGTTCTAATGCAATTCCCGCAGCAATAGTGGTACAGCCCCGACCCCTATTGCGAGCTCCGTTGAGGGAAGCTTCAACCTTTCCCATTCCCGGCTAAAAAGCCCCCATCTCCCATGCCATTGTGATACCCGGTTGATTGACCATGCTCAAGTGATGCCATTTTCGCTCCTGTCCCCTCAATGCTGTTCAGCATTCGCTGATATCCAAATTCCATGCCGTTTCAGTCTATTACTCGTACCACATGATCCATCAACTCGTCGTCTTCCAATAGCCGTGCCATGTCGGCCTCGGTCATTTGGATGACGACCTCGAGGTAATCCTTGCGCTGGTCGTATGGGAGAACAATGCACGAGCCGGGGTCTTTGGACCACGGCTTGCGGACCCAGTCTGGTGGTCCAAGACCCATCTCGAACGTGGCGTCGTAGCATTTCAACTTCTCCCAGCTTGTTATGTACATGTCGGCTCCGCGGATCCGCTCCATATTGCTGGCTTGGAGGTCCCGAACGTCAATTTGAGGATCGGGATGTCTTGCCAGCGCGATCGCCTGGCGGATATAAGGCTCGTCAACGGCATTGATGCCCTTCCGAATGGCCTTGGCGGTATGAGCCATGGAAGATATGCTGGAGTCAGTGAGAGAAGACAGCGGCATTTGAACCGAGGCAAAATCAATGGCTGCGCCAAAGTACGATCCTGACAGTGGGGATTTGAGCTTATTCCGGATGTTGATGGGTATGATCAACTTGGAGGATTTCACCGAAGGCTCTTGCGATAACGACGGAACTCTGGCTTTTGTCATGCTGCGCCAGATCAGAGCTTGTAGCACGTCATTTAAGGTCATGAAATGACCCTCAGCATGCCGCTCCACCTGCATTTTCAGGTTGGCAAGCTTACTCAAGGAGAAAGCGATGATACATCCACGGCCGCGGGGCTTCGTACGAGAATCTCCCTGCGGTGCTGCCTCGAGGCGTTTCCACTTCAGCTCTCGGTCATTGATCTGATTCGCAAGACTGTACGACAATTGCTGCCGGACCACACTCTTGTGATGGGCGAAAGCCTCCAGCCTCATGGACAATGTGGGTGTATCATGGCCCCGGGTGTCCAGGTGACGTTGAAAGGTGAAATCGTCGTTCAGCACCGTCCCCGAGATCAGCAAGCCAATGCCCGTCCCGTCGGAAATGCAGTGGTGGAGGTAAACAGACACGATGAGGCCGCCTTCCAGCACGTTGGCTTGTACCCAGAAGACAGGAGCTCTTTCTTCATCCGCAGACTCCCCTAGTGCTGAAACAAGGTCGGGCCGGATGACACTAGGCGGTAGGCCCATCTGGTCGAGCTCGTCATACGTGTATGGAACTTCTTCACGTGTCAGGTGGCGTACACCGACTCTGGGATAGTGCAAAAAATCGTCGTCCGAGAACTGGATTTCCACTGCACCAATCTGACTGCCGGGATCTTTGGCACCCACCACAAAACCACTGAGGTAAGGCTTCGCGTCGACAGCTTTTCTGACGAATCTGTTCAGCCTCTCGACAATATCTGGAAGCAGGATGGTGTCTGGGAGTCGATATGCGAGGCAGATTCGAATGTACGATCGCGGCATGCAATGCTCTATACTTGACAGGTGAATGGTGTGCTGTGATCCAGGACTGTGGCATGGACCAGGCTGTGGACCGGCTCTTGAAGCAGTGACAGCTGTAACGGCTGCAATCGCGCCGGATCTGCTGTCCTCGTCCTGGAGGATGCCGTCGGTGCCATCTGCAAGGGAACTTTCCGAAGGCGCTGCCCGTTCAGGAGACGCTAAGGAGAAGGATTGGCCCGATAACACAGACATTGGACCGGCCCGAAAGTCGATACCTTCCATCCAGGTCAGCTAGATCCGGGCGGGCTCAGAGACACAGGAGTCACCAGGATTAATACTGATACTATGAGTCAGAGCAAGGTCAATATCAACCAACGAGCCACTCTTTTTGTGCATCGATTGTGGCCACTTTGACAAGCGAGTATTGTGATGGAGCACCAGCATGATGGCAGCTGCTTATAAATCCTTTCGGCGGTGTCACCGGTCGAGGGTGAAATGTTGGGGTGACTTCTCTCCGGCTGCTCGCGGTTGTGAATATATTTGCTGAATCAAAGTAGCCCACAATCAGATGGACTGTGCAGAGCAAACAAAGCAAGGACACCATCACTGATAGAAGAACGAAGTCAAGTTCTCCTGTATTTGTTTTCGTAGAGCATATCATTGAATAGATGACAGCAACCTGTTCAGTCGGTCAAGGTGACATGTAAGCCAATCAGACTTCAGCAGGCTGTTCACTGGTTCGTTTTCCCTGACGAAACATGACAACAAAACAGGCACGAAGAGACTGAGACGGTGAGCATACTCGAGGTGACTAGCGGAACAGGGATATCATCAGGCCAGGGGATCTGGAGAAACAAGGCGTGGGCAGCGGTTCGATAAAGGATGAGAAAGTGATTGCTTTTCCTCCATCTGCGTTGAATTCTCTTCTGTGGGGTCTGAGATGTCACTAGATGTGGCTGTCTTCACGGTTCTGCTGCAACAACTCATGTGGCTTGCTATGAATCTTGACCTAGCATATGCCGATTCGAGAGAGTTGCGTGGTGCGGGATGCGTAAGTTCTTGGATGTGAGAGCGGAATTTCCCAGTCGAGTGCTGATACGCAGAGAGGGCCAAGCCGGGCACTGATCTCCATATCTCATCGCGGCCTGGGAGGCTAGTGTGCATGCAAGGCGAGCGATTGAGAGTGACTGAGGCAGAGGTGGACAGGCATTCGCCTGCGCTGTGTCACCTCACCACTTTGCCGAATCGATAGCAGCCAGCCTCGCACCCATGTCTTCATTTGGTCACGGTGCTGGAAGCTCTTTCAAGGACGCCGGGAAACCGGCAGAGTGTGTGCGCGGCAACAGAGTCCGCGACAAATGGGCTGACAGAAGAGGTCCCCAAGCCGTTCAGGAGTTGTAGCTAGCAAGAGCAACGTGAGAGAAAGACGATGCGGCATGACCAAGGGTCAGCTGAGCAACAAAAGCGGTCCAGGTCCGGCGACCAGGCAGCCGCAGCAATCGTGCCGGGACGAGGGTGGGTGAAGAATGTGGACAGCCATCAAAGAGTAGGAAAGAGGAATTGAAGCAGCCAATAGGCCGGGGTCGAAGAGTAGAAGCGAGCCGCCCTGCTTGACATCGTCCACTACTGCAGCGTGCATGGTAAGGAGGGTTTCCTGGCTATGTAGCGAGAGAATTGGTGACAACCGAGATGGCCACAGAAAGGAATACGTAGTTGAAGCCGGGGTTGGCAGAATGACACCGCGATGATGGACATAACCAAGCAAACCGATGAGCGAACTGTGACCGGGTTTCTCGATGCCAGTCTGGCCTTGTGGGAGCTCGTTTTCAAGGCTTTATTCGAAAGATCATTGATACCTCCCGTTTCTCTCATGATCCGAGCAAGTTGTTTCACCGCCGCAGCATTCGAGAGATATGGATGTGAGGCAGTGCATGGACTCATCAGGCCTGCCAACCCCTGAAGGTCCCTTCTCACACTAGCACCTCGGTAGGCGCCAAAACAGGGGTAAGGGGTGTGGTTGATCGCCCCTGGAGAAGCCGGAGCGCCTACTCTGTAGCCACACCTAGCTTAAAGGTAGATGAGGAGAATCGAAAAGGCAAAGGTCGCATACATAATCGTTCGAGGAAAGGTCTCAAGCGTCCGGAAGGTCGACCCCTTGGGGCTTAATGGTGCAAGTCGTGTACAATCAAGAAAGGAGCAGAGTTGAGACGACAGCACAATCCAGGAACCCTTGACGTTCATCTCACTATGGTTCGAGGCGCTTGCTGCTGTCGACGCCGCTTGACGGGGAACTTGCTTCCCCGGTTGAGAGGGTTGGTTCCGTGCCCACTGCCTACCAGCTATATCTGACTGGAGGCGCCTCGATGGGTCTTGACGTAGATCCACAGTACGTAGTCAGCCTGCCATCCGAAACCCAGGTACTGTGCCCGATGGCGGATGACAGCCATCTCAACTTCTGGTAGCAGGATGGCATCTCCCCGTGGGTCTGGCCCGTCCGCCGAACGTTATTTACCACATGTCTGTGTGGCCCTGCCACTTTCGTGGGTCAGGAGCGTCCCGTAACTCTCCTTTGACGTCGCCCTTCTGATGATACGATCCGACTGGTATTGGACACGCTGCGACCTTCTCCATTGCAGCTTCGACCTGTGTGACATGCGCCAAAATTTCGAGCGAAATGCATAGCAGAGCGCAGCCTAGATCGTCACGCAAGCTCCCTAGACCTCACGGATGATTCATAGTCGGAATAGTAGGCCCAATGCAGGGACATACAAGGAACCCTGGGATTCTGGGGGTTCATCGACCGAAATCTTCTCTTCACTTCAGCCGTTCATCCCCCCAGGAGTCGAGCACATTTCGCTTTAGAGACAGTACGTAATGCATGAGCGACTGCTCCTGTCATCCCCCCTGGGGCGACGAGCTCAAAGTGATCCAAGACCGCGTCGCTTGAAAGGGCTGCTGTCCATGAGGCTGCTGCTGACCGTGGGGTCTGTCATCGTTTTCTTCAGATTCCAATGTGAGAGCATCCTGAACTCCTGTTCCCAACTGCCGAGCCTTGCCACTCTGCACCCATGGTCGACAGGTAGGGGTACGGATTTGAACGCCGGGTAGAGTACAAACCCGATGCTTGTGTTGCTGCCCAAAAGCTGAGCAACAGATTTCTGTTCACCGCGCAACTTGACGTTACGCCCATGGAAAATTAAGGCGCATGGTCGCAAGCCACTCGACCACTCAGACATCTTGCTTCTATCCAGCATGTTTGAATATTGATTGCCGCCATCGTGGGCATCTGAATATGGCATCAAAAGAAGGCTCGCCTCCTTGCCGAAGAGTCCTACGTTGTACGACCCTGGCCTCGCGAGCAGTGTTGATGACAGGGCTCAATTTGTCATTTGATGGAAGTCGATTGGCGAGAGGGGTCATCCTGTTCGCTTCACTGCCAGGGGTGTTGCAAGACATGCCTAGCATCGACTGCAAATGTCTGCCGAATGGGTGCGAGATCCAGGGGGTCTGTGACACTGAGCAAAACATCAGGATGCACGGTTGGCAAGAGAAGCAAGTGCAGTTCTGCTCAAAGTCCTCGGTGTAAAAGTGAGTGGCCTCCGGGAGTGCCTTCTGCCCAGGGTGCGCAGCGGTGATCCACAGACGCACGAGCATCCGGAGGAATAGAACCCTTGTCGTCTTCAGCTGAGTCCTAGGTAGCCTTCACAGCGTCACATCCTCCACTGCTCACTCCTGATTGTTGCAGAGGTGAACCGACATGGGACCTGGCATGTATCTGTGCCGTGAGCGGAAGCCCGATTAGTGTTGAGCTGCGGCCAATCGCCCATTCCCCAGTTCTGCGCTCTTTGACTCTGTTCCCACCGTCTTTCTCAGCCAGCCAACCCGGAGATGCGGTCGACTTGAGTCGAATGTCATTCACGTAACTGAACTGGGGTGTGAATGACTGAAGGCAACCCAGCTATGGGGTGCGGCAAGTGTTAGATGAGTGTAGGCAAGATTCCCGGTATTCCACGTCCTCTGAATATGCGACTCGATTTGCTGGTGGGATGAGACAATACAACGTCAAGCCCCGAATGGGATGTGGGTACTGGCAAGCTACTGGCATGTGTAGTAGGAACAAGAGGGACCATGCTCACCCAGTCCACGATCATGAAAAGTCGGGTTCCCGCGAGAGCTCGCCAGCTCCTTCAGCAATAACACCGGTCAAGACGATACGATGGGAGCATGTTCCGCACAAACGGCAGTCGTCCGGTCTCCTCGATGAGGACGCCCTCGATCTCCGGTCAGAATCGAACCTGAAGATCGTCTCTTGGCTGCTGCCAGCGATCTTGCTGGCGGGAGAGGGTGACCAGGGTCGAGATTGTCCATGGCAGTCTATGCCTGGCTTTAGCGTCAAGACGGAGGCTCAGGTGATGCTGTGGTTGGCGGAGATCATCCGCCGTGTTGACGAACGACTCGACTATGTGGGAGGGCATGGTATGCTGGCACATCCGTAGAGACAGGTGCTGACACTGCTGCATCCGAACATGACAGTGATTCTTTGCTGTTAGTCCACGTTAGTCTGATGTATGCAGGACAAAGGACAAGCAAGGGTTTGCTGGTATGAGGATTCCATTAGGAGTCGTGGCTTTGGTATTCCCAAGGAAGATTGGGGGTTGCAGTGTTGTCGGCGTCGATGAGGCGTGTCTGCGCTGCAAAAAGTACTGCAGGCGGTGCTCACCACTCCGCCGTACATGGTCCGCAGTGTGCAGCTGCTAGGAAAGGAAGGTGTGGCGACCGCGATTCGCTTCATTCGCAGCACCAAGTTATCGACCAAAGTGACTGCAGTGGACGTCCTTCTCGATTTCATGTCGACAACTGATACTTGTCCACCCTCACAGGCCGCTCATTGCAGTTGCTGCCGACTCAGCGTGGCCCGGCCAAGTCTTCGGATGCTGGCCCATGTTCACTGACCTGATCACCATTCCTCCATCTCGCCATCCTCGCTTTTCATATGCGCCTCCTTGCCTGCCTCCGCCATGGCTTGACGTCAAGCGTGTCACTATTGGGGCTGACTTCTCAGCCAAAGCACTCGGTCCAAAAATGATTCGAGGATGAACCTTGCTCGGCAACATGTTGTCCTCGCCGCCTTTGCAGCCTTCATTGCGTGGGGGCTTGCCGTGCGCTGCTTTCCTGTCCTGCGTCTCATCGGGTATGCCTTCACGCTTGGATGCCTCCTCACGATATCCCTTTTTCTTGCAGCCACCTTGACGGTCGCCCGGCCCCGAGCAACTTACCACGAAGACCACCTTCCCACCGGGCCATCTCCGGTCTTCCTTCGCCCGCAGAAATGGCAGTCGGAAGTGTCGATGTTGGAGGCATCTCGACGTTACCAACCCATACAGCTTTACGACCAATCTTTCGTCGTCTCGCAGGCGCTTGACACCCTCGTCGGTCTTGCACTCAGGGATTTTGTGTCCTCGTGGTACAAGAATATTTCGACGAGCCCCGTGTTTGTCAATGAGGTGGACAGAAATATCCGCGTCGCCCTTGTGGGGATCCGGGATCGCATACTCAAGGAGGACATGGTCAATGTGATCGTATCGAAAATCGTGCCCATCCTGTCAATGCATCTACGGGACTATGACCAAGCTGAGCGGCTTGTCCGAGGACGCAGCCTCAATCGTAGCCTCACCGAGTCCGAAGAGCTTGAGCTGGCTATTGCAGCGAAATACCGGGATGGGAAACTTCACCCGGCGGCATCTCTTGCCTACCCTGACACGAAGACAATTCAGCAAGACCATCTCCGCAAAGTTCTGGTCCGGATACTTCCGTATCTCCTCCCACCGACCATGACGGCAAGCCGAGCCACCTTGGTTCTGGTCAAAGAAATTGTCGCTTGTGCCGTGCTGTTCCCGATCTTGCAGATGCTAGCTGACCCCGACACATGGAATCAGATAGTGGAGGCTTATGGAAGAACCACTTTGCAAGACAGGAAGACCGTCCGAAGGATGCGGGCCGCCTTGGACCAGCATGCCTCTCCAGTGCCAAAAGGAAGTGTCAACCAAGAACTACCGCGGCTTGCTCCGAACGACAGCGAGCGTGCCTTCGAAAGATTTGTCAGGGCCATACGCAAGACCAAGAGCTTGTCTGACGCGCGGAGATTTCGGAATGCCATCGCCAGTCAGATTCAGCGCGAGAGCGCGGTTGAGGGCCAGGATCCCGTCTACCTGCGCCGGTTAGAAATGGCGAAGCGTGTCTTGGACCAAAAAATTGCGAAACTCGGTCACCCGGGAGGACCACCAAAGGTGATGGCCGCAAACCCCGAGTTGCGGCTTCATCCAGCCGCGAAAGCACGTGAATGGACCCTGGTGGAAATCATGCACACTGCTTCAGGGCTATCATACTTCATGGAATACATGGATCGACAACATTTGATGTCCTTGGTGCAGTTCTGGGTGGTGGTGGATGGGTTCCGAAACCCTCTCGAGGACGATTTCGGCGACGAACTGAATCCGCAGCAGACTTGGACTGACGCGGACCGCATGGACATTGCCCAGATCAGCGAGACCTACATGTTCATGCCCGAGCTGAATGTACCGCAGGAGTCCAAGAATGCCATCAAGGCCTTCCTCGTTGCCGGTCGTAAGGCGACCCCGCAACAGTATCGAGCAGCACGCACCGCCATCCTTGCCGCCCAATCTGCTGTTCTGGAAGAATTAGAAAAAAGTCATTTTCCAAAATTTCGAAAGTCGGATCTGTTCTTCAAGTTCCTTGCTTCTGCCGAGGCGGCGGCATCACACCGTTCCGGGCCTCGCAGTATGGACGATGTAGGAGACCTTGACGAAGCCTCGCCGACAGCCGCAGCAAATACCAAAACCCGGACCTCTTCGATGGTTCGGACCAATTCTCAGCCTGTTTCCCGTTCCAAAGACCTGAGACGAGTAGCAACATCTTCGACAGATGTTCACAGTCTGGCGTCGTCTAAGCTATTCGATGATTTCGACGCCGTAAGACGCACAGGGTCTTCGGCGCCGCTGTTCGACGACGGGTATGAGACCGATCCATTGGCACATTCCACTCAAAGCTTAGGCAACGAGTCAGTGAATGGTGACTCCGCGGAGCAACGTCAGGTGATAGAGAACATGGAGGCGGCTATGAATACCATCATGACCGATAGTCCGATGGACGAGAGCACGAGCTATGATGATGCTGCGCTCTTTGGGTCTCCGACATCGGCTTCTCGATCGACACGGACTACAGACTCTCCTCGAGGGTCGCTGGATCTTCAAACCACCGATGGTGTGAACAGACAAAAACCGAGTCTCGCGACGTTGGGGCTTGTCAACACATCGTCAAGGATCGGGGTGTTCGCGGACAACGACCTCTTTCCAGACGAAGAGAAGTTTCCCGAGGACGAGTACGTTGACGAGGATGAAGAGAAAGACAAGGAAGTAGACGAAGATGAAATCCACGAAGCTGCACCGGGAGATCTCGGACTCGCCGAAGCTATCACGGCACTGAGCAATGATATCGAGCGTCTCGTCTCGCAAGAATCGGTCGTGGATGCACTGACACGGAAGGCTGAACTGACCAACAACGTGGCGGAATTACGGATTCTCGCCAAATCCAAATCAAGTCTCCAAAGGGAGATTAGACGCAAGGAACTGCAACGCCAACAGTACATTGTCCAGGAAAGCGACAACAGCTTATATGGCCGGTCGAGTATTTCGATCAAGTCGGTGGTTGTGGGGAAGGAGGAGGATGGCCGCGAATTCGCCTTGTATGTCATCGAGGTGTGCCGACAAGCTGGAGATCAAATGCCCGCCGCTGTCTGGGCGATTCCTCGCCGATATTCCGAATTCCACGATCTCCACCAACAATTACGTCGCCGATATCCCACCACAAGGACACTGGAGTTTCCTCGGCGTCGAGTCATGATGAAGCTCCAGAAACAATTTCTCCAGAACCGTCGTGTCGCATTGGAGCATTATCTACAACAGTTGCTACAAATGCCTGACGTCTGTCGCAGCCGCGAGTTAAGGTCATTTCTTTCCCAGCAAACCGTCATATCTCCACAGAACACGAGCAATGCGTCCGATGCTCAAGATATTGTGACGCGGATCTACAATTCTGTCACGGATGGCATGGACGAATTTCTCGGAAACGTCTCGGTGCTTGATCAATTATCGGTCGCGGGGCAGAATCTGATATCGGCTGCTACCAACCAGCTGGGGATGAACCAAGGGGATATCTTGCCCATGGAGCCGAGTCCCGTCGCTGAGGCGGAAGCGGAGTTGTCGGCGTTTGAAGACAAGGAGCTGGAACCATTTGTCAAGCCCATCTGCGACTTGTTCCTGGAAGCGTTTGAGCTGAACCGCGGGAACAATTGGCTTCGCGGCCGTGCGGTTATTATGGTCCTCCATCAGTTGCTTGGAGGCACGATCGAACGCAAGGTTAGGGAACTTGCCAAAGGGTTCACCCAGGAGGAATCCCTGCTCCGATATATTGAGATGGTTAAGGAAACCATGTGGCCCGGCGGTGGCAAGATGAGAGAGGCCAAGCCACGAACTGCGGCGGAAAAGAAGGAGTCTCGAGTGGAGGCGTCGATGATGTTGGCGACCCTCATCCCGGATCTGGCAGCGAATGTTGTCGGCCGGACGAATGCTCAGGCCGCTGCTCGAAGATTGTCGGCGACCATGAACAATGCACGGCTCAATCAACATCTCGTCTTTACCATACTCGACGAGATCATTGGGGTCTTGTTCGATCCTGCCAAAGGGTGAAAAGCGATTCACTCTCTCGAATATATCGAGTCCGGGCTGGAGCAAGGCCCGTCACCGTTCACTTTGTGATTGGAAGGAACCAACACTAACACACTCTTGGGTCTCATGAATGTTGGCGGCACCGGCATCCTTGGGCGGTGGCAGGCGACGCTCGATACGCAACAGCTAGCAAGCAGTCCTGCTCTGGTGTCTGCATGGAATATTCTTGTGTGGTTTGTTATCTGTATGAAATGCAAAGAGGGGAGAAACGCTTTTCGGGGCCCTCACTAGGTTTGTCGGACTTGGCTTTTGTGTTTGAAGGTTCCTTTGTGTGTACAACTTTGTCCCACAGGGCAATAGAGCGCGGAGCATAGCATGGCGGGCGGCGTGAGTGAGGGGGTTGGATTCCGTCGATATGTAGCGAGCGCCTTCTTGGGCTGTGATTCCATTCAAAGTATCACATCCCTCTTCTTCCTTCTGAGCCTTAGCTACTTCTAAAGGAAAATAGTCCTACCAAATACCACGCCCCTGATATCAGATCGAGCCTCCAAGGGATCAAATCTTTGTCGATTCAGATACACTTGGTTGGTATATATACCAGAATCAATTCTGTCCTTCTTTCCGGATCAACTGTGTCACATTTTGCGCGCTTTGTCTAGATCGTGTCTGGACACTCCTTTATGAGTGTAGTCTTGTTCGAGGAATAGATTACCGGAAACAATGCAAGCTCTATGACAATTCTACCCGAATGGAGGACTAGTCACCCCTCAAATCCCGGCTCTAGCAACGACACTCCTGACTCCATCGACACTACGCCGCAAAAGCTGCAAGACCACCTCTCTCAAGCGATCCCTCCCATGCCTCGCGGCAAAGACGACGCCCCAAACAGCCACGACCAAGCCCAGCAACTTGAACGACCTGGCCAGACGCAACTTGAGCAGGCCTTTGCGGGTATATTTGGCAGACCAGTGGCTCCAGCGGGGGAACCAGCATCGGAGTGTAAAATCGACCTGGGTCCACGGGTAGACGGTAGCGTTCCAGCCAGAGGGACTATTGTACCACGAGCGACAGCCGCCGGAGAGGAAGACGCTGTTCTTCAGCGCGGCCTGGACGTCGGCGGTCCACTTGCGCTCGGCGGACTCCTTGACCTCGAAGGTGGCGACGTCGCCGCGCAGGACGGGGGCAATGAAGTTCAGCGAGTAGTTGACCATGTTCTCCGAGGCGAGGATGACGCTGCTGTGGCCCGTCGCCGTGTTGGGGCCGAAGATGATGAAGAAGTTGGGGAACCCGTCCATCGCGGTGCCCAGGTACGCCTGGGCGCCGCCGCGCTCGTCCCACGTCCCGTACAGGCTGCGGCCCGCGCGGCCGGTCACGTCGAGCGGGTGCAGCCACTGGTTGGTTTCGTAGCCGTTGGCCATGACGATCACGTCGGCCGGGATGGTGCGCGCCTCGGTCGGCGCCGCAGAGTCGCTCTTCGACATGGGCGGATAGTGCCGTCCGGGGCCGAGAGTCACGGAGCGGGCCTGCACCGCTGTCAGGGGGAGCGTGGTCAGTTCGACGCGCGGGTCTTGCAGGCTGGCGAACCAGCCTTCGTCGACGACGCGCCGTTTGCAGAACACCTCGTAGTCCGGCGTCAGGATCTCGTGGTATTTTGCGGGCACCTTCTTGCGTAGGTACGAGAGCAGTTCTTCGGCCTTTTTCTGCCGCCGCGCCCGCGCCGCCTCGCTCGGCGAGAACAGACTGACGTATTCGAGCTCCATCATGCTGAAGACGAATTTGCGCAGTGCGTTTTGGAACCCTGGCACCCGTTGGCACAGCCATGGGATCCATTTCGCGTGGAATTCCCGCGCGGACGGCGGCAGAGGTTCCACCGCCCATGGCGGAGACCGCATCAGTTGCGTGACGTGTTTCGCGCCGTATTCGGGTTTGATCAGTTGCGGCACGACTTGGCCGCCGCTGCAGCCCGTGCCGATCACGATGACTTCTTTGTCGTGCAGGTCGAGGACCGGCTTCCAGCGCGCCGTGTGGACGATTTCGCCTTCGAACGTTTCAATGCCGGGCACTTGGAGGGGAGGTTTGGGCTCGACCAGGCCGCCGACGGCGCTGACTACCACTTTGGCCCGTACCGTTTCGGTGCGCAGCACTGTGCTTTCGACGCCGGCTTCGTTTTCCCGTGCCAATCGTTCCGAGGTCGACAGGTCGCCGACGCCGGGCGCAAGGTGTTCCAGAGTAACCTCCCATTCTTCTTCGTCGTCGAGCCAGCGCACGCTCTTGACTGAAGTGTCGTACTGGATCTTGTCGAGGATCTCGAACTTCTCGCACACGTCGTACAGATATTGCACAATTTCCTTGCCGGAGGGGAACAGGGTCGTCCAGTTGGGGTTCTGGGCGAACGAGTATGAGTATAAGATTGCCGGTCTAAACGGGAATATTAGTTAAGACAGGCCAGTAGGTTGAGTCATGGGCCGGAAAGGCAAAGGGGGTGCTAGCATACACATCACAAGCAATGCCGGGATATTGATTCGTATACCAGGTGCCTCCCAACGCCGATCTTCTTTCGAAGATTCGGAACTGATCAAACCCCAAGACCTGCCGTAGTCGACATCCCATGGCAATGCCGGACTCACCGGCTCCCACGATCAGGACGGGATAGTAGGTGTAGGCGGATTTATCGGCGCCTCCTACATTGCGGATGCGATCGACTCGTGCCGCCATGCTTGTAGTTGTTGAGGTAGACGCTGTCGAGATGCGGAGTGACTTCGCCAGAGAGATGTGAGAGGGAGGATGTACTGGACAAACAACGGCTACCAAGGACGAGGGGTGTTGGAGATGTACTTATCTCTCGAGAAGCTGGGGAGACATGGCCCGCCTCAAGCGCAGACGGGACAAGTCTCAGGGTTCAAGGCCCCAGGCCCGAGTCCCCTGCGGCAAGGCTAAGGAGGCTCCATTGGACCAGGCTCCCCAGGCTCCCCAGGCTATGGCGTGCCTGGCCTAAGGCCCCCCAGAGTCGCATAAAACAATGACGCGGAGTTGGTATCAGGATTTCCTCCACTGCCTTCTCCTCATCTTGTCACCTCGGCCGGTCGGTAGGTCGGCAACTCGGCTGAGTTTCCATCTGTGTTTTAAAGTGCAGATAGTGGCATCTTGGCCCGCCGCTAATCATCGCATACTACTACATGTAATAACCGACTTCAACGTCGAGGCTGAACTCTTTGTACTTGTATAGAGAGATCCATCAGACGATAGAAAGAATCCAACTCGATCGACGGCAAGAATAGCTCTCACCTAGACAATTGTCGTCTGTCTGTCAACATCAGACCCGGCAAATGCGATGTCTGGCTCACCGACCAAGAGGCATCTCTGCCCTGACCTGCTCCGCCGCCATCAGCCACTACATTCGTAACCAAACCCGCCATCTAGGGTCCTCCCCGATCCTCAACAATCCCCTTCAGCAGATCCCTCTGCTCCCGTCATGGGATGCGGATATATTTCAAGAAAGAGCATATTTGCCCGCATTCCCAGCTCGTCTACCACGATCGACGACCTCTCTACCACCCGCCTGTCAGAAATGGTTTATCCACAACGGCGATCCGGATTTCAATCTGATCACCAGCACCACCAGCCAGAACGACCGAGATGGCCTCTTGGCTGAGATTCAAGTTCCTCGCTCTTCCGAGCTGCGCTCTTCTTTCTGGATCGAGCACGGCACGACGATTGTGCCTCTGGAACTGACATTGAACGGTCCTACCACTTCGTCCAGTATCGTCAATATTAATGATGTCGAGTCCGGTCCAAGCACCAACCTCGGCGACAATGCCAACGGTAACACAAACAACATCGATGGTGGCACGGGTACCAATACCAACAATACCCACGAATCATTCCACCGCATCGAAGCGCCCCTCAACCTACTCCTGACTTATCTTTCCAGCCCCAGCCCAAGCACCAACACCAAAGCTGCTATCAATACCAGTGCAGTACCCAAGGGCAACAACACCAAGCCACCGTCACTAGACCAGCAGTCCTCGCTCTCGCCCTCTCATTCTATATATCTGGCCCAGTGCGAAATCTCATCCCTTCCCGCGTCTCTACAAGAACACATCCCGACTCCGTCACTATTGACCAACCCAAACCCAAACCTAAACTCAAAGCGAGGAAGCTCGACCCCGATCAAAGGCGACATCTACTCGACCAGTCTCTGGCTCGGTCGACCACCGACATACACGCCGCTGCACCGCGACCCGAACCCGAACTTGTTCGTCCAACTCGCCGGCCGGAAAGTGATGCGGTTGCTACCTCCTGAAATCGGGAACGCGGTGTTTGCCGATGTTCAGAATCAGATTATTATAGCATCCTCTTCTTCTCCGTCTTCACCGTCGTCATCTTCTGCGTCGACTTCATCGGCGATCAGAGGCGAAGAAATGATGGCCGGCCCCGAAAAGGAACTCCTCCACGACGCGGTATGGTCAGACACCGACACCGGCCCCGACACCCAGAACCGGTACGCCCATGTTCTCAAGACCTATGGCTTCGAAGTCGAGCTTGGGCTGGGTGAGGGCCTCTTCATCCCAAAGGGGTGGTGGCATAGCGTGAAGGGGGTCGGGGAGGGCGTGACTGCCAGTGTTAATTGGTGGTTTCGATGAAGAACAGGAAGGAAAGAAATCCCACATGACTGTCTTTTGTATGCCCCATACCGCTTACGTTGTAAGGGAGAGGAGAAGACTACTACTCAAGG